CCTCATCTGCTGTTTTCCCTCATCTGCTGTTTTCCCGACGCACGACTGACCACTACGCGCCAAAACCCGCAGTCAAGCCAAGCTCCGCAAAATCGCCCAAGCAGCAGGATACAAGCTCGTGAATGGTAGCCAGATTGTCGAGTTGGATGGCACCGAGGACGGCTTTGCAAAGAGCGCGACAACAACGCCGACTAAGAAGAGAAAGTCCCCTACCAAGAAAGAAAAGGCAGCCAAGGACGAGTCAAGCAAGCAAACTGAAACTCCGGCAGAGCCTACCAGCAAGAAGACCAAGGTCAATCAAGATGCTAGCGACAGCACGCAGGAGGAAGTCAAGCAGGAGGCTGAGGGTGAAGAGGCCTGAGCTAAATGATCAGCGACGTGATCGATGTCTTGAGTTGGAAAGGAGTGACGAGGAATCGAAAGCGCTCTCGCTCTTGGGTATCAAAGCATGCTTTCACCAATACAGGGCCTGGCCTGGAGTTGTGCATGTCACACTCACGAATCTTGACTCTCGAATGAATTTCAAAGCACAGTGCTGCTGGAGATGAGCTGAGGAGACACGGATGCCAATGGACGTTGGCCTGATCGTTGGAAAGCACAATCCTGAACCCTGAACCTTGAACATTGCTTTAAACTTGTTGTGCCTCTGCCCGTCGTGGCTTCAGCATTTCCACATCTCTTCCACGCTCGCCTCGCACCCGGTCTTATCCTAAATTCACCCACCACTCACAACCACTTTCTCCCTCTCCCGCCTTGAAGCACTTCACACTTCGGATCATCTGTTGATCGCCTCTTTCTCGAACCATTAACAAAGCAGAAGTCGGTTCCGGAATCATCAACTCCGCAGAAGCCGTTTCTCGTATCATCGACTACCTACGCAGAAGTCATCAATCACAATGCCGGACCCAGGCTTGAACGCCGACCAAACAGCCTACATGATGATCGTCCTAAAGAACACGGAGATGAATCCCGACTGGAAGCTCATCACCGTAGAAGCAGGCATCAGCAAACCCAGCAACGCGTAAGTCGTACCGGAACAGCCACTGGCTTTTGCTGCTCGCTTCCTTCGAATGGGTCTGACCTGGCTTGGCTAATTTTGTGTAACCAGGCAGCGCAAGTTCCGCCAGATCGTCGAGGCGGCGGGGTTCAAGCTCGTGAATAACCAGATCGTGGATCCGGGTGAGGACGAACACGAAGATCACGCTGGGAATGCTACTCGGGCCCCGTCTCCATCTGCGACTTCGCAGGGGAGGAAGCGAAAATCGCCTACTAAGGATAAGAAGGACGCGAGCGAGGAGGCGGAGCCGGGTATCAAGAAGAGGGAGAAGAAGGCAAGCCAGCCTGTTGGCGATGTGAAGCGTCGTGGAAAGGACGAGATCAAGGACGAGGCTGCAGATTAGGAAGAGCAAGTCTACGCCTAGCTGTGTACGTCTCATGAAATGGTGGCGGCAAGGAGGCCGAGTGGACCTATTTTGAGGCTAGCACACGCCCACACATACACATATGTGCACGGACGCAGATGAGAGAACACGGCGAGCAGAGAACGACGAGACTGAAGGAAGAATGGAGAACACTGTATCTATCAGACCGATAGATGTTGGCTTGGACACACACACCGCCAACACCGGACACCTACCTAGGCGCTTCATGAGCTGAAACTGTGATGACAGCCGTTACAATTGGATTCTGCTTCACCCATTTGCTCATCTTAAGTTTCTTTCATCCTTACTTCAGTATTACTCCCTCTCTTTCGCACACTCGCACGCAACTCATTGCACTCTCTCAATCGAAGTCCAGTTAAAGTTCCAACGTCTCACTGCCATCACACTCCCAGCCAGTCATCATGGTGACGGCAACAACAGAAGACAAGGGCGCAGAGAAGATCGCCTTCGTGATGCGCGTGCTGAAGCACACCGAGATGGCCAAGCCGGATTGGAAGGCCGTCGCCGCCGAAGAGGGTATCTCGAGGGCAGATAACGCGTGAGTTGAGTTGAGCTGAACGAAATGACCCTGCCTTGATGAGCTGTGTCTCTGTCCCTCCCCCTCTCTCACTCTCCCTGTCTTTATCTATCACGTATAACGTTGTTACTGTCCGTGAATTATGCTGACCACCACCCTTCCTCGATAGACAGCAGAAATTCCGCAACACGGTCAAAAGCCTGGGCTACGCCTTTGTGAACGACCAGATCGTCGACTTGAATGATAATCCCGGCGGTTCGGGAGGAGCCACCCTTGAAACCAAGACCGAAACCACAGCCACAACCACTCCGACCAAGAAGAGAAAGTCTCCTGCCAAGAAAGACACGGCCACCAATGGCGAAGAGACACCGAGCAAGAAGACCAAGACCAGTCTTTCTGCTTCTGCTGGTGGCGATCGTGATGGTGAAGATCAGGCATTGCAGGCCGAGCAAGACCCAGAATGAATGAGCGTATCCACAGTGCAAGACGGCGGACTGGTAGGGTTGTGATCAATGGGTGACCTGAGCGAGTAGCCGTGGAATAACGGGGCTGACGCAACCACGAATAACAACCGACATTGGTGGATGACGGGATAGGACACGTACATACACACACAGTACTCAAGGCGGGTGTGTTGGATTGCTCGATGATGAGGGTGCTTGACTTGCTGAAGAGGAGGGTGTTCTGGAGGCGCGAACTGCAAGTGCTTGCTCGCCTACTCGAATAGCGAGCTTCTCAGCGGGCGGATCATCCCGGACTGCAATGCGATGCAACAAAGTGCAGTGTAATGAATGCTGTTGCAATGACTTTCCACTCTCTTCTCCTTGTCCGATCTGGTCCGACGTTACCAACGTCAGAGCATCGAGCAAGCACACAAGCTTTGCCCTCAGGACAGGCTGCACTTCTGTGTGGCGTAAGTCGACCCTTGCCGTAGCGTTCCTCGCTCTCGAACGCTGAAGTTGGATGTAGCGCTGTTACTGGTGACACAGCTCTCCAGCACTGCCCTTGGCTGTTCAAGTGTCGCCCGATGTCTCAATCTTGAGGGCAGAACGTGCTCTCCGTTCACCAGGTGACAGGCAACACATATCCTCATGCTCTCGTCTCATTTCATCTCATCGTTTCAGTCATGGGTATCGTCCTTTCAAAACTTCGGCCCCCTCTTGCGGCCCGTGTACTTGGAATCCATCTTGACTGCCTTGCCCTTACCCCTCATCTTCTCCTTCTTCCGCAACACCCAGGCCTTACTTCCCTTCACATCACCAGCAGAGCCCTTGCCCTTCATCGCCACCTTGGCGTCCCTGATCCGGCGTCCATCCTCGACATCCACGCCCTCCATGTCTCTCACCCGCTCAGTGATATCCCCTCCACCGACGCTCAAGACCAAATAGGTCTTGACGTTCTTCGTCCCGCCATCATCTTCGAGTATGCCCGCCCCGAACCCCGCCCGCACAGCAGCTTGCGAAATCATATTCCGCTGGGCGTCGTTCTTCGGGTAGAACTGCAACACTGCCCGTCCCCCTCTCTTCAGCGCCGCGTACAGGCCGTCGAAGAACCTGCGCAGTCGGCCCTCGGGGCTCACGCCGCTGCTCTCGGCATTACACAGCCATTGCACCGCACTGATCGACACGGCTGCGTCGAAGCTGCCGGCCCGAAAGGGTATCCCCTGGCCCATGTCCGCCAGGAACAAATCGCCGTCGACGTCTTCTCTTTGGAGCGCAATGTCCAGCATCGACGGCGCAATGTCCATGCCCACCCAGATGTGGCCTTCTTCGGAGAGGATTTCGCCCGACAGACCCGAGCCGCAGCCAATGTCGAGGACAAGCGATGGAGAGGGCAGGTCGAGTAGATCAAGCGCCCGGTGCGTCATGGAGGATTGAATGGCCTGGATGCGCGAAGAGGTCGTGTATTTGGCCGAGGCGGTGTCATCGTAGTATAGATCCGGAGGGAGGAGGTCCTCAGGGCGCGACATGGTGGACCGTTATGCTGAATACCAAGACGTCAGGTTGGACAGCTCTAAAACAGTGCCAGCGGCACACAAATGGGTGTTATTGAGCGTACATTTTGCGCAGTTCACACGTGAAGGGAGGCACACGCCGGGGAATAAATTTTTGTGGAGCAGACCAGAATTGTTCACACACCCCACACGAGATGATGAAGTGGGATCAAAGACTGGGTCGGATTAACTTTACTCCGTTAATTACATCCAGCCTTCGCTCATTATTAGTGTCTACGCGAAGTTCGGCCCCCTTCAACCCTTGGGACCGATATCATCGTCCCAGTAGCAATGACCTGGCACACGACTTGTATTTTGTGGCCGCAGTATTTGGACAGCCCGCAAGTGGTCTTTCGTGTAGGCTGAAGCCTCTCTTTCATGTACAATATCTTCGTTCTATGCTGACACGCAGAAGCAAGTTGTCCGCCTATTGTACGCCGAACCCGACTTTTGCCTGTGAGACTACCAAAAGTGGGGGAAGGTAGTTGTCAAAAGAGGGAGTGTGCTGGAGCAGGATACAAGGCTGAGTTTCTCCAGATTTACGGTTGTGATAGTGTTTCCTGGCTCTTAATCCTTCGTGTTCCTGTCCGAATCAGCCACCACAGCGTCAATGACGGTCTTGTTGAGGCCCTTCCAGTTGTTCTTGGCCCAAAAGAACCAGAGCGCCAACGCAACCAGCTGGACAAACGCGTTGATAGGGAGCGCATAGTTCATGCCTGCAGCGGTCACCGGCAGGAAGGACGGGAAGCAGAGGAAGACCATGATGTACATCGAGTACACGACCGCAAAGATGTTGATGTATACGCCGAACCGACCGAGGGACCAACCAGAGGGCTCGACTCGCTTGTCCCATCGAGCCCACAACATGCAGGCAATGGCCATCATGTAAGACTGGTACAAGCCGAGGGTTGACAGAGCAACAATGACGTTGAATGCAATACTGCTGCCGATGTTGAGCAGAGCCAACAGCATGACGATGAACACCGGTAACCAGACTGATCGCACTGGAATGCGGTGCTTCGGGTCGATTTTGGCAAAGTATGAAGGCAACGCTCCGTCACGAGACCAGGCCCAGGTCAGTCGCGAAGCGGATGCAATGCTGCCCAAGACGCAGGCCAGAGTGACAATCATCGACAGACCGACCATGGCCGAACCGGCCTTGACAGACTGGGTTGCATTGATGCAGATCAAAAGGAGCGGGTATCCCGAAGATAGGAGGTCCTCGACATTTCCAGCGCAAAACAGAATGACAAGCACCATGCCATACGCAAGGGCACCGTTCATGACGATGCTCCAGAACATGGCTCTGGGCACTGCATGTCGCGCCTTTCGTACTTCTTCAGACATGTGGACAGCCCCGTCGAATCCTGTGTCTCCAGGTCAGAGCATGTTGGCCGAAGTGGATCGCGAAATCACTTACCGACAAATCCCCAGGTGGCCGTGAGCATTCCCAAGTTGAAGGAGACGTACTCATTGGTCCATCCGGAAAGGGCCGACTTCTCCAAGAAGACAAAATCCGCACTGTGTCGGGGGGCCAGCGTGACCAGGACTGAGACGAAAACAATCCACATGATGATGTGGAGCAGCCCGGACAACATTTCAATCCAGGGAATCGTCCAGAAGGCAAACTGGTTCATCAAGCCCTGCACAATGAGCAAGGCGTAGATGATCAGGGTCACATGCCACCCATGGGGAACGTAAGTTGGGTAGCTTGCGATGACCAGAGCTTGGATCATCAGCGCAGCAATGTTGGCCACGCCAGCCAACAGCGAGATCCAGGAGAACCATGTGATCCAACCCTGCATCCATGTAATGAATCTCCGGTGCGCGGGCGGCGCCAGGTAATGAGTCCAGTGGTACTGTGCACCTGCAATGGGTTGTACCGAAGCCATCTCGGCCATGGATGCTACCTGGCACATAACGCCTGTGATGACGATAAAATAGCCGAACGAAAGAGCGCGAGGACCACCATTCCAGAAGAAGAATGCGATGTTTCTGAGTGCGATTAGCTTCTGCTGACAGTGACAATAGAGGATTTGACGCACGATGCAATGGCCTCCCACGATGACATGTAACTGAGCGCGAAGAAGAAGATCTGGGCAAAGCTGAAAAGTCTCTGCGACGGGGTCAGTGTTCCGTCGTGACTTCTCCCCAGGGTACGTACTCGGACTCGTGTCGAAGTGTTTCTGGTTTCATCTGTCCTATGGCCAGGATACTGGGTCGCATAGTGGCCTTTCTCATCTTCAATATTGACTTGGGCAGTCTTGACGGGCAGCATCTCGTGAGATTCCATCTTGGGCAGCGATTCGGGCGCAAACACCTGGATTGCAAAGAGACGAAGAGGAGGGGTGAGAAGAAAAGAAGAAGGAACGACAAGACTCCAGATGCAGGTTATGCTTGCCGAAGTCCCCCTGAGAAAACGTGGCCAACGTGCCGAAACCTGGTCTAATCCAAGGCAGGCCAAGCAAGGCGCGCTGAGGAACGTCGATGCTCCAAATGTTCGAGACACATCGAGGTTGATAAGAGCGCCAGCAGGGTGAAAACGAATGCCTCGATCGGTAATCCGTATACACAGTAGCGCCCTCGCTACGATAGCCACGCAGCTTTGCCCAGTCAGAGTAGTAGTGGAGGTATGGGGAAATCCCGCCAATGGGTAACCATGCCCGGAGGAGAGCATTTGACGGTGAGGAAGGAGCCCTGTACGCCCCTGACACCGATCTACCAAGGACACAGAACTGCGTACCACGGTCTTCTGGTCTCTGCTACGCCCCCCCAATCGAGCCAGGCAACAAAGTCCCCCACCAGCGTGAACTGTTACACTGAGACGGAACGACCGCCAGCCGATCTCGAGCACACGGGATGGCTTGAGCTAGATGCTGCGCGAGACGTCGGGCCAAGCCCAAGCTGTCCTAAAGCCAAAGCAGCAGTACCCCGACCTGCGTGTGATTCCTTTCTGGTGGTTGCATGATAAGAGACGACAGGGTCTGCTGTGGTGCCCAGGATATAGTAGCAGCCAACTGCCGCTATTGGTGGACGCGGAAGCAGTCGATTGGCAGTAGTGCTACCTATAGAGTTAGCGCGCTGCGGGCCGCTAGGTGACTTAGCGGCCACAACCGGACGCGCAAGTCAGTTCCGCGACCACTGATCCATTTCCGCCATAGGTTAGCGTCAAATGCACCATGGAGAATTGAAACAGAATCAGTGTCCTTCAGTTTTGCCGAACCTAGAATCGACCGTGTGCCCTTCGCTGCATTCCATTGACAGACCCAATGGTCAAATCTTGACCGGCCGCATCAAATCGAGTGATCCTGACCTGATGGTCAAAAACATGGGCTGACGGTCAATGATGGCAGGAGCGCCGAGTGTCCTGCTGAGCCACATGCCTCTTTGCAGATGTGACCTTAGCTTTTACCAAGCCGCCATTGGCAAGCGAAGCAATACCTTCTTGTTCGTCCCTGGTGGATCAACACCCCTCTGATCTTTCCCCAAGCCTTTGTCAAAGGGCCGCCTTTTCCCGCTAGCGCAGTGCTATCGACCGGGAGGTGCTTCCTTTGAATCCTGGAACACTGGGCGACAGGCCTGGGCCATCTGCATTCTCAATATCTGGTGTGGGCCTTGCTGTACTTACGTAGTACTCGTAAGACAGCCCTCGAATCAGACTCCGACCTCGCGAGTTGTATCGTTGTGACCCTTTCTTGCTTTCTTGAACAAAGAGATCAGCAGCAAGGAAGCCTATTGAGCAGGATCGACGACCAGCACGAGCAGGCACGTCCGAGCCTCGTTTCGACGTGTTGCATCCCCTTGAGGAGACAGCGGGTCTGGGCCAAGTGCCCTTGCGGTAATGGAATATCCCGGCCCGATGCCACTGGTGGACAATTTCGCATCAACAGCTGCTCCAGATGTCCAGACAGGAAAAGCTCAGCACGATGCATCACTCTGCACGGACAGATTGCGCGCCACCACAAGACCCTTGGCGCGGACGAATGGCTTTTCCGGATTCTGAGAGGCTGCGAGCCAACAACCAGGCTGGACATCGACGCCAAACCACCTTTTCCGTGTCTGAAATCGCTTCGGTTCGGCGTTCCTGCATCAACACGAAGCACCGAGCCCAATAACAGGGAACCCAATCAAGCAGTGCGGGAGGCTTCGGCTAATGTCACAGTACAATCTCCAGGCACTGAAGCCTTGCTCATTGAAGTTGTGGAGAGCTGAGAAGGGTCAAAGCGAAGCTACCTTGCCTGGGAGCCACCACAGCGCGAGGTCGGAACCAGAGTGAGGTTGGAAGCGAGGTCTAGTAAGTGAGTCAAGGGCGCCGCACCAGGAGAAACAAAGGAATCCCGATTGCGGTCTGGCGTTCTCTTCTGCATAATCATGCCACGTTCCTGACACCCGCCAGGGGATAGATTTCGCTACTGTATGCATTCCACGGCCAGTGCATGTCCCAGTGCATGTCCTCAGCACGTTTTGGTACCCCGTCGAAGTGTCCAGCCCCCGGCCGACCAGGAAGGCCGACACGACAACGTGGTTCCTGGGCAGGCTACCCAAAAATCCATCGTGATACTGGAGTGATCTGCATAGATATACTCCGTACATATCATCACTTTTGTTGGTGTCGACCGCTCCATAAACAAAACTCTCGGCGACGAAATACACGACCATTCGCCCATCCAATACTCTCAATATGTCGAATAGTGAGGGTGGCATTTACGAACCACTCCTTCCACCGCTTCAGGATATCACAGCCACCAATCGAGGTCCCATCGCGTTGGCCACTGCAGTCACACTCCTCATCGTCTCTACGTTGACTGTCGTCGTCAAGCTCTGGACCAGGTTCGCAACTACCCGCAGCTTTGGCTTGAACGATGCCGCCATTATAGTAGCGATGGTATGCTTGGATCCGAAGTTTTGATTTTGACTTACCTCTAACTAATATCTGTGCAGGTCTTTGCATTTGGTCAATCAATCACTTTAGCAATTGCCACGGACCATGGCCTGGGACGACATGTTGAGGAACTTCAGGATTCACAGATTGCCACGTTGAGCAAGGTAGGCGCGGTTTTGCACCCATCCCGACAGCGGGTTCTGATATGTTTCAGCTGTTTTTCGCCTCCAACATTCTTCTCATTCTAGCACTAGCCAGCGCCAAAGCAGCTGTGACTCTTCTCGTCATCGCGATCAAACCTCTACGATTTGTGATGTTAGCTTGTTATGCAATGCTGGGCCTCATTGCTGTCTGGGCTGTAGCCGGCGTCTTTGTACTGGGGTTTCAGTGCTCTGCGCCCCATCGCTGGGTACTTGGGCCGGGCTCAGGTCCAGAGACTTGCATCGACCAGTACGCAATGCAAGTGGCGCTGAGGGCTATCGATATTGCAACCGACGTGGGGATCGTTCTTCTGCCTGCGTTCATGATGCGGTCAGTGCAGGTCGCAACGGCTAAGCGCTGGGTGGTGGTTCTGCTGTTCGGAATCAGACTTATGTGAGTGCCCCCAACTTACTCTCCTACAACATCTGACCCGCTTGTCTCCAGCACACCCATCTTCACTGCAGTCACGATCGCTGCGTATGACGACTTCTACCATTCGAACCCCCAGGATCGGGCCTGGCACGCAGTCATACCCTCTGTTTGGACTTCCTGCGCTTTGAACCTGTCCATCGTTACGGCGTGCATTCCCTCGATCAAACGTTTCCTCGCTGACTGGGCGGCCGGTCTCAGTGCTATCACCATTTCTGAGCCTTTTGAATTGGAGCACTCCAGTGGCAAGACTGGCCTAGGAAATAGCAACACATATGCGATGGGTAGCGGCATGGGGAGCAAAATTGCCACAAAACTGGGCTTGTCCTCTAGCAGCAAGGCAGAGATCACCTCAACCGTCCGAAGCCGCCATGACCCCAACGATGCCGAAGTCCTCGGAGACAACACTGCAAGGAATCGCTCGCGCGGTACTGGCGGCCGACAACCCGACAGCACGTCGGATAGCGTCAAAGGCCTTACAGACGGAGTTATCATGCACTCGATCGATTACCGAGTCGAGTACGAAGATCAGACGACGGACAATCGCGACTGGAGCAGCCGCAGCAGTGGGGGCCGGTAGATGTACGCCATGACACGAGGATATGAAGGCGTTGGGTGACTGGTAGATGCTGCCGAAGGAGAAGGCGATACACAGATGTACACTACGGAGTACTGCACATAAAGCTAGAGGATGGGTGGCTCTTGTCGATGGCAAGCTCGAGATGCTGGTCAGACCACATGTCCATCACATCTGTACTGTGCTACATTCCGAGTCAATCTTGACCCTCATGAGGCTTGTTCCCGTGGACGCTTGTCGATGAAATAACCTCACGACTGCGGCGGTTCCCCGTCGAATGCTATTTGTAACAGAATCCACCCGGAAGTGGGTGCCATGATGCGGCTCTAGGCCAATGTTGCTAACAAAACTTAATTGAACTTCGCGTTCGCGCCCTGTGCGTCTCCGAACATGCCAAGCATCTCACCCTCTCACCCTTGCAACGCTCAATCGACGTCACCACGGACTCAATTTTCAATCGCATCTCAGTGCTCAGTCTCCCCTCGGCCCCCATCACGCGTACGTGACACGCTGTTCAGCGCTCACCCCGACCTCACTTCCTGCCCAAGGTCATGTCCTCGTTCGGTCCGTTCAGTTCGTCGTAGCCACCGACTCCTCTGTCCACATTATAGAATCGTACACGACCACCATGTGGATTCTGCCCCTCCTCGGCTACGCTGGCCTCGTGTTAGGCTTCGCATTCCTGACCCTCTCAATCGCGTCGGGCCTTTACTACCTCTCCGAACTCGTCGAAGAACACTCCGTCTTCAGCGCGAAATTGCTGAAGCGACTCATCTACGCCGTCGTCACCACGCAGTTACTCCTCTGGCTGGTCGATGGCTTCCCCTGGCATCTGATCTTGCTGGGAGTAGGGAGTCACGCCGTCTACGCGACGAATCTCCGACACTTCCCGATCGTCAAGCTCTCGGATCCTTTCTTCCTCTCCAGTTGCGCACTGGTCATTCTCAACCACTGGCTATGGTTCAGACACTTCAGCGACACCACCAATAGAGGAGGAGGCTTCCGAGGAGCCCCACCGAGCAGTCGAAGAGATTGGTACTCGACACCCGTGTATGATCAACCCACCTTCACCGAGATTGCATCCTACTTTGGCCTGTGCGTCTGGCTCGTGCCATTTGCGCTGTTCGTCAGTCTGAGCGCGGGTGAGAACGTCCTGCCGAGTATGGGTTCCGAGTACGCCACGGGTGACAGACAAGGTGGGGGGTTCCAGAAAGGCCACAAGCGGAAGAATACTGGCATGGCGAAAGCTGCGGTCCATGCCACCAGAGAGTGGGTCACCGACACCGGGGCCGTCATGGGACTGTGGAACTCGGACAATGTCCGGCCCTCTCGAGGGTTCGGCAAGGGTCATACGAGGATAAATTCTGTGAACATATGATCAAAGTGTTTGAGTGCCTCGCAAAGCTACACTGTCATGCACTGCCGGTAGCATCTGCTGACCTCGGATATTGCTCGGCCTCCTGGGCAATCTATGAAGCGAGTTCTGCAAGCTGAGATCCCGCGTCTTCGAAAACGATGACGACAACATAGCAACCGGTTCAGCAATCTCGCGCCAAAGACTGCGAAGGGGGCATCTACATGCTGGACCGGAAGCAGCTGAAATGTTTGGTGGGATCGGACGCGAATAACGACCAAAGGCTGGCTTGAACACGAGCAAGCAAGCAGACACGCAATCGAGACGGATGAGGCACTTGCAGCTGGTGACCCGAAAAATGGAAGCAAACCAGCTCACGCCAAAGATCAGGCTTGGCGCAAAGCAGCATCGGGGATCTAATGCCAAGTGTGACGGGCGACGACCTAAGAGCAGGCGGATTTCTACGGTCTGAAAAGTCCGTCCTCACGCAAGCAGAGCAGCACACCTCGGAGCAAGGCAGAAAGACATGACATTGTATGTGCCCGAAAGGGAGTGCTCAACGAATCGATGCCGCCTTGTCCCTGTATAAATACCCTTTATAAATACCCTCAACGGGTACTTATATGAGTTAACACCTGTACAAGATGCATGGCATGGCATGGCATTGTGGATGTGTAATCAAACTGTCCAAGTCTGCGGCGAGGAGACACAGCCAGACTAGCGTCAGATGCCAATGAATTGAGTTCAGACCTATACAAGAGATACATGCGGGTGTCTCCCTCTCGCTAGAGCACAGTTGTCGAAGTCGTTCACGACACGAGGACATTTTTTGAAAAGGAAAGAAAGGGTGGACGAAGGTGAACGAAGAAGACAGACTCGAGTCTCGAACCAGGACACCCGCGACCTTATACCGGCGGCCTGGTTTGGAGAGAGCACGGTTAATGGAATTGTCCGCAGCAGGAGCACATTGTCGAGAAGGAAAGGAAGGGTAGAAGGAGGTAGAGGAAGAGAGCAGACTCTGTCTCGAATCAAGGCCTTGCGACCTTTTTCCGACGGCGTGGATTTCCAGACACCAGAATGTCATCGGAATTGACTTGTGGAGCAGGAGCAGTCCGACCATCCCACCATTCCAGGTGATTTTACATCGGCACTCCAGGATTGCGGGGGAAAGAGCACGAATCAGCCTGGATTTGTGGACGCAAGGGGGGGCCTTGCACATGAAACACCTGAGCTCATACCAGACCGGGCCGGACCCGAAGAGCATACTGCAGTGTAATACAATTACATTCAATTACCCAGAACGGCGTTACGCATACATACACCAGCTTTGCCCATTTCTTCTGCAACAACATTCATTGAGGGTCAACGCACCGTCTCGGTACGTTCGCGTCGGCACCGTCTTTTTTTATCCATCCTACGCGAATACCCAGTCCTCCATGCACTTCGAGAAGACTAGCCGATAGATGTGATCCCAAGGAACCGGTCCGGAGAGCATGAGAGTCAACCCCACCGCAAGAGTGATGCGTCTCTGCGCCCTATAAGCGTCTCAGAATATTGGATCCTCGTTCAGCGCCCGTCATTAATTTTCAATTTTCCACAGGACTTCCCTCGTCCCGAATGGGCCCCGTGAGATGTTCGGTATCGTTCGCATACCATCGCAAGCGGCCTCCCCTTCTGGGCACTGTGTCTTCGTCTGCGTCTGCGTCTGTGTGCCTTCTGCGGTCTACTGTAATATACCATGCATGCCCAGCGTACCACGTCCTTTTCGTAACCCGTCCATCAGGTCGTGTAGAATCAATCAATCCGCCACCCCGCCACCGACACCGACACCGACATCCGGCCAAAACCGCCTCTCCACATCAAGCACATGCCTCCACACAGCCTTGTAGACGTCCAACTTTCTGTTGACAGCGTCCTCCCGTTCGGCTAATAGGTCCGTCAACTCTGCAATCTCCGCCACAAAGCCCTCAAACTCGCGACTCGTCCAATTGGGGATGAAGGCGTCGCGTAGAGCCCCGCCGTCGAGATCCGTCGAGTGAGCGGGACCGTGGCGCTGGTGGTCGTCGGCAGCGTCGCTCTGATTCGCAACGCCCGTCGTCGTCCCGCTCAACGCCGTGTTTGTGGCAACCTCACTGCCTTCCAGCTCGGACATGACGCCGTCGGAGAGGGAGGAGGAAAAGGCTGAAAAGGCCTTGGACTTTCGGGCCATCTCCCGCTCCCGCTCCCCGTCCTCCAATTCGATCCTCTGCTGCTGCCTCAGACCACTTGAACTCGTGACCTCGTTCGAAAACGACCGCGCGTACGTCCACGCACGCAGGTATACCGTCTCCGTGGCCCACAGGACGACCATGCCCTCGAGGAGACTCATGCTGGGATCCGTCCAGAACGCGCGGAACAGGTCCATGTACTGCTTCGTGGCGGGGTCGGGGGCAAACATGTGGCCACGCGAGGGGGCCTCCAAGTCCAAGCCGTACGTGGCCGCTGTGGTCGCGAAAAAGGCCAGCTCCGTATGGATGTTCTGCAGCGCGCTGGTCAGGCACTGCACGAGCCGCCAGCGGAGGGAGGTCGATTTGTCGGCCACGTAAGTGTTAGGGAGGTCGACGCGGGCGATGAGGCTCCCGATGAAGCCGATGTAGGATTGCGCGTAGAGGCGGTCTTGGGACAGCCAGCGCGAGAGGGTGGCCACGGGGAGCTGGCCTTGGCCCGCGAGGCGGAGGAATGGGTGCTCTGTTGCGAGGGTGAGTTGGTGCGACGAGGAGGCGAGGAGGGTGGCTGTCAGAGAGGGAGATGTCTGGACAGGTGGTGGTGGTGCTGGGGAAGACATGTATGGCGTGGGCATGTGCGGATGGTGGGATAGAGGATGGGGCGCCAAAAGCGGTTGGTTGTGGATGTGGCTTGAGGGGTAGAAGTATGTGGGTGGGTTGTAGTAGTTTTGTGGCTGTTGTTGGTGTTGTTGGTGGACAGTGTGAGCAGCGGTACCCGGGTTTGAGTCGGTGTTGTAATTGTAGTTCTGGTATGGAAGATGACTGGGCGGGTTACTGGCCACGCCGGTGGTCCCGGACGATACCGACATGCGGTCACTCATGGTGTTTCGCTGGTGGTGGTACGCATTGGGAGGGCTCTGTTGGCGATGGAGGTCTTGTGTATTGTGCCACATCATGGCGGGCGTTGCTGAATGAGAGTGTGTGGCGCGTAAGAGAAAAGTCAGGGCGGCACTGTTAGGCACGCGGGTTATGTTGTCGACGTGTATGCTCGAGGCTCGAAAGGCTTGATATCAAATTAGAGAAGCTTCCGTTGACCTGAATCAGTGCGTCGGCTGGCCGTTTCGCCCGTTGAGCATGCGCGTCGTTGAAAGAGTTGAGCAAGGCTGAGCAACCTGGCCACGCGGAGTAAATGGCTCGCCAGCAGTAGAGGGACAAGAGAAGCGAAGCTCTTTATGCGACGCAGCTCGACGCAAGCGGTGCGCTGCGTACTTCAACCCTTGACTTAATTCTCTGCTGGTGGTCCTTCTTTTCAGCCCGAAATGTGTTGCTCGGTGAGTCTTACGTGGTTTAGGCGCCTCGAAGCAGGACGTTAGGTTGAAAGGCTGAGCAACTGAGCACCAAGAACTGTTGAAACAACTCTCATCATTTCATATGCAATGCGAGGTGCTGTCCGGATGTCGGTGTCCTTCAGCTTGCCTCGTGTGCAGCCGCCGTCAGCGACGCCTCGTACTGTCGAATCCAACGTGGCCAAGACCACCGATGAAACTTGGCCGGCGAAACAAGGCGTTCATTAATTAGCACAGGGCGTTGTGTGTCCTCGCAGTTGCCGCGGGGGGCGCCAGTTGCAGGGATGACTTCGTACGAGTGCTGGGTATACAGTGCTCACTTGAGCCCGTGGTGAAGAGGTTGTCCTTGGTCTTGGTTGGTCTTGATCTGTCGTCTTTGACATCCTCCTTGACCGTTCCGCTCGATCACTCAAGAACGATGCATACTCCGTACGTCTGCTATGAATTGCGATTATCCAATCAGGCCGCGCCCACGCAATCGTGCCCCCAATGCAGCCCGAAAGGAACCCGGTTGGGGCCCCGAGGCTACTGTACAGTACATACTCCGTACCACACATTCGAGTCGCTAAATTCGTGGGCTGCCGCCGAAAACCATCATCTTCGGCCCGCCGGTAACCAACGCGGTCGACGTTCTTGATGACGTTGATACAAAGCCTCGCAGAACAGCGTGCTCAGCTGAAGCTTTCAGCAGCTCGGCGTCTAGATTTTAATAGATAAACAAGGTAAGGTAATTAAGTATTTTCTCGGCCGGCAAAGAATTCAGACCGGACGCCTCTCTTGTGAGTTCGTAGTCATTACTAGCAGAGTACGTACTCCGACACTCCGGGGGATAAGAGAAGACACGCAAGCCTCTGTGACATCTCAAGTACCTAGGTAAATCAACGGTAGACCTCGTTCGACCTCCAGCTGAACAGCAGCCTTACATTCCATCTTTCCGCAGTCAAAATCCAAGGCTCGACCATCGACAAGCGAGCATCCTTCTTTCCGACTTTCACCTTCTCTCGAGGTGGTAGAGTACTCTGTACGAGGAACCGGCTGGACAAGCGCTTCTCAGGCAACAATGCCCCGAGTCTTCCTCATAACCGGCACCTCGACCGGCTTCGGCCGCGACTACGCCCAAGAGGTCATCAACAGAGGGGACATCGTCGCCGCCACGGCGCGCGACCCATCCCAACTCACCTTCAAAAACACCACAGGGGACAACTACCTACCCCTCCGCCTCGATGTCACAGACAAAGAATCCATCAAATCGGCCTTTGCCGAGACGCTGCACAAATTCCACCGCATCGACGTGGTGGTCAATAACGCCGGGTACGGCCTCGCCGGCGCGTTTGAGGAGTACACGGACGCCCAGATCCGGCAGCAATTCGAAATCAACTTCTTCGGTTTGCTAGATGTCACGCGCGAGGCGCTGGAGACGTTGCGTGACAAACAGACCCCCTCGGGCGGCCTGATCCAGCAGGTCACGAGTATTGGTGGCCAGAGGGGCGTTCCCTTGTTCAGTGCCTACTGCGCGACAAAGTGGGCGGTCGAGGGGTTCACGGAGAGTCTGAGCCACGAGGTCAAGCCCGAGTGGGGGATCAAATTCACGTTGGTCGAGCCTGGTGGGTTCAGGTACGTGTGCTGCGGAGTGTAATGGAGCGTAGCGTAGCAGTCATATGTTTACGTTTGAGCTTAGGGCTACTGGTACCTGTACAGCGCAGTACTAACGTGGCTCGCTCGCAGAACCGACTGGGCCGGCCGCAGTATGACCTTCGCAACGCGCCATCCGGCGTACGACCACCTCGACGCAGAGAAGCAAATGACCGCCCGCCACGGCACGCAGGCGGGGGACCCTAAAAAGGGCGCAAGGGCAATGTACGAGCTGGCCGTCATGCCGAACCCGCCCTTGAGGGTCGTCATCGGGAGTGATGCGTACAAGGCCGTGATGAACAAGATTGAGCAGTATGAGGAGAATTACCGCAGGTTTGAGGCGCTGAGTAATTCGACGGACGTGGATGTGGATGCGTAGGTTAGATCCTGCCTCGCCTGGGCTGGGCCGACTCCCCGTGGTGCGTTTGGACGGACGCGGCGAGAAGGCTATAACCAGGCTTCAAGAACACGGCATGCGTGTTTGAATCCTGCTGTAGAGGAGAACAGAGGGAGCCATGTGGAAGAATTGATATCACATTGGACAGACACAGGGAGAGCGTCACACCTGGGCTGCTGTCGTTGAAGCAAGGGTTGGATGGATGGTTTCCGGGCAGTGTTCCTTATTTCTACACAGCTAGCCACCGTTTTGACCGGCCGTCCGCCGACTTGCCTGCCATTGACAGAACAAGTGCTCCGTACGAATGCAATTTCCCTTAGTGACCCGGTGTCCGGTACCCGCTTCCCGCTCACGGTAGAAGTAGCTCTTGTTGTACATATACACATTGGATGAAGCAAAAGATGAAATCACAGCGCCGACTCGCTCGTCCGGCCCATCACGGTCCATCACATCATCTCAGTCACCTTCACCTGTCAAATCCCTGCCTTCATTATCCCACGGCGCCTGACACCACCTGCACAAAACCTGTCTGGTAACTCCGCAGTGGCCCCGTGGAATAAACATTGAACAATAGTGGGAAGCATGTAATATGGGGGTATCTATAGCAATGCCCTAAGCAGAATGGGAGAAACGAACACGCCCGGCTGAAATACCATATCAATACTTTTCCTTGCGTTCTCCGTTTTTGCTTTCAACCCACACCTGGCCTGTAATCGTATGCACTTTTCTTCGTTGTGATAGCGAGCGAAAATCGTTGTTGCTTAGGTGCTCGGCGTCGTAGTCGACATCTCATGTTCGTTGTTGCTCGACATCGCGCTTCTGTTACTGCTCAGAGATCTCTGTATCATGCGTAAAATCTCCGTGTTCGTGCTCAGTCTCATACTCGACATCTCATGTTCGTTGTTGCTGAATTGCTCTTTGTGGCGTTGGGTAGCCTATATCCTTTGCTGCTGCTGGTGTTGAGTAGCACTGGCAAGCTGATGTTTCAAAGAATTGATCTCCTCCTGCATGCTATTGAGCCTCTGTTCCAGGGTGGTCACGTATGCCCAGATCCTGTCAGATTGGGCAAACATGGGATTTGACGGTTCACCACTTCCATGGCCAGAATGACCGTGACTCGACAAACTGTTGCTATGCGAAGACAGAGGCCCGCTACCACTCATGTGAGTAGGTGGCCCACTAGGCTGGGTAGGAGGATGAGCTGGGCCACCTTGACTGGGCAAGGTATACCTGGGATCTGGAGGGTTCAGCGCATGAGGCGCATGAGGAGGAGGCAATTGCGGTGCACCGGGAGGCACACTCAAGGACGATCCAGAACCAGTACTCCGAGGATGTGGCTGTGGATAGAACGTCGTACTTGGTGATCGATTGTGCCCATCGCCGGCGACGGCACCCGGTCGCTGTGCCTGGCCAGGTGACAGCGGTTTCGGACTTTCGGTCATTGGATTCTGAGCAAAGACGGAGCCTGCCGCCGAGGGCCGCGAACTGGTGGAGGAAGCAGTCATAGATGCGAAGGTTCCGGCTGCACCTGCCGCTACCGGAGCATTACTGGGTCCCGCACTTGATTGACTGTACCCGGACCGAGGTGTGAAATAGCCAGCGGCTATGCCGCCTGGAGGACGCCCTTGAATCGGAGGGTACGTGCTTGGAATCCGGGCCGCGGCCTCGGATTCATCAACAGTGTCGTCTCCTGACGGTGCCTGACGACGAATCGAAGGTGTGGGCCGCCTCTCGTTGCCTTCTTCATCGTCCATGTTGGGTGGCTCGTCATACATGATACCCTCCATAGACTCGTCACCTTCGCCTTCTTCATCACCACCATAACTACCCATGCTCGCTCTGCGCCCAGGACATCCGCCGGGACCTTTATTGTGACGAGCCAACGCATCGCCGCGAGCGAACTTGCGGCCGCATTTCGGGCAGATGTGAGGTCGTTCACCGGTATGAAGCTTGGTGTGCCGCTTGAGATCATGTAGCCGGCGGAATCGTGATGAGCAGGTCGAGCAGACGTAGGGTTTTTCTTGGCTATGCGTTAACAGATGGCTCTTCAGATTGTGATGACGAGTGAACTCGGTGGCGCAATAGGGGCATCTGTGCTTTTTGCTGGAGGGAGATTTTGTACCTTGTCGTGTGCCGGAATGAGGCAAGCTCATTCCTCGTCTACCGCCCTCGGATTGTGTTGCTTGCAAGAACGGAGTCGGGTATGACAGCGCCCCTGTTTTTGCAACATCAGTTGGTGAGGTAGAGCCTGCCTCGGCGGCATTCACGACCTGACGGACCGTTTCCTCGAGCGGAAGTGGACTGCCTACAGTGGTGGTCATCCCCGACACTCCCGCCACGCCTTCGAGAGATCCTACGGTCCCGATACTGGAGATGCTGGTTGGACTGGTTAATGCATGATTATCGCCGGTTCCGGACGTTTCAGCGGCGCTTGCTGACGGCTGCTGGACATTCTCCGCAACTACGGCCAGCGGCTCACTGATAGTGGTTGCCGGGTTGAAGGGAGCACCCGAGTGTAGCTCAGCCTTGCTCGTAATGTTTGAACTCGCGCCCATCAGGGCACTCAGGGCTTGCTGTGTAGGGTTAGGACTTGTCCCAGTGGAAGGTGGAGGAGTTGTTCGAAACGACTTCTGTTGTCCTTCAGCAAGGGCGGCAGCAGCCGTCATCAATGGGCTCTCTAGTCTCGGTCTCTTTCCAGGTCGCGAGGACTCCTCGAAGTCTTCCCGGGCCCTGACTTTGGATGATTCCTGTACTGAGCTTGTCGGTTTAATGAATGTTGGGGAGGCCGGACTGGAATCCGCTGGGGATGTCTGAGGTTCGGGACTGAACTCAGCCATCAACAATTTCTGGTGTAGTTTGGGTGACTTGTGCCCTGCTGGAGGAGTCAGTTGTAGGCCCACGAACGCGAACGGCGCGACCCCAATGCGTCTAGAGGGTGCGCGCGGTCGGGAAAAAAAACCATGACTGATTGTGACGGACAAGGATGTGGTAGATGGGTTTGCAACATGGTTACATAGAGTAGAGGAAGGCATACCTGCTGCAGTAGCATGGGTCGAGTAGGATGGGGCCCAAGCTGAAAAGTAGTGTGCTGAACGCGAAGGGCGCTGACTTCAGCCTCACCACAATGCAAGGCAGTTTGTTTTGAAGGCAGACCGCTGATCACAGCTCCTGCTCGGGTCTCTCCTCTCCTAGCTTCTTATTTTATTGGGATACAGTGATGCGCAGCATGTTATGCAGCAATGAGCGTCTGCGCAACAGAGAATCTTCTAGGCTTTCGTTGTGTATTGTGAGTCGCAGAGCAGTTCCTCAGGCCAAGGCTGAAGCTTTTAGAATGACGCAGTTTCTATGCGACGACTCGAACGAGTGAGCGGAAATCGAGGCGCGGGAGTGGCCGAATATGTAGCAGATCGAGTCTGACGACGCGGAGACCGTTGGGAATGCGCGCTGGGTGAATGCGACAGATGCGTGCTCCAAAACTGCGTTGTAGAGAGGATGGATCCTGCGTCTAAGTTCCTGAAATCGTGTACGCGAAGGACGAGGGAGGGTATTGAAGCGCTGAGACAGGCGAGACGAAACGATGGTAGAAGCGAGGCGAGGGTTGTAAATGGTGGCGGGTGCGATCTCAACACAGGATAGCCGAGTTGAAATGACGGGAAATTCTCGCTCGACTGTGTTGGTCGCTGATCTGATGAAATGGCGATGCGAGCAGCGAGACCCTCGGATGGACGAGATCGTCCGTGGTTGTTGTTCGATTCAAGCCTGGCAACGCCCCCGAATCGGCTGATGACTGCTTTTCGTAGCAACGATAATGGTAATTGAGTGAAGAGAGAAATTGATGGAGACGGGGCCTCGATTGTGGTGAACCGAGTGACGAGGTATTCGGACAGAGTGGAGAAAGTGGCTCACAGTGTTTGGTCTGTGCTACGCCACTAAGAGAGCACTGCGACTACCCTAGTGGGTATCTCTCTCGGAATGGGTTCGGGGTCGTCGCTGGCTTGACGATGGAGAGGCAGGCCGGAAGAGAGGAGGCAGCGTGAAAGAGGGAGGAAGGCGCCGACGCACGAATCGTGATACGCAGTTATTGCGATCAGAGCTCCCAGAGAAGAAGTTAGGGTTACTGTGGTAGATGTTCCTGGCTGCAGGCCGACGATCTCAGAAATAGAGGCACGAGAGGTGGCGCTCGCACGGGGCTAAAAGCCCGGGACAGCTAAGTATTGGATGGAAGGCTAACCGCTCAACCACAGGTCCGTACGCAGGGTGGTTCAGCAAATGGCTTAACGGCAGGATCTTTGATTGAGTTTGCCGTTCGATGTGGCACGCGAAAAAGATCAACAGTTTCTTCGATCAGCAGTGAGCAGCGACTGATGATTCGTGTAAAGGGTGCCCGATGGGCATGAGGGGACCCATGCGAAGTGGCAGTGCTTCACCAAACTGACAGTGGCCTGGCCGTCACGCTTGCCAGGAACAGGCGCACTGACGCACAGTGTACGAGTACGTACGAGCGTAGCTGGTGGTAGGTGCGGCTTGCTGAGGTCGCTTACACCTGACAAGGATGCAGCTTGACGCTCACAGGTCGCTTGCACTTGAACGTGGCTGCTTCGTCAAAACACGAGCACTTGTTTAAGTGCATATCGGTGTCCCTGCCGCCCTTGACTCTCACTTTGTCCGTCATTCACTGAGAATTTATCCAGATTGAGTCAACTCACAGTGACGCCATGAGGGGGCTGGTAAAATAGCAGCTTCGGCGCAGGCGGTCGCCCACCAATCTACGTCAACCTTTTGTCTTTCAGCTCCCCCTCAGCGCCCGTTGAGCAGAACACCCGCCTGGCTGGCCAGCGTCACGGACCTTCTCAAACCCTGTTGGTTTCCACACAGTACACAGTAGAGGGTGAACCTTACCACGTTCAACCTTCATACTCTTGCCCGAATCGTCAAGCGCCGTCCCCTTTGGGTCACGCCAGGGGCCTCAGCGCGACGAGTCTCCATTCTTCAAGTTCCGTGGCGTGCACTTATCCCTAATGAGCCTCCCCACGTCTCACTAATCACTGAAACAAACCCGAAGGAACAAGGCTCCCAGGTACCAGCAAGTGGCTGATAAGTGTTCACTTGCTGGGAATGTGGCTGACACCTGACGCGAAGTCTCACAAATTTCCCGAGCCCGCCCCTCTTGATGTGATCTGCATTGCCGTTCGGATGGTTGATGGCGATGCTACTGCCTCCAAAAGCAGGTTTCTGGGAAACTATCGTGTACAAAGTGTCTCGTACTGGAGTCCCAAGTCGCCTCAAGACACATGATTCAAGAACGCTGCCTGGCTCGATGAACTCTCCGAGACAGTTGAAATGAACGAGCTGCAATTCCGCCGCCCTCCATGGCTGACAAAGAGACAGCACACTGTTCATCGCACCGTGGGCTGGAAACGTGCAAACAGCGGGATTTGTCGTGACGCGAGTACTGTTCATTCAGCGAATGTCCAAAGCTGAACGAAGACGAAATCGCTGTAACGCTTCAGGCGCCCTCAATAATAATAATGTACAGGGCCTTTCCTGAGATACGTAACGCTCGCTCGTGGGGCTCAAAAAAGGTTTGCGACAGCACCCTACACAGTAGCGCAAAGCACCACCCTGGCCACCCACAGTTGCAGTTGAGCGTCCTTTGCTCAGTGGCTGGTAGACCTTACCAAAGCCCATGCCTCCGGCTCTAAACCCTCTTGGACGAAACTGCCCGTCTCCACTGAATCCCGAAATCGCCGACTAGAACCCCAAGGAGCTCGGAATTCGCAGTCAGTTTGGCGAAGGAGGCTTCAAGGAATTGTGCACCCAGTAGGTGAGCGGCCCTCTGATTGCTCAGTCAAAGCCACCTCAAAGTCGGAGGGGTTGCAGCAGTAGGTGGCGTCACGGCGGGATCAGAACGGACAGGGCGAAAAAAATGACGTGAGGTGCAGCGCGCTCACGTTGAGTGAGAGAGCCTGAAAAGAGGAAGGGATGGATTCTGCCACAATGTGGCGGATCTCGAGGCCTTGTCCTTACTGTGTACCTACTCCTCGTTATGGCAAATTGGCCGAGACCCCAGAGTTGGCCTCACAATGATCAATAACGAACTGCGATGTGCAACTTCGCCATGCAAAACACGACTGCATCCTGGTTGCAGAGGACACAACAGGGGTCAACCCTTCAGACAACGGCAAAGGTAAGATCTGAGATGCGTTGATCTCACTGGTACGAGTTCACCCGGCAGCCTTCCAAAAGCAAGGATGCCTGTGCGACATCTCGGCAGCGTTGGATCGAGGGAGAAAGTACTCCTCACAAAAGTAGACAGTCTGACAGAAGCTCGGGTGAATCCGAGTCACCGATAACTAGGCTAGCGGCCAAGTTCACTTACAGCAAGCAGGACAGTTGAATGGTGTTCAGAGTGTGTGAGCCCACTGCATGCCTCAGTATACACATTCACAGTCCATTCCGGAGTACGCCACTGATCATGGTTCTGTATGTGTCTTCCTGTTTAGGTATCGCATATATCTTCTTGTCAGACTGTTGCCACTTGGATCATTGTCTATGTTGCAGCCGAGTCGCCCGGCTTTCACTTGAAACAAGATGCGCGTACAACTTCCTCCTCAGTCCATCCTTACTAATGGCGTGATCCTATCTCCCACTTTTACGCTGGCTCGTTGGAAACATGGGGAATCGCGTGTCGGGTCCAAGTCCTCGCCGGACCTCAAGCACATGTGCATGCCAAACCAAACTCGCCCTTCCCTCCGCCTCGTCTTGGCTAGCGTAGTGAAAGGCTCTTGCCTCCGCTGCGCATTGCTCTGGTCCACGCAGACCATCTGGCATCGCTGGCATGGCCCAAGAACCTCGAAGACATTGTTCGGGTCTTCACCTATCCGGAGACCTTCCCAGTCATCTTCGACGTACGGGCTTTCCATTTGTCCTCCTTGCAGCTCTTGAGCGATGATGATGTTGCCGCGGAAGGAGTCGGCCGTGACTGCTTTGCCACCACCGCCACTACCCGATTGTTTGATTTGCTCGTTGAGTCGGTTGACGCTGGAGCGTGACACAAGCAGAATCGGGCTTTCGTTTGACAGGGCAATGGATTTGCCTATTTCCGTGGCCTGTTTTCCTCCGTGCTGACCAGGCACGCGGACGTTCGCCCGCCTCACTGTCCCTCCTATCGGGAACCTTGCAAGCGTGCATGGAACTTCCAGTGCTTTGGTGAAAAAGTCACTCACATCAGCCGACGTATAGACTTGCACTTCAACATCCTCGCCGCAGACATTTGCTGGTTTGCTGATCGATGCTTCACATGGCTTGACGAGCCCCGTGCATGTGGGCGCCGAGTCAAGACTGATTTCGAGCTTTCTTTGGTCTCCTGTATCACCTTGCGCGAAGGAGACTCTCAGAAGGCGTGCTTGCAAATCGATCTCTGGACGAATAAGCGCCATTCGAGGAAACCGCTTCTGGCTCAACGCGACATCTGTCCCTTCGTGGACGAGACACCACTCTCGATCCCATGCGAGTCCCTTGCCACCAACTTCCCATGCCACATTACTGGGTATTTTGTAGGCTGCGCAACTTTTGATGGGAAAGACCAAGAGGCTCTCAACAACGAAGCCTTCCCAGGTCGGATGATTGTACTGTTGTACTCTTGCCTGCTGTAGCGCCTGCGGCGGTACATGTAAGTCAATGTAAAATCCTTTGATAAAGTCAAGGAAAGTGGCAACGTCTTTCACGCTGCTCATTGCCCCGAAACTCAACCGGATGGCACCTGTGGGTTTGCCGTGGATGATGTCGTTCTCACCTCCACAACGTTGTCCGGCGTCATAATTCCGGCGCAGTTCCTCGCTCGAGAGGCCGAGATGGGATCCGATCCCGCCGGGATTGCACAAACCGCCTGTCCGAAACTGAATATCCTTCACCACACCCAATTTCTCAACTTCCGAGATTGAAATGTATTTGCCTCGACTGTCTTTGAGGTTGAAAGCGATGACGGGGCCTTGCGACGAGCTTTCGGCTGCCGATTCGGTGTAGATGGTGCAAACCTGGCTCCCGTTTGCGTGTCTCAGCTCGCGTAACTGCTCCCTCAGCATCGATGCCAAGTGATTGGCATGTCGAGAGATCTTTGCCATACTTCCGTAAATCTTCTTATGCACGTCCAACGCGGACTGTAAAGCCACGATACTGTGAAATGCCACGGTTCCATCCTCGAGAGCACTGTGCAGCGCGGATTTCTTTGCATGCCAGGTGTCTTTGCCAAACGTTGCGACGGAATCAACCGTTCCTCCACCGAAGTACTTCCGCCGTCGGAGAATATCTCCTGATGATTTTCGCACGATCAAGGCACCGAGGTCGGGAAAGCCGAAGATCTTGTAGAAGCTCAGAGCTGTGAAGTCGGGGCATGTCGAGGGTTCAGATAAGTCGAGTGGGCATGTTGAGACGAGCGCTGCGGCGTCGAGGAGCGTGTATAGAGCCTGCCCGGAAGATTCTCGATGAGACCTTGTTCTTTGAGTCCAGTCCAACGGCAGGCGACGACCGGTCATGTTCGACTGCGCCGGGTATGCGAACAAGACCGGGCTTAGTTTGTCGGCGGGATCACCACCACCTTCAAGACCATCTATCCAGGCTTCGACTTCAGAGTCACTACTGAAGCAAGTCGTGCCTCGAGTAGCTAGCTCCCTCACACCCACGAGACTCGTATGCGCCTCAGAATGGTAAAAGTAGCTGAATCCGGCCTCGTGATCTCGAAAAGCATACCCCACCATCTTGATTGCGGCGGTCGCATTCGCGACAAACACGACATCGAATTCATCAGGATCGGCATTGAAAAACCGGAGGACTGAAAGACGAGCATCGTCAATTCGCCGCGACGAGAGCTGCGAGGACCCCGATGCAGAATGTGGATTTCCGAACAAATTAGATGTCATCTCTCTCGAGTAGTTCTCAATGAGCGTCTTGGTGTATAATGTGGTGCCCGCGTGGTCGAGGTAAGTCGTATCTTTTAGTTGTGGATATTCTGCAGCACGTATATCATCTATATTGGTGATATAGCCTGTTTGGGGGTCGATGTCTGCCATGCATTGTTGTTCCCGGGATGAGGGGGCAGGATTGTCCAAGTTTGTCAGGGTGGCCATCGCTGTCTCACCCGCCGATCTCTCAGAACTGATATCGATGAAAGTGCCGCACCCATTGATCCCTGGAATGGACAGAATGGTCGGCAATATAGCCAGCGAAGTGTCTGTGGCAGAGAGAGCTTTCGATCAAATCCGTAGAGACGATGTACGAGTACGAACGATGATGAGTACCAGGGAAGAGGGGGATGAGGTGAGGAAGGCGAAAGGCAGATGTGAGGAAAAGCGAAAGGCTTCGGCGATCTCCGACAAGCAATGGGCGAGACGTTATTGGTGCGGGCGCCTCGCGTTATCTCATAACTGCACTGTCAAGATTCTGGTGACCTTCATCTTCTTCTGGCAGCAGGCCGTAGGGACGTTAATGGTGTTTGCGGACGCCGGCGATCTCTCTTCGCGTCCCACAAACTTTGAGTGGTAATCAAGTGCCTGTTTTCGAGAACTCACCACTTCTCATTCTGCCCTGGCTTCTGTGGGTCGTGCAATTCGGATCCTCCGATTCTGTCATTCAAGATTCTGGTCTTCGTTCCTAACAAACAACACCATTGACTGCACGCAGGCGCATTATGACAATGATTCTGCCGACGTCTGCTCAGCGTGCGGTGCCCTGCGGCCAGTGACCACCCGCGCCATGGCACCAGTCAGCAATGAGACCGCCATAGAGGCCGCGGCAACCGGACGAGACGACTAACTCGCCTTTACTGTAATGAGCAAAATCTCCTGCAGAGATCGGTCATGCTGGGCGCCGCTGTCATGAGGCCAACACCACAATGACGAGGCTGGGCTATGCCGTATCCGTAGCTTTACTAAACACTCGGATCATATGCAGGCTTTCGCCCTCCGACAACTGATCCTCATGTTTCAGAGGTCTTCTCTCGGCCTCGCCGGCACTCCGCGAGCTTTTAAACAGATCTGGTCGAGAGACAACCTCACGCCGCCAACTCGCCTGATCACAATTCACGGCATCTTGAGAACCTCTTCTGCCGACGCTATCCCATTCCAGCACGGAGCTTAAGCTGGGCGTACCTTGGCACGTCTTTTATCCTGCTTGGCCAGAGCTTTGAGGCTAAATCTCTCAATGCTTCCATCGCGCTTGCTGTCTTCGACAGGAAAGTGTCAGCCAGCTATTTGCCGGAACGGCATCTGGCACCTGGCTCCTGGTTGGCTTCAAACCACAATGCCGGTAATGCAGTCAGTCATCATTCGGCCACCAAACACAGGTTAATTATGGTCAAGATTCCTTCGGCTGACAGTCGACCTTCTCCCGAGGGCCCTTCACGAAGAGTGTCGCTTGTCAGTGTAACCCAGTTCATTGGACGTGGTCCTACGATCGACGTCCACGCCTCTGACGCCTCCGCAAAATGACCCCAGATTCTCCTTCTCCGCCGAACAAGCTCCACCCAGGCCTCCCACCCTGCCAAGCAAATCTATGATTCTTCCAATGCCACGTCGCGGGTGATATGTCAGTTCTCGACAAGCGAGGACGGATTCGCCTCCACCACGTCGTTTTGGCGGCTGTTCTTCGGTGCCCTCTTCAGACAATGCCCATAAGAACCAGCATACCCCGATGCTTCGCTGAGAGGAGTCCTCTGTTCTTACGAACGACAGCATCAAGCCACACAGCTCAACAAAATGGCCACCACTACGAAGCTGTTCAAGAAAGCCACCCATGAGATTGGCGCCTCCGACCCCATTCTCACTCGCATTGCCGCGGAGGATAAAGTGCCATGGTATCAGAAGCCCAACCTTCGATACCTCTATCTCATGCTCTTCCCGACTTGCATGGGTATCGAACTGACCTCTGGATTTGACTCCCAATTGATCAACGCCCTCCAGATTGTGCCGTCGTGGGTTGAATGTGCGTACATAGTAACTCGCAAAGGAGAGTGTACCGAACGAGCTGCTAATTTGCACCTCAGACTTCGGCGACCCCCAAGGGTCACTCAAAGGCATCATCGCCGCAGCATATTCACTTGGCGCCATCCTGTCGTTACCCTTCATCCCGATTGTCAACGACAAACTTGGGCGAAGAGGCTCCATCTTCGGAGGGTCCTGCGTCATGATCATTGGAGCGCTTGTTCAAGGCTTCTCCCGCAATGGTGCGTATCTTTTGATAAGCTTTCTGTAAGGAAGTCATTTTGCTGATCCACGTCCTATATCCAGTTGGCATGTATATTGCCGCGCGAATCATCCTAGGCTTCGGCATTCCCACGTGCATCGTCTCTGGCTCTGCCTTGATCGGCGAACTGGGCTATCCCAAGGAGCGCCCCGTGCTGACCTCACTCTTCAACGTCTCCTACTTCATCGGCCAAATTTCCGCCGCGGGCATCACTTTCGGCACCAACAGCATTGCCAGCAACTGGGGGTGGCGGATTCCGTCGCTCCTCCAGATGGCGCCCTCCCTCCTGCAGATCGTGTTCGTCTACTTCATCCCCGAAAGCCCGCGTTGGCTCGTCACCAAAGACCGCAGCGAAGAAGCCTACGACATCCTGGTGAAGTACCACGCCGAAGGCGACCGGGAGTCGGAATTTGTACGCGCCGAAATGGCGCAGATGCAAACCACGATCCGGCTCGAGCTGGAGGCGTCGAGGAAGTCGTGGTTGTCCGTCTTCTCCACGGCGGGCATGCGTCGCCGCGTTTTCCTCTCTTCTTTCCTCGGCCTCTTCACCCAATGGTCCGGCAACACGCTCATCTCGTACTACTTGGGCGACCTGCTCGCGATGATCGGCCACACCGAGAGCATCTTCAAGCAGAAGATCAACCTGGGCAATTCGTGCTGGTCGCTCGTCTGTGCTTTTACGGCTGCCATGCTGGTCACGCGCTTCAAGCGCCGCACCATGTATCTGACCTGCACGTGCTCGCTGCTCGTCGTCTACATCTGCTGGACCATCACGATGCAGCAGTCCCTCGCGGCCACGGCGGCGGACCGCTCCAACGCCGCCGCCGGTGCCGCCACCATCGCCTTCATCTTCCTGTACGCACCCTGCTACAACATCGGCTACAACGCCCTGACGTACACGTACCTGGTGGAACTGTGGCCGTTCGCCGAGCGGTCGCGCGGCATCGCCATCTTCCAGCTCTTCGGCCGGTGCGCCGGCTTCTTCACCACCTTCGTCAACCCCATCGGGCTGAAGAACATCTCGTGGAAGTGGCTGATCACGTATTGCTGCTGGCTGGCGTTTGAGATCTGCTTCGTGTGGTTCTTCTTCCCGGAGACGGCGGGCCGCACGTTGGAGGAGCTGGCTTTCCGTGAGTTTTTCATCACCACTGACGTTCTCCCATGCTAACTTGGTACGCTAGTGTTCGAGGACAAAGCCCTCGCCGATAAGGCCGTCGTCGCGGTAGAGAAGGTCGTCCACCACGAGGACATTGATCCCGTCGCGATCGACCCCAAGAGCATCGAGGTCGGACACGCTGAGGTTATCGAGCAGGTCCCGGAGAAGGGAAGTAGGGTGTAACTCCACACGTGGTAGCATCGTGCCCGCAGCTTTGAAAAGAGGATTGAGATATGGTCAAGTCGGAAATCGCGGAATGAAAGATGCTAAGCGTACTCGGTTCTGTACTCGGGACTCTGTATGGGGTTTGGATAATCCACTGATGAGCTTGATGATATGGCTAGCTCGCTATTTCTTGGATCACTCCGCAGAACATCAGTGAGAGATCGTCATTTCCGCAGTGCGCGAAGAATGATGACATGCGTGGATCAAGTCTTCTGGCAAGGCCCCGACGAGCGAATATGGTACGAGGTTTACGGGTTGTGCATTGTGAGAAAAGAGCATCTTCATGGATAGCAGATTCGTGATATCTTGGGTTCTTGTTTTGGTGGTACTCCATCGTTCGGGGTGTATAGGTTATACACGCCGGGGGTGCTGTAGCTCATTTCCACATATTCCAACCGTATCTCAGGATGAGCACCGCGCTATCGCTGACATACAGACATATCCAACTTCAGAGCAAGCTTGAGCTCAATGGTGATGACACAAGAAAATTCGTTATATTATGTTCCGCTCCTCAAATCATCCACCTCTTCTTGAGCCCGCCAGTGTTGTATCAATCTCATCTCGTCTAGACGTAGTATCGACGGCGGCTACTGCTTCTCCGGGATCCAGACCGGGAGTGGCCTCTGCGGCTACTGTGTCTCGACCGTCTCACCTCTTTGGTGACAACAACTCTTTCATGCCGGTGCAAGAAGATAGCCAGGACAAAGGTAAAGAAGAATAGGATGGTGTTTATTATCCCCAAGGCCCATGATGCCTTAAGCATGGCGCAATTTTTGTTGAGGTGTAGGGCCCATGATGAACCGCTATTTCTGCCGTAGTATCCGAATGGCCCAAGATTGACATAGATAGAGCCGGTGGAGAAGTTGGCACAATCGGCATCACTGATGCCTCGAAGCTCGTAGACCGCTGCGATGAATGCGCCAACGAAACAGAGGTCGATGAAGGAGACGAAGAGAGCGGAGCGGCGTGTCGAACCGAGGCGGAGAAGGGTTACAATGGCCCATGCGCAGGCGAGGATGGAGACGATGAAGAGCACGAGGATGAAGGACGGGGTGAGCTGGTTGTTGTCATTGAAGCCATCGACGAACCATGCCTGTATCGCAAGTCAGTTAAAGTCCAGGATCAACTCAGGTAGCAGAATGGATAACATACGAGCATGCCAATGATGGGGATTAACGTCACGATCTCCACGATCCTCCAGAAGGAGAAAAGGAGACCTCCGAGCATCTTGAGACAGTCTGGGATGACCAGTGCCGGGGAGAGCTGCTAAGATGATATCGCTGTACAGCCAGACGGCCACCAGAACCCAATACGTGCGGGGTTGCACGAGCACGGTCTCGCCGAGAGTGAGTGAATGGTGGACAAGGCAGAATTAAGGCCACTGGAAGAGATTCTCAACGTCGAAAGGATATATTCTGTAAATCAACCGGTCAGATGAAGGAAGAATGATAACAGCGTCGAGGAGGCTGGGCGACACCTCAAGAGTACGAGGTATCGGGGCCCGCCGTCAAGATGGACCACGATGGACTTAAGTGAGAACTGCATCCCACCCGCCTAAGAATCGTTGTGGCTGGCAGGCGCTAGCGACCTCGTCAGGCGTCATAGCTTGTCGCCTGAGCCCCCTCGGGCATCTGATTGGCGCCCCGATCGGGCTGCTGCCGAAGTGGCTCCCGTGCAGCTGCTGCCGCAAGCCAAAGTTCATGGTTCCTCCCGCTTTTTCTTGCTTCTCACTCACCCACTGCATCCGCGTGCCTCGAATCTGGGAACGAACACCTGGACTGCCACACTACTGTGTATGTCGCTCCTCTGGATCGGCAGCTATCGCGAACACGTTGCTTCGAAGACGCCTAATCCTGCTGCTAATCCTATGACATAATTGTGCTCAAGGGTGCAGGTCGTGGCTAGGTACGGAGGTACAGTATGTTTTGGAACTTTGTTTCCTCGACGGCTTCATGGCTGCTTAGACCCTTTCTTTACCAACTGAGCGCGGAGTATGGCACGGCGCGCAAGGCTTTTGCCAACAATCGTTATCAAGAGTCGCTCGTGCACAATCCAATCCGCTCACATGAGTCAATCCCAGTCACTCCTCGTACCGGCCCCCAACGGTCCTGAAGCATATGTGATTCGTATATTGGGCTTGGCATCACCGTCGGTGGCTGCATCGTATCTGCGACCGTAATGACAACCATGCACGAGAAGCAGCCTTGCTGTCGAGCCGCGCTGGGACATACCTGTGTGGTGCGATTCAAGTACTCATCGGTGCGAAACTACTATGGGAATTCGGTCGCGATTGTGTTGAGAGAGTGGATTGACCTAACCATTCAGCACGACCGTTGTCAAACTCTACTCATGTGCCTCTCCTGTAGCTTAACAGGACCACTACCGCTAAGCAAGCCCGTTTTGCGACAGAGGATGACAGGGAGACCGAGGACCACTCTTGCTCAGGTTTGCAAGCCTACACATATCCCCCTGCTAACCGAAGGAAGTAGCTTGTGATAGTTCTTTCTTCTGCACTTGAGAAGCATAACGCAAATGCTTGGTCATCTCTTTGTTCAGAGCCTTTCTTTCACATTCAATAACATGACTCAGGTCACCATTACCATTGCATCCGACCCTCCCACATCGGGAGCAGGTCGCTTGGACGTCACATACAGCGAAAGGTTGTGATGCGGAGCTGGCAGAACAGATGCCAGGTGCGGACCCACTGTGAAGGGAGTCAGTCGTCCTGGATGCCACTGAGCCGACGCACACGATTCTTTGGGGCGTGCTCTCTTCAAAGGCGAGCAATAGCTCCGCGAAATCGATACACATTTGCCTAGCCGCAGCGGAATCAGAGGCCCGGAACGCAGCGCAGCTCCCGGAGGCTCTAGCGAGCCAATTGCCAACCACTTGACTTGGTTCTGGGCAAGCCATGTACGAAGATCCAAGTGACCTCAGGGCAGTCGTATAGCCTGAGGTTACTCAACCGTCGTGCGCTAAGCGGAAAGAAGAACCACCAACATTTCTTCGCTCGAACCGAAGCTAGAGGCTGATTTGTATGGTCAAATAGTGGATCATGCAGGAATCCCTAGCTTTGCGGCTGGACTACGATGCAATCGCCTTCGAACACTGCGGCACACCACCGGGAGTAAGCGGATGAGATCGTCGCGGCTGATTTTTCCAGATGCAGAAATCTACAGTCCATCAGGGACACAGGGTCTTCGCAATTGAAACTTCTGAAGGGTACAGATTGCTCAAGGAATGCCGCTGACACGGGAATCCGGCTGAGGAAGGTGTGGAAGCCTCCGGAATGGGATCTCATGGAACTTGATATTGTCTGGACCCCGTCTATCAAGGTCTGCAATCGGGACACGGTATCACGCACCATTCCTGCGGTCGCTTTACGTACCCTTGGCACAACAGCTGGACCTTGAGGCCTCACTCTCCGCCTGAGTCTGCCCTGGTGTGGTGACGATGCCGGACATCTCGAAAGACGGCTTCGTGAATGGTCGCTGACCCTTTTCAAGCGGCCGTTCGCCTCGGAATCGACGCCCCGGTCGATAAAACTGTCTGCAACCACAACCTGACCTACCTCCCTCACCGCGCTTGGGGTCTTCAACGACTGCTTTGAGCGAGTACAGGAGCGCTAGTGACCGCAGTGGCCTGCTGGTGCCCCCGTAGGCATCCAATGAATTTGCCACAGAAGCCGCCGGACAAGTGGTCTGTCACGTGATCGTCATCACCTGCCAACACCCGGCTGCAATGAAAAGGGGCGCGTCTGACTGGAAGAGCCATGGCCACAGAGAACTCGAACACTGGCAGTACGACGATTCTGCTGAAATGGACAGAGCACAAGCGCCGCTATCGGTGTCTCCAAAACGCGTATGCCGCACATCTGACAGTGCGGCCATACAGTCTGTGACGCCTTGACAGGAGGAATAGCTGTGTCAATCAAGCAGCAATGCTTCTCCCGTACCCTACTCGCTTCCAACGAACACCTTGTCGATTACCATCGGCTATGGAATGCCTCTGCATGCATATTTTATCGATAAAACTTGGCTAGCAAAGGCGGGGGGCACGCTAAAGAAGCCTTGAACTTTCTCTTTGTGGCTTGGAGTGTGGGAAGTGGACAAATTGAAGGATGGACCGACCGGACACGGGTACCGCGACCCATTGCGAAGCCTCGAACTGCTGCTGCTCGGTTGCCTACACCTCTCGTTGCCATTCGTGACCGTACGGAGATGGCAGTGCGCCTACCTTATCAGCAAGTCAATGGTTTGACAGCTACTAACGACTTCCGGACCCCCCTCAGCCCGGCCGCCTATCTACTCTATGCGGTACTCTGCTGCCAACATCATGGATCTGTGCTCGAATGACTATTAAAGAGCCGACTCTTCAAGTCTTTGGACGGCATGCCCAACAATGTCTACACCCACTCTGCAGTTCTCGAACCTCTGTCTACCCGAGGATAACCCTGATCAAAGGGTCGAGGAGGAGATGCGATTTGACAGGACGACATTGGAGGAGAGAAAGATTATTGTGAGAGACATCATTGCATCGTTCGAGCCTCGAGACCTCCCTTCTGAATTGTTTTCGGACGAAACGTTACAGAGGATTACCGCCGAACAGGGTAATAGACGCAGCAGCGAATGGACGATCCACGACGACTTGAAAGCGAGTCTGATGCAATGGTGCTGTCACGACCCGGGTGGATGGACATTGCTCTGCCGCATGCATGGACCTGCTATTCGAGCTCTGAGTTTCGAGCAGAAGGTGGAAAGGCGCCTCGAAGAACAGTTCGAGACTTATGATGCGTTATATTCCGCCCCTCCGGGGTCGGTCAATTTGATCCGCGGGCGGGTGCTTGAAATATGCGATGGGATCCGGATGATTGTCGATGAGGTCGAGGCCGACATCAATATCAGAACCGGGAGTCAGTACAACGCCGCGAAAATCCTGCTCGATACATTCAGAAGGGTCTGCGGAAGATCTACCGACGTCCCCTTTGTCAGACGCAGCGGACGCCGGGAGGGTACAAGTGCCAGTGCAGGCGCAGACACAGTCCCGACCTTATACCAAGGACTGATTGGGGGCACCACCCCTTTCATTCTCGATGCGCTCGAGACGGTCCAAGAGAAATGGCCTAGGAGCCTTGGGACGGAGGAGGCGCGAACATTGATGCGCGGGATCAATGAGCTCCTGGTTGAGAACGGTGCTCCACGCGGCTACCTCAATCGATTCCGGGCTTTGATGCCGGAATAATGGGACAGCCGATACTGGAATGCACCGCCTGTCAGGTGGCAAACGAGTCCACGGGGGTGTTGCGAACATCATTCATCACTACATTATTGCTAAAGGCATCCAAGAAGCGACTACTATGGGCGGGCTGGTTGTCGTCTGCCTAGTGCAGTATCTGCAGCGGCGGCCTTGTATGTGTGATGCTCAGCTTCAAGGGTCGGCATTCGTCTCCTGTCCAGTTGATTTTCCCGTGGCGTTGATGGCACAGCATCTGGTGAAGATTGAGTGTATGTGGTTCGGGTTCTTGTCTTTGCTTTGTGTAGGTCTTCGGCTCACGCGCCTAGTTTGCGAAGGTCACAATCATGTTAGTGGATGACAATATCGCGGTGGCTCCTAGTACATACTTGCTCATGATATCAATCACTGCGCTCGGCTACAGTTGGGTGCCGGATGCTGCCGGTGAAATACCCACCGACTCTAGCTGCATCTCGTCGTCACAACGCGGGGTCGATGCTCACGGTCCTTGCACGCTCTCCTCATCTCGGATGCTCCAACATGAATCCGAGGTTCTCGTCCTCTGGTTTGCGGAGTTTGTGTTTGCCGTCGTTGGCACCCAGTTGGATATGCCTGTGTCAAGGACTCCACTGACTCGACATGCCCGAAGCTGGTAGTCGAGATTGACATCCGATCAACTGACCTGCACATTAGGGGATTGCCGCGCCACTGCTCGGTCGTCTGCCTGACTCTGTCGGCCCTACACAGCATAATTAAATGACACGACCGCAAGTGCTGCTCATTACCCCTCTTCGGCGGACGCGCCCGCTCGAGTCTTTGATCTTGTGCCAATACCGCAGTTCACCTTTGTCCTCTTCTGCTGACTCTTCTTGCACAACACCTGCGTGATCAGTTCCTTCTCATTTCGTTCTGTAAGAAATTCGCTTCCGTGTGCTCTCAACATGGGTTCCGTCGAGATTCCTTCCCGGCACAAGGCCTTGGTGTACGATAACCCCGGCAGCATCTCGACAAAGATCGAAGAGGTGGAGACACCCAAGCCTGGTGTCGGAGAGGTGTTGGTGAACTTGACTCACTCAGGAGGTAAGCACCTAAGCCGTCACTACGCTGGCGCCTTTAAAGGAGAGAAAGAAGCGCTGATATATCTCAGTCTGTCACTCGGTAAGTGCTTCACAGAGCTCTCTCGACAGACGACAGTACTTCTCACGTGGTCGTCTTCCTCCGAACAGGATATGGGGGTTATGTGCAATGCGTGGGCATGGCTTCCTGCGCCGACACAAAAAGGCCAAGTCGGCGGCCACGAGGGTGTCGGTACCGTCGCAGCACTGGGGACCGGCGTTGAATCCTTTGGCTTGAAAGTCGGCGATCGCGTGGGCATCAAGTGGCTGGCCTATGCGTGTGGAAATTGTCCGCCCTGCCTGGCGGGAGCCGATGCATCCTGCACCGCAGCCAAGATTTCAGGGTGTGTATACCGGAGCCTGACACCCCCAAGACCCTCATAGCCCCAGACGAGCACTGATCCTGACGTACTAGATACTATTATCCCGGAACCTTCCAACAATACGCCATTGCTCCAGCCCACTATGCCACTCCCATCCCGGATGGTGTACCCAGCGACTTAGCGGCTCCCCTGCTGTGCGGCGGTGTCACTGTCTACGCAGCGCTGAAGAAGCTGATCGAAGAGGGAGTTCGTCCCGGTGATTGGGTCGTTATTCCCGGAGGTGGCGGCGGGCTGGGCCATCTTGCCCTTCAGATAGGCTCTCGGGGCATGGGTTTCCGCATGATTGGAGTCGATATGGGCGAAAAAGAGAAGCTAGTCAAGGAGTGCGGTGCTGAAGCATTCCTCGACCTCTCCAAATATAGCCGCGACGACGAGGGCACCAAGAAGCTCGTGGACGACGTCAAGGGCATCACGGGAGGCGGCGCTTCGGGCGTCGTGGTTTGCACTGCCAACAACACCGCGTACGCCCAAGGGTTGTCCTTCCTCAAATTCCGAGGTGTCCTGGTCTGCGTCGGCGTCCCTGAAGGGCCATTGGTGCCAATTGCCACGGCCAACCCAGCGACAATGCTTGCCTCGGAGCTGAAGATTGTTGGCAGTGCAGTGGGCAACCGAAAAGACGCAATTGAGACATTGGATTTTGCGAAGAGGTGAGTTGCAATTCTCCCGCTGCCTTGCTGACGGACCTGCTTACACTGCCGCATAGGGGTATCGTCAAGACGCACTTCACGGTGGAACCAATGAGTAAACTGACCGAGACGTTTGAAAAGATGGACAAGGGCCAGTTACAGGGGAGAGTTGTTATTGATCTGAGCGGGTAGTATCGGACGCCTGCTGAATAAGTAGCTTTGTCTCTACCAAAACAAACAATCGAGAATCAGACCCAAGTGGTCGTACGTGGGCAAGTAGAGACCGCGTCCCCGAGGCTCGGCTTCAGCCTTTGCAGCCCCCAAATATAGACAGTTGCTCAGCTTTAGCTCGTGCTCGCATAGTAGTGTCCTGTTCACGCGATCATCAATACGCTAGCAGAAAGGCAATGAGCTTTCTGTTCCTGATGCGCGGGATCTTGGACGTCAGTGTGCGTTTAAGCGATGAATCCATACAACCAGCCGCCGTACGGATATCCACAGCAAACACCAGGGCCCCCGCAACCACCATGGCAAGCACCTCCACGACGACAAGGATGGGGAGACCCTAGGGTCTCAGGACAAGGACTGCAGAGTCCAATCTCTCCTGCCTACCCGAACATTCCTCCCTCCAACGCGTTCGGACCACCGCTTCCACCACCCCCACCGCCACCACTTCCTCAATCTCAATACCCTCCGCCGGCGCAGTTTGACACGTCGCAATGGGGAGTGAAATACAACCAAGGATTGGCGGCTACAGGTCAAGGTCAAGATCAAGATCAAGAGACGAAGCCTGCGCTACCACCTCGCCCGACATCAGCGACAGGCAGGCTCAGTCCGCAGCCTCACCAGCATAACCACTCTCAATCATACTCGGGATGGAACGACCCTTATCACACAAGCAATGCGGCGCCGCCTCCTCCACCGCCTCGTCCCGCCGAATACCAAGCCCATATACAGGCTGCGCATTATGGTCGGACGAGCACACCTCATCAAGAATACTCCCACCAACCTGCATCACATCACTACGATCCTGCTCCGCCGCAGCAAAATTCGTGGAATACACAACCGTCACAAACGACAGGGCCGACCTATTATCCTACAGCACCTCCTCCGCAACATCTGTCTGGAACGGTTGATGGGCCATTGGTGTCGCCAATAGAGCCAACCGGCAACTTCTGGGGAGCGCCGCATGGGCAACAGACTACAGCACAGGCTCAGAACATTTACAACGCTCCCCCTCACCAACTACATAACCAGCCTGCCAACACTCAGGTGCTAGGATTCGGAGGTCCCTCGGATTGGGAGCACTACGATCCAAATGCGCCGCCTTCAGACCAGACACCCACGAGTCCCCCTCCGAACCTTCTCTATCAGACACAGGGCCCTATTTCACCTCCACAGACCCACGCCACTCCAGCTCCTATACAGCAGACGCCGAAGCCAGACCCTGCTCGACCAAGCTATCCTGTAGAGATCGGTGCTCCAAGCCCAGTTACTCCTCGAAATGGGTCACAGGTTCCACCAACAGCCGCCAACTATGGTCGAACTTCACCGCAGTCAGCCGGGGACGGGAGACCGTCTTCTGCAGGTCGACAGCCCAGTGACATCTCCGCTCGATCGGACAGCCTGGACAGCGCAGGTAACATTGACAGCGTCATCCAAGCCTGGAACACGCCATTGAAGCCACGCCCCGTCCCAGATTCTACTCCGCGAACGGAATCGCGTGCATCAGCTCCGACGGTGGAACCAGGGCTTTCTTCGACCAGTGTAAAAGTAGTCGACCCCTACGCCGATCTGGAGCCCGAGTTCAAGGCATCGCTGAAGCGGTACGCCGTCATGCTCAGGAGAGAGGCAGCAGCCAAGACCGACGAAGAGAAATTTGATATCTTCCAGGGCTTCGTGACCAAAGAGCTCAGGCTTCGAAGCTTGCTATACGGGGTGGAGCTGAAGAAAAAGGTGGCCAAGGAGGTCAAGAAGGCCGCCAGCCTGGCCGACATCCAGGCTGTGCTGCCCAAGTCAGCCTTGCCTCCCGCTACCGCGAAACCAGATGATGTTGGCCAGCTCAATGATCCTATCACGAAGACTGTTGACCCGGTTCCTGCGCCTGCTTTGGCTGAACCAGCACCAACCCAGCCGTCAGTCGGCGTCCTGGGAGCTCTCGCACAGCCGGCCGTTATCCCGAAAGGACCCCCAACAATTGGAACCTCCAAACTTGCGTCGACCGTCCCGTCCCGCGCGCAGCAGGCTGCAGGTGCCCCACCCCTCGAGGATCGCCCCAAGTCGAAGGATGACGGCTACGTGATAGTCGCAGCGCCTGGTCAGGAGGAGGCATATAGTCCTGGCGGTCGACCTTTGGTGACAAAAGTCAAAGGCGGCGATGATGACGAGGCTTACAGTCCAGGTGGTCGGCCGCTCACGACCAGAGCCGCAACGACCTCATCGGCACGGCCGGCGGTTGGCACCATGATCCAGGAACATTTCCGTCAGACACCGCCAAACGCCTTGTCCCCCAGCAACGATGCCCCTATGGTTATTGAGGACTACATCACTCCTGAACCGACCTCACCAAGCATCAATGCGCCAATGATTGTTGCCGTTGAGCCGCCTATAGCTCAAGCTTCCCCAAGGCTAAATCAACGTAGCCAGAAGCCTATTGCGCCTATCAAATTCGAACCTTCGCGGCCCGTATATACCCCGTTCCGTTATAATGCAGGTGTCCAAGAAGAGAAAACGAAGGATTCTCCTCTGCGGCCTGCCGACCAGGCATATTCGTCACTCCGTCATTCACAGGCCGGGACTGGTCGCCTTCTTGCTCAGGACGCTGCCTTGCTGGCTCCCGTGAGGCCGTCTTCGAGCAGCGGTAGAAAGGAACACGAGGAGGCATTCATTGGCTTGATCAGGAAGCAGAGTATGGCTGTGAGACAAAACACGCCCGGACCTGCACCAGCACCACCACTACCACGTAGCATAACTCCAGGGGCCGTTAACAACAAGGCGACTGCCGCGGCGAAACCCGAGCCCCCACCGTTCATGAGAGTGGGCACACCGGCGGCACCTGCCCCCACATCACAGCAACCAGCAGACGTTGTCAAAGGCGCAGTGACAGCGTTACGCTCCCTTCTTCCGTCTTTGGATGACCTTCCCACCCCAATCGATTCGAGTGGCACCAACCCCAAGCTCAGGATTGTCAGGTCTAAAATCGACTCGGTCAAAGATCAATTCTCATTCATCCACGAGGCTGTGGTGGAATGGGACCGCACCAACCGCCTGGTCCGTAAAGAACAAGAAGCTGAACGACAACAGCGTCAAGGAGAGTCCGAAGCCCACATCGACGCCCTGTTCAACGACAATGAGATCGGGTACGCAGGTATCGGCGAGCTCGAAGCCGAATTCAAGCTCTCCGAGGCCGAAAAAAGATACCACGAAGACCAAGCCGAGCTGGAAAGCTTCACAAGCCAGGTCTTTGTGGTGGTCACGGAGAGACTGCAGAAGGAGATTGCCGAGCTGATGACCGCTTACACCATGGCCATTGACGTATTAGACCGCGAGAGCGTGGCCGTGAGTGGCTGCTTCAAGGCTCAGAATAGCGGCGACAAGAAGCCGATACGAATGACGGAAATCATGTCCTGCGTCTTGACGCTTTTCAACAAGATCGAAATCCGCCACCAAAAACTCGCCGAAGCACACGTGGAGAGGGAGCGGCGGAGAAAACATCTCGAACTGACCATCCTCTACACGAACGGAGACGTCCAAGGCGTGAAACGCCTCGAAAAGGAGTTTGCAGTGGCAGAAAAAATGGCCGTCCTGCACGAAGCCCGCGCCAAGGACGACCGCGCGAACAAGCTGATGGACACCTTTGATCGGGCCACCGTCCGCGGCCTAGGCGACAATCAAGTCTTTACTGACGAAGTCCTTTGCAGACTTGCCGAGCTGAAGAAAGCCGTAGACGCGCTGCCGGGCTCCTCTTCAGACGAGAGAGACGTGGCCACTGGCGCCACCGCTGCCGTAAGGGAGACCCTCTCGCTCGCGCACTCGACGCTCGACTCTGTCGTAACCGACTCGCGTCGTCTCCTCGCCCTCTCCAACGAAGGCGACATCCTCCTCAACGAGGCCGACTATAACCTTTCCGTCGCGGAGGCGAGGGTCGCGAACGCGGATGCGTCAGTGTATGCGAAGTTGCAGGACGAAAAGCAGAAGGAGGACAGCAAGCTGGTTGAGGAGATGAACGCGAGGACGGCGTCCGTGACGAAAGGGCCGGAAGAGGCGATCAGGCTCGTGAGGGATATACAGGCGACTGTGACAGGAGGAGGAGGAGAAGCAGGAGGCGGCGAGGGGGGCCACGAAGAACGCATCAAGCGCGCGCTAGAGGCCGCGAAGGCAAGGAACGCGAGTATTTCAGGAAGTGGGATGGGTGATGGGGCAGGAGTAGGGGCAGCGGCAGGGGCAGGAGTAGGAGGAATATGATTTTTTTTTTTGGATGTGCATGAGATCTACTCTGTACAGTAAGTTATAATTAATCTACCGGGGTTTGTGAAGTCTGTACGGAGTAGAGGTGTACAGGAGGACTATGATATGATTTTCTTCATGTACGTGGAATCTAACCTACTTACGAAGTTACTCCGTTACTGTACGGACTGGGTTGTATGTAACTTGTGGACGTGTACATGTATAGAGGGAGGACAGGAGGGATGGGTATATAGAACCATGGCGGGCATAAGATCGAAGTGATCAAGTTTGTTCAATTGCTGTATTGTAAATCTGTGGACAGGTATAGCATCGATGAATCTCCTACAGTAGGGTGGATCGGATATTGTAAGCTTAATATGGGGCGTGTGGACCGTCCATCGTGTGAAGCCCCCAAAAGACTGCATGCATGACTTTGCTGAGGCATAGTATCACTGCCCGTCCTACTTACCTCTCTACATAGTCGACCCACCCACCCACTTGATTCTTCAGCATGAGCTTCTGTGCCTGTCACACGCAAGGATTCGCCTCACCTCACCTCAAAGTAACTTTACCTCATTCAGAGCGACTTCACTTCAGAACCCGCACTCTAGTCATGAGGATCCCATCCAGTGCGTCGTCCCAGCTCTCTCTGTATCTCCCGTAGATGGTCTCCATGGTAGCTTCATCGCACAGATCCTCCATCACCTGTTCCCATTCCGATCCGGTGTTGGGTTCATTCCACAACCAAGCGGAAGAGCCGTTTCCATCTTTGGCCTCTACATCGGCGTCAGTAGGGAAATTCGCTGGCCGCGCCATGCCGATATCGACGAGCTTGCCCAACACGCCAGGCTCGTTGATCTGAGACTTCATCCAGCGCGCGTGGGCGTGGTTTTCGGCTTCAAGCTCCGCCACGAGGCTCTGGAGTTCTGAGAGGGATTCCTTGGTCACGGCCCCAAGGACGGCCTTGAGGGGCTTGCCACCTTTCTGCAACTTCCTCGAAACCCATGTGAGGAAGTGGGATATAGTTTGCAATTTCTCCAGTTCGGAGAAGCTAGTATGTAAGTCGTTCCACCAGGGGATGTACATTCCTGCAATTCTCGAGGCGTCCTTATCCTTACGACGGCTGTCCAGCTCGGATGTTATCGAGGACTTGATATGCGCGACGATATCGGGTAAGGACTTCGAGGCGCCGGAAATTCCTGGTTGACCTTCGCTGAGAAGAATGATGGCCTGTGCCATATTCGTGGCAGCGTCGAATGTCGACACTTCACTGCTGGTCATCTCCTTCTCAAGCTCTGTGGGCATGGATGTGTTGGCAGAAAATCGTTCGTAGAACTCTTTGATGTTCTTGTACGCTGCGCTTGCAGGGGTTGTGTGTGAGACCAGGTCTTGTTTGAGATAGGTGGTCACGTTGTCGCAAAGCACCATCGCGTTCACCCAACCCCCTTTCGGCTGGTTACCGCAGTGGCATGATTCCAACATCCGCCGGTCATCCTCGGAATAGCTGGGCATGTAGCTGTAATCTCTCTTGTCCACGAGTGCCTTTGAGGGATCCATGGGTGGCAGGACTGTGGCGTCGTCAAATTGCGGGCCGCGCCATCGCGACACTCTCCGTTCCTCGATGGCGCAAATTTGCTTGTTCATACTCCGTTCGATGTCGGATCGCATTTGCGCGCTATTGTAGATGTTCGAGTAGCTGTTGAAACGCAAACCTTCACGTATCCCTCGGACTAGAGCCATGTCCGCGTTTTCAAGGACTGTCACACCAGTCTCGGCAGCCAGAAGAGGTTCAAGATCGCCCGCCACGCCGTTAAAACCCGGATGCAAGGTGGATATCCTCGTCAAGATTAGATGACCGACTGTTTCCCATTGCATGTTCTTGATGCTGAGTTTGGTGAAGTTTTGCATGGCAAGCGAAAGTAGACCCAAATGAGCTTGAAGTCGAACAAGAAGGACTGTTAAAATATAATAGTCCTCAAATTTGGACCGCGCAATCTCCAGTATATTTGCAGCGACCAGGACCTGCTGGTGTTGGGGATCCTGAATTTGTAGGTGGAGGATGGCCAAGGCTGCAAGAAGAGCTGCTTCCGGACACGACGGTGGCTCGGCGATGGACAAATGGTATAGCTTCAGCGCCCTGTGTGCAAAAGCTAGCAGCTTTTGGTTGCGAGCATGTGGCGGTTCCGAGTCAGCAGCGGGTATCGAACTATAGACGACTTTCAGCGCGAACAGTTGAGCAAAATGCCCTTGCCTTTGTTGGACAATCCGCAGGAACTCATCCCAGTGTTGTTTATCCAGTCGTCGCAAGGCGTCCTTCAAGTCATCAAAGCAGAATGCTTTTTCCGAAAATGCCTCGGAGTATTCTCTGCATGTCTGCAGCAAAGCGTCTTGACCGATCTGGTCGCCTTGTTGCCTTTGTAGTAGGCTAAGCTTTGCGATATACGCTGAGCGGACAATCGGCCTAGTTGTGCAAATAGATTCGAGGAGGTCTTCAGACTGTTTTTGCAGGCTGTGTCGACGTCAGCACTGCCAGTTTCAGACTCCATCTCGCAGACTTACCTCTGATCTGTGGCATGAGATCGGGCCTTCAGCCATAGGTCCCAGACACGGTTGTCTGATTGTGATTCGGATTTCGCAAGCAGCTCCAGGCACACCTTCAGAGCTTCGTTCCAGTTCTCTGACGCTTCTAAGGATTCGAGCACCAAAGACAGCACAAGTTGCGGATCCTTGGCTCCCAGGCGAGATTCTATGCTCAGTGATCCGCCCAGTAGGAGCTTTATGGACTCCTGGACATGGCCTGTAGAGTTGAAGACCTGTACCAAGAGCGCAATCTCCTCAGGGTCTGAGATAGCCTTTGCCGACGACAAGGATGGCTCCTGCATCTAGATGAGCCCTCAATACTTCTCTTGATATTGCTGACATACCTCATCTTTGGGTATAGCCTCAGCAGCCTTTGAGATCATGCGGTACGCAAGCGTACCAAACAGCATACGTTCGTTCTCGGGAATGTCCTCTTGCTTATGTATTAGGTAGCACATAAGTATGTTCCAGAACTCATACTGCCGTTCCTTCGGGAATGAGTTTCGTAAACCCATGGTCGCCTGTCGAGTGGCCCCATGTCAGCCAAACGCCCTTCTCTTGTGTCGTTGATGATCTCTTCACACCTTTTGAGCACTGCGCCAGTTGCTGTCTGCTATTGCTTGGTTCAGCCATCTCGTGTAGAGATCTTTGTTATCTTTTCCAGCGGCAACCGCTCGTTCCCATAGCTTCGGAATCTCTTCGTGTAAGGAGAGGCTCTTCAGTGTCTTTTGCAGCTGATAGATGGCTTCCGAGTCCGTGATTGGGGGAGTTCGCTTGCAGAGATCAAGAACCTCCTGTCGTCCTCGGTCATGCTGGGCTTTGTCGGACTGGTGGACAAGGACCGAGGCTTTCACCGCCTAACCTTGTCAGCTTGAAATGCGAACCCGCGATGTGCTGTTAGAGTACCAGAAACCGATCAGACCTTTCTCCTTTCTTCGCCCATTTGTCGCACAATTGAAGTGCTTGCTTCCAGTTTTCGCTCGCCACTGCATCCTGAATCGGGCGTATCCTTCGCTCACTCACACTCAGATCCGACATGTTCGGGGCTCATCAGCCCTTGTTGTCAGCAAGTGGTGAGAGTGAGACGGTAAAAGAAAATGCGGGGAAATTTGTGGATGAGGCTGTCAATGATTTATTCATTCGCGCTATGGAAGGAACGGCGCAGTCGCCGGGTTACGAAATCTTTGTACAAAGTTCGGGCCGCAAATCTGCGTTCAATATTTTGAAAGGTTCATGAGTGGACGATAGCCTCAGCTCTGATTGCTCTGTCCTAGTTTTACAATCCTCGCAGCGCAGAAGTGACGCTCTTGCCACATCAACCACGATATAATTGCTTTTGCCATAGACTCCACGCTATGCGTTCTGTGCAGGGTATCGTTGTGCTGTGTATAAACCTGAGTAATCAACTCGGGGGGTTTCAGGAGGTTCGTCTCGGTCTTTTAGGAGAACCATGATCCTTTCTCGGCTTTTCGTCTTGCCGTCTGATAACCTTGTCAGTGTTCACGCCATGCTGTCTTGATGAAGTTCGCGTACCCATTCCTTCTTGCAATCGCGATAAGCCCTATATCGCAATCGCACCGTCAGCCTGCTGCTCAACTCCATCTATCATGCTTGACACTCGCACTGCCCCAATGGGCCGATCCGCAGTTCAGGTAGGCCGTACGCACTTGAAGTAATCTTGACACATGTCCCTGTCCCCGTTGTTCCGGTGCATGCACTTTATACTCTTATTTGCAAATTCCTGGCAAGGGTCGTAGTATTCAGAGCTGCGTTTCCTGCAGAGCATGCAGCTGTTCAGCATCCTGGAACGGGGACATGTATGGGGACGGGGCTGCCGTACGATTGAAACGTGGCTTTTGATTTCTCCCAAGTATCAGCCTGCGGATCTGAGCCAGCCATTTGCTGAGACTGCGCTGAAGTAGCCATGTCGTTGCTTGACGCACACACTTTGGGTTAATGGGTCTGCGCAGCTGCAGGTGCCTGAGATCATGCGAGGCAGGGATTAGTGCGCTAACTTCTTTGTGCCTAGATGCAAATCGAGCCGTTATCGATAAGCCTCCACCCCATCGTTTCTTGCTGCCCCTCCGTGTCCTCCGTGTCCTCCGTGCCCTCCAGTGACCTCCAATGACCTCCCTTGAGCGTTATCAGCTCCTTCCGAGAGGGGTGGACTACCTAGGTGCATTTGCCCGGAGCGCGTGCTGCCAGCACAAGTAACGGAGCTGGCGTCGACTCATTTCAGTGCATGGAATCCAATTCCACGTTCTTCATCAATGTTGTTTCTCTCGCATGATCTACACACCTGGCGGCTGAAGGAGGCACAATGATAGGGTAAAGCATTCCAGGTTGCCATGAACAAGGACTTGGAAGACGTAGCGCATTCCCTACTTGGTGCTCTGTCTGCCGCTTCGCCTCATCTTGGTCATCAAGTGCATTGATATCTGAGCAGTTCTTGATGGGATGATGCCGTGGTGATATGAAGACTTGCGTCAGAACGAAACCTTCAATGCGCCCGAAGGTTGAATCAATTGTCAAGGAGATCACAATCCATCCTACCAATGTTCCAACTCAAGATTTAGCTTCTAGAGGCAGTAACGACGAAGCATGTAATTGGCGGAAGCTATGCTGCTGGGAGGGTTTGTGATATCCGATACCATACCGTGTTTGGTGAATAGATCCATTCCTCACCGGCGGCGGGGTTGTCCATCTCTATAACTGCGAGAAGCGATGATGCATGTCCAGGACCCTTATCGTGTATTGAGCTCTTGCGCGGGCGTGCGTTGAATAATGGCAACCTCTTTTGGACTCCCACGAGTCACACCGACCCAGATTTCATTCACCTGGGGCCTGTGCAGCGGTTGCGGTACCCAATCTTAACACCTAACCGCCCCAGCCAACTTGAGCATCGCTGGCGATAGACGATGCCAACGTGCCAACGTGCCAGTGTGATGTCAAGATATCCGCCCTGCACTCCGGTATAGCGACAAAGAGGGGTATGCACCTCGAATCGGCTGGTCCATATATGCACACGCACATGTGAAAAAGATGGATTCGTTCGTAGCGGAGGGCGCACGGCGAACAAATGGAGTGGGCAACGGACAACGAGCGACGGGCAGTGATTTTAAGCCAAACTGAGCAACATTTTCCATCCATGACAAACGCCGGCGTTGTTCGTCTCTTGTTTGTCTCCACAAGCATAGCTCGGGCATCCCAGCTTCCATGAAGTGCAACTCCTCGCTTTACGAAGAGGTCGAGGCGCTCCACAAATGTTGAGCGGTCCAGATCAAGCCTTGTCACCGCAGGCCGATGATGGGAGTAGCTGATAAGAATGCGCGAAGTTCCGAACGAATTGTGAAGCCGAGGGCAGCTGCTCTCCTGCATCACAACGCCCTATTCACTCGCCTTCCATTATCCCTACTTTATGAAGTTACATGCCTGCTCCGATCTCATGAGCTAGTGACTGGTGGTGGGAGCACTCTTCGGTTCAACTCACCGTAATCCGTAGACAGCGCAGTGATATCCGACGGTTGGCGCTTCCCTTCGGAGCCCTCTTCGCAAACCACAAAACGCCTCACCTAGGAAGGCTTTCGGTTGCTGCCCGAGGCTAGGGGGTCTTTCTGATATATGACTGTCTTTCCCTGTGTGTATACACACTTAGTCATAGACTGTTTGGCGATATTGTTGTCCTTGACAGAGTCAGTCTGAGCGATTGCTCTGTTTGCTCTGTTTCCATTGAGCATACTGCACGCCACCACTACCACCTACTTACCATTTTGTACTTGCATTCAAGTATATAGTCAGTACCAGCAGTGATGGCTTCAGCAGACGTTCTTCTCCCTCAATCAGCTTCTTCTCTCGGTTCTGGTAAGAGGAAAAGGCCCGCATCCCTCCTGGACGACATGGCTCCCAAGACACCAAAAGCTCTCACGTTTGAGCCGGCGAAGCATCTCAACTTCCAAGCGCCCAACAAGATATGGACCATGGAGGAGATTGGGTTCGCAGATAAGGGTGTCTCACCTATTGCCGTCTCAGAACCCTTCCCTCTCTTCACAATAGAAGCCATCGAAGCAATGAGAGCGGAGGTACTCAGCAAGCCTGTGTGGGAGAACTGCAAGTATTCCAGCAATCTTGCGAAGTGCCAGCTGAGAGGGTTTGCTCCCGAGTGAGTTTGACCTTGTCAATGCTGCTTGGGCTATACTGATAAGATAATCAGATACGCCCCCTTCGTGTATGACGTCTGGCGCAGTCCTGAAGTACTCGCGATTGTGTCAAAAATTGCCGGTGTCGAGCTTGTACCGGCCCTGGACCTAGAGATTGCCCACATGAATATCTCCAGCAACAGCGAGGAACAGATCGAGACCGTCAAGCAGGCCCTTGCTGAGAGGTCTCATCGTGAAGCTGACGAAGGTGTCTCGGGTTGTCCCTGGGAAGACGACGAAGATGCCCAGCCCATCGTCGACTGGCATACAGACAGTTACCCTTTTGTCTGTGTCACCATGCTCAGTGACTGCACCAACATGATTGGAGGCGAAACAGCCTTACGGACGGGCACGGGGGACATCATGAAAGTTCGGGGACCAGGCATGGTAAGACCCGCGTCCAAATTTTGCAAACCTGTACACTGACAGGCCCAGGGCCATGCTGTCATCCTCCAGGGCCGATATATCGAACATCAAGCGATGCGAGTCCTTGGCACAACGGAGCGTATCTCAATGGTGACCTCATTCCGTCCCAAGTCTGCCTTCATAAAAGACGACACTGTTCTCACCACAGTCCGCCCGATTTCCGACCTGACCGAGCTCTACTCGCAGTATGCCGAGTATCGCTTCGAGATGTTGGAAGAACGCATCCGAGCACAACTGAAAGAGATACGAGAGCGCAGGCGCGCCCACCGGTTTGACACCAAGGCCACGAAGGCCTTCATCAGCGAACAGAAGACCTTCTTGGAATCCATGTTGAAGGAGCTGGTTGACGATGATATGGTCAAGGTCGGGATTATGGACGATGAAGAGAACCTCTTTAGCGAGGAATTGCTCAAAGAGCGACGCAAGAAGGCGAAATTGTAGGTTGATTGACGCAGCAGCCACAACCAGTGCATGAGCGTTGCACATTCGGTCTGAATGGCTTTCCTGCTGCGGCTGTTGCAGATCATACGTTGACACGACCTTGTTTTGGCTGCATGGCCAGGAGGCTTGCTTGGTTTGGGGTTTGGATTTTTAGATTTTCTTGGTTCAATTTGTCTTCAGGAAGATTGCTTGCTTCTGCTGGAACTCTAGTGCGTGCGAAAGTCTTGAGAGGATCTCGTCGTGGGATGGCGCGTAGATTGGCTGAACAGGTTGCTTACCTTCTACTCGAGTTATCCGAATCGATATTCATCCATGGTGGCTCCTCGCTCTGTTCTCATCATGGTGATAATGACAACCGCGCATAAACCGCTTTCCATGCGCGATGTGGCCATGTAATCCCAGTATTCCGTGTCCATCCACTGGGGAGATTGAGTGAGGATGGCCACGCTTGGCTGCGGTGTGTTTGATTCAAGCTTGAGCAAGGTGAAGTTCTGGTAGTTACACCTTAGATTTGCTCTTCCTCGGCTCACCTTCTACTCTTTGACACATTAGCAACTCTGCAATGTGGTCGTCGGAGATTGATTCAAAGAAGCTCCACGACTCTGGCGGACATGGCATGTTAACAACCGCTTCGCCTCAACCCCTCCCTGGTGTCTGCTGATAACCTTTCTTCGCTCTGGCAATGAGAAATCTGCACCTTTTTTCCCCGGTGCGGTCATCACTCGCTCTCCGGATCGTCTTCTCGTTGGGAAGGAACTTGAGTGGAAAGGAACCAGAAGAGAAGGAGAGACGAAACGAGAGGAGTGGCCGCTCAATGGAAAGGGCGCGGGCTGATTCGCAAAGCGCGGCCAAGTATTTCAACGACATCCGACATTGCAATTAGCTACTCAACAATTGAACTTGCGAGAACCATAAGGTTCCATTTTTTTAATGCGATATTGCATCAGCCATAGTGTACAAGGTCCCTAACAGGAAGGTTCGATCCGCGGTGACAGATTACGGGCTTGTTCGGGTAAGTCTACCGTGGTACCTTCAGGTAGGGATTGCGCATACAGTCGGGGACGTTCCAGGACGTGTCGAGAGTAAGACTAGGAACCTGACCAGGTTCGCCTGTTTACCTGCAGAAATCCAAGCCATGCTGTGCCTGATCTACATTTCTCTTGCAATCCCTATTTTCCCTCTGCGCAAGACAACGCAGTCACCGCCAAGAGATACCAGAACGCCCCTGCAAATGCTTGTCATCACTTGAATCTGTTGACTTCTCAGAAAGACCCCTTGCCTAATCTTGCCGGCCTTTGAGTAATCGTTTGGTGACCTTGTCCTTCTCGATGATGTAGACATGCGCACCCCAACCAGAGAGAGCGTCCCGGTCGACGGCATTTAGAAGTGCTTGTGAGATGGTTTCGAAGAGATCTTCTGGTTCCTGTGACTTCGATTAGCCTCGGCTTGCGCAAGACATCTGCACCGATATCCTTACCAAGTCTGGCTCCCATAATCCTTCACACGTTCCGAACAGCTGATCGCTCGCCGTGCCGGCCACAATGAAGTCTTTTGCGAAGTCGATACACCCAATACTGTCGAATCCGCAGATGAAGGGCTTCCCCGTGGTGTGATTGATACCTGCAAGTACCGGGGAGACAAACCAAGGGCCAAATCGTCTCTCGTACAGGCTGCTGCTTACAAGATTGGCCAGTGTCTGCGGTGAAATGTTGCGTTCTTCTCGTAGCCGATACATGTTGACTTTGTATCGGAAGGTGTCGCTGACAGTCTGTACATCCGTGGCCAGACCAGTAAGGCCCAGGAATACTGAGGGAGCATAGTTGAAGATCTTGGGGAAGTTGTTCGAGACAGTGAGGGCCTGGAGGCCGAGACGTAGATCGCAGGCTATGGCCACACAGTCTTTACCGACCATTGCGACACAGGCGCCGCCATCTGATGAAATGATTAGAGACAGCTCGTGTTTGGCTTATGGGGGAGCATACTGATATCGAACGGAGAGCTCTGTCCAATGTTAGTATTGACTCTCTTCCTGTCGCCATGATGGAAAGCTTACCATGACGGACTTTTTCAATAGAACAATCAAGACGAAGACGAAAAGAGGAGAAGGCAGGCGATTCCTAAGCACGAGATACGGTGGTCGGATAAGTGACAATGCTCCGGTGAAAGTAGATGCGCAGGCACGCCAGCAAACGCGTTCGCAGTTCGGGTGAGGCTCAAGACGGAGACCGGCCAAGGACCAATAGGCGGGCATCTTACCTAATCCCGCCAACCAGGAGCACTAGGAGCAATGACGCGGGCGTGCCTTGCCTGCAGGTGGGATGCTTTCTCGCCGCCTGCTTCTCCGCGTTTGATATATCAAATCAACATTATCGACCTCACCACACCAGAAAGTGATTCTAGACTATTCTATTTATCTTCTCACTCGCCCGCAACATAATACCGATATTGTCTCTCATATCCCTCCGTTTTCCACCAGCCACAAATCTAGGTGCGACCAAGACAGCCTGCTGTCACCCCGCCATACCTGGCTCCCACTTGAGCATTTGACATGGCCTCCCATGTTGTGGTCATCGATGCCACCGCTCGAAGAACGCAAATCAAGACAACCCCTGGGAAGCACCTGAGCGAGGTTCTCGAGGAGGCCTGCGCGAAGTTAGGTCTCAATGCTGCTCAGTACGGCTTAAAGTAAGTTTCCTTCTCAGCGTGAAGCCCCGGGAGTCAATTCTCTAACCATGTCTTTCTAGACACAATAATAAGCAAGTCGACCTTTCCAAACCACTCCGCCTTTCAGGTCTCTCATCTGGTGCGAAACTTGAGCTCGTCCAGCTATCCAAATCCGCCGGAGTTGTCTCGATAGCCCTTCAACTACCAGAATCGGAAGCAAGAGGTGTTCCCACTGCCAGACTCACGGACAAGTTTCCCAGTTCAACGACACTATGGCAGCTACTCAGAAAATTCGAGGCTGGAGTTGCTGGGAGTACAGACCCGCGGAACTTTACTGCTAGAGGAGTACCATCAACCACCCAGGGTAATTCGGGTGGGGGCAGATTATATTACGAACAGCCGGTAATTCAGATCATGAATAGAGAATTGGCATCCTTCACAGACCTACAAAAGTCATTAGCACAGTTGGGATTCAACACTGGTTCCGCATTGCTGAGGCTGAGTTTCCGCGCCACTCAGACTCCGCTCGAAGAGGCTATGGTCGAGATACAAGAGTACTTCACCTCTGTTGAGGGCGAAGGGCCAGCGGCTCCACCATCACAACCACAGACAACTGCTCCTGCAACGGAACCGCAGCCTGCAGCAGTCACAACGCAACCAGAATGGACGGAAGATTTCCCTTCGCAGCCAGCTCTTCAATCTCAGCCAGAAGAACCTGTCGCTTCTACCCCACTATCACCGACTGCCACATCAGCAACCGGTCGTCCGATCTCTGTATTCCGGCCCCCCACCGCATCTACACCCTCAGCCGCCCTAAGATCTCACAACGAAGCCGATTACACGCCAACAGTTGAACATGCACAAGTCCATCAGAAACTGCTCCAGCAGAATTCCAGGAATATCCGCCTGAAAACTGAAGCCGAGCTGACCGCTCAGGCTGAAGAGGAAGCTGCTAAATGGGCAGCAGTAAAGGATGTCGAGGTCAAAATCCGCTTTCCAGATCAAAGTACTGTTGTTACGCCCTTTAGCCAGCCGGACACTGCGGCAGACCTGTATAATTTTGTACGAGAGTGCCTGGAAGACCGATGGCGGTCGGAAGTGTTCCTACTCCGAAATCCAGGCATTAGAGGAAAGAACGAGTTCATTCCAGATGATAGTGGCAAGAGGCTGATTAGAGACCTCCAGCTCAAAGGCCGAGTGCTTTTGACGTTCGCCTGGGACGATCAGAAGGCCAGCGGTGGGGCGCGTAATACCAAGTCTGTTCTCAAGGAGGATTTGAGGAAGCGCGCCCAAGAACTGCAAGTACAAGACGTGACCATGGTCGATGTCGAGGAGAGAAAAGACCCTGGGGTCAAAATCAATGTGGGAAAGATGGACACCGGTGGTTCTGAAGACGGTGGCCAGTCCAAATCGAAGATGCCTAAGTGGTTAAAAGGCCTGAGCAAGAAATAGTGTTTATCTACAACGGGGATCAATTTGGCTTCGGTGCAAGTTCATGGTCGTGAGCATCGGGTGGATGGCACATATCAGCAACTCGGAAGCTCGTCACACGAGATGTTTTGGCTGACGATCGGGCCACAGGTCGGAATGTGGTGGTAGACCTGGAGATATTGACAAAATACGATACCCTTTACAGCGTTGACCACCGTCTACTCTATTTCGACATAAGCTTCCGTCTGAGTCGACTAATGCATCGGCTCGCCGAATCTGACAATGAGCTGTTCTCGTACACAGTAACAAGACTGAAGTCCTCGACATTATGTGTTCTTGTACTTGTAGCCGAACCGAAACCTGAGGTGAGCCTCACTTTGAAACCAAGGAATCTTCCCTCCGGAAAATTATCTCCGTCCAGAGGCCGGCACTAGCAGATCACCCGAAGAAACCCCGCCCACAATTGCATTTTCGCACATTGAGGGCAACCTGCGACCGTGAGAGACACACCACCCTCGAAGCGCATTTCCTAAGCCCAAATCTTTCGACCACCTCGACACAAAGCCGCCAAGATGCCATCCGAAGTCACGGACATCAAGCAATTCCTCGAAATCGCACGGAGAAAGGATGCCAAAGGTGCGCTCGGTTGCAACTCTTTCGTTACCCCTCTACAGTCCAAATGATCTGTGCTAGCCCAATGCCGCTCTGTTCGCTCTGGGTCCAGGAGCCAATGCTGATCTGCTCTTTATCGCTAGGCGCCCGCCTCAAGAAATCCACCAAGAGCAAGGATATCAAGTTGAAGCTCCGGGGCAAGCGGTTCCTTTACACGCTCATCCTCAAGGATTCGGACAAGGCCGATAAGATCAAGCAGAGCTTGCCGCCTAGTAAGTTCTGGGTGCTTTCCTATATGTTTTATTCGGTCATGCCGAGTTGGAGGCTGCGAGAGAGGGCGAAGAGAGGGCCTGTCATGCAGGTTGCGCGATCGAAGAGAAGGGCTCAATTCCGTGGAGGTAGAGGTTCGCAAGACTGGGGCAAGCGGTGGACCCAAAAAGAAAATGCAGTACAAGGCCCATGGCAAGGTGCTACCGGATCTGCGCCGGGGGATTTGCGTGTTCGAGCCCAGTGTTCTTGTGCTTGTGTCTCAAGTGCGATGCCTTAGGCCTCTGCACTGCTCTGGTTTTGACTTTGAGCACGAGGATTGCAATCGGTAACACCATGCTAACTTATCCCCTCCCCGTATAGCGATGGACTTCCAAGAGATCGGCAAGAAGAACAAGAAGCCTAAGAAGAACTGAGCTCTGGCGTTCTTTTCTGTTCCTCCGTCCCTCCCTTAGCCGTCACTCGGCCGACCGATCAACAAGACAACGGGGCGTGGTGTTTGTGAGGAAATTCGCCACGCGAACGGGTTCGGATGCTGTGTGAATACGATTCTATTGAAGGAGTCGACAGCCATCTGTTGCGTCTGTATGTGTCCAAGTATGTGCGTGCACAACGCGGACGCATTTACGCACCTCGATGGGGGCAGATAGTGTCTGGATGATGGTCGGACAACGCATCATGACTACTCATACCGTAATGTATGGATCAAAGAGGCTGCTTGTATCACGCATGCGTAGATGACTTGGGCAACAATGGGATGAAATGAAACAAGCCGCTGCATTACTCTTTTGTTCTGTCTGTCCTGTGCAGCCAATCAGGCAAACACGGTCGGTCGCTCGTCAATGAGGCCTTGAAGACGAGTTCGTACGAGTGCGGATCTCTATCACTGGCGGTGACTGTCTATCTATCTATCTGCGCGCCATGCCCTTGCAGAAGATTAATCAATCATGGCACCGGCTCCTCTGACCTCAAGCACTCACGACAAGAACACGCGTAAGTTTCCTCTGCGTATGTCCGATGGATCTCCATCCCGTGCTTTTCCAAAAGCCTCTCCCTGCTCAACCGCAACTCAAACTCCCCAAAGTAACTCTCCTGCTCGCTGGTCTTGGTGAACCCCAACGCCTCGAAGAGGGCAATACTTCCACGATTCGAGCTGGCAATTTTGACTGTGAAGTAGCCGAACTTGGGGTCCACACGAGGCGCATCGGTGGTTCCCAGTTGTGAAGATCTGGGAACCGGCCCTGCTGCCGTCGCGGTGCACCCTCCTCCGCGGTGAAACTCCTCGAGAATCTGCCTCTCATGCCGGATGATATACTCGAGGAAGGTCAGCAGGGCCGTTTTACCGAGGCCTTGTCGACGGTGGGCCGGTTCGGCGATCATTAGTTCGAGTTCGCCGATCGCGATCGAGGAGTTGGGTCCAGAGTTATTACAGGCCGCGTGCGGGTCAGTGTGTATGAGCATCTCATCCATGTCGTTGGGGCGTATTTCTTCCGCCTCCACGGTCGAGATGAAGAGGTTCACATCCCCGACCATGGCGGCGAGTTCATCTTGTAGGCGTGCATCATCTCCAGAAGCGACATCGTCGTCATGCCGATTGGTATGCCCGCGGTGGAACGGCCGACAAAGGATAAAGGTAAGCTTATCGCCGTCTCTGCGCCAGCTTCGTTGCATGGCGTGCTCTTCTGCCAGGGTGAGCGGTTCTGAAGCCGTTGCTTCTTGGATTTGCTGTTGTAGACGCGGACGCAGATCGTCAGAATCCGCATTTTGCAATCAAGTCCTGTCGAGTCGAGATGGCGCTGACTTACCGGGTCTTTCATCCATTCGTGATATTTGGGCACTTGGTGCGCATTGTATGGTACTAGGACCACTTTTTCCGTAAACACACCTGAAGAGCGACTGTTCAGAACGAGAGCGCTGTTTGAAACACAACGCCATGGTTCGACTTACAGGTGTGTTCGTTAATACGCATGTTATCGATCTGTCCATCATGACGCCAGGTCATCTGAAGTTCATGATCGCATTAGACAAATGTGGCTGTGCATGCTTGTTGTGAATATCTAGAAAGCAACCAGAAAATCTTGTTGTGCAGTTAGGCGGAGAATTCCGGAGTTGCGCAGCACGTCTTAGGTGGTCGTCGTCACGACCCGTTTGTCTGATCTGGGTCATAAATGTCGAACTTCACCACCTCGACTTCCAGGGTCTCCGAATCGACCAAGACGAGCTCGCCGGTCTTGCGGAATCGTGGAAGCGTGATGAGTCGGACTTGTTGGCCGTCAGGGCCATGGATGACTGTGGTGTCAAACTTGGGCTGATTGCCAACAAAGAGCACGTGGGGACATTCATCAATGACAAACTGATCTCGGTCTTGAAAGGGATAGCACCACAGTGTATCCGGCGCGGTGGGGGCTCCGCATCGCCACCTGAGCATGCTGGCCAGGACTTCTAACCGTCCGTCTGTGCCAGTCCCATCGGGCCCACCGAGGTCGATGTACTTGAGGATGTCGTCGACGGGCTGCCCACTGTTTCCCATGAAACGCCATCCTTCGACATCGCCATCCCAGGGATTTGTGACGCTGTCGAGCCAGCCTGGCTCTTCTTCCTCGGGATCGGCGATGTTTGCAGTTGAGTAAGCTCGGGCAACGGGGAACAATGCCGGATGGATAGGTTGTTGCGGTAAGCTCGCGTTGGCCGGGTCTTGTTCACCCGCCATTATCGTGATAGGGATGCTAGGCAGAAGTTCCGCCAGAAATCGATCAAGCTGAGCGGTGGGAACCGGGTTATACGCTGCGGCATCGTAACCATACTTGCGGTGTCCTGGTTTCTCGTCATCGTCGGAGGACGTATCCTCTGCCAACTCTGATGCAATTGAATTCCCGGCAATAATCAGCCGGGAGATCCTGCTAGCTGCTTGTCGGTCCTCCTCGTCCAGCGCCTCTCCCAGCAGAAACTCAGACAGAAGCGAGAAATGCAGCGCGTCGCCGTCTGTGCCGGACATTTCTAGACCGCTGACCAGCGCGATCTTCTTGGCCGGTTCATCAACATCCATCTTTGTCCCTTCCTCTTCGTCTCGTTCCCATCGCTTGGGTTGTCTAGGCAAGTCCGCAATATGTATGTCCAAGACCTCAAAGTCGCCGTTCGCGTTCTCCGTTCCGATGACTGCGACAATGACGCCCGTAACCAGTAGATTGTTGTTCAACATCGGACCAGTCAAACGCAGCCGGCCGGATTCGTCCTCCAGCATGACCTGCGTTTCTCGGTCCTGTGACAAATATGTATGCTGCAGCTTCAGCCCGGTAAGCCACTGTTCTTTCGATATGTCCTCGAGGATGTTGGGTTTCAATGGCAGGTCCATGTATATTGTCCCGACGACCCAGCACAATTGACCCTGTCGCACATCAAGCACTCTCTCCACTCGTTGTGCTTTTTCTCCCGCAATCTCATAGTCTTTCCAGTCGGCTGCAGCGACCTTTTCCACCACTGGTTTGAGCTTTGCCAGGCGCAAGAAGTACATGTCCGCGAATTGCTGCAGGTAGTGTTTCGCCTGGCCTCGAGCAGTGCGGTAGGAATAGAGCGGATTGTAGCCGGACGAGACCCTGCGGCGCTCCTCGAATTTCTCGTCTTCTTGCCATGATCGCAATAGATTCTTCACAGGAGCCATGTTCGGCGCCTGACGCTCGGGCTAGGTAATTGTCTGGCGTGCGTCAAGAATAGAGACCTCGTTGCGGTCGTGCAGCGTTGAGGCTGGGATGAGTGGACATGGACCGACCTGAGCGGGAGACGCGTCGGAGCGCGTCGCAATTTACGCTGCACATACTGTTTCCAAACCCGCCGTACTGTCTACGGTCGACCAAAGGAACTTTGGCGTGGCTCATGCCCTTGAGGTTGAAGCACGACGCTCTTTGCCTACCAGGTCCTCATCTGTCCTCAAAGGGTGAACCTGGTACTGCCTCTCAGGAGGGCCTCTTTTGCGACACAGCATCCATCTCGATTTCCCTCCGAGCTTGTCTTCAGACGGTTGTCCATTTAGACCGTGTTCCTGTGAGTTGGCGGCGGAGAGATTGCTCTCATCCATCCACAGCAATATCAACATGTCTTACTTCCGGTGAGTTCCAAAGAGTAGTGAGGTGACTAACATCGGGTTCTGCTTCAACGTGAGCCGGCTCCTGTATCAACACCTCTGTCCCATTTGCCGCCATGATGTGTCTGAGGACCTGCAGCCCCATGTTGTTTCCACAGTATGAAAACTTAGAACATCATGGAGGACCTTCAAGCATCAGGTAACAAGTATTTAAAGACACTATCTCCCTTCTCTGTGTGCTGGAAGTTCTCCTCCTCGTCACACTGACTCGGCTTTTCTCCTCTCACACCTGACGCCCGCCCATCTGCTTGCTCAGGCACCACTAACACCACTATCACCACCACCAAACCCCCTTGAAGCCACCATGTTTATGAAGTTGGTGCTCGTGCTGTGTGCAGCGGTCCTCCCGCTGCAGCAGTCCGCTGCCCTGCCGTTCAACGGTACCCACCCGACCTTCCCTAACAGCACCCACCCGACCTTCCCTAACAGCTCCCATCCCCCAATTCTCAATGGCACCTGGCCAGGCGTCTTCAATGGCACCCGCCCCGTTGTCCTCAACGAGCGGGACGATTACAACCTCCAACACATCATGATCGGCTGCAACGACGACCACTGCGCCATCAAAGACGTGATTGTCGACGCCAATGGCCCGAAGTACTCCCACACATGCCCACGGATGGCGCTGGCCGCAAAGGCCAACTACCTCGAATTCTGCGAGGAGAAGAGGGACGGCATGTGCCTGACGCCCATCAACACTCCTAAGTGGCCTGAGATAACTTGGTGCTGCGGCGACTGGGTGTATGTCGAGGATCCGTACTACCAGGATTATCCCACAGTAAGTTGTCCCTACTTATGCTCCAGCGTTGTGCTGACCAGGGTTTAGATGCGCGATCCAGAGACGGGCGAAGAAGTCCCCCTCGCGACGGGTGAAGAGCTCTACGTGTGGCCTTCCCCGAACGACTACCTCAAAGTCGACCAGGTGTGGGAGGATCATCCGGACTGGCTCTTCCGCCAGGTGATCAAGCCCAACGCGTGGGAGTTCAAGGTCGAACTGCCCGTGTGCGGGCTCTGGATGCCGCAGACGGAGCCGCAGTTTCAGTACTTCATGCAGAATCTCCGCTCGACATATCACATCGACGAGGTTAAGGAGACGGAGGACTCCAACGTGGATGCGGTCGGGCCACCAAACGATCCGTAGAGGCGAGGTGGCAGAACGGAAGAGGGAGGCAGTATGCAGGAGGCCGGGGTTTTGACGAGCCTGTAACTTGGGGCTCAGTAGCTGAGATCGGTGCGCTGAGTACGATGCGTACTCAGCAGGCGTTTGCAATGCGTAAAGGAGTCGGATGACTCGTCGGGAGTGCGGGTGCGGATGCGAGTGCAAGTTCGAGGTTAGTGCGTGAGAGGCCACCAGATAGCAGACAGCGGACACGCGATATTCTCTCGTCCCCGTCCCATCGTGTCCTGCCGTGACCTAGACGGACGTAGAGCTGGCACGGCCGGGCTCTTGTCCTGGATTGGTAGTTGTTCACTTCGGTTTCATTCCAAGAATAAGAGATCAGACCTCTCCTCTCAGAGCTTCCCTTTCCCTTTCCCTCGAAGCCACAAACCCTCAGCCCGCGCGTGGACATTCCCCTTCCCATCCTCGACCACCCCCTCAACCCACACCTTCCGTTGCTGAACACTGACGATCCACGCCCGCGCCATCACCGTCCCCGGCGTGGTTACGGGCCTCTTATACTCGACCGTCAACTTGACCGTGAAAGTAGCAGCGTCCGCGGGCAACTCTTGCCCAATCACATTGCCCATCGTGCTGTCGAGGATCGTGGCGATGACGCCCCCGTGCAAGAGATTCGGGTGCGCGTTCAACCCGCCGCCGAAGGTGTAGAAGCGGCGAATCTCGCCCCTCTGGTCACTTGTCGGAGCGCGATACGTCGACAAGATGTGCGAGAGCGTGGTTGGGGTGTTCCATGTGGAGGCCATCAATGTGTGGCCCTTTCCTGCGTGCGTGAGCGTGCGGGATAGATGGACAGGGCGGAATGCTTGGTCCGAGAGACGGGATGCGACCCAGGAGATGGAGTGGAAGTGGTCGAGCGTTGCTTGGGGTGTTGGGGACGCTTCTGGCTCCGCTGCTTCTGCTGGTCGTGGTTCATCTCGGCCGGACATGTTGGCCATTGCACGAAGAGGGTTTCCCGTATCTATCGATGTGAACCGTAGTATTTACTACTGACATAGGTACGTAGGAAGAGGAAGAAGTTCCGGAAATCACGCGGTGGACTGGTAGATGGGAATACTGTAGTATAGTCTATATCAGACGTTCAGTGAGAGCCGGGGCACTGCTCTCGGACCTCGGCTTCGGATGCGTGGACGCGGTACATATGTACACAGTACATTACATACAGCTCAATTTCATCACGCATTGGTCTTTGCAGCACAAATAACTGTGTGCATATTGCTCTGTCATCTTCTGCTCTGGTCCGTTGTGTCTGTGGACTTGAAGCCTACCAAGCCTGTCCGATGGTCGCGATGTTGAACAGCTCGTCTATCGCACCGATCTGCTGCCATGCCTTGTGATCTCTCTTAAGGCGTTGTTCCAGGGATGTATAATCTATGATCTTGATTCATCTTCGCTCCATGTCTTTCTCTGGCATGAAGAGCTTTGCTGGACCGCTAGCCATGGAAGATTCCCGCGTGGATGGCGGATGGTTGTCCCTCCAGCTATCTCGACTCGATTGGAACCAGGACTGCAGTGATAGCCTCGTCAGAAACATCCATTCAGAGTCTTCAGACCAGGGGCGGTCGTGTTCGTGCTGCCTGCGTATACTAAAGCGCATCACTTTTTGCTGTGATCTCCGTCGTGGATCCTCGAAAGCACGGGTCGTAGTTCGGGGCACTGATACATGTTAGACCCATGACTCCGCGTAGAAGAGCGTCTTTGTTTTCGAATGCCGCGCAACGCCTTGTCGAACGAATGAGAGTCTCGCTCGTGTTGCCTGCTTCGAGTATCTCAAGCTCAAGTAACACACCGTCCATTCAAGAGTATGTATGGCTCGAAGCCAGTGTGGTCGCGCACAAGAACTTTATTGTGATCTGTGGCCGCGGTTTCCTCGATACCGAGTTCTGACTGATCGTACGCCAGGGACCAGCGTCCCTTCTTCGCCTCCTTCAGTCGCATATGTACCGTCAACCTCATTCAATAAGGCCCCGTAGCAAACCTACCGGCCCGGAGTTCTTCTTCGGTCCTTCTTCGCCACGAATCCGACACGCGCGACCAGTCCACGTCCCCAAGCCGGCCGAGAGCTCGACACCCGTCGCAGTCGACAAAATCACTCAAGCTGCACGAAGCATGGCAGGCCGGACAGATGTCGTGGACCTGCTTGTGCCAGCTGGCGTTGCGGAACTCCCATCCTGTCTTGGTGATCCAGAAGTTGCTCACCTCGCACCCGGCCACGGTGCTCCAGTACTGCTCGTGCCGAGGCCGATTGGTCAGACAGTGGTTGCAGAGACGTAGCTCGGGCGGCATCCATGGCTTCAGCTGGGTCATGAGCTCCGGAACGTCAAAGACGGCCCGGGGAAGGAAGCCCGCGTACTTGGCCGAAGTGGGGGAAAGGCAGAGTTGGATGTCTCGCGCCGCTCGAGCCATGCGTTTGCATGTCAGTGCCAGGGCCACCTGCGAGGGCGCGTGGGCCACGGTGTCGTAGACTGCCAGCAGGATTTCGTATGGCATTTTCAGAAGGATCGGATCGGATTCATCGTCCTGCAGTAGTCTATTGTCAAGGATCTGCAGAAGTTAGATCACACTCATCAGGAATAAGTTTCATTTCTGGTACCTACGTCGTCGGGAAGGATGAACCGGCATGAGAGCTTCCGCTCAAAGTCGTCGCTTTTGGCTCGGCAGGTAAGCGGCCTTCGAGGCGGCAGTGATGACTCTGTCGTCTTCTCTTTGAATCCAATGCCGGCAGGAAACCCAGTCCAGAGAGCCATGATAGTACCAGGTAGTTGAGGGAGTGACGTAACTAAGGGAGTGCTTGGGGATAATGGAGCCGGGGCGTAACGATGGTTCTTGCCCTTTTTTCCCTAATCCTCTTCACAGTTGGTGGCAGCAAGGGCTTCTAGGCCAGCCGAAAGCATCCGACGAGATCTATTCAGCGTGGGTGAGGCAGTGTCCGTAGAACAATGGCGCGATAAGCAGCTGGATTCTGTCATTGACACTCTCTCGGCCAATACGAATGTGACTAAGCCAATTTTGGCATCACCAGCATCACCAGCTGGGGGTCCGTCTTCCACTCTAGAAGCAAAACAGCTTTTCACTGTATCTAACCAGCTGGGAGTCTGCACATATGGTGACAACGATCTTGCCGTCAGTTTTCCTTCCTGAATATCGCGTAGCCATTCGCTTGCCCGCTCCAAAGGTAGGATCGTGCCAATGTACGGCTTGATGCCTTAGGAGGACACAAAGTTCAAGAGGTGGACAAAGTCTTCCCTTGTCTCTGTGTAGACTCCAGTCAAGAAGGGTCGGTTCATAAAGAAATGCATCCGGTTAATCGCGACGTCTGTGGAGCCGCCATCACGTTACCCTTTCTGGTAAGTCTTAAGACGGACGGCTGCATGCCAACACGGCGTCGCCAGGAGTGGGCTGTATGAGCCCTCAACCCGTGCCCCCTGGCTTGTGCCGGGTGCCGGGGGACAAGCCTGCTGACCGAGTCCACGTGACAATCAGCCATGCTGTCCAGGCCTTCGATAAGCCGCTCCGGGAGAACAGTGTCTGAGGGCAACTTATCGCCAAGTCGGTAGATAACCAGCGGAGTCGATCGAACATTGCGTCTCAATCATGGTAAGCCCCAAGCATCGGAACTGGTCAATTGTTTGTCATACCTGTGCTCTCCGAGCAGGTGGCAGATTTGCATCATTCATCCGAAGCGGTGTGGAAAGTCAAAACGTTGCTGAAGATTGTCGGTCTCCAACCATGAAAGCAACTCATTGTAGGCACGGCGGCCATACACCGAGCTAGTTGATGCACTTGATCGTGTGGCGTCTATGTCGCCACTTGTGGACCCAGGGCTGGCTTGCGAGTGACGATACGACTCTGCATAGCTTGTTGAGCCGGCCCCATTGCTCGGAGACAGGACAATGGCGGAATGCGATGGCAGGCCTTGTCCATTACCTCGAATATCACCTCCCCTGGAAGCCGTCTTTGAAAAGTCGACACTGCCTAGTCTGTTCATGAGCGAGCCGAAATCTGCAAGCACCTGTGCGCAATCTTTGGCATAGGCCCTGTTGCTGCCCTCATCCACATCAAGCACAGAAACAATGAAGCTGATTGCATCATAGTCACCTTGCGGATCGTTGTCCGCCAGGAGTCGATACAGTTGCAAAGCGAGAGCAGCATTGAACAGATAGTGCACGCTCGAAACAGACAGTCTTGCAGGGCGCTGCAAACTTGGTAGCCTATTCCAGAGATGCACATTGAGTCTCGCAGCGTCAGCGCAGAGAGCGAGCTCGGGCTTGTGCGATATCTGATGGCCAGTTGTTCGGGCATTGAGAAGCATGTCCGCAGTGACCGTCTTGACGTTGATGAAGAGCAAAGGACGCACTGCGAGAATGATCAGCTGGTTCTTCGCCATGTGCAACTCAACTACAGCTCGGTCGCTATCAAAGTTTTCGTCCGTGCCCTGCACTGGTGCCGGAAGAGTGTCAGACCAAGACGTCAACAAGCTCAGAGACTTTTGAATGCACAGAGTACTCATGAGAGGCTCCTTACGTGCGACATCATAGACATTGGAGACAATATAGTTTGAAATCCGGGCAAGCTCGACGTGTGCACGGAGACCGGCGGCTTGTGGTAATTTGGCGGTTTCTCGAGGCAGATCCAACTTGATCGCCTCATCTGGAACGAGAGCCGGTCTTCCCATCAGACAACTCAGCCACCGGTCAAGCACATAGACGGTCCAGAACAGCCGTTTACCTTGTTCATCAACCATCCACGCGCGGTGAACTCCATGAACGATAAGGATATGCATGGACACACTGATGTAGATATATGCAGCATCTCGACGGTTGCTATTCAGCAGGTAGAGTCCGAGAAGGGCTAGCACAGTGGCATCGCTGATCATCGAGGCATCAAGGGGGTTCCCAACCAGGTGTCTGGCTCTAGCAAAGAAGGTCTGTCCAAAGCCGGGTTCCCAGTCAGGCGCACAGTGTGGATTTAACTGGCAGGCAACGGCGAACACGGCGTTGGCAGCCACAACATTCTGATTCGCTTCGAGTGCCCGACCACCGTCCACATACGCTAGGTAGTCTTTCAGAACAGCTTCGATATCGACCCAGTAGTAGATCCCACCAGAACCGAATGCGCCTCGACCGTCCTGAGCCGAGTCTCGAAATTCCGCAAGCATCGCTGCAGCTTGCTCCCTGGTGGCTAGTATGAGAGGATCCACGGCTGAGGTCAAGAGTGGGCGACTGTCGTGGGTCTGGTACCTGCCGAGCGCGGAAATGAAAGCTGTTGTCTCCGGATTCGACGACCCTGGCCAGGCTGCCTCAAAAGCCAACGGGAACACGGTTGCCATGTATTCTCGTAAGTGATTTAGAAAAGTGGCACCGGAAGATTCACCTAGATAGCGTATGGTGCCGTCCGGGTCCGTCAATATCCGTCCTTCTCGCAAGTGCTGACTCTCTGCGGCAACGTCATGTTCGAGATGTGGTGCAGGGTGTTCTGCAGTGGCGGTCCTGGCTTGTGTATGCTGGAGCAATTTCTCCCTTTCCCTCTCGGATGGGACCACTTCTGCGAGTGCTTGCTCGAGAAGAGCACACCTGGTCCTGAGCTCATCGTGTTCCCTACGCGGGATGGACACTGTCTGCTCGGCCTGAGGGTAGACACAGTCTCGAGATGATTTGCGGCATCGTTCACACGGATGTCCTCCGGAGCATTTTGCTCGCCTGATGTTGCAACTATTGCACCTTTGAACAGGAGATTGCGTGTAAGCCCAATGCAGATGCAATTGCTGCAGATGAGAGCTCCCTTACGCTTGAGCAACCCGCTTCCTCAACTCCGGGGCAATTTTATTCCGACGAGGGTTGACAGGCAGACGCTCCATTCGCGTTCGACATAGCGGTGACGAGGAAGAGAAATGACCAAGCAAATGTCTGCAGCCCTCGACATGAACGCGAATGCATAGAATTACAGCTGAGCAGGAGTCTACAACTTGGGCTTGGCGCTCAGGCAGTTGAAGCTGGCGTGTCGGCAAACTTTCCTTTCGCACCGGGCACCTAGGGTACAGTTGTTTCTTCTTCATTTCACTTTCCTTTCACTGATTCTTCAATCATCCTTGACTGCGTTATCCTCGATCATCACTGCGGCTATGTAGTCTTCAAGCAAGAGAGCATCTCAGAGATACCGCTCTCGATTGCCCCGTTCGAGCAGCCCGCTTCCGATCATCGACCCAGGCCAGCTGAACCATGCTTTACTGGTTACTTCGCCGGAATGCCCGTCAACTGCTTCTGAAAACATGCCGTCCCAGAGCATCACGCCACATATTTTGTTCCATGCAATAGCTTCAGCGTGGCGGTCTCCGCTCATCTGAGCATACCTCCATTGTTGGAAATATCCCAATGTCCAGGGGTTTCGCGTGTGTACGCTGCCTAACCCTTCAAATGCTCCCCCAGCATAATAGCCACCTTCATTGGCCGTCGAGAAGGCAAAGTGCATTGTGTTGTGCCACGCTTGCTCCTCGGAGTCCGTCCCAGTGAATCCCCAAGAAGAAGCGAAAAGGGTTGGGAGGTCGTTAGCATCGTGGTAAAATGTCCGCTGGCCCGCGCCATCAACCAGATACGAGAAGACTTGCTTTCCTGTTGCTGGATCTGGACAGAGGAAGTGGTCCAGCGTCGATGTACGCACAGCCACAGCCAGAGTTGTCAGGCGTGTTTCGAAGGCAGATCCAGCCATGAAATGCGCAGCAACTTTGGCGAGCCTGGATAGCGAATGCCACAGCAAAACGTGACTTGAGAAGTGGAAGGGATATTCGACTGCGTCGTCACCGGGCGTCTCATCCGTTGGAAACAAACCAGTTCGAACATCCCGCTTTGTCTCGATCAAGTCAAGGACCTGCGACACAGCGTCTGATCGCAAAATCTCTTCAACAAGCTCATGCTCCTCTGGAAAATTCTCGCCCACATCACACAGTTCAAGGAGGGGATAACATTGTTGGTCAAGCTGGAATACCGGCCCATCCTTGGGTCGGCCAGTCGTCAAGTACGATCTGTGCCAGAACTTGTGCGGCCTCTGCGCATACCGGAAAACCCAAATCAGATGACCTTTTACTGTCGCCTTGATCACCTGGCCGTACTCTTCTGCGTTGCTTGGATAAGTCAAGTCCTCGAGGTTGAGGTAGGTGTCTATCAGGAACCGGACCTGCCAACTACTACTGGTTAGCTACGGCTGGCGAAGGATCATGATACTTACTAATTGTCTCGCATCCACCCTAGCGGCAAAGCAACATGATCTGTCAAAAGGCACACAGCTTGTCTGGACGGTGGCACTGGAATCGCGCAATTTCCAAGGATATACTCCAGATTTCTGCGGACGATGAACCTTCCGGCTTCTTCCCGCGTGCTCCAGAGCTTCGGCAGACCGACTCGTTGTGGGTACTTTGTGTCACGGTATGTATGAGGGACTATTCCTGGTTGCAAGATAAACTTTGCTGTTAGGACACGGGTCCCTCGAGGCGGAATCTCCAGACACCCAGCATATTTCTTGACGACCGGACAGTTGACAAATGTCTCCTCATGGCTGGCATTCTGCGTATCGACTGATTGGCCGTCGCTTTCATGACATCCCCTCAGATGTGCACCTAATGGTGTGTTGGTGATGACGAAGCCCTGCCGGTCTCTGGTGGTGCGAAATTTGTTCTCCGAGCTTGGAATTGGAATGGGTCCACCCTCGGTGAGTTGTCCATATGACGCCCTATTCACACTGATACCAAAGTCCATTATGAAGTTGATTCTGCACGGCAAATCTGCCAATGACCTGATCTCCGCGGATTGCATGACCTCTCCGTCCTCGCCGACCCGCAGAAATACCGTGATTGCAAGACATCCACCCGTGCGGTAAGATACTGTCGCCCGCCCCAGACCGTCAAGATCTATCTGGTGGTCCTGGGCCTCGCCTTTAAATCGCAAGCCAAACCCGGGAACACCGTTCTTCACTGATCTTAGCATCCGAGAGCGATATTCTCGTACATACGGAGTATCTCGGAATTTGGACCCATCAAACTGTTCATAAGGCTCTGCAAGGACGATGCCGTGCTTGGGGTGGAAAGTACTGATTTGCAGAATCTGCAGCTTTTGTCAGCTGATCGCCATCAGCCATGTTGAGGAGCCTGCTACCGTCCCCCAGAGATCAGTCGACAGTGATACGCCGTTGAACCCTATATCGAGAGTCTTCAGGCGGTTTGCATAAGCACGCAGATTTGTTGTCGTCATCGTGAATCTGTGCAGGGAGGGAAAGCAAGTCTTTCCTTGCCAATAACTCGACGCTGCCTTCGCTCTGCCCACGGCCACGCATCGGTACTTTATGGACAGAGAGTACTCAGACTAAAGTACTCCGGAGCTCTACCCAACAAGGCATATCAGCGTCCGCTCGTGCAGATCGTCCGGGTACCCTAGCCGCACATTCGACAGGGTCGGGTTCTAACTGCTCCCGGTCCGCCAAGGTATCATCACCGGGCGACACCCCGCACAGAAGCTTACCGTGATCTCCGGCCTCCAGGCAAGATCATGGGGAAAGACGTCTCATTCACGACTTTCGAAGGTGACTCTGACCTGCTTTGTCTGCCCCATTCTCCAACTATCTCTGGACGTCGCTACCATAAGATCGGTCAATGCACGGTTACTGTACCCGTGACCAGGAATTTGGGCCATTACCGCAACGATTATGATATAAAGTGAGGCGCAGTTGCTCCAGACGAAGACGGGCATTTGGTTGTGTTCATCCTCATCTACTCCGCCTAGACCCAGCAGGAACTAGATACCCAGCACAACGCAAATATGACAGAGAAGCACGAGCTAAACCACCTTGAAACCGGCATTCCAACAATTGAGACTGACCCGCACCGCAAGCACAATCTCCCAGCTGGACATATTCCAGCGACCCAGGAGGAGAAGGCCTTGAGCCGGGCTTTGAATCGGAAGCTCGACATATGCCTCTTGCCCTTCTTGTCCTTATTGTACCTCTTCAATGGGTTGGACCGGGTGAGTCTGAATGACTGATTGTGCTCGTAAAGTTCTTGGGTACTAAGACAGAGCAGGGCAACGTGGGAAATGCCGAAACACAGGGTAAGTCGCCTTCGCCCGTTAGTTATGCCCTTCGCACGCGGCTGATGATCACTTCGTTCTAGGCTTCACCACCGACATTGGAGCCCATCCTGACGACCTGAACCTGGCTGTCAGTCTGTTCTTCATTACGTTCGTGTTGTTTCAACCTCCCTCCGCGGCAGTGGGACGATGGATTGGCGCCAAGTATTGGGTCCCTATCATCATGTTCTGCTGGGGGATCCTCACAATTTGTCAAGCATGGGTCAAGGGCCGGGGTTAGCAAATACAGCCCGTTGTAGGAACATCGCTGTTGACTCTCCACCAGGTGCACTCATCGCTACGCGACTGCTGATCGGGCTCTTCGAGGCCGGCTTCTACCCTTGCTGTAGGCTTTCTCCTCCTGTCTCGCGCGTCAGAGCTGTACATGATTGACCACATGCTGACCGTCACGCCCGTGCCGTGTCTTGTCTTAGGCGTCTTCTACCTTTCAACATTCTACACGCGATTCGACCTCGCTGTGCGCATCGGCCTCTTCTACGGCCAATACGCCGTCGCGGGAGCCTTTTCCGGCTGCATAGGTGAGTACATGAATGCCTTCAAAGTCTAAACCAACCACTAACACCACTGCAGCCTATGGTGTCTTCCACATCCAAACTGGCGACATGAAGAATTGGCAATACCTCTTCATCATCGAGGGCGGTGCTACATGCCTGATCGCCCTGGTCGCATGGTTCTGGATGCCTCTCGCTCCGGGCAGTGCATGGTTCTTGAGCAAGAGGGATCGTGCGTACGCAGTAGAGCGCATGAGACTAGACAACGCCATGTACGCCCAACATACCTACGGGGACAGCGGCCTCGAGAACGAGCGATTGAACAAAAGGGACGTAGTCGAGACGGCAAAGGACTGGAAGTTGTGGTATGTCCTGTTCTTCAACATCTTGGCCAGCGTGCCGGGCCAGGCTTTCTCGGTGTTTTTGCCACTGGTGGTGGGTGGACTGGGATATTCCTCGATTGAGGCTAATCTGGTACGTGTGCTAGCATCGTCCGCCTCGACTTGGCTCAACTGACTGTCCTCAGATGTCAGTACCGCCCTATGTGTGTGGCGCCGTCGGGCTGTACCTTTTCGCGGTCAGCTCTGATAGGAGGTAAGCACAACCAGAACCACAACCGTAGCATGGAGTGGAATGTGCAGGATCAACAGCAAGACACGAGACGTCCTCGCTTTGCCACCCAAGCATACATATGGTATGTGCCGCACATACAAAACCTATGAGCTGACCTCTACGCGTTAGGAAGGAACGAGGCTACCACATCTTCTTCGGCCTCCTGATCACGCTCGTCGGCCTGATCATCACCGTAACAGCCAAAACCCACGGTTCCAAATACGCGGGTCTCTGCATCCTGCTGTTCGGCAGCTACGTCTCCGCACCCCTGACGGTGGCCTGGCTGAGCGGGAACACGCCCGAGCCCGGCAAGCGAGCCCTCGTCCTGGGCGTCAACGGGTTCGGCAACCTCTCCGGCGTCATTGGCTCGCAGCTGTTTCGCAAGTCATACGCGCCCGATTACCTCATGTGAGTTGAGTCGTCGTTTGCGAACATATTTGCACCCCAGCCTGTCTGTCTATGTGTCTATATCTCTGCCTATGTATCGAACCGGCGTGCTGACTGCGTGCTGAAAGCCCTTTCTACGTCACGCTGGCGTTCATTGCGATCGCGCTGGCCGGCTACCTCGCCTACCGCTTCACACTGGCAGCCGTGAACAAGAGACGGAAAGCCAAGCTTGCGGAGATGACGCTGGAGGAGATTGAGGACGAAATGACGAATCCGCGGAGGTACGCGGATAAGAAATATACATTCATGTATGGATTGTAATACTATAATACTATGAATGCCACGCCACATCACGCCTCTACTTTGGCTTTGCGTGCTGGGTCGAAGTCTAGCTGATTCGTCACCGTACTTGTGCGTGTTACGTATCAAGCTTGACTGTTGACCCTCGACTGATGGTGACTGTTGACTGTTGACTGTTGACTGTTGACTGTTGACTGTTGACTGTTGACTGTTGACTGTTGACTGGCGACCCCTGCCTATCTGCCTGAGTGACTATATACCTATGGCTTCTGTATGCCACTCTCATATTATTATTCCCAGCTTAGACACCGGCAGACCACGCAGCCGGGCTATCGTCAGGCACCGCCACAATTGGAACTAACCCCACCTACGTGAAGAGAAGTACAGAAGAACAAGAACGGATTCGCGAAAGAAAGCCCGAGGGCTAGTAAACATCATCTTTCCGTTCCGTCCGATACCCACCACCATGATGGGGCCTAGCCTTGGAGCGGCCATGACATGAGAGTGAGACGTTATAGACGCACAATTTGGTTTCCCGCGCGGCCAAACCAGCCGGTCGATTACATATATCACCACAATGCTTCTGCTTCTGCTTCTAATGAGCTCGCCCTTTTGTGGGGTCGCATGGTGTTGAATAATCTCAACAGTCAGTCACCCTTGTTGACGGCCAAATTCTCCCGACAGGCAGGGGAAGATTGATGCGGAGATTCGGTCACCCTTCCTTCGTGGTGGTGAATACCGACGAGAGAGTGGCAGAGGGAGCGGCGCAGTGTTGAGTAAAGGACAACCTCACGAGGTACTCCGTATCCGCTTTGGAAATGCTCCGAGGGAGTTCTGAGGGACAGGAGATTGTCAAGCGCTGGAAGCTAAAAGCTGGAAGCTGATCGCCAGGCGTCTGTCAAGGGCACAATACACATGATGAGGAAAGAGCTGCCCAGGTGGAAGAGAAAATTGCAATTTGCACATCGCTACGCTTGCTAAATTTCAGAATGTACTCCGTGTCCGGGCCAGAAAGCCAAGTCACTATGGTGCCAAATCATCCAAAATGTCGGTCTCATCCAAAGTTCTTCTCAACCTTCTTGATCCACTTGCCGATCCCTTTCTCGATCTTCTCCGTGTGAGTGGGCTTGCGCTGCGAATTCGAACTCCTCGAGGGTTTACTACTGTGGTGGTGGGTGTGATGTTCCGATTCGGTAGGTCGGTAGACTTGGTTGTGGATATCGTAGCCACCTGTAGCAGCAGGTTGGGGCGGTTGCGCTTGGCCATAGTTGTACGTAGAGTATCCCCCTAGCGGAGGCGCGGCTGGAGCCGGGGCTTGCCCGGCGGCCAGGTAGTCTGGATACTGTGGTTGTACATGTTGCAGTGGTTTATGCGGCTGGTCATTGATTGATTGGTAGAATTGTGTGCCGGGGGTCTGCACTGGCGGCTGGCCAAAGATGTGAGAGTTTGGATCCTGCCCGTGCGGTACATATGTCTGGGCAGCCGTTGATGGATGGCGGCTACTGTCGGAACCTGCCGCACTTGTTGGGGGTGGTGCGAAGTTTGTAGACACAGATGTCTGAGGTGAGGACTGCAGTGGCGTCGACGAAGCGTGAGAGCCAAAGGATGGTGGTGGCACTGTCGCTGCGGCCTGAGGTCCGAAGGACGGCGCGGGTGATGTGGTCGCATGAGGCCCAAATGAGGGCGCCGACGGTGGTGGCGGAGAGCCATAATGCCCATACGCGCCAGGAGCCACAATTGGTGGACCACCGAACGTTTGTGGATGCTGCGGAAGGGCGTATGGGTTGTCATGCCTGGCGGCGGCGGTCAGGCCTGTCCCGTCGGCGGCGTCGACTGGAGGAGGCGTGTCCTCTCTATGCGCAATAGGTTCTGGTGCGGCTGGCGCTGCTGGATTATAAGCCAGTGGTGTATAGTCATTCACTGGTGCATGTTTGGCAGCGGCTGAGGCGGGCGAGATTGACGGTGCTTGACCGGTAGCAGAGAGCCGGTTAGCAACGGCAGCCGGGGATGGTGACTGAACGGGCTTGTGTAGAGGTCCTGAGGCGTGTTCATACTGCCAATCTTTGTACGGCGGATCGGATATAGCCACATTCTCCAGATTTTGAACCACTGGACTCACCATGTCGTGGTGGGGCAGCTCTTCCTCGACCCCTCCAATGTCCAGCTGATTGCGCCGGAGGAGTCTCTTGAAGATGTCCAGGACCAGTTTCGAGTCATCCTGATTCCAGAGATAGATGTCGATGGTGTGTATCTTGTATTTGGAGGTGCCTGGATCTCGCGGATCTGAACTGGCAAGACGCCATTCGTCCGGATCTCTCGCTGTTCGGGGAGAAGTGGGCGAAGTGTTGGTGGTGTCTCCATCGACCAACAGCGTCACTCTTGTCGGGAATCTGTGGCAATGAATCACCTTGACATTGTCTAGAAAGCCGTTGAAGGCGGTCTGGTCAGGTGTTCCAGCATTGATCGCGGCTTCGACCCGACTGGTCTGCCTGGTGGAATTGTAGTAGATGTAGAAGTAGGAGGCTTTGTCGAAGCGATGGAGGGCTGGCCGAGGGCTGGGAGCTGTGAAGTAGGAATGTAAATCGGCGTACCTGGTTGCAGAGTGTCAAAATTAGATTGCGGCAGAGTCAAACGAGGTTGCGCCTTACACTGTAGCCAGTGTTTCTTCGCCTGGAAATGGCGGCATGCTGACGATCGGGTTGGATGAGCGACGCTTCGAGTTTGGCCGCTACAAACACACGCTCGCGCTACATTAACAATATCGAGGATCCGCTTTGCCAGGGAGGACAAGATGCTTTGCCTGCACCACGTGTGATGAGTTCCTTCGCACGTCAGTTGCGGGGGGCGGCTATTGAAGGCCATCGAGAAGGCTGATGTGGCTGCCAACTCGATTGTGGCTGAGCACGTTTCAACGGTCAGCCACCGCATGACGTTGGTGGGGCTCACACTACTGTGCCCGCGGTGCCCGGCCTCGCCGGTGCAGGCCCGTGAGGCCACAGGTTATCATACAGTACTACTCGTACGGAGTACTCCGTACCCTACTCCTGGAAAGCATTGTCATCCAACCGTCGACAAAGCTGACCTGGTGGTGAAACATCAGCTGCGCATGGCTATAACCACAGACACCCAGCCATCCGCGTAACAACCCCATCTGACGAGCTCCTCCAAAAGCGCACTCATTGGTACTGGTGCACCATGCAGAAGCGGTGTTGCAAGAATCGGAGTCCTCCTAGACGGGAACAAACTGGGTGCCAACTGGTGCAATGCCGTTCCCAGGGTTTGGGACTGTGTCCCTGTACCGCCTCGCAACGTCGCAGGCGAAGCGCCCTGACTTGCACCTGTAATCTTTGGGGAAACGTGTGACTGAAGGACTTTGATCTGAGCTTTACTTGGGTCCTGATCTGGCGCAGACGGTAAGTAGAGACGCAGGGGTATATGGCGCATCTGCCCTGGTGGTGGGACCAGAGAGCTGTGAATCTTGGAAAAATTTGATAGGTCGCCTTCTTGAGTCGACGTCCACAGAGCCTTGCTCTCTTGGGCAGAGAGAGTCATAATTGGTTTTGCAGTGCCAGACCTCAAAAAATCAGCCTCCTTGACCGAGTTGATAAAAGAGTCATGTAACACCACAGGGGTTGCCTCCGGAAGCATTGGCTTTTCAGAGTCCGACGTGAAATGCACAGCCAGCTTGAAAGGCAGAGGGGCCGGACTCAGGTGGTCTTGGCGGGCGTCCTGGGTGGACGCGACGTAGACGTCGTAGAGAAGGCCCAAAGGCAGATGCCATTTCAAGGGCACATCGTCATAGGTAAATACGCCAGAGTAGGGCGATATTGAGTCGGGTTCGGCGATAAGTGAGCTTGAGAAGAAGGTATGGAGCCGCGGAAGGAGCAGGGGTAGGTACGACAGTCGTGGTAGAGAAATCTAGCAAAAGTCAGTCAGTCCGCGAAGTGCTTGCTCTCCGAACGTAAAGCCCGACAGACCACGGAGACACATTCTTACCAAATAGGGATCTGCCCCATCAAAGGTACGGCACTCTGAAGCGGCTAGCCTGATCTGCAGAGGCAATCGGGCTTGCCACACAGCACGTTGAAGGGATTGCAAAGCATCGTCAGCCATTGCTGGCGGTGGTGCTTTCGTCTCGCGTTCTGCTTTCTGCCTATCGCAACACGAACTCGTAGTGCGGCAGACTGTTCTCGGGTAACGTCGTTAGCCTTGTCGTTGATGCGCGACACGGCGGCAGAACGTCACGTCCATCTGCGGCCTTTGCCTTGCCAGGAGCGGACCGTTATCCTCGCACAGGATATGCCCTGAAATAGGCGGAGAGGAGCAGCTGGTATGTAAATTTGTGCGACCGCGACCGGGCCTTACGACGGTGGATCCACCTCAGGTTGCATTTGAACCAGGAAGCAGGAGTCTAGTGGCCGCAAAGTGAGGTATTGCTGACAAGGTCAATTCAGGCTGCGGTGACGGAAGGCGGAAGGTCTCCACCTGCGCGCAGTGTTGTTTCGTTCCGAGTCCAATGTGATCTCCTGCAGCACTTTACTATGACCCGCGGGTTCATGTACAAAGTACACAGAAAGGGACCGATTCTTACTGTGCACTAACGACTGTAGTGCGTTCGCTTCTACTGCCAGAACCGTCTTAGTGACAACGCATCACAGCCCTAACTCAACCCCAGATCAGAGACAAGCGAGCCTGACGTCAGATACCGTTTCCATCCCCAGAGAAAGAACGCAACACGAGCTACACACGTGCCGCTCCAACAGCACCATGCCAACAGCGCGGTGATCTTTGCCATACAAAAGGGCAGACTCGGACTCCGGCGTCGCCTGTGCTTGCCGTGTCGCATAGCCAGGTTCTGACGAAGCACAGACGTCCAGCAGGTACCTCGTACTGTGTAGGCGTGTGTAGCGGCGGCTATAGTCAGGTCGCGCTCTTCAATGTGGCGCCAAATTGTACTTTTTCTAGAGTCATCTGGCAGGAATGCTACGCCATGCTGATGCAAAAGTTCAATCAAAACGGGGCCGGTCGTGTTTCATGAGCGAGCCGTGACAAGGTGCAGATAGAGAACCGTCATTGCTACAGCTGAGGTGGTCCAGTACCCCTGGCACATCTTGTACTGTGTAGGAATTATAAGACCTGCAACAGGACAGCATAGCTAGTCGCTAAACAATATCCCACGCATAGTCAGTGAAGATTCACAACCGCGTTGAGCTTCCCTCATAGTCGAAGCGGCAAGCCTCCTTCGGCCCATTCAGGCGCGTTGACGAAGCAATGCGAACGAGTCAACTTTCTGCATCTGGGAGCCCCTATCAGGGCTCTGGTGGCGGCCGGATAACACTATGGTATGTTCCGGATGGGAGTTGTGGTGTATAGGATTGCGGCTGCGAGGGCAGGAGGAGTGGTCGGGCTCGATCGTCCAGGAATGTGGCTAGCCTGAAATTGTGGGGCGAAAAGCCCTAACCGCACGTCTCTGCGCTGGTCTCAGGGACGTCCGCCTTCCGCGCAGCGAGGCGAACATCTGCTTGGTCGTGTGTTGGCGAAGGAGGCCCGCTCGAGGTGCAGGAGACAGACGACTGGAGGATAGATGGATTCGAGCTTCACGTCAAGAATGTGACATCTTGTTTCCTTTTTCCTCGCTTCCCGTCCACAGTTCTGCCCTCTGGTGGCCATATATTGTCGGCAACCATACGGAGTGAGTACGTATTTCGCTTCGGTGAGGGTCTCGTTGGGAATGAACTGCCGTGATTGCATCTGAGACTTAGCTCGTGAATAATCGTGGGGAAGTTTTTCAGCACGAAGGAATTCGATCTCCATAAACTAGAAACTTGATTGCGTGCCAGGTAATAATGCGCTCATGCACACGTTTCCTTGCCCACGGGCCATGGAAGGTTTTCGTGGTTACCCGTGCCAATGATGATTGCATCTCGGAAGGAGTTTGGTTAAAAAGGCCCGCGCCTTCTTTCGCCTCGAGAGACACTCACTGCTCAATGCGTGAGTAATCTGTCTGTGAAACTGGAGCAGCGACACCGCACCTGCGGGCCGTCGCTAAAATCTGCAACCTTTACGATGGGTGTCTCTGGACGGCACTTGCCGTGCCTTAGTCTGGGTTGCGACAAGGCCTGAAGGGGGAACCTCGCTATTTTGACATTTCCGGCAGCTAGCTCGAGGGGCACTAGCATTTGTGTCTCGAGCATCGTACCAATCGCCGATTCATCGGACGGTGGGAGCTCTTCACCACCAGCCTGCAGAGATTAGGCACTCAGATAGAGTTCAAGGCTACCACCAAGAGCTGATGGGAACCGCGACGAAGTGTCCTAAAACTTTGTCATGCTTACGGAGTACTGCTACAAGTGATCAAGGAACGGCTGCTCAGTACTCCAGAATGAGTGGGGTGAGACGGTATTTCGTTTAATGCTCAGAGGCTCCTTATGCGGTGGTCTTTCTCTCTTAAAAGCATGAGGCTGGCAGGCAAATGAGTGGGAGCGCCGGGAGGGAGAGAAATGGTTGTGTGTGTGGTGCAACGGGATCCTGGGCTCGATAGGGAGCAGGGCCCCCTAACGCTGAAGCTCAAAGGCCTCTGGGCCTAAGCAAGGAGGGCCCCGGGCCCGATGGTTTGCCAACTGAAAAGCTGATGGGGCAAACTGGTAACCCTTCGGCGCTTGGCCTCCCTTCCGCGCTGTTGGAGTTTCTTTCCTGCATCAGCCCCACAAAGCTAAACCACCCTCGGCGACATTTCGGCAGCTCCAAATAGACGCTAAACTGCTTCCAGCTTAATCCCTCTGACTCCACGATGATCCAAAGGAACGGCGCTCTTCGCAAATGTGTCGCAAGAGTGTCACCAACTCCTTCTGGACTGGTCGAGAGCCTGTCTCCCAATCGTGCCGCTGGTCTCAGGAAGCCCCATCCACTGCTCCGGGCCGCACAGCACCGTCTGGCACCAAACCCCACCAAAACCCGCCCGGCACGCATGGGTGTTTGGCCCCCTAGTCAATGATGATGGAGGGCGTCCCAAAATACCCATGAACGACCCGTCCAAGCGTCCTGCGTGCAGCTGCTTGATCTCCATATCCAGTGCTGCAGCTCGCCCTTTTTTGAACCAGAAGGCAAAGGGAAGTCTAACTTGCCATGTGGTGATCCCGCTGTGCCCGCTGTCAAAAGCTGGGCGCAAGCTCCGCTATCACCGCAACAATCCGCAACTTCCTCAAAGGTTGCCTGCAAGGAGGGACTCATTATTTAGGGCCACTGTGTCGTCCTCAGTAATCAATCTGACGCTGCTTTTCGCCTGGTTTTCCAGCAGACAAGGAACAGCCCGATCCGATTGTACCTCGAATCTCACATCTTGTCCTCAGACATCGCTACCTGACACTCGAGAACATTACCAGCTTCAGCGCGCTGCAACTCACATCACATTGGAATACCATTCAGCCGGCATCCTCCAATCCTCACTCACCATTTCGCGCCCCGACCTTCCTGCAACCCTGGAGTCTGCGCGGCCGTCCATACTCCTCCAATGTGCGTTGGCGTCTTCGACTCCTATATGTTTACTGTGCCTACCCTCAATCTAAGATCGAGCAGCTGCCGTCATCATTGTAATCTCTTCCTGCAAACGGCGCGCCTCAAAGCTGCTCATCCCGAGCGAGCTTAATTTCTGGATTGAACGGAGGGCAAAGCTGTCGTGCGGTACTGCACAGCCCTGTCAGCATTCATTGGTTCCACACAGCTCGACACCGGATTCTCATCCGCCCGAGCCATCCGTCACCTGTCAATCCCGCTCCACGACCGCACGAGCCTCGTTCAGAACATTCTTGAATACTTAGCCCTGGATTCGACAATAACGAGGACCGACAATTTGTGTGTCTTATCAGCCGACACCACATTCTGGCAAGACACGGAGCCGGGCGAATCAACTAAAACACCGGTCCTGCTAAATTTCGATAGGGCTGACAGGCGTATCACCGTGTCCTGCAACCTTCCCCCTGCTTTGTTGCGAAACTCAATGCTCCGGCCTTTGGTCCTCGACGCTCCTGATGTCAGCCTGATGCGAGTATAACACCAGTCCATTCCTCGACCCCGGCTTCGACCAAGACCTAATCTGACCGAAGCCCATGATTCGACCTTGAGTCGCGAAACGATGGTCCCATGGAATATTTTCACGCGGCAGTATGTCCAAGCCCTGTCAAACCTCTCTTTGATTGTTGCTAACAACAGCTTTCAGTGAACAAGGTCCTCACTGGTATACGGATCTCACTGAGCAGAATGTTTTTTTCTACGCCTTGATAGGCCCGAGCCAACTACAAAGGTACTCGGACTCGTCGATGCTTGAACAGACACATGAACGTCAGTTTGCCATCGCTCAGCTGGGAACTCGCAATGGTGGTTTTGAAGCCGACCATATTGCGCGCGTGGAGTCGGCCTTTCGGATTTCGAACCAGCACTTTGCAACTCACCCTCTGGAGGAGCCTTGTCGTCCAACCTCACCTCACGTCGAAGACCTGATGAACCTGCGGATACGGTCTCGCTCCTTCAGCCCATTACCAACCTTGGAGATAGATGCTCAGTCTGGAGCTGCGTCTTCCTCACCGCCACCTATCATGCCGCTGCAAAAGCCCCCGCGGTCTATCTTGAATCTCCACGAACTCATGAATCCTGACCCACCACCGGCTGCAAAGTCGAAAAGAGAGATGTCCGATGACGACGACGACATGCCTCGAATTCAAGCTGAGGGGTGCCCTGGGAGGCATGAGATTGATAATGACCACGGTCCCAACAACCCGCCCCCGTTCACATACCCTCGAGCCAAACAAATGCCCCGTGAGGGTGGGCCCGTCCGAACTCGCAGAGTCATTAGAATGCGACGGCCAAAGCCACCGAGGCACCGTTCACGAGGAGATCCCCGGAATGCTTGTCAACTTGAGAAGGACTGTCAGCTTCTGCTTAACCTGTCACAATGGAGTCCGCCAGAGGGCTTATGACAGTTCACACGAGGTATATCACCTTTTTATTTTCCTATCAGCCACGATTTTGATTCAGCACACGCGACATCCAATGCACGACGGGTACAACAGCACCGCATTCCGGCCACTGGAAACAACAATCATTCGAGTATACATAGTATCTTTTTGTGTCCGAGGTGGACATTGGTACATATCCCGGGCATGGCGTCCAGGGTGTAGGGGAACCATCCAAGGGCTGTGCAGTCCTCTTGTTTCTTTGCGTTTCTTTAGCGACGGCGCTGGGAGGATCTGCGACGCCACGAATTGTTGAGACGTTCTCTCGATCGGGAGAAATGGAACAGATGCAGAAGCATGGGTTGATTACTCGGAAGGAAAGGCAGGAAATGGTGACAACCCGATGCGGTTGCAGTTGAACACCGTTAGATCCGACGATGCCGATTTAGGGCTACCGCCCCGGGTATGCCCCACGACCACTACACTCTATACACGTACCAAGCCATGTCCCCTCAACATGAAGCGTCCTGTCATTTACTGCCGCCGAAGCTTTTGCGTTGAACATGTCTCTCTCAGTCGACTCCGCGTATTCTCAGCCACAGTCATGCTTACTCTTCCACCAGTACGAGCTATGATGAAGCATATGGTGATGGCAAGGCACTGGTAAGTGATTACTTCCGCCCCACGGTGCACATACACGGCCACATACCGGCCACGCGTCGGAACCGCCGACCTGGAGCGACGCATTCACCGAGATTATAAGTTGTCATACTACTGTAGGTGACAGACCGGCAGGCTGTCAGTTGCCAACATGATGACTACCCCGTGACCGCTTCTCCGAGGGCAAAGCAATGTGCATAAACCGTGAACGGACAAGTCGTCCCTGGACGGTGCCGCATGTTGTGCCGGCCCTATCGCTTCGAGCAAGTAGACAGTAGAGCAAGTCACCACAAGGGCTATTACTCATGAGGGCAATATTGCGACGGCGTTGGGAAGCAGAATACTGTACTCCACAGCACGGAGTCGACACTTGATTTGGCCGCATAGTTACGACAGTACTCCGTACGCAGAACCGACCACCTTCTGAAACCCCGTACGAGTACTCGTACCACAGTACAGTACTTGCGTACTTTCCAAGCTTCAATTCGTCTGCGGGTGATCGCCATCTTGGTTGCCTCCAGGCATGTACAGGAACACAATAGGGGAGATCAACGGCCAACCGCCGGACCCAGAAGTGACCTTTTGCATGCAAGGCTGACGCTGGGGATGGTGCTTGCTTGGTGTGCTTGCTTGCTTCTGTCGGAGGGGGAACCCCATGACGTTGATCTGGGCCACGTCAGGAACGATCCAATCGGATCTTCACAGCCTGACTTCCTGATTGATCTCCGACGGGTGCCTCATGGTTTCATCTTTCCATGCGAGGCACAACAGGACGAGAGGTTACCCGTCGGGAGCGGCCTAACGCACGCGGGTCAGCACCCGAAGAGGTCCAGAAACTTTCTACATCCACAACATGATAAACTTCTCTAATTAATATTGTTGATCATCCTCGCGGCGGGGCGCTCACGGGGTGTCAGGCGCTCCATGCCATGGCCACAGTCAGCCCTGGCGTTGCGAGGTACAGTAAGGCGGCAGCAATCCTTCGGTGCCCGGACGAACATCTCCTGATGGGGAAATGAAGCACACTACGGAGTACTCCGTACTGATGGACCTTCTGCTGGCCGTGGCCGCCTGTGGGGCAATGTCAGCGGCGGACCAGAAGCAGTTTGAGGACACAGTCTAGGTAGTACAAACCGGAGTCTTTCTGCAGGCGGCGACGAATGTACTTAGTACCCTGTACCCCAGACGGTGGAACTTCTGCTTTCGCCACCGCAACTGCCTCTAGTGATGGGTACTGTGTACGGAGTACTCGTACCGAAGTCCTTCTTTTGCGTGGACCTCCGTGTCTGCTGTGACTGATTGATGATTGTCGATTGATTGATTTCTCGGACGGCGAATCCCCGCCCAAGCGGGCCCGCTGCGATTCGCGAAGCCGCTGAAACAGCGACCCTCAGCAACAAATGTTGCAACCAAAGTCAAGGATTGGATTCCTGGCGGATAGAGCGCACGGAGTACCCGTCCGAGTACGGACTTCACAGGATGGGGTTCTGTTTCATCGACTGGCGCTTTAGCAGGCAATTTCTCTGCGAGGAGGAGCCAAAGTAGCTGATGGAACGGACCGTCACGCCGCTCCATGTCGGTCGAGGTGCTTGCCTGGCGTTATGCCTAGGGTACCCAGTCCGGGGTACCGAGCACTGTTTACCCCTCCCGCCATTATTCCAGACACAGGACTCCTCCATCCACAGTCCTATGACTCCGTCTTTTGGACTGGGTAGTCGGGCAGGATGCCGGCTCTTCTTCGTCCGTGCCGACACGTCCGTGGTCCCGTAACTGGTGCCTCGAAAGGGTCAGGATCTTAGTCAGGAGTCACGCTCCATTGACGTTGACAGCTCCTCGTGCACAGAAACACAGGCCACGTCCGGCTTAAAGCGGGATACTTACTCATGCCTAGAAAGGTAAGACGTTGCTACCAGACAGCCACGGCGTGTCCGTAGATCTACGTAAACAGTACATAGTAGAGGTGTCAACCGTGGTGTCGAAATCTGACAGGTCATATGCGCCAAAGGCCCTTGGACCAGGCTGGCTGGCGTAGCGGGAGACACTGTTGCCAACCAAGGGTGTGCATGCACGCGTCTTCCAATTCCGTTCGCCCTGTTTCCCAGGGACCTGCTGAGTCAACTGGTAGCCCCGCACCGCTGTGTAACATTATTCAAGGCGGCAACCCAGTAGCTCACCCTCAACTGGGCGCACGGGGAATGAAGTTGGAGACGATCTTGCGTTGTCACAGGGGCAATGGTGGACAAGGGCGGCCAGTCGGCTTGGAGGCGAGGCAGGGGTGGCGCCAGGGGATTGCGGAAATGTATGCCCGCGGACGCACTTGGGTGTAGACAGGCAGGGGGTACACAGTACTTTTGACTGCCCTGTGTGCTCTGCGCGGATTCCCCCAGCCTACAAGGTCACCTAATTACAGTATCTGCATCGCGCTTGGCTTCGGTGGCCTTTGCCTCCCTGAGGCCCTCCCAGGAGTGACCTCGAGTCATGCATCTTCTATGCAATTTTTTTCGTGCTAATCTCGAAGATGGGATGCTGAGCGGGAGTCGGTAATTTTACTCAATCCTGACTACGGAGCACATGCTCAGCACGCTGCTGCAGCAGCTCCATCATCACGGTGCTCGACTTCCTCTCGAAGCATCACAGCCGCTTCCCACCTTCGCCTTGTCTGTCGTCGACTCCCTACACCTGCGTCTTCGATAGGATTCCTCCGCTGAGAATCGCACCATTGCCATTTACGAGTACTGTCCACTCTACCCCTGCCATTCTCATCTTCCGGGTGTGCAAGCCTCGGCCGTCACTGCGCAGGTTGCCACCAACAAAGTTGCGACAACCTGAACTTTGCAGGGTATCCTGGACTGCTACCCTTGTCCGCTGTCTGTCACGTCAAAGCCACCTGCTTTTCTACGCGAGGTCAGATGGATATCGTTTCCGAACCGAAGGCAGCGACAGAATAGCGCGACTGCGATTGTACTCCGTACACACCTAGTATTATGTACGCGTCATCGACAGCACCCACTCACCACACTCGGTCACTCTTTTCACACTCACATCACTCGCACCTTGTAGCAAGAGTAATTGCATCTCCAAGCGACGTTCCCATATGTGGCACGGCACGGGGAATTGGTTGAGACCATCCGCGCCTCGCATTGATTCCCTGCTCTCCCTATGGCCCTACCCCTTCCTGCTCAGTTCCAGACAGGCCTACACACTTCCCCGAGTAACCGATGTTACACAGTGCTAAGCATTCGAGCAGCATCCACCACACTATACTTAAGACATGCCTGGCTGGGGAACTCGGAAGAGATACGCACGCGAAATTGGCCACAAATGCTACGACGACAACAGATCCTTGACTCCGGCAAATAGGCAAGCCAAGTCAATGCAGATCACGACTCCACATACTGGAACGCGAGTTCGATGTTCCTAGACGCGATGGCACAGCGACCTGCTTCGACTCTCAATGCGCACATGGGTTATCCTCTTTTCTCTCCGGACATGTATTCGAGAACCCCACATCTTCACGGAGATCTGGCGTGGTCGGCCAACTCGAGATACCTCAACGTTCGTGACGGGAAAGAGGTTATCACCCTCCCACTGCAAGTATAAGGTACGTCCACACATGCGGCCTTGCCGTATGCGTCTCGCTTATAATGCGTTCGTGGGCACCATCCAAATCTGTATGTCTTAATTGTGCATGACCAATCACTTCTCTTTCCCGGGCCACAAGCAACGCGAGCCGGCAAAGAGGAGTCACTGTCTTGCGAACCACGGGCTTGGTAAGCCATATCCGGCATCCATATCATCGAAGCACGAGAATCGCACGTTGTCTTCACGGGAGGGGCAAGAAGTTCTCATCCGAGGTGATTGACATCATCAGAGATTGTTTGGCCGTCCGAGTACTTTGGCCCGTGCAGGACAAGGCTGGCATCGACCTGGATCAACAGCCGTTACATCCATGCTACGGGCTCTATGCGCGAGTAGCTGCGGTGACCTGATGTGTGGTGGTAACTTACACCAAACCGGATGTCCAGTACAAGGTCGACCGTCCTTCACCCCGCCGTGTCCTCAAGCTTAAGCTGATGCTGAGGCCCCTATGAGTCTTCTCCGCGACTTGGTATACGGAGGAAACAATTGTCACTTGCAGCATGCGCGATGGATCCTCTTGGCTCTTTGTGAGGGTTGCCTAACTTCAGCCCCTTCTCCGATCTCCAGACAGGAGCCAGAGAATAACGACAACCATGGGGAACAAAAGAAGGTCATGTTGGATTAAAAGTCGGCCACAGCTGTTTTCCTGGTGTATATTTTCGGATCGAGTTGAAGCACAGAAACCATGTCTGTTTCATGATACCAAACCGTGGCTTCGGGGGGCGAGGACACCATTGGGCTCTATAAGCCGTCACAGTCACTCTTACAATGCGATCACGATCTGATTGAGACCGTTGAGTTGCATGTCGCTTCGTGAGTTGACCATTCGACGAAACGATCGCCGTGCCTTTGCCTGTTATGCTGCATATTGCATACGAGGGGCTCCGGCGAGTAAGAAGCGAGTCTTGGTGGTCATCGGCATACCTAGATTTTGGCTCGAAGCTCGGCTCAGCGATAAGCCTCCATATTCTCAGGGCATACAGGGCAGGCAGTTTCATCCTCACTGTCAGCGTTGGCACTGACCTCCACGTTCTTCAAGACATCTCGGCGGATACCTAACTGGGCTATAGTGGGTGCGTGACGCGATCTCACTGATAGCCCGTCCACTGTTCTCATCGCCATGGGTTCCTCCGTTCTTCCTGGTTCTTGCGAGGGCAATATTTTAAGCTCAAGGTCATGAGAAAGCAGGGCTCGACGTCCTCGTATGTTCAGATTACCCCGCTACTGTATCAGATGCATACACCGCGGGGCAAACCAAGAGGCACTAAAAGGCACATCGAGCCGTACTCCCTCCAGCTACATGTACATCTTCCCAGCCACTCCGCAGCGCGTTGGACAGATACTGTACCCCGCAAGCGAGTCGGCTCGGACCCAACTCGCTACAGTGAACGACTACACAGCATGCGCAGGTGAGGTTTAAGAGAATTTGAGGTGTCTCTCCATGCGGAATATGTCGTGCACAGCACATACGTTCCAAGCACAAATATATGCCCTTACCTTACGCGCTAGACTCTGTTACCCAACGTGCCCCCTGGTACTGTGTATCGTCAGTCACCCAAGGCACAGGAGAATACGGACATGCGCATTCCATGCACAGTACCGCATACGACATTCAAAGGCCCTGCATTCCCTCACTACCGTGACAGGATCTACTGTACGGGGGGGAAGGGGGGCACCAATAACCATACCGACCCTTATCACCGGCGCACATCTTCGTGCCCCTCCACCCACCCGCCACATACGCAAGCAGGTGTGACACTGTGGTGAATTGCACATTCATCCCCAACGCTAGAGCAAAGCTTGGTACCTCTTGACCAAACCTTGACTTTGAGCTTATCTCGCATGCGGGGGAAACGGCCAATGAACGTCCCAAAGTGATAAAGCCGTCCACCCCTTGCCCTGTGCCTTGTGCCCCTCCCTTTACTCCGTACACGCGCCACTATCCGGGGTATGTAATGAAGCACGTACGATACTCGCACTGGAAGCTCCTGCCTACTATGTACTCCGTACAATGCGCCCGCGTGGGCCTAGTACGGTAGATATCGTAGATACTGTAATTAGTGAGTCGTCGGACTTTCAACTCGCATTTGCCATTAACATCCCGCATGCGTATGTAATTATACTTAGAGACACAGTGTACAGTGTACATCATCCTGTAATCAATGCTTCAATTTCCTCCCAGGTACAGTAATGCATCCCAATCCGACGCGACGCGATGCGCATACTACAGTACTTACGAGATATGTCGCCCCCCGTCAGACTATCTGACTGAGATGAAGTATGCCCAGCCAGCGGCCAAGGCTGACTCTGACTCTGACTCCGACTCTGATAACAATACGAGGTGAGCTGGACGTGTTACAGTCTGGCTGGCCAGGCGCACGAGAGCGAGAGTGAGAGTGATGAGTCTCACGTCTAGCCGCCCATCAGAACGCACGCAATCTCACAGAGACTTTTACGGATTAGGTTTAGGGCATGCCATGACCCGCGTTTTTGGACCTTCATTTCCTCAAAACTCCTGCTCCTGCCGCTGCTACCCACTGCCTGTTCTTTCTGATCTCATGTTATCATGCATGAGCATGAGCACGAGCACGAGCTTACGCCACGTAGGAGTAAACTGTTTGCTCGTACTCGTGTAGCAACCACTAGACGGGGGCCGTTACATCGTAAGTACCAAGTATTATTCTCGGGGATGAGGATGAGGACGAAGACGAGGACGTGGACACGGGATTCCTGTCCGCTCATATCAGGCTATCCTTGTCTACAGTATTGGTAGTGGCTGACTCGTAAGGGCTCGACATGCTCCCATGCTCGTATTGCCTTCGTTAATTCCCTTATCTTTGGGAAGTGTGGGCCAGTAGAATGATAGAACACAACAAAATGTCCGCAGGACGAGTAGTTGCAGGGTGATAGACATGCAGGGTAGTCGGTTGAGTCGATCGGGGTCGTCGATCTGTCGATCCACCCCGCTGGTTTGCATGGTATGCGACGTACGGTCCAGTTCGGTCTGGAGATGATTAGCATTTTCGAATTCCCCGTCGGTGTCCGCGTATGGAAAGAAGTTGTTGATATAAGCGCGTTGTCTCGTGGCTTGTGAACACGGAGGGCGATGTTCGGGAGCTCCTTCGGATAGCCGAATCGACGTTGACACAGACACAGACAAAGACACAGCACACACAATTTCGGGTGAGTTCGTGAGGCTTTAGGGCTGAAGATCTTTGCGACACGCTGCACTGCTGTCGTTGGGATACCGTGATCTTCGATCTGTGGCTGCGTACGTACTCACAGCAAACAAGTCGCAGCTCGGGACTTTCCATTCTAAAGTGTAAGAGCTGGTCTGATATCGATATCTCAATCAACCAACGTTCAACTCTCGAGACCCGTTCTCGACTGCAAAATGACAGTCCAGACCAAGGATAAAGTGAGCTATGTCCATTTTGGACGCGGCGGTGCAGGTATGTTGGCATTGTCTTACCCCTTCGCACACATTATGGCACTCGCCACTTTCCCTTCCTGTCTAGAACCGTTCTCTGACTCTCGAGCAAAAAGGAAACTGCACCGACGCACCAGCGAGGGACGCACGTCGCCCGCTCTGGGCATCTGACTCGAAATCTGCATCCACACCCGCTCAGTTCAACATAGGTCGACGCTATTCGACAGGCATAGGCGGCACGGGAAACTTCTCATTCCCAAGGAAAGTCGACGACGCCAAGGACGCAGAGGGCAAAAATGAGGACATGGCGCGGTTGCTATATGACCGTTCGGCGCCCGGGATCGTCCTTGTCGAGGGTGGTCATCATACGGGAATAGGTATGGCATTTGCGCTTTTAGACTGCCAGTCGATTTCGGGTTTGCTGACTGATGCTAACGTGGAGCGTTGTGACATAGGCGGCTTCGCAAACAGGTATCAGCCCACCGACCTTGAGGACCAGGAAGCACGGCTGAACAACGAGAATATGCGGCGACAAAGTCTCGCGGGTGTGGCACGGCGGAGGGCAAGTATGGCTATGTCGACTTGTTTGCCTTTGAAAGAACCGTGTAGTCGCACGGGTAGTCTAGCATCAATGCGTTATTTCGTCATGGGCATGGGACGAACACCGAGCAAGGTCTGATACCGGTGGAGGAAAGGAAAACGTGTCCCTCAAAGTGGAATGTGTCGTGTGATGTTCCATGATCAAGATCAGTGTGCAGATTGGCGGTTCGGCAGATTTACCGCCATGTAAGCTCTACTGCTCAAACACGGAGTGCGTGTCCGACATGCAGCCTTATGGTTCGGGAACACGCTTAAGGGCGCTGGCTGGCGTTGGATCGGAAGTGTCCTGGTGACAAATGTTCTCAACTCTGAATTTCCGGTTGACGTTAAACGGAGAGCCAAGTTGTGGCGTTCGGTCGATATCATGTCTTCCACATCTCTTGTAATGACCAGGAAGAGACATCCACTGTTGCATTGCCCTCGCTGACTGTGATTTGCTGCGCTGCTGAAGGGAAGGGTCCATTCGCCCTCAATCTGTATGTAAGCGTCGACCCTGAGCAAGCGGGCTGCTGTCGACGTTTCTGAATTGCGCTCAAACTGTCAAGTTGGCAAGTTCGGGCAGTGACTACGCTCGGCTGGTCTATTTCCCAGAGGTTTCTGGATGGAACCTGAATGTTTGATGTTTCCGGCTTGCAGTCATACGTGGAGCCATAGTGTGATCTTGAAAGCTTCCGGCAGAAATGGGTAGACCGCGATGCTGAGGCTGGTGTGTTCATCGTACGAAAGGCCATAAGCGGTAGTGAAAAGACGCAGCTATGCCAGGGGTCGCAGTCGAGGACGCAGTGCGACCTCACGTTTTGGTCTTTCTACAGCGACTGGTTCGCAAGCGCTGAAGACGCAGTCTCGACCCTAGAAGAGCAGTCGCGACACAAGCGACTGATGTCCATGCGTGAAAAGGGTGTCGTGGACATCGCCAGATCATCAATCGTCCCTGTAATTGTGCTCCAGAGTCTCGGGCTTTCGTTGTCTCGAAGGTGCAATATCGCCATTTCGCATCCCGACCTGAGACGGCAGCGTTTCGACATGCTCGAGTCTTGCGATTTCCAGGTCGAGGTCGAGGTCTGGAGCACCAGCCCTGCTTGTACTTGACCGTTTCGGTTGCGAAGTCCTTGTCACATCGGTGTTGATTTTGGTCAAGTCAACGAAGTCGGCGATATCGGATTCACCATTCAGTGGGGAAGATTTGCGCTTCTCGTCGCTAGTAAGCGGAAGTGAGGATTTGTTGCCTCCACAAAGTGCACTAGTTTCCCGAGGATGGCGAACTCCAACTTGAGCTTGATCGAGTAGAATGTTGGTTTGGTGATCGTCTCAAGGATATACAGAGAAGCACATTCCAGACCCAGGAGACCCAAGTCCATGACAATGATCAATATGTTGATGGCCATGAGTTGATACATCAGTCTCTTTGTGCTATCCTGGACTGAAGTGCGGAGGATGCGAATGGTCTCGGCGATATAGATTGACGACAGAATGACCTCTTGTAAGAAGAAACCACACATCTGTACTTTCTCCATGACGTTGTATCCACTGACATAGACCTGTGGATGGCTGTCGGTATTTGAGCCGATGGTGAGGACAGTCGTCGGGACGTGGAGGACAATAGCATTGACGATAATCATCCATTTGGTGTAACGGAGGATCTTGTCGCCTTTCTCGCCGGTGACAATAAGATGAAGGCGCGACCAGAGCACAATTGCTTGGCCCGTCACCATGGGATACCATCCGATGGAGAGCAGGAAGACCGAGAACCATCGTGCTCCGCCGGTAAGGATCGAGAAGTATTTGAAGAGAAACCCGACAGAGTAGGGAACAATGCCCCAGCCGGAGATGACCAAGCTCCAGAAATACAAGCCCTTGAACTTGGCGAATGTGCCGAAGATGAGAACTTGCAGTTCGACCACATTGTACAATGCGAGGCCGAGGAAGAATGCGATTAGGACCTTGAGGGTCAAGCTGTCACCTTCATAGCCACCTTCAATTCCCCGGCCGGCTGATGAGTATGAGCTGGACGATGCCGTGGCGCTGGATGACATTGTTAAACCAGAGACGACACGGCCCCCCTCGGCGTCGACTGGTGTCGTCGCATCAGCGCAGGAGTCGAAATTAGTGTGAACTGAGATTCGTCTTGTAGCGCCAATGACCACCTCCTCTTTCTCGGCATGGAAGGAGCTTTGCTGGGGCTGCTCGGCGCATCTTGACGGAAGAAGACCTTGCGTGTGGAGATCTTAATCACTGCCGATCATTGACAACCCCGCGACGATTCTTGCGTGAAAATTCTTGGGTTGCGACGATGTGTGTGCGTTCCAGGAGCTTATTCCCTGCTTGGGCAGTAGCTAATTGGGGCCCCAGCGCCCGTACAAGTGCTACGAGTAACTAACGAGCCGCTGAGTCCCAGGCGCACTACGTCATACACCTATCATGCTGGTCACGCTTCTTCCCCAGATTCTGGGCGGTGGAAGACGGAGGCTGAACCGATTTATTGTCGTTGGCTGCTTGAGCTGATAGATATCCGCATAAGGCTGTATCAGCTTATCGTGTCCCCATCAAGGCGGTGTCGATTGCAGACTTGGCCCAAGAAAGCAGAGGGAGGATTCAAATCAGAATGAACGCCGGAAACATGTTGCAAAGAGCCGTACATTTCCCTACGCGGCTCAACAGGCTTTGGCGGCTTAGAGCGTAATGAAAATGAGGGCAGTCCGATTTTCCAATACTCCTCTCAGATGGCTCCAAGTTCATTCAACTCTCACGAGCTGGAAAGCGTCAATGGCGTGCGCTTGTCACTGGCAGTGAAATCGAGCCCACTCTGGAAGTGGCATTCAGAGCCGTGGTCAAGGAGATGCCATTGACACTCGCTGCCTTGCATGCGTCTCGTATACCGACCCTGCTTGCAAAGTAGAGCCGATTCCGAATACTGCTTCGAGCGTTTGACAGACTACCACCTAGATATGCTCTTGGCAGTATATCACCCCAGCCGAGAGGCTGTATTGAAGATAGAAGAATTCCTTTGTACCAGCCTGGCAATGATGGAGCTCGAGCTGGTTGCCCTGGATATCAAGGTTCGGAGGCGAGACAGCGGGATTGTTTGCCAGTGCCACGGATGGTATCGAATAGGTGACTGGAATCGGGCAACTTCAGTGCCTGGTTGAGCGCCCACGAGGCTATAGATGGAGATGGTCGCAACGGGCTCCATTTTCATGGCAGACATCGGACAACTCGACTTTGAGCTGTTTGCCAGGCTTCAATCTCGACCCAGTTTGATGAACGAGGAAACTTGTCGCGGAAATTACATGAACACCCAACAGAGGCAATGACCCAGGAGTTGACTTGATCAGCCATATCCAGCTCCCCTTGTGTTCTCTCTATTTTGCCGACGATCGTCTCTTTGCCGCGAATCTTGCGGCAAGGAACCCTGGCTCAGTACCTCGAGCCAATTACTCGCCATGACTGGGTGTTGCCATACACCGTCTCTTTCGCGTTCGCCCACCACTACGCCTGACGATGCCGGGCTCGGACTCCTTCGTGCGTAGTAAGAGTAAGGTGGGAGACTCCCGCTTGTGGAAGTTCTGTCCAGCGCTAGACTTTCCCGCCAGCTTGTTCTCACTGTTTCACCAGTCTGTGCTGCCGTGAGGTCTGTCAGACGTGTTGAGGGGATCGAGACGACAGAGGATCGTGGGGACGCAGGAGGATGGGTGCCATTCCCAGCTTCCACGGTAAATTGGAAGCCTATGGGCTGCTTTTCCTCCGCAACAAGCAACGAGTGTTGGACGGTGTCTTCGTATGCTGGCGGGCTTTCTTCTAGTGGGTAGTCCCAGCGACGTGGGAGGTGACGAGTGCTGCTTGCTCGTGTTTGATTCGTGACGGAAATAATGCGAGCGTGACGAGTTTCCGCTTCCAGCTTGCTTGGCCTGTCACTGGAGGAGCAGCAGAGTGAGGAAAGGGAAGGCATTTCTGCCGGTGCTACTGATGCATGTGTTAGCCAGGCACAAGGCAAGACAGCTTCCAGCACCCAAGGTAGACCCAGGAGGATTGTCAGATGTGTTTAAGACGATGGGTTGAGATCAGGCTGCCTGCCCAGCCACAAAACCGCCTGCCTGGCTCAGCCCCCAAGAACTGTACGGGATGAAAGCTGTAGATTCAACCGACGGCGACATCTTGGAGACATTCTCCAACACACGCCTTACACAGTACGATGTTCATCCTTTCAGGTTCTGCAAAGCCTGTCCTTGAATCGTTTCCAACCAAAGCAATCGTTCTCTTGAGGTGTAGCCGGTGTTGTCTGTGAATCACCAACACACGCAGTCATAAGTGGTGAGCATTAGTGAAGTTTGGAGGTCTCTCAATGGTTCCTGCTGTTGCAGTCTTTTCTCCGGGTCAGTGAGGTAGTGAACATGTCTATGGCTAGCACCTGGGCTGATTGAACATAGATACAGAGAGGATGCAAATTGGCGAGAATTAGACTTGCTTGTTCCAAATCAACGATATCGAGTTATTCGAACGGTATAGTGATTCCTTTTAGCCATGATAAGCAATATTGGAACCGTTGCTACTCCTCTGGAATGGTTCGGCCGCCGGCACTTGTCTTGTTCAGTTCCGTGAAACAACTGCTCATTATTAACCAATATTGAGCTCGGTCAAGAATGCGCGTATCCTCCCTGCTCCATACGCCGTAGATGAATGCAATGAACGACAAGCTTAAGCAACTCTGCGCAAAGAGCGCGACGGACACGGTCAGCACTCTCTAAATCTGGTCTTGCTCCTCCTTGAGTCTCGACCACCGGTATCTCCACGTCCAGCACTGTGGCGGGGGTTGCAAACTCGGCCTTTCTTGTCCTGAGGATGTGTCGAAGCCCGCAGTCTTCCAGTTAGCAAGGCGCAAAGGGGCAAACTGGAACCCAACAGTTGCACGTCACTTGGTGCACCGAGACACCGACAAGCTCCTCTTCGTAGGTCAGTGACCACTCTGTGCAGATCTTTTGCCCCGCCAGATGATACAGAGCATCATCTACCACAACCTCCAGCACGGCGCCCTTCTGAGGGAAGCGAGTACCCTGCACCCGTGTGGGGCTCGTGTTGACTGCATGCTCGATAAGACCTGTGACATCGCAAACGGGATGCGAAACTCCTGGTTCGAGCGTGGCGGATCATTTGTCACTGCGGTGTTGTCGTGCCTGCTCAAGTATGCCTCACAAACTGGTGAGAGTATTCCCCAACATGTGGAACGCGCGATTAGCTCGCAGTAAGGCTGCTTGGTGGTTGGCCACGGAGGTATCTGAGCAGATCCGCTTGAAAAGGGCCCGCCGTGGCATGGATAGCGAACGCGCTCTCGAAAGTGTCGTCTTTCATAGATCCTTCTGCAGAGCCTCCTCCAAGGGCTTCAGCCCATCAATCATACCCTCAAGCTTTTCATCCATCTTCTTGAGTTCATCCTTCTTCCTCGTATTCTCCTTGACCAAGGCCTCTTTGGTTTTGACCAACTCCAACCTCTCCTGCTCCATCTTCTCTCGTTCTTGCTTCTCGTGCTCGATCCTCAGCGGCATCAACTCCTGCTCCGATGATTCAGCCTGGTCAGGAAACATAGCCAGATACTCATCCAGCGGCCGTAGGGGTAGATGTGTGTAGGCATGATCATAACCTTCACAAGCGCCGATTTCACCCATCAGATGTCTCTGCTCATAATACAAATTCTGGAGTTGTAGGAGTAACCGGTCAACCTCTTGCCTCGCTTCTGCTGTCTCTTGTTTGGTTGCTCTCGCGCCAAAGGCCGCTTGCCGTTGTTGACCGCGTAACTTTGCCAAGTATGCATTCAGTATCTTCTGCTGTTGTGCAAGTTCTAGCTTCTGCTCGGGTGAGGGAGTCGCGACTGTCGCATTTTCTTCAAGCCATGAGAGGACGGAAAGTGTCTTTGTTAGCGTGGCGCGCGACGTTTCTAGCAGCGGTTGTAGCCTCGGATCTCTGATCTGATCGCCCACTGCCATGGTCGCGCCTCTTTCGTATTAGGGCAAGCGTCCAGACGTCTTTGCGAGAGCTGCGTGAGCAGGAAGGAGTTGGGGTGTAGGTGCTGAAGCTGTGTCGACGTCTTGGGTGATCGCAGGCGACGCAGTAAATGCGCAGCCAATCGGAGTGGACATTCGACGGAGAAATATTTCTGAGGTTGCTCACATTCTGTTCTTTCCCGAGCCTTCAAAGCATGGCGCCAGACAGGGGACCCGAGGACGCGGTCGCTTCGCTGGACTTAGCACCACAAGTTAACGGCACCAAAGACGTTACTGACTTGTGCGATCCTCAACCGATCCCAGAGACAATTCCACCTCACCTCTCGCATGACCCTGCTACGAACGCAAAGCGGACAGATCCCTTTCAGTTTGGGCAGCGCTATCTGTCAGAGCAGGACGATGTTTTCCAGTACAATGCATGGGACCATGTAGTTCCAGACGCGGCTCACTATGAATTCTGCGAGGCGCAATATGCCGCACAACGTGAAGCCCCCGTCTCTGACTTTGACCGAGCGCGCTTCAACGACAACCCAGAAAAATGGTGGGATTTATTCTACAAGCAGAAGACCAGTACCTTTTTCAAGGATAGGAAGTGGCTGGCTCAGGAATTTCCAGTACTCAAAGAAGTTACAAACCCAGACGCAGGGAACAAAGTCGTCCTCGAAGTAGGTGCAGGGGCCGGGAACACTGCGTTTCCTATCCTGAGGATGAACGAGAACCCTCGGTTGAAGCTTTTTGCAGTCGATTTCAGCAAGAAGGCCGTCGAGACAATGAGGAATGCGCAAGATTACGCAGACTCCAACGGGATCATGAGGGCTGAGACCTGGGATGTTGCTGGAGAGACCCTACCCCCGGGTGTTGCAGAAAACAGTGTCGACATTGTGATTATGATATTTGTTTTCTCCGCACTCAGTCCGAAACAGTGGCAGCAGGCACTGACCAACATTCAGCGTGTTCTGAAGCCCGGCGGAGAAGTGCTATTCAGGGATTACGGGAGAGGGGATCTGGCCCAGGTCCGGTTTAAGGCGGGGAGGTGGATGGAAGATAACTTCTACGTTCGTGGAGATGGCACCAGAGTCTACTTCTTTGAGAAAGAGCAACTCGAGGAGATCTGGGCGAACGGATTCGACATCATGAATCTGGACGTGGACCGGCGGCTGATTGTGAACCGGCAGCGGCGCATCAAGATGTACCGTTGCTGGATTCAAGGACGATTTCAGAAAAAGGCGATCTCGGACGCAGATGGAGCAATCTAGAGCATGGATCTCTGCTTCGCAAAGGTACACTAAGAGCTACTGTACACAAGATTATGACGCCTGAGCCAATCCGGGACACTGAAGAGCAGCACGCGTGAGGGAATGCGATCAGGCGTGGACAGACAGTCGGCCACATGCCAGTATATTTGTCCTCAAGTCAACCAGTGTACTTGCGGGAATACAGCGAATGCTGTAGAACGACCACCAATTGGACTCTACGAGCCTCGCATGTGAAGATGAGCTGCATGACAGCAGCGAGAGCGCCAAAAGAGACCGCCTCGGCTGCACCTCCAGGCGTCCTGACGGACAGCAGTCATTTGAAGATATTAGTCACGTGTCTGTCGATTGCCGTAGTGACCTCACGACTAATTTGCACCCAACACGGTAATCAAATGACGCCGATGCTGTCATCTTCCAGCCCCCTGTGCGCATTTCAGACTCTAGCGCTTGACATGACCATCAGACATGAATCGCCACTCCACTTTGTACCTCTGTGGCCTTCCCAACGCATTGGTGGTATCCTCTCATTCATTCCCCCACTCGACCACTGACATTGCATATCTGCTCCATGTAATTGTAGTGTATATTGTTCACTCTTCACGTCTGTCCCTACTGCTTTTCTCCCTCCCAAGGCGACTTCTTCCTGCCACATCGGACTCCGCCATTTGACACGCACGCGACACGCTCACTGCGCCACTGACATAGACAAGCTCCCGCTGACGGCCGATCGACGCCTGATATCGAACTATTGAATCCTCTGATAGAAGGCCGAACCTTTCCTCCCCTTCATTTAAATCCTCGTCCGAGAGCGTACAGGCTGCCGCATGGTTGTTAAGATCCAGCCCGACAAGATGTCGTGCGCAACAAAGACGGTTACCTTCGACGCTACAACCACCAGCCGCGAGTGCAGCCCGTGCGGCTTCGACGAACGAACAAGCCTGCTTCGTCGGGGCAGAAGACATTCCTACAATGCGATCCCTAGCCGGCGGCAGTCGAGCGTCTGCAACGCTGATGCCGTCTATGTTCGCGTCGATCTCTTCCTCACCGAGTTGAGGAATAGGCTGGACAGGTTGGAAAAACGCCGACAAGAGAGTCTTACAACGTTCGACGCACAGTTGGAGCGTGCTTACCAAGCGCTGAGAGATGTTCGGGATTCCTGTGCGCCGACTATCTCCGGAGAGCTGTTATGGGGTGCTGCCAGACAACGTGCCCTGATATTGGTGGACACCCTCGAGACCCGGTACAACGACATTATGCCATCTCGTGAAGGTCTCGAACAGAAGGCGCAAGAAGGCATGCGATTGATGGAGACATATCTAGCCGAACTGGAATCTCGGGTGCACGAGACAAAGACTCAACTGTTGGAGACTGGGTGGAAGAAGGTCGATGATTCCCTCAACGCCACGAGGGAGATGTTCGAGGATGGCCTTGATAAAGCCTTGCGCGCAAAGGACATTCTTGCGGAGTCGGTCTCACATGCTCTGACACGCGCTGCCGAGACAAGGCTCATTCACTACGAAGATCTCCCTGTCCCGTGGAGGAACAACCCACATATCCTCAAGGGCTACCGCTTCCACAAAACACCGCTCGAATGCCTTGGCTCAATCTTCCACGCTCACAACGAGATGGTCAACATTTGGTCACACGGCATTGGCCTTATTGTCGTGCTTGCCGTGGCATTTTATTTCTATCCCTCGTCGGCAGCATTTCCTCTCTCCAGCAAGATGGATGTCCTGGTCGCTGCTTGTTTCTTCGCCGCAGCTTGCAAATGCCTGATTTGCTCGACGATGTGGCATACCATGAACAGCATTTCAGACAAGTGCCTGTACGATCGATTCGCGTGCGTCGACTATACCGGCATTTCACTTCTGGTAGCGGCGAGCATTCTCAGCAGTGAATGGACGGCCTTCTATTGCGAACCAGTGTCCAGGACGATATACATGACCTTAACAGCCGTGCTTGGAATCGCTGGAGCCATCCTCCCCTGGCGAGAGAGCTTTAATCGAGCTGACATGGCCTGGTTCCGAGTGACGTTTTTTGTTACTCTAGCTGTGACCGGCTTTGCTCCTGTGCTCCAGCTGAACTATACACGGGGTCCGGAGTGGACTTTCTATTTCTATGCGCCGATTGCCAAAAGTATGATGGTATACTTCACCGGCGCACTCATTTATGCCAGCCAAGTCCCAGAGAAGTGGTGGCCCGGCTCGTTCGACTACATTGGATGCAGCCACAATATCTGGCACGTGGCGGTTGTCTTCGGCATTATTTTTCACTACACTGCCATGCAAGAGTTCTTTCAAGGAGCATTTAAACGGGCAAGCGAGGGTTGTTGCTTGGGGTGAGGGACTTTTCAGACTCTGCCGAAGTAGATGAGACATGGTTTCGCATAGCGACGGCATCTGATCGCGTTGGATCCAACCTAATTCTGCATCTATGCAGCAACAGGACGAGGAGATGGTTTATGGATGCACGTATAGAGGCGCAGCTGCGTCAAAGTATAGCACGGATCGAGTTACCTAGGCTCCTGAAAGCAGACGCACGACCTCAATTCATCATGATTATTTTCCTTAAGGTTTCTCGGCGATTATTTCGGATCGTGGCAGAGACGAGGTGCCACGATTCGGTTGGTCAACACAAGAGCCTCTGCCAGCCGAATACGATGATTTCCTTTTTGAGAACGAAACCCACCGCCGGATGTAGCCCGACTTCGTATCAGCGTCGAGATACGAGACTTGAGCTGCGAGGAAGGTGGCTGCCTGTTGTTCCGGAATGGCAAATATCGTACTGACCCGAATCTCATTTCTCCCACCTTTCTCACCTCTTAGGACGCCGCAGGTGGTGCGACCAGGATCGAAGCGTTTCAGGCCGGCGTGGACAGCAAGTACAAGGCAGCGAATCAAGATGAAGTCAGTTTTCAAGGTGACACTGCCCTCGACATCTCGGGTGTCCAAAGGCGAATCCACACCAGAAAGAGTCACTTTCCACACAAGGAGGTCGCATAAGAAAAGTCGCACAGGATGCAAGTCCTGCAAGCAGCGACGAATCAAGGTTTGTGTTTCCACTTATTGAGGCAGGGCCAAGACTGATCAGGTTCTTGCCTTCAGTGCGATGAGAACAGGAACGGTGGCTGCTTCCAATGCCAAAGTCGCGGGATTGATTGTGACTATTCATACGAGAGAAACCAGCAAAGGGGTAGAAGAGAATGTGCCCTTCTATCCAAGGCCCACAACACGAGTTCTCGTGAGTCCTCAGCGGAAAGCCTAGAAACGACCTGCTTGATCGCGAGCAGCAGCAGCACACAACCAAGCTCGAGACTTTCTACTCCGCTCAGCCTGCCGCGCAGCTTGCCTCCGAAGTTCCCCCTGGAAGTTCCGGACAAAATGACGCCATTTATGCAAACGTTCCAGCACTTTTGTACGGTCACGGTATGCTGTATCGGATCGGATATGGGTCAAGAGATTTCGCGTGGTGCTGCCATGGAGCTTGCTCTTCAAAAGCCTTACCTGATGCATGCCATCAACGGAGTATCTGCCGACCACCTCTGTTATCTTCTTCCTGCAGCTCAGCATCCAGTTCAACATGGCCAAAGCCAGTTGGCTGCTTTTTATCATTGGCAAAAGGCACTGCAGCTGTTCCGAGACGAGCTGTCCAATGGCGCCACCGAGGAGAATATGGATGGCCTGATATCTACCGTTATGCTGATCTGTGTGCACCAGTTCATGCTCAGCGAGCCGTTACCTGACCCCAGCAAAAGCTTCATATACGCGCCACCAGAAGCACGGCGCGAACGTCTCGCATGGTTGACCATCCAACACGGAATCAATGCGCTACGGAGCCAACTGGGAGACGTTATCTGGAATTCCATCTGGCGCCCGGTGTTCCTGGACTCGGCAATATTCCAGCGAGTACCAAACTACGTGACTTCAAAGGCTGGTGACGAGGCGCACAGTTTGTTCTTAGAAATCTGTGAAGTGACAGCAGAATCTTCGTGCGACACCAACCCTTACTACGAAGCACTGCAACACCTACTTTATATTCGGCGACTCAGACCCAGCGTGACTACTTTCAACAAATTGGTTGAATTTGTTGCCGTCATAGAAGGCGAGTTTCTCCGTCTGCTTGTGAGTAGAGATACACGAGCGTTGCTGATTCTGGCACATTGGCTGGCGATGATGAGCGAAGTGGGACAGTGGTGGATCAGCGTGAGATGCAAGGCTGAGTGCATTGCTATCACAACGTTTTTGATGCATGATCGGGATGAGAGGGTGAGGGAGTTGTTGAGGTATCCAGCGAGGACTGTGGGGATAGGACTCATGAGGAGGGATGAGGGTATATGATCAGCCGTGTCGAAGCTCAGATCCTGCAGGAAGTGCTGTGTACAGAGTACGTACACATCCTTAAGCCCTGCCTATTCGTAGGTCCCCATGAGGCACCTGCGGGCATGGCTGGGAGTGCCCGGCCATCCGAAGACAAGTCCGGTTGGAGAATGCGGACCAGTTTAGGCATCGTGCAGGGCGTCAGGACCGGTGAGAACTTAGCGCGTCACGTGACTTGGAGTCTTCGCTGGCAGTCTGAACTGCGCCTTTCTTCACTGAAACGCCTTGTTCGTTACTCACTCAGCTAACTCACGTATATCGGGCAACCAGCTACAACTCGGACTGTGGCTGTCGACGGACACTAAGGCTGTCACTCCCTCGCCGCCGTCTTCGCCTTATCGTCTGTCTCACTGAAAGCGAAATATGTGTTCGGAGATACCGACATCATCGACGTTCGGCCTGTCGATATCTTTACAAATCCACTCGAGATGGCCTCAACAACACGTCCTACACCGGTATTGCCGCCGGATCCCGTGCCGGCGCGGACGACCCTGTCTCCATTCGAACTCTTAATCACTTGCAATCCACCCATTCTCCGATCACTCCTTGCACAAATACCGACTGAGACCATCTTCCGCCTATACCAGACCTCACCCTACCTCCGAGACTTCTTTGCACGGTCTCCTACCTCGTGGCGGTATATCTCATGGCGCCTCTACCAGCCAGCTACTACCACGACGACTATCACTGCCAGTGGGACTATTGGCCAGAGGCAGTCCAGCAACTATGCCCTCGACCAGATTATCCTGACGGTCATAAACCCTTTCAGCACGAGGCTGGCTAGTCTGGAGTTGGATAACACGGCTGTGAGCGGGACGACCTTGACATCAACCGTACTTATCTTGAGGAGAGAGACACTTCTACACGTCTCGGTCCGGGGTTGCAAGAACGTCTCTTTGAAATACCATATCAACCCGTGGCTAACGATGCATGCCTTGGCCCGAAACACGCCAGACTCCAAAGGTCCCCCCCCAGGCTTCGAGACATTGGCTTTGAAGAGTCTCTACACCTACAGATGTCGACACCACAGAAGGAGGCCCTACCTCCCGAGCAGTCTGGCACGCAAAGAAAGCGATAGTGAACCGACGCATGAACTGGTAACTACGTGCCACACCCTCGGGATTTGGACGGATACTGCCTGGTGCACTACTCCCGGAGCACGATGTTACCGCCGGCGAGGTTACGTGAAGATGCGCATGCCACAGGACCCCAGAGAAGTGTGGGTGGTCTACGACCGCCTATGGAGGAGTCGGAATTGGCTAGGACCCGTTGAAACCCCCAAAGGTAGTAATCTCCCCAGCAAGAAGCGGAAACGAGATTGCAGAAGCTGGGAGTATGATGAGGAAGGCATGAATGGCGAGCCCCTTGGGACAGGGCCAGAGGCCAAATTTACTCCTGCACACCTACGACACTCGCACCGGCAGTTCGTCGACGACATCACCTGCCAGAACTGTGATGCCCAAATACTGGAAAGGTGTGAGCAGTGTTCAGTCATGATGCATTGTTCAGGATGTAGAAAGACACTATGTGCCAGCTGTGCCTTCGACCGACCTTATTTACGGAACAGGAACTCCCGCGAAGAAGACAGAAACAAGTTCTGGTGGGCCCCCGGTTGTGCTGTGTCGCCCTGTTCCATGCAAGATCAAGATCTGCCTCCTCTTGGAGGAAGCAACCTGGGTCAGCTTGCCAATACCAACAGTCTGCCCAATCTCAAGTTTAAGTGGTGCTGCACAGAGCCCTTATTTTCCGGAGGTGGTGGGATCACTTACAGCAACAATGCAGCTCGTGACATTGATCGCATACGAGCGGCGCCGCTTCCGCGTGGACACGGATGGGAGGACCCTGAGTTCAACCCTGACCGATCAGCTGGACCAGAAAATGTACCTAACCAACTAGGCCCCGGAGGCCGCTGGCAGTCCATCGATGGCTTGTTCCAAACGGCTGCGACTCTGGCTACGGGGGAGCATCCTGCCGTGTCTGTGCCTCGGGTCCTGTGCGATGATTGTTATAACGCGAACCACTGGAAAATCAAATGCAAGGCTTGCGCCACTGCTATCTGTCTCAAGCATGACATTAGCGATCGACTGAAAGCTAGGATATGTGGATACAAAGACCTTGTGCTTGAAAAGCAGGAGTACAAGTCGAAACAGACGGCCGCGAAGTTACTTGCTACCCTGATGAAACAACGAAAAGGGAAGCAACCTGCACAAGAGCGGAACCCTATAGAAATAGAAAGCACTGTCAGCACTCCAAGGGCTGCGCGAGCTGCCACAATGCCTGCGTCCACTGTCGCGCCACTGGCTGTTTCTGAAGTCGTGGCAGATACTCCGGAGCCGCTTCGTTCTGCTGAGGCCAGCATCGCGTCGAGACCGCTACGAACACCCATGGCAGAGGTTGATCGGCCGCAACGGTCAGCATCACCCGTTTCGGATAGCACTGGTCCACACTCCCGATCAACCTCTCCTGCGCCTTCGGCCCATTCCATCCCAGCGACACCCGAGCCAAACTCGGCACCGCGACGACCCCCACGTCCTGCAATACCCTCGGGCCCCAAATGGCGAGGTTGTCAAGCACTTTTCTGCCCAGCGACCCGTTCGGCTCCAGGCGATCACAGAAGGCGTTGCACAGCACCCATAGATCAGTGTGTCGGATGCAAGGTCTACATTTGCGACGACTGCAGTGGGTCTCTAGAGCCGCCGTGTCCCTGCAAAGGGTGCCAGCGACCACCAGCAGATGAAGATCATAGCATGGCCACTATGCCAGCCGCCACACCTGCGCCTGGGACTGCTTTGTTCTTCTGCCCCAACTGCCGCTGGGACAGGATGATTTCTGGAAAATGCAAACGCAAGTCTGAAGCATTCCTAAAGGCTCAGTCGCAGTCGATCAGAAGACTCAAGAAGAGAAAGGATAAGATGCGGAAACCAGTGGAGGAGAGAAGAACGAGTCAGGGGGCTACAGGGACTCTCTCGGCCACGGAACAGGCCATTGAAGGGTTGGTCGAGTTCTTTACAAGTTTGAACATGCAGTATCCTGGCACGGCAGGACCGCAACAAGCCGAGGCGAGCAGTTCATCGCAGCCGGAGTCGGCCACACAGTCTGACGTGTTGAGCAATAATCCCGATGAGATCCGGGAACTAGAAGATATGGGCGCCTTGGCTCGAGACTTGATCCGGCGCATCCAGCGCTTGAGAGATCAATTCCGTCCCGGATCTCTAGCGGCTCAGGCACTCCCAGATATTCGCGTGGAAGATGGGGTTCACGCAGCTAATACCGCAGCTCAAAGGTTAGCACATGAGGCTCTGGCAGTTCAAATGGCCGCGGACATCGTCGGTCCTCATCATGCTGTGCGCCTCGCTCCGATCCCGGCGGCGAGTGAAAATGCGAACGCTCCTGCCTCCGTCCAGGCACAGAACTACGATCTCAGACAACTCATCCTGCCGGATGAGCCGGATCCGGATGTGGCTCCTGATGTTGAAGAGTTGGATGACGAAGATGATGGGCAATTTGAAGATGGAGGGACGAGCACCGAATGATGGACGCAATCAATACTGAGCTTGGCATATTGAGCTTAACCTGGGCTGGGATGATCTGAAGGTGGAAAAGTACCTAGGTATTTCATGGAAGCTGTCCCTGTCCCCACATGGAAGCAAGCGAGGGTGGGAGCTAATAGGTACAATGCGACTTTTGCAGAATCAAGACTGTCTGACTTGGTCACCTCAGACAATTGTCATCCGAGAGTGTGGTCAACGTCTTCAGACAGTGGTCGTGTTGTGGTCGTAATAACTGTAGGGTGTCCTCACCACCGTCACGATATTTGGCATGTCCCGAACCTAGCGTCAATCATGCGATCCACGCCATTGCACAAACAGCCCGTGGTACAGTAGGCCGAACAGCCACAGCGACGAAGCGCAGCTGGGACAGTGTATGGAGGCATCACGGAATACTCAGTGCCAAGACATGATACTGTACTGTATGTTTTTCCCTGTCGAAAATTTCCTTTACTTTAGAACAGGATATCGACATCGAGCATGCATGGATAAGGCATGGATAAGCCATTGATATTGATATCATCCATTAACTACCGAGACTGCGTGCGTACGTATGCCCGAACCTTTTCCAACTTTTGATATACAGTAATTACTGTACTGTAGGTAGGTATACTCCATAAGTAAGTATATAGACCAATTCCACTCCCTTCCATGCCGTCCGTCCGTTCGTGATCCTGCCTGCCCGTTCTCCTTTCCTATGTGTCGGTGTGGCCTCGGACGGGAGATGCTCGTTGCACCGTTGCAGGACTGTACTGTAGCTGTAGCTGAAGCTGTATGGTGTACGGTATAGACACAGTACAGCATGGTCGCCAGATACCTTGACCTGATCAAGCCGCGTCCGTGTCTTGAGGCGGCGGGTGGGAAGCGCGACGCAGGGGCCCGGCGTGTGCTTGATACGAACGGACAAGGTTTTTCGTATATAGAGTACTCGTTGACCCGTGTCGTCTCATCCAATGATTGCGCCCTGTACAAGTGGCAGGATCTCAATTGCAGGGAATCCAACTATGCACCATTCGAGGTTTATAGCGATATGCAACAGGTGAGCGGGCGATGTCGGTTCATGTTGCAAACTGTGATTTCCAAAGCGTTTTGCTCACAAAGCCGACTTTCGCGTGGGTGCTTTTGCTCACTTCTTCCTGCGCTGTGGTACCTCCTCCGGGTGATACCTCGAGGTCACATCGTCGGCGAATAATTGCATATCCCCCTTGCCGCCCATGCCCATGAATTCTGCCTGCTGCCGATTTGCCGCGGGATGTTCCTCTCTCGCGATCGCCTCCTCATTGTTGGACATTTTGCCTGGCTTCTTGGCCGCCACTGAACTCATGACGTTCTTACCGCCAGGGTTCTTCTCCCATACTTTGACATGAGCGGGTGAGCCATCAATATGCGTGGGTTGACCTTGGATCGGATGGCCGCCATTGAGCTCAACGACCTTGCTCACTTTGATGTCGTTGATGTTGGCTAGCAAGGTGCGCTCGCGTTGGATTTTCCGCTTTGAAAAGTCGAATGCACTCATTTGGCCGGTGAGCCCGTCCAGGGAATCTGCAGGGTTGATGTACCCGGCGTTTCGGGTCCAAGGGTGCTCCAGACATTGATCGATGGTGATGCGTTTTTCGACGTCGACCGTCAACATGCGATCAATCAGGTCGAGCGCCGGGTCGCCTATCGAGTCCCAGTAGGGTGAAGGGTAGTCGAAGCGACCCATCTTGATCTGTTGCGCAAGTGTGTATGGGTTCTCTCGTGAATATAGTTCGTCCGAAAAGGGTGGGAAGCCGCACAGACAGATGTACAAGACCACGCCGAGTGACCACACATCTACTGCTCTGGTGTACTTCCGATGTCGAGTGTTCTCTAGGATCTCCGGTGCCACATCTGAGAGCGGTCAACAAGTGCCTGGACTTTCCAAGGGACATATACTTACAACTTGGTGTGCCGCAGAGCGTTGTCGTGAAAGACTCCTCTCCTATAATCTTCGCCAAACCAAAATCTGCCAGCTTGACAGACAAGTTCTTGTCGGTCAACAAGATGTTTTCAGGCTTGATGTCTCGGTGGACGATGTTTCGTTCGTGCAGATATTTCGTTCCCTGGAATAGTTGGATAAAGACCTTGCGCGTCTCGGCCTCGGTGAGTTTCTGTTTGGTCACAATCAGGTTAAAGAGTTCCCCTTCGGCAGCCAGCTCCAAAACCAGATATACTCCATCCAGCTCATCGAAGGTCTCTTTCAAGCAGAGAACATTTGGATGGCTGACACTCATCAGCACGGCAATTTCTTGCTCCAGGCCTTCAGTCTGTGACTTCTGCGACTCTCCCATTCGCCTCTCGAACTTTTTGACCGCGAACTTGAATCCTGTTGATCGTTCCACGCAGAGGTAGACGGTTGCAAAATGACCCTTTCCTAGCTGCTGTAGTATCCTGTAGCGCGAGTTGAAAGCACTGGAGTCTCGATTTCTCGGGTAACGGAAAACGAACCTCGCCTCGTCCAAAATCGTGATTTCGTCGCCATCCTCGAGCTCCCGTCGCTTGTTGCGCCCCAGCAATGCTTCGTTGACAAAGGTGCCGTTGCTTGACAAATCTTCAAGAATAGCTATCATGTCGCCGTTGCGCGACTCGTTGAAAAGCAAGCAGTGTCGATTCGACACGGTCGGGATATCGAGGACCATGTCACACTCGGGGTGTCTCCCGATTAAATATCCACCGGCTGGGAATCCTTTCTCATTTTTCCCCTGCTCGTACTCACTCTCTGCCTCAATCAGGTCCTTCTTGCCTCGCTTCTTGCTCTTGACAGTCTGCCTCGATACTTCAAGTGGTCTTGCTGGAGCTGGGCAGAACGCTCTCCGTTTCATCTGCAGCCGATGGCCATTGTCCGTCAACGGGAACAAGTAACCCCAGGTACCATCCTCATCAGTCAAATCAGGTTCTATATCCCGCGGAGGGTATATAAATTGTGATAACGGCTGCGTGTCTTGGGGAGGCGAGGACTGAGGAAGCGTCGGTGAGGCCAAGGGTGTGACATGACGGATTTGGCTTGGTCGGCCTTCTGGAGGAGTTGCTGTGTGCTCCTTGTACTCGGTGGCGGTGGAATCGTGATTCGTCAGAGGAGAAGGGAGATAATGGTTCTTGAGCGGTGTCTGCTGTTGCGGATCTTTCTGGGACTGAGAGGAAATTCTCTGTGAACGACGAGGCTTTTTGAGTTCCTGGTCATCGCCTGTGCTGCGCTGTTCCAGCCGTGTCAGACCCAAAGGGACATATAAGATGCGATCTTCTCACTCTATTGCGCTTGAGGCTGCTCCTCTCCGCCTTGGGAGACATGCCCCCTATTTGGTGACCGAGGACGATTTAGTACCTTTCGGATCAACCTCTTCAGCCTCAGATGAGTATTCGAAGGGATACTCGACAGGTCTGAGACGGTCCGTGCTTTGTGTGAGGCTCGGGCCACGACAGTCCAGCTTCTGAGCCTGGCTTGTCGCCGTTCTTCAGTGATTGAGGTCCGAGCGGGACAATGAACTAAGACTGATATGCTTGCCAAAGGAGACCGGAAATCATAAACGAGGAGGTTCGCAACCCGCAAGTTACAATTGGAGCACAGCCCCAGCAGTTGGTGAGCATATCACGTGTTGGGGCCTGGGCGCCAGGTGGGAGGCCTAGGCCACGCTTGTCGCTTAATTAATTAGTAACAGTCCTGCCCCGAGCCCAGCTTATAGGCACGCCCAATAGAAATGTGTCTGCTCCCCATGAGCTCCATCGATACGAGGTACGGGCATTGCCGTTTCGGGCCAAGGCCAACAATATAGCAGTGGAGACTCCATCGTCATGTTTCCTGTGATTCTTTTGTAACTTCTAATGTGGCCTAATCAAGTCGGCGCGCGCCCTATGCTCTGACGCGCCTTAGCTACGGCGAGATGGACGTGTACGTTGTCGCTTCGTTCGCGCCTACTATTGTTTACTAACGCCACTACAGCAGCCATGGAGGATTGCGGCGGCTGGCCTTCTCCAAACTCGCGGCCCTCTCTTCGGTGAGGTCGTCAACGCGAGAAGCCGACTTTAAACGACTGACCTCGTCGCTACCCTCGCCCAAACCCCAGCAAAGCGGTGGCATCCTCGATGGAGTCCTCCGCTCGATTGCGCCCACGTCTCGGGTGCCCATGAGCCATCGCGAGCTCGACGTACTGCTTGCTTTATGTGCCAGCGTTCACGACCTACATGATCTCTCACATGCCGACCGCCTCGTCAAACAGTTGGCGGCCTATCTTCCGGAGTTTTACTCGCAACTATTCTTACCCTCTCCCTTCATTCAGGAAATCAGACCCGCGCCGTGGACCGCTCTCACGTACCAACTCACCACGGCTCTCCTAGTCCTCGGCCTCCGATTCCCTCCGCTGAAAGAAGCTGTGTCTGCCAGCATCACAGAATATGTACAAAACTGGTCTCACTCAGTGTCGGCCCTGACCTCTTTGAATGTTGGCGAACAAGATGAGGAGCAAGAAAACGGGACCCAGGAGATCGCAGCGGCCACGGTATCCTTGATTGGGTTTATGAACGCGGCCGCCATACATGAGAATTTCTGGACTGCCTACGAAAGAGTCGAACTCGTCCGAAACTTGAAGGAAGCCCTGTCAGAGCGCTTCCTCATAGCTCTCGAGACTGCTTCGTCAGCCATTCGAAACTCGACTTCCTCCGACGCCGGTGAACGAGACTGGAGGAAGTACTTGAGGCGTTTTGCTGCCGAGGGCCTGCCTGTCGGTGCTATGATGTTGCAGAAAGGCTTTGTCAAGCTGCTACTGGCATGCACTGCCAGAATGCTTTGCGATGAACATACAGTGCAACGCGGAGATATCCTCGATCAGTATATAGCTGGCACTGATATCAACCGCGCCAAAGATGACAGTATCACCGACGACATGATTGAATATCTGGTGGATACCATCACTGAGCAAATGCGCGTCTTGGAGGATGGCTCTGACTACCTGCAATTAAGCTCCGTTTGGCAGCAGCGCCTTGCTTTTTCTGTGAAAGCATACGCACTGGAGGCATACCTACACTGCCTGGTCCTGGATGACGACATTGCGGATGCCGAAGATCTTGCTGCATGGCTGGAAGATTCGATTGCAAACCAGGTCCAAATGACAGATACCGACCTCGCGGATGTTGTGCTGAAGAGCCTAGCCGTTGTTGCCAAGTACGTACCGGAAGGTGCGAACAACTATGCTCGAATCCTGCTGAGATTCATTGTTCGGGGCACTTCGAGACCCGATGCAGTGACCATCGCTGCACAAAGTCTGTCACATATTCTACGCATGTTGTCACAAGATGCCGTAATCACAACAATATACTCCTTGGGGAACGTTCTCAGTTCACAAACAGGCGCAGAAAAGACCCATCAGCCTCACGGCACCGCAGAATCCAACGGCCACACTGGGTCCATGTCGTCTACCACCCGCCTCCAAACTGGAAGCGTGATCTCTCTGTCACTGAGTGGAGATGAAGAGACATCACTGGTGTGTGGCAATGTTGCCCATGCCATCGTGGTCATAGCTACCGAATGCAATGACAGTAAGATCATCGCACTCGTGCAGATGATGATGTTACAGAAAGTCGGCAGGATCAGTGTGGTGGTAGATGCTCACATTGTTCAAGAAGCGGCGAAGCTTTCCATTTTTGGCAAGGAGAACGAGTTCAAGACCCTGTTGAAGCTTTATACCCGGTTGCATCACGAGGCTGTCGCTCAGAACAACACCCCTCTTGTGGAAGCTGTCCGAAACGCACAAGAATACCTGGCATTGAACTTGGACAACCGTTCGCCGTTGTTCAAGATCTATGCCATGCAATTGCTGGAACGAATTCTCAGCAAAGGAGATGTAGTTGAGGGGGAGTTCAAGCAATCCGCAGAGGTGGAACAGGCTGCAAAGGAGATAGCACCTCTTCTCAAGCCTCTGTCCATCCTGGCTTCCCGGAAACCTGCTCTCACGGTTGAAAGCACCCTTGCTGAAGACACTGATATTCTGGGCATGGCGCGGGAAGTCTGGTATAATGTGGCTGTGCATGGAATCACTCTACAATCACGCATCGGGCAGCAACACTACGAGGAACTCCGAGTACTCGCAATGAACTCCATGCCTCTTGTCGACGACGACCGTGCGGAACTTTTGGAGTCAGATGTAGAAATCAACACCGTCCTGAGGAGAGGCATGAATCCACAGCACATGCAAGCTCAGAAGAAGGCCTTGATCTCGGTCATACCAGATAAGGAGTCCGAGATCGGCAGGCTGAGCTATCAGAAAGTCGTCTTTCTGAATGCGGTCTTCCTGGTCGAAAGTCTTCGCGCTTCTTCTGGGAGTTGTGCAGAGATATTGGACTACTTCGTTGACCCGAGCACGCAGACAAGCCACATGGGAGCTTGTCTGAGCTCGATAGCCAACAAAGTCGTGGACAGATACACCCAAAAGGCTGTTAGTGCAAAGGAAGACGACTTCAGCGCACCGTACGTCTCTCGCCAACTTGCTCGAATTCTGAGTGGTTGCTGTCATCGGAGCAGTAAAATGCAGGAAATTGCCAGAGCTGCGGCCAACCACATTATCACCTTTGCACCTTCGGCCCTGTGCCAGAAATCGGCCTTGTTCGCCTTACTCGAGCTACTGTCGTTAATGTGGTCAAGTTGTTTGGAAGCTGATACTGACGAGTACGAGTGGCGTCCTACGCTCACATCCACTAGAGGCAAAATCACGGTCGAGTTGTCCGATGACTACGCTTTCCGCCGACGTACTGAACAAAATCTGCATAGCGATGCTCGGAAATGGGTTACAATGATCATGGGGGTGGCGCCTCTGGATGTGAAAGGCCTCCTTCAGACCTACCTCTCCGAGTTCGATGATACAGGCGCGTACGGCCACATCTCGCTTGGCAGGTCTTTTGCTCTCGAAATGGGCTCCATGATCCCTCCAATGGATTACCGACTGAACGCACTCGACCACAAGAATGAATCTGCCAATATTAACATGGCCTCCGATTTCATTGCTCAATACACGACAAGGCAGGAATACCGATTCACGGGAGTACCTGATCATCAACGAGAGAACACATACATTGATGACGCGACGGGGCGGAGGTCGTCAATGGGACGAGTCACTGCTGACTCGACAGCGATTTTACATGATGTGCTTCTTGATCTTCAGAAAAGAATACTTCAGAAGGTGCATGTGAGAACGTCCGAGGTCAAAGATGTGCTGCGGCGTGCGGCGGCGCTCCTTTGCCAAAGCAAGAAATCTCAGACCGCAATTGTGCATCTCTTGGTCAATATACCCTTCGCGATTTTCACCAAGGAGTCCATTAAGCTTGGAATCTCGCTGTGGTTGGGAGTCATCCATGAGAACATCAGAATGGAGCCGAGGATTCTGACTGAGGTCGCACAAGCCTGGGAAAGGACTATCGATCGAGGGCAAGGCATTTTCAACCCCAAATTCAAGCACATGGATCCGTTCTACGTCAAAGAAGAGTTTGCTCCATCCGACAGGGCGGCTCTGCAAAAAGAAGCACAGACAACTCACAATACCATTTCGCCGCATTTCAGGCTGCTGCAGTTCTTTGAAAGTCATTTCAATGCCATCAGGCTGGCGAGTGCCAATACTCAACGGACCTTCATCCGAATGCTTGAGCGGACTCTTCGTGGTTTCCTTCACATCCACGGACATCCACTGCTGCGTGACCTTCAATTCCACGTGGTTCTTTTTGCGCTTCGGGTACTTAAACTTGGTACATGCTTGAACAAATTGGCCCAATGGAGACTGAAGGACCTTATCCTGTCGGTGGGTCTGCGCTGGTTCGCAAAGGCCCCCTGTTGGTCGTTCGGCGGCAATCGTCTGCAACTGAAAGCCGAGATCCGGGTTATGCAGGATGTGTTGGCGCAGCTGCAGGCCAGTCGGGGACCCATCTTGCCAGCATCCACTACAAGGAAAGACCCTCAACAGAAGCAGGAGCTACTTGAAGCACTCCTCACAAGCGAAGTGACGCGGCTCAGCGTCTGGCTGTCGCCGCTTGTACATGCCGGACAACCTGCCCACTTGGACCACCAAATCGCCCCTCTTGTCCGTGTCGCATGGGCTGAGGATCCTGCGTTGGCCATCCAGCTGGTGAGCCGATTCACGAATGAGCAGACCCGCCGAGATGTTCGATTCCTGCTCCTGAATCAGCCAGAAAAGGCCTTACACGAAGCCAACGCGGTTGACTTAGTGCTCGGAGACGGTCTCTCGTCGGACCTGTCCTTCCAGTTAAAGTATCTGCTATACTGGAACCCAGTGAATCCTATCCAGGCTGTCACCTACTTCATGCCCGCCTTTGGAAACCATCCCTTCGTCCTTCAATATGCCATGAGAGCGGTCGAGAGCCACTCCGTCGATGTTACATTTTTCTACGTTCCCCAGATCGTCCAGAGCCTGCGGTATGATACGCTAGGCTACGTTGAACGCTACATCATCGAGACTGGCAAGTTCTCGCAGCTTTTTGCTCACCAGATCATTTGGAACATAAAGGCCAACGCCTACAAAGACGAAGACTCACAGATACCAGACCCGGTGAAGCCAACCCTGGACAAAGTCATGGATAGCCTGATCTCGAGCTTTTCTGGGGCCGACAAGGACTTCTTTGAGCGAGAGTTTGCATTCTTTAGTGAAGTGACCGACATTTCGGGCAAGCTCAAGCCATTCATCAAGAAATCCAAACCGGAAAAGAAAGCGAAGATTGAAGCAGAGCTGCGCAAGATTCAGGTCGATGTCGGCGTGTACCTGCCCAGTAATCCGGATGGTGTTGTGGTAGGCATCGATCGCAAATCCGGCAAGCCTCTGCAGTCCCATGCTAAGGCGCCATACATGGCGACGTTCCGGATCCGGAAAAAGAAGGAAACATCGACCGAGGAGATTAACGGGTTGATAGAGTCAGCTCAACAGGATCAGACTCAGAAGAACGCTCGAAAAGGTCATAGTCGCAGGAATACCAGCGATATCTCCAACATGGAATTAGCTGACAGCAATTCGTCGACTTATGAGGTCTGGCAGAGTGCCATTTTCAAAGTCGGAGACGATTGTCGGCAAGACGTCCTCGCGTTGCAGATGATCGCCGCCTTCCGCGGCATCTTCAACTCTGTCGGCCTAGACGTCTACGTCTTCCCCTACCGAGTCACCGCCACCGCCCCTGGCTGCGGTGTCATCGATGTGCTCCCCAATTCAATAAGTCGGGACATGCTCGGCCGCGAAGCGGTCAACGGACTCCACGACTATTTCATCACCAAATACGGTGGCGAACATTCGGTACGATATCAAGAAGCACGATCTGAATTTGTGAAATCCATGGCTGCATACTCTGTCATCACGTACCTGCTGCAGTTCAAGGACCGGCATAATGGAAATATCATGGTTGACGACAAGGGTCACATCTTACACATTGACTTTGGATTTTGCTTCGACATTGCCCCTGGAGGGGTGAAATTTGAGCGCGCTCCCTTTAAGCTGACGCAAGAAATGATTGCTGTGATGGGCGGTGATGATCCGGCTACGTCTCAGCCATACCGCTGGTTCGAGGAACTTACCATCAAAGCGTTCCTCGCATCTCGTCCCTACTGCGATAAGTTGAGTCATCTGGTGAGTTTGATGTTGGACTCCGGGCTGCCTTGCTTCAAACCGGAGACGATGCGGAATTTCAAGAACCGGTTTGTCCTGGAGAAAAGCGAAAGGGATGCGGCAGATTTCATGCTCGGGTGTATCAAGAAGAGCGCGGCGAACGTGACGACCCGGGTGTATGATGAGTTCCAGTTGATCACTAATGGGATTCCTTATTAGAATCCTGGTGAGAAAGAGCAAGGAGCAAAAGACAGGCCGTTCGAAGCGCTCGCGAGTTTAACAGCGCTGAAAGGGGGGCAATAGTAATCTGTACACATATACTGTATGACTCTCTGAGGCAAGCAAGTTAGAGTCGCTCCTTCATTCAGAAGCACGTGTCACGCTCGATGATTCTTGAAGTATTCCTCACGTCTAGCACGGACTGGACCCAGCACCGAGGCCAAACCAATATTTCGCTCATGACACCACCGGCTGAAGATGCATTGGTGGAGATCATCGTGAAACCAAGCCAATCTTCGCCAACATGTCCATGATCAAATTCCACATATAGGGAAGCACCTTTAACTGCTCGATCAATAACGGCGCAATGATCACGAAAATGAGCAGCACTTTCGACAGTCAGCATTGCGATGAGCCAAACTCGAGACAAGCCAGACGATAATGCGGACAAAACATCATGGGCCCAAGATTTGGGTCCCACCTTTTGGCTCGCCTCGAGGCAGAGGGGTCAAACATACCGACGGCAGCAATTCCGACAGGGCTCTTCTTGACCTCCTTCTTCTTGATGGCGGACTCGGGCTTCCCCATGCGGCGCTCCACGCCTTTGGCGTGTTTTTCATTGGCGCGGCGTTGTGCGGGAGTTTGGGCCTGCAGCTATGAGAACCTGGACATCACATGGACAGAAAGAGAACGCAACGTACCATGGCTGTCGCGGATGATATGTATGAGAACGGCGAGTGGTTGTTCCAAGGTCGAAGTAAAGTGTTGGAGAGAGATGTGTCGATGCTTGTTTCGAGCTCTGACGGGAGAGGCGACTATTCTTTCAGGTTGCCCTTAGGATTCAATCTTGCCGTAGCTGTTGACTCTGATTGTCTGAAGACTGATATTCGTAAGCGACCGGGACCGGATTCGAAAGAGATCTGAGAAGATGATGCCACATATTGTTCAACATCAGGCGACTCTAATTAGCCCCTTTCGCGAGTCGACACAGTGGCTTGATGCCAAGATCCGGGTACGGGCGAGTGGAGAGTATAATACGTTGACGGCCGCTTGCTTCCCCGTACGTACCACGTGCCTCTTAATGTCACGTGGATGGGTAACTCCCAAGCTCCTATGACCGGCTCCCTGCGGCAGTCACGTCTTTCATTAGGCCTCCTCTTGGTACAGTTACAACCCACGGTCCCCTCGAGGTCATTCGCAGATCACAGCTTCACCTCCTCCAGTAGCACCACCTTGCATGGAAGCTTGTCTCCCTAGCGATACTACACCCTCCGAACTACGAATACGAGGCACACGCGAGCTTAGAAAGATGCTTCCCTTCCAATGACGTTGAAAGCAACACTTCGAGATACCTCACCAGGGCGAAGAATGATCACCCTGCATAACTAGCTTCAATACCATGTCAATTTGTGTTGCATTGTATCTGCACCCGTCTGTTGGTACCTATCAGAGTGTCGACTCTCTCCCGCCAGCAACTTGGCGGAGGATCTGTCGCCATACTTCAAGGGGAAGGCAACGGTCAAACACAGATTGCGTTATGTGGGTTGACAATGATTTCGTTCGAGAGCGGAGCAATAAAATCCGGGCAGCTCCTCGGAGGGCTTTCCAGGAAGTATGCTCTCTTATCCCAGTCATGCTGCTTGTTGGTTCACTATGAAGATAAACAAAGCCCTTCCCTTGCTTGTTCTTCAGGCAGGTTCAGTGCTTGCTCATACAAGAGAGGATTCCAATCCCCCAGTATTTGACCCTCATCGAGCTCTCTCGAAGCGTCAAGAAGCACCATTTCCTCCCATCCTCGAACCAAACGAGGCCATCTTGCTCAACTCATTCGACAATGCTACCATCGAGAGCTGGAGCTACTACTATACTCACGGCCTACATCTAGCAGGAACGAACAAGTCACAATCTCAATGGACGGCCGATCGTTGGAGTGAGTTTGGGTTCACTTCCGGCTTGGCCTCATATTGTAGGTAATTTTTTCTGCGCCGCCTGCTGCATGATTGATCGAGGTAGATGTGTACCTGAACTATCCGGTGTCACATTCATTGACTGCGACGCTGGCCAACGGGTCGACGTATACGCCTCTGCTTGAGGAGGAAGTGCTAGCGGAAGATGAAGTCACGTCTTATCCAAACAGGGTTCCGATTTTTAACGGCTATTCTCCCTCTGGCAATGCGAGCGCCGAGTACGTCTATGTCGGGCGGGGTCAGAAGGTCGACTTTGAGCGCCTGAGGACATTGGGAGTGCAATTGGAGGGCAAAATTGCCCTGTCACGCTATGGCGGTCCTTTCCGCGGCCTCAAGGTGAAGAATGCCCAGGACTATGGCATGATCGGTGTCATTCTCTTCACCGACACGGCAGACGACGGAAACATCACAGAAGCAAATGGCTACGCCGCATATCCTTACGGCCCGGCACGGAACCCCACGTACGTACAACGCGGAAGTGTCGAGTTTGTGTCCACCTACTCTGGCGACCCCGATACGCCAGGCTATGCTTCCAAACTTGACTCTCCGCGTGCTGATAGGTCTGTTGTCATACCACGAATACCCTCTCTGCCGATTTCGTGGAAAACCGCGCAGCCGCTTCTTCAAGCTCTGGACGGTCATGGAGTAGATGGCAAGACAGTGAATCGGACGAACTGGGTTGGCAAGCTCAACGCGACCTATTCGACGGGACCTGCACTGGGGGTTACAATTTCCTTCTCGAACGTGGCGCGAGATGAAATCACCTGGATCTGGGATAGCATCGGCATCATCAACGGAACTAACCAGGACGAAGTCGTCATCCTCGGCAACCATCGGGACGCCTGGATCGTTGGTGGAGGATCCGACCCAAACTCTGGCTCAGCTGTGCTGATTGAGCTGGCCAAAGCATTTGGGGCACTGCTCGCGACTGGATGGAAGCCCAAGCGGACCATCATCTTGGCGAGCTGGGACGCCGAGGAGTATGCCTCGGTCGGCAGCACAGAGTGGGTGGAGGAGTATGTCCCATGGCTAAAAGGCTCGGCGATCGCTTACCTCAATGTCGATCAAGCTGTGTCTGGACCTGATCCCGGTCTGTCAGCCACCCCTGAACTGCACGATGTTGTCGCGGAATCCCTCAAGAAAGTGGTCTACCCATATCACGGCTACAGCAACCTGACACTGTATGACGTGTGGTACGGCTTGAGCGACGGCGAATTCGGTGTTCTAGGGGCAGGCAGCGACTATGTGGCCTTCTTGCACAACGGCATTGCCTCGCTGGACACCGGTGCCGGCCAAGGCCCCAATGATCCCATCTACCACTACCACTCCAGCTACGATACCTTTCACTGGATGAAAACGTTTGGAGACCCCTACTTCACCACGCATAAAGCCATAGGCCAGCACCTGGCCATCTTGGTCTACCACCTCGCCAACGACGACATCATCCCCTTCAACGTTGAGAACTACGGCATCCACTTGACGTCGTATCTGAACGATCTCCGCGACCTGGTGGAGTCGGAGAACGCGACCACCGCGCTGAATTTGTCTCCGCTTGAAGACGCAATTGCGAAGTTCAATGCTTCCGCCGCGGCAATCACGGCCTTTATACAGACCGCCGCCACTGAAGTGGAGTTCAAGCTCATCAACTCCAAGCTGAGGGATTTCAGCCGTGGCTTTGTTTCTCAAGGCGGGCTGCCGACCCGAGAGTTCTACAAGCATGTCGCGTTTGCGCCTGGTTTGGACACGGGCTACGCTCCTGTTACGTGGCCTGGCGTTACAGAAGCAGTCCAAGACGGCAATTTGACGCTGGCTGGTTCGTGGGTGCTGAAGTCGGCGAGGGCCGTGGAGGTTGCGGCGGGGATTTTGGCGCCGTAAGCGCAGGACCGGGGACAAAGGAATCTCTGATCCACGAATTATGCGGCATTGCGAGTTGTAGATTGGCTTGTCTGGTGGCGATGAGATGGCAACGTATGTAGTAATATGTCAAGAAGTTTTCGAGGTACCCATGCGCCGAGAAGTTCATGAAGCAGAGGGAGGCCCAGGCATATTGTGGAATCTTAGTCGTGTCGAGCTCTCTGGGCCGTGGGGAACAGTATGCACGAGGTCAAAAGCAGAAAGTGAATTGCACGGTGGCACCATGTGAAATAGTTTCTTTCCTGTGTCCACATCTGCATGCAAACATCAGTGTCGTCGAGCAGGCCAAAATGTCGAGCAGAGTTGGAAGTTTGGAACAATGGCGAGCAGGTAGCGGGAGCATGGACGTTTCCTCTATCAATCGGCCGGTCGCAGGATGACAACATCCAGGGTAGGGGACTTGCATATACTGTATATCACCCCAGCCCCAATCGACGACTGAAACCAACGATATTCGGTCGCAGCTGCGGTCTGCTCGCCTGTTGCTTCGCGAAGCCTCGAATGCCTAGATCAATGCGGTCCGGATGGTCGGCCAGAATGCACTGGACTGTACGGAGTACTTGCGCAGGACCAGCTACAGTAAGATGATGCAGAATATCCACGTGGGTGCCACGCACTGCTTCAACATACAGGAGGAAGATTCTGCAATTGGCTATGTATGCCTTTGCTGCCCACGCCAATGTACAGCACGCGCATTCATCGTGTCTGTAACACAGCCCAATGAATACTGTATGTACAAGGTCGGGGCTGTCCGACATACCTCGTAATTACACGGCTTGGGCACAGGCACCCTCGGCTGACCGCACAGGGGCTTTCTGTACCGGCAAGCTACATACTAGCCCACCGAATTCCTCGTGTTCGTCCGAGTCCCCGTGGCCTACTTTTGCAGGTGGTCAATGCCTTCGGGAAGGGGGACTGGGACTGACTGCCTCGGGTATATAGTCTCCGGGACTTGTCGAATGCGGGGTGGTGTAATTATGGGTACAGTAGATTAGCGAGGGAAGTATAAAGTGCTTGGAGATACCTCTCCGCGGCCATGTGGAACAGTACATACTGCATGCAGCTGAGGGCGTCGCAGTAACTTTTGACATAATCACTATAGAGATACAACCTAGGTACAGTGTCGTTGAGTGAGCAGGCCTTGCAGGCATGCCCCAACCGTACCTCCTGTGGGTCAACTCCCGGCCCAAGCCCGAGTCGGGGGTCGACGACGACCTCTGGGTGAGATGGTATACCCAAGAACATGTGCGTGTCAAATTCCAGAGTGCTGCAACTGCTACGCTCCACTCCGCAGGAATGTTCTTCTCACCGTTATGCTTTAGGTCCCAGATCTAGTCAACACCAAGACGGCCGTCCGAGCGGCCATGTACCGCGAGACGTTTGACTTCCCGCTCGCGCCCAAAGAGCACCACCCCCGAAAATACTTGGTCCTATACCAGACGGATATCGAGGAACCGTTAAAGTCCAAGAACTATCTCGACGGGGTGCGGCACTCCAGCGAGCTGTGGCAGGGCTCCCAACCGACCTCGGAGGTCGGCGACTTTCATGCCCGGAATTACAAGTTGATCCAGGACTATGACCCGGATGGGCGGGGGGAAGGTAGGCCTTTCTTGCCCGGTGGGCTCCTGAGTGAGTGTGATGCTGACTAGTCACCCAATAGTTGCTCCTCCGTTCTGCGTGACCGTCGAGATGGACCCGGTCGACGAGGCCGACTTTCACAAATGGTATCAGGACGAACATCTGGACATGCTGCACAAATTGCCTGGGTACCGGCGGTCGGCGAGGTACGTTATCGGCCCCAAGACGGCGTTGATGGATGGAGAGCCCCCGAAGTATTTGGCCGTGCATGAACTGGATGGGCTGGCGGGGATGGATAGTAAGGAAGCCGAGGCTGCGAACAGCACGCCCTGGACGGAGAAGCACATCAGGGACAGTAAGGCGTTTGTCGCGAGAGCTTGGGAGTTGGTTTACTCTCAGGGGTTTTGAATCGTAGCCTCAGAGGCAAATGCAAAGTTTGATTCTGCGCGACATGCACGATCCAGTGTCGGAGTTCATGCTGCCGCCGTCGCCATGACGGATTCCATCCACGGCCAAATACTCTCATTTGCAGGCGGATATCCCATGTGCAACATGCCTTCGTAGAACCGGGCTTCCTTTGGTTTCCCGTAGTTCATCAACAGCATACTGTCTTCGATGGGCACGAGACCGTCCAGGGTGCCGTTGACGAGAAGCAGCCTGCAAGACGGTCCATTCACGAAGCCGTTCGTGACCAGGCTGTACTCGTCTTGCGCTTTCTCCTTCATCTCCTCCCAGTCCTTGTAGCCGTATTTGGCGACGTACGCTTCGCTAAGGATAAAAGGGTATTCGTGGTCGTCGACACGGTCCAGCCACTCGCGACTCAAGAAGTGATGGGATCCTGCTCCCTGCGCGACCACGCCGGCGAGGCGCGCGTGATGCGTGTGTGCTAGTCGATTGGCGCAATATCCGCCTGCCGATAGGCCCCAGGCCATGCATCTCCGCATGTCGAAGTAGGGCTGCTTGTCCATCCAGTCGAGGATCGCCGTGAAGAGTCGTTCGTGAGATGTCGGGTCGCGGCGATCCGCAGGGCAGTCGGCAGTGCCCGGGATCTCGGTAATCACACAGCCCCAGCCTCGGGCGAGGAACTCATCTGTGCGCTCGCTATGAAGTCGAACACAGGCTAGTCAGTGGTGCTGTACTCACAAAAACCTGGGGCGCGCCTGCGCACCTGTTATCGGGCCGATGACCGTCTAGACCTGTTATCAGCAGCACGACGGGGCACTTGTGCGTACTGCTGACCCCCTCGGGTAGTCTCACAAAGAGGGGGATCTCCTTGCCGTCTGCCCCGTGCGCTGCAGTGTGTGGAATCTTGACCTCTTTCATGGGAGCATCCCACAGGCTGGCCCCCCTTAAGTAGACCTGCTTCTGCAGCTCGAATGCTTTCCTCTTGACTCCTGAGCCGGCGTCGAGCGAAGGGTAGCGCGAAATTCGGTACACGCAGGCGGCTCGCTTGAACCACGCGGCCGCTTTGGACCGGTCGGATCCCTGAGCTGACATGGCTGCGTCGGTGAGCTTTTCTGCCACGGGGAAGAAATAATCCGTGTATTTGTCCGTGTAGGCATCGTTCACATCATCTCGGATCAGGCTCTCGAAGATTGGCTCAAAGTCCTCGAGCTTGCCGTCGTGGAAGGGGTAGACACCCAGCGAGCAGGGGAACTTCCATTTCGTTTCCCAGAGAGCTTTTACCCCGTCTAGATGAGGGTAGCGCTGGTAGAACTTTTCGCCCAGAATCCAATTGACCATGTTGTCGGCGGGCAAGTTCGGTCTCAGTTATGCAGGGACCTTGTCGACTTGTCAGAGAGACGGTGAGCGGCTTCGACGCGGTGCTCAATCCGGGGAACCTCGGATCGACTTCGGTCAATACATACTGTACCTTACCGCGCCATGTCACGCATGTAACCAGAAACCATCTAGGTTATTCTATTTTGTACGGAGTACATGGTGTGACACTATTTTCTGCTATCAGAGATCAAGCCAGTCGGACGATTGCGCGCACTCAAGTACACCCGCACCGACTGTCTTCCCAACAGATACAAGCTCAGCCTTCAGCCAGTCCTTCATCTCGGCATCCAGGCCGCCAATGCTCGAGGCGACGCTCAAAGGCCACGCCGTGAGGTTCCCATGGTAAGGCTTGATCTCTTCGTCTTCAATCAGGATGTACTCCTGTTTCTCTGCTGTCTCGGAGGGCGGTGCAACGGTGAACCTTCCTAGTGCAAATGGTATACTCGATGACATGGCATCCGCCATCACCCTGATCTGCAGGCAGCAGTCTTCCTCTCGACGATGTTGTTCGCCAGCTAGATCGTCCGGTGCAGGTCGAATGAGCTCAAGGATCCTCAACCGTGCTCTGTTGAGCAGCATCATTGTCGCGAAGTAATTCAGCCAAACTGACGTGTAGGCAACGCTGGAGTAACTGTAGACGATCGACGAGAAGAAATGTTGCCTGGGTAGCGAAACATGGGCAGGGATGAGGTGTTGCCTGGGACACCACGTGCTGGGCAGCCGCGAAGACCAGTCTCGCAATGCTTTACTCAGCGCGTCTGCCTCGATGTTCAGGGCCCGAGCTCGCCAGTGCACCGCTTGGGTATGGTGATGGAGTGGTAGTCTTTGTTGCTGAATGAACTTCAATTGGTGTCGAATGCCAGCCACTTGAACAAGGAGCTGGTCGTACTCGAGTTCCAGCCCATGCTCGCCAAACTGCGCGCCATTTGCCAGCCAGACCGGCACTGCCATCTGCCGCAAGAGGAACGACCTGATGATTCCGCGGCGCGAGTGTTTGATGATGTCCGAGGCCGGCTGCATGATCATGAGACTGTTTTCGTGCCAGGTCTTCAGAACGGCAGTTGCGCCGTCATGATGGCAATAACTTCTGAAGGCTGTAGTGGACAGCACTTCATCGAAGGCATGCATCGAGTCTTCGTACCGGCTCATGAGGAAGATTGCAAGCAAGGCAGCGTCAATGTCCCGTCGAATCAGATTTGGCAGCGCGACCTGCGCGGTTCGCAGTAACTGGTCGTACTTCTCACGAGCTTCTGCCGCTGCCGCAGAAAGGCTCTGAGTTCGTGCAAAGACGGCGAGAGCCATGGATGAAATCGCCAAGTCGATAACTGAGTGCTTCGTAACAGAAGCCCAGTGACAAATACTGTTCTGCACGTTACCCACCAGCTTTCGCACGTCTGACGGCGTGTGCAGATGGTAATTCAGGTAGTATACCAGGGCACGGGTCTGAAGGTCGACGTCCAACGCCCGCGCAACCCTCGAGCGAGGACCTCTTGGTCGCTTTACCACCCCACTCGCATATTGATTTTCGACGTGGATGGCGAAGTCGTCGCTTGTCGCATGGACCTTGACGCATACCCGTCGGGATTTGACGCATCTGTGGCATACCGGGAGCCCTCTATCGCACTGATCGAGTTACTTGGAGTCGGTGATGAGACGAGAAACTCTCTTGCCTTGATCCGCCGAAGCTTGCATGTCCGACAACCTGCTCCTGCACTTGTGCTCACCCTCGAGAATACTAGACTCAGGTCTGTCATATCAGGTCACGAGCCAGCAAATTGCCCGTACGTATTGTAACAGGAAGTAGTGTGCACCTGTGTCCAGTCCTCGGTCGAACCCAGGCGAGACAGCAGGCATGCAACGATCGGTGCTTGCGAGCTTACGAACTCAGTCATCGGAGTACAGCTGAATAGTTTTCGGTCGCAGAACCTGGCTCTATCTTCGTGAAAGAGTGCATGGTCGTGGGAGCAAGTCCATCGTACACGATCTTAAGCAGCTTAAGTCCGGGTAAACGCCTCGAACCTATCGCCGGGCTTCTAGTCTACTCCGCTATGCATCAGGTACGCTCTGTATACATGGCGCCGAGATTGAAAGCGGCAATATTTAAAGGGAAGTAGATTCATTTTATTTCGTGGGGCCGAGCATCGACAGTGTAGGCAATGTACTCTCTAGACAACTCTCTGACCGTCCGCCACTGCCGAATCAGCTGCCGAGGCAAAGTACACGGGCGTCGCCTGACCAGATCACCAGGATAGCAGCTAGTCACGAGCCACTCCCTCACGTCCATCTGATGCTGGATGTATCAGTGTGCGGGCTTGAAAGTGGTCTCATCTCGGTACTGCTTCAGGAATGGTATTGGTAGCGAGCCAGCGGTCCCTTTTGACTCAATTGCGTGCTTGCCTTGCACCTGAGCGGCAGCAGGCAGGGAAACGTATCTCGAGACAACGGCGATATGCTTTGTCCTGAAGCATTGGAATGCCTCGATGACGGGTTGAAAGGCCGCCTGCAGTTCTGGCTCCTCTGGGTGCTGATCAACCACATCACGCAGCGAAGGCAACAACTCGACTGCCTCTAGAAAGTCTCTGTGCTTCCCAGGCATGTAGGCTCTCATCTCAACCAGCATCTTGGACTCATGACGGATTCCCAGCATGTGATCAAGGAATTGAAACAAAGTGCTCTGCGCCGCACTACCTCCCACGCACTGGACAGTTTCGTGGAGTCCGTTGCTGCGTTGCAAGGTGACGCCATTGGGAAGTCCTCGCTCCTCCGCTCCTGCACTACCGCCCAACATGGGTCGTATCGCCTGATAAAAAACTGTAGGATCACAATTCTTGTGTAGAACAGACAGGAGGTCTCCCATCTTCGAGAGCGTCGTTGCACAGAGGTCAAAGACCGGGAAAAGATCTTGCGCGACGCCTTTCCGATCGTCCAGTATCGCTTTGAGCATCGCTGGCACGAGCTTAGCACCTTGCGCCTCGACCATCACAGGAACGAGGTTGAACGCGTCTTCGTCCCTTGTTCCGGTAAAGGAAGCAAAGGACTTGATACTCTGAAAGTCGCTCAGTGCTTGAGCTGGATGCACGTGCTCATCTTCAGATAGAGGCGTCCAGTTCCATAGACAGATCCCAGCGTAGCTTAAGACGGGTCTCATACCAAGGTACTCGCAGACTTCGAGGAAAGGTTCCGCTAGGTTGGCGGGAACAATAGCTGAAGGCTTCGTCTTGTCTTGCCAGATATATGCCTGAGATAGAAAGCCGAGTACTACATACGCACGTTGCCAATGAGCCCGGTCTGCGAGGTGATCCGTTCCGAGGAGCTTCAGATTGTCGACTTTTGTCTGGAAGGTCTTCGATTCAAGGAGGCAGGGAAGATTCGAGATGAGCTTGCACCATGGTGCATAATAGGCTGGTAGCTCTGTGGGACTCGCGGTGACAAAACCCGTTCCCAGCTCAATGTCGTAGTCTTGTGGGATGGGAAGTGGGGGACGGGGGAGCATTGTTGGTGAGGTTTATGGATAGCTGTGACTCACCCGCAGTAAGAGGCATCGGGCCTCTGCTAGGACCACCATAATGAACGAAAGTATATATGCGTGACGGCGAACTTCTCCCTCGGTTCACTGCGCCCTTGGAATGATCATGCAGCAAATGGCATTGTTTCAATTGGTCAGTCCATGTACTTCAAGGCTTCTTCAGTGCTTGGCCGCATCTCGAATTTGAAAGCATCGTAAAGACAGCAGCTCGCATTCGCAAGTCGCTAAGGTTGTGTCTTGATGGACACGAACCGAGGGTCTACTGATTGAGCAGACAGACAAACCACAAGGTGTAAAATGGCACATTCCCGAGCGGATCATGATGAGACGGAAGCAAATGTGACACAAGAATGAAGCGAGAGTGAAGCGAGTGTCAGCAGTCACAGCTTTCAGATTCGACCGAGGCAAGTTTTCCGAGCCGTGACTCAGGCTTTTGGGAAGTCGCGACGCCTGTCTCCGTCTCCTTGATCTGGTGCCCTTGGCATCTTCGCTGAACACGTCGACTATGATGGTTACGACGCCCTTTTATACATGATTTCACCAGCCTGCCTCTGAATCTAATTCAGCATGACGTCCCGCGAGCCCTCCGCGGCGCCATCTGACGGCGACACCATCGACGACCAAGCCGACGAAACGAAGCCTGATCTTGTAGACCCTGACCACGAGCAGATCGAGTCTGTCGAAGGAGCCCCTGCCAGCTCTACCCCAACAACCAGTCGACGAATCGGCCGGCAGAAAACGTCTTCAGGACGGAAAGCGAGACCGCGGAAGGGCGCAATTTGGATACACGAGCAGCCCCATGAAGGGACCGAAGATGAGGGCAGCGTCGTCTCTGCTACTCACTCCAGGACCAAGAAGTCGGAAGCGACTCCCGAGTCAGACCTCAGGACAATCGGTACGGCAGTCGGCACCAGAAGACAAGCGAACGGCACCGTGGGCTCCGTGTATTCGGGCAGCAAGGTTAGGCATATCAAGAAGCCGGATGGAACACCCCTATGGCGCAAAGAGATCCAGTTCGAGTTTTTGCAGCTGGTTATTGAGGATACACAACCCGTCTTCACACGCATCAGTGATGGCAAGACTGGTTGCTGCTTCTCCGACATCTACGTCGACTGTATGGCCAGAAGTTCAAAGACGAGCAAGATTCTGAAAGACAGGCTCCAGTTCGACCGGCAAGCTGCACATAACATGGCCATGATATGCCTCCTCGTCAATGTGGGCCGCATGAACACCACCCTGAACTTCTTCCCCGAAATGCGGGCCCAGCTGAGAACATATCACTCCATCCCATCGCTACAGGCGTACAAGAGCCAGAGAGACTACAAGTCATTACAGGATGCTCCCAGGCTAAAGAGCATCCTGAAGGGGGCCAGTGAAGACACCATTGAGCCTCGAAGCATTCAGGAACTGAAGGCCAAGCCAGTTCCAAGGACAAATCCAGTTAACCTGATCTTCGTCTTGTCTCAAGTTGCACCGAGGATCAGCGAGACGCACTTCACCGACAAAGTCGACTTTTTCGACCTCGCCATGCGCCCAACAATCTCGTCTGCAAGTAGGGCCCGGGCGTTCTTGTGGCTCATGTGGTGGTATCTTGAGTCGAACTTCACCAAAGAAGATGCTCTGAGAAACCCATATGGCCCTGGCGAATACAGAGATGATGAAGACCCCAACGACCCTGACAGCGTACCACAGCTGGTGCCAAAATTGGTAATGATCACAGAGGAACAAGGAGACGCTGAAAATGTTGACCCTCCAGAAGAGATTGCTTTTGCCGAGAAAATGACCCAAGAAAGGAAGCGGATAATGGCCGAGAACGCCAACGATCCACCGCTTGTCATGGCCGACCCAGGGAACCCCGACCACAAAGCGCTCAAACGCCTAAAGAGGGGTGCTGCATATGGGGACGAAGACTCAATGGTCTCGGACGTCGATTCACGCGCTAGTCCCGGTGTAGGACGTTCTCCTGCTCCAGAAGCACTCAATGCACATGGACATGTCATGGCCAGTGCGCTGGGAGGTCAAGCTGACAGTCTCGATGATGATTGGGAGGCGGTTGATCCTCACCCTGGCCGAGGGAGATACAAACGTGTCAGGGGTAAGAACACTCCGACCCGCGTCAGAGGAGGCCCCAGGCAGAGTGATGGTCCAAGGAGCGTGTTCAAATCAGGACGCAATGCCGGCACACCAGACACTGTCGATCGATACCGAGCAACGCCCCAACCTCTGCAACCCGGTGGTGCGAACCATCCAGTCATCGGTCAGTTCGGCACACCCCGCGGCAAGAATGAGATTGACATGCTCCGAGCCGAGCCTGGAGGCGTAGCAGCAGGCACCAAGGCTAAGGCCAGAACAGGCTACCAGCGAGAGCTAGAGGAGCATAGACAGCGCCGAGTCGAATGGGCCCTGAGGAGACGTCGCAGACGTGCCCTGAAAGAGGCCCGGCGGATCAGACAAGGGGGCAGATGGTTGCTGACAGCCGCGAGGCGAATTAGCGAGCTCCCTCCAACATATGACAGCGAAGAGGAAGAAGAGGCGGGCGGGTCTGGTTTCGGCGGCTTGCTTGGCCGCAGATGGTTTGGCGAGCCCAACGTCGATTCCGAAGCTAAGTCTCTGCCTGCTGGTTATGAGCCCGATGATTACGGCGAGGAAGTGCAATCATGGGCTGGGCTTCTGAGGAGAACGGGAAGACGCCTCGAGGTCTGGAGTGGGGATCGTGATCTGGGAGTCTATCATGCCCGTCTCCATCGCCACCATGCGGCCCCGAACAATTTCGCTGCAGCATCTGCTCGGCCAGTCACGAACGGCACAGGGAAGAAACGCCGGACGCACGAGTCATCAGCACATCCCTCAGCCCCAGACACTGGAAGGACCCTGCAGTCTGCAAGAAGTGCAGGGCGAGATCTCAACGACGAAATCACACAAGATCTGCTCGCTGAACGAAGTGATGATGACATGGACGACGACGATGACTCGGTTGTAAATGGCGATGTCGATGGTGAAGAGAGTGATGTGGACATGGATTGACCGTACAAGATGCTTGTACCAGGCCTCCTTTGCGACTTCTCCGGCTTGTATTCGTACTCTAGACGTGTAGCACACGTAGCCACCAACTTGAACCAGGACTGCGGAGTGGCAAGTGCATATTACGCAGGCACACTGCGACAAATATTTCCTGACTGATACTGATACTGGTAATGGCTGCTGCAGCATCGGCCTCAGGGAGTCAATTAGCCCAAGCTCGTCCGAACACGGCGATACGTTTGTTCCGGCTGAACCGGCTCAGCCTCAGCGTGGCAAACATTCGGAACCTTCGCAAGCCATCCTGCAGGCAACAACAAACTGGCGTCCAAACGCTTTCAACATTGTACAGACGATGATGGTCGGCTCAGAGTCTCCTCCGTTAGCATCGCAGAAGATATTCGTCCGTCGGAGGGTGGTGAAACGCCTCGCACCAAGAGACTTGGTATTACGCCTGATTACGGCATCACAGGTCAAGCCAGACACAGGCGTCGTGCAAACCCAATGTCTCCATTATTAATAGGCCTTGAAAGAGGCTTTCGCCTTCCAGCACGCTGGCATCGTGCGATCTCGTATCGAGAGACGTCCGGGTTTGTCGTTCAGTACAGTAGTACTCGTCCTACCTGTCGCTGATTGCTGTCCTGAGGAAGCTTCATGTCAATCGATCGTGAGCTCCGGCGCAGGAGCGACGGCCTTAAACATGTGCTGATGGGACTCCCGCCAGAGCTCGACAGCAATCACAGATGACTGAGTGTTCCAAAGTACCTAGGAGATGTCCTCGACAACAACGAAGGAGGACAGAAGCATCCCGTGAGAGGCAGCTCATGATCTATATCCTTCGCGTGAGATCGCCGCGTGTGACATAAGGCCCATGCACGCATAGGTGGTAGGGAGCGAAGCAGGTCCGACTCTTCTTTTCCAGGACAGTCTGTGCGGGCTTTGGTCCCGACCAGCGAACAATACGTCGGAACCGCCCTGCGGGCCAAGGCCCCTTCAGGTCAACCCATGTATGATGGAGGTGCTAACTCTACCCATGGGTGGTCGATGTCTGTTCTTGGGTAAGGCTTCCACCTTGCCAGCCGGCTCGACCTACAAGCCGTCCATAATCTTGCCAGGCCCCTGACGTTCTGGTGATGCCTATTGGCGCTGCTCCATTGCCCTTGGCGGTATGCCGAAACGACACCAGGCCCTGTCCCGTTCTCAAAGAAGTCATGGTATGAGCACAGTCGCCCAATTGTTGAGTGTTCAAGCCGTCAACAAGTGCATGCAACAGATGCAATCCCGTACTGCATCACATGCGGGCTCGTACACTGTTTTCACCAATCGACCTTATCAGCTCTTGGTCGAGGCTTCCCATGGTCTGCTCCTGCTTACGTGTCGAAATGGGTTGTGGCAGAGCTGTCCAAGGCGCCTCTTCTCGTTCGACGCCTCCCGAAGCTTATATCCAACCGTAGCGTTCCATCCACCTGATGCCGAGACGCTATCGCAGGGCTGGGCTACTGTCCTCAGGGAAGTCTTCAGCGCATTTGGAGGCTACGCTGTGTTCAGGGTTTGGCAGTGCCGTTCCACATTCATCATGACTGGTGGGCAACTGCCGGAGCAGCTCCTCTTTCATGCTTTTGAAGGCCGGGACTGGGCCGCGACCACCATCAACCACTTCATGCATCGGTACCTGGCGCCATTCTCGCACTTCTCAAAGCCCAAGCTATCGGCGTTGATTCGTCTGTCCACGGCTCTCGAGGGTGACTCTGAAACTTTTGAGCGAGCCACGTCTGGTCTGTAGCTTCCTCCACACTGGACTGTTAACCGGACATTTTTCCGTCTCTCCATCAACGCGAAGGCAGGCATCACTGCGTCGAGACCGCAAATGATAGATGCTTTCCAAGGAAAGATCTCAGCAGAAGACCATGGTCACATAGAGCCGCATACAACTTTGCAAACTTCACACAGGTGTCACGCTCTGCAAGACCACTCCTCCCATACTTAATTACTGTGTTCAAGAGGGAACTGGACGCATTGACATGGACGACATGAGGGACATCTCATCTCCGTTGTCGAATGCCAATACTTGCAAGCCACAAGCAACACGCTGGGCCACACCGACTACCACTGGACGTGAGTCCGAACTTACTGTAGTATACAACCTGTATTATGAAGTCTACACTGGACTCTCCGTATGTCCCGAAGCCATGAGCGGAGCGTCCGCGGCCGCCACGTGATGTGCCTGGATAAAGAGCCCAAGAACAAGCCTTTGCTGACTTATTGAGGTGCATGGGTGACTCATTTCGAAACCCTGTCTTGAAAGCCCGACACGAAGCTAAACTGAAGATCCCCTGTCCCTAGGCCCCGACACCTGGGGCCTTAAACACGAACAAGGGCTCGGCAATCTCGCCAGGCAGTGCAATGGCGCCGAGGCACCTCAACGGTCAGCGCTAGGCCATGTGAAGATGGCCGCCTCCAATACTGACCCTGTCTTGACCAATCCAATGCGACGACCGTGGGGCCGACAAACCCTCGAAAGGCGGCACGGCAGATTCTCGCAAATATTGTTGCCGGGGACTGTGGCTCTTCCATCCCACATCCCGTTGGCTAATCAGTCTCCCCATCTGGAGACCAAGCTGCTCCTTGATGCAGTTGACCACATTGATGCGAGGCACTCTTTGCACATTCTCGTTCTTTGCAGGATTTGGTTTCTCTTCCATGTAGGACAAGCCGATCGATATTCCGAAAAGCCAGACGCCGACCTTGTTTGAGAGCTAGATGGTGCAACCACGCTTTCCTAACAGGTTGAATACGCCCAGCGTGTCTTATTCGCGAGCGGACGTAGCATGCCGAAGCGAGGTTGACTGGTTGAGTGCAAAACAAGATGCCCCTTCTCTACTGTCTCACTCTGCATAGTTCTCAGGATAGACATGAGCTTCTAGCGTGGAGATGAGCGCCATGCATTTGTTGACGCGGTGGACGGGGACTTCTGTTGGTGCTCTCGATCATCCCGGCTCAGAACGAAGTATCCACTCTATTACTTCCAACCAATAACGACTTTGGCTGCTTCGGTTTTCTCACACTTCCTCCAGACAGCTTCTCTCGTAAATTGACGAGGTTGACCAGAGCATGGATCCTGATCTGCAACACGAGATAGGGAGCCAGGGATATCATGAGTCGAGTGGCTTAGAGCTCTCTGGCAACGACACCGTCCCCAACCAGTGGCAGTCTGGAAGAACGGGAAGCCGTTTCACAGGACGCCTAACCAAGTATACGCCCTGACTCGCCCGCCATTCATGCCGTCTCTCTCCAAGGAATCTTCTGTTGTTTCGGGACAAGCTCGCCAACTCATTCCATGCCGTTGCCGTATCCAACATAGCGGCTTCTTCGCACGTGGCCCCGCGCAGTCCACCGTTATCCGTACCGGCTCCTTGTTGTTTGCACACCAGATCAAATGGGACGCCACGTCTCGCCAGGAATGGCACTTTGCTGCGCATCTGATGCAGGATCCTGATTAATCAAACACTTAATCCGTGCTCGTCCACTATACAGGAAGACGTATCTCTTCCTACCCCGAAGAACTATGCCGTGACCTCGACCCTTCGCACTCGGTCCATCACAACCGATCTCACGATCTCCTTCCACGGAAAGGCTCCAATTCAACAGTCGAGGGCGTCGCATTTCCGCGCATCGAGACTCGTCTTGCATGCAATACGAGGCTGCCGTTGCTTAAGTTGACCACACTGCTGTCCCTTTTGCTAGTTGTCAAGCAGATTGCTTCTACATGAACACAACTCCCGTCTACGTTTCTCCCCGTGGCGGACCGTACAATCTCTAGTCTGGAGGATCAAAGCTTGCGCCTCATTGCTCGGTCTAAGCACGTTCCATTGGCACTCACTTCTGTTGCAACTGCCCAAACAGCACACAAATTTATAGACCACTTGTCGGCGATGCGAGAAAACGTCACCGCGCTGGGGAAGGGTCCAGAGGACGCGCCTCCAGACATGAATAGCTTCGTCTCCGTCTTCCATGCCAGCAGCCTGTACACGCAGCGAGCTCAGCCACAACAGCAGCGTCCGGACGACAATTCCCACTATTACAATCCAGGGCACTACTGGCAGACAATGGACTACTATGACGTGGCAATGAACATCTGTACCGATCTTACTGATGTGAGGCTGACGGCGGTGTCAAGTTTGTCACGCGGAGTTTCCCTAACATAACCTACAGTTAATTCACGTTACTCCCTCTGTGATGCCGAGCAATGTCCCTCCAACGCCGGCAGACGATCTGACGCCACTCGACTGTTCAATCGACTGTCCATTCGACTTCGCGCCGGAAGCATACGGCAGTCCTGGCGACTCATTACGCCTGCTCAGTACCGACTCGTCGGCTCAGGAAAGTCCAAGCGCAGAGAGCAAATGCCCAGGCCATAGTCGATACGCTGGTCAGCAGAGTCCCTGCCAGACATGCCTACAGGACAAGAAAGAGGTTAGTTCCGCTTGACTCGTCGGGTTTTGCTGGTCGCAATCCAGGTCGCGCCGCGTTTCCACCACGACGCTTGGTCTGAAGCTGATTCAGCTAACGCTGATACCCTGATAGAAGCGAAGAGAACAGAATAGGAAAGCACAACGAAACCACCGACTGCGCAGCGAAGCCAAGCTAGAGCAGCTGAGAGCCCGACTGAAGACGCAGACCGATGAGATCGTGATGCTGAGAGACTTCAACCAATCGTTGATGAAGCATATTGAAACGCTGGAGTCCAAAGGGGGGAATGATGGAACCAGAGATGGACCTGGCTCGGGTCAGGCACCGGATGCGCCGCTGCAAGGTGCGTCCGCTTCTGCTTGACTCTATCGCAGAAGATGTGGAAGACCCAAGGCCAAGCCAGGTAGAGCAGGGCGCCTGCTTCGAGACTAGTCCAAGGCAGCCAGGCAGGCATCATAGATGGCGAGGACAGCTCCTCGTCCGCCTAGTGGTACACCCTTGTGCAGCGTGCACACAAGAAGTCACGAACTGCTGGTCCACGGAGTACTCGTAAACTCTCTGCATCTATGAAGTGGCAAACCCTCGCAGAAGGGACGTTGAGCTGTGAACTTGTGCGGGTGGCAACACCTTCCAGAGTCCGGAGCATGATGGAGACATTAACTACCACAGTGGAGTACCCATTACTCGTACGAGTAATAGTATGGGGTAGCACTGGTAGTCGGCAGGAGATCGCCTACCGCAAGGGGCAGGCAACCCCTCGTATAATGCTGTGCAGATGGTCAATTGAGGCACCAACTGATGCCTGATCAACGCCGTCGTCCCCTGAATCGAGAGCCTGGCAAACCTTGTGCCCCAGCTCCCTTTAGGTATCATCCCCTGGAGCGTAGGGGTAGGCACCAGGAACATAATCCCTAGGCAACAATCCGACACATGGGGAACGCCCGCGTCGTAGGCAGCACGTGACTGCGCGAACCGCCCCGCCCACGTGAATCGGGTCGCCTTCCTTATCGATAACGAGGGACCGAGTCACCAGTTTTGCGATCTTCTGCCTGCACCTGCGCCTTCGCCCTCACCTTCATGAGCCTCACCGCCCACACCTAGCACGACCTTGCGATCAGCCCGCGCGCAGCGGACTCGCCCATGGAGGAAATCGATGAGCGGGCCTCGAAAAGACGACGAATATCAAGACACGCCGACTCGACCCTTCCTGCTCCGTTCTCGGACTATATTGTGCTCGCTCGGGCGAAATGCACAGATGTATCCACCGATGCGTGGCTTCCCCCTCCAAGAGATGGCTCGATTATGGCAGTCAATCTGCGGAATGTGACGCGATGCGAAGGAGGCTTTGAAATCGAATTCGCGGGTGGAAAATGGGCTCGTGAGAAGCGATTTTTCACAGAGGACTTGCCGCACGAGGATCTGCAGATTTTGGAAGATGTCAGGAAGCTCGAATCGGTGGCGAGATACAAACATCCTGCGGCGCTGCCGCTTGCCTGCGCCCATGCCTTCATCCGACCGGACGGTCAGGATACCACTTTTGAGGTCTCCATTCTGTGGCAAGACACAATCGCCCTGAGGGACAGGGTAGACCCCGCACTGCTTGATATTCTCGCCAGGTATATGCCGCCGACAAGGCCCATGCCGTCTCTGTTCGCACCGTGGGAGCCCCGGCAGTTCTACGACAACGTGCATGTCCCGGAGAAGACAGAAGCCGATTCTGCCGAACTCAAAATTCCAGCTCTGGAATCGACGTTGTTTCCCTTCCAGAGACGTGCTGTTAGATGGCTTCTTGCACGAGAAGGCGTGGTCGAGCAATCTGATGGGAGCTTCGGGCCCGGGAAAGGGCAGCCGACAGATCAACCTCTGCAGGGGTTCGAGATGCATAATACCTGGTCTGGCGAAAGCTGTCTTGTCAATCACGCCTTGGGTGTTGCATCTACAGATCTGGCCGCTGTCAGGCAACATTTCGTGGCACCGAAAGGCGGAGTTCTCGCGGATGAAATGGGCCTTGGTAAGACTCTGGAGATCATTGCTCTAATGTGTTTGCACCCCAGACCAATGCAGTCCGTGGAACCCTCCGATTTGCTACCGTCATCCGCAACCCTCATCATTACGCCTCCGTCGATCCTCGAACAGTGGAAGAGTGAGATCCAGGAACATGCCCCCAGTCTGCGTGTGTACCATTACCAAGGGTTGAGCAGCTTCAAGAAATCAGGCGAATCGTTCCTCGAAAGTCTCGTTGACCAGGACGTAGTCTTGACCACGTACAATGTCATCGCAAAAGAGGTGCACTATGTCTCAGAAAAACCTGATCGCAACTTGCGGAACAAGAAGAGGCGCGAGAAACCGCCCAAAAGTCCGTTGACGCAGATTTCCTGGTGGCGTGTGTGTTTGGATGAAGCGCAGATGGTAGAAAGTGGTGTATCTGCGGCGGCCACCGTGGCACGGCTTATCCCGCGAGACCATGCGTGGGCTGTCACAGGCACTCCGCTGCGGAAGGGCCACCGAGATTTGTTTGGCTTGTTGCTGTTCCTCCGATATGCTCCGTGGTGTCGATCGCCTCGGCTATGGGATCATCTCGTCACATACTACCGATCGATGTTACGAGACATGCTTGGGGAAGTCGTGATGAGACATTCGAAAGACTTTGTGCGGGAAGACCTACGGCTACCGCCCCAGAACCGTCACACCATTACCATCCCTTTTACCCCTATCGAAGAACAGCACTATACCCAGCTATTCCAAGACCTTTGTGAAGACCTGGATCTCGATCGCACAGGTGCGCCTCTCACGGACGAATGGGATCCAGAATCGCCTGCGGTGGTTGAAAAGATGCGGACTTGGCTGACCCGACTTCGCCAAACCTGCTTGCACCCCGAAGTCGGCGGGCGCAACAGGCGCGCGTTAGGGCGAAAGACAGACGGACCTCTTCGCACAGTCGAGGAAGTGCTGGACGTGATGATCGATCAGCACGAAGGTCAACTGCGTACGGCACAACGCGCTCGTCTCATGGCAAAGTTGAGGAGAGGACAACTCAAAGAAAACGCCAAGGCAAGTCAAGAGGCGATCAAGATTTTTCAAGAAGCCTACCACGAATCCCGCGTCGTGGTACAGGAATGTGGTAAACAGTTTGATCAGGCTCGTCTGTCTTTGGGTGTCACCAAGGAGCAAGGGATCGTCAGTAAGGACAAGGAAGGCGACGAAGAGACAAATCTCCGCTTATCGACTCTGAATGCTCGATTGCGGTCCGCCCTGGAAATGCACCACACTGCCTGTTTCTTCATGGCGAATGTATTCTTCCAGCTCAAGTCAGTTCATCCCCCGGAGAGTGACCTATTTCAGCACATCGAGGAAAAGGAAACAGCGGCATACGAGAAGGCAAAGTCAATCCGTGGCGAGTTGTTGAAAGGGGTCACCCGGCATGTGAACAAATTGGTGACAACGGTCAGAGCGAATCTTGCTGACGGATCCACCCAAATCCCCATGATGGAAGCGCCGACAGGCTTCGGCGGCATCGAGAGCAAGAAGATTTTCGAAAAGCTTCACTTCTTTTGTGAAGCCATGAATGCTCAAGCAGAACAGTTCCATGAACTCCAGAAAAAGATGGCAGACTTTTTGAGCCAAGCACTCATTGATGAGGACGAGGGTGTCGAACTGCAAGGTGACGAGTACGAGAGCTCGACGAAGCATCAAGACGAGATGTACGCGATCATGGAAGCCCTCAGAGCTTTGCTGGCCGACCGCAATGAGGCCATCAGTGGTCAGGAGAACATGCTCATCAAACAGGAGATGAAGCAATTCCTGCGTGTCGCAAAGGAAGGCGAAGGTCCGGCTCCCGACGTGATGCTTCGGCTTCTGGCGGAACGTGAACAAAAACGTGTAAAAGTCAGTGAGTTTGGTAGCCTGAGGGGCATCATCGCCCAGCTGAGACAAATGGTCTCGTCTTTGCAGTGGCAGGAAGGCAACAACCAGAGCCGTGCGAGCCACGAGCTGGTCATCCTGGAGCGACTCCTGAAACACATGCAGCAACTCGGCGCGGCACAGGTCAAGGCTCTGACGACTCTCGAACAGGATGTCAATCACTTCCGAGACACGATGAACAGCCGGCTGGAGTATTACCGAGCACTGCAAAAGCTATCTGACCAGGTTGCCCCCTACCAAGAGGACTCGATCGGACAGCTGCTTGATGACCGACTCTATCAGAGCTTCCTTGTCGATGAGACGAGGCTACAGCAGAAGATTGACTCCATATCGGCCAAACTCCGGTACCTGGTCCACATGAAGACGGACGACTCGAAGTCCACGGCACCCAGAGTCTGCCTGATCTGCACCGACCAATTCGAAGTCGGGGCAATGACCTCCTGCGGCCACAGCTTTTGCAAGGAGTGCGTCATGCTGTGGTATAGCCAACACCACAACTGTCCAGTGTGTAAGACCAGGTTGCCTCCCAATGGGTTTTACGACATCACATACAAACCTGCCGAAATTGCGGTACAGGCCGAGTCTCCTTCTACCTCCACCACTTCGTCGCCAGGCTCACGCTCTGAACGCCACCACGACCAATCAATCTATTCCGACATCAGTACGACGATGTTGAACCAGATCAAAAATGTCGATATCCGAGGCCCCAGCTACGGCAGCAAGATCGACTTTCTCTGTCGCCATCTGATGTGGCTTCGCGAGCATGATCCCGGGTCCAAGTCGATCATCTTCTCGCAATACCGGGAATTCATCGACGTCATCGCTCTCGCGTTCCAAGCCGTCAACATTTCGTGCACCCGCATCGATGTGAAAAATGGCACCGAGAAGTTCAAATCCGACCCATCCATCGAGTGTTTCCTGCTCCACGCGAAAGCGCACTCGACGGGGTTGAATTTGGTTATTGCAAACCACGTCTTTCTCTGCGAACCGCTGATCAACACGGCGATCGAACTGCAGGCGATAGCCCGCGTGCACAGAATCGGCCAACACCGCTCGACAAACGTGTGGATGTACCTGGTCGCCGACACGGTCGAGGAGTCCATCTACGACATCAGCGTCACGAGGCGATTGGCTCATATGCGAAGTAACAGCAGCAGTAGCGGAGAGGACGCCAACGCCAAAGGTAAAGGCAAGAGCAAGAGTAAATCGACCACCACGGCGTCGGTGTCGGCGTCGATTTCGGGAACGAACACCCCTCTTCGCTCAGACAATAAAGCCCTTCAGGAAAACGAAAACGCCATCGACGCCGCCAATTCCATGGAATTGCAAGCCGCGGACCTCAGCCGCCTGCTCACGGCCGGCAAGTCCGGCGGGGAGATGGTCGACAAGGAAGACCTCTGGGGATGCTTGTTCGGACGGATCAGCGCGCGCCGGGATGGAGGTTCGGCCACAGGCTTGGGTGCCCTAGTAGAAAGCCAGCCTGCGAATACCGAGGTCGCGAGGTTTTTAAGGGCAGAGGCGGCGAGCGAGAGGGCCGGGCAGTCGGGTTGACTTGGATATCCGCGTGGGTTGGTACCGAGGGTAGCATCGAATCGAATCAAGGCGAATCTGAAAGACTGGATGATACAGTCGGCAGTTCTAGTACACAGAGTCGAGCAGAGCAGAGTAGAGTAGAGTACCTGGTAGAGGTTCTTGACTCGCCAGCATTGCACGACCGGTCCATCGTCGTGGATAGTGACTTACATACGCTTCACCAACGTACCTGGTACGGAGTACCTGCGCACTGAAACTCCTCTGCGACCACCGCACAGCTACAGGACTGTAGCTAGCTGCATGGTCTGCCAGTCTGTCGCTCTGTCGTGCTGTCGTGCTGTCGTGCTGTCGTTCTGTCGTTCTGCCGTGCTGTCGTTCTGTCGTCCTGTCGTGCTCTCCGTATGTCGTTCTTTCTGCTACGGACCGGCAGTACTTCTCCGCCTGTGTGTGTTCAAAGAAGCACGGTCCTGTCGCCAAGGGTCCGTGTCGGTGTCTGGCGTCACCGGTAGAGTAAGTATGCATGCACGAAGAAATCCACGACTTAGCACCTTCGCCCTCTCCGGCTCACTTGGAGAGTACGAGGACGCGTACGAACAAGGAACGGGGATAGCGGTTCAGAGCTGTACTCGAGGCACGGCAATCTGCAGGGGGGAGTGTGCTTCTCTTCTGGACATGGACAGAGTTATGCCCTCACTCAATCGCATCGGGATCGTTCAGTTGATCTGCGAGGAAGTAGAACAAGGTCATAGTTACAACGTACGGTACTCCGTATCACCGTTGTTCTATGCAAAGGTAAGAAGCGCCACGCAAGGTGGCACAAGTGTCGCTGACTTGTCACTCCCCAGGTTTCATCATTCATCACTCATAATCCGAACACTCTACCTACACTGCCGCAGAGACACCCGCGTCCCCCTCGTATAGAACCCACAGCAATGCCCAATTACATACCGCGATGCACGCCATGATCCACCAGACACCGCCTACAAAGTTCCCACCAAGGCCGAGTCCGAGTCCCCATCCCCCAAGCGTCGGTCCCAATGTCCTTGCTCCGGAAGACACACTCTGCGCAACCCCATGGATGGTCCCCAACACAGACGGATGAGGCGTACAATTGTTGATAAGAATTGTCGATCCCGGCAACGCGAATGTTCGGGCGATGACTTGCAACGCCAAAACAATCGTGAGGCATGGCCAGACGATGTACGCCTGATTCGGTAGCAGAGCGAGGTACGGCATGAGAAAGTATGCGAGGACGGAAAAGGGGAGAAACCACCGATAGGACGGTAAAGTGCCGAGTTTGTTATTCACGGTCGGGTAGAGGAGGATTTGCAAGGGGAAGCCGATGACGCCGATGATTGCAGTCGCTAGACCGACTTTCTCAGATGATAGGCCGAGACCTCCGGTAAACAGAAAAGGTAAGTGCGCGTTGGTGTTGGAAGACCGCGGCGCAGGGAGGAAGAGGAAAACGAGCGCGTTGAAGGCGGACACATGCATGGCTAACAGGTGGTGATTGAGCAGTGTCAGCACCACGTTCCGGGTGAAAATCTGGCGGAAGCGGAGTGTCGACTTCTGCCACACAGGTGGTTGGCTGGTCGTTGTCGTCTGTGGCGTTGCAGAAGATTCGAGATCTTGCTCCCGTGGAGAATCGGCGTCCTGCAGTTCAAGTTGATTTCCGAGCTCGGAGTATTCATACTCCCCTTGCTTGCCTCGGCGGAAGAGCATTCTTTGAATGTACTTGCCAACCTTTCGACCGCAGTCTGGTCTGTCCCGAAGTGCAGCATGGGTTTCGTCGAGACCCAGAATCAGTAAGATGGCCGCACAAAGGATGAAGGTGGCGCTGATAACGTTTGGAAGAGCGTAGGGAAATGCTGTCATCCATCTGACACCATCCTTGCCTCCAATTGTAGAACCTGGGCCGAACACCCCGGGAAAGGAAGTGATGGGATCTGCGAGGAAACCGCCCAGGATAGGGCCAACAACCACGCCTAGATGGTCAGTAAAATATCTTCCGGGTGCGCGGATGACTTACCAATGTTGAAACACATGGGCAAGAGAAGAAACGCTCTCGACTGGTACCTGTCACGTCTGATTAGATCGAATGTTCACAGACACGAGTGACCGTCATACTTCTTCTCTTTGATGATCTCGCTGATCATCGTCCTCATCACACCCACGTTTCCGTTCAAACATCCGGCGCAGGCTCGGAAGAACAGCGCCTGAGCAAAAGACCTGGCGAATCCGACACCAATGCAACTTACGCAGGTGCCAAATAAGCCCACTAGCAGGACTCTTTTACGACCAATCCAGGGCGTATCGGCAGCACGTCCCCACCAGACCGCAGTAAGAAACTGGGCCGCCGCAAAAGCCGCAGTGAACATTCCGCCCTGACTGGCAATCACGCTGTCTGGAAGATCAGGATTGAAGTATCGAAGCTGGTAGAACAGGTATGCCGCCAGAGATCGTTCTGTCAATGGCTCGACGAGTCGAGCAAGGGTCAGAACGGCCAATTGACCCTTCTTAGGTAACGACGTCCATGTCACTGGGGCTTCTTTTCTCGACTCGTGGGTAGAACTTGTTCCAGCGGTACCGATGGAAACTGGATCTTCTTCCTCATCTATGAACGAGGGTCGTCGCACCGTTAAGGATCTGCCTGGCGTCAGTGTCGGCCTCGCAGGGCCCTTGGAGGACTGCATCGCTGCGTCCTCGACGTAGTCATCTTTGCTGGGAACCTCTCCCAAGTCTTCCCTGCTGGCATTGGCCCCATCCAGTTCTAGCGGTACATCAGTGAACGTGGCTCTTGTTGTGCCTACATCGTGCCTGTGTTGACCATCAGGTGTTTCCACTAGCGGTGAGGGCATTCGGCGCGAATATCTCCGTGGCGTATCATGTGGAGCTTGTTTGTGCCAGAGCCGAGAATTTTCAATCTCGTACAAGCCGATAAGCGAATATTCTGCGGAGCAATAGCCAGCGAAGATGGATTTGTTCAGGATTGATGTCCAGCGTCAGAAGAATTTACGGACCGAAAGGCACAGCCGATGACGAATGTAAATGAGCGGTTCGGTGTCGAGTCCGGCGGCAGGACCGATTGTTGCGTCTTGAGTGGTGCGCCTGCTTGCGTTGTGCCGGTCCGACCGGCCGGTAAGATGCCGGCGAGACTCGGAGGCAAGGCTGCGGTGGCAAGGCTGCCGACTCCGCGCAGGACGGGTACTACGACAATACTGTGCATGTAGACAAGACAATTCAAAGACTGCTGTGACCGAAAAAGGACTGAAAACAGCAGAGTGACCGGACTTTTAGATCTATTACATGCAAAACTAAATGCCATCTTATTATGGTCGGTCATCCTTGAACCTGTTGAACCTCCCTTGCCAGTATCCGGCCTCTTGCTCACCCAGGCCAAGGAACTCCGTGCAGAACGGCCTCATATCCTCGTAAGGCCAAGGCCTTCCTTCTGTAGAAGTAAGGTACTTAAGAGCTTCCCGCTCAGCGTACGCCCTCCCCATCATATCCTCCCTAACGGCTCGGGAAGCGTTGTCCTCAGCCTTGCGAACAATAGCCCCCAGCAATGTAACCCAACGTTCTAATACAGCAGGGTCTGTTGTGCAGGCGTGCTGACGAAACTCGACAGTGGGTTTGATCGATTTCCAACTCGTCTCGTCGCGGGCCAGATTGACGAGGTTGGCAAAGTTGTACATGTATCCTCTGTACGTGTTACCCTTCTCATCTCGATGTTGGAGACGGTCCACCAGGTCAAAGATATCTCCGTCTTGCTTGAAGATGGCGTCCTTCACGTCAAGCGGAGATCGTGTTGCAAGTGTTTCACGTAGATGTCGAGCATTCGAACAGACGTTTTCTGCGCCTGGGTGGACGCCTGTGTAAGCAGTCTCGAATGCAAGGACGGCCTGTTCGTTTTCCTGTTCTAATTCCTCCTCTCTGGGTAATGATGGGGGTTCGTAGTCATCCGGGTCGAAATCTTCGTCGTCTTTCAAGACTCCGACATCGAGTTCCTCATACTCTCTCTGAGGAATTGGTACTCCGCAACGACTCTTTGGATGGCATTTCGAGATGAGGTCTTCGTGTAAGACTAGAATATATGCCAGATGTTGCAGTAACAGTATAGGCATGTCCTTCGGATTGTCGAAGTTGAACCCAATGTGCACATGTGCGCTGGACCACATAGATTCCAGAATCGAAGTGTCCTGCCCCGGCAATGCTTGGAGATATCTGCCGAGCTCTGCAAATGCTTCATCCTTTTTGTTGAGGTTGAATACCGGGGAGATCATCTCCATGCCATGGCTATCCCAATTTTCCATGTCACCCTCCGCCACCTCCCGATCCCTCAAATGATGGTGAAGCTGACTTGGAAGTGCTCCTGCCAGGGTATGGTCGTTCGTTAGCGTCCACTTCGTATAGCCCACATTAGCTTTTCGGAGCACTATGCTTACATCGCACCCATCTTCGTCCGGAAATGCAATGGATGCCGCGGCGACTTCATCTCGGCGCTGAGGATGCGGTTCAATCCACCCTACAACATTAGCCTCAAGACCTCTATCGCCAAGAAGATTCTTCGCAATCAGGAGTGTCTCCATTACATATCGACGCACCCACATCTTCCCATTGTCGGACCTGATGAAGCCCATGCCCTTGAACTGTTTCATTAGACAGGTCAGGTCCGTCTTAGGGACGTGCAATGCCCACGAAGGGCTCCTTCCGCGACAGTCGTAAGCAGGAACGGGGACACCGTTGGCCACCTGCTCAGTCGCCACGAGTTGTTGATGCTCATCGGCGGTAAGAGCCTTGATGATGTCTGCACCAAGATTGTACTTCGATATAATATCCTGCAAGAGGTTCTCCTTGAACGCGAAAACGAATTCGAGCTCAATTCCAAACGTCGTGGCGTGGACTGGAGACCTGCCTTCAGCCTTGGACGGAGAGTCGGCGGGTTGTCGGCCTCTTTGAGCTCGGCCAACTGGATGCTGGAGAGACACTGCGTTGGTGTTTGAGCCCTGCATTGCGGTTTAACATTGGGTTTCCGTGGTTAGTACAGTATGTCGAGCCGTCGATATTCACAGGCCAACCAGCCAGATAAAATGTGCAGTGATAATAAAGAACATCCTCGCCGCGTGATACATCAGTCTACTGCCCAGCCTTGGAGAGGACCTGTGGACACAGTGTAGATGCTCCATTGTGCCGTTTCTGGCTGCCGCTGACCGTTTGCGGTAGGGAAATGTAAAATCATACATGAATGAGCGCGTTCGATAGCCACAATGTCGACCGAGGAAATGATTGTCGAGGTCAAAGCTCCTTTGTTACGGCGTGCCTGGATTTGTTTCGAGGGAAGAACTCCTCTCTTTCTGCTGCGGCGCTGTGACCACCTTATGGGTGCACAGACCACACCTTGCCCCTCGAGCTTAGAGGCCATTCCAGGAGGAATCAAGCCAAGTGATTGGTAAGAGCTTGGCATACCAAATAGAGCACAACTGAAGGTGCTGATAGTTGGAGATCATGAGCTCGAAGCCTTTCTCACCGGTTTCTTTGTTTCGTTGTCAGAATTCGTCGATGGAACGCGACCAGAACTATCCGCAATGAGACCGCAATCTCGAGCCGTCTGTGTTGTGGGCTGTGTAGGTCCCGCTTGCAATTGACCGTAGACACCGGATTGCAAGTTAACGAACCTCGTACCGCCGGTGGTCTCAATAGGTGTATCACAACACCGGCTTCTCTTCAGAAGTGTCGTCGACATTCTTCGCAGCAAGATCGGCCGTCACAGCATCAGACGGGTACCAAGCCATAGCCTCATATACCTGACCCGGACCCATATCGACAACACCCACATCGGCAAATCCCAACTTCTTATACAGCAACCTCCCCTGTTTACTCGCACGAAGAATAACAGGCAAGTTATCCCTTGCAGCGTATTCCTGCACATATTTCACCAACATGGTTCCAAAGCCCTTGCCTTGGTAGGCCCGATCGACAGAGAGGTGATCAATCTCCCAGTATTGCTTGATATCGTCGAAAGGTCCATCTCCAGCCTCACTGTTGAAGAACCGAAGCCATGCCGAGCGACTAAGGGAGCGGTCGGCAAAGGTATACCACTCGATCAGTTCTTCCAGGCGGAGAAGCTGGAGTTCGAGCTCATTCCATGAGGATGGAAACCGCGGTCTCCTTTGATTGTCGCTCTTTTGGGTGCTAGATATCGCGGATACATGACCCACAACTTTGTCCTCGCCGTTCCACCAAGGGTCATTCCGGTCAGATACACCGGCGAGAACAACGTGGCCATCGTAGAACCTCTTCTTGGCACGTCTGAGAAAACCTACTCGCAGACATTCCGGATGCTCATGGCGATGAGGGGATAGAAACTGTGTCAAGTCGTCGTCGAACATGGCGTTTGTGGCGATGGTGCCCAGATCGGAGAGATCTCTAGCCAGGGCCAGACGGACATGCATGTTGATCCTGCGGTGCGTAGCGTAGCAGTTATATGCGATTCGGCTGACAAGAAAGAGTGAGCCAAACGTAGGAATAGCAGGGTGTACGAGTACTCTAGCATAGAATGGTACTCCACTGACAAGAGAACAAATAGCAGAGCAAGAGTCTAGATATGGAGGACCCTGATACAAGCGCCCTCTGACTCACGACGATATTCTGAAGCTAGCTCGATCAAGCTCCCTCTGCATGACAGGGATGATCCCGTGGCGAGAAAGTTCGCCCAGAGGCATCGCGCGACATCGTTGCACAAGGACATTGGAGGGAAGCACACGTCCCTCATTGCAACGTCTGGAGATGGCTTCCATAAATTGGCTGAGTATGAGCTCCGAAAGGGAAGAGGGAACAAACGGTCGCCAAGACTTTCCCCGCCAGCCAATCACAATCGCTTAGCTAGCCCAATCCTTGGCGCGCCTCGCGACTCTCGAAACCCGCAACTTTTTAGAACGCCGGAGGCTCAATGCTCCATGCTCACCACAATTTATCCCACGCAGCTCATCACCAGCCTACCACTCCCGACTCCGAGCTGCAAACTCCCAGCTTACACGCCCAGTACGTACAATCAGAAAGCGCCGAAGTACAGGGTGTCAGGATAGAAACGACGCACCACTCCCGACCTCCCGAGACCGACAGAACCAAGTACGCACAGTGATCTACCTACCAGCCCATCATCAACCCAAGGAGTGATCGATCACACCACAGCTCCCGTGCACGGGACACGCTGTCTTGTCTTTGGTTCCTCTCCCTCCTTTCCCTGCAAGGGACGCCTCTTCGGAAACCGCAACCGCCACCATGTCCCTCGTCCACCTAGCAAACACATGCTCGCACCTCCAAAACGCCTCGCGCGCCCGCCTCGGGCTCACCTCCATTCCCGACACCAAATTCCACCTAAAACTGATGCTGGCGCTCCAAAACTCGGGCTTCCTGTCGACAGTCGTGCGCGGCGGCCCCTTACCTCCACCGTCGCACAACCTGCTCTCGCACCCGAGTTCCTCGAACCCCGAGGCGCCCATCGACCCCGTCACGCGGCATAACGTGGCGAGCCGCCGTCTCTGGCTGGGGCTGAAGTATTGGAACTCGGCGCCCGTGATCGAGAAGATGGAGTTGGTCAGCAAGCCGACGCGGCGGATATGGATGGACGTCGAAGGGCTGAGGAGGCTGGTGTTGGGCAAGAAGAGCGGGTATGTCCTGGGGTTGACGAGGCCCGGGGAGTGTCTGTATGTGAGTACGGATGTGGGGATCCTGGAGGCGCGGGAATGCGTGGAACGGAAGATTGGGGGGCAATTGATATGTCGGATTCGGTGATGATTCTGGCTGATGGGGAAAACCTGATATGTCGGATTCGGTGAGAGTGGTAGCTGATGGAGCAGCTGATATGTCGGATCCGGTAAAAGTGAGGGGCGAATGTGGCAGTTGATATTCTGGGATCCGGTATTCAATAATAGGTGACGAGCGCAGGGCAGAGCTTTCGTGAAAGGCGGCGCGGGAAGCGCACAGAGCGAAACAGCTCGGATGAATAGCGTCTGGTTGTGATGGTGCGACCTTATCGTATGGTCTCCCTCGTCCTATGCCCGGATGCCACAGGCAATATGCCACATACCACATGTACAATACAACACCATACTCTACAATAACTACGACAACCAGGAAGCTACAACAGGGTACCTACTGACTGATACCGGACGCATGTCGCATGTCGCATGTATTTATCGCATCTCTCATATCGGCTCAACCCGACCTGATCCGACCTAACACCTCCGCCAGACATATTGCGGCCGCGAGGAATCACAACAAAGACAACGACGAGGACGAAAAAGAATCCATGTGCACACACCCCCTTGGTTCATCGGCAGGGCCATCGTTTCCAGATATTTGGGCGCTTCTATTTTCGTACCTCCGTACTTGGTACTTCGTATCCTATGCTGCGCGACCATGGCTCGCATTCATACCTACCTAGTACACACACACTGGTCAAAGCGAGGATCGCAAGGCAGGGAATGTAAAGGGAATACCCAGTAAATCCCCATCAAGCGTGGAGCAAGCATGTATACTGGGTGTGATAGACCACCCTTGTGGGAAGCAGTATCATAGTGGTAGAGGTTTGGTACACCGTCGCCCTCGCGACTCGATTTTAATAATGCTGTCTGATTTTAGCTCTCTTGTAATAGAGTACAAAAAGCCACCATGGAACTACCTCCGGTTGACCTCTCGCCGGGATAGACTGATGCTGGTGGCCTCAATGGAGGGTACCCTTTTGCGAGCCCTCGAAGTAACCATCCTCATGGTGAAACTACACTGTTACCTCCAGCCCTGCAAACCCTCTACCTCTACTGCTCCTGCTCCCCTTCACTCTCATACTCAAATTCGGCTGGACAGGGTGCATCCTCCACCCCTTCTTCGTCCTCGTCGATCGCCGTCAATACCCCGGCGGCAGCCGCAGCTCCTGCGCCAACATCCTCGACACCACCCAACCTCTGGCCCGCTGGTGTCTGCGGTGTCGCTGCATCAGCTCCAGTTACATCCCCGATAGGCTGCACCGTCCGCTCGGGCCGATCGACTCTACTGATCAGCAATGGAATCGTCTCTCTGTCCTCGTCGGGCTCCGTGTCAAGTACGACCATAATGCCGCCGGTTGGGCGCTTGACAATCTGATACCTCGGATCGGGGAAGCTAAGATACTTCAACTGAGCAGGCAACACGCGGGACATGTTAGTGATCTCGTAGCCGACCTTTTCCTTTTCCGCTTTCTTCCTAGGTTCAGCGGCCGTGCCATTTTCGCCTTCTTTCTTGTCAGCATCGGACGTCGGGTTGACGTCTTTGTCTTTGGTATCAGAGTCGTCCTTCACGGCAGCTGTGATGCCAGCCTCGTCTGTATCCATTTTGTCGGCATTGCCAATCCTGGGCGTGACGGGCGTGACTGTGTCGACATCCATACTGTCCCGTCGCTGCTGCTTCTCTTTCTTAGCAGCCCGTCGACGGGCTTGTGCGGTGGTACTCAGCACGGCAGTCTTAACCTTCTCGGGTGTTTCGTCCTTGGCAGCTGTTTGTTCAGGTGGGTAATCGAACAGACTGGGCCGGGTGTTGCAATGGAACTTGAACACTGGAACTTGCGTCTTCTGATCGAGACCAATCACGGCCGTCGGGGTCATCGAGAGCGACAGGAAATGTGTCAAAGGGAACCAATACCAGTATTGAGTAAATACTACGACACCCACGATACCCAGCATGTTCAGGTTGCCAGTCGGAGTTTGCAGACTGATTGCGCAGTTTCGGCCGGCGGCGTCGATGATACCCATGGCAATCGCACATCCGAACTTGCACATAGCATCTTCGTGTCGATCGCCGATAATCTTGAGCATGGCTTTCCGAATGGCGCCAACCTTGGGGTTCATTTGGTCGTTCTGTTGGATCAACACCATCGCCAGTGCGATGAGGGCACCTTGACGCACAAAGTCGGTGGGATCTTTCAGCATGGGTTCCAGCAAGTCGATAGCTTCATGAAGACCCGTGCCGGCGCAGGAGATACCCAATGCCATGGCAGCACCATATCGGACATGAGGATTGTAAGATTCTGCGAGTAGCTCCACCATTCGAGGTACGCTGTTGTACTTCCGGAACAGGATGAATCCCAAGCTGAGGACAGCAATACGACGCACATCGTCGCTGACATCGCTGACGGCGACGTGAAGCAGCTTCCGGACAGCCTTGTTGCTGCCGGTGCCGACATAGGCCATGGCAATGGTCAAGATACCGCCATAGCGCATCGTCGGATCGGCGTCGTTCAAGAGACCTTGGATCAGCTCGTCCGCACCCTCTTGACGGCCGTACATGATCAAGGCCATACCAAGAGCAAGACCTCGGACAATCTTGTCGTGTTGGGTATCATGAGCATGCTGAATCATGTCAGACAGGACCTTGGTGTTGCCCGATCCAAGCATAACAAGCCCCATTGACAGGCCGACAGCCTCGCCATTGATCGCTGAATCGGCCCACAGCACATTCCGTAGATCCTCGAAGATGGATTCGTCGCCAGAGGCCATTCCTGCAATACCGAGACCGAGCGCACCGCCGTGCTGAACGACTTCCTCCGTCGCTTCCTTGAACTTGTCACGGATAAAGCCGACAGCTTTGCCCTTGTCGTTAGCGCAGAGCAGGCCATAAGCGTACAACGAACCACCTTGGCTGTAGGGCGAGTCGTGGGAGCTGGCAGCGCCGGCCGGCTTCGGCAGATATGGGCTCAGAAGCCGGTGAGCTTGCGTGATGTTTCCTTGGTGGATGACTCCAAAAACAGCCGTGGCAGTGAACTTGGACCAGTTAGTAGCTTTGCCCAACCATTCCAGGTTGTTCCGGAAGAATGTGTCGTTTGCAGTTTTGGCGTGCATCAGGCCGGCGCAGAGGGTAACTGCCGTGTGGAAGATCGAATACCGGGCCTCGAGGCTGTCTTTGACCTTGTTCAATATCGATAGATCCACCCGGTTGGCATTGTGTAAGAATTCGATGTTGAGGAATATTGATATGAAACCCGAAAGAATGTCGCACATTCGGCTGATCGCGTCCACTTGGTCGCCGTTCCAGTCCCATCGCTTTGGCTTTTCCGCTGGGGCCGGTGCACCAGCCGAATCTTGCAGTTCTTGCTGTAGTTGACCTTCGGCCTTTTCTTGGTCTGTTTCCATCTCATCGGCCTCCTTGGACTCTCTCGGGGGCAACAGCTCCTCGAGTTCCTCTTTAACCTTTCGAAGGAATTCTTGTGTGCAGTTGTCATTGAGGTCAAAGGCGATCTGGCACGCAATGGCCAGCGAACGGGGGTCGCCCTTCTCGACCAATTGCCGCAAGAGGCTCGATGCCATAGAATGCTGATCAAGGTAAACCACGCACTTTGCGATGGCGAAGTAGTCGGGGGAAGGGATGTCGTTGAGGAGCTCCAAAATGACCTTGAGTATCTCATTGCGAAGGCCCCGCTCTTGCACCACACTCATGCAAATGTCCAAGACATACTCTATCAGCTCTTCGCCCTTCTTTGTAGCTTCACCCTTCTCGTTTCGTTCGTCCTCGGCGGCTCGCCTAATCACGCGACGGAGAATGTCGAGGTTGCGTGCCTCCAAAGCAATACCGACCACTTGACGATACCGTTTTTCTCGGAAGCACGTCTCGAAGAGAGACTCGATCACGCGGGTGAGCGCTTTCTGTAGACCACGCTCTTGAATGATGCGCTCCGGTGAGCCAACTTCACCCAGCTCGACACCGGCTTGAGTAGGGTCGAAGGACGTGGTATTCTGTCTCGAGAGTAGGGACTTGGAAGGAAGCACGGATTGAGAGAAGGGCGTGAGAGGCGATGTTAAGCTGGCGGACATACTGGCTGCGCCGTCTCCTCCTTGACTGAAAGCCGTGTCAAGTTGTGGTTGTGTACCAGCATTGGTGGTGGCGAGCGTAGAATCTCGACTGGCGGACAGAGCGATGAAAGAATCTACACATTTGGAGATGATGGTGTCTTCAAATTCTCCAGGGTTGTCCAATCTGAAGTACTTCCCAGCGCCGAGGGCAAATGCCATGGATTCATTATATTCTTGCAGGTGGTAGTACACTTTGGATGCGACAATGGCGGCGAGCTCGCGCTCCGGGAAGGAATCGTCTTCGTATAACGCCTCACTAGAAAGACACAGTCAGCTGGGTAAGATAGGTTGAAGATCATTGAAGGCTCACATTTGGCCCACGGAGTTTGCAATTTCGGTCCATAACAGATCAACTTGGCTGTCGAGCTGCTTCAGAGCAAAGCTTCTGAGCTCCGGATCAGGTTCTGACAGAAAGCCGACCAGACCGGCAGCCGACACCAATCCAACCATGTCTGCTTTTGTGTTGTGCGCAACGCGCAGACTGAGGTTCTCGATGTCCGGATCCGCGGTTTGTTGATCGGTGCTGGAGAGAAGGGGCAGAGGCGCAACGATTGGACGACACGGATCAGTCCGGCCAGGCAGGTAAGAAGACAGTCGACGAGAAGAAAGTCTAGTGTACAGGGAAGAAGAAGGATGAAGAGATGTGGTAGATGGGGAAGCTGAAGGAGAGTCAGAAGTCTGATGGATTCGCGCAGACAGATGGAATGGACGGCGATTGCAATTGACGTGTCTGCGCTTTGAGCAGCCGCTGCACTTCGTAACCTTGCAGCAGCCTGAGCCTACCTGGGTTAGTCATCGGGTCACGTGAAAATAGGTCACGTGTATTTCTGGTCACGTGGTTTAATGGCCACGATGGACTGTGGGTGCTTGGAGTACTCTGTATAGTTATATTATTACATGGGTATCAGAAGCCGAAAGAGAGCGTGGCCTCTTATGCCTCTCCAATGCTGTCTCTTGAGGCTCGAATTGTCACCATTAACCAGTAGCCGCCATGCCATCTCTCGTCGTTGTTGTCTAGCAAGGAAACAGGCGACTCAATATTCTTACGTTATCCACGAATCCCCGGACGAGTGGTTCGTACCGGTTGGATTGGCCTGCTTTTGCTTTGGCCAACTCCAGTCGTATCTGCTCCGTGCTGATTTCCACCTCTAGTTCGTGTTCTTTTTCGACCGAGTTGGGATAGCTGACTTGTGTCAAGTCGATCTGATAAGCCAAGTGCCGGTAACTCATTCGGTCCTTCTGTCGGTCTCGTCGGCTCTCCGTCGTCTCTGAAAGCCAATTCGCATCTCCCTCCCAGGGGCTTTCAATCGATACTGAGATGCGGTAATCGAAGGCCGTCCGCGGATTGTAAATCTCCAGATCTGCAATCCGCGACTTGATGATTTGCGCTTTGACCATATTGGTCTTTTCATCAATCGTTCTGCGCACTCGCGGCTTGTGGTTGTGATTAAGATACGTCATTATAGACGGTGGTAGGTGATTCTGGCCTTCCAGGGTCAGTTCGTAGAATGCGTCGTATTCGTGCGGATGATCGTAGCCGATTCTCGGCGGTCGCCCGGTTTCTTGAGCTTCCCGTACCGAGTCTTGGACAAGCTTGTTCAAGAATCCATTCAGAGCCTTGTGCTGAGCCTGATTTCTTGTTAGACCCGAAGACGCCCGGCCGGCGAAGCAAAGCACTTACCACGTCCATGGAACTCTTGAAGCTCGTCCGGCCTCTGTAGCTCTTTCGGTCGAAAACTGTCTCTGTTTCCACTGGCAAACTGAGTCGGTCGCCGGTCCCCTCATCGAAGATCATGCCAACCTTGGCTTCGATCTCAAATACAGCTCCTCCAGCAGGTGGTTGCTTATTGCCAATGGTGAAAAAGATCCAATCGCAGACACGCCGAACAACGTCATCAAAGGCTGGCTCATTGACGATCGACGGCTCCCAGGGAATCTCGGTGGGAGGTGTCATTGCAGGTGGCTGCTCTTGTCCATTCGCCATCTGGGACCCCACAGAGTCCTTCTTCATAACCACATCGTTCGTGGACGAAGGCGGGGGCACAGGTTGAGACGCAGGGCTCGGAGGTCGCGCCTTGATGAAGATCAACGGCTGTTTGCGTGCGCTGCGCGCCCAGAGGGGAATGTCGTCCCGTCGCGGGCGCTTTCTCGGAGGTAATGGAGCAGTCGTGATGTCGGAGATATTGCTTGCGGATCGCTTGAGTGGAAATTGTGAGAGCACTTTTGCCGCGGGACTGTGCTGTTGTGTAGGAAGGGATGAATGTGCTTGCTGGGGTGTCAAGCTGTAATGGCTTGTAGCAGCCGGAGCCGGACTCGGCTCAGAGTTGTGATACTGGGCGACGGGCCTCTGGTCAATCGACGTCGACGATGACTTGGGAGTGTTATCGTAGTGCTGATAGTCCAGAATCCGGTCCGGCGTGGTGTGAGGTTGCGCGACGGAAGAGTTGGAACTGGAGGCTGGCGGACCCAGAGGCCCGGAGTGCTGATCGGGCATGAGGTCGTGAAAACGGCTGACACTCTGCCGTCGGACTGGAGGAGGCTTGGGAATTGTCTTCGGACTGACACTCTCAATGCTCCGCTCGCGTTCACGCACGTCCCCAGAATACGTTCTTTGTATGCTGCCACTCCCGGTTCTTGAATGATCGGACGGGCCTTGGTTGTAGTCCCTGCTTTGTACCGAGCCTATCGAGCCCACAGATGATCTTCTCACGCTCTCGTGGCCATGGGAGGTCGGCCGATGAGGGTGCGGCGAAGGACGGGGGTAGGACACGGGTGGGCCCAGGGGCGTCGCTGGAGGAGGGTGGAACTGAGCCTGAGGTGAAATGTTGCGCTGGCGTGCATGCGAATTGCCGTTTGCGGCAATGTGCTCTTCTCTCAGTGTAGGTGACTGCCCCTTAAGTGAAGGATGAGCCGTAGGGTATTGATAGGTGGTCGCAGTGGAAGGCGTGGTGGTATTGGGGTAGTGGTGGACGGAGCCGGGTGTCGGAGGGTATTGGCCCGAAGGGGAGGGCGAAGGAACAAAGGGAGACTGGTATGGATGTGCAGACGCTATGCCTTCGCGCGGAGTGTGGATCTGAGCATATGGTCCTGGACTCTGCGCGTAGCTAGGGGTGGAAACAGAGGCAGACGCGGAATTCTGGTGTTGGTGCGGTGATTGCACGGCGAAATAGGAGCCATTGGCAGAGGTGCGGAAGTCGTTGGACGGCGGCGGCTGATGGTGGTGGTGGTGATATGACGAGGATGAAGAGGCTGACAGCAACGGCGGGCGCTCGAGAGCAGGATGCGACTCGTACGACGGGGTGCGGTCATAGGATGATTGATGGGTGTGAAGTCGAGGCGGAGGGTGCGGTGGCCCTTGATGGTCTTGTCGCTGCGCCGGCTGAGACTCATTAAGCATCGCCCTCAGATCCATGGCTGGCCCGAATGTTGCAGATGTTGCTTCTGGCGTGAAGCTGTGTAACAGCGCGTGGGTTTGGCCATTAATTGATCAATTGTCCATGGTGGACTGGTTCGACGAGTGCAGCTGCGGGTGGAGGTGGACGAAGGAAAGAAATGCTGCCACTGCCGCGCGACTGGCGGCTGGCAAACCAATGCCACGTCGCCCTCTCCCTCTGGATATCTCCGCTCCTCTCCTGGTTAGACACCTGTGGTCGCTCCATCGCTCAACGTTACACATATCAGTACATTTCGTTCTTATGCGAAGCGATCTTCCTAATGCTACAGCTTGATCTAGAACAACAGGGGTATCATCGTAAATGTAGGCAACCATCCAGACTCCAGTCACGTGCAAGCCTCGTCAAGGCCCGCCGACTATACCCAACCCTGTGATTGTTTCTCCCCTTCTAGATGTCATGGCCAACGCATCCGCCAGAATGTCCTGCTCGATGCCCACCTGCGGCGAGAGGTATGGTGTTGGCCGAGGCGTGGTTATGGAGAAAGCCGGCCTCATCGAGATATTGCCTAGACTGACATTGCGGCGCACTTTTAGGGGTACTGGCGGGGTCAGTCCATTTTCACCCCCTACAGGAGACTCGACGCTAAGACTGCGCCTTCGAAGGAACGATGGACGAGCCGACCGGCCACGCCCTGGACGTCCCCTGCTGTTGGACCTCTTTCGCTCGCGGGCGGCTCGGGCCTCGGGCCCAAAATTCACCCTGTCCCTTAATGTATGTATCGCTTGGATGAGAGCCAGTTCAATGGCCACGCAGTTCTTGATTCGACACATCCGAGGCCAAGTCGCCCGTTCGCCTGCGACGGTGGCTTTCAGCATGAACTCTGATGTAGGATTCATCATCATGTTGAGGTACTCGCTCGGGTGGATGTCGGGCAATATGTTGATATCGCCCGTGTACTGTTGATTGAACAGTGAAGCCCACCTGTAAAAACCTTGCGGGAAGCCGATGTCTGCGAGTTGTTGTGCCCGGTGGATGATCTCTTCTCTCAGAACTTCCTTGGCGGCTTGAAACGGGTTTGGACCTGGGGAGGGTGTACCGGGCTGCTCACCCCGAAAACTCTCCTCTCGATCGAGGAATACTCGTACATGTGGATTGACCTGGGAGACGATGAAAAAGTTGACGTTGAACATCTCGGACAGTTTCCGCATAGGAATGTCGTGGTCCAGAGATCCGTCCACGAACGTCTGCTTGGCGTTCTGCATCCACAGCTTCTCCTCTTTGGTAATGGGATCCTTCTCGTAGATATTGGCGGGCGAGAAAACGCTGGGCACAGCACAAGATGCACAGACTGCTGACCAGATGAAGACATCGGGAGCGGTCACGAAATTCAACAGTCGTGGCTCCGCACTACCAGCGCTAGACACGCAAATATTGACAATGCGACCAGTCTTGTAATGTGCCTCTCGGAAGGTGATGTCGCCCAGCCAATCTCTCATCACCCTCCTCAGGTTCTCCATTTCAAAGAAAGCGCCCGTCCGCAGCACTGTGCTTAGCCGCTGTGTGAGCCATCCCACTCTGCCTGTTCCCGGGGGATCGAAGACGGCCAGATCCGAGAAAGGGAATCGGTCGAGCACTTCCGCCATCCGCTCGTCAGTGGAACTTCCCACAATGCCGGCCACGATACTGCCTGCTGATGCTCCTGAAATGATCTCCGGCAGAAGTTCTGCCTCCCACAGAGTTTTCACAACACCAATATGCTTCATACCCAGAAGTGCCCCACCAGACAATGTCAATGCTGAACGTCCAAAAAATTTCAGTGCGTCTTCTAATGATTGCTGAGAACGCCGGACTTCTACCGTAGAGAGGTCGTTGCGAATGCTTGCCTCGGAAAACGCATCAATGGCCTCTAAAACAGTGTTGATATAATCGTCTATCAGTTTCTTGGTGCCGAACCATGAATGCTTGTAGAGCCGCAGCGAGTTCATGCCTCCGAGGTCGCGACTGAGCCCCGTCCGCAGGAGGTGGTGCAAAGCCGCTGTATCTCGTTCGATCACAGCACTCTTCAAGCGAATGACTTGATTCTCAATAACATCAGGGTTGTAGCCGGGTTCGATCGAGTCCTTCTCTTTCTTCCATGCTTCGTGGCCTTGGAGGTGGTCCAACGCGACTGTACAGCTCTCGTACTCGGCCAAAGTCTGGGCCTCGTTCATGCGTCTGAGCAGGGCTTGCTCCGGTGTCTCAGGAGGTCTTCGGCTGTATCTTGCTATCTCTCCGGCAAGTCTCTGCAGTCTCTTGCTCGGCGACAACAGCTTCACCACATCGGCGTAGAGGCCAACGCAGGACCAAAAGATTGGGGAGTGCGCAGGGACAACCGACAGGAGGATTGCCATGGCGATGATGAGGTCGTGGCCATTTGATGACCACAGAAAGTGTCTAGGTGGACTCGGCAAACGTCTGTCTCTAGGTTCTCTATAGGTAGTTCTAGAATGGGTGAAAAAGGTGAAGACGTAGTCACGGGTATATGGAATTCTCGGTGTCCTAGCTGTGAAATGAGAGTGAGCTGTGTCATCCAAGATCAGGTAGCCACTTTCTGGCGCGAGCATGTGACCTCGCTCTGTGGGAGGACCTGAGCCAAGGCAAGCGCAAAGAAGGAGTGGATGGACAGACTTATGCCAGACGTGGCCGCTGAACGATTACTTTGTTAATGGGTCCGGCCAGTAAGGCCGAAGCCAGACTCGGTAGCCGAGTGTGTGTATCCCAAAGGGAATGACATGAACCAAACAAAGCCAGAGGTTGCGATGCACAGGTACGCAAAGGTGACGAAGGGGTGGAACGAGTGGAACGAGTTTGTGGGGCGAGTTACTGTATGACATCCATGGATGGCTGGCTGGATATCTCGTAACCTCGGGGCGCGGTGAAGATTATCGAAGTTTGTATTTCACCCCGTGACCCCCAGTCCGCGCTCCCTCCACAGCAGTCACCTACCCGTAGAGTCGAGGACTAGGGCTGGGGAAAACCGAATGACCTGGAGAACCGACCCCATTGTCACTCCTCAACTGGGGCGGCATTGTCAGGCGATTGGTATTCCTGGAAGAAATGGAGGTGTCATGCTGTTTTCAAATGCGCGCGTGATATGTTCTTTGTCAGGGTCGTCGAATGGGTGAACGGATAAAGGGCCCGGTGAGCCCCCAATCAAGGCACAGCGAGAAGGTTTGCTTTCGCCGCTGATCGCAATCACATGCAAATGCAAAATGCAAAATGCAAAAAGCATCTCGTATCTCGAGTTCTCGGGGTCCCTGACAAGCCTGTCTTTCGGCTCATACGCGCCTCGCATTCTCCACAACCCATGCCTTTGTATCACATCATCTGCAAAGTTGCCTGCCGAGACGCTGTTTGACGCCGGCTGTTGCTACAGGCTGGGTTTCCGCCGGGATTCTTGACTTGGTTTGAATTTCGAGACGACAAGTTGAGCATGTGCACTTCAGTCAAATCTGCACACGCCTGTATAGTTTGCCCAACGTATCAGCGGCTTCGTTTCGAGAAAGGGTATCACCCTGCACTTAACAAAGCCAAATAGCAACTTCACCGCTAGATTCATGTCGTTCTGAAGCACAGAAGCCAACCTACTCGGAAAGCCTACTGTGCTTGGCAGCATTCTACTCTCTCGAAAGCATGGCTTCCCGAACTCGGCGTCTAGGTGATAAGGGCAGGCTTCTTGGGTCAGCCTACGAGTAGCGGTTGATTTCTTGATATTACAGGCGTCCGTCACTCTCGGTAGACGCAGCATGTCGACTTGTCAGTGTCTCGAGGAATTCGCACAGTCCTTGCTTGAATCGAACAATGCCGTCCGCTTCCTGCCAGAAGTGTCCGGCGACTGCCTCAACGGCCATAAACCGAGAAGCCGGTCGTGCTTTCAGCTCCTCCGTCCACCTTTGTAACTTGCGAGCAGACGTGAAACCATCTTTGTTCCCGTACAAGCAGCAAGTCGGATGAATCGTTAGCTCATGAAACTCCCGCTCTGAGGCAGAAGCTCCCTGGCCGCCCTTGGCGGCAAATCGAAGCTTGGAGAACATTGTGGTGAAGCCGGCAGCCACAGAAAGTATTGGAGACACGATGAGGTAGGCGACATCTGGCAACACATTCGGGGCAGGTTCCGCTGGTGCCGGAGTCGGCGGTTCCGTTACTGGTCCTGACGATGATGGCGTTGACGCATTGTCCGGTTGGGATCCGATCTTGCGACGAACTCTGTCCAAACTTTGTCTAATCCTTTCCGTGTCAATACTCTTTCTGGAATTTTGCCGGCTGACGCGCCCCAACTCGTAACCACCCATGATGACACCGGTTGTCGTCTTTCTGATCTGTCCTCTGAAGAGCTCTTTCTCTGAAGACCCTGCTACCGTTGATGCTGCATACATATCGAAGTAAGCTCGAGCATCACGAGACAGCTCCTCCGCTCGCCGCTTTATTTCGATCCCTGCCGAGTCTGGTGTCCCGGCGTTGAACAACCCGACCACCACCTGTATCGGCGGCAGATGGGATGCAATCATCGAGCCGTATGAATAGCCTCCCAGGACTAAAAGTGGCGGGTCGTGTCGACATCGCTCTTCTTCACCACCCGAATGGAAGATGGCGTTGATGTAGTTCAGTAGAAAACCATAGACCGAAACGTAATCACTAAGCTCGGGCTTGCCTGACCAAGAAGTTCGTCCTGCTGATCCAGCAGCCCCTCTGCAACGCGTCAGTACTTGGTGATGTTTGTGCAGAATAGATAAGTGTCTACCTGAAATTGAAAGTGGTCAAAACAAAGCCCTGCTGAAGAAGGAGGCTACCAACAAGCGCCACCACTGGGTCGTCATGAGAGCCGCCTAGGGGAGCGTAGGGATGTGCGACTATCGCAAAGCTTCGCCCAAAAGCCTTGAAGTTCTTCTCGGTCTTTCGTGGATAGTATAGTCGACAGTCCAGCTCTGTGTCGTCGTGGACACTGGGAATCTTGAACGAGGCATTCGGTTTCGGAAGGGTCATGATTGGCGACGACTGCCTCGCCGGCCTTGCAGTATGGAGCCTGATAGCATCGCCCAGACGGAATACTGAGACAGCCGTGTACGATTGCGAGGCTGCTTACTCCGTGTTACTGAAGTGTACGCGTACGGGAACAGGCAGAAGGCTGAGTTCATCCCACCCCATATCGGGACTAGGTGGCGCCGCCCTGCGCCGAGAGCGAAGTTGGTTGTGGGGAAGCGCTGAGGCGAAGCCCTGACATTCCAACTTACACAGTACGGAGTACATATTTGGATATGTGACACCATTTACTTTTGGTAGTCGATGCCGGATGGCAATGATCTCTGACTCTTCCGCGTATTTATACCGTTGTAATCCGTTACCCAGCCTCTTCCCGCCTTGTTGCCTGTCCCAAACTCATCCCCACCTCCACATCCATCATAACTAAATGCCTACTCACGCTCAGGAGATCCTCATCAAACCGAATCTTTCCCTCCTCAAAAGCGACGATAATGCTACTCCCTCCAAACTGGAATAAACCTACTTCTTCGCCCTTTTCCAGATGTGAGCCCTTCGTCTGGCACTTTTGGTTTATTTCTACGGTTCCCACATTTGTGGCGCCGATAGCGACGAAGAGCACGCGTCCGAACAAAGGACTATTGATGCAGATCGCGCAGCGAGCATTCATAGTCAAGATGTCGATGTCGGATTGTAAGCAGAGTGGGTCGACTTGATAATATTCGCCGTCGATTTGCTTGTACCATTCCACGACGCCTTCCACCGGGGAGTGGTAGCGATGGTAATCTTGCGGACTTAGCCTGAAAGATGCGATCGCACCATTATGCCATGTTCTTGCAGTGGCGTCGTCTTCGATCAAGTTGCCGATGGTGAAGTTCCGACCCTTTATCCATAGGCGTTTAGATTCCGCGACCGTGGGATAGACGACCAGTCGGCAGTCTGCAACGACGACCGCACGGGACGGATCATCCTTTTCGAAAATTGGACGTGCTCCAGGTTTGTGTTGCCTCACGAAAAAGTCTTCGAATGTGTGGTAGGCATGGATGTCAGAGGGGGTGAAGTCGTCCATGTTGATGTGGTAGAAGTCGACGAAGGATTGGATTTGGCTAGCGGAGGCGATGGTGCCTTCCTTCTTGCCAGATCTGATAGTCTTGTCATGAATCCAATGCCTCAGCAACCACGTCTGATCAATCCACTCCATGGGCCTACTGAAAAGAAGCCATAGTTTAACTTTCTTGTATATGGGTTGACGTTCTCGCACATAGCAGCCCGTCTTGCGGTTCAGTGTTTTCCAACCGACCTCGCGGTTTTGGACCAGTTTCACGGTGCTGAGGGCATTGTCGACGAGGGAGTGTGTGTAACTTAGGACCGCGCCCATTTTGCTGAGGTATTGTCTAAGAGATTGTGATCTTGCACCGAGCTTGGGATTGTCCTGCCTGGACGGTGAGAAGAGATATCCTTGATCGCGCGTGCTCGGAAGTCATCTCCGGAGTTCGATTCTCTTCGTTCTTGATTCTCCTGAACCGGTTGACGTCATACCTGTGACATCAATTCTGGCAGACCGGCTTGTGCCGGTGTGAACTTTGTCGCCCTGGACTTACCAGAATGCCACGGCAGGTCGAAGTGATCTGAGATCCTTCTCGTGGTGCGGTCTTCGTTCATCTGGCTGGACCCGCAGCGCGCCACACGTGAGGTTCTCGTCATGCTCATAGCCATATTGGATCGAGATGATGCCGGTGAGAGTGGGCTGGGTAATTATGCAAGATCAATAGCTGGTCAAATTTTAAGACCTGTTGGAAAGTGGTTTTCGCTGGCAAAGAGAGCCCGAAAAGCGGTGATGGGGACGGCGACAACCATAATAACCGAGATTCTCCAAGTTCAATGGAGATCACTCGAAGAATGACCAGGTGGTTGCACTTCGACCTCGCGTGGTTCGGCAGCAGTGAGGTTCTGCAGCATGGAAGAAATACCTGATCAAAGCGATCACCATCCCACCGGTATGAGCTGGCCTGCCTGAAGAACGTCAAGTCAGCGGCATATCCGCTGGGTCCAACCATGCTGCTTCTCTTGCGCGAGGTGGGTAGTAGCTCCCCGGAGCGGATGCATCATCCTTGATCGCGATGTTGGCGAGGTATGAGACTGATTGCTTTGATAGAGTTGATGCGGAGGTAATTTCGCGGGAGCGGTACGGAGGAGAAATATCAGCCTCTTCGTTTGACGACGACGAGGGAGGATAACATCTATTGCCTTCCAGCTTTTCTGCCCTCTCCCTAGAACAAGTGCTTTCGAGAACCTTGTTGAGACGGTGCAGGACATTCCCCTCGTGTTGGCCAATACCGTCAGACTGCCAAAGCCTACCTGATGATGGACGAAGAGAGCAAGGAATGGTGAGTCTTGTGCGGTCGAGGTTGCAGAGGACCACCAGCCTGGTAACCCTTGCAATATACGGAGTACGGCCTGGGCCATTAGGCCTCGCTCTGACTTTGTGGAGAGTCTCCACCGATTTCAACCAAATGCTCCTTCAGTAAGCTCGTAGTACACCATCTACCCTAGTGACAGCTTCAGTGGTGGCCTTAAAATGAACTTCGCCGGCTTTCCACCCCTTCCGCATGCCCAGCACGTCTCTGCGCCAGTGAGATTCCATACACCCAAGTCGTAGGAAAGCATTGATTCCGATGACCACGACTTCGAAAGTTCTGGCATCCAGAATTACCTCACTTCACCTTTGACAACCTCCTCACCCTCTCCTCACCCACCCCTTGGATGCTCCTCATCTTGATGATTCGTGACGTAAAGTGACGACTTTGACATCAAGTACCCGAGACCCTTGTCGTCACCCCAAGTCACGAGGCGTAGTTAAAGCTGAAGGGTATTTGTACTTATGCTTCAAGTTGTCTCTCTACCCTGTCTGACCTTGACCTCATCTTCATCTACCATCAATTCGAACAAATCCTACACACAAACAGACAATCAACCAAACAACTCCCATCAAATCCGCCCATAATGTCTTCATCTGGAGGTAGCGCCCCTGGCGAATTTGCCCACGGGAAGGTCGACCCCCATGAGGCTGGCAAGAGTACGTCACGTCTACTGCAGTGCATCTGTACGGTAAGGTTCTAACTCACGATCATAGAGGGTGGTCTCGCGTCTGGAGGCGGCACCTCGGGCGGCAGTGACAGTAGCAACACCGGCTCAAGCGGCGGCAGCAGCGGCAACTCTGGTGGCAGCCAGAAGGGCGAGTTTGCTCACGGCAAGGTTGACCCGTCCGAGGCCGGCAAGAAAGGTAAGCGAGTGCTGCGTGCAATTGGGACGTGAGCTGTTTGAGCTGCTGCTGACGAGGTCACAGGAGGGTCGACGTCCTAGGTAGTCGACGTCATCCCATGGAACATCATTGGCGGACTCAAATGTCTTCAAGCAGCTTTGCAAAGACAGCAATGCCTGTTCTCACGGCAGACGAAGCTTGATGTGGATGCACGGATTGAAAAACGGAAGTCAGCTGGCTAGATAGCCTACAGCAATACAGCTATTGCCCTCAAAGTCAGATGAGTCTAGCAGTCACGATGGATTTACGCTTCGAATTTCTAGACCGTACTGCATCCGTCTATCTGTCGGCTGCTACATGTTGCATGCGGCGGCCGGCGTCCTCTGCCAACATTTCATAGCTCGTCCCGCTTCCCTGCGCTCTTCCCTTTCGTAGCATCCCACTCTTTCAACTAAGTCTTTACTCGTCGAAACTCCCACTGATGCGCCTCTCTGATGAAATCCGGCTCCCCACTGAGATTGAGAATCCCCGTGCTGTCCCAATGATGGCCCCCACCCGTGATCAGCAGCTGATTCTCGCCATACCGTGTGCTGGCGTTACGGCCGTGGTAACACAAGTCCCGCCACACATCGCTCCCTCCATCGATCAAAGCAAGCCGTGGGGCAGTCAAACTGAAGTCCCCGTATTTGCGGTACCAAGTCAAATTTGGCCCGTCCGGAGATGGGACAGCCTGAGGTGAGAGCGGGCCGGGAGGGAATGCCAGGTGCACCACTGCTGGGTGTAGTCGAGACCGATGACGCGAGAGAGAAGCGACGGTGTGCCGCGGGCTTGGGGCATTTGGTACGCGCCTTGTTCGGTACACGTGCTGTAGAGGTAGGATCTGCTGCCGGAATTATCGGTTATGGCGTAGAAGGTCTCTGGTAGGATATTAGCTGTCAATGACTTAACTCGGAGATGTAGCCACGCGGGCACGTAGTGGCAACTAACGGTTATGAGTCGAGAAGCAACCTTGGGTACTCGTATTGATCAAATCTTCACTTTCACAGGCCGAGACTATGACTTCCTTGACATAGTTGGCGTATGCGCCTAGGCCGGTCCACGCCGAACCGTTCGTGTAATTGGTTAGCTGAGTGTCCATGGCCGTGACGTTCGCTGACGCGTTCATATCCGTGATATTGTTACAGAACCAGAAGAAATCCGGGTTGTCGGACGGAGGGCTCCAATTGAGCTCCTGCCAGGTGTTTGTGGGGTAGTTCATTGGTGCACCCAGCGGGAAGGCAATCTGATCTCATATTAACGATCCGGCATTTGCAGAGATGGAGTTCACTTACAGTCATTGCAAAGTCCCTTAGGTCAGTCAATGTGCCGAGCTCGAAAATCTCCTTCAGTTGCTGAATGGCTGCAGTGTTGTTTGTGTTGATAAGTTAGTCCATCTTATCAATGGTGTTGTTGATCCGGCTGATGCAGTCTGGAGGTCCGTTCTGTTGGATTGGATTATACCACTCGGGATAACCAAGGACTGCATGGATGACCCCAGAGGCGGCAATGCCTCCCCAGAGCAATCCTTCATACTCTACAAGGGAGAAGGCCGTCTGTGCCCCGGCAAGACTGCCTCCATACAATATCCAGGGGCGATAGGCGGCAGTCAGGTTATCCCCGCCTGTAACATTGGGGAATGTGGCGTGTTGCGCGAAGTAGGCGTTGTCTGCTATTGTCTGCTCTTGTCTGCTCGGTCGTGAGAAACCGCAGGTTGTCGGTTGTGGAATTCTCGAAAGGGTACGAGTCTCCATAATATCTGTCCTCAAGTATGACTCCCAGCCACCAGTCGCATTCATAAGGATCTGAATAATGCCAGTCTCGAGGTTCGAAAAGCGCGACGTCCCACTGACCTCGCCGCCAATGTACAGAAAGATGGGGCCGCCTGGCTTGTAGTATGTATCGTCGAACCAGTATCTCTGCTTAAAAGTGGCGTTGGTGTGTGGCGCGTACCGAGGGCTGGTTTGAAAATGATCGATAGGTTGATCGAAAGTGTACACCGTGTAATTCGTCGGTCTTCCATTCCTACCTAGAGAACCGACTTGCGCGGCAGCAAAGCCAAGACTGACCGTCAAGGCTAACAGTAGGGCCTGGAATGACTGCATACTTGGGGTATCTCGTCCGACCAACTGTCAACTCACCTCTACAGAACACCCTCACAGTTTCCGTAAGAACCACAGTAGATGTAGCGCTCCCACGTTCCATGGCGCGCCTCAAGTACATTGCCAGCCCCCGTCATGCGCAATGCCATCACACCGTCGTGGTAGAAGTTCATTGTAACGGGCGATGTCCGTCTGCGGCAGGTAGTACACAGCTGCTGATCCCCACCAGGGTGCGTGGTTAAGCTCTGCACAAGCTTGCTGAAGCTCAAGCACGAATGATCTCCAGCGAATCCTATTGGACAGTGCAGGGTCTGTTATAAGTTAAGTGATACAATCGATGATATGAGGAATGATGTCTTGATTAAGTGATGGAGAGACCATGTTCGTCGGGTGAAGGTGACAAGATAGCACAGGGTGTTCCACCAGAATTGTAATGGGTTTAGCAATGGTAAGCAGAGTTCACGATTTTGCGTTGGGAGGAGTGGTCGAGGGCCTTAACAGTAGTTCCAATCTGGGTCAAATACCACTTGAATCAGCCATTAAGCGCTTAGATCAACTCCCGTGTTGTCACTTGAAACAATGTCGTCAGGTTGAAAGCGCTCCATAGGTTGTGAGCGCGGACAGACGTTGACCAGGCAAAAGTTGACATCTACAAGGCTGAAACTTCAACATTGACAACTTCCACCGCACAAGGCACGTCGTGCGAGGCTCATCACGCTCATGAAGACCGAATCGTTCTCGCAGGGTCGAGCAGGTAATGTGCCGCGGTGCATTTCCAGGGAAACTGCCTTGAGCCTCGTTTTGGGCCGGCGTTAAAACTTGACAGTGTGGAGGAGGGACAATTTTGGGCCACTGCCACGGTGTGGTCAGCAGGGTGAGCTGGCCTAGCTGGCTCTGAGCTGACATTGAGCTGGACGCGAGCCAGCCTGAGCAAAAGCGGCGCGAAGTCACGTGGGGCAGGTTGGGGGCGGGCGTCGAGATTCCGACGAGGAAGCTGTATCACGTGCTATGTGAAAAGGCACTGACATAGGTGCTTGCCAAGGCGCTAAGCCCCTTTTTTGGAGCCGGGAGCTCGAAGAGCACTCGAACTCTCCCAGTATCTCTTTCTCAAGCATACGGAGTACGAACCTTTTATTTGCCTATAACTCATACATACCCACATGGACCTACCGTGACGGATCACAAATGAGACATCATTTTGGTCTCGTTTGTTGATTTCATGGCTCTAATAGGCGTACCCTGCAAGGCGGATAGTACTTGAGCGGCTCACCACCTCGGTCAGAAGAAAGTAGTATCTTGATTCCAGAACTCCAGCCAAAGCGCTGACGTGCTTCTTGCGATGCTGCTCAGAGAGTGTGGTGTCTGCAACGTCAGTCAAGCTTGATGCATTGTTGTTATGTGGCTCTCTTAGCAGCAACCTGAATGGAACCGTTCGCTCAATTCCTTCCTTCACGACATGGCTAGTCACTGTTTTGTAAGCTTGTGTAGCATTAGCCTACATTTGAACCGTCTGCTCTGGAACCTCCAATACCGGGCAGCTGAACAGCAAATCTCAGCGCAAGAGTTGCTTGTTGCTTATGCTAAGGAGTTACCACCATGGTGAGTTTTCCCGTCCCTACCACCCGTGTCTTTTTCTCATAATCAGGCCAAATACCATCTGCGCGCAATAACAACCGATCATGTCAAGACTACCCGTCCACCCTGACTCACTTCGTTGTTCTATAGGACTCTTGGCGCCGTGCTCTGTGTATTCGCAAGATACTAGGCTCATTAGGTGTCTCGATCTAGGTTATGAGCATGTTTCTACCCGCTTGTCCCAACACACACATGGCGAATGGATTAATCGAGACCAGCGGCCATACTCCAAATGCAGGTCGCACATTTCCACTCCATTCATCGTTCGGTGGCGTGAACAGCGATCAGAAACTTGCTCAATAGTGCCAAGTCTCCGCTCCGGTTGCATACCCTAGAAACCTGCTCAACGCTTTCAAATGGACTTGTTTTCAAGACGAAGCTTGGCTCAAACCATGTGGCGCTCAATCAGCAAATCGAATATCGGGGATCCTGCTTTCACCATCGAGACTACAGTACCACAGCTTCGAGATCCCAGCTCTAGCTTTTGCGGATCATGCATGCCATGCTCGGGATTCCCAGTGGTTTGGGCGAGCGACGGAATCTATAAGTCTTTCAACGCTTCGAGCATAGAGATGTGCTCCAGGTGATTTTGTTCTCTGCGTCTGATCCCAGCCCATCTAAACATCAAATATGGCCTATCTGATTGCAGTATGGACATTCTGCTTGCTCTTGACACGAGTCGCCAACGCGACCAAGTATGGCACGATCGGTTACGGCATCAACATGTTCCACCCATTCTGCTGCTATGCCTGCCACGACTCGTTGTCAATGGTGTACCTCAACTGCACAACCTTTTCGGAGTCCTCTGGCGCTCATGATGGCATGTCTATGAAGCTCGTTAAACGTATGGGCATGGACATGGCGGGCTCGACCAGCGATGAATGCTACGCCACCAACGAGCCATATCTGCAGTCCTTCGCCTACTGCATCCAGTCACACTGTGACATCGAGGGTCTTCCCCGTGAGAAGCAGAATGCATGCTTCCGAGAGATGGCTGCAAATGGACTAGCAGTTCCTTCGCTGGAAGACTCCTTGCCGACTGCTCCCCCAACGGAAGAGCTTGCCGAGCATGCTATGTGGCTAAACACGACAATGCAGGTCAACGAAGCCTACTGGAAGGCTGATAGGGGGACCATTGACGAATTTGAGCATTCAGAAGTGTACCATGTCCGATTCTCGTAAGTGAGCTGTGATCACCTAGGTGTGGACTATGCTAACTCGTGGGAATACAGCATTGTCGTCATGGTTCTGAGTGTCGGCATACCACTGCTGGCGGGCTCGTGGCTGTGGCTGACCGCTCTGCTCCCATGGAACCTGCGGCAGGACGGGCTCGTTGTCTGGTTGCAGGGGAGCTTTCTCCTGCCCGCACTGCTGCGAAAACGACATTCCCAGCCCCTACCATTCAGACTCGGCTACCTTCCCAATCGCAGTATGGCGGTCCTGTTCACGCTCTATGTTATCCTGAATATCGTTTTCTGCGCCGTGCCTTACAGAAGTGTCCAGCCAAATAGTTGGTTCTCCAACAGAAACCAAGAGATGGCAGCCTACATCGCCAACAGGACAGGAGTGTTGAGTTTCGCCAACATGGCCCTCGCCATCCTTTTCTCGACCCGCAACAACCCTCTGATGTACCTCAGCGGTTGGTCGCAGACGACATTCCTCGCTTTCCACAGGTGGGCAGCTCGAGTTGCGATCTTACAGGCCGTTGTCCATTCGATCGTTTACACTGCGGACTATTGCTACTACAAGGACGGAGGCAATGCGTACTACGCAGAGGCCACGAAGCCGTATTTTTGGTGGGGCATCATCGCGACCACGGCCATGGGCTTGATGGCTGGTCTTTCGGCTCTGCCCCTACGCATGTATGCCTATGAGCTATTCTTGGGCCTGCACATCATTCTGGCTATCCTATCGCTAGTGGGATCCTGGTACCATGTTGATCTCAGATTCAACAAGAATTGGGGCTACGAGGTGTGGCTGTACCTTGCTTTCGCCTTCTGGGCCTGGGACCGTCTTGTGCGGCTTCTCAAAGTAGCCTACTACAACCTTCCGACTGGGACATCAGCGCACGCCGAGCTCCTCCCGGGTACCAATGTAGTTATGTTGACGATGTTCCCAGCCAGGCGCTGGGAAGCCCGCCCAGGTCAGCACACATTCGTATACTTCCCGTTGCTGAAGAGGGTTTGGGAGAATCACCCGTTCACTATTCTGGAATGGGGGATGATTTCTCCTTCATCGCAGGCTCATCCGGCACCAGACTCGAGTTCAGGGGATCAAACTCCTAACAAGGAAGGCTCCCTAAACCTCTCGACCACAGAGCGTGACCGGCACTGCCACCTTTCCGAAGAACCCCGATTCTATATCCGCTGCCTGTTCAGAGCTCACAAAGGTGCGACCGGCGAGCTGCGCCGCGCACTGCTGAAAGCGCAGTCACCCACGTCCACCATCGCAACCATGGTGGAAGGACCGTACGGCGGTCTTGAACTTCCAACCAGGGCCATCCTACAGCATGCAGACAGAATAATCTGCATCGCAGGGGGCATTGGAATCACCTATGCGGCCAGCTTCGCCAGACAATTTGCTCACGAGCGAGCGAGGTTAAACCCCTCGTCGCCGAAAGACGCCGCCAAGACACTCTTCCCACGGTGCAAGCAGTTTACTTTGGCATGGACGGTCCGCGAGCCCGAGCTCTTCCAGTACGTAAGACGCGACCTGCTGCCCGATCTTTCCGAGGGCGGTCTCGACGATGAGTCCATGCGGTATAGATTCTGGATTACCCGTACTCGCGCAGGAGAGGAGGTGCCGGACACGACATCTGCAACCCGCGCACCTGCCGTCGATATCCTTCCCAACAAGATCAGCGAAGCCACTGCGGAGACACACGCCGAGGACCTCGTCACCACAGTATCAGGCCACAGGATGGACGTCGCGCAGGTCATTGCCGTGGAGTCCACTGTCAGTGACTCTCGTATCGCCGTGCTTGTGTGCGGACCAGGCGGCCTAGCAGACGAGGTGAGGTTCCAGGTGGCCCGTACCGCGCGGCAGGGTGTCCTGGTTGATCTGATCGAGGAGACGTTCAGTTGGTGATAGGAACTCGTGTACCTGCTTGGTACAAGTAGGGGTTGATTCATTCATCAGCTACGCAGCCCAGTCGCGTCGGGTTGCATCGGACGAACGGTATGGCTTGCGTAGCGCGCCCTGCGCGCCTAGATGCTATGTATATGCGAGCTTTCATGGGACCGTGAGCTCTCAAGGAATCATGACCGTGGGTAGTATTTATCCCGTGCTCAGTCATCGTACAGCCGGTCGGTACTCCGTACTTTTGGTCCTGCGCCGCATGTAGATGACACTCGCGGTGTACTTATGTGTACTTGCAGTCGTTCACAACCACCTCTACCATACCTCGAACCAGACGCGTGAGGTCAGAGTCATCGAACCAAGCTTGCCAGGATCGCCCTCAGCCGCGACTACATCTACGACTACCAATACTAGTATCACAAGCATATATCTAACATCATGGATGCACACCGGTCTTACATTGAATAGTGCGCGTGAGGAACGAGGACGTTCATGATTGATCCCTGTATGCCTACTCGTGGCTGGACTGCGATAGATCGAGTCACACACTCGTACTCTGGCATGCAGATACCTTACCCTTCACTTGACTCCGCTACATACGTCCTTTCAACCGGGACTGCGGAGCCTGACGGCCACCGTTCTGTCAAGCCAAGCCAAATCACTGGATCTCCGAGTATGCACTCAAAGCCAACTGTCCGCCCAGGTGCGCGTACAACACGTTACTCCCCTCCCTGATCTCGCCCTTCCCGACCATATCAATGAGTCCAGCGAGACTCTTGCCCTCATACACCGGGTCCGTGATGAAGGCCTCGATCCTTGCGCCGAATCGGATGGCCGCCAACGTCGCCTCGTCCGCCAGCCCGTACGTGCCGGCATGATATCTCGCGTCCAGCACGACATCGGTTTCAGAGATGTCGGACTGCCTCAGCCCGATCTTGGCAGCCGTCTGGCGGGCAATGCGGAGGACTTGGTCGAAGGTCTCTTTCGGCTTGGCGCTGGCGTCTATGCCGATCAGATTGCGCTTTTTGCCCGCCGGTGCTGATTTTGGGTACATGCGGTCGAGCAGCTTGAAGCCGGCGATCATGCCGGCGAAGGTGCTGCCCGTGACGGCACAGACGATGATGGTGTCGAAGAAGATGTTGAGTTGCTGTTCTTGGGCATGGACTTCGAAGGCCCAGCGAGCGAAGCCTAGGCCGCCTAGCGGGTGGTCTGAGGCACCGGCGGGGATGTACTATGTAGGCAGGTAGGCCGTTAGCTGAGATTCGGGGTTCAGCACCGCGCTGTTCTTATGACACGGGGAGTAAATACTGCATTTTGGGGCCAGAGCAAGAAACAGATGTAAAAATGGCGGGTGAACTTACATACGGCTTCCCTCCATGGGCGAGGACCTCCTCTTCCAAATTCTTGAGGGTCTGCTTGTGCTGGATCCCGAATCCAGACTTATCGAGCCTCACATCCGCGCTCATCAACCTCGATAATTGGATGTTTCCGACCTTGTCGTAGCCCACGTCGTCGTGGTCGACCCACTTCTCTTGCACCAGTTTACACTTGAGGCCCAGTTTCGCAGCCACGGCAGCGACTTGACGGGTGTGATTGGACTGGTATCCGCCAATGGAGACTAAAGTGTCGCAGTTCTGTGCCAGGGCGTCTGGGATGAGGTACTCAAGTTTCCGGGTCTTGTTGCCCCCGAAGGCGAGGGCAGAGTTGAAGTCTTCACGCTTGGCATATATGCACACCTTACCACCCAAGGCAGCGGAGATATTGGGAAGGGCATGGATGGGTGACGGACCGAGGGTGAGTGGATAGCGTGGGATGGAGGCGAATGGCTCTGGGAGCCCAAGGTCGTCAGCCTTACGAGGATCACTATTTAATGCTGCCATCTCAAGTGTAAGTTGAGTGCTGCTGGCCCCGTCTATTCTGCATACGGGAAATTGTGCCCAGTTGAAGAGCACAGATATATTTGTAGTGGTGGAAATCATGCCTTGAAGTGGTCTCAGCCAATGAGAACATCAGTTCGCCGTCGGAAAGATTGTGGACCCGATGGAAACGAAAGTAGAGCCCGATGTCGGCTTTTTGATTAGTGCTGTGAGAGATGCGCAGTGGGCTTGAGGCTTCAGATGTCTTTTGACTGAGGGTGTGACCAACAAGGCTCGCCGAACCTAGTTAAAGTGTGCCTCGTCGTCGGCGACCGTTTGGGAACAGGAAGGGTTCTCCTGAGAGCTCAACCCTGTGAGGAGAGCGGGATCGAACCTGACACGTCTGACCCAGAGTTTCGCTATTGAGGCGTCTCGCTTCATAGTGTTCGGTCAAGACCTGACAAACGTTGTCTCAATGTGTTGATCTTTCTTGGGGCCGAGAACTTCATGTACCGTGGTCCAGGAAGCGAGCTTGAAGGTGGAGTCCTCGCTTGGTCGAGACAAGGTGAAGGTGTAGGAGCTGCTGTAAAAGTCCTCCACGCAGAGGTGGCCACCAGTTCCGTGGAGGACAAGTCTACCATCGGCTTCTGAATTCTGATCGTCCTCAAAGGGAATATCGATTTTGTGGAACAGGTAGTCGATGGTCTCAGTTCCAGGTTTGGCGAACCAGATACTTATGGTATGCCCATTTTCGGCTTTTTGTAATCGCCAGATGTATTTCCTTGAAAAGGTGAAGGTAGGAACGCTGGTCAGATTGTTACCGGTGGCCATCTTCATCTCAAACTCCCCTTGTTCATGGTATAAGAGCTCTGCGTCGGCAGTGTGCAGCTTTCCGTCCGGTCCAACTACAGGCGAAGGCGACGGCCTCGTCGTGAAGTGCGCTTTACCAGCACATCGCCCCGATGGCTCTGAAGGGTCCGCGCTTCGTAGTTGGCGATTGAGCAGCCAGGTTCCGGGGAGGTCTTCGAACAGCCTGGTCAGAAGAGCCGAGGCTGTGGGACGAACCACCATGATGTCAACGAGAAGGGACAGTGCGCTGGCGTACCCAGCACCTTTTCGTACGCAAAGGGATTTTGAAACCTGACGAAGAGAGAAGCGAATTATTTCCTTTAGTAGCGGAGGCCTCGGTGACAGCTGCCGAGCCGATACTGTGGTTAGGCGCTAGCTGGGCTTCCCTACATTGGGTGGGCAGCTCCTGTCTAGCGCCTAAACCTATATGTCCTGTGCCATCAGCATGTAACTCGCGCATAGGTACCTACTGCACGTACAGTACACGTGTGATTGCCAAACCACCGCCGTTACGCGTAATCATGTCAGAGGCGCCTCCTTGTCCTCAGGAAGCCTCTCGACCAGAAGCCAACGACGGGAGAACTGAGCAAGAAGCGGCCGAGTTCATTTCCGCTAGGCCTATCGTATCAGTGCTTCTGCCAGGTGCTAGGATGTGCAGCTCCAGGTGCCACAGCCAATTGCAAACACGCCCGTAGCCACAGATGCTGTTATCCACAATCATGCAAGCTGCAGAATGTGCCTCGAGCTTAACCTCTTTTGCCGCAGGGTCGTTTGCCATTCTGGAGGTCGATCCCACCCCCCCGCGGCCGGTCCAGCATGTCTTCAGGTTTCTTTCCCGGTTCATTCACCCCTTCCTGACTTTTTAGTCTTGCTGCTGTTGGTGGTTTGGTCTCAGCGCCTTCGCTCGTTTAGGTCGCGATTTGATGCGACGACCCATCATGTACGCTGTTTGCTCGACCTGACACTGCTACGGCCATATCTCAGCACACGCTCTTTACCGGAAACGCCACGGATCGCGCACCCACCAATATCCTCCAGCTCGATAAGAGACATTCCATGATGAAGAGAACGCGCTCCTCGATCCTCGCACTATCCTCCATTCTTTTTACCCTCCCACATATTGTCTCGGGCCAAAGCATTGTACCGACGGCATCCTCCCCACAATTCCCTGGTTGCGCAGTTGGATGCGCTGTGCTACTCCAGGCGCAGTCATCCTGTGTTCCTCCGAACGTTCCAACCACAAACCAGCTCACATACGAGAACTGCTTCTGTCAGAGCAGTCTGTTACAGGCACTTTACAGCACCCCCGATTCTGTCTGCGCCGCCGGATGTACAATTGAAACCGACAGAGATCTACTGCAAACATGGTTCACGGGGTTCTGTCAAGTGGTTGGGCAAGGGATCGACCCTCTGGCTACCGCTTCAGTCACTGTTGTGACCATCACAAGCACTAACACTCCCGCCCCAACCGCTACAAACACTGGAACCGGAAGCGCGTCAGGTTCTGCTCCTCGAACACAGCAGTCTTGGTAGGTACATCGCGGCCTCGGTGGGATATGCGCTGATTGGAATCTTAGGATCGAGGGACACTGGCGATGGATTTTGATGCTAGGCATCCTGGCCGTGGGACTTCCCTTGCTTGCCTGGCTAATGGTCTGGCTGAAACGTCGACACCGGAGGAAGCTTGAGGCGGCGAGAGCTGCAGCCTCTGGGTTTCCTACCACTGACGAGAAAAGAGCTGGAGCCCGCGCGGCCACTCCAGAACTCTGGGGCCCGCATCAGGTGAGAAACTCTTTGATCTACATTGTCTGCGTAGGACCGTACTGACCCTTGGTGCCAGCATATGCATCACACGAAAGGGTGGGAATATCACAGCGATCCAGCAATAGTGGGAACTAGTGCGATGGCTTCGTCCTCTGGTAGACGAGACAGGAGGCTGAAGCGAGAATCATCCTCGCACCACAATCAGCGTGACCACCCCGCGATGACCCAACTCAGCGACAGCAGGCCCGTTAGTAGACCGTCTGCCTCGCGGCGGCAATCGTCCAAGGGGAAAGCAAGGGCAGGCGACGAGATCACCCCAGTCGACTCTCAGGGTTCTCATATTGGTGCTGCGAACAGGAGCCGCAGCAGGAGTCAGCAACGAAGGGAGCCCGATAGTGACCTCGAAAGAGGTACAGGCGACGCGCAGCACGAGAGGCGACTCCGTGAAGTCAGGGGTAGTCGCCGGAAGAAAGACACCCCTAGATGAATGTCACAACAGCGTTCGTTCGTATGAACTGTTACGAAGCATCAATCTGCGAACATTTTTCCTTCTGATTTTCCCTTTGCACAAGCAAGACTGACCGGACTGGCAACAGTTTGAAGTACTCCTCTAAGGGGCGGAGCACTCGCACCGAGAAGGTGCGACTTTCGGTCCTTCAGACTTCTCTACTGCCACGATCTCCGGACACTTGTTGCGATATGCTCGTCCCAGAACGCCCAAAGTGGTTTCGTTGCGCCTACCACTAAACGAATCGTCCTTTTTCGGCTCGATCCCCGCTTCGTGACCATCTCTGGTGGACCAAAGACGCATAGCTCCCACCATTCACTGACACTTACGGTGTCAACCATCCAGGCCCCATGTCAGTTCCGACGCAATGACGCGCCCTCCTGACTCAGTGAAAAGGCACAAACCGGTAGGTAATATATCAGCTAGGCCTTTCCCTCTCTCCAGACAGCAAGCCAAAGAGCACGAAAATACAGAGGCAACCGTCGTATCATTTGGAGTCGTAGTATTGTATGACCACTCAATTGCTCAAGGGATACCTAGTTCGGCCATCTCGTTCGTTCCTTATCTCGCTGAACCCGTTTCCCCAATTCCCGGATGAGACTTTAGCAAAAGAAGAAGAAGAAGAAAAGGGGGCGATTTGCAGGACATATACTCCGTACTCACGATCCCAGAGTCGTCATTCTATCTCGGCGAAAATTCGCTGTTCGCTAATAATGTCCCTTCAGTGTACGGAGGAAGCGTCCGGGTCAAGCACCTGGGCAGGCTGTTCGGTAGAACCTGTTCTGCTATGGACATATCATGCATGGCACGACTTGTGGCTTGAAACATTTCGAGTAGAACTCCTATCACATGTACCTACGGCCTAGGTAGGTAGGTACACAATACGTGCGAACGTCGTCCAAAGCCTCGGACCTTCTCGATGCGCTCTAGTGCGACTCCTGTGCAACCACGCAAAAGGCATGAAAGTATCCAAGCATGAAAGTATCCAAGAGTGAAAGGATCGGTACAACGCAACCGCCGTTTACTCCTTGTCCTGTCCTGCTCCGCTTCGCTCTGCAGTGGCAGCGCATCACCTCCTCGTCCGTCCCTCGACCCCATTGACGCGCCCATAAACCCACTTCAGAACGACCGTATTCCCCACCATCAACAGCGCACTCGCCCCAAACAGGCCCATGCGCTGCCCACTCCCGAGCAACGCAAACAACGGATACGGATAAAACCCATTGTAGCTATAACACAGCTCGATCCAGAACCAGTACGCCAGCGCAATGGCACACGACACACCGAGGCTCGGCAACACGGTGATCCCCCACGGCGGACTAAAGCCCAACAAATCAATCAGGAGAAACGCCGCGGGCGCGGCATGGAAACTGAGGTCCGCACTCACAGGCAGCTCGAGCTCCGGGGGAACCACGAGCGCCGGGTCCGCGAGGCGCAGTCCCCAGTAGAGAGTCGAGACGAGCAGCTCGAGCGGCGCGGCGCACATGCTCAATTTATTCTTGGCCGTGAAGATGGCCGGGTTGAGGGTCAGGTCGGCGAGCAGCGCGAGCAGAAACGTCCCCGTCGCCAGCGTCAGGCCGATGATGGTCAGGTATTGGAAGTGCCAGCCGTAGGCCGAGTTGATGTCGTTGGGGTGCGTGTGCAGCCAGTGGTACGAGTACGTGAAAGACGCGAGGCCCAGGGCGTGGACCGCCGCACTGAGGTCGCGCGATGGGGCGCGCAGGCGTTGCAGCGGATGCTGTGGTGCGAGGGGGAGGTGGTCGGGATTGCGATTGGGATTGCGGGATGTGGTCGTCATTGTGATTATATGAATTTCCGCTGTTGGTGTGGTGGCCTTGTTATTTGTTCTTCCCAGATGGTCGAGTGGAACGTAAACGTAGAAGGGAAACAAGTAGATAAAATTGTGCGGTGGGTTCGTCTTGGACAACCCTGACGTAATCGGATGCAATGAATGTCTAATTGACGCCTAGTCGTTGGACCGAGACTCCCGTGATATGCAATCGTTCAGTGTATCTATGGGATCGAGGGCAGCAGGATAGAAAAAAAAATCGAGATAACCACGAAACGAGGTACACCAGGTACGAATTGAATGCTGACGTAAATGGTCCGGGAAACTCCGTCCAGCCTGGCAGGAAGGTCCGGTATCGAGTCATCATCCGTGGCATTCATATCACGGACAATGCTATATAGAGTGGCACTCTCTGTAAGGACTGTTTGGGTATTATGCAAAACGCTCAGCAGAATACAACCGTAAAATGGCGTAGAATGAGCACATAATCGTCTCCGTTGAGACCCAGGCTCAGAGCTTGACAGCCTCCTTGCCGCGAGTCGCCTATCCAAAGAAATCCCCCGTGGTCAGGCACTCCCAACTGACTCCAGTCTTCCACACCTCCTCCATGACTCTTCTGGCTCGACTGACCTGGCACATCCCGAGTCCTTCAGCTCCTTTGATCCGACTGAGGACTTCTGCCCGATCCAGTTGGTCCTCCGCTTCAACTCCAGCCGTGAACATGGGAAAGAGTAAACATGCTTCGGCACTTCCGCCTTCCCGGATCTTCTGTTGCTGGATCTTGACAATCTCGTGCACTGCTTTCTGCACCTCCGGATCGCGGCGAGGTCGGTTGTGGACTCGACGTAGCAAGTGGACGAGTCCTGCCCAGTGAAACGCCGCGTTGGTTGCCAACGATTCTTCCACTTCGTTCCGCGACATGTCTGCATAGGCTGAGTTGCGCCGTGTCCCGTGTGTCCCGCATAGTGAAGCTTTGGTCATCTGAGGGCTGTGGTGGGCACACGATATTTGTTCGTGGTTTTGGGCCTTCTCCAGATCCAGGCGCAACTTCTCGGCCCGGCGCAGTATGTCCATCGACGGTTTCCAGTCTTCGTTGATCTGCCCTGTCTGGTTGTCAATCCTGCCTGCTGCTTCACACTCCCGCGCCAGAACAGCCACCTGGGCCAGGATCTGGACGCATCGAGTGGTGAAGCCAAGCAGACAATCAATGGTATAGTCGTCTTCTTCATCAGCCTCGTCGTCCGTCAGGGACAACTCCTTCGCCGAAGTGCTGTCTTCGTGCGAGCTCGACCAATAGTTCCCAACGAACAGAGGCTCTTCATTGCGACGTCCTGACAATGAGCCCATGACATCGAGATACGCCAGCCAACGTGTCAGAAAGTACATGACTGGGTCTTTGCGCGAGATGGAATGTGGACCTGCTCGGGCACGGATTATGCTGCGAGCGATGCTGAGGTGATTCTGCCAGGGTATTGATACGCCGAAACTCGACGGCGATATGATCTCGAGAGAGGACAGCATGATGGCTGTGGCCAGGTTGGCATTCGAGACCTCATAATTTGAAACATTGTCCAGTGTCTGTCGGAGCGAAGGGAACACGTCCCGTACCCAGTGCGCTATCCGATTGGCGGGCTCTGGATGGTTCAGGAGTCTTGCTCGATGGCAGGCCGAGTAGGCTAGGAGTAGATTCAGCAGATTGGGATTGTCAACGGCCACTATGATACGTCAGTAAAACGTGGCAATGAGCTCAATGGCGAAATCGGAGTCCAGCAACGTACTCTTTGGTAATATCGTCTTGAAAGGGTTTTCTGGACAATCGTGTGGGACAAGGATTCTCGCGGTATGATTGAGGAAGTGATGGAAGTACAACAAATTCATTGGGTTCTTGGAGAGAGTGAGAGGCAAAGGTTCGAGCTTTCGAGGAATCTTGATCTGTACAGGCGACGCATAGTAACCACCTTTGGCAAAGACGGTGTCTCGACTAACTAGCCCGAATCCGAATTCCGGGACGCCCAGATCGGTGTCGTGCAACCACGATTCGAAGTCACTGTGCTCGGACGGAGACATGCCAGAGATGGCCATAGTATCGTTGTTTCGAGGAATGTCGAGATCCGGATTTCCACGATCTTGACCGTATGTCTCCGTCTCGGTGTACGAGATCATCCGCTGATGGAGGGATCCACGTCGCGGGATCTGTTCCTCGGGGGCTTGATATTGGCCGTTGGAGGTGGACGAGCCTCTGCGATCATCAGGTTCCGGGTCTTCCGAGAGCAGAGAGCTGACAGAAATCCGTCGATCGTCATTGTCCTGATTTTGAGATGTGGCCAACGCTCCTGGAGTCAATGGATTACCCGGATACGAGGGGAAGAAGGTCGGGGTATTTGGGTTGAATTGAACTCGTGGACCAATTTCCTCGATATCGTTCGGACCATAGGACCCAGCGCGTTGATAGTTGGAAGCCGAGCGGCCGAAACTATCTGTCCTGGGGCTCAACTTCATCCTCTTAGCGGGATTATAGGGTGAATTTGTCGACTCATGGTAACTCATTGGATTGGATGTGTGCATGGGTGGCGGCATCTGCATCGAGTAGCCGTTGAAATTGTTCATCCCATTGAGATTGGGACTCCCAAACCCGGAGTCTGAGGGGGAGGGGTAGGGTGGGAGGGCGAGCTGATTGCGTCCAGATGTTGAGAGAGAAACGTGATCACGGGGAGGCGGAGTGCCTCCGTTTCTGTTTTCACCCCATTGAGGAGTTCGGAGTATGGGGGGAGGAGGAAGTATAGCTGGATTGAATTCACTCGGTGCTGGGACCGGCAGATTGACCTGGAACTCGTTGACGCTCGGCACAGGCGACTCGAACGAAGGCTGCTCGAGGGAGTAATTGGGAGTGTGGACGGCGAGGGCGGGCGCTGGAGTGTGTCCGTTGGTACTTGGGCTGGTATCTGAGGCGCCATTGGTATAGCCGTTGGTGGACTGAGGAGTGCCGAACGACATGGGTGTCGAGCCTGGTCTTGCATTTCCTTCTTCCTTCTTCTTAGTCCGCCCATCCCAATTCAGGCGAATGCTGTAGTCGCACGTCTCGCCTTGTCGCTGGCAGTTGGCGCAGGCCGGCTTCTCTTCTCCGCTGTGGCGACATTGTCAGCATCCCTTGACACCAGGGTGCGGAGCGGCTTCACCACGTACCATTTGACCTTCCTCGACTTGCAAGGCCTGTGAGTGTAGATATAAGCTATTGTCGTCTAGCACCGAAGTGGGCGTGAACCAACCAGCATCCATTCCTAGACCGTTTCTTGACCTCTTTTCCATCCTGGTCGGGTTTCTTTGGGCGCGGCATGGCGGCGGTGCAGCGGTGTCACCCAGATCGAGCGTGGTACAGCGACATCAGCATTCGCGATCCGACATCGACCTTGGTGTCATCTCAACATCACCCGGAAGCAGACAATGGATAAGATGGGGAAGCGACGGAGAGGATCGGTTAGACTCGAACAGCGCCGACACGGGACAGCCACACTGTCGAGACTCGGATGCTGCCAACGACGGCCTCGCGAGTCGAATGCGGCATAGGCGGGACGCAGATGCGTAGCCGTGGCATCTCCTCCCCAACTCAATAAATGCCCGAGAGAAGGAGGAGAAAGAGTGGGCAAACGATAGGCTTGTTTTCTTTCGAGGTAGCCGAACCAGGAGGAGGTGCTGAACCTTCCCAGGCGGCCTTCGGCATCCCCATAGGCCAGTGGGCACATGCTTGGGGCCCTAACTTCTCGTTTAGGCGGCGGGATGAATCGGTGCACAGGGTCTGACTTAGGGCTAGAACCACCTGAAATCTGCATCTCGAAGCATCAGGCGCCTGCTCTTATCCGAGCTGAACTGAGAACTGCCGTCGCATCATGCACGGGCCACCTCTTGCGAGTGCCCTCCTGTGCCCTTTGGTTGGCCGTGGTGCCGACTTAAGCCTTTGCTCCAGGAGCAGAGTCGGTGCCGCGTAGTAATTAGTGGCTGCCACGATTACATCTGGGGAGTCTCATGCTTGAGTGCTTAGGTGCGCGAAGGAGCTCGAATTGCACGTGCCGGCAGAGCTCGGAAAAATAACTGCGAGGCAGAGGTGACAGCAACACCAAATCAAGTATTGCTACACCCGCGTGTTCTCACAAACTCATCAACGATTAGTTCATTTAAACTACCCGACCTTGCTGTCAATGCCACAATGAGCGATTAAGACAAGAGCCGAAACTTGTCGCTTCTCACGGTTGATCACAGGCTCGTCATGTCCTCGAAAACCACGAGACTCGGGCTGCAGCTCTCGCAGTCTCGTCCCACGCTGGTTTCATCACACAATGCGCTGTTCTCGACGAGACGGACGATATCGTCAGCTGTGTTGATCCCACAAAATCAACACCGATTGCGAGCTGCGACTTTCTACCCCCTAGCTGCAAACCCGCCTGCGTCGACAACTCCCTCATCCTTCTTCACGCCTTCACTGTGCCGAACCAGACATGCCTCAACTTCCACAAATCCCTCCGTCTCAGCAGCCGGTTCACCCTCTACTGCGCTCGACTGGAACACCTTCTTTCGCATGCGAGCTGTACGACGACGGTATTCCCTCGCATCCTCTATCATTACTTCCCTCTGCTCGACAGCCGGCGCCCTGTATTCATTCTCAGAGATTCCCGCGCTTGCAGACAACATCACTAAAGTGATTCCCACCGATCCAGTCATTGCAATCGTGATTGCGACATTCAGCTCGACCATCATTGGCTGGCTGATAGGTCCGGCATTTGGGAATACGGTTTGGAGACTATCGCATCGTACTCGGCTCCAAGAGTTCAATATCAAAGAGCGTGGCTTTTTCGAAAGAATAAAGAAGCACAGAGTCAACCCAAGTGGTGCCAGCACGAACAACCCAGTTCCTGATTACTACGGCGAGAAGGTGGGAAGCGTGGCTGGATACCGCCGCTGGCTCAAAGACCAGCGTGCGTTCAACAGAAAAAGGGGTGGGAACTATCCGTCGACCGTATGAGCGTAGGGTTGTCCCTCTACGGTACTTGGAGGAAGAGTCTCATAAGCGCAGCACATCCGCGGGGAACTACTGCAACCACCTCCGGACGTTACGATCTTCGAGGCTTCGGAAGCAGCGTGTTGTGACCTCCTTCTGCCTACGTGAGTGGGTTGAAAACAACTTGTGTAATAATAAGATATCACCTTCGTTGTACAACAACAGCTGACACTCCGGTATGACAAGATCCATGCATTGCAATCAGAAAGGCCCAGTCAATTCCTTGATACCCCGCGGGAATCTGTTGCTCACTTGGACCATAGGCAGCCGTTTCATGTTGAGATGCAGTCTGCCGGCTTCTGCAAACTTACCTTTTGCCAGTTCTCCCGCTCTCACACCAGAAAATTATAATCTCCTCACACTCGTCCTACTCATACACCAGTTTCATGCTTCTGCCGTCGGTTAATCACGGTACAGCGACATCTGATCCGGAGCCTCGAGATTTGCTAGTCCTGGAGGAGAGCTTGTAGATGATAGCACCTTGAAGAACAATCTTCTGGAAGCGTTGGCTCCGCATTGTAATCAGTTTTTGCGGTAGTGGAAAGGCTTGCTGGTCGCCGTCTGGAAGACTTCCAGTCGAAGCAGCGATGCCTCGTACTGCTCCATTTCTCATGCCGGTGAGTGACACGCGGTTTCGTCTTAGCTGTCTCGCAGGTTGTTCGGTCTCTCGTCCGCTACGAGATGTCCACCAGCTTTCTACGGACCACAAGGCTTGGATATCTCTCAGCCTCTCCGGCGAAGACTCGGGCAGTGTCTCGGAGAAAGCTCCCTGTCCTCGCATTGGCTGGAAATGACCGGAAAATCTAGATCGATGATCCACTTTCCTCCGCTGCTGCCAAGACCTGACCGGACAAATTGCCGCAACATTACTTCATCCATCACTCGACCTCTCTCGCTTGCCATTTCAAGCATCACTAAACAGCAACGTTTGAGCTGCTTTTGACGGATTCAACCGCTTTTGGTTGTGCCAGCATGCGTGATTTCATCGCCATCCAATCTCATCACCCACTCGCCCGGGCGCACATGCTTCATGCTCGTCGATCTGTGGCCGGATTAAGGCCGCTCCACCACCTCAAAAGTAGTGTATCCTCTTTGGTATATGTAGACCTTACTTTCCTGCAGTTTCCTTGTCCAGCTGCTCTTCCTCCGACCATATCCGGCATTGAAGCGGTCATATGCAAGGCTGCTTAACCCACTGAACGAGCAACGCAACAGGCCTTACTCCTTGACGAATCACTTGGCGTGTTCGTTCGAATCTCACCGGCGGCATCTCTGATTACTACTCGGTGCCAAAGCGCTTTCCAATCAGCAGCCCTCGAGGTGGCAGCCTGAAGGGATACAGAAAGCAACCTGAGCGCCTCGATTTCCAGGCTCTCCGTCTCCGAATCTTGGAGAGTCTTACGACGCGAACTTTACCCATTCGTCTGTCCTCGGATCATCGAGGAAAGAACGAGTGCAAAGAACAAGCATCTTCCTTCGCACGTCTCTTGCGAAGCGAAGTCTCTTGGCATCATGTCACAAATCACAATCCTAGGGTTCACGCCCGCAGAGCTGGTGTCGTCGTCTCAAGGCTCCAACGCCATCCACTGGACCATCCTTCTTAGCCCGACTTCTTCAGCCCCACAACACCCACAACAGTCCCAAGCCCCGATAAGGCCGAAAACCAAGTCCTTCTTCTCGTCGCAACGGCGTGTCTCGAAGGATGACAGCGACGTCACGACAAGGCCCAGGACCGCCCTCTTCGACATGCACAAGCATCAACTCCGCCAACAGGAATTGCCTGGTCCGATCACACCGAGCGATCGGAAGGGACCGACAGACAGTCCAAATACAGCGACAAGTATTTCCTCAGACGTTCCCAACGAGCCATTTACCCTATCGCTACGCATCCTGCTGTCGACGCACAGCCTGCCCGTCGCGAAACTGGCAAAAAAGGTGTCGCCCCTCCTGTACCGCACGCCGACATACGGACCCGAGGAAGACTGGCTCCGCGCCGCTCTAGACATGCTCGTCGGCGCTGGCATCCTCGAGCCCGCCGCGGCATTTGACGGGGACCTCGTCCTCGCCTTCGCCAGCGAAGCCGTCAAGGAATACCTCGGCCACATGGAGCAGGGCCAGCACACAGCGCACAACGTCCTCGAGCTAGACTACGCGAAGCATATTCGCGAAATGGAGTCTGTGAGGACGATGTTTTCGCGCGATTCCGCCGCCACATCGGGAAACGCAGACCGGAACATCACAGCCAGCTCGGGGGCCACGCAACAGCATACACCGGCGGAAACGTCATCGCACACTTACTTCCACCTGCATCACGGGTCAAAAACTAGTTCTAAACCAGCGTCCGACTCGGCAAGCAAGAAGCAGAAGTTCTTCGGCTTCAGGGTCTCGCCTGGTCCACACGCGTCGGGGCAGCGGCAGAGGTGGGCCAGTGGGGATCGAGCATGGTACGAGCGGCGCGACGATCCGTATGGTGGGCTGATGTGAATGGTTGTGGAAGGGTGGAGGTGTGATTGTCACAATGGCTACCAACGTGAGCACTGGTACTGCCGAGAATGAAGCCGCCAGGCACCATGGCAGAGCAGAAATAGAAGCAGCAGGGCGAGGAGTAGGCGATGGAGCCTAGACAGGGAACGGGGAACGTTGCCTTTGGCACATGGAGCTGGAAGTCAGGCAGCCATCCCTTTGCCCTATTCTGCTCTGCTCTGCTCTGCGGCTCCAGACTGACTAATGATGATGGACAGATGGATTGGTATAAAGCCAGCTAGCTTCCTACCTAACGTGCCTGCCGGTGTGGGTCGGATGGACCCGTCACCCAAGGTGCCGGAGGATATGGACATGCGAATCGAACGTTCCATGCCGAGCGCTCTTGAGGAGCGGTATGGAGTGTACCCTAACTGGGCCGGAGGGGAGATCTCAGTCCTACGTGCTCACCATCTTTTGCGCGCATCATGTGTACTCACGAGTCATTATCTCTTGCGCGTAATCACATGTAGTCATCATCTCTTGGGCGGGTTCAATCAAGTATGAGAAGGAGTACTGGAGTATGTAATGAGACTACCAGAACACGGCGGAACCAGTCCCAATGTCACAGTATAATCGTATCCACACCACCTGGACAGGTTAGCGTGCCCGCGAAACAGCAAGAGTGCAAGTACAAGAGGGCGGAGGCCAACCCTGACCAGAACCACCACAGCACAACACGACACGACACAGCCAAAAGAGACAATCCCACAGACAGACAACGTACATAACAAAGTCCTCCCGAAACCCTCACGAACCTCAAGAAGAAGGACCTGGATCTTGAGTTCTGGGATTCTACTCCGCTGGACCAGACGACCTTTGAATAATTACTCTTGTTCTTTGCCTCGTCGACCTCGACCCCTGATATCTCGCTCCAGAGATGTATGCGTGACTACGCTGTCAGGTACTGCAGGCAGAGACGTATTGATATTGAAGTTGATAATGATCTTGACGTCGAAATATCCCGATACTGTCTGTCACTTGTGGGCATCTTATCTTGGGCAAAAAGCGACGAATTGAAAGAGATGAAATGATATGTGATAAGAATGAACTGTGATGAAATGAAATGATCCCCGATTTGGGTGGTCCTGCCTGCCTGCCTGCCCGTCTGCCTGCCGTAGGCCTAAATGCGACGCTTGGTAACGATTCTGATTCTCACTCTCGTACTCATGCTCATACTCCTGGCTTGGCATACCATAAAAAAGTTATTAATTCCTGTACATATGTAGGCTGCGCATCCTTTCAGCACATCCTTTTGTCTCTCCAGTACTCGTCCAACCATCCCATTCAGAACGCCTGCCCAGGGTGTTGCTGGCTCGGAGGGATATAGTTGGCCCCCGGAATGGGGACGGCTTCGTATACCTGCTCACCCGGCGCCGCAGCCACGTGTGCGTGGAATCTCTCCTCTGGCGGGGGCGACATGGGCGGGCTCATCGCCCTTGCGGGCGGCGGCGAAGGACTTGTGAACATGGCTGATCTCTCCTGTGACGGAGATGGGAGGACTTCTACTGTATTGGTCGTGGGCGTCGCCTTTGTAAAGCGGCTAGGTGGCGCTTGTAACTTGAATGGGGAGGCTGTCGTGTTACTGGTGGCGGAATGAGGCGAGACGAATTGAGTGGGGCTTGATCCCTGCTCAGCAGCCGAGTAGGCGTCCATGGGAGTCTTGACCATGGTAGGGAATCCAGGTGTGCGAGGAGTCTGAGCAAAGCCCGGTGTATTGGGCGCAGACTGGGTTCGCAGCTGGGCAAGGTAAAGATCGGTGCGAGCGCGGTCTCGTGCGTCCATGGACTTTCGCAGACGGTTCTTGGACCAGAATCGGTAGAACACGATGCCGTAGATGGCGATGACAAGCACTTCGACGACGACTTCGATGATGCAGCAGATGAGCGACCAATCCTGCAGGCGGCAGACCAAAGCATAGTGGACGTCATCCTGGAAGAGCTGGCGTCGCTTGTTGTCCTTGCAAGACCAGCCCCAGAGATCCTGTCCACCACCCGAGGATTTACTCCCATGCAAGATGCCGGCGCCGACGAGCCACATGACGATGCTGAACATGAACCAGCCGACCGCAAACATGGTGTAATAAACGGCGACTTTCTCTGCCCGGCGGTGCCCGCCCCTGCAATAAGCCAAGATGACAATGATGGAAAACAACAGGGACACACAGGCAATGCTGAGGACGACAATCTGTGGCCAGATCTTCTGTTTCGGGGCCCAGGCGGGCAGGTTGTTGCGGTTGGGGAGGTTCCTCGTGGCGTGGAAGATGGTGAGCACGGTAGAGAGCATGGCGAGGACGATGAGTGAGCAGGAGAAGTTGACGCCTCGTAGGACCATCTTGGCCATGCGGACGCGAGTTTTGACTTTCTGATTGACAATGTTAATCAACGCTGCCTGGATGAGAAAATTGATTGGACTTACCAAATCGTTAGCCTGTTGGATCTCAGTCTTCAGTTCTTCCTTTTCCAAAAGCTGCTCTTCTCGGAATGTGGGCGACAAAGGATTCAGCATTCTGGATGCCGTGCCCGGTGTCTTCAGTGCGGATTTGAGTGGTTGTCCCGCTGAACCGTTGGGATCTGAAGTGATGTATACATTCTGTTCCACGGGCTGATTGTCTGAAATGTAGCCGAACCCAACGTCCGACGGCTTCGGGGCTTGACTCGTGCTGGCGCTCTCCATCTTGGACGACGGATCAGCAAACGGCGACTGGTGCTCCCCAGGGCCAGAGGCGGGTGAAAAGACGGTCGTGGCTTCGGCGAAGCGAGCTCGCCTCACCACGGGTTGGGTACCCCCAGCCGTGGAGGAACGCGTAGACGCTGTTGAATTTGTGCGTATCGATCGGGTCGTCGCTTTGATTTCGGATTTCTCGTCGAGGTCTTCAGCGCTGATATTGAAGCCCAGGCTGCGACGAGGACGTCTGGAGTCGGCGGTGAGGTCGATAGGTGAGACAGGTTCGAAGTTGGACGGCGCAGACATGATGTTGGTGGGACTCGACTAATCTTTATCGGAGGCGGCGATAGCGTCAAGCGAGCTCAGCCCAGTCAAGCGGGGTGGCTCCGGTGAGAGTAACGTGGGACAGGGATCCCCCAATCTGATTTGCAATTACTGTGCGCGTTGTCGGAATCGTCACTGGTAGCGGCCGATGCTGACGTGAGACGGGAGGCCTAAGATATACGAGATCGGAGTGATATATATGGTGCGAGAGGGCCTTGGTGGAATGAGTATGTCCGCTACGTCGTCGAGAACCAGCTCTGGATCATTTGAAGAAATGATATAGACAGACAGTGAGGTGGTTTGAGGAAGAGAATGAGATGGATGATGGGCGAGTAGGTCGAGTAATAGGTTGGCCGAGACTCGAGGGGAGCTGACCTGGGGCGCTTCGCCGGATCAAATGTGATTTGTGCGATCGACAAAGGCAAATGATCTCCAGCAGTAGAGACTGAGAGCTGCTTGTGTGCCTGGGATTGAAGGGTGGAACAAGCGTGGTGGCAGTTGGCGCTTTGCGGTCGGTGAATCGGCCGCGCGAGTCTGGTTCTGCTCTTCGGCCGTATGTAAGACCAACAATAGGATTGTGCTGGGCAGTGCTGGGCAACGGCTCTTCTGATGAGGGGCCAAGAACAAAATGAAACGTACTCAGCGAAGCCTGCGCGAGCTTGGAAATGAATCTCTACACAAAAAGAAAGGATTGAGGCCGAAGTTGAGAAGAAAAAGAGAAGCACGACGAGACGGATCTGCTTGAGTAAGTAAATGCGATTGTACCGCTGAGCTACCTTTCCAATAATCATTGACTACTATGTTAAGACGAAGCCATTATTTCCGATGATGGGACTGATGGGCGCTTGAATCGAGCCGCACGGGCGGTTGGATGAGAGTGAAAGCGAGCAGAGAACAGAATCCAGATCCAGGTTGGCAGCAGATGGAGTCGAGCAGCAGCAGCGACCGCGTGACGGCAAGAGGGAAAAGCAGCTTGGTTGGATGAGAGGCGTTATTGAAGCGCTGGCAAAGAGCGAATCAGGTGCCAGGCAGGTGGCTATCACATCCCCGGCCACTCAGCGTGCGCAGGGCCTTGCATGGCTCTGCATTAGACGCTTGGGACTGCCGAAGACCCTTCACCATCCAGCAAGTCAGGTGGGATCGATCAACATTGTTTCTATGAATGTACCCTGGCTGTACATGTGCCCTCAGGCAGACATGATGAGGGGACGAGGTACACATCATAGGCCTGCCCAAGGTGGTATGAAGGATGAAGTGAGAGATGGCCGATCAACCCGAAAATAATGACTTCGTCGTGCAGCTACGGTCTGGTGGCTTTGCCTCCTCTGCTGGGCTGCTGAGTGCGAGTACGTGATCAATAATCGGCCGATAGATTCCGTGTCCGCAGGCAGAAGATTACGGAGTACGGAGTACTGTGGCGCTGATGGCCCGCGTGCCGCTCCTCAACTCAGAGGCTTGTACGGAGTACCTCGTACTGGCGTGCGCATTGACTGCGTGCATGGTTGAAGTTCCAGCCCCGCAGCCAGGATTCCCCGGATCGTGCTTCCACCACTCTCTGTCCTTGGCACCTATTTTTAGGAATCCATGGGCGTCGTCCATGCTACGAGGACGGAGTACGTACAAGCACTGAGAAACTCGTAGGCTTTCCTGCAACCGCCACGGGTGGATCACCATCAAGAGCGCGTACGACCGAGATCGTCTTTCCTCGAGTCTTCTATGTTTGGACTGAGATTGTTTATTGCCGGCTTTTGTGCGCCGGGCATCTGCTATTTCATATTTAGCGCTTCCGATAAGGGGGATAATGTATGTTTTCTTCCCTTACTGCTGGAGCATAGTTGTGCTCTGCAATGGGTGTTCAGCACTTTCTTCACGGTCACCGCTCCGTAATGCCATGCAGTAGTTCCCTCCCACGAAGCTTTTTCTTCTCACTCCACAGTCGCCATATAAAAAGTTGATCCCAGGATGCTAACGTGCTGCACTGTCTGCCCCTCGTGCGAATGTCAAATAGCCGCCATCAGCAGCTCAATTTCTTCCCCACCCGCGCAAACCAGCAATCACACAGCATTTAGCAGAACGCGATCGGAGGTTGCGCTATCGCAAACTGCTCGAGGCCTTTGCTTCTAACCACTTTCTTGACTGGGCCGCTTGTCTTGGCTGCGCCAGATGGAAGCTTGATGATCAATACCTTTGTGGCCTTGCGTGTTGCCTCTTCGAGCCGCTTCTTCTCATCTGCTGCTTTGCGCTTCTCCTCTTGTCTCTTCTGCTTCCCGCCATCCCTAGTCATCATCCTGTTCTCGAGCTCTTTCGCTGCCGCTGTGCACCTCTCTCGTGGGAAATCGTGATGCTCCAATGTGACATCGACACGGTCCAGACCATCAGACCCGAGCTCTAGCAATGGTGTAGCCCACGGTTCTCTGGCTTCTAGTTGGATGGGCCAGTCAAAGTTGGTTATGTTGATGACCAGCCGTCTGAGTGCTGTTTGTTGTCTAACTTGTTTTAGTACCGCAGACCACTCGGCGTCATGTCTCAGCTTCCACTCACGGTCCGCCAACAATGAGGGCTCGCCGTATCCAAGATGACTGATTTCTAGGCTCACGATGCTTGAGCAAGCTGCCTCAGGGATGTTGCTGAGGAACTTTCTGAGGACGACGAAGCTGATGAAGCAGAATGTTGTTCTTGCGTACACGTACTGGGTGGCTTCGCGATTCATCTGGCGGCAGGAGAAGAGAAGAGAAGCCTCTGTCGATCCGCCTGTGAATGTGCCCTGGAGATGGTATCGTGGCGCCTGGTGTTTCTTCCCGGGCTCGCGCTTCTTCAACTCTTGAAGTTCCTTCTGAGGGTGGGTGCCAGAGACAATCACGCGGGCTTCGGGTACGACAAGGTCATAGATCCGATTCCTGATTTCGCCAGGCAGATCAAAGAAGCGAAACGGCCTGGCTGGCCGAGAAAGCACAGGCTTGGTGGGTTTCGTGACAGCACGAGCTGCCCGTGACGCGATACTGACTTGGACATTTGGGTATGGTGGACTTTGTGGCTGGACGACTGGCCAGAGATCATTTTGGTGGACGCCATTTGGAAGAGTGCGATCACGCTTCGGGAACGGAAGCCACATGCTGGCAATGCTTCTGTCGAATACCACAGAGATACTGGGTGATGCTGCGAGAGAGCCTCAACGAGACGATGAGAGCTGAGCGCGATGGGAAGGCTGCTTGACAGAACAGGCGTGAGGATCGGTTCCAATGATACCGAGAAAACAACGAGGTGGATTCTTTTCTGGTTTCTTGTGTCGATGTGAATGGTAACTAAGGTGAGTGAAACTGGGTTTTACTGGACCTAGCGGCTGCATAAAGTCCGCGCATGCACAGAACGGCCAGTGAATGGCGGGTGAATGGGGTGAAAGTTACTGGTGACAGCCGGCAAGTGTGACTCAGGAACAAAAGCAGCAATAAGAGGAGGGCTGCGCAGTGACTTGTCAGTTATTGACGGCGGAGGGAAACACTGGCAGACTCTGGAAGTGACTGATCGCTACAGTACTCGTGCAGGCATACCTGATAATGATATGAGTCAAACCTGTGGCTGAAGCTGGGTAGAAATCAGATATCACATTGAGCTTCGGAAACGGCTGTCGACTCAACGGCAAACCCACCACTAACCGAGCGCGGCTATCCACAAACAGAGGTTGCGGCTCGCGATTGACTAGATTGGCCTACCAGACTTTGCTGCTTAGACGAGGTCTAGCAGAGTTTGCCGAGAGTCGCTGGCAACATATATGCATCCAATTGATGGTGAAGGATGGGGTACGGCAAGGAACTTCAAGGAGTCTAATGTCCTAGGCCTTGCTTGTACTCCTACGTCCCCGTGTTTCGGTTCACAAAGATCAGCGTCCCGGAGACCTCCCCATAGAAAAAGCGGGGGCTCCATCAAACTCACTCTGACTCTGTGGTGGCACATCTGCAGATATTTGGCAACATGAAGTTGTGTTGAAGATGCAGTGTTGGCGATCTCAATGCAAGGCTTCCACGGGCGTAACTCAGACAACAGTATTTTGAGCTAGATCTCATTTGGGGACCTAGGTAGGTACGGAGTACTCCGTAGCGTTATTGTAGTTATTCCCCTCTCACGTGCCTCTCAGCTCCGCTTGAACTACGGGTGAGTAAACAAGCACATCCAGCAGTTCTTCCCATTTTCCTTCTTTCACCCGCATCTCAAAGATTGCAATACTTTGATGCTTGCTGTTCTGCTAAAGCTCAGCCGGCGACTCTTCGAATTCAACAAGCAGAAAAGCAGCGAAGCAGCGCCGTATATGTGCCTTGACACGTACTGGACGTAAGCACTCGCAATGGCTCTCGCGCCTGTTGCTGTATCGTATAACCAGCAGAATCATCCTCACCAGCATCAGCATCTCCACAAGCGCTCATGGAAGCACACCATCCACGTCATTATCCCGGGCCAGAAAGCCACGCAGCTCTCCATCTTCTGGAGAGGCGGAACGCTTAAACTGCCTCCCGCACCGCCAGCTCCAGTACTTGCTCACGGCATACCAGACGAAATTGTCGGCATTCTGGATTGCCTGAGATGTCCCGGTGGCCGGGGAGACGGGTAAGTTCCTCACGGCCATGGCGTTAAAGGGACCTGGAAGGTGGTGTCAGTGGCGACCTGATCTGCAAACGCAACACAAGGTGCGAGAAAAATGAAACTATGGCATTGACATGGATGTGTGTCTGTATGCGCCCACTTCCTCCGTTTCCCTCTCGCGGTCGGAATGAAGGACCAGACAACACAAGACAATGCAGTATAGTACAGCACCACAAAACACAGGACTTACCGTATCCGTCCGTGGGGCTCGGTCCCGTGAAATCCCAGATTGTGGACCAGTCGTTGCGTGGATACTGTCGGATCAAGGTCGAGTACCCGGGGATATCCTGCAGGAGGTAAGGCCTGTAACGCGATGCCATGTTTCGTCAGTGTCTCGGCATAGAACGTTATGGCAGCTGTCTGACAAACCAACCAGAACCATGATTCCCAGGGATGAAGCCTTTCGGAGAGTGAATGAATGCTTACCAATGAATCAGCTCGTGTAGAAGAATCGCCCCGGGACTGAGCATATAGTCGGTATCCCTATCGAGCATGTTCGAGCAGCTAAAGCCTTCCTCGGGATTGCCGTTCTCATCCAACGCCCATGCAGGGGGCTGCTCGATATCTCTGAGAGAGTAAAACGTCTCAAACGTCTGCGGACACAACGACATCAACCCCCGACGCCCATATCTCCGGGGATCATACAGCATGACCCCCGCCAAGCCGCCGTCGCTGCACTTCTTGTACCTGCTATAGCTCGGCGGTCCTGCATCCGGATTATCGCCCACGGCGATGGACAATTGCTCGAACTTCGGGTTCAGCCAGCCGTACGCGTCCAGCATTTGCAGATACTGTCCCACGGTCCGGGGTTCGAATTGCTGATTGAATGGGATGTTGGCAATGGTACGAAAAACGCGCTGGACGAATAGGAAGTCCGCGGGTGTAAAATAACGGAGGAAGTTCTCTTCGCAGGGAATGGTCGTGATGGCGACGAATCTGGCCATGGTCATTGCGTCGGCGAAGGCTTGTTGCATTTCGTGCACGGCTTCCTGGTCCGTGCCTTGCGGGAAGCGGAAGCTTACTGTCGCGGCTGGCTTTAGGGTCATCAAGAGGAGGAACAGGCCTGCTAGCCACTTCAGCATGTTGAGCATTGCCATTCTCAATCAGAAGCTAGAACTGGAGATGGAGCGGGCGAGTTCAAGGTGCGAGTGTTGGGAGTGCAGTGCAGGTAAGATATGTATAGGTTCGTCGACAATCCGCTGATGTGGTGGGGTTCTTGGTATATTGATATGGAGCATGTTACGACGGAAGGATAATGGACCTCTTATATGTATGCTCTTTGCGCCGTTCCAATCGCACAAACATCTTCACTGTTTGGACAACTGCCTCGTGTTGACAAAAGTGACCCGCCTGATCACTGCGTGGAGGGATTCACAGCAAGCAAGGCACGAGGCTGAAAATTTTCATACCCATCTGTAAGCGAAACTTCAAGGGATAGCATTGTCTCGTGATCGTATCTGTGAAGTGAAATTGAACTCTTGCCGTCTACACGAAAGCAGCGGTCACGAGGACTGCGTCTTCGCACTTGTCTTTTCCAGCTCGAAGTACCTGCTGACATTGTCGTCCAGATCGGCTTCATTAGTGCCTGGCAACGTCTTCTCCTCGTCCGTCTCCGCACCTTTGTTGCCCTCGACCTTTTCATAGAGCTCACGCAGCTCGTTGATTCGATCCTGGCGGTCCAAACCGGCATTGTACCCGAGATGTCTCTTCAGGACGACCCGTTCGTACCAGCTAAGGTGCCGAGGATGGACGGCGATGCCATGGTAGTCTTGAGGCCTGCCTTCGCGCACGAAATGCCAGTATCGTTCCTGCTCACGGAGATCCAAACCGGTCGTGTCGGGGATGAACAGCATTGTCAGAATGAAACCGATGAGCCCGAACCAGCTCACGACCTATTCTGCGTGTTAGTGTGTTCCTCGCAGAGGCAGACTGACTCAGGAAGTCACTTACCCAGAATTTCGTCCTTCCGCCAATGTAGTTGTAGAGGACGGTTGCAGCCAGCGCGCCCAGCTTGCCTACAGCAGCACTGATACCGTGAGCCGTGCCCCGCACCCGTGCCGGATACACTTCTGCGGCAATCAGGAAGGTGGTGGAGTTGGGTCCGAACTGGATCCAGAAGCTGCTGAAGAAGTAGATAAATTCAAATGCTTTCCCCCCTGCTCCTTTGACGTTGAGCACTGGATAGGCAATCGCGGCGATGATGAACAAAATGAAGGACATGATGAACCCTACAGCTTGCATCCTCTTGCGCCCGTATAACTTGTGGTCCATCAAAAGGGCGGCCAAGTAATATCCCACAAGCTCACATCCAATGTTGATGAGGTTGTACAGCCACAATGTCCCCACTTCGTCAGAGCTGGACGTAACGATCTGGAGGAAGACGTTTCGGAAGATCTGGTTGCCGTAGAAGGGGAAGTCGTTACAGAACCAACATAGACTTGTCGCTAGCAGTCGGTGCCAGTAGTGGTTCATTGTGAGTTTTAGAGAGGTGACGTCGTATCCGGTAATCTGACCCTTCTTCCTGGAAGCCTTGAGAGAATCATCCACTCCCCTCAGCTTGTAGACACGAATGTACAGGAAGAGAAGCAGGCACAGGACAGCAATGCCAAAGGAGATTCGAAAGGTTGCTTGCGCTGCGGCCTTGCCGTATTGAGGGTTGATGCTATGGTTGAAGATGAGCATGACCACGATGAGAACCAACTGGTTTCCCAGCTGGCCCCAACCTTGCATCAAGAATGCCAACGCGACGGAGCGTCCTCGATGTAGGCGATCTTGTCTTGAGGTTGCCGCACCATGAATCCCTTCCATCGCCGTAGACGAGGTCATGGGATACTCGCCCCCCACTCCGATTGAAAACCAGAAGAGACTGATTCCGTACATCACGGTCCAACCGGACAAGGTGACTCCCCACATGGATGTGAGCAGAATAGCTCCGGTCAACATGATGACCGCATCTTGAATGAGACCCCAGCGCCGGCCGATCCAGTCGCCGATGATACCAACCATGATTTGGCCGCCTATGATACCCAGGATCTCCATGTAGCTGATCGCCTGCACCATGGTCTTGTTGCAGATCTCGTGCTCGTCCCAGCAACGTGGCCAGACCACCTCCAGCAGAGGTAGAACATTTCCAACGGAGAATAACACGTATCCTTCAGTGAAGAAGCCAACTCCAGTAACAGCGTAGTTGCGGAGGTATCTGTAGAATGGGGCCAGAGGATCGTCTTTGAACATCACCCATATCTCCTTCACTTCTCGACTGGCTTCTGCGCTGTGCTGCTGGTTGATCCATTTGGTACGTTCACCAGTGGGTAAATCGGCCCTAGCACCAGGGTCAGATTAGTGTATATTCCTGTTGCTGTGGTTGAGATGAACCTGACAGGAGTAAACACGTACCAGTAAGTTTGATGGCTGTAGGCGTCATCAGGATACAACGTTTCTTTCAAGAGCGATTCGTGCTCAGCCGGTAGACCTTGGAACGCGACATCGCGTTCAGTAGGAGCAACGAGGGTATTTCGCCTCCGGTCCCCAAAGTCCTGAGTCTGCATTGTTGCACAACAGTAGCCCGCGTCAAGGCAAAGAATAGTCAGAGCAGCAGAGCTTCAAGAACCTGAAGATGACACCGACGCAGAGGCTGAAGTTCAGTCTCGCAGCCATCGCGTATATGTTCTTACGTGCATGATCAAGGACGGAACCTCGTTGAAAAGATGACGTTGACGCCATTCCCGTGTGACTTCTTCAAGGGAATCGACATGCACAAAATCCCATGTTTTGACCAGGCTGAATCGAATCCTGCCTCTAGATAGCTGACGAATTAGATGTCAGTTGTTTAGACATGTGCTTCCACGAGCAAAATGTAGTGGCAGAAAACGAAGATGTCGATGCAGCCCATTGACGCAGATCAGCGCGGTAAGGTGCTGTTTCGCTACATCCGTTGATGTCATGGACATTGGAATCTCGCGTGGTCGAATCGCATGTCATAAACGCTGCCAGGAACAGGCAGCCTCTCTGCAAGCGGTCATTCGCCCATTGGGGGTCATGCAGCACTTCGGTGCCGATCACGAAAGACAAGCGACCAAAGCTCGATCAAGCATCTGAGCTTGAACGAAGGGCATGTTGAGAGAGCCGACAATCCGAGGACTGAACGACTCACCGTAGTCTTGGCACAACGTACGGGCGCAGAGACCCTTCAAGCGCAAATATCGGAAATTCTCGCCCCCCACGCTTCGTGGTAGCGAAATGTACACGGCGTGGCTCAAAAGAAGAAATTCTATCTTTGCTACTTATTTCGAACGGCACAAAACGAGCCACGTATTGATTGCCGATCACCGATGCGTTCGAGGGCTATAGCGACCTAAAACATCCGTAAACTCGCGCAGACCCTCCTCTCACCTTCGGCCGAAGAACCCCACCATGAGTTCGCCAAAGATAGGTACGCATATACCACCGACCAAGTCACCAGGATTCTGCAGGACTCGTCTGACTGTACCAGCCATTTTGTCAGTCTTTGACAAAACCGGTCTTCTCGACCTCGCTAAGGGCTTGATCAAGAACAACGTGCGGCTTCTCGCTTCCGGTGGCACAGCAAAACTCATCCGTGAAGCAGGCTTTGATGTCGAGTAAAAGTCCCAAGATCCTGTAGCACTTGAAACCCCTACTGAGTCTCAGCAGAGATGTCTCGGCCATCACGAAGGCTCCCGAGATGCTGTCCGGTCGGGTAAAGACCCTGCACCCAGCAGTGCACGCAGGGATCCTAGCACGGGATCTTGCCTCGGACGAAAAGGACCTGGCAGACCAGAACATCAACAAGGTCGACTACGTGGTGTGCAACCTGTACCCGTTCAAGGACACTGTCGCCAAGATCAATGTCACCATCCCCGAAGCCGTGGAGGAGATCGACATTGGGGGCGTGACGCTGATCCGCGCGGCCGCGAAAAACCACTCCCGCGTGACCATTCTCAGCGACCCGGCGGACTACCATGACTTTCTGGAGCAGCTGGAACGCGGTGAAATCCCTGGCGAGAGCCGCCAGAGGTACGCGCTCAAGGCATTTGAACACACCGCCGACTACGACGCCGCCATCTCCGACTTCTTCCGCAAACAATACGCCGGCAACGGCGTGCAGCAACTCTCGCTGCGCTACGGCGCCAATCCCCACCAGAAACCGGCCTCGGCGTTCATGCGCCAGGGCACCCTCCCTTTCACGGTTCTCGGCGGCTCCCCAGGGTACATCAACCTGCTGGACTGCTTGAACGCGTGGCCTCTGGTGAAGGAACTCAAGCAAGCGCTCGGCCTCCCCGCGGCGGCCAGCTTCAAGCACGTGTCCCCCGCGGGCGCGGCCATCGCGGTGCCCCTCTCCGAGCGAGAACGCCAAGTGTACATGGTCGACGACATCGAGGGGATCGAGTCGTCGGGCCTGGCGCAAGCGTACGCCCGCGCCCGCGGCGCCGACCGCATGTCCTCCTTCGGCGACATGATCGCGCTGTCGGACAAGGTCGACGTGCCCACGGCGAAGATCATCTCGCGGGAAGTCTCGGACGGGGTGGTCGCGCCGGCGTACGAGCCCGAGGCGCTCGCGCTGCTCAAGAAGAAAAAGGCCGGCAAATACCTCGTCCTCCAGGTCGACGAGGGCTACGAGCCGCCGGCCCAGGAAACGCGCACCGTCTACGGCGTCAACCTGACGCAGGGGCGCAACGACGTCAAGATTTCCCCGAGTGAGACGTTCCACTCGATCATCCGGCCCAAGGACGCTGGGACACTCTCGGACTCGGCGCTGCGCGATCTCACCGTGGCCACCATCGCTGTCAAGTACACGCAGTCGAACAGCGTGTGCTACGCGCTCAACGGCCAGGTCGTCGGCCTGGGCGCCGGCCAGCAGTCGCGCATCCACTGCACGCGCCTCGCCGGTGACAAGGCCGATAACTGGTGGATGCGCTTCCACGAGCGCACCCTGGGAATCCAGTGGGCCAAGGGCGTCAAGCGCGCCGAAAAGTCCAACGCCATCGACATGCTCTGTTCGGGCCAGGTCGATGCCGATTTGAGTGATTTTGAAAAGGCCGACTACGAGCGGAACTTTGCCGAGGGCCACGTTCCCACGCCATTCACGCCCGCCGAACGCAGGGAGTGGCTCTCCAAGCTGAGCGAAGTGGCTGTGAGCAGTGACGCATTTGTACGTGTTGTCTTTCCTTACTGTTCCCGTCTTCACTCACTGACAGTTTATTTCCCCATCCTATAGTTCCCCTTCGTCGACAACGTCTACCGCGCCGCGCGAAGCGGCGTCAAATACATCGCCGCGCCCACGGGGTCCCAGAACGACGGTGCCGTCTTCGACACGGCCGAGAACCTGGGCATCACCTTTATCGAGCAGAGCACGAGGCTGTTCCATCACTAACTGAATGCCGCTCGAAACGGGCGTTGGGTACGCGCGGGGAATTGCACGCGGTACTGTAGCCTTAGGTTGGAGAGTACGGACGAGTCGACTCGGCATGACTGGGTGGCAGGTGCAAGGGATTAGCAACGAGTGATGCGCAATGAGCAATGAGAGCACCGGGAAGTAGGCCGAACTGCCGCGAAATGGGCTTCAACAACACCAACACCCGACGAGATCATTCTTGGTCGTTCGGGCTGAGCTGCTGTAGTGGTGCGGGCAGAGTGTGCAGGATGTACGGAATGGTGCATGCATGGCCTGACCGCACGAATTGGGGATTGACGGATACCCAACCTTCTTGGCGGAATAGATAAAAATTTATATTCTTCATTTGGCGGTAAGCAGTGGCACCGTTTGATGTAGCTCTGATCTTTGGTTTCTAACGCGAAAACAAGATCAACTCGGTGGCTGAGAGAACTCAGGCCCTGCGGTCCCTGTCATTAAGAATCGACGAGGTCGAAACCCGCGCAATTACCTAGGTAGCGATGGAGATGTATAGCGACTCACTAAGATTCAGCGAAGGATATTCGAAAGTTGCACGCATCGCCATTTTCTCGTGCTCGAGTCATGAATGCTTTCTCTGTCTAGTCATGCATTGTCTCCCGAAGCGAGAGTCCAGCAACTAAGTTATACGTCGTCCTCTCATTCGTACAGCCAGTCCAGTGGGTCCGTTTGTCTGCTTGACGGCACGTACTGCAGACTTGCTGTTCAGATCCTCTGTGAAGGATCACCTTCCGGGGTTTCCAGCGCTGAGGTCCCTCCTCACTCCAGCTTGCCAGGTTCCAGTCACGCGAGCCATTTGCTAGAACTTGGTCGGCTTGTCCTTGATGGGGACGTCTTTGCCAGTGGCGGATTTGTCTAGAATGAGAACAAACAAGTCAGCATGCCTGTCTTGAGCATTCCGAAGAGGATCAGTCGGGCAAGTGGATACGTACATTGATTCCGAAGGAAATCGCTGATCTGCTCGTCCTTGGCTTGTTCGATGGCAGATTCGTTGTCTTGAGGGCCTTGACCGAGGAACTTCTCTTGCACGAAGTCGATTCCTGCAAGGCATCGATCGTGTTAGCATGCAGACGACATCGACATAGACAAATCTGATCAGACGGGGTCCGCGAGAAGCGCACCCTTGTCTAGGTAGTCCTCGTTCTTTTCACTCTCACGCCCACCGCCGGCAGCAGAATTGAACTTGTCACCGAGCCCGCCCAAGAACCCACCACCGCCACTGCCAGAGCCGGAGCCGGAGCTGCTCTGCTGTGTGGTACCCTGTTTGTTGGCTTGTTCGTTATTGCCACCAGAGAAGCTGTTGAAGGCGCCTTTGAGTTGGTCCATGCTTGCGGGTTGGCAACGATACTGAAGTTCTGTCTAATGGATGATCTACGAGGAGTAAAGAAGGCAAATCTGGGTGCGGTTTATGGTTTGGGAGCAAAAAAGAAGGAACAGAGTGAGACAGAAGAAGGGGAAGGGATATAAACAGTATCACTTGGCAAGTCACAATTGACTCTGAGGTGGGTCACACGAGTGTCATAGGGAGCTGAGCATTCCGTGGCCAAGTGACATTTATGCCGGTCTGTGCTGCCAAGTTGCTTGGTCCTGCAAGAAGGAGAGGGCAAGATGAGAACAGGAAACCTGGTAAGAGCGCTGGCAGCAAGGATCTCGTGTTTGTAAGATGGGTATGTGCAGGAGCACACGAGCGACTGCAGGCGCTGAGAGGACGGAGAGGGGCAGCAGGGTGAGTTACGTCATGCAGCTCGGATCGGATGAACTTTGTTCGGCCCGTGCCCCACCAGCCACGCAGCCACTAAAGAAACCCTCGAGACCCTGGAACCCCTCGGTTCAGCTGGCGGCTGCTCAAGCACAGCCTCGCTTGACGCCTAGACCTGCGTCTACGGAGTACGGAGTACAGAGTACCTGATATCTTCAAAGCAAGGCAAGCTGAGTGCTGCAGTAAGCACACTTAGCGTAATTCGACGCTTTCTTGACTAGCCTCGCTGGTCCTTCTCTCAACCTCGGTGGTCTCTTCCAGATCGATTTCCTTTTCCCAGTCTTCCACAACATCTTGAGCTTGGGTCTTTTTCCGGAGCTTCTCCTCGTTCTCCTGCTTCTTCCTTTTGGCTTCTGCCAGGCGACTTCCTAGCACGGTATAAACCGGCCGCTGTCCAACGGGCTTGACTTGCGGTGCTGCCATAGGTGCTGCTCTCTTTGCCGCAACCTGCGACCAGCCACTGCTGATAGCTGAGGTCGTTTTGCCTTGTTGCTCAACAATTTGGGGCTCGAGATCCGAGGTGTCAAATTGACATAGAATGACTGAGGCGCCCATATCATTTTTGATCACCTCGCCGGCAATAGTAGGCTGGAGGCTTGTGAGGAGAGTGACCAGCTGATCAGGATTGACAGAAGACATAGTGGGGAGAAGTGCTACGCCCTGATCCTTGGACAGGAAAATGATGTCAAATTCCGTCGTCGGTGCTGATTTCTTGATCAAAGGCCGCAACTCGTCCTCTGTCAAGGCAAATTTCGGCTTGGTCAATAGAAGGCCGTTGTAGTCGTGCTTCACCTCGTCTGCTTTTCGTTCGGGGCCGGCGGTCATGGGAGCAGATACGTTTAACTGCGCTCGCTTGATCCTTGCGGCTTGAGCAAGAGTCTTCATTGGCGCACTCACAAATTTGGGGGTCTTGAACAATAACACGTGGCGGTGCGGTTCCGGGTCCAGGCTTTCTCCGTCGAGTCCGAAGTCTTCAGCCAGACTATGAATGAATGCTCTCTGGCGGCTCTTCATTGGCTTGAAGTGACATCTCTTCTCGTTCTCGTCTGCTGCAAAGACTCTGAGAATTTCTTCTTGCTTGTGTGACCATGCAACATCCTCCAGATACATTTTGAGAGTAGCGGTCGAATACGGGACATGGTCGTCGGTGTGGTCGTCCGGGATGTGAAGAGCCTCTGCAAGTTGGCGATTTCTGTGCAGCCGCGCACACTCGTCGTCGCATTTCAACGAAGTCTGCCGTCCTGTAGGCGCAGGTACACCGACACGGGCGTTGCATCTGACCTCTTCCTTCTTTCGCTGACAATCGCATGTAATGATGACTTTGAATGGACATGGCTTTTCTTCTTTACATGCTGACGGAGCATGGCAAGGCCTCTCGCAGGGATGTCCGCAAGTCTTCTTGGCCTTCCCACATGCCTGTTGGCAATGTTCATGTGCGTCTTCGCATTCACCTGGCTTGTGACACGTCTTACGACAGTAATGTGAGCCACACTTGAGGGTTTTACCGCAGACCAGCCCGCATAACACATCCGCTCGCCAACAAGGCTGGTTCTTCAGAGTCTTCTTGCCGCAGAGGCATTCTTTCTCGGTAAGAAACGGACATTTGGGACAGTCCTCGTCCTCGGCATGGCAGTTGTGCGCAACTGGAGGGTGTCCGCAGGCTTTGGCCCGATTACATGGAAAGTTACACGGTGGAGGTCGAGTGCCGCATGGCAGTGGTGCTTGGAGGACAGTTCTACCACAGTTGCATGAAATGTCGTCAAAGATTGCTTCTTTGCAGGTGCCGCATGGGCCTCGATGACACAGGTCCTGGCAGACGTGATTACCACACTTGAGCGGACGGCCACATGGCCGAGTACAGATGTGCTCTGCCTCAATATTGTCTTCCAGCACCCGCGTCAAGTTGCCAAGAGTTTTAAGCTTTCTCTTGGTAGCTTGACGCTCAGCGGCTTTGCGGTCTCCTGTACAACATCGCTCACCACATTCGTGTCGACCACAATTCAATGTAGCCTTGCACAAACGCGTGCACTGAGGCGATTCTTGTGCGTTCTGGTGGCAGATGACATCAAAGGAGTTGCGACCGCACCGGCATGGCTTTGAGATCTTGAGGTCGCAGGGGCTGCAGTCCCCGGTGTGACAGGTCTGCGTGCAGGAGTGGCCACATGGCAGTCTTCTACCACATTGTTTCTCACAGTTTGGGATGGGGTCGGTGCATGCTTTTCGGGGCTCATTTCCAAGCTCAGATAGAAGAGTCTTCCCGCAAGGGCAATGAATGACGACGTCGACGGACCTTGGGCAGTGCGGTGTAGCTGAATCCTGAGGATGACACGGCTTCCCACAGTGATGTACTCCGCAGTCCATCTGCCTGTCACATAGTTGGCCACAATCGAAAAGACCGATCCAGTCAGCACTAGCCCTCCCCTCTTCCTTGTCGTTGCATTGTATGGTTTTTTCGACCTTGCCACAGTAACACCGGGCATCGACCTCGGCAGTACAAGCACCGCAAAGGCCTTCATGGCAAGGTCTCGGGCAGGTGTGCTCTCCGCACGGCATCATGTCACCACAGACAGCTCCGCAGCTCCAGCCGGCGTTGTAGTTTGTTTCCAGACATCGCCGGGTTGTTTCCTCCTTACCACAAAAACAGCTCTGCTTGGGACCCATCGCAGAACATGGTGGACAAGGGCCGGCGTGGCATACGAGGTCGCAAGGATGTGGACATGGCTTGGGAAAAATCCTCTCGCGGCCGCAGGTCTGACCACACGAGTGCGGTGGCAGTCCTGTGACTGTCTTCGGATCTATTTCCTTTTCACACCAGCAAGTATATGCCGACGGGTATGTGTCCTTTGGTAGATTGCAACCTGGGCATCTCCATTGCTTTCCGACAGGCGTTTCTTCGTCGCTTTGGCCAGCAGACCGTTGGACGGCTGAACCTTCATTCTTCGACCATCTCTTGACGCAGCCGATGTGGAACACCGTCCAACAAGTGCGACACGACCACACTTTGGAGGTCTGTCCCACTTCGTTTGTACAAATGGCGCATTCGTAGATGTTGTTCGATATATCTTCATGGATTCTAGTGGCGATGTCGGGAGCGGTCGAGCGTGCCAGAGAGCCCCGCCGACCCTGTGTCTGGGCCTGACCCCGCCGCTGAGGTATCGTTTTCTTGTTGTGGCGAGGAGGTTGTGGACTTGGACTCGCGGGTTGGGACTGAGACTCAGGTCGAGACTGAGAATTCGACTGCGATACCGGAGCAATAGACGCTGGAACGAAAGGCGGTGCATCTGCGTGTAGCCGTGTGAGCCGTCCACCAAAGGCTCTTGCTCCGACACTTCTTGCGAGACCTGGGGTAGCCGTCCGGGGAGGGGGAGCTCTTCTGGGGCCGCCTTGCCGTCTGTGTCTCTGTCCTCTGTTGGTGTTGGTGTTGCTCGGCGCAGGCGCTGGCTGGACTGCTGGGCCTTCCATACTAGGGCCGCTTGGAGGGAGAACGAGAGTCTGCAAGGTCGATTCCAGAGTGAGATTAAGGTCGATATGAGGGGACGATGTAAGGAGCCGAGGGAAAGGGTAAGAAAGATGTGCAGAACCACCAGTTCAGTTGTACGAGGAATGAATTAGTATTGAAGGTGCAGACAGTGGCGGCGTCTTTTACTTTCTGCAGGAACATTTGACGCCTCCAATTTTCGGGGATTCGGAGGCGGAACTGCACGTCATCGACGCGAGACCAGACCCGACGCCGCTAGAAGCCACAAGCCCAGGCCTCCGGTTGACTCACCACGAGCAAGGCCATCCAATCACAGTGTGTAGCAGTCGGCGTCCGGATCTTGTCACAGAGAAGGAAGACCAAAGTATTGTAGCACGCAGGAGTAAATGCGAACTTGATGACTCCAACATGGATAGGTTGACTGCTTTGTCAGATTTGGGATCAACGATTCCATTGCTCGCCGTCGGTAGCCGCACTATGACCAAGTGCTCGCAGTTTCCGTTTCGACGCCTGACACCTGCGATGTCCATATGCACAGTCCCATCTCGATCACTCAATTGACCTGCGTACCATAACCTCTGATCTGATCTGCGAATGCCCAACTCTGGTTCTCCAGCTTCTCATCCTCATTGAGCTTAACCCCGTCCTTGGTAATGACTGCAATGCTGTATCTGTCCAAACTCCTTGCATCTCGATAGAACAGCACTTTCATGCATTCCTTAATAGCATCGACAGCCTGTTCCTGCGTCACGTCTGGCACACTCTCCTCGTCGTTAGGCATCAGCTTGCGCAGCAGAGGCTGTGCCAAGTGTGCGCCAAAGCCTGTAGCCAAAGTAGGAGCGGAGAAAGTAGTCCCGAGGAGGTCTACGCTGGCCAGGAACGGCTTCTCTTGCTCGTCCAAGCCCGCCACCAGGAGCATGTTCCACAGGGGGTCAAAGTCACTTCTCCTCTTGTACATGACTTTTGACAAGTAGGTATGCAGGTTTCGCGCGTTGAGGGAATGGCCAGTGGAGGAGAGGTAGTTTTCGCGGATGTCCAGCGATTGCAGCAGTCGGTCGAGATATTGCATGTCTGACACATCACCGCCAAAGCCGACGACCGTGTTCGGAGGGAATGTGCGCAGACGCTTGACATCTGTAAATCTTTGCAGAGAGCCATACGAAGCTGAAGGAGTTAGGTTAGCATGCTAGAAGAGCTGAAGGGCTATATATGACCGCATACCTAGGTTGTCCGCCGCAATAACCACCCCACCATTGAACTTCACTCCTAGTACCGATGTACCCGTTACAGCAGGGGATTGAGTATGGGTCTGAGGCATAGATGTTTGGAGATATGAGGAGTCGTATGGGCCATACACATCGTCTCGGGGCTACTCATGTTAGCTTGATCGCGCATGGGAGATTTGAGGTACTCACACGACCCCAGGCCTGAGGATAATGGTTCATGTTACAGCTGTGTTGTCAAAGAACCACTAAGAAGCAAGAGGTGATGCGACAGCAGGAGAGATGGAATAAGTGTGCGGGCCTGGTTGTTGATTGCAAGCCGCGTCAAAGGTGCAGCAGCCTTGCGTCGTGTCGATGTTCGGCTGAATTGCCTTCCAAAATAGTTGCGCTTGGCTGTATTTAGTATACTCCGCCGTACACTTCTACACAATATGGGCTCGATTGGCTCGCACCTAATCGCTCCCCTTGTCTTAACTCTGCTCGGTCCTTCTCACTCTAAACTATAGCAGTCGTTCCGAGATTGTGAATGGTCACGCATCATTCATCATTTCCTGTCAGAAACGAAGCTGTCCTCATACCAGTCCACATCTTTTATGGCTCATCTACCTACAACACGAGAACCCTTGATGTTTTGAAACTGCGACCGTTCTGAGCCTGGCTTCACGAATGCTTATTCTCCAGGCGAGTCGAAAAAGTCCGAAACTGGGCATAGAAAGTATCCTCGACTCCACACTCAGAATCTTTGTCTGCAGTCTAGATCGAGTAACTTGACACCGGCACTACATTGGACGTGAGCCAGAGAAGATATGGTTGATCATCATGAGTTCTCCTTCATCACACAGACCCTTCGTGCTCTATTCACATTCATATGTCTGTCTGTGTATATGCTCAGCTCCATATACTTCTGATTGTAACCAGCCGTCCTTTCTAGGGACATGATCCACGTCCGTTCTACCACGTTCCTGTCCCATGCTGGTTCTCCGACTCGTAGCCAGGCTGAATCCCACCTCTTTATCCGGACTCTCTCGCACGAATCCTCAATCCCTACGCATCAAGAACCACGGGATCCTCTCCTTCCACGCTCCTCTTCTTGTCCAAGCCCCCCTCCTGCCTGACAAATTCTTCCAGCGCCTCCACCACAACCATATGATCCTCCTCCTGCTTCAATCCACTCACTACCACGACGCCCACAATCCCCTCCACGCCCTTCACTCGCACAGGCACGCCACCACCATGAATGGCGTAGCTTCCCGCCTCGGGTCCCGACCCAAGGGCATATTTCCGTGCAAACTCCGCCTCATCGCCTTGAAACTTAATGTTCATGAACCACGTGCTCACGCCCCACCGGTGCACGGTCTTGCGCTTCCGCGCGACCCAAATGTCGTTGTCCGGCTGGATGCCAGGGCGGCTTGTGGCGTGGAAGAGCAAATTCCCTGAGTTGGCGTGGGAGATGCTCACGACGGCAGGGTTGGGGGAGAGGGCGCGAAGGCGTTGCCGGATGGTGAGGCCGAGGGAGAAGGCGTCGTCGGCGGTGAAGTGTGCGAGCTGGAGGGAGTCCTCGAGCTTGATTATTGCGCGGAGCTGCACGGCAGGGACGTAAGTGTGAGTGACAATGGAATCCTACGGATCAGGACTGGAATAGTGATAGTGATCGGGAACGAGTGCAAGCACGGGTACGAGGATGAGGATGAGGATGGGTACAAAGCCGTATGGAAGGTAGTATGAGCATCTGTTTATGCTGGCCTATACATTGCATATGGGCGCAATATCAAACATGTAACTGCCCGCAACATAGCACAACCGGTGTTGGTACCGATGAGTCCAGTTACAGGTCTTTCAAGAGAGGAATTGGGGCCAAGGGAAAGGTAAAGCCTACATCGCGGGGTGCCTCGCGTAATGGGCGGGCGGTCATATTGTGCGGTGCTCGATGTAGTGGTAGATGGATGGCGAGTTACCGTATAGCAATACAATGTGTTGAGTCTGTGTGTGATCGAGGCTCGTGGGTCGTTGAGGCTCTTGAAAGGTTGAAGTGACAAAAATGACGGACATACGGAGATTTTCCCCCTCACTCAAGCCTGATCATGGCTTGAAGGCTCGGTCTTAAGTATTTGAGTGTCCTCTTCAACAGGAGGCTGGGCAACCGACATCGGGCTGTGTCGTCTGACTAAGGGGCCCTCGTACCTGGGTATAACGGGACCATGTGCAGGAACACGGCGTTGAGTGGCACAGGCCGACCGCATTGAAGCGCTGATTGCCATATGACGACCGGGCTGGTGTCGTCACTCAGACGATGTCACCATAGTTGCTTTGCTCCACCCGAGCCTCGTAGTCATGGATATCCATGTCCGACAGTCGTCCGAGCCTAGCAGAGTAGACTCGAAGGTTTCAGGTAGGGGTGAGGTGAAGTAGAGGTGTTGGTAGCTGTCAACGGTACGAGTACACGTAGATGTAGATGTAGATCGCACATGGCACATGGCCTATGCCGCGTGGGTGGCAGGTGGGGTAGCTCTCATGGCTCTGTGTCACCGCCGTAGTCTTTGGTGGACGGGTGCGATCCTCAACTAAAGCAAAGCACTCTCTACACGAGTCCCTTGTCAAAACGAAGTGCCACTACGAGGTACTTTACGGTCTGGGCTCCGTACTGGAGCGGCAACTGCAAATAGCGTACTGTCTGTACCACGTTCTCCTCTACCGGACAGTGGCCCATTGCTCGCTAGAAAGTCAGGAGCGCTATCTTAGAGCATTGTCGATCACCTTCACTCCGTACTTGCAGTGAGCCACACGACTGCTACTATAGCACATGGCATAGGACCATTTCATCTATCATCCACGTCTAGCCGTGGTATCATACATATGTACAGGAAGCTGCTTGTAATTGCATTCGAAAGGATACATCTCCGCTCGCTTCTTAGACTACACTTTTCGCAAAGTCGACATCCTTCCGGCTGCTTTCACGAATCGACTCGTCCTCATCCTTGATCTCAATGCTGTTCGTCACATAAATGTGCTTAGGTCCGTTTAACTCCTCTTGGCTAGACGTCTCGTCGCCTTCCCAGAACGTGCCGTTGGTGTCTTCTCTGCGTTGGGTGCGTTGGGTGCTCTGTGAACTGGCAGCTTTGACGGGCATGTTCTTCAACTCAATACTGTGATGCGTGCCACCGGTGGTAACGGCGTGGTAAGACCGTGATTTTCCAGATACCATTGTTTCGAAGTCCATCTTGCTGTCGTCTGCACCGGTTCCGTGTTTCTCGTACCCACGGCTCCCAGGGTAGTAGTTTGGGGGCAAGCCGCTCCTCTTGGATGATGTCTTGCGGGTTGACTGGACTTCTTTGGCTTTTGAATATAGGCCGGGACAGCACCCGACTATGACAGTAACTGAACTTTCGACGATAGCCCAGAGAGCGAGCCAGGACGAGGACGGGGTCGAATTGTTATTCGCCTTGACGCCGATTTGGACCACTCGGATGGTGGCGAAGGTAATGCAAATCCAACCAACGCAGAAGAGACCCCCTATTCCGACTTTTTGTGCCGTGGGCCGTTGCAAATTCCAGATCAGACGTAGGGGCAGGAACATGACTGAAGTAGGAAGGCGTGAAATTAGCATCATTCACGCGTCCACAAAAGAGACAGAGTGCTGGGCTTACTGAAAAGGTCTGAAATAACATCGACCGCATAGGCATAGTACAACGAGGCTATTTGAGCACGGGCATCCCGCGGCTCGGAACACTCGCCGGGAGTAAACCAGGCGTGCATACTGTGACAGCTGGTGAAATTGCTAACCACACAACCTATCAATGTCTAAAATTCGAGAGTTAGATCGACAGTTCATGTCAGCTCCATCAGGGGCGGGACATACCAAGACGCAAAAGACCACGACCGCCCACCAAAGCTGCATGTAGACGCGGAGGCCTTTCATGAGACGTCGGTACAGCGAGAGGAATGAGAATTTGACGGCATACAGCGCGAACCAGAAGATCATAGTGTTGGCGAAGAATATCTTGATCATGAATAAGGAGTCCGACAAGATTTCTGGGTACAATGGCGTGAGCCCCGAGGTGGCATCGGTAACACGGTACATGGTCGGAGCAAGTACGATGTATAGGATGCTCAGAGTGAGGAAGCAGAGATAGGCCAGCAGGAGGAAGTAGTCGTCTGCCTGGATTCTTTTCGGTTGGTTGACTCTGATCAACGTTCTCGCGGCGAAGACGATCGAGGTCATCCCGATCATGGCATATCCCACTCCAACAAGCTGCTTCTCAGAGACATAGTTCTGAGACGCCGACGACATCTTGAGCGGAGACGGTGTCGAGGTAGCAAAATGCTCGCCTGCGGGAGGGCAGAATGAGAACCTGAGGATCCAGCGGCCACGAGGTCACAATGGCGAGGAGAGGATGGGAATAGAGCCTCGAGCGGTTCCCACATCCAGTGGAGGAAAGGATTGCCGTCCCTACATACCAGATATATCTCCCACGAGGCACGAAACCTGTTCGACCAAGAAGCTTTCTGTATGAGACATGGTAGGAGATGCGAGTGTGCGCGATGGAAAATGGTGAGGCACGATATGAGGCACTACGACGAGTCCAGGATCCCCGCCACAACGGCGTCTCGAGATGCAGCAACTGGACCGGGATAACTAATGACCAACCTGGTTCTGTGCGGCCGGAAGGACGCCCTATCCTGGGTCGGTGCTGGGCGGCTGGTTAGTAACATCGTTTGTGGTAAAGACCACTGTTAGTGTATTTTGTGGTGCAAGCTCGAGAAGGCCAAGAATCACCTCTCCCGGTTAGCTTTGGTCGACGGCAAGCATCGAAAACCTTCATAACTTGCGCACACTGTGGTGGACTCGTAGGAAAACTCGGCGATTGGTGCCGGTTGGTTTCCTGGGACACAGTCGTCGTAGACAACTCATCTGCTGCTAGAGTAGATTATGGGGCGAAGAATTGCTAGACACCTTGGGGTCGATGCTGCAACTATCTCCACGATATGAGAACAAAGGGTGCCTACGGAGTACACAGTAGGAAAATGCCCAACCAAAGAAGGCAGAGAGTTCTGGGCCGGGACGGCTCAGAGGGGTAGGGGTACGACGTATACTGTAGGTGGGAGGCAGGGCCGGTTAGCCCAAGAAGGCTTTTTCGCAGCGTTGCACAGGAAATTTCACGCCGGCAGGCTAAACTGTAACAGGCTAATGAGGCCTCGATACGAGCCCCGGTCCCCGGTAATCGGCCAACTCCAATTAAATCAAGGATCGACAGTGCTGCATTTCACAGCACGCCACGCCGCTGAAGATCCGGCAACCTTCTTGCAGCCTCGAGAGCCGATTGCTGCGCTACTCCTGTCATATGCGTGAAGCAGCGCCCGGGGAAGCTGTCCAACATCTTTTCGGTGCTTCGCGGCTTGATAACGTTGACGCTAGCCACCTTGCGCCCCCTTTGGTCGAAGCGTGCTTCAATCTCGCTTGCGGTGCAACGCTCTTTGCTCTGTTGCTCGTCGCTTCAAATGCCCCTCCATCGAAGAGTGCCGGTTCAGGGGCAGACAAACCCTGGGACAAGATTGTCGCACGCAGAATCCAGATGGCTGCTGAGCTTGATTCGGTCTGAGTACAGTATACGACGTACGAGGTCACTACAGCTTGAACATCCAATAGATCCCCTTAGTACCCGGTAGCCGTGCTATTTTGCTGACTCCCTGTGTGTTAGTGAGCCTGGAGTGTTCTATAGTCAACGGCTTGACTGCACAGTCTCATCTGCTGAATCTCCTTCTGGCAACATCAATCAAACGGGTTTCACCCACGTGGCCAAATCAAACATACTCCACATCAGGCATGTTAAGTTGCAGAATATTCCTTCTCGAACCCAGCTGTTCGCTTCGTGTTTGTTCTTGTGTGTGTTCGGGGTTCTTTAGCTGTTGAGCGAAGATCACAACCACCTGCCCTTGCAGTTCGCTCTCCGCCTTTCTTGTTTCTATCTCTTGGCTTCACTCTTTCAGCCAGTATGCTTTTTTCTTCCTGTACCGCTGCCCTGGCATTGGGCCTGGTAGCGTTGGTCTCAGCCCAAGACACAACGTTCGAGCCGCTTGACTTTAACATCACCGATGCCCTTCTTGACCAAGGCGTCAACATTTCCGCATTGCCTGAGCTGGAGTCCTTGGTCACGAGATCCTCGACGGCTGGTTGCTCGATAGCCGTAAGTCATCCCCGGTGGTGGCTGCTCTAGTCATCGACACTCTCTCTGGCCAACCTCTTACTGACTACTTTCCTACTCAGTGTGACTCACTGAGGATCCTCTTTGGCTCCTCTTCGGTAATCAAGCAAAGCGACGCAAGCTACAATGGCTTCACGGACAGCTACTGGTCCGCCCAGCAAGGCAGCGTCGACCCATTCTGCATATTCAAGCCATCGAATGCACCCTCGGTATCGATAGCGATTTTGATTTCACGACTCACTCAGTGTCCTTTTGCCGCCAAATCCGGCGGCCATGCAGCCTTCGCGGGCGCCTCCAACATCGAGGGCGGCATCACCATCTCGCTAGAAAGACTCGACACCGTCCAACTCTCCGGCAACAAGAAGACCGCCGATGTTGGCCCCGGTAACAAGTGGTTCGACGTGTATACCGCTCTGCAACCCTCGGGCGTGACCGTCATAGGTGGCCGTGTTTCCGGCATTGGTGTTGGTGGCCTTACTACCGGTGGCGGCATCTCGTTCTTCTCGAACATCTACGGCTGGGCGTGCGACAACGTGGCCAGCTACGAGGTTGTCACCGCATCCGGCCTCATCATCACAGCCAGCCCTAGCGAAAATTCCGACCTCTACTGGGCTCTCCGCGGCGGAGGTAACAACTTCGGCATCGTCTCGAAATTCACCATGAACGCCATCTCCCTGCCCGGCGGCCAAATGTGGGGCGGCGGCCGAGTCATCCTCGAAGACAATTTCGACGCCGTGGTCAACGCTTTCTACAACGTGGGCGTCAACTCACCCTCCGATCCCAATGCCGCGCAGATTCTCTCCTTCGCCTACGTCCCCTCGGCAGATCTCAAAGTCGCGGCCGCCGACCTGCAGTACGCCAAACCCGTGGCCAACGCGCCCATCTTCTCAGAGTACCTTGCCATCCCCGCCATCTCGGACACCACCAGAGTCCGCACGCTGGCCGACCTGACCCAGGAGTTCAACGCCAGCAACCCCGACGGCCTGCGCGAGACCTACTGGGCAGCCACGTACAAGCTGAACAAGGCCCACACGGCCAAGGTCCGGGACATCTTCTTCGAGGAGATCCAATCCATTAAGGACGCTGCCGGCCTCGTCCCCGCCGCGACCCTGCAGGTCATCACGCAGGGCCAACTGGCGGCCATGTCCAAGAACGGAGGCAACCCGCTGGGCCTGCCGGCGTCCAACGGCCCCTACCTCCTGCTCAACATGAACATGATGTGGACGAACCCGGCCGACGACACCCGCATCCTCCAGTGCAACCAGCGCATCATCGACCGCACCGTCGCGCTCGGCAAGTCCATGGGCCTGTTCGAGGACTACATCTACATGAACTACGCGAGCCAGTACCAGGACGTGATTGCCAGCTACGGCGCCACCAACAAGGCCAAGCTGCAGAGCATCGCGGCCAAGTACGACCCCACTGGCGTCTTCCAGACGTTGGAGCCTGGGTATTTCAAGCTGAACGGTCCGCCCGTCAGCGGCAAGCCCTAGGCAGGCATTTTACAGTACACCGCACTTGCACAGTGTAGCATGTGTCCTTGTCGACGAGCTGGACGATCCTTCTTGTATATACTTTTAATGTTGGTTTCCTTTGTCGCATCCAAGACTCATAGATTACATACTACACTGTAATGGCATGGTTATGACACGAACCAGAAGGCTGACCGTGGAGAGGCGAAGACTGAATACCTGAAACGAAGCCCATTTGAATCCTTACTAGGTATAGATGGCTCGCGCAGATTGCGGTTGCTGTACGGAGTACGTCGTATGTACTACTAGAGAAACCTACATGACGGATTACCATCCGCAAGCTTAGGCACGGAGGCACGGAGTACATGCACAGTAGGTCCATACGGAGTGCTTGCTTCGACATCCGCCATCACGATGCAGCACGATTTCACGTGGTTCACGTGGCTGGACATTACTCCATACCATCTGTGGGCTTCCAAGCTCGAGTCAATTGGGCGTTGTGAGAGGCGAGCTTTGGCCGGCGCTGCGCTCGATCCAAGTGTGCTCCATATTATTGAGTGCTACGCCGTAACTGTACCGAGTAATGAGGGACGAGGCACGTGCAAAGGGCGTGCTGCACGTGTGAGGCACCCCAGTCTGGGGCTACCTTTTAACGGAAACCCCCAGTTAGCGGGGCCGTCCAAGCCGAACATTGTCTTGGCGAGTTTGTTTTCGAGCCTCGCCATACTCGTACCTGCCCTTCACTCACTCTGTACGGGGTACGGAGTACTGTGTGCAAACTCGATTCGATCCAATAGCGCTAGAACCCTGAGATGAAAAGTCTGTCGGAATCAGGCGCAGCGTCCAATTTAGATCCATGATCAACTTAGGGCTTTGACCCCTGTTGTTGATCTATGCCCTCCCTGCAGGCATTTCCCGCCATCACCAAGGACGAATTTTCGGAAGCGTGCAAGGCGCTGGAGCGTCGGAGTGCGGACAGGATTAGTGACACGGACTGGCTGAGCGTAAAGTGGAGTGGGGAGGAATTGCTAATCAGGCAGAGACGGAATATCACTACCTCACTCCACAATGGGAATCGTAGGCTCGCTGGCGATCGGAGCACGAATTCAGGAGAGGTGGTAGACAGGGAAGACCTCGAGAACATGGTCGAGGATGAAGTGGAAGATTCTTCAATCAAAGATACTGTACGAGTACGTTGGACTATAATTGATTGCCCCCATTCTTGCTCTCCGAGCTAAAATGTTGTAGAGAGGTTCGAGGTGTCTGGAGGAGACCTGCCTAATTGTGGACTTTTCCATCATCTTGTCGCCAACCTATTGCGTCCCCGTCCTGTGGTTTTCATGCCGTCACGGACTGGAGAAACGGCCGATAGCCCTCGATCAGGTCTACGAGCAGCTGGTACCGCAGCCTTCATGCGCTCCCTTGCGTGGCGTAGGTGTCCTGGGAGGCATTAGCGTGGCAGTAAGTCGTGTCCAACTCGGGTCGTGCAAGCTAGCTGATTCGCTATTCGCTGCAGCATCACCCAGTGTCAGATCTGCCATCTTTCTTCCTGCATCCTTGCAATACGCAAGATGCACTCTCGGTCTTGGAGCCGAGCGGGACGCTCACACCAGAGGAGTACCTGAGCCTTTGGCTCGGGCTGATCGGGTCGGCTGTGGGCCTGCATATCCCTAGTAAGCTTTTGAGCGCTTAGTCGAGAGAACTTCCACAGCCTGTGACATTCACTTCCCACAACAAATGTCATCTCCTCGATAATGTGTTGGCTCCATGTCATGTCCGGGCCGCTTTTGTCCACTAGAGCGCAACGCTGTCGTACGGCCGTGCCGTATTTGACATTGACGCGGCGCTCTGCTGAGAAGTGGTTGTCGAAATTTATGGTGCAGTTGTCTTAATCTTCGTCATCTTCCTCCATAGGCGCATCACTCTCATCTTCCTCCATCTCAACTTCGTTGTCGTCCTCCTCTTCGACTTCTTCACGTGGTCGCTTCATGCCATGTGGGCCCGTATCCGCGGGCGTCTCGGTGGCTTTTGTGCCGTTCTCAACCGGTGTGCCGGATGCAGCACCTGGAGGAGCATTGAAGATGGATTTTTGTAGTGCCGTCTGCTCGGGAGCGCTAGTCGCTGCAGCAGTCGGAGGTTCGAAGGTCCCGCGGAGCTTGGGAATTATGTTCGACTGGCCCTTTGCGTAGGCAATCGTCTGCGACACAAAGTTTAACGTATATTCTGTCCGAGTATGGGGTGTCCGCTCGTACCATTTCTTTGCCGAAGAGGTTAAACCCTTGTAACGCTCTCATTGCCTGCGTGCTTGTCTGAATATCGCGGAAGACGACGTGTGCCTGGCCTCGCATGTGCTGACCTTTGGCTCCAACACGGCTAGTAACGATGTCAAGCACGGGTCCATACGTGGAGAAAAGCATGTACAGGGCGCGCTTGAGTTCATTCTTGTTGATTTTCTCCGGAAGGTTCTTGATGAATAGCCTACACAGCTCTCAGCAGGGAGTTCAGCACGGGGATCGGCGCGGCTGCTCACGTCTGATTCGGGGCACCCGAGTTCTGGGACTCTTTAGCTGGTTTTGCAGCCATCATCAAAAGAGAGACAGCGAAGAGCGGCTGATGGGACAGAGATAGAATCCGTTGCCCGTGGCTTCTACCATACCGACAACATGCTTGTTTCCGCTGGTTGCAGGCGACTTGCGTACGAGGAGACGAGCTACCAGGCGAAACCGAGATCCTGACAATTATTGCGGAAATTTTGGCGTGGCAGCTACTACGTATCCCAGCCGTGCCGCTTTAATTCCCCGCGTGGTCATTTCGGCTGAGTAAAGTCTTGGCGCCACCCCCAAGTTTGCATTCAGATGTTCACTGCGTTCCTTGCACCGTCTCATACGAGTATAACAGTTATGGCTTTTGGTCCCAGGCCAGTAGCTGTGTGGCTGCCATTCAGCCTCTTCGACGGCGCTCGCAGAACTCCATGCATCTGTGCCAAGAACGTTAGTGTCTTTTTAAGCGGGTGCCTGGCAGCCTTGTCTATCAGTTGAATGCCGCGCACAGCGCTCGCTATACATCACTTCTGCACTTCAAAGTCTGAAGCATAAACATTCGGCTACATCGTGCTTCTCGCCAAGGCTTTGCTAGATATGCCCTTCATGTCGTCAAGGACAGCAACGAAAGCCGCCTCTAGAACCACGACTAAACCCAGCAACACACCTAAAAAGCTCTCCCCAGAAGAGGTTACCGCCTATATCAACGACCCCTGCCTCAACCGGACCTTCCACTTGCCGGCCGACCCGTTGCGCGGCCGCCCCAAACCTTTCCTGGTCTCCTACGCCGACTTTGGCTTTCATCGTGAAGGTGCCCTCGATGACCATGGTGAGGAGCAAGTCCTGTTGTTCTTCGGACCGCTCGTGTCTTCACGGCTGCACAATGCTGCAAAGGATGGGCTGGCGAAGAGTTACAAGGTTCGTATCCTGAATGTAGAACGTCCGGGCATTGGTAAGACGGACAGCGTGCCAGCTGAGAGGCTGCTCGAGGTTTGGAGGGGTGAGTCGCCTTTAGATGTACTCCCTTGAACGATCCTGCCAGGAAATACATATTACTCACTAGCATCTACAGGAGTCATTGCCGCCCTGCTTGACCACCTCGGCATCAAACACGTCTCCATAGGCTGCCACAGCGGCGGCACCGTTTTCGGGCTCGACTTTGCGGTTCACAACCCCCAATTCTTGCACCCGTCGCGACCTTATATCGCAATCGCTGCACGCTGGGTCCACCCATCGCACTCGGGCATGCTCATCTGGTCTCTCGCCTCATCGCTGCCGCGCTCGGTGGTCGCCCGGACCGGCAACATGGCCACCTTTGTCAACTCGACTCTGGGTCCAGTACTGGGTGTCAGCGCCGCCGTCTCAGGCAGCGTACCGCAGCTCTGGTCCTTGGCGAAACCAACAGGTTGCGAGAGCGAAGAGAGGTCGGACGTCGACCTCGAGGAGGATATACGCGACCGTGTAGCTAAGCGCGTCTTCGCGGATAGCGTGCGTGGACTGGGCCAGGAGACGCAGGTGTTACTACGCAATGGGGCCGAGAAGGACGGGTGGTCCGACTGGGGCGACTTTGATGTGCTGGCGCCGCGCCTGGTCGAGGCGGTGCGTGCCGGTGCGGGAGCGAAGCTGAAGGTGGACGTATTCTTTGCGGAAAAGGACAACATGATTGGCGATGCGGGCGCTAAAGGCACCAGGTGGTTCGAGGCGTGCTGGAGGGATGTGGACGACGTGGAGTTTAGGAGCGAGACAGTGAAGGGTTCGGACCATGATCGCGTGTGGGATCTGCGGTTTGGGGTGATGGAGAGGGTGTTCAAGACGATGTCCCAGGAAGCGTGAGATGGTGGTGGTATGGGACGCGTCTCGACCGGGTATTGCATATGTTGTGTCCGAAAATGCATTGGTTTGGTAATGTATAGCGTTCAACCACGGGTATATGCAGGACATACAGCAGCTTTTGGCGCGATCTAGCGGACGTCCCCAATAATATAAGCAGCTCTTGTCACTTCATATCATAAACTACGCTCTCTGTGAAGAAGCAAAGGCAAATATCAGAGTAAAAATTGCGCAGAGGATAGAGGGACCGCAGCCTTGTCTCCTATCCGTCTGCCTCCGATGTACAATTAACAACTCCTAACTTGGACAACTCAAGGCCACAGGCAACTAATGTTGAAGGCATGAGATTGTTCTCCCTCGCGCCAACACGTTGACCAGCATCCGGTCCATGCGAATCCACTGCGGCCTGCGGAATAGCAAGGCCAATATTGTGGCGGATTTGCATCTAGGTAACAGGCAAAAGCGAGCTGAGAATGTGGCGATGACGGATGTCTGGAACGACGTCAGGCTCGGAGTCTTCCCATCCTGATCACATGAGAGGCCCAAGCCTCAGTGTTTGTTGTCAGCCTCGACAATGTCACTGTCCGACTCTCGTCACTATTTGCAATATCTGGCTTTCGGTATGAGTAGGGGACAAGCTGTAGGAGATGTTAGTGGGCTTGGTTGGCCACTTAGGCTGCGAATAGGAGGGACGAGTTGCAACTAAAAAGGCTTGGCAGAGTCCGGGGTGTCGAGGGCGTTCCCCCACCGCATCGGCCTTCCTCGCTTGTTGGCCTTACAGATTCGCGCTCGCCCGTTTCACATCTCAAGGCGCAGCGCAGCCAGGCACACGTCAACTGCGACCAACCACTGCGACGAATCCTCCCTCTTTTGCAGCCTGTCACCCAAGAGTCCTTTTTCACGCTTGACCAGTGTCCATAATTTGTAACACCAGCATTAGTTGTTCGGCATTCAAACTCGTCTACTGTACTCTGCTCCAGCATTGACACCTCGCGCATCATCTTTGACAACCCCTCCAACCGAGCAAGCCACCCTTGACCATTCAATAGCCCATCCTGGCGCATTCTAGTGGTCACGCCTGCTCAGAGGCAGTCAGCGATGGGCAATATTAGCAGCAGAATCGACGAGGGCGCCTTGCTATACTTAAAGGACCAGGCGCGCTGTATGTGCTACCGTCGTCGTTCCCCAGCGGCTAGTGGCTGACTTCTCTAGTCTCGATCAGTTCAATCGTTATTAGCAATGGCCGACGCAAAGTACTTCTGAGCATTACACCAAATGCATATCCCGCAACCCGTCTTATTGGCAAGCCAGACACCAGCGATTACAGACCCATTTCATACATACAGGTCTGGCGAGCGTTCCTGCACGGGGGATAATTTCTGATTGTTGTGCAGGACCCTGATGCATCGGCGCTGTCATTTCTCCCCAGGCTGGACCTTGAAGACGAACTTGACTTCCGCTTTACATTTGTAACTCGACAGAACTCCGGTCCTCTGCCCGCGACACCCTCCACCACTACTCCCGCGCTCGATGCCGCCGTCACCGGACTGACATTTGCGTACGCTCACAATGCCAAAGAGTTGGACACCCTCATTACGCGCGAGTTCCACGCTGACCCCAATCTACACAAGAACTCCAACGTGCAATTTATTGGTGATTTTGGGACCCGTGGCAATCCGTCCATAACTTACGAATGGACATGGCGTTGGAAGCCTCCGAAACCCCAGGAAGACAAGGGTGGGGGTTGGCGCAGTTGTTGTAGTTTCCTCGAGTACGATTCCAGAGCCCATAGGCTCAATACACTCGCATCCTTCACCTTCTGGGTTCAGAACATGGCCACGGCCAACGGCCTACCACTTGCTTCACCCGGCCTTGACATCCCGACATTCCCACAGAGGCATAGGATGCCATCCTCGCAATCATACCAGTCCGCTATCAGCGATTCAGAAGGTCCTTCGGAGCAACACAACCCGCCATCGCCACATGTACACGCCACTGATTTCAGCTCTATGGCCCCTTCATCGACGCCTGCGATGCCGGTGATTGACATCCAGTGCGTGCCGCGGCCCGGGGACGACGTTAGCGCGGTTGATGACGGCCCGGTTTTCCGGGCCACAATGAAAGCCCTTGAGCAAAAGACCGGCACCATGAAAGTGCAGATCAAGAAAGTTCTAAAGAAAGCCGAAGCTGCACAGCAAGCCCAAGTCGAGTGCAATCAGGCCATGTCTGATTTCTTACGAGCACTCCAGGAAGCCTCAAATTCAAGCGCCACGGCCTTCAAGCCCGCTCTCGACCATTACTTCACAAACATAGCCCAGCATATCATGAAGTACGAGAAGGGTAACAGCACGTTGTTGCAGAAACAGATCATCGATCCCATCTCTAAGCTGTATAACATGGACATCAAGCAGGTTGAATCCAAAAAGAAGGATTTCGACGACGAAAGCCGAGACTATTATGCCTATGTTGGCCGCTATCTAGGCCAGAGGCAGGATACACTCAAGGACAAGAAGCGTGCAGAAAGCGACTCCAAGTATCAAAGCAAGAGGAAGAACTTCGAGTTGAAACGATTCGACTATTCGACTTTCATGCAAGATCTGCATGGTGGCCGCAAGGAACAAGAACTCTTGTCACAGCTCACAAAATATGCGGACGGCCAGGCGAAATCGTTTCTTGCCACGGCGAAAACGGTGGAAAACCTCACGCCACAGTTAGATGCCCTCGTCAGGGAAGTCTCTGCAGCTGACAAGGAATATAAGCTACAAAGGACGGAAAGAGAAGAAAAGCGAAGGAATCTAGAGAAGAACGGGTCTGTGGCTGCGGAACAGGAGGTGCATTACCAACCTCCTGCCGTCGCCGTCTCCTCCCAGGCCCCAGGCCAGAATGGGTATAATGCTCATACATCGGACACTGATCTGAGCAGAGCCGACAGTACCAGCTCCCAATTTGGGCATGCTTCGATTAAAACGCTGTCGCCCACAACGAATTCGAATGTCCCTTTGAACGCGATCTTATCAACTTCACCAAGTGGCAACTCGTTAGCACCAACTCCGAGCAAGTTCAAGGGCATTCGCGATCTTGACGAGACTTCGGTATCAGCTAGCGACAAGAGTTCTTCGGGACAATACCGCAAGGAGGGATTGTTATGGGCGTTAAGCAAACCCAACAGCCACATCGACCCGAAGGGCGCGTGGCACAAGTTCTGGATCGTCCTTGACCAAGGGAGGCTGTCCGAATACAGCAATTGGAAAGACAAGTTGGATTTACATCGCGACCCCATCGACCTGCGTATGGCTTCAGTACGAATCGCACGTGACGCAGAGCGCAGGTTTTGCTTCGAGGTCATTACGCCGCAGTTCAAACGAGTTTACCAGGCCACAAGTGAAGATGATATGAATGCCTGGATCAACGCCATCAACAATGCCCTCCAAAGTGCTTTTGAGGCTGGCGGCCAAGCACCCCAGCAACTCCGGAAGGAGCCGGGTACAAGAGAGTCTGTACGTGAGTTTGGCCACGCGTTACTCGGCAAAAGCTCCTCGCAATCTGGACCACACGGGTATTCTCAGCGAAGTGACGTGAGTGGAGTATCGCGCCGCATCACCGTAGGGTCTAGGCCGACCTACACCAGGACCAGCAGCAACAGCTACGATGAGAATCCCTCGAAACTACTCGACCAGATGAGAAACAATGATCAAGGCAACCAGTTCTGCGCGGACTGTGGTTCTTCCTCCAAGGTCGAATGGGTTTCGCTCAATCTAGGCATCGTTCTATGCATTGAATGCGGCGGTATACATCGCTCGCTGGGGACTCACGTATCGAAGATCCGGTCATTGACCTTGGATGTGCACTCCTTTACCAACGATATTGTCGAGTTACTGATGCTCGTCGGCAACAGGATCAGCAACATGATCTGGGAAGCAATGCTGGATCGTTCTCTGAAACCCACATCGACCTCAACTCGAGATCAACGGCTGAAGTTCATCACGGCGAAATACGTCGAACGTGCCTATGTGGAACCTGTCTCTCAGTATACCAGTGCTGATGACACCCTCCTGACGTCGATCAAGAGACATGATATCCAAGGCGTTCTGCAAGCGATTGCTCAGCGGGCCAACGTCAACGCTCATGACCGTTCTAGGAACACTCACGCTGTGTTTGTGGCCCTTGCTGCTGCTGACCCAGCTCGTCCGGTCTCATCCCATTCGGACACGGCGCCGCCCGGTGCAGTCAAGGCGTTCCCCATGGCGGAACTACTCGTCCAGAATGGGGCTGAAATCCCAGTCGAGCTTCCCGCCATACCACTATCCGCTGCTGCACGCTTGTACATCGACCAGCGCACAACTCGGGCGCCTCCAGGTCACGGCGCCCACACAGATACACTCGGTCCCCTCCCGTTTATGAATAAAATCTCACCGCTGTCCTCGTCTTCAGATGGCTCCAGTAGGCTGCAGAAGCGTGGTAGTGCCGGCGCCAGATTTGCAGGCAAGGTCACAGGGCTGGGGGAACGGTAGTATCGTTACAGCAAGTCGCGTGCCGATTATAACGTGCTGAGTCCAGTTATGCTCTGCGAGAGCCATTCTTTTGACGTGCTGAGCACTCCGACGAGGTTGATGCATGGGCCGAGGCCGAGGCTCGTGTATTTGAACAGTGATTCGAGTTGATTAAGAAGGCTTGAGCTTAGTGATTGCGACGAGGTGATGACTTTGGGATCCAGAGGGCGCTCGGAAGGGCAATTGTGGACGAACGTTCGAGGACTAAAAAAGGGTTATCTGCACACAGCAGTTGCAGTACGGAGTAGGGTCGCCCCCATCAAAGCTATGACATTTGTTGACGATATCTGAAGGCAAACGGCGGTGGAGAGGCCGGTCTTACACTGCGCGTGGTCTCTTTTCTGTTTTAAAATAGACAGCACCAGAAAAACTTGGGTACAGGTCTCATTGGCAGGGGAAGCATGCAGCGCATGGCAGTAATGATAATACTATATAGTGACGTTCCGGCTTCTCACAGCCCACTTTCTGCCGCGACTTTGACTGCGAAAGAGCACATATTATTTTATATTAGCCGTCCCGGAGTCCCCCGGCCCCAACCGTCTTGTACCGACTCAGTGCCAACAAGAAGTGAGGCAGGAGCAGAATCTCACGAGCGAGGACTGCAGGCCTTGTCTCTCAATTGACGAGTTGTCGCTTGCAAGTTTCTTGTCGTGTCTGCCTTGTCGATAGCGGCGATTGCAGGCCTCGTCTCTCCGTCGGGCGGGCTGTCGCTTGCAGGTCTCGTCTGGTCTCCGCGATCGAGAGGGCCAAAGTTGTCGCTTGCTAGTCTTGACTTATCTCCCCAGTCGGTAGCGGCGAGGAATATGAACCGCCGCCACGCCACGGCAGTGCTGGGTTCAGATGGGTAGGAGAAGACAACGGGCTGGACAGGGTTCACGCGGCGGCAGCGGTGGTGGTTATGTCTCTCGGCGGAGTCTGCTCTATAGACGCTGCAAAGTACCTGACGCTGCTCTGGCACGACGAAGGTAGCTAGTGCTTCATGTGATGGAATGGACGTGATCGAAACGCATGCGATGCGACATGGAAAGAAGGAGGCGGCAATCTGTGACAGCGTGGTGTTTCAACACCAAATTGGGCATCGGCGCTCAGGAGGGAGAAGGAAGTACTTTGTTTGTGATCTTCTCTTCTTCTCTATCACCACGTCCGACAGCGAATGTTCTTATTATTATTTTTTAATCCAGCACAGCTCGTGCGCAATATCTCTCGATGTGATGGGCATCATTGAGAAGGAATGGTAAGAGCCGAACAGCGTCGTGGGCTTGTCGGGACCTAGGAACGGCGTCGACCGCATCCCCAGAAGTCATATCGTGGGACTTTCAGGACGACTGATCTGATATGACTAGATCCGGCCTGACGACTCGGTGCTTCTAAAATCATGAGGTACAGTTAGGTTTACCTGGGTCGGGAGGCTCTCCCAACAGACCTTCGCAGGTGTCTCTTCTCAGGTGTCTAACTTCCTCCTCATCTCTTTCCTATCCCATCTTGTGGAGAGATTGTTTCGCAATAGCTGACCAGCCTGGCTTCTGCCCTAGGCAGCAGATGGGACCAGCTTGTCAGGTACGAGAATGAGACTGCCACTGGTGGTGGTAGTGGTGGTGGTGGTGGTTGCGAGGCCGTCTCCTAAACCAAGCCTACTCTACCAACGAAGAGTTTCAGCAGCAACTTGACCGAAAACTTCCCCAAAGAGATTCAGGAGGCAAGTGAAAACTAGGGCAGTTGTGCGCTCGGCATAGCGACCGTGGCCGACCGTCTCCTCGAGCATCGTTATCGCTGCTGATTCGCGAACAACGGTCCTGCAGCTAGACGCGCAGGCATAGGTAGGAAAACTCTGGCAGGTGCTGAAATGATCTCAGCACTGTTCAGGAGATTGTGGGACCATTCCTTCATGCAGAGAGAGCGTAGGCGAGATGACGGAAAGCTTGGAGAGGTGCATTTGATTCGGACGCAGGAGCAAGGAGTATGCACTCACGGCCAAGGGCCCCAACAAAGGAAGGTGAGAGTGCTTGCGGCTGGGGTAGATGCTAAGGTGGTAAGGTTGGGGGAGGAGCAGAGAAGCGGCAAGTGCGTCTGTGGAAGTGATGGTATCGTGGTTTATCGCGGAGAAAGCGCCAATAAGGGTTGGGGGACTGCCTGAGAAATCTTCCTTGCGCCGCCGCCAGAGTTCTCACAGTACCGTCCGGAAATCTGCGCCCCTGGTTACTTCACGATGGAGCACCGCACCTATGCAGAGATCACATCCCTTGGGTTCAATGGGTACAAAAAATTGGACGGCGTCAGACAGGTCAGACGGTAGACTTCTGCAGCAAATGCCTCCTGGACAGATTATTGGTGATCTGGAGAGAAGCCGTTATACACGGCAGCGGGTAAGGCGGAGGCCGCGGTTACATGACAAGGGGCGGCATTTTAAATCGAAGAAGAGGGTCGCAGGACCACAAATCAGACGTACTTCAACGTCCGATTGCTTCCTTTCCCGTAGTGGATGCGTGCAGGGCTCCAGGATGGACGTCTGATGTTTGATCAACCACGTTTGCTCGCGTGGGTCTCTGCATATCCCGGGTCGTCTTCCTGTAGCTTCGAGCTCGAGGGTGATGCGCTATCGGAATCACCTCTCAACCATTCTTACCAACTGACCGAGGGACTTGGGAGACGTGGTAAGGTAGCCAGTGATCGCGCAGATAAGAACATGAGAGAATTGTGGAACGTCAGAGATGGCAAGTAGTTCATCAGACTGGCACAAGCCGAGGGCCTTCCTTTGCTGATGACCATGCCATTGGCTCGTTAAAGGGGACCAAAACTGTCGAGCATCCGCGTGTGGGTGAGCCGATAGCCATCGAACAAAGCTAGAGCTCCTCACCCCCAACTTGTGCTTTGTCTGGCGATGCCGTCACCGTGGATTGGCAGGCTAGGAGTGTAAGGCTTGCCTGTAAATGGTGCGAGGTAATCAGCATTAACGAGCACATGAAGTCTTCGAAGCGAAAGCAAGTCACTGTTAGTCTAAGCAGTGTCGGCCTGAGGCATCCAATGACTTCTTTGTCGAGGCCAGTTTGAGAGAAGGAGATTTCCCCATAGGCCAAATGGCAGGTGTTCATTGGACCTGGGCTCTGTTAGCGGGCGTATACAGGACTGAAGCCGTTGGTTTTCGGGTGCTGATGCTCTGGCAAACCATCAGTCTGCAAACAAAGTGGCAGTGATAGCAAGAGCTCATGGCCGAGAATGGCGCGGACTGTGGTCGATGGACCGTTGATAGTGGCCTGGTGGGTAGCTCGAAAATTTCCCCAATGGACGACTCTGTATGATGATTGGTCGACGCATATCATGGCGTTTTCTGCATTCGCTCATGTTCATTGGTTGTCGGGCTGTCGCCACAATGAGCGCCATCGGATGTGGAGGATGAGCATGAGCACCGGGTATCGTACCACAGAACGCAAAGGGCAATCGCTCCGGCCCGGAGAGACCTTACTTGATCGCGTGGTAACTCCTTCAACTTGGACAGAGGATGTTTCAGCAGTGCCCGCCAAGGTACCTCGTGTTCGTACCGGCTTGGTCGAAAGTACCTCCAGGACGTTTATCTTTCTACGAGACATGCAGCTTAAACACGTAGATGAAAATCATTGCTTTGTATATCTCATGGAGCGAAACAGATCCGGACGCGCCGACTTGGGGTTCGGAGGCCAAGACCGGGTAACGAGGTCGTCGGGACGAGAAAGGTACTGCTGCTGGCTGCACACCTTCCATTGAGCATACGACTCGCCGAAAGAGTGCTTAGTGCGCCGGTGTACCTGACACTAGGTCAGGAGCAACACGAGGACTCTGGAACACGCAGCATCCGGTGAGGTAAGGCGGCATCTGCGAGGGATTGAAGCGAAAGCTTGAGTGGCAAATCTCAGGGTCCTAGAAGTCTGGATCGGCGTCTTGGTGCGGTCAGGTACAAGCCACAGCGAGTCGGGAGGTTACCACGATTCGTAGGGGTCGAGTGACGTGTCTCAATCTCTGTTCAACCAGTAGTTAGTCGATAGGCGGTTCTAATTCTGGCATGCGCAACAGCAAATGTGTTTGTGGCCAGGGGCGCTGTGGAGTTCGAAACTTCGCGTACTATTTTGGCCTCTGCAGCCGTCGCGACAGTGAGAACAAATGATGAGGCGGCAGAGACAAACCTCAGTCGCCGGTGAGACCCCTTGGGCCCGTCTCTCAGCCATCTAATCGATCAGCAAGCGATGGGCAGGAAATGGAAATGATAACCGAAAGCGACCATGAAGCAATGATGAGCGCGCAGACTTGATGTTGGAATTAACAAACCCTACGCGCCAAGCCCATGACGCAACTCGGGAGCGCTTCAAAGTTTTTCCCTTCCGGTCGCGCTATGCCGCCTTCGGACAAGGGGTTTCTCGGAGTTCGCATATATCTCCCTAACTTTCGAGAAACCGACCCGAGATCCTGGAGAAGACAGCTGCTCAGCCACAGCCAGGGTCCAACCAGTCATCTTATGCTCGAGCGTCTCGGATCTGCTTGACACTAGAACGGTCGCCCACCTCCACCAAGAGATCGGCATATGCTGTGAAAAGTCGTTGTCGCCACCTGCCACCAAACGACTCGGCATGAGACATCCAGTAGCCGCAGCGGGTAAGCCAGCAGTTACTGATTGATACAGATCGTCTGGCGAGCTGATCAACACCACTACTGGTGTACCTGCGTTGTTTCTAACAATAGCGAAACTGTGCAGAATGATGCCATACGCCGTCATCGGATGTTTTGACATGCACGAACAGGCCACCCGGGACTGTGGTTGATGGTACACGTATACGGAGTAGACTCAGGCGGATCTCGACAAATGCCCCCCTGCCTATCCATTTCAGAAGTCGAGCAGGCTTACCCCGGGCTGAGCGCTATCGGCCAGCCATGGTAGTTCCCATGTTAGAGCTATGGTAATCATGAACACTCTGCTACCAAAAAGCGATGGCGAGAACCCCCGATCAGCCTGTGTAGACAGCTGTGTACCGACATGCGTCTCAGCAGAAGTACTGGGTCCTGGTTACACAATACAAGGATCTGTGCTCGTTCGTCCACACCTGGCCGTCCCACAGGACTGGTCAGCGCATCCACGAGGACTTAGTGCGAGGCTAAAAGACATTTTCCTCATGATCTGCAACGATTGACCATCCGCCGCATTAGTTTTGGATCAACTCGACGGCTCGCCTTTGCAAGGCAAGGATGATGTCTTGCGTACGCCGCCCCTGTCGCAGGAAGATCTCTGCTGTTTCTTTGTTCTGCTCGTCAGCGCAACAATCGCTGGTAGCGGAAAAGGCAGCAAAGTAGACAACAGCATGGGTGGTGCAAGGCTGGTGTACTATGAGCGGGGAGTTCCAGAACGCCGCAGAAGCCGAGCAGTGGGGAGCAAGCCTCGGAAGCCCGGCCATCTTACGGCAATGTGGCTTGCCCATCACCAAGGCCGGTGCGAAAGACACCCGTGGCTGCTGCTTCAGCTCATCCGGGTGCCACACAAGAACTCCGCACGGTCCAGAACATCTCGGAACCCTCCAGCCCCCCATTCCGCGGCCGCCTAACAATAACTCCCTCGTACATGGGCAAATGAGGTCTGCAATGTCTTTCTCCAGATCATGAATGTGCCCGTACGGTGCTTGCAAGAGACGGGCTTGCGCTCCAAGTGGGACTGAGAGCAAGCCAGTGGCTTGGAGGCCCATCCAAATAAGCGACAGGCACGCAATGGGGTGTCTTGAGCAAATCACAGACGAGAACTGACTCATTGCTTAGATGTTGCCACAGTAGATTTGCTAGCCAGTGTGAGGTACGGCATCAACTAGTATCTTCTTGGTCCTCTTCTTCCCCGAAGAGGGTATGCTCTTATTTGGTACCGTGTACACAGGCCCAGGTACACAGGCCGGGCCTGGCTTCCAAAAGGAGACGCGAACACAGCCACTACCGAGTCCATCTCCGGCCGACCCACCCTCGTGCTTAGCGACAATCTATACCGTGTACATGGCATTTTGCTCTTCTGCTGTGCTTTTGATACGGCCACAGCTAGGATGTCAATTCCGGCGCTGTCCAGGCAGGAGGCTGCGTTCACTCACTGCAGCTCCTGGCCTAACGGTAAGTAAGCCTTCCGTGCAAGATCGACTCCCCTTGGGGAGGGGGGTTGCTGCTATTGCTTGCGACTCTGCCATACCCACACCTGCTCTTCCAGGCCGTGGACATCGCCTCCCAGATCCGGACCAATTGATACGCTCTTCCAGCGTCGCTATCAGCCCACCGGTCGAAGCTGCAGTTCGTGGCCGGGAATTCCCCTTTCCAATGCAGCTTTCGGCGCCATACTGCGGGTTGATTCTGTCAGACTGTCCACCCTGGCGCCTTCTCCAGCTCGAGCATCGCAATACCGTTGGCCTCCGTGTCAGTCCTGATCATCTTCCACCTCGACCAGGGCTCCATCCCGGCTATTCCCAATCACGCTTTCACGGTTCGTTTTGGCCACTGACTGCAGTGGACCCTGGCGCCGTTGTCGAATTTTACTTGCTATGTCCCACAGGCTTTAGTACGTTGTGCGTCGCTATCCCCGCCAGTCATTAGCATCCATGCTACTGAGGCCAGATATGAGACACGGTTGGGCGTGACTCCCGTTCTTTACCATCACTTCTTCACAAAACGTCCACCAGACCAATGATCCTACGAAGCGGCCGTTGGACACTGCCACGAGAGAGGACCCTTCCTCTTCTAGCCCTGTGAAACATCCAGAGCACCCCTGTCGACCACGTTCACTTCCAAATTTGGCGCCGACCTGTGTGTTTCATTTCCCTTCTTGAACAGACGAACGAGCGAAAAGAATTCTCAACAGAATCCTCTTAACCACCCACAAGAGCATCCGGATCTCTCCTGATCCGTGCTCAGCCTGCTGCTGGCTTCGAGTAAGATCGGCTCTACCACATACCTAGCCTAGGTATACCTATTTGAGGTACTCTCTTTTGGCGCTTAATCTGCCGTTTCACCATCAAGCAACATGGACTGACTGATGGCTGTCTTCTGGGTACAGCATTACTACACTCTCCCTATTATATTTGAGGATTTCGGAATGGGTGATGAACCTCCACTTCGACCAAATCTCATATCGCAAACAAGCGACGAGCAACTCTCCAAAGGTACGTGCTGTGTTGGGCTTCCCGATCGCGGTGACCACCAGGTTAATATTCCCAGACCGATCACTACAAGCATCATTCCCTGGCACCAGCTTGGCTTCGGGACAGCCCTCCAACATGGAGTTTGAATCATACCCTCGACAGCATTTCCCCATGGGCAACTTTGCGGGTACGGGAACGCTTGACATGTCGACAATGGCTGCCGCGTTGCCAGACTATCCAATGCGACAGTTCCAGCAACAACCATACGCTCAGCATTACCAGTCTACCAGTGCTCCAAATCCGTCCATGATGTACCAATACCACCAAGGCGCGCAGTTTGCCGGCCAGGCTGCCGCGACCCCAACCCATTCGTTCGCGCAACAATATTCATCGCCGTTTGTCCAGGGCCCACCGGTTCGACCACAGCAGGGAGCAGCCTACTCACATTTTGTCACGAATACAGGGCTTGCGGGTGGCCCACAGGCGTTTCAAAACCAGTCTTTTCTTCTGCAACAGCCGGTGCTACATCACTCGGGGGCGGCAAGCCAGCACCATCATCAGCAGCAGCAGCAGCCTCATTTCCCACAGTCTCATGGATCTCCAGCCTACGGTGTCCCGTATGGGACAGGGATCGCATCTGGCTACACGCTTCCACAACTGCGGCTTGACAATAGTATGGCCCAGGTCCAAACCTCGAATATTTATCCACAGCTGAACCCTTCAGGTACAGAGCCATCCCTCTCAAGGAGCCTCCACGAGAAACTAACATTTGGGACATGCATAGCTGTGAGAAGAAGCAGCTCAAACTCCTCCCTGCAGACCTCCGCGCTCAGAGGGCCACCTAGAAAGCCCAAGCAATCCGGCCATGCGCTTTGGGTCGGAAATTTGCCGCCTGCAACACACATAATTGACCTCAAAGACCATTTCGCGAGGGATGCGACAGAGGACATCGAGAGTGTCTTTCTGATCTCGAAGAGCAACTGTGCTTTTGTGAATTATCGAACAGAAGCCAGTTGTGCAGCCGCTATGACTCGCTTCCACGACTCCAGGTTCCAAGGCGTGCGATTAGTTTGCCGGCTCCGACGTGGAAGTGCTTCCACGGCGACCTCGACGCAAACAGGGGCACATCAGTCGGCATCAGCCGAAGAAGGTGAAACACCGGAAGCTGGTGGCAAAGATACAGCAGTCACTGACGCAACAATAACTGCGGAGCCTGAATCGATGGGGAAGGCAAAGGAGAAGTTCTTTGTTGTGAAGAGCCTGACCGTGGAGGACCTGGAGCGTAGTGTCGTCAGTGGAATATGGGCGACGCAGGCTCATAATGAAGTGGCTTTGAACAACGCGTACCAGGTAAGAGTGCCACTCACAGTCATTGACATGACGCTAACTCCCTTGACAGACCGCCGAGAACGTCTACCTGGTCTTTTCTGCGAACAAGTCTGGCGAGTATTTTGGTTATGCTCGGATGGAGTCTGCCATCGATGACGAATCTGTCGCCAACGTCGAAATCCAGCCACGGCCAGAGGCACCAGAACCAGGCCCAGCTGATCTCCCTTTGACCATCCCAACCCCAGCCACTGCGACGGCGCCTAAAGGACGAATCATAGATGATTCGGCCCGCGGGACGATCTTCTGGGAGGCAGACACGGCTACGCAAGAGAAAGAAGAACAACACACAGACGACGAGGCCGGAAACATATCAGGCGAAGGCTACGAGTCAGCCAGTCCAGCCACACCACAAACTTTCGGGAAACCTTTCAAGATCAAGTGGATGTCCACCGATCGCCTGCCGTTTTACAGGACGAGGGGTCTGCGGAACCCCTTGAACGCCAATCGCGAGGTCAAGATCGCCCGTGACGGCACCGAGATTGAACCCAGTGTTGGCCGGCGGCTGGTCAACATGTTCCACCGTCCTCCAGTGCCGTCTGCAAGCCCTGGCGCGACTCGACCGCCGCCTCCTCCTCCTCCAGGACCTTTGGGTGGGTTCATGTCTCCTCATGGCGCAGCGCCAGGGGGTATGTACGGGAGGAGCTACTGATTTTTTCTTCGACAATGTTCTTTTTGTATAGCTTCGCTACTGCGATGTCTCATGTTTGTACGATGACATGACGCCACGACAAGAAAAGCAAGTGGGATGGCATTTCCAAGCAACGATATGGGGGGCACAGGTGATGACTTCCAAAGGGTTTATTTTGACCACAGCACACGCACACAAGCTTGGCAGGCCAAGCCTTCTTCTCAAACCCCTCTTGGATAGGACTGTTTAATGACCATCACGGAGTTGAGGAAAGGCTGGGAGGAGGCAGGTCGGGGTATAGAGGTGATGAGCGGCAGGAGAGGTGTGCACAGAAGATATACATGATGCAAGTGCTGTGCCTCGTCACTGGGGGTGACGAGTTGACAGTGCCATAGATCCGGAATCAGCGGATTGTCGAACAGAGTTCATGGACCACTTCGAAGAAGTTTTCGTCTCCGGCTGCCGCCAACCTGTGGAATTCGTCCACGTTCGACGTGAGCCATCGCTCTTCTTCGCCCACCTAGAAAGTCTTCAGCATGCGGACAGACAAGACGAGCGAAGACGCTCCAGAAGAGACATACCCTCGGCACAGCGATGCTACGTTCGTCGACAGCCGTAGTCAAAGCTCCCAGAACACGAACCGTGCGCAAGACCAGCTCGCCTTCAACCCCCACGACACGCTCCACACCAAAACCAACTCCCTGCAATGCTCGGCGTTACACCTCTTGGACCTCTGCGCGCATCCGTGTACCCCACATTGATGAGAAACTCGAGCGTCTTGATCCGCGTGGAGTGTACATCGCTGAACCCCTCGGCGAGGCGTTCTTGTTGCTCTTCAGTCAAAAGGGTGATGTGCTCGACGTCGTAGAGGGGCATTGTGGGCTGAGCGTTGGCTCCGTACTCCACGAAAAGAAAGACTGAGTAGTAGGTGGGTTGTGGTAGAGTAGGTAAGGTACAAGAGCTGCGAGGTGGTAGGGGGGTTTTTTTTTCAGGTACATTACCATTTACGCTATCCCGATGGTCCAGATCAGTCGATTCTAATACAGCTATAACCACTCTTGGCTTACTTACCTAGCATCAATGCGATGGACAGGCAATCGAGCTCACCAGAGGGGTACGTGCAGGATACTGTACATTAGGTGCGACACGTTGACTGGACCGTGCACCTAAAGTTAACAAAATAGGTGCACCGGTGGTTGACCGGTGGTAGACCGGCACCCTGCCCAGGTCCAGAAGACTTATTAGGTAAGCAGCCCCTGGGCTTGGTGGACTCGTCAAACTGACCAAACTCGTCAAATTCGCCAAACCCTCCTGGCTTTGCCTTACGCTCCCCATGTTCCCTAATTATCCTTGTTCCAGTACCTGTTCCCTGTCCATCATGTCTGTCGTGGTCGCTGCGCGGATTGACCTCGGTGTACAATCTGTATTCTCGCAAGACACGTGTACAGACAAGAACGACAGAGTACGGAGTACTTATTGACCTGCTGTGTACCTACTCTGCCGGGAGAGCGTGGATTTGACTTGCTTGAACCAACTCCACTTCCGCTCTACGTGGTCGGTTGACAAATGTTATAAACAAAGCAGCAAGTCATGTCGGATCGTTCTGCAACTTGGTCGGTGTGTTCTTGGTCCTTTATCTGTTCGCCTTGCCAATTTCTAAGTATTGTATTACGAATCCTTCTCCTCACCGATGTCATTATTATGCTACATCATGGCAGTCTAGTGCAGCTAAGCCGGCAACGCACCACGATGCACTCCCTGAAGTGCATTCCTGCGACGAGATGAGACGATAGGGGAGGACACGGCATCCGAGGTGTCAGGCAAGGCATCACCACCGTCCTGGACCACAAGGCATCCAAGCCGCTGTAGGGATGGCAAGGGAACCAACACCAAAACCCGCTCTAGAAGCACTCCACGTTGCTGCCCAGGCTGGAAATTATACCCAACCACTGCAAAAGATACTATGGAGACATGGGTATTGCCACGAGAATGATCCGTGACGCCTGTCTATGTATCTGACTGCTCACAACAAAAGAGGTCCCTTTGCCTGCCGGTGAGTGCCAAGTATTTAACTGACGAGAAAGTGACTGACCAAACGTGTGCTCTTGAGCGATCATCGCTGGCACGCTTAAACGAAACTGTACCCAGCACTTAACGCCTCCTTCATACCGCGGCGCCAACGACCACGGGCAGTATCCATTCACTATGGTACTATGGCACCTCGTACATATTCCCCGGGGCTCGATGTTGTTCGCCAGCGCCCGTACATGAGGTAGGTAACTACTGTAGCACGCGATACCGTTATCACCATCACCATCACCATCACCAGGACTGGACCATAGCCTCGTGATGATACGCCAAAGCCCACGCCACTACTCCTTATCCACGAAATCCTCCCACGCACAGACAGACAAAGGGACACACACATCGGTACATGCTCAGGATCTACGGTACGGAGCACAGTAGATAGTTCCCACTCCGGAGAACCAAGCGGGCAAGGTTGCGAAGTTGTATATATCTCCCAGTCCACAGTCATACTACTCTGTACGCTCATACCACACCCCCGCCTTCTGCCGAGGAGCGCGCCCGGAGCGGAGTGGCACAGTCTGGAATTAGGGAAAGGGCGGGGTGGAGCGGGGTCCTCTGCAGCCATAATAGTCGTAATACCTAAATCCCGGCTCCCCTGGAGACTATGGGGAAGGGCACTGGTACTAATGAGATCGTGGGATGAAGGGTCGTCTGTGACCCTTCGCGTCTTGTCACGAGTTTTCCGACCTTGGACCAACTGGGTGCCGGTTGATGGAACAGTTGGACCTTAGGATTTACGTAGGACAAGCAGGTGCCAGAGATCAGACCTGAGGACGTGAGCACTTCCCTTGAGGCGGAAATGGATCGTGCACAATTTGACAAACAATCAGCGGTGCGTTCAGCATCATGCCTGAGTTCTCCTGCTGCTCTAAAGGAAACGCTATTCGCACACTCTCCTTGCTATCACGCCAGATATGCTCAAGAACGCCACAGGATTGAACCCCGCTGCCATGCAATACCGAGCTGGGCGATGTTCTTTAAATGTCTCAAGTACTGATTCATCAAGCCCACTTGCCGAGTAATGCCATAAGTCCTGCACCAAGACACATCGTCACAAATGCCGCCATGACAGTACGTATGCTCGCCCTGCGCATAGAATTGCTGAACATGAACTCGTGAGCCATCAACTCCACCAGTCCAGTGTAAATCAGGATGCCCGCCGACACCGAATCGAACACGCCATTGACAATGAGCGTGGTCCTGGAGCCCGGAGGGTAGGTTTTCCGCACACCCAAGCCGATGGCGATTGAGAGTGGCGTGCTCAGACCATATCCTAATCCGAGTAGGTACGGTGTCCATCGCCGATCCTTGGGCCACGGAGTCACGGCAAGTCGAGATCCGAGACCAAGACCTTCGAAGGTTTGGTGGAAGATGATGACGATGAACAAGGTGTTAAATTCGTCTCCCGCGACTGCTAGCGTGAGGCCAATGAAGATGCTGTGAAATATGATGCCAAATTCGAGGATGAAGATGGCTGTCATTTGCGCCTTGTAATCTTCGAGGTTAAATGGGTTGGCCACGTCTTCGATCTCGGAGTGCTCCCTCACGTGGCCCATGTGGTCTTCTCCCGGCACGTGCGTGCTGGCAGATCGGTGCTGTCGGGTGGGGGTGTCTTTGTAGGGTGACAGTGTGCCCGCTACGGGGGCAGTCCCCTCTGTGTCGGGTGTAGATCGTTCCAGCTCAATCTGATTCACATGTCCCTGTCCGTGTTCGTGCTCATGCTCGTGGCTGTGTGGATGTCCGCCAAAACTTCCATACCTCATGACCATCAGCTCAACGAAGAAGAGGACAAAAACGGTCATGAGAACTATGCCCTCGGCCCAGTCGTATTCTGTTATCGGTCCTGTCAGACAGGAGTCCGTTAAGGCGTCAATGGCGGGGGCCAATAGGTGTATGAACGCTGTTGCAATAATGACGCCCGAGCCAAAGTATTTGCATATGAAGAACACCCATTCTGGAACCTTTAGGCCTCTGTGCCTGTTTGCGAAGATGGGGAAGACTGCGCCTAGCGAAGAGGTGACCCAGATGATAAAGAGTGCGGCTATCCGCAGGCCAATGCGACCGTCATATTCGTTCCCGGTATCACAAGTGGGTTGCCCGCTACTGTCCTCTTGCCGTGCAACGAGGTGAGCAAAAGTCTCCAGGGTGGCCATAGTGGTCGATATGGGATGGCTACCGGGCTGTTGGAATGGTTTCTGCAATGTCCCGAAGGCGAGGAGCAGCTGTGGGATATATCGGTTTGCGCGTACGTGGAGGGATCTAGTTCGGCTGTAGATGAGCCACGGCAGAGCCACGCCTAGGAAATCGAGGACCTTACATATACGAATATTGAATTGGACTAAGGTGAGATTTTGGAGACGCTGGAGTCAAGTTCCACCCGGTCCAACAGACCTAGTGTGTTGGATGCAGATGTTACTGGCGTAAACGAAATTCGAGGCAATAATGGAAAGAAAATGAGCACAGTAACCAGAGCTTAGTGTTACCACCACAAGAGTTGTGGTTTAAAATCGGGTGGACAAACGCAACCTTCTACCTTGGCCCCGCTCCAACTGGAGCAGGGAGAGGAAGTCGCGATCACTGCATAAGATGAACGAAGCGGAGATGCAGAGCGAGGAAAAGTGAGGACCTTAAAAATATGCTGAGGTATGTCACTCTGCCGACCAATTATAAGTTGTAGATCGAACGAGGCTCCGCATAAATCCCACGCTTGTCATTGGCCCATGGCGCAAGTGCCAGGTACAGGCGGACGCTGATTCGTTCATCTTTCTCGCAGTCCGCCCTCCGGTTCTTAATCCTCGCTCAGATGTTCGTCACGGCTAAACACTTCGACTCCAACGTATCGTCAGCTATCAAGATTCGTCTGGACCACTCTTTACAACTGCTAGAGACAGTTCTACCTCGTGTTGCAGGATGCCATCGCGTCACGTGCTCCGGGACATATATATTCCATAGCATCAACACGAGCGCGTGACGACATGTGCATGACGATGCGCCGGCTCCTTCCGCCAGATAAGGCTGGTCTGGGCACAACTTAAGGTCCTCACTTTTCACATCTGGCACATCCTCCTATCATCTTCCTTCATCCCACGGCGCTATGAAATCGGAGTTGTGTCGAGTGTGATAACCGCTTGAGCCGGACACGGCGTTTCTCCATTTCTTTTTTGGTAATCGTGCATATGTCTTCAGCAACACGGCGTGAGGTGAACTTCTACTTATGCCCCAGAATGGCACACCTCGATGCCCGGAAACGATAGCTGTATCCCTGGTGTGACTCCCATCACAGGGATTCGTCAGCTCAGGCCGAGAAGAGCTCCAGCCTCGCCAAATCGTCTTTGGCTAGGCGTTGGTCGGCTCCATCGAGGAAACCGTAGCATGCCTTCATATATCAACCACGAGATTAGCCCTGCCGACGCCAAAGTGGCTGTGAGGATGTCAATGTAGACGTCTTGCCCTCGCTGCAACCGGGCCACTTGAAAGTGTTTCTCTCTATATCGACCACGATCTGTTGCATGCAGGTACGAGATCTCCGATACCGAGAGGTAAGATCCGACGACGGGTAAGGAGCCAATACATCCTTCCAGAACCTCGTGGCAAATTTGTGGACCGCTTCTCGGAGCACACGCTTCCCATGGCAACGTTTGTAATTTACTAGTGGACGTGCCGAATGGCTCAGCGGCCTGCCTTCGTGCCCACTCATCCAACCTTTTATGCTTCGTCCGGAGGGACTCGCTCAACCACCCATGCTGCAGCTGGGGTTTCTGCATAAGCGCCAAATAGCCGATCGCCAGACAGTCGGCACTACTTGTAGGGCCACCAAGCAGCGATGTCTTCTCGCCCAGCATTTCGCTTAGTGGATCGAAGAAATCATCCGTGACTGCGTCCAAGCGAAAACGGTTCTTCTGCTGGTTTCGACCAAGTAGACCAGAGACTGTCTGTTTTGGTTTCCGAAGAGATTTAGGTATATGAGCAGTCAAGCCCAAGTTTTCCTTCTTGGCCTCCTCCTCTTGCGCCGTGTCCACGTCTAAACTGCTCAAGCCCAGGTGTTCGGATCGTTTCTTTGCTTGTTCACGCAGTCGATGTGGCATGGTCCAGCTGTTCGGCCACGCCAGCATAGTTGCCAATGCGGGTCGGGTGCAATTGTGGTAGTTGTCGCTGCTGACATAGAGGCTCAGGTCGAGGAGTGGTTGGCCACGAGAAATGATGAAGGCTGTTAATGCCGCCTTGTCGGCTTGCTGTTGGGCGTCGAGCCCTTGGTTGAGGTCCCATTTGCCACCGGAGACATCGCGCAGATAGTTGATGATGTTGAGATACCCAGCAACCCAGACATCACCGTCAAGCAGGGCAGGGAGTTCTCCAAGTGGACTGACGCGCGGGTTGCTTGACGGGACAAGCACCCAGTCCCGGTTCTGGAAACAGCTGCGCACGTAGAGGATTGCAGCCAGGCATTGTGCATCAAGAGAGGGCAGCTCGAAAGCTGGTCCCCAGACGTGCAGCTCAAGCACCATCTCTGAGGTACATTTTCTTTGTGAGAGGACGACAGAGGCACTTTAAACGCGACATGCACAAACTGCCCTATTGGTTTAGCGTCTACGGTACTGCCTGTGATGTGTAGGCGCTCTTCGAGTACTACGGTCGAGTACAGTGGATGACTGCGAGACGGCCGAGGACGGGCAACGGCATTCTCATTCCAGCCGAGCAGCTGTCCTTTGGCCTATGAACAGCTGGGTTGAGTCAGAAATATGCCGTTTCTGAAAGGCGCATAATTCGAGATACTGCAGTCAGGCATCGGGCTTGTCAGAGACATCCACTTCTAGAGACGTGGCTCCGATTCCTCGCCACCAACTCTACGCTCTCCCTCGATTCAAGATCCGCCAAACCTCGCTTGATCCTGGCCCGCCATATGGTTAATCCAGGACGGAGCGGCGCGGCAAGCTCTCTGATGCATGAATCAATTCCGGTTGGGCCAGTCACTCGGCACGGTCTCATCAGCGTCATTCCGAAGAAGTCATAATGAGACACTGATTGACAGCCTTGCTCATCAGAAGAGTACCACGTTCGCGTGGGCCAGGACCCAAGCCGGCGAAGATGAACAGGATGTGGCATCCGGGAGCAAGAGGCTACCTCCGTACATTTCCCATCAAGCAGGTGTAAATTGCCTTGCCATCGATAACATCGAGGGGCATTACTTGTTCTCGGGAGGAGCCGATTCCGCCATTCGGCTCTGGGATCTTGAGGAGCACGTTCAGGACCAATCTTCAGGACCGTCAACGATAACTAAATACACTCCCAAGGCGACACTTACCAAAGCCACTCTAGACTCACACACCCACGCCTTGACGTCCCTCTCCATCTACCCATTCGACCCCACCCCCTCGACCCTCCTGTCAACCTCCTACGACAAAACGCTAAAAGTCCATAGTATAAGTCCCTCCTCGATAACACCCATTCACACTTTCCAACTCGACTTCACGCCCCACAGCCATTCCATCTCTCCTCTTCCCAGCTCTCCTCCCCTGATCGCGGTCGGCACAGCTCACCCTGCCATCCGCCTACTAGACCTCCGGTCAGGTCTGAGCACTCATAGTCTGACCGGGCCTAATGGCGCTGTATACACCACAGCCTGGTCGCCCAAGGTCTCCCACATCCTCGCCTCCGGCTCCACGGATGGAAAGGTCTTCTTTTTCGATGTCCGGCGGGCAAATGCGGCGTTTGCATCCCTAGATCTCGACGACGCAATTGGCGTGATCGGCACATCCTCGACCAATGGGTTCGGTGCTCGGAAGGATTTACTTGATTTTAATGCCGTGGCACACAACGGTCCCGTCACATCGGTTCAGTGGAATGCGTTAGGTGACAAAATCATTACAAGCGGCCATGACCAACGTATTCGTGTCTGGGACGCCGCTTCTGGCAGAAACGACTTGGTTCACTTTGGCCCACGAATCCGAAATGAACGACAAGGAGAATCGAGACCTCTGATTTCACCAGGAGCATTTCATCGTCCGGGACAGGAAACTCTCTGGTGGCCGAACGATGATGGCAAGGGGATGATCTTCCAGCACCACTTACGAGAAGGCCAGCTACTGAAGATTCTGAGGGCCGAGGGTGTGCAAATTGGGGATGTGCAGCAGAAAGTAAAACGGAGCAGGGCTGGAGGATCGAATTTAGGTCGACCAACCGGTGGAGGCAGGATTAATGGCATGGTTTGGCGAACTAATGCTCCGACAGGCGAAGGAGTCGAGATGTACACCGCGCATGGCGACGGCAGGATTTGTGCGTGGTTGCCTTCGTTTACAACTGAGGACGGCCATGATGCTGAAGACGAAGGAAAAGACAAGTCAGCGCACCCAGAGATCAATGAAGGGGCAAGCACCACGGTTGTTGTCGTTAATGAGGCCGAGCAAAAAAGAAAACGCAAGAGAGACATGCTTGAAGACATGCTAGGCGGCCTCTCGAAACAGGCTCTGAGGCTTGGTTGAAAGAAACACAACATTCGTGTCGACCTTCGATTCATCCGTAGCAAGAAAGAGGATGGTTTGATCATATGAATTCGCATAACCTGTCAGAGTCCTGAAGATCCGAAAACAGTTCAGCTCATTAGCTCTGGGTCGATATAGGCCTCTTCGTTGCCGAAACTAATAACGCATTTTAGAGGCGGCGGGGTGGCCGCCTTAGACCTGAATTTCCGTCGGAGTATTCCTCGACAGCATCTGGTTTGTCTTCCCATCATGTTCCCGATACGAGCGGTGCACGACAGCAAGTTTCAAAGATACTAGAGACCATGAAACAACGTACTGTGTACAGTCGCCGGAGCGGGAGACGAAATCAGCCTGACAGAAGCAGGACAGAAACGAAGTTCTGCCTGGCTCAGCCTCTCGGCCAGGCTGTTTTGCTGCCTGTGTCGAGGCATCACACCACCCGCACGGCGTGTTTGGACGGGTACCTGTGACTTGCTTTGGTACACAACAGTGGATAGTGGCAGCGGTTTGACGTCGCGTGCTACCTGCTTGCACCGAGATTCTCTGGGAACAGAGTCGAACAAGCCCTGCATCGATAATTCCATTAGATGGGGTTCGCGCACAAAGATCTACCACAGTACGAGTAGGGACGGGCCATTGCAAACGTGGAATGCAGGACTGGAAGAAAGAAGAACGCGTCGTCATACAAAGCGCAGACCCTGCATTTCGAGCTTGCTTCTGGGTCAATTGCTTCTTCTGCCCTGCATGAGGTCCGCATAACGGCTTTCTGGGGATGCTCGATGCCTATGGTGTAGTGATGGCGGTGCCCGGAGAATGGCTGCGGTGCTTGCTCGGGTCAAATGACGCAACGAATGGCTGGGGGTTGAGCATGGGGGCTTCTCGCACATGCCAGCTGAATCACCGCGTCCCCACCATCACATCAAGTGGGAAGCATGGCTGCCAACCTTTTCCAGCTCGCAGTCACACCTGTGTGGGTCATTGGACTGCAATGATCTCAAGCGCATGAGCCTGCCTTGGCCCTTGTCTGCTGATATTCTATTCGGACGAGGCAATTTTTAAGATTCACATTTCCCCAGCTTTCTGCGTGCCAAAGTTCGACTCTTGTCTCCTCTTCTCCCCAACGTCAATCCACCAAAAACACACGCAATGTCTTCTCACGACGACAATCCACCACCCCGCTCACGCAGGGACCGGCCACGATATGATACCGATGGCGGTCTCAAATATCCCGACGATGCTGACGACAAGCCTGCCCCTCGTCGACCTCGGTACGAGACGTCCCCTCCACCCATCGACCCTCGCGACGCCAGAGATGAGAGGCCAAGCAAATCTAATACCACTGCACCCAGAAGAAGGAGGAGTCTCGATGATGATGACGACGACGTCATACCCCGCCATTCATCCCATGGAGAAGTATACGGTCGTTCCAAGGGCTACCGCCAACCAATCCCGCCAGCAGAAGAGGTAGACGAACCCAAAAGCCGATCCTCCAGACGCAGAGACTACGATGATGACTTCGACGCCCCTCCGCCACGCCGTGCCAACACGCAAAGAGAGCCCGACCGTTACAGGCGAGACGACCCATATGACAGGGAACCGCCTCGTCGACGAGGCAGTCCGGGAGACAAGTACTCCTTGGACCGCGACAGGGGCTATCGATCCCATGATGATCGAGACAGGCGGCGGAGAGACGACGACCGCTACGACGACCGCAGGCACCGCGGAGGTGGCGGCGGCTACGCCTCAGATCGAGACTACGGACGTTCTGACCGCGACAGGCGGGATCGGGACAGGGACAGGGACCGTGATTACCGTGGTGACCGTGATAGGGATCGTTATGGGGATAGGGATAGAGACCGCCGCCGCTACGACTCGGACCGAGACCGAGACCGCCGCCGTGGTGGGGACAGAGATCGGGACCGCTATGACAGCCGCGATAGAGACAGGAGGGACAAAAAGAAAGGATTCTCCATCGACAACGTCAACGACATTGTGGAATTGGGACAGAAGCACTACAAGACTGTCGCCCCAATCATCAGCAGTCTCAGCAAGATGTATTTTCACAAGAAATGAGCGAGCCAACAGATGGGAGGACTGACGAGCAGCTGAACTGGCCCGCAGTACGAGCTGTCGGCATCGGGACTATGAAAGCCACCCGGGTCTTCGTAGCAGGAATATCTTTCTGCCCCGCCATCCGAAATCAAGCAAGCCACCTCCCCAACAGAGGGCGGAAGAAGTACGAACCATAAGATCACGATGGAGACCTCGTTTGACCCGCGGGTAAGGATTCGAGGCCACTCCACTAGGGCAGCGTGGGCATGCATGTATGAGTATGGCAAAGGGACATTCGGGCGAAGTGGAGTGACTGGATATCCATGGTTTTCTTTTGCACACCCATGGATTTAGTATCACGTTGCACACAGCATGGTCCAAACTCAAACCGTCATCTTTCGGTTTCAAATCAAGTCAATTTCAACTCAGCAGTGATTTCGATTTCGGCCCGACGGGAAGGAAGATCACATTGGTCTTCACTGCCACTAAATCAGTACATGAGACTCGAGTCGCAATAAAACCACATCCAACCCATCTGTGCGGCGTTCGAAAGGTGACGTTTGTCTGCGTTGTGCATTCTGGGATACTACCCTGCCTGATTAACACATTCATAGAATCTGATCAACTACTTGACTACCTGGTTACTCGACCGCTTGATTGATTGATTAATTGGGTGATGGACTGCTATACTATACTTGTGTCATTCAAACGCTCCACCCCTCCGCCGCTTCATCTTTTACTCATCGTGCCCGATCACGCCCCCTTCCCCCTTCGGTCAGCACACCTTGCCTGCCGGCCAGTCATGGCTGGATTGGCGGGACCACCCACTTCACTCGTACGATGCGCCCTCAGGCCTTGACGGTTTCGAACCCCTTGAAGCTGGGTAACACGGCACGGATCTCCTTGATATACTCTGGAATGCCGCCGGTATAGTTGACCGCCTCGAATGCCTTGCCCGGCACGCTGCCGCCCATATCTACGCGAGGGGGTAATCAAAGTCAGTGAGTGCGCTGGGTCATGGCGATGGCAGACAAAACGGAGATGTGGGGGAGAGTGAAGAGGTATGGACAGTAGCGGGTGAATCACTTACAGGTACTCCGCGTGGTGGGCAGGAGGGTCATATCCGACAACTCGTTGATGCGCGTCTTCCACTTCTGGCTGGCTTCCTGGGTGGGGTTGACGTATTTGAAGCCGTTGCGGTCGATGAGTTTGATGGCGTCGCGGATCCAGCGGCCTTGGACCTCGACGGCGGTGGGGCCATTGGCGAGCACTGGCGTGACAGCTGTGTTAGCGATGGCGACGTGGAAAAGATGGGACGAGGCCCGTTAGTGTCAAGACTTACGCGTCGGTCCCTGAGGGCCGTAGAGATGGAACATGTTCGGATACCCGGAGATGGTGGTGCCCAGGTACGTGTATGCGGCCTTTTTCCATTCGTCCTGTAGGGTGGTGCCGTTGATGGACTTCAGGCCCATGTTCGTCATGCCACCGGTGGTGATGTCGAAGCCTGTGGCTAGGGCGATGATATCAAACTCGTGGTGTTTGCCATCGCTGGTCTTGATGCCAGTCTCTGTAAATTCTTCGATCTTGTTGCCGCCTTTTTCTGAGATGTCCACGATTGTCACGTTGTCTCGGTCCAGGACTTCAAAGTAGTTTTGCTCGAGGCATGGACGCTTGATGCCGAATGCGTGGGGTGGTTCCTCGGGGATCAGGAGGGCGCGTTTCTCGGGATTCTTGACGCGCGGGGCTTGCTTCTTCTGCCAGAAGTCGTAGACACAACGGTTGGCTTTCATGTCGAAGAGGTAATCCTTGTGGCTGCCGAGCCATATTGCGAAGCCAGCCTTCTTCCATAGCCGTTCATACACGGCTTCGCGTTCTTCCGGGGTATCTTCGAAGGTGTTGCGTTCCTCAAAGTCGTAGGTAAAGCCAGCGAAATTGCATTCGCGCATACGCATCAGATCATCATACGCTGGGTATAGTTGCTCTTGCTCCGCCTTGGTCAGATCGCGCTTACCCATCGGAAGGGCTAGATTGGGCGTGCGCTGGAACACAGTCAGGTGCTCGGCAGTAGGACCCCATTCCTGGATCATCTGCACGCCAGAGGCGCCTGTGCCGATGATAGCCACTCGCTTGCCATTGGCATTGACGCCTTCTGTCGGCCAGAACGAGGAGTGGTGCATGATGCCCTTGAACTTCTCCATACTGGGATAGTCTGGGATGTACCGCTTTGCAGCGAAGCCGGCGGCGATGATCAAATACTTGCATTTGGCGGTACGGCCATCTGCGGTCTTGACGGTCCATTTCCCGGAATTGGTGTCGAACTCGGAGCTTATTACGACGCTTTCGAATGCGCAGTCTTTGCTGAGATCGCAGACCTTGTCGACGTGGTCGAAGTATGCCTGGAGCTCGTGATACTATAAAACCGTCAGAACATGTGTTGACTTGACCAGCAGTGTAGGTACTGTGGCGACGAAGAGAAGAGATTGCCATCCACTTGGCAGTCACTGGTCGTCGGGACACAGAGTTGAGGTGAATGCATACGTACGTCTGGATAGTTGGTCGTCCACGTCCAAGTTTTGTAGACTTCAGGTATTCCCAATTGATAGATCGGGACTTCAGAGTCGACCCGAGCACCTCCAAACTGTCAGCAAGAGGCACCTCGAACTCGAATGGGGTTCTTTGTTACCGGGATAGACGTTCCATCTCCAAGTGCCTCCGAAGGAGGTACCGGCTTCATACAAAACCGTCTTGAAGCCGGCCTTCCGCATCTCATACAAAAGATAGGTGCCACCAAACCCTGCTCCGACAATCAAGACATCGACTTCCAAATTGTCATTGTAAGGATAGTCTGTTTTGCGCCGCCTTGCAAACTGGTACAGCTCTCGCTTCAAGATCTTCTCAGGGAGTTCCTGAGCATCGGATGGGTCGCCCATTTTGACCTAAGTACGCTAGGGATCCTGGAGGGTCGAAGGACACGAGGCTAGAATGGTTGCAGTCCGAAGCCCTCAAACACTCCTCACCCGGGCATTGCAGAAGTACTTATCAGTGAAACGCCCCGCTTCAACCAGGGCACGCAGACCCGGTAGACCGGATCGAGCAAGCTTCTCCTCCTTCAATTGACTGGTATAGCCAGCACAAGGCGAAGTACTTGACTCGAACCACCTCAAAAGCCGAAGCGGTTCCGCCTGGACAGCGTGCTCTGATTCGGTAATGGTCGTCTCATGCATATCCCCGCATCTCCTCCTTGCTAACATCCGCACCATCTGGGTTCCGAGAACCTGGGGTAAGGCGAGAGACTCCGCTTAGACTAGAGAGATGATTGGGACTCGAGACATGACACAAGAAGTCTGTGCATCAAACTCTCTTGTGAAGAGTAAGGGCCATGTTACATACCCTCGGCTCATCCTCCAGCCTAGACAGAGGCTGAGACTTCCCATGACCCGAAGTGCAACTCGTATCCATGGTACTGTGGCATTGGCAGCACCAACTGCGATGGATCCATCTCTCGGTTTTGGAGATGACCACGGCACTGGTAAAGTCAGTTTTGAAGAGATATGGTGGTCCAAGAAAGTCAATTTTACCGGCCTGGACCAGGCTGGCGGGGATCAGACTCGCTTGAGGACAGATCTCCTCATTTCGTGGCTGCTGCTAACCGAGTTGCTGTCTCGATCCTACCTGATCTATCCTGGCTGAAAGTCGTGCAGTGGCGATCAGCCGGGTGAAGCCAGGCCAACCATCGCTCGCCGAAAATAGATAAAGGTCGACGTGCTTCAGAAGGCTCGTACCAAGGCATGTTTTCACAGGCCATCAATAAGATAAATTGTGGCTGAAAACGAATTGTACTGTTGATTTCGACGCACGTGGAGCTAGATAAGCAAGCGGTCGTCGCTCGGTGTCGATAACATTAGTCGAGGGCTTGGAAGAGCCAGCCCTTCATCCTGTCGACGTCGCTGTCGACGTCAGGCTTGGTATGCAGGCGGAACGCAGGCAAGGCTGAACTGTAGATGTAAGCAGCCTGAAGTCGAGCAGTTCAAGCAATCCAAGGAACAGTGCAGGCGACATGCGAGTTACGAGGTTGTGAGCGCGGTGGCTGCGCTCGTTACCACATTGACTCGTTATGTACCAATCATCGCCGTCGGCGCTTCATCGACTCGGGCAACCAATTGCACTTTCCATCAGTCAAGGATGAGTTTCAGACACAGAAGCCGCATTCGGACAACAGCTTGTCTCCTTGTCCACGGCCACAAGATGTTTCCACGCCGATGACGATGACGCGACGCCCGAGGTCGCCACCGTCAACGCCGTCGCAGTCGCAAGTTCGCGTGAGGTTCGAGATCCCCGCCTCACTGCGTCAGTTCTCGGCCATCTCTCACTCGCTTGCGACCACAATGTCTACAGCCAGCGCTAACGCAGTCGGACAATACCAGCACGGCTACGTCAACAGTGCCTCCACATCCACTACTCCTGCGCAACCTCGACCGGCTTCACAATCTTCGTCCCACTCTGCGCCGTCATTCTCAAACGCTGCGCGGCCAAGTCAATATGCCACTCTCCAGTCTGTCCCTCGCAAACGTCTATTCTATGAAACTCAGCCGGCTCCCCACCACCACCAGAGATCGGTGTCCTCGGGAGCGTCATCAAAATACCCTGAACAGTCATCCGCCCTTGCGGAAGCCGTTGCGATAGCCAGAACCGCGGTTATTACGTCCGAATCACGGTCACCCCAAGTGCCTGGGCCCAGGATTGCTGCTCCGAGTCCCGCGAAAGTCTCAGTGCCGAAGTCTGGAGACAGAGCCTCTCCTACGAACGATGCGAACTTGGTAACACAGGGGGTAGTTAGGCAACGAGAAGAAAATGCAAGTACGAGGGCAGCAGCACATCTAGAAGAGCCGCCTCTCAGGCTGGGTGAAGCGCCGACGATGACCCTCCACCCAAATCTAATAGCGCGAATGGTTGCGCAGAAAAGAGCAGAGGCCGAAATGCTGGGCCATCGACAACGGTGGGCTCGCAGACAGCAGGAGTATCGCATGTCCATGTCTCCAGGAGCACAATTGACACATGAGCTCCACGCCCAAGTCAGCCTCAAATGGTGCAATGATGATAGAGAAACCCAACCGAGAACGGTTTCTAATCCTCTGCCAGCTCGACCGGTTCCAATAATCCCACCCTTACAAGCCCCAACTCCAATCGTCTTCGATACTCAGCCTCCGACTACCCATACTCCGGCTGCTGAAACCGTGTCTACGCCTGCTACAGAAGACTCGAACAGACCAGCGGCAGCGAAGAATGATCGTCAATCCTCGAATGATAACGATTCACTCTTCGGATCTCCCTTCTCGACTCCGATTCAAGAGTTTCTCGATAACGCAACCGACGAGGCTGGATTAAAAGACGCACTAGAACCAAACAAAGTTGTTCCCCCTAGGACGTCCACTGGAGCTACAGCAGTGTCGACACCTCAACCCAGTGATCCCACCATACCCAGCACTTCAACCTCGGGGGAAGCGGCAAGCAGAAGTCAGGCTCATTCAGAAATCCCACCGCTATTCTCGGACAAGGCCCCCAGTACTCAGCACCAAACTTCTTCCTCTCGTGGAACCTCAACGCATGTCCAATCCACAGCAAGCCAGGAGCAGCCTCAATCTGAGTCATCCACAGGTGCCGTAGGAGACAATGCTCCAGCTCTCCCGCAACAGCAAGGAGCGCGGCCACAACTAGCTCCTCGTCAACCGCCAGCACCAAGACCTATACCATATTATCCCCAACAAGCAGGCATGCCAGCTTACTACAGGGTGGCAATCAACCAAAACTGGCTGGGCGATGGAAGAAATCTCGCTGCAACTCCCACACCTCCTCTGCCAGCGAGTGCGTACACGCAGACGGCTCCTCCACCGAACATGGGTTATACTGGCTACAATTTGGATCCTGTCAATCCGTACATGATGCCAAGTCCTGCACTTCCGCCGCCTCCGGGACCGCTACGGACTTATGGAACCGCGGTTGCTGCAGCGGCGGCGGCGGAGCGACAGAAGCAGCAGGCCAAAAATGCTGGCTACTTGACCGCCGCAGATCAAGCTGCGGGCATCAACCTGACATTCAAAAACACAACAAAGAGCGGCTTCAGTGTCCCAAAGCGGTGACCATGAAGTCGCCAATCTGTGCACTGTCAAATCCACAGTTCGAAAGGCACATTGATAAATGTCGGCATCACACCCGACCCCTAGAAAAGCCCCAGACTGTGGTACCAAGGACAGGAACCCAAAATACCAAACGATATGGCCCAGTGCAATAATGACTTCAAGATTAAATTCTGTATACCTAGCTGCTACATTATCTGGGTCACAGGCGCGCTACATAGCTGTACAATGTATCACCTTAAGAACACTTCGGCATCGGCAGAGAGACCATGCCGCCCTTCGCATTGTGTCTCCCAGTTTTGATAGATACGTTTTCCGAGCACAATCTAACACCACAATCCGGAGCTGCAGAAGATGCCGCAATACCAAGGTCGAAGTTCGGGATTACAGGCGAGCAAGAGGTGGTAATAGTCGGTTGTTTGGATGATTAAGCAGCAGCGGGATTTCCATGTGTAACCGAGATGCCTGCTTACTTACTGAGTACTGTAGATGCGCCGGCTGCCATCGGTCAGGCGATTTAGGCACCCCAAGGCTGCGACGTCATGCCAGCGACCGCGTTTCTAACACACTCCTCATTCATACGGAGTACCTTTGGCGAAAATCCTCGAGGACCCACGCCTCAGCAGTATGTTGCCCATTGCAGACGGCTTGGTCGGAGTCTTAGTTCCCTCCGCGATATAATGAGTCAAGCGAGCCACTTCAGCCTCGCACGGGTTGAACTGTTCCAGACTCGCTTACTCTCCCGGCCCCTAGAACTTCCTGTCATATTTACCCGTACATGACCGCTGTCAATATTCCTTCGCGTCCTCTTCGCCCTTAAGCGAAGCTGGTAAAGTAGATCTTGGGCAGCATGGCGACTCAAATAGCCAATGCCCCCGTGTGGCTGACCCGAGAGTTGTGCTGTACAAGAATAACAGCATTGTCAATCCACATCCAAGATACTCCATACCCATGTCGGACCACAACAGACTAACCTTCATCAATGTGTCTGGCTCATCGAGCCGCAACATAGGCAAAGATGCAGGTACAAAGTCGAAGGTCCGATCGCAGGTGATGAGAAACTTGCGTCGGAAGCAAAGACTCGACGACCAGAAGAGTACGTCGTCGCCTTCCTCGCCTCATGCACTTCTCACACACTCGCAGAATTTGAGGAGGCTCAGTCCGCTTTTGATGATCAATGCATGTCAGGGGAGCGACCAACCATTGTCCCAAGAGTAGAACGAGAGAAGAGAGCCGCTAGGCCAGTCAGCGCACCTCCTCAATCTGGTGGTGAGCGGCTCCTCGACCTCTCACTTCCACATTCTTCTCGACCAGCCTTGCCTCCTTCCATCCCAGGATCAATTTCCCGCCGCCTGCCACCTTTCGCGTCGAAGCATTTACCTCCGGGAGCAGCAGCGGGGGCTAGGCAGCCAAGGACCCCTCGGCCGCAACCGCAGAGCCAGCAAGAGCCGGGGAGAGGAATTAGCCCTGTTGACATGGCGCTCTCTCTGCATGGACGGCAAATCGGCGGCTCCAACCCTTCTTCCTTGTCACCCAGAGAGTTCCACAAGCTCATTGCGATCATGGAGTCGTGTGCGTATCTGGCCTACAGGAATTGAGCACACCTCTGACCAAACCACTCTCCAATAGACACCGTCTTCTTATCGGAACCTTTGACGCTGACCCATCCCACCTACAGCCCCGGGAGAGAACCCGACAGGACGAGACTGAACAGATGCCTCGCTGGCGGTTCTTACGACGAGCTGGTCCTCTTTACCGTCCGATTGGTCCATCTAGGTCAAACCACAGCCATCAAATGCCTGCCGGAGAATGTCCCTGTCTGTGTATGTGCCAAGGCAAATGCTCTCAATCGTCTCCAACGCTCCATCAGAGATGTTGCTCAAAGGCCACGGCTCACAGTCATAGGCGCTGTCACGTTGGTACTATCATTCGAGGTATGGAACTAGGTGGCTATCCCGCTCAAGCTGTCAAGCAGAGCACTGCAACTGCACGGATTTTGCGCTGATGGTCTTCTTCATGGTAGATGATCAGAGGAAGTGATTCCGTGTCGGTCCACGCTGATGGCCTTGCCAGACTTGTTGGTCTGTACAATGGCCTGAGCGAGCTTAGTGGACACATTGATGTTGAGGCTATTATCGCGTAAGTGACTTCTCAGCTTCAGCCCTGCCCGTTCGACGGACTGAGAGTTTGGTAGATGCGACCTGATACTCTCGGCCGTTTGTCCTCAGCATGCCCCGAGGTTTACTGACGTGGAGTCGCCCGTCTTCATAACGCCTCAGAGCCACAGCCCTGCAGAGTTTTACCAAAGCTCGCCATTGCTGCAGGTTGAGAGTTTTGAGTCTCTCGCACAGCTTTACGACAGAGTGCCACAGACTTTTGTTGAGATTCTGAACGAAGCCTTTCAAGCTACTCAGAACCATATCCCCGTTGTTCCCACTCAATTACCAAGGCCGCAAAATCAGTATGACCTAATGCCTCAACTCAGCCCTGGAACTATGCACACGCAGGACCCTTCACTCGCTCACGGCATGGCCTTCCCTACCATTGTCCTGCAAGCCTCCCGCTTGGCCGCTACTATTTACCTGCGAGCTGCGAAAGACGGAATACCTCTTGAAGACCATAGAAATCATGACGACGTGAACCGCCTGGGCGCGCTTTTGCATGAGAGTCCGCTGACGGTATGGAGGGGCATACCGTACATCTATCTTTGGGTGTAAGCAACGTGCTGTTGGTATTCACTAACATACTAACTGACCGATGTACAGGCTTTTAACGGGAGCCGCTGCGGCGCAGTCCCATCCCAAAAGACAGTATTTGGTGGCCGAGCTAATTAGATTTGGCTTCAGCATCGCGCTGGAACATATTGGAGAGTTCAGACGTGCGTTCAAGATTTTCTTTTGTGGCCTGAACTATTACTCATCTTTAGTGCCTGCTAACTGCTGTCAGAGATCTTGATAAACTTCATTCATCTACGACGCAGTTTGTGACCGGTTTTGGTTCGCAATCTATAATCATGCCTGCCTGTGAACGATATACTTCGAACAACGCATCTAGCTATGCTCGCAGAGCCCCAGGATGTAAACAAAGTACCACGACAAGGGATGCCTGGGATAGCTGGGCTTAGAATACCCGATCAGTGAAATCTGCCCATGCCCCTCTACATCTGAAGAGCAGTGAATCTCAGGGCACCCTCAACATCAATTGAACCACGAGGTAGTCAGGAACGCAATCGGTGATCGGAGACTGCCCACCTTCAGCGTGTTCACGAACAAGGGGGCTGCAACGTTATACAGCCACCCAAGCATGAACACGAGTGTGACGTGAATACTTGAAGCACATAAGAGTTGAAGCACGTAAGAGATAGTTTGATGCCGAAATGAAGGACCTGTCGTCCTAAGATCTCAATTGTCGCTGGACTACGCGGGAGTGTGGTGAATGGAAGAGAGTGTTTTCCGCCAATCAGAAAGACAGATTTGCGGCGCACGCAGAAAATGTGCGGGGTTCAGCTTCGAGGCTTCGAAGGCTTCGAGTCCAGATGAGCAGGCACCACAACGACAGTGAAGCCGGGCGAGGCCGCTTCCCGCTCTCGCTCAATCATCTCCTCGAAATACGAGCAACGGTGGCTGGCTGAGGCTGATAGTTTCCTCCATATGCGGGAAGGGGAGACTGACAACGCAGAAGCTGGGCCGAGGAAAAGGAAGAATTCAACTTGATTGTAGTGTATTCTTCCATTGCAACAGGACAAGTCCACGGCGTTTTGAGTCGTCTGGTCCATGACGAGGTCCTGAGAACTTGCCAGGAGCTTCTGGCAAGATACATTTGGGGGAGTCTTTCCGTTGTGAACTGAGAATAGTGTCCACTCCCTGCTCTTTACGAAATAAGTCAACCAGCCGCACTGGAGGAAGGACTAGCGTTGATCTCTAGCGCGAACTCTGGCCAATCCAGAGTCCTGAAGCGGGCCCCGTTTTGGCTTGGAATGATTGGTCCACTTTTCTTGTGAACGCGCACAAAATGCAGGCATCTCTCGGTCATTTGATTCCGACGAATCTCTCCGTCGCCATTCCCTCGTCCCCCCATGGTCCCCTTTCTCCCTGAGCTTTACGCTCCACTCCGTTTGTCCCTGTCTACGCTCGAGGCTCCTGCACACCACCTCTTCAGCCGTAGCTGAAGATGCTAGCTGGATCGCAGGTGACAGCTGATATATACTGCAGCTTTGCACACGATTGCCACAATTCGTGAGTATCGTTTTGGCATGTCTCACAACGCCCTGGGGCTAGGCTGCATCCTCTTCTCGAGGCGTCGCTGAAGCAAACTTCAGATGCAGTCGATGTGGCCAAGAGCATGGCGGCCATTGGGTACAGCAAGGACTGCGTTCCTTAAAGAAAGCTACAAGCGGACTCACCACATGCATCACATGTTACAGTGCGTGACTTTGCGGATCCCGTGCGTATGGCCATCAAATGAGTCCGTTGGAACGTCCTGTCGGCGTCCACAGCTGAACAATACCTTGAGTGGAGATATGCGTTGAAGCCACTTTACAGTGCGCCGTCTACCGAACAGTGGAGCGCGCACTCCTATGAGTATTGTCGTGTCTCGGAAAGACATAAAAGCATGCTTTACGACAGCTTGGAGCGTCAGGTCATCTACTTCGACAAAGCTCCGGAGAGTGAACAATCGAGATGGCGTATTATGTGCCCCCTTCCGATAAGTTGCCGGAATCTAGGCACAGTGCAGTTGGAGGTTGGTTCTTCGGGCCTCGTGCTGAGAACTTTGATTTCTTGAGAAAAGCCTTCAATTACATCCTCGACACTCAGCAGAAGGCGAGAGAATCCACATACCCTGACGATGCCGAATTCATCACCCCCGAGATGAAGGGCACCGAGCTCTATCAACGACAGATCGAGTTGATCAGGACGGAATTGGTTAGTATATCGGAGCAGCTTGCATCACACTCGATCCCGTTCTGGTCGCCGAGATACAATGCTCATATGTCGATGGAGTCTTCGATGCCTTCTGTCATCGGATGTACGAATGCGTATTGTCTCTTTGACAAGCCTTGGTACTGACAAGCATAGACTTGGCCGGCCTTCTTCATAACCAAAACAACGTTGCAACAGAAGCCAGTGCCTTTACCACTGTTCTAGAGAAGAAGGTTGGCGACTCCCTCTGCCGAATGCTCGGATTCAATACCATTGTCTCGGGTAAAGTGGTCGGTCCGAGCGGTCAAACACTCAACTCCAAGACCGAGCCTGCTGGGTGGGGCCACATCACCTGTGGCGGATCCGTTGCTAACCTAGAATCCATCTGGGCTGCTCGAAACCTGAAATTCTATCCTTTGTCCTTGCGGTTGGCAATTGAAAAGGGTCCTTTGAGCTTTCTCTCAGGCGCATTCAAGATCGATCTCTGCAGCGGCGAGTCCAAGCTATTCACCAAATGCACTACCTGGGAGCTCCTCAACCTGAAGCCGTCAACAGTGCTGAATATCCCGACTCAATTGTACGAAGAGTTCGGAGTATCCCAAACAGCACTAACAAATGCCTTCACGGACTTCTCTATTCAGACCGTGGGAAAGGACTTTTTGGAGAAGCATTTCAACGTCGAGACTACGCCTTGCATGTTCGTCGGGACTACCAAGCATTACTCGTGGCCAAAGGGAGCTGGTGAGTCCAAGTTGCTTTTGCGTGGCCAGTAGCAACCGGCACCAACTGATACTGCGTCGTAGCTATTGCTGGTCTCGGCAAAGCCCAGATCATCGACGTCCCTGTTGACAACCAAGCGCGAATGGATCCAGCGAAACTCAGAGGGATGCTGGAGAAGGCCCTGAAGGACCAACGGGCAATTTACTCTGTGGTTGCCATCATCGGCAGCACTGAACAGGGCGCAGTCGACCCGCTGACTGATGTACTTGCTCTTCGAACCGAATTCGAGAAGCGAGGTCTCAGCTTCGTCGTTCACTGCGATGCTGCCTGGGGAGGCTACTTCGCTTCTTGCGTTCGTAGTCCAATCACCGATATCGAGCTGGACATGAAAGGGGAACCCGAGTATGTCCCCATTCTAGCACTTTCTCCGTATACTCGTCAGCAGCTACTAGCCCTAGGAGAAGCCGACAGCGTCACGATCGACCCTCACAAGTCCGGGTACTGCCCGTATCCTGCGGGAGGTCTGTGCTACAAAGACGGCCGAATGCGTTACCTGATCACCTGGACCAGTCCTATCGTGTTTCGTGGTGCGGACGTGACAGAGTCAATTGGCGTCTACGGCGTGGAAGGGTCGAAACCTGGTGCAGCAGCTGGTATTCTCTCCCACTCAGATGTGACTAGAAATCCACTGATCGTGCATAGTTGGTGCTTGGCTCTCGCACCGAGTACTTGGTCTGAACAAAAATGGCTACGGCACAGTCCTTGGGGAGGCTATTCTCACCTGCAGCAGGGTGAGTCGAAAGGTTCCAAGGTTGGAACCTACTGACCTTCGCAAAGCTGTACTGTCACTGGGCAGCGATGAAGACCGAACCAATCACAATTGACGGTGTCAAAGCCAGATTGACTATTACCCCGTTCACGATGCTGCCTGCCGAGCGAGAGGGCAAAGATGTTGACGCGCAGAAACAATTCATCAGAGATCACATCATCGGCAAGGACAACAAGACAGTCTTTGAAGACAAGGCCGCGGTTGAATTGCTTGCACAGATGGGGGGTGATCTGATGATCAATGCATTCGCCTGCAACTTCGAGCTCGATGGAGTGGTGAACAAGGATGTGGTAAGATGAAGAAGGATAGTTGTGGGTATATGCCCGTTAACAAGAAACAGATCGAAGCGAACTATTTCAACACCCGCATTTTTAACCGCACAGCCTTGACCCAGGAACATCAAGAGGCAAAGGACTTCCCACTCTATCTGACCTCCACCCAATTCGCACAGTCCGCATACCAGGGCTGCCTCGACACCTACAAGCGTCGCATGGGTGTTGAGGGTCCACAAGATCTGTACAGTCTCATCAACGTCACCATGGGTCCTTGGTCGACAAGTCACGACTTTGTGCAAACAATTGCAAACAACCTGAAGAAGATTGCAGAGGAGGAGCTGGCTTACGTTGTACATCGCAATGTACAGAAGCCTACCATCCACGGCTTCATACTCCAAGGCTTGGAAGGTGATAAAGTTTGTGGAGTGCACTTGCCCATGTTCAATATGCAGAACCATCGATGGCAGCTCATCATCTCTTGCAAACTGCCAGAGACGGAGCACAATATGCTTCGCGACATGAAGAAGCAAGACCCGTCCGCATGGTTTACCTTTGCCAATTTGACTGCGGAACAGTTGCCAGCCCTTGTCAAGGATGGTGCTAGCTTCAATGCTCGCCTGGACAGAGGGATACCGCCAGACGGCACGAAGCCGCTCGCAGAGGTCGAGGTCACCGACATCAAGGTCTTGTACAAACGCTCGATGCGCCACGAATTCCTGGAGGCCACATACCCCGACAAAATGACATTCTACGCCTATTCGGCTCAACGTGGCACTGATCAGCAAGCTATCTTCAGTATCGATAACTTCCTCAACGTGACGCCGGACATCCAGCTGAATGCCGACTCCATCACCTTCCAGGCCCAGGGAATGGGCCAAGCCGATGCCGAAAAACTAGTCAGAGACTCAGGCTGCTGGTTCCGGCTCGTTGATATCCATGAAAGCGCAATCCAACCTCTCATTCAATCAAAAGATGCTCCCAAGACATCCTACACGGCTCCGGGTCTCAACTTCGTTGCGGGCGCCGAGTTCGCTTTCGAAGCGCTTTCTGCCGATCAAGGCCCACCAAAAGAAGACAGCAAGGTTCTTTTCACAGGGAAGTTGACGCTGGGTCAAAACATCTTTGCAGATTATATCATGATCAATGACGATGTGTCGCTCCCGAAGGATCCGCAAGACCATGTGCACACGCACACGCATACTCTGGAGACTCAAGTGCTTGGTCTTCCTGTGGCGAATACTTCAGCGTTGGTGGCGGAGTATCCGAATGACATGACGACCCTTGAACTCAGGGATCGATACCAGCAGGCCAGCATTCGCGGATTTGAGAGGCAGTTCTCACGCACTCGGGCCAAGGAGGCGGCCAAGGTTGTGGAGGGGTATGAGAAAAGAGGAGCAAAGGCACCACAGTGGGCCGTCATGATGAGCAAGGGAGTCCATCATGATGGGTGACATCGCATATCCCCGAAGCTAGATAGTATCGTAGCTTATATGGGTTCGCTGACTCGATATACGACTATTGCCGTGTCATTAATTTCTGTGCTGGAGTTAGCGTGGCCTTCTCAGCGCAAAGCAGCGCAGAGCAGCCCAGTACGAAATCCAATCCAGCGGCCTAGGACACCACCAACCCGTGACCCTCGCCAACCTGTCAGAAGAGGTCCACAGCCTATTGGGGATCGTCCCAAAACCAATAGATATCCGAGCACTTTATACCGGATTATTGCACCTCTTAGCTTGTATGCTAGGTCTTGTTATGGACACGGTCGCACGCAATCCCTGACACAACCCTCCCCGGCTAACGCAACAAATCCATGTACAGTACTGTGTATACGTACTGGACCGTCCACACGGAACTTACCAGAACGTCCGTCGTCAAACCGTCTACCTGCTCCGCTTTCCCTTTTCCCCCTCCCCCCCTCGTCCTTATCCTCGACCCTAACCCCCAACCCTCAACATAAACGTGGCCCTAACAACCGCACACACGCCCCCGTAAGCCCCAAATTCATGCACTCTCCGCCCCTCCACATCGGGACCGCCAACCTGCCCCTGCGCGTTCAGCCCCCTGAGAATGGCACCACAGATAACGACGTCGACAACGCCCACGGGGACGGCGTAGTAATCTCGCCACAACACCACCACCTCCACGTCGCCGGGCCTCGGCCTCGCGTGGGGTAAACCCGGCTGCAGGACGAGGCAGACGCAGAACAACCCGCCGGTGAGGTCGAGAAGGGCGAGGGTCGCCGGGGTTGCGGGGTGGTCGGGGTGGTATAACTCGGATTGAGGCTCGGCAGGAGGGTCTCGGGGTGGAAGAAGGTGATGTATATCGAGCACAGGGTCATGAGGGGGTCGAGGCGGGTGAACCACAGAGACGGTAGAAGGGGGTGGATTGGCGATTGCACCAATGGCGAGGGGCAGGGGGAGTTCATTGTCATTTCGGGGGATGATGTGGGTAAAGCAGGGGGTACTGTAAAGCGGCGATGGACCTGGTATGGTTACGCGAAAGAGACCAGAATGAGATCGAGCTGGGGTCACCTGGGGCTAGGTGTTGAGTATAAGGAGACGTGACGTTGGGTGGGAGGAGGTTGGACGTGGGAAGTGGAATATGGGAAGTGAAGATGGATTGATCTGTGCGTGGGCAGTATCCTCGGTGTCCAAGAGAGATTAATGAAGATCATCATGGGCTGAATGGGTTGAGCTGATGTATTTTACTGGTAGCATTCATTAGTGCGCTCGGGATGCTGTGAGGCCCTCTCTCCTTCTTTACCCCTTACAGTGCTGGGTGTGTACTCTAGCGACCCTTGCTGTGCGCTGACAGCGGGGGGCTGCTTACCCGTACAGGGCATACAGTACTGTTCTTACCTGTGCAGTCGCAGCTGTTAGGAATGAATACTTGAGCCCTCCAACCCCAGCGTGAAATCGAGGAAGCGATCGTCGACAAAAAAGTCTCACCTCCATCGGTCTCTGTTGAATCTGGGCCGGCGGCAAGAGGGGTCACTCAAGTTGCCTGAGATCGCCCATACATAACAGCACTAGCTCTTTGGGGCTCTGTCATAAGATAAGGCGTTGCTCCTCCGTACTGGTAGCCCTCGAGGAAAGCGTCCGACGACAAGAAGCTATCACGCTCACCACTCTCACAGCTCTGGCAAGGCTGAATGCGCATTACTACCAAGACGCTAGTTAGTCAGCATGCTCCCGACGTCATTTCAATAGCCATCGTCGTTTGGTGAAACACCTCTGCGCCGATTCGCATTCAATGCTGTGTAGTTCTCCTAGTCCAATATTGTAGTGAACCGTGGTACCGCGTCCGGAGCAGTTCCAATTCTTACCATCTCGTGCCACTCCTCACTCCAGCCTAACGCCCAATCCTCACTCGAACGGCGGTCTAACCCATGCGTTCGACCCTCCTCCGCTTCGCATCCGCAGCCAGAACTTCCACTTCCCAAGCTCCTCCGTCCAAGTCTCGTCTGCGTAAACCGGCGCCCCTCTCGCTGGACCACTTCATCCAACGCCAACGCGTCATTCATCTGTACCGTGACATTCTCCGCTCGATATACCGACACATGCTCCCCCCTCAAAGAGACGAGAGCGTGGCGTATGCGAAGGGCGAGTTTGCGCGAAACAGGGACATCACGGAAATTGAGAGGATTCGGTATCTGATCAGCACGGGCAAAGCGGAGTGGGATGGACTGAGGAGGGGTGTGGAGGGGATGGGGCCGGTAAAAGCAAAAGGTCGAGGGTGAGAATTGCATAATCTGATGGATTCGATCGAATTCGGTTCATATCAGCCCCGCTACCGCGGTATATGTCAAGTTGCACGATTCAATGGATGGGATGGAAACTGGATCATCTCAGCCATGCGACTGCGGGATATGTCGTCCATGGGACGTTTCCCGTGTCCGCTTGGCGCGAATTGTCGTCTCAGGTTGCCCCGAAACGGAATTGAGCACGTCCGTGACCCGCACCTTGAGCGGCGAATGCTAGCTCAGCCTCTTGATTGCTCGAAACAAGCTGCGTGGGGCAAATCAACGCGCACGCGTTAGTGGCGAGTGGATAAAAGCAATTCGACGGCCACCGTGCCCGCGAGAGGGCTTCGGTAGGGAGGAATGACCGGCGGGTGTGGACGATGTGGTAGAGGTCTTTCTGGCTGGACATGTCGGTGGCATGCTGCCGCCGGAGCACCACGAAGGTGTATTCAACCATGTTCTGAAGTACGGTGGACGGGATCTACAGTGTACAGTCCTCCTAACGACTTACGGGGGGACGTCTGGAGCTCGCCTGGGTGTATGCTTGGTTGTGCGTTTGCTTATTCTAGCTCGGACTGGAAGGCAGTGATTGCACGCTTCCCATACGAGCCGGGCTATGTACCACTACATGGACACTCCAGTATAGGTACATATATCCCCCTTGGAAAGCCACAGATCGCCCGACGTCTTGTCTTGGTACTGGTGCTGATACTGGTGGTGGTCCTTGATTAAGGTCCTCCCGCAGTACATGCCCCTTCTCACTCGTCACGCGAAGTTACTGCCTTTTGCAAGATTACTCGAACCAACGGATCCCAACGACGGAGAACTCTGAGAAGGAGCAACATCAGCTCACGTCCCAGTATTTGCGTGCTCTTCCACGGAAGTTTCAAGGGCCGGTGCTTCAGTGGGTAGAATCCACCTAGATATACGCATGAAGAGACGAACGCGGGCACAGAGACAGTTGTGTTTGTCTTTGGTAGTTGCGCACACGATGTGGACGCAGAGTAACCATGCCAGACCATACAGAACTTCCACACCCGACACCGTTCCGTAAGGTAGGTAGGTTCGATGTTCAACAAATGCCCCTACACGGCATCGTCAACATCATCATCAAGCCCTCCTCCAAGCATCTCTCGCCCTCCGTGCCCACGTCCCAGGACCCCAGCCCTCCTCACACACCTCCTCCAGCACGCTCTTATTCCCAAACACCCAGCCCGCCTTCTTGTTCCCTTCCTCCTGTTGTGACTGCAAGTCTCCAGGCGGGGGAACCAGCTCCTCGATCTTCCTGCCCGCCTTCTCCTTGAACCCCTCAGCCCCATCCCTCGCAGCCACACTCGCCCGTTCAATGCGCTCCCTCCACTCTCTATCCTCCTTGTCCCGGGCCTCCAACTCGGCCAGCCACTTCTCCCTCTTCTCCGCGGTTTTCTTCTCCTCCAACTTGGCCTCAAAGGCCTTTCTCTTCAGCCGCTCGTCCTTGTAGAAGATACTCCCCGCCACTAGCGCCAAAAGTGTAAACCCCTGGGCGTAGATTCTGGCCCTAAACATGCGATTCGTCTGATGGTGGTCGCCTGCGCGGATTGATTTGGTGGCCATGTACAGCGCGTAGCACGTCGCCGCGCAGCCCAGGGGGATGAGGGGCTCTTGACGCAGCTTGCGCCATAGCTTCTGGAAGCGCTTTTCTTCGTAGAATTCCGGGGTCGAGTCGAACGAGGAGGGGATGGCGGAGGAGGAGAGTGGCGAGGGCTCAGACGCGTCGTCTGACATTGTTGTTTGTTGCGGTCTTGAAGTGCTGGAGATTGTCTGTGGAGTGTCGTGGCAGGTTTGAGTCGATGGCTAATTACGACTGTGGCGATGGTGGCGATGGTGGCGATGGTGGTTGTGGTGGTTGTGGTGCCGATTCGAGACGGAGTCCAAAAGTGTTGACGTCGACGTGCCGCGCGAGTGAAATGTTGCTCGTGTGCGGCCGGCGGTTGCGACCAAATGCACAACGGACGGCTACGCTCTTGATGGCCGCCCTCCTGTGCTATCGCGGAGAGGCGCTTGTCGATAGACCTGGCTTTCCACGCGGTCTGCCAGGGGGTGGAGAGAGATGACTCCTAGAGACAGATACCTACCACCAGTGCAATGCATGCATCTTGCATGTACGGAGTACTGTAGCTCTGGGGAGTCGAGAATGCGGGGGACAAAAGAGCTTCTTGCATTTTTCCGAATGTGCCATTTCTCGACACCCACAAACCCACAAACCCACACACCACTGTAACACCCTACGCTCGGCGTCGACATTCTCTAGTTGTCTCCATCTCCTGCCGACGCCGCCATGGACGTCGCCGAGCCCCGTGTCAATGGGACAACCACGCCCTCCACGCCCACCACGCCCAAGCGGTCCGGCCTGGCCCTAACTGAGTACACCGCCATGCCTACACCCCCCTCGGAACGGGCTGACACGCCTACCTACGACGTGCCCGCCGACTTCCTCCTGCCGAACGGCTACCCGGACTACGTGCGCCTGATCCTCACGTCGCGGGTCTACGACGTGGTCAGCGAAAGCCCGCTCAGCCATGCCGTCAACCTCTCCAACCGACTGGAATGCAAGGTCCTGCTGAAGAGAGAGGACTTACTGCCCGTGTTCTCCTTCAAATTGCGCGGGGCGTACAACAAAATGGCGCATCTACCGCCCGAGGTCTCGTGGAAGGGTGTCGTGGCTTGCTCGGCCGGGAACCATGCCCAAGGCGTGGCTTATTCGGCGCGGCACTTGAAGATCCCCGCCACGATCGTCATGCCCCAAGGGACACCGGCGATCAAGCACATGAATGTCAGTCGCATGGGCGGGAACGTCGTGCTGCATGGTCCCGACTTTGACTCGGCCAAGGACCACTGCCACGCGCTGGAGAAGCAGCACGGCCTGACCAACATCCCGCCGTTTGACGACCCGTACGTGATAGCCGGGCAGGGCACGATTGGCATGGAGCTGCTCCGACAGACGTCCCTGGCAAAACTGCGCGCCATCTTTTGCTGCGTGGGCGGTGGCGGCCTGATCTCCGGCATTGGCGTCTACGTGAAGCGGATTGCGCCGCACGTCAAGATCGTCGGCGTGGAAGCCTCGGACGCCAACGCGCTGGTCGAGTCCCTGAAAGTCGGGAAGAGAGTGTTGCTAAGAGACGTCGGCCTGTTCGCAGACGGCGCGGCCGTCAAGACGGTCGGGGAAGAGACGTTCCGCCTCTGCCAGGAAGTGGTCGACGAGGTCATTGAAGTCAGCACGGACGAGATCTGCGCGGCCATCAAGGACGTCTTTGAAGATACTAGGTCTGTGCTCGAGCCCGCGGGCGCCCTGTCGCTGGCGGGCCTGAAGAAATGGGTCGCCCAGAACCCCTCGACCGACACGTCGCGAGAACTGGTCGCCGTCGCGAGCGGCGCCAACATGAACTTCGACCGGTTGCGATTCGTCGCCGAGCGTGCCGCGCTAGGCGAGCAAAAGGAGGCGCTCCTCACGGTCACGATCCCCGAACGGCCGGGCTCGTTCGCGCAGCTCGTCGAGGCCGTCTTACCCCAGGCCGTCACCGAGTTCGGGTACCGCTATTCCACGCCCGACCAGGCCCACGTCATGATGGGCATTTCTGTGTCCTCGGCCGGCGCCCGCGCCAGGGAGTTGAGTGCCCTCTTCAACCGCCTTGCCGCCGAGGGCATGACGGCCAAAGATCTGTCGGATGACGAACTTTCCAAGACACACATTCGGTACCTCCTTGGTGGGCGCTCCAGCGTCACGGACGAGAGACTGTACATGTTCGAGTTCCCCGAGCGCCCTGGGGCGCTTTTCAAGTTTCTGAGGACGCTACGGCCGGGCCAAAGCATCACGCTGTTCCACTACAGGAACTATGGTGGCGACGTGGGCAGGATCCTGGCGGGGATCCAGTGCCCGGAGTCCGAAAGGGATCAGCTGGAAGAGTTCCTCAAGGACATAGGATACCCATTCAAGGAGTGTACCGAGAACGCCACGTACAAGATGTTTCTCCGCAATTAGGTATCGAAGGTGGAAGTTTGAAACACAAAAAGTAGGATGTGGCATGCACTCGAGGTCCTTGTTCAGCTTGAGATACCCCCGGGCAATGGCGTTCAGAGAAGAATAAAAGGAAAAACGGATTGCTGTATGGTCACGCCTACGGAGTACTTTATATAAGAGGCATTTCCAGGCCTACAGGGAATTTGACATTCACTATACTCCGTACGTATTGAGGGTGAGATTTCAATGCCTTCTCATACGCGGTCGGAGATCTGACCTTGATTTGTACACCCATCTCAGTTCCATGGCGGATAACCGACGCTTGTGGTACAAAATTCGAATACGAAGTACAAGGTGGGGAAGGGTACACGGTCACGACGTGCCCAGCGGACTCCAGCCTACCTCACCGCTCCTCTCCCCGGCTTTGCTCTCCGCGCCCTCGGTCCTCGAGCTTGAAATCTGACTCGCTTTCTTTACTGCGCAGATGTTCCTCCCATCCCGGACACGACAACCCGAGCGCCGCGTATTCCTCGTCGGGGATGATACTTACGATCTTGATCCGCCACTTGCCGACGCGCAGAATGAGCAGGCTGTCGTCCAGGATCCATTTCTGGACTTCCCTCCACTCGGCCGTCCGTACGGGCGTGAAGGTGAGATTGTCGCCCATCTCGGACTTGGCGTCGGTGCCGCCGCCGACGTACGCCCCTCCGGCGTTGATGAGTCGTTGGCCCTCTGTCCTCGACGTCACGAGCCCGGCGGACCAGAGGATGCGGCTCATGGGTTTCTCAAACACCAGGCTCCGCGGCAGCTTGACGGTGGTGGATGCGTCGTCTTCGCGGTGGAGAGGCTGGGCGTGTTTGTTGAGCGAAGGATGCGCGAACAGCGGGAGGCCGGTTTTGGGGTGTACATCGGTGGCAGCTTTCGCTTCGGCCACGCTGGCCCTCAGATCGCTGATGCTCACGTTCTTGTTGTGCAGTTTGCGGTGTTGCTCTTCGGCCAGTTGCGCAACGGGCTGGCCGTGGATGAGCTCCACAAACTCGCTGGCTAGTTTGTGCTGCGCGATGCGTTTGGATTGGTCTTTGTCGTGTTCTTGCATGACTTGGTGGATTTCGGGCAAGGGCAAGAAAGTTAGGAGCTTAAGGTATTTCTCGACGTCTGCGTCGGCTGAACGCAAGAAGAACTGCAGGCGGCGTCTCAATTAGCTTTGGCAACAGCAGGTCGGACGTTTTGACGCCCACTTACCTGGTATAGATCGTAGACGCTGGTCATTTCAGGGTCGAGCCACACGGCGTTGCCGGCACTCTTGCCGAATTTTTCGCCAGAAGACGTCGTCAGCAGGGGCACGGTGAAGCCCATGGGATCGGAAGGGACATCGACGCGTCGTTTGGAGTCCAGCACTTGCGTCTGACGCAGGGCGACTTGGTATTCGTGCGACTCTTTGGCGATCTGCTTCACGGCCTCAGCGCCAGCGAGGATGTTCCCAAATTGGTCGGCACCGCCAATCTGCACCTGGCAGCCGGACTGGAACAGGTGCCACCAATCCCACGCCTGCACTAGCGGGTAGCTGAACTCGGCGAAGGACATCCCGTCGCCTTTCTCCAGCCTGTTCTTGACTCTACAGGCACGGTGGGTCAGCAGACGGCACGTTGAACAGCAGGAAGGTATACTCACGTATCTCGACCTAGCATGGGGCCTATGCGAATATGGCGACCCAGCATGGTCAGGAACTCCCGGGCAGTGAGCTTACTCCACCAGGTTACGTTGTTCTCCAGAGACCTGCGCCACGACCATTCTCGCATGTAGCCTTTGCGCTCTGCGTACTTTTCCATTGAAGCGCCGAGTCGCTTCAGCTGGATATGCATGGCCGCCATGTTTGCTTTTCTTTGGGACGGAGGCATGGTTTCTCTGCCCTTTAGGCGCCCGATCGGGTCACCGATGCTGGCTGTGAAACCTCCAAGCTGAGTAGTGTGAGTCAGTGACTGGCGCCGCATCTCGTAATAAATCCTCTCCTTACCAAAAAGTTGGCCTTGTAGCCATGGATATACAGCCATCCCAAAGCCATAAACGGCACCATGTGGCCGACGTGCAGTGATGGCGCGGTCGGATCTATGCCTGCGTATGCGCCGACTCGACGGTAGGTCATGAGCTTGTCCAGGTCATTTCTTGAGCTGAATGAGATGGTGTCAGTCAATCCGGATCCCCGACTTCCTCGACCGTACGCCTTACCCAACGATCTGGTTCACATATCCCCTCTCTTCAAGAATGGTCATCATGGACTTCATGTTCCCGGCTTCTATATCTTTGGCTTTGGCCTGCCATTCTTCTTCCGCCTCTTGGATCCTCCGGACGTGCACGCGCGTGATCCATCTCTGCTGGGGGACAGGGTTGCTGAGACCCGCATTTCGGTCTCGAAGATGATGGCGACAGCTCTGGCAGATATACAGGGAACGGCGGACCGATCGAAAGGGTGCTGTGGTCTTCATGGAGCGAGACGCGGATGTGCGATTTCATGCGGCGCGCATCACCGGCCTGACTTTGACCATCGACTTGAACTGCGCTCGAAAAGTTCCCTGTCGACACACGGAGCCACGGCGTTTCGGTGCAGATTCCCCCGGTCGCCCCCGCCAATCATGTTGCGCCGTTCTCCTGCCCTCTGGCATTTGGTCCGCCGGCACATGCAGCGTTCATTCATGGACCAAATTCGACGGCGAGTCAAAAACAACACGGAGTATCCAAACACTTGGCCTGCCATAAACATGACAGTGACGTCTACACTCTTCCCGCGCCTGCAGCGTAGTCAGCGCCATGGTTGGGCGCGGACGAATGTACGCGCCGTTGTGGACATGAAGGAAAGCTCAGTAGGGTCGACTGATATATAACGGTATGATGGCGGCCCATGTAGTAGGAGCTCATCAACCTGAACAAGCAGCGTCTTCACCCGACCCCATCTCTCCATCTCCCACCGATCATCAAACGCAATGTCGAATCTCAAGCGCATACTCATTACAGGGGCCACAGGCAAGCAGGGAGGCGCCTTACTATCGGCCTTGCTTAAATCACCCCCAACGCCACCGTTCCATCTGGTAGCCTTGACGCGGAACTCGAAAAGCCCTCAAGCACTCGCGCTCGCACAAAAACCCAACGTCACCGTCATCGAGGGCGACCTCAACAACTGCGAAGCTATATTTAAGGCCTCGCCCGAGCCATTCCATGGAGTCTTCAGCGTGCAAGTGCCGCTGAAACCAAAGGTCGAGGAGCAGCAAGGCAAGGCACTTGTCGACGCGGCCGCAGCTCACGGGGTCAACCACTTCGTGTACACCTCAGCCGAACGCGGCGGGCCCCAACAATCAGACCGAAGCGGCACCGTGGTCAAACATTTTGTCTCCAAATTCAACATTGAAAACCATCTCAAGCAGGTGTCGCAACGGGGAGGCGGCAAAATGCAGTGGACCATCATCCGCCCGGTCGCCTTCATGGAGAACCTCACACCCGACTTCATCGGCAAAGCGTTCGCGACCATGTGGCAATTGAACGGAATGGATAGCAAGCTGCAGCTGGTGTCGTCGGTCGACATTGGCATCCTGGCGGCAGACGTTTTCAAGAATCCAAACGCATATGCAGGCAAAGCCCTCTCGTTTGCGACAGACGAACTCACCCCGACGGAGGCCAACGCCATTTTCAAGAGTGTGGTAGGGACGGACATGCCGACGACGTATCCCGTCGTGGGTCGCCTCATCAAATCCATCCTCCACGAGCAGCTCGGTGTCATGTTCGACTGGTTCAAGAGCGATGGGTTCGGCGCCCATCCAAGGGAGTACAAGGACAAGTTTCCCGAGATGCAAGATTTCGAGACCTGGTTGAGGCGGTCCAGTAAATTTGCAAAGTCGGATTCACGGTAGATGTAGCAACAAGCCAGGCGCCTGGGCTGGAGAGGATTTTTCGTTTATGAAATGAAGGCATCGAAATGCTTGGTGTTCTTGTACTATTGTATTTACTTAATCAGGATTGGCGCACGATCTGCAAAGAGGCAATGCTCACGAGGTAGACGGGGAACTCACAAGCAATCACTTAGTTATCCTGTCTCCGCATTCATCTTCACCATTCTACCAGGTACGACTGTGCTCATGGCAAGATTCATCTCTTTTGCCTCTTCGTGCTGACGCGACTGTTCGTAGGTCTTCTCCTCCTCCATGATCGTCACCGCACAAGACCGCTTTCCGGGGTAACTGCGGCTTCATCCCTGCCGATCAATGCCTTCCTCGTTACTCCGTCGTGTCTAGCGGACTCCATCCAAACGCGTTGCGTGCCGACAGCTCGGATCCTTCGACGCTTGAAACATCGGCAATGGTGCTGACAGCAGGAGCGGCCCCTGGTTTGCCCATTGTCTCCCTAGAGGTTTACGAGGCTACCCCGCCCGCGAGCACCTCGTACCGCGAAAGGCCACTCCCCGGCGGATACCAACGTGAGCATTTCTGCCCGTGCCGTGCCCATATGTCAGAATCCTGATGACGTTCCACTATTTCGGATGGCGCGTTGTGTCAATGCAGTAGCACGGAGTCCTGTACCTTAGTTGCCCACCCTTTCTGCCAGCGAGCAAAATCACACCGCAGATCTACAGTACCTTAAGCTAGGATGTCGAGCCCCGTTGCGAGCTGAGCAGCATACAGTAGCTTAGCTTTCTCTGCTACACGCACTTCCTCCCGTCGTCGTCCCTAAATCAAACGCAACGCTCACCATGTACGAGCACTCGTAAAGATGGGCGAAAACTTCTACACCGGCACCTTCGACAGCACGACGACCATCGTGACCATCACCTCGGCCCTCTCCCTCTACAACGCCGTGGAACTGCTTCTCCTGATCTTCACGACCTTCACGACCTACCACGGCCTGTACTTCTGGTCTCTACTAGTCGCCACCACGGGCCTGATCCCCTACGCCGTGGGTTTGGTGTTGCAGTACTTCCGCCTGACCAGGCCACTCGCGGGTCTCGTGATCAACAACTATGGCTGGTGGACGACCATCACGGGCCAGAGCGTGGTTTTGTACTCGCGCCTGGGCGTCGTGCTGGGCAATGGCAACGAGCGCGTCCTGCGGTACGTGAAGTGGATGATCGTCGTCGACGCGGTGCTGTACCACGTCACCACGACGGTCGTGGTCTTTGGATCGTATTACGCCGCGCCGCCCGCCACGGAGCCCTTCTCCCGCGCGTACGTCTACGTGGAGAAGATCCAGATGACGGGGTTTTGCGTGCAAGAGTTCATCATCTCGGGCTTGTACCTGTGGAAGACGATGGACATTGTCAAGACCCAGCAGGCCGATCCCAACGCCGCGCGATCCGCTTCCAATGCGTCCGAACAGAGTAGTGCCACCAGAAAACCCGTCGCCCGCGTCATGGGCCAGCTGTTCATCATCAATTTGGTGATTGTCGCCATGGACATCGCCCTGCTGGTCGTCGAGTACAAGGACTTGCACGTCCCAGAGGTGGCCTTCAAGGGGCTGTGCTACTCGGTCAAACTGAAGCTCGAATTCGCCGTGCTCAGCAGGCTGGTCGAGGTCGCTGGGGTCAGGCGCACGTTCAGCGTGGCGAACACGCTGGACTCGATCACAGACAGCGGTGGCCACACCGACGGTCATACGGGCATCTGGATAACGCGCGACTCGGTCCTCGCTCCGGATCCTGGCCGCACCACAACTACTTCGAAAATGCATTCCTTCGGGTCTCAGAGTTCGTCCTCGCCGGAGTGGCTGGAAGATCTAGAAAAGATCCGCACTGTGCCAGTCGACAGCACACGGCGGCCAAATCCCCACGTCGACGTCGCGAGACTACGACAGGAGAGCATGACCGACGCGCGGAAATTGAGCATCATGTCCACTTTCAACAACATCAGTGTTTCGGAGCCTCCTGTACATAAGCGAGTGAGAAGGGATACTGATCTCCTCTACGCAAATGCCATCCGCGAAATGGCAAAATCTAGCTAGGCAATGAAGCAGCTTGAGACAAAGTACCTAACTCCATTCCCAGAGGGACTCATCTGTCGGCCATTCCGGGAGTTGCGCCTCCCAATCCTGGCCCAACTCGGTACCGAAAATGAACTGATCCCAATCCACGTTACCATCAGGCACAGTGGCCTGTGAGGCGGTATTGACGTCAAAACCAGGCATCGCGAAGTCGACCATATTCGAGGGCTCTAGATCGAATCCTCCATCAACGGAGTGCTCGGTCGAGCTGGGAGGCGTCGGGTCAGTTGCTGTGCTTAACTCCCTAGATTCCATGTCCGTGGAGTTGCAGCGCAGGTGCCGCGGTGGCCTCAACTCGAGGTGAATCGCTCCAAAGTAGGGCAGAACCACTGTCCTCCGCAACGGCTGCCCTTCGTCAATGGGGCTGTCCTCATGTAGGAAGGAGCCCAGCTCCTCGAGCACTTTCAACCCTTGCTTGCTGATGGCTCCACCGTACTGGACTGCGCGATATCGGAAAACGTCCTTGATCTCGCTGATTAGGGCGAGGTCTTCATTGACACTACCCATCACGGCGGCGTTCGGGCTAGGCAGCGTCTGTGGACAAAATGCCAAGCGGATCAAAATGCCCACCATGAGTATGCAAGCGCTGAAAACGCCTTGGAAATCCTCGCAGGGGCAGATATAGACGGCTAGCGAAGGATCCGAGCGAAGCAGGGTGAAGACCCGGATCATCCCACGACATCCTTGCAGACAGAGATACCGATTGATCAGGTATTCGTCTACCATGTCGTCATTCCGCTTGTGTTGGGGCTCTGAAGAACGCGTCTTCGAGCACGGTTTCATCATGAATGGCAGATGGACGAATGCTTGGACCTGCCAGAACCACATTTGGGCCACGAGGTGTTCATGCGCCACATTCGAGTCGGCATGGTGAATGTGGGAGTTCATGTCCCACCACCCATCTGGCATTGCGGCGGCGGCCTCGTTAAGGGTTTCTTGGATGTCCATGGTGGTCTGATACTTGGATTCGTCCGCTTCTGGAGAGCAGTTCCTGTCGTTGACACGACCAGCCGCGACGGAAACAACACGTCGCAACGCCCGCATCTTAATGTCAGTGGAAATGTGTGGCTTGCTTTCATTTGCAGCCAGGGGCGCCTGCCCTTTCAAAACAGTCATGGCCAAGCGATCGGTGAACTTCCCGTCCTGCGCGTGCGGAAACCCGAGGACCAGACTCATCAGGCGATCCAGCTCCATGATGGAGCCGACAAACCGCTGGCGGTGAAAGAGCTTCATCAACTCTTCTGGGCACAGTCTTGCCGCAAATTCGCCAGCGTCTAACGGTATTCTCGGCTCGGTGAAACCAATCTTCTTCGCCACCTCGATAGCCTGGCGCAAGCTGAGCCACGATTTCCGAAGTTGGTTACTTTCTGCAAACATCTTGGCACGCATCATGAGCAACAGTAAGACGCCCGCATCCGACATGTACGCTGGCTTGGAGTACGGGGAGAGGACGATCGTGTCTACTGCAAGGGTGATGCGGTCGACGGCCTCGGCCGGGGTGGTGGAGATGTTCAGGACCGTATCGTCCACTCCGGATCGAAGTTGGCTCAATGACAGCGCGACGCAGACCAGACCTGTTGAGATGGAGACTGGGTCTTCAGACTGGGAGAGCTTGAGCATAACAAAATCCCGGAGTGACATAGGCTGATCACCGGAGTATGTCCTCTTCGCCCCAGACGAGCATGGACTTGATCTCGATGGCGATTCACATGGAGTGCCAGTGCTGGTGTTGGCATAAGAACTGGGACCCGGTCCTTTGGGTAGCCATTTGTCCTCCTTCGAGAAATCAAACACATCCTGCAACGCAAAAGCCTGGTCACGCCAAGCAATCCACCAGTTGTTAGAGAAATCCAGCACCTCGAGCAGGTATGGTTCCGAGTTGATCGCCGATAGCAGCTTTTGCGCATCGGTAGTGTTGGTATCTGAGAAACTCAGAGTCTGGACTTTCTCGGTCAAAATTTGGGGAGTGGGCGTTGATTGGGTGAAGATTTCGTTGTTGAAGAGCTGGCAGAGCAGAGGGCTAGATTTCTTGCTCTGTTCTTCAAGAGGGATCGAAGGGTCAATGTCAACGCGATTAGCCAAGCTAGAGCGTTGTTGCGGAATCCCAAAGTCCAGTTCGTCTTCGCGGGTAGACTGAGCTTCGGAGGCCACCACCACTGGTTCGCCTGATACTGAGCTAGGGAGGAAGAAGGTCTCAAATCCATCACCGACCCAATTCTTCTGAGAATCGACGTTGTCGTCATTTGCAATGTCGAAGATCGATGCATTTGCAAATGGATCGCCCGTTCTGAGGCCAAAGTCCAGGCTTCCACTGACAGGAATTTCACCATTCCAAGCGGCGGAATTGCCTGGGTATGCGGCCAGCGGAATCTGAGCAGTCGCACCGCCAAAATGGGCAGAACCTTGTTCCTTAGCGATCCTCTCTACCACAGGCGTCATCCTGTCAAAATGAATCTTCATCCGCGGTCTCTCGTCTTCGGAAGCGTCAGGGGAGCTCCGATCCACTTGTCGCCGACGCTTATAGATCTTAGGCTTCTGCAACGATTTCGAAGTGGGTTGGTCTGCTGTGTCGCTGCTGGCAGCAGCAGATTTGTTTACATGCGAGTCGGATTGAGACGTCTCAGAGGCGACGTAGCCTTGGATCTGGCACGTGCGCTTATGAGTTGTGCATTCGATGCATCTCTTTTCCGCCTCAGATGTGCTTGAGGGGGAAGACGGTGGGGTTGGAGGATAGTTGCACTTAATCTTGCGGCGACGACCTAGCTAATTGTCAGCTGGCTGAGTTCTTTCCAACCCAGAGCTACGACTGGCAAAGGCCATGAATTAACGCCCAGACTATCCACGAGGCTGACTTTGGGAATGGAGCCCCTCCTAGGATGAAATCCATGGCTGTACTCCGTACTGTTTGTGTCCAATCCCTCCAGCAATCCCGACACTCTTTTAGCGTGTTGTCTGAGTCCTCAATGCAATTCAATGAGGCCAGGGCACAACCTGAGCCTCGTGACTCACTGTGGTGAGAGCACGGGCAGCTCGTCGTCGCAGAAATGGAGCGGAAGGATGATAACATTGACACAAGACACGATGCAAATGAGTCAAACGGAACATACACTCTAGACATGACTTGGTGCCTTTTCGCATTTGTCTCAGCTGAGCGGCATGCCCACGCACAGTTCCGCCTCCATTCTTCGTGGTAGCTGCAGTTGGCATGGTGAGGGCGCTAGGTCCCTAAGATGGAGTCAAAGGCTATGGACTGTTGTAGACCTGTCACTGGAGACGGCTGGGTCGCCCTCCGCAGGTGTCAGATTGTTGCGCCTAGGGATGCGCCTAGAGACCTGAAGCTGAAATGTTGTATGGCAGGCAATTAGTCAGCCGGAGGACTTCTCAGGCACGACTCAGTGAGAGAGGCACGGGGTTTGGGTGCTCTAAATTCGGGGAACGAAGGACAACAGGCACAGAAGGAAGCCTTTTGGAATGCAGGAAGAGAAAGTACGAGCAATGGTTATGGTATTGAGCATGGTACTACGTACATTTGGCGGGAAGGAATTAAGAAAGTGGATTGATGTCGGTATGGATGGAGACCAGATTCAGATCCAGACACGGGTCGAGTTCCAGGCCGCAGTCAATCGGCTCTGGGCGCGGGAGGCAAGTGAGGAAGTGAGTGGGCGAAGCAGAAGCGAGCAACAAGAAGCCTCACCATGTGCGAAGACGCTACTGGCTTGGCAGGTCGGGCTTTGCGTCAACGGTTACATAAGCAAGCGGGCTACTGCACCAACTGTTATCTCGTAATTACAGTGTATGTACTCCGTAACTGCACCTGGGTGGCACCAACCGCTGGTGACTGTTCCACTCGGTGCATCACTCGCTCTTTCCACCCGTCGGCCTATGATGGACGCATGGGCAACCCACTCGGTGGAGAGGACGTTGGACCAGCGACCTCAGTCTTCATCTTCGCCTTCGCCTTCATCCTCCTCGATTTCTATTTCTTCGTCCACGTGTGTCGTCTCCATCTTCTCGCGACTTCTCGTCCTGTTTCTCCTCACGCCCAGCCGTCTGTCTCTCCTCGCACTGCGCTTTCTTGCCTCTTGTCTCTTGACTTCCTTGACGTCCACCTCAGGGTGCATTCGTCTGACATGCTCGTACAGCTTCTTTCCTTTCGAAAAAGGGCGAGTGGTCCGTGGGCAGCTCCCGATCGGGCACACAATCTGGGCTGCATCATGGCTGCCAGACCTGGAAAACACGTCGAAGTCACTGTCGGAGCCAGTGTAGGCGTTGATATCGCTGGAAGGCACGCTTGTAGCCCGAGACTGTGATCGCGACGTCGATCGTGCCAGCCGCACCCCTATGTGCATACTGTCCAGATGTCGCTGGAGGTGGTATCGTTTGCGAAAGGGCATGATGTGTCGGGGGCAGGAGCGGTGCGGGCAGACCTGTGCTCGCGCTTTGATGGAGACTCTGATCCCTGAACACGGCATGTCGCTATTGAGGCAGGCTTTGCAGGGTCTTGAAGCTCCAGCTCGTTCGTCCGCTGGTTGGCACTGTGTACGTGATCCTTGACATGTTATACAAGGCCTGGAGGTGCGGACAACGGGGACCTCATCTTCGTCCGTGTCTGACACAATTTCTTCCTCTTCCACGAGGGACTCTATGTCCTCTGCCTGGTCGGCAAGGTTTTCCGTGAAATACGACGCGGCTCCGTCCTTGTCTCGACCTTCGTGAAATGTGCGGAACAGCATGTTCTCCCCAAACAGCTTTGTGCAGCGCTCACTCGCTTTCTCGACGATTGCTGGATCCCAACCCGTCAGGCTCGCCATGCCCACGATGTCACTCCAATCTCTCAAGCCAAGGGTCTCCACTCTCCGAGAGCGTTTACCTTGTAAGGCGGCTGCGTTCGATACGCCTGACACATCGGTGTTAGCGGACGAGGAACGGTCTCTCCTTCTCGATGCTGCTCGTGAAGAACTCCTCCCGCGGGTCGAGCTTTCCTCTGGCGTCTGAGAGTTGGAGTATTTACCCCTTGCCCTTCCTTGGGGTTTGGCCGCGTAGGTGTATCGCGCCTTATGCAGGCCGAGAAGCAGATCGTCTAGACTGGAAAGAATGTGTCGAGCGCTGGGAAGGAAGTGTTGGCGAGCTTTATCGTCATCAGCGAGAGGAACAGGGCTTCCATCTCGTTCGGTGCTCTCGTCGTCGCTTTGTTCGCCTTTAGATTTCGTAGACCGGCCATGGTCTTTAGCGGCGGCGGCGGCGGCGGCGGCGGCGGCGGCGTCGTCGTCATCATCATCGTCTTCGAAGACGAATGGCTGTGAGTAGAATATCGGATCATCGCCAAGTTGTCTTGACGGAAGATTAGCATCCTCAAGTTCAGAGTCTCGACTCTCATCTCCTTGGTCGTCCTCTCGTGTCTCTACCGCTGCGGCGACACCATGGTCGCGTTCGATGTTCGTAGCGGTTGACTCGTCCTCCTTTTCCCATTCTCTTGTGCTCCATCGTTCTCGTGCAAGCCTTGTAGCTGTCGCGATCAGCCATGCTTCCAGATGAGCACTGGGTCTTACATCGACGTGCGCACAACGTATGCCATCATGGTGTAGGCGCGGAAGTAACTCCTCCCTGGGCACCTCGTCAGGATGCATCGGCCAAGCAGTCCATGACCTGGACAGACTAAACCTGCTGTCTCTGCCCTGCAGCTGGGCTCCAGCAACGGCATCGACATCATCTCCCGTGCCAGACGGAGCAGCGGACGAGGCTCGCTCCTTGCCCTTCCTCCGCCGTTTGGGCTCTCTCCCAGCCGATGCACGCGCCTTACGTTTAAGCCCGAACGCACTGAACAGATGGGTGCTAAGATCCTGGCTTCGCATACGGTCGAGACTGAGGACCGTGGTTCTTTCCTCCTTCGTCCAGGAGAGCCATGTCGAAGCCGGGCCGAAGTAGCGATTCAGTCGTCGGAAGTAGGTTTTACCGTCTTCGCCTTGGGCGTGTGGATTCTCCGATATCAACGACGGCACTATCCGCTGTGATGTCGATGTGGCTCCTGGGGACGTGATGCCTGCTTGTGGGTGCGGCTGCGTGATGTGAGGTGGTGATGAAGGTAGAATCCGATCCGGCGACGGTGAGGATGCGACATGCTGGCCTTCCTCCACATAAGTTGAGTCTGACTCCATGGTGATGTGCCGGCCCTGGCTGCTAGGTCACGATGTAAATTCCAGCATACCTAGGCACGGACTAGAATAGCTATGTGGGCCTGGTGGAGTTGGCATCCGTCTCGTGGCGTGTGCCGTGGTACGGGTACCTCGTGTGAGCAAGTGTGTCAACGAGGCTGGCGACTGGGGGGTTTGGGGTCCATAGGGGTTCATCCCTGGGCGTCGCGGCTCTACGCGTCGAGTCCACGCTAACGGTTCTCCAAATTGACGCGCCCTCAGTTCCTGCAATTACCTTACCTTCTGTTCATTCTTTCACATCGTTTCGAGTGCTCCGTACCCAGTACTCTACCAGAAACGGTTTCACTGTAGTAGAGATCTCGAATACTGTGGCGGTCTTTCAAGATGCCTAAGAAGGCGGCCTCCACTCCAGCCGCCACACCAGCGTTGAAGAAGTCATCCTCCGCTGGGGGACAAAAGACACTGCTGGGCTTCTTTCAGAAGACTCCCTCCTCGAGCTCACCCGCAGCCCCCAGCGCCCGGTCTGCCGCTGCTGTTTCGACGCCTGCACCATCCAAGAGCCGGTCGAAAACAGTCAACACCACGTCGGGCTCCAGTTTGACACCCGCGCCGTCCAGTGATGCCTTGGAGCCCGAACATGAGGACATACATGATACAAAGGCAAGCCTGCCGCCGTCCAAGGGTCTGCCATCGCCAGTCTCAGCTGACGGCGAGCAGACCAACGGCACGGGAGACCTTACGAGCCGAGGCACGCCGTCCCGAAGGGTAAGTCGACACATCATGCTTCAATCACTTCAGCCTTAATCACTTCAGGCTGACCATTGACAATGTACAGGCCAAGACGAAGAAGATCAATTACCTAGAGTCAGACAGCGAGGGAACCGACGGTGATGACGTGTTCAGACCCAAGGCTGCGCCAAAATCTCGACCTACCAAACGCAGACGCCTCTTTGATAGTGACACAGAGGATGTCTACGAACAGGAGAATGAGGTAGAGCAAGAAGATGGTGAACATACTCCATTCATTCTTGGGTGGGCAATGCTAATGGCCGTAGATATTGACGACTTCATTGCTCCAGACGACTCTGAGGACGAGGTTCGCCCGGTCAAGCGCAAGCGGTCATCCAAGAGCACTTCAAGAACCGCATCTTCTCATTTCGCTCCTACCACCGATGACGGACAAGATCTGGATTTGGACGATGTCGACATACCGGAAGGCAGTTCGACTGCTCAACAGTGGAATTACGACCCCGAGAAACCTCAGCCTCTACAACAACGGCCTACCAACATCCCTTCCAAGAAGCCCAGTGGAAAGAAACAGAAAGCACACATGACCGAGCCCGAGCAGCGACATGCTTGGCTCGAGGATGTCAGAGACATTGATCGCAATCCTCCCGGTCATCCTGATTACGATCCGAGGACTCTGTATATTCCGCCCATGGCATGGAGAAACTTTTCCCCATTCGAGAAGCAGTATTGGGAGATCAAGCAGAAGTTCTGGGATACAATTGTGTTTTTCAAGAAGGGGAAGTTCTATGAGCTTTACGAGAATGACGCCACAATCGGTCACCAACTGTTCGATTTGAAGTTGACGGATCGTGTCAACATGAGAATGGTTGGCGTCCCGGAGTCGAGCCTGGAACTGTGGGCAAACCAGTTTGTAGCAAAGGGTTTCAAGATTGCTCGAGTCGACCAGCAAGAAACTGCTCTCGCAAAGGACATGCGTGAGCGAGACGAGAAATCAAATGGCAAAAAGAGCAAGGAAGACAAGGTGATAAAGCGAGAACTGGCCTGTGTTCTGACTGCCGGCACCTTGGTTGATGGTGCCATGCTTCAGGATGATATGTCGACCTATTGTGTCGCTATCAAGGAGTCGGAAGTGGATGACTCGCCCGCATTTGGAGTGGCATTCGTCGATACAGCTACAGGACAGTTCAACGTCTCCGAGTTCATCGACGATGCAGACCTCACCAAATTCGAGACGTTCATTGCTCAGACGAGACCTCAAGAGCTCTTACTCGAGAAATCTGGCATTAGCACCAAAACACTGCGGATTCTCAAGAATAATACTGGCCCTACAACCATCTGGAATTACCTGAAACCCGGCAAAGAATTCTGGGAAGGCCATATCACAGCCAAAGAGATAGAAGCAGAGGACTACTTTCCTACAGGCTGGCCCACCGTCTTGGAAGAGGCTAAGGAGAAGAAAGATCTCCTGATGTCGGCCCTTGGTGCTCTTATTCAATACCTGCGGACGCTCAAGATCGAGCGGGATCTGATGACCATGGGCAACTTCATCTGGTACGACCCTATCAGAAAGGCCACAAGTCTCGTCCTTGACGGACAAACTCTGATTAACTTGGAAGTCTTCGCCAATTCCTTCGACGGTGGCATCGAAGGCACGCTCTTTCAGCTTCTCAATCGCTGCGTCACACCCTTTGGAAAGCGTATGTTTAAGCAATGGGTCTGCCATCCACTCATGGACACCAAGAAGATCAATGCCCGATTGGACGCCGTCGACTCACTCAACGCGGATGCAAAGGTTAGAGACCGATTCACCTCGCAAATGACCAAGATGCCGGATTTGGAGAGATTGATCTCCCGCGTTCATGCTGGAACCTGCAAAGTCCAAGACTTTGTCAAAGTCCTTGAGGGCTTTGAGCAGATTGACCATACCATGTCGCTACTACGAGACGGCACAGGTCGACCCTCAGACAGCGAAGGTGTCATCGGGCAACTCATCTCGGCCATGCCAGACCTGGGACCCCGTTTGAAGTACTGGCACGACGCCTTCGACCGCCAAAAGGCAAAAGAAACAGGCATACTAGTCCCCGAGCCTGGCGTGGAAGAGGACTTTGATAATTCTCAAGCCACGATAGACTCTCTCAACAAGAAATTTGACAGCCTCATCAGCAAATGGCGTGGCGAGCTCGGGTCCAATAAAATCTGCTACCGCGACAATGGCAAGGAGATCATGCAGATGGAAGTTCCACTCAAGGTCAAAGTTCCTGCGACTTGGGATCAGATGTCCGCTACGTCCACGGTCAAACGATATTACTTCCCCGAACTGCGCGCCCTGGTGAGAAAGCTGCAAGAAGCGCAGGAGATTCATTCCCAAGTCGTCAAAGACGTCGCTCGCAAACTGTACGCCAAATTCGATGAGAACTACGAAATTTGGCTCGCAGCGGTCAAGATCATCGCCCAGCTCGATTGTCTGATTTCCCTGGCGAAAGCGAGTACCAGCCTAGGCCATCCCAGCTGCCGCCCCGAGTTTGTGGACGAAGACCCAGAAACCGGCAAGGCGACGCTTGAACTCGTCGACCTGCGCCATCCCTGCCTTCTCACAAAAGTCGACGACTTTATTCCCAATGATATCGTCCTCGGCGGGGCGAGCCCGAATTTGACGCTGCTGACTGGCGCCAATGCAGCCGGCAAATCCACCGTCCTAAGGATGACCTGTATTGCCGTGATCATGGCTCAGATCGGATGCTATCTCCCGTGCGCGTCCGCCCGACTCACCCCGTTCGACCGCATCATGTCCCGCCTCGGAGCGCAAGATCACATCTTTGCCGCACAATCGACCTTTTTCGTCGAGCTGGCCGAGACGAAGAAGATCCTCGCCGAGGCCACGCCGCGCAGCCTCGTCATCCTCGACGAACTCGGCCGCGGCACGTCCTCGCACGACGGCGTCGCCGTGGCGCAGGCCGTCTTGCACCACCTCGCCACGCATGTCGGCTGCCTGGGCTTCTTCGCCACACACTACCACAGCTTGAGCCAAGAGTTCGCGCATCATCCCGAGGTCTGTGCCAAGAGGATGAAGATCCTGGTTGACGATGCGGACCGACGGGTCACGTTCTTGTACAAACTCGAGGAAGGTACCGCGGAGGGGAGTTTCGGCATGCACTGCGCGAGTATGTGTGGGATCCGGGAGGGGGTCATCGAACGGGCCGAAGAAGCGGCCAAGCAGTGGGAGATCAGCCACGTCATGCATGCGAAGGCGAATAGAGGGACGGACAAGGAGGAGGAGGACAGGTTGGAAGAAGCTCCACTGGGCATTCTCAGCGACGTTGCGTGGATCTTGAAGGCCAAGGACGACGACATTGGCGACCGCGCCGTGGAGGTCTTGATGAAGTGCATCGAGGCGTTGTGAGGCCGTAGGGGACGCTGTGGGTATGAACCGGCCTCTTTCGGGACCGAGGAGCGAGTGGTCGTGCCACAGTGGTCTTGTGTGCCCTGTGCTCAAATCTATAGCAGTATAAATTGTGGTGGCGGTCATTCAAGAGGGGGTATTATGTTGTTTCAGCAGGCGAAATGGGCCGCCGTCGGAGTTTGGACCGGGAAATTTGAGGTATTGAAGACGAACGAGGCAGAAGTGATAGCGATGTCACACTATACCGATCTCAGCTGCGGTTTCAGGTTCAAAGCACTTTTGATTCATATTGCTCTCATCTCACTTGATTCTCACCTTCCTTCATGCTGGAGTGAGCGTCGTCGCTCGTATGTGAAAACTGCTATCATGCTCGGTCTGTCTCGTTAGAGAAACCCCGGCCCGGGTGAGTAGGTGACCTTTCCAACCTCACGCCGCTCGATCTAGCTCATGCTCTGGGCTCGTAAGACGACGATTGTCCAAGTTCGCTCGGCTTCAGCACTGCCTTTCCAATGTTTCGGTATCCATCCATGTCCGGCGGGCCCATTTGCCATATCAGCTCATGCCTTCTCCTGGAGACGAGACCATGTGTTGTAGCATGTCGTGACATTATGGCTCGATGTCTGGACTGAGCTGAGACGGAACGAGAGCAGAGCAGAGCTAAGCAGATACCTCAGACCGACTCGGCTGTCTTGGCAGCGATGTCTTGAGTATCCGCAGTATCAGCCATGGTGGTGTCACCATCCTCAGCAGCAACATCGTCGTCGTTTTTGTTGCCCTCGGGGGCCTCAGCGTCCCTGTTCGACCAATGTTAGCAGAGATGTGTGGAAGGTCGAAGAGGGGTAGGACATACTCAGACTCAATTGCAGGGAGATTGGGCGTCGCGGTCTTCTTGGTAGGATGGACTCCGTTCGCCTTTACGACGGCACCAGCATCGTCCACTTTCTTCACCTCGGTAGCCTCTGCTGCAGCGTGTTCGTCAGGAGTGGCAGCGGGCAGAGCTGTCTCATCCTTAGTCGCAGCTTCGGACTTGACCTGGCGGAGAGGAGCGGCTTGCTTTCCCTTTGCCGGAGTAGCTTTGGTAGGAGTGACCTTGGCTTCGTCTTCGTCCTCAGCGCCATTCTCCACAGCAGCGGCGGCGGCTTTCTTCTTCGCGGGCGTTCGGCGCTTCTTTGGAAATGGCTTCTCCGCCTCATCGTCATCGCCAGCTGCTGGGGCCTCACCATTGGCAGCGGCCTCGGCCTCCTTCTGAGCCTTGGTCTTGCGGCCACGCTTCTTCGGAGTGGTAGTAGGCATCTTAGGGGTAGCTGGAGCATCTGTCAAGCAGGTTAATTGGAGATGAATTGGAGGTTGGGACGAAAGCAGGAGTCAGAGATAGACATGAAGGTGCTTCAAACATTGGTTGACACTCACCTTCAGACTCGTTCCCTTCGCCGTCTGCTGGATCGGTAGAAGCAGCCTTGTCCTTCTCGTCGCCTGAATCGTTCTCGCCGTCGTTGTCACCAGATTGAGCCTTGACAGCTTTCTTAGCAGCAGGCTTTCTCGTAGTCTTTGGCTTTGGAGACGCCGCAGCAGTAGATGCCCCATCGGTCTTTGGGGTGGTACCGAAGACCTTTCTCTTGACAGCGCACCAGGCAGTGTTGGCAGAATTGCTGTTCTTGGAACCGAGAGCTTTCGCTAAGCCATCGTAGTCGACCTGACGAAATTGTCAATCGAGGCCAGCACATTTGGATAACTGTCTCGATTATAGATCGGGACTCACCTGAATTTCGCCGCTCTTGAGATTCTGAAGGCCGGCCAGGAGAACTTCTTGCTCACGAGGAGTCAAGCCCGCCATTCCTCCCTTGTTCTTGTTGTCTTCCGACATCGTGACTGCCACACAGATGCGTAGATGGATATGGCGTGGGGAAGAGTAATAGCGATGGCGGGTGGTGTGAGGTTGAAGTAAATGTGTTCCTAACTGACGATAAAAAAAAGGAGATTGAGATGAGTCGAGGCAACCTGGAAAGCGTGAACCTGATCACATTTATATCTGAGCCTGGACCCACGTTATGCCGATTCTTGGCCTATTGTTCTGCAAGTGAATGGCATCCGAAAGGTCTGCCGCACATGTGCCCAATGACAGTGACAATGAGGTGAAAGGTAGCTGATAATCTTTCGGATGTCACTCGCTCATCGCCGCCATTTGGACGTGACGCTGCTATCGACCCCAGTCAATCGTTCGTACACCTTGGACCAGATACCTGGAGTGACATCTCGTGCGGCCCTGCCACCAGCTGATTCGGGCCGTACATAGAACTGAGTTGGATTTGACCTTAGAAAGAAGCCTCGAGTGACAAGTGGTCCTACCCATTCAAAGCTTACAGGCCGCAGCAAACTCTTTGCAGGTCGCGTATTTGCGACGTTCAATGACACGACATCCGTGATCATAGTTGATCGCATGAACCTCATTTCCAAGGTAGCGTCTGCCGGAAGATTTGTGGCATACGACATGGCCAGCTTAGGAGAGCCTTGAGCTGACGGTGGTAGTCGAAGAAAGATCTCAGTCACCATGGGCCTGAGAGCCCAGTTTATGCATACGAAGGGCATGGCGCCAGCCAGCCATACTACCGACCAGAGTTAGCGGATCAGGTCTTTTGAGGTTGCGGCAAACACATACAGGCAGCGACGGTCCACATTGAGCTGCCACTGACCCAGTGGGCTGGAGCTACTATGATAGTGACAAAAGCGAGGGCCATTATGCTGGTGAAGCGGAGGAAGGTAAGCATGTATATTCTCCCGTTGCCCGCCGTGTATATACGAATTCTCCTCTTGTACACTGTAACCCGTCAGCCGTCACTGAGCCATCAAGAAGCGGTCGAGACTACCTTTGGGCTCCGGCCGAGGAGGCAGCTTCCTTGTCAGCTGCTCGATGTGAAGCCGCTCCTTCGGAGACAACCTCAGACCAGGGGCGATGTCGGCCTTGGGGATGACCTTGAGAGGCACTGAAATCTTGCGGCCACTGTCGAGAGATGTGGCCTCGTCTGGTCGTAGAACCAGTTCCCTGTCCTCTGGCGACGGCGCAACTGAAGGCTCTGACGGTTGGGCATTGTCCTTTTTTTGGGCCTGTAGCCGACTGTGAACGACTTGGATGGGTAGATTCTCATTCTTCCTTGGTTCAGACCCTTTCAGTTGGCGCTTGAAAGTGCTGAAACCAGCTCGTCTTGAGGCAGCATGCTGGCGTGAGCAGGCGTAGAAGGCATGGCGGATATCGGCCACCAGAACCGGAGGCAGGCTTCTCATTGACCTTTGGAATCGGTGATCAGCAACACAGTGGCAGCAGTCTGTATCGACGCGATCGTAACAACCAGAGGAATTGGAGATGTTACGCGTTTGTGAAACTCGGTGGAAACTGCGCCGAGAAATGGATCTCGCAGTTGACGACCTCCACTTTCGTCCTCTACCTCAGTTGCTCAGTCGCATGTAACGTCACCCAGCAATGTGTTCCAGCAGTAGGTGAGCTGAAGGAGAGACGCTGCCGCCAGATTGCTCTGAAAATGTGGCATTGGCAGCTGGAATGGCCCTTGACGACGGTCTCACTCATCTCTCTTCTGTTCTCGCATAGCCTGGCATACGCTCCACTCTCGGATAGCACCATCCTAGACCTCCTCCCCCAGCCAGATACGGCTGATTTCGACATACATACAGGCAATCTGCTCGCTCCGATCCTGATTCCTCGGGTGCCAGGCACTGACGGCTCAAGGAAGGTGCTTCAACACTTCGTCGACTTCTTCCACACTTCCCTTCCAGATTGGACTGTATCCTTCCAGAACTCGACTGCGAAGACGCCTACACATGGTGACAATGAAGTCCCTTTCGTGAACTTGATTGCCACCCGAGATCCGCCAAGGTCAGACCCTGGCAACGTTGGGCGCTTGAACTTGGTCGCCCACTACGATTCGAAATACCAGCCGGAGGGATTTATTGGAGCCACGGACTCCGCTGCGCCATGTGCCATGATTATGCATGCCGTCAAGTCCATCGATGCTGCTCTGACCAAGAAGTGGGACACAATGCGAGCGCAAGGTTTCACTGATCCTGACTTTGAGGAGCAGAAGGGAATACAAGTCTTGTTTCTTGATGGGGAGGAGGCTTTTCTAAGCTGGACAGCGACAGACAGCATATATGGCGCCAGATCCCTTGCGGAGGAGTGGGAACACACCGTGCATCCTGCAACAAGCATTTACAAGAACTACCTCGACTCTATCGAGCTGTTCGTCTTGCTTGATCTGCTCGGCTCCTCGGAAGATCTACCCATCCCATCGTGGCAACATAGTTCTCATTGGTCTTATGTGCGGATGGCTGAGGCTGAACAACGTCTTCGAAAGTTGGGTTTGTTCAGGAGCAAGTCCCGTACCTGGCTCCCTGAAAAGGACAAGAAAGAAACAGACCGATTCCAAAGCTATGTCATGCAGGACGATCACCTCCCATTCATCGCCCGAGGCGTCCAAGTCTTGCACCTCATTCCTGCTCGGTTTCCTAGCGTTTGGCATACCATACGCGACGATGGCGAGCATTTGGACATTCCCACCGTGGAGGATTGGGCTCTCCTCACAGCAGTATTTGCTGCCGAGTACATGGAACTGGAGGGCTTTTTCGAAGAGAAGCCGGCTTCGCAGAGATCGAGGAGGCACGAACTCACCAGTAAGGATGAACTATGAATCCTCTGTCCTCAGTGACTTATCTGACTTCTGAGTTTGAAAGGCTGAGCGCCGACGAGACGTAGCTCGCTAGAGGGTACAACGTCAAGTACCCTCCAGTACAGCCTTCTCACCAAGCGTCGACCCGCCGCCAGCAACTCTGTTCCGAGTGGCCCAAGCATGTAGCCACGGAGGTTGGCTCTTGCAATGGTCAACCGAGTCCTTTGACTGGAACCCGCGTGGTGGGCAGAGTTTGAAGCCGAGCAATGGCAAACTTCTACAACTTCTCACTGTCGACGTGTCCTAGTCAAAAAGCTACTCTGCATCTGCCTGACAAGACGCCTAGCAACCAGTTCCAGGAAGGCAGCCGCACAAGGAACCAGCTCAATATGTGCACGGAATATGCAGATCGTCATGCATACTTTCTGATCGACCTCTGCTGCGTTGTCAGAGTTGCACTTGCGGGACCCAAAAGGCACCAATATATAGGATGAGGTATTGATCTCGATTGGACTATCGCGATCAACGTCCCTTCTCATCCACAACTTCGGAGGACAAGCTCACAAACTCCACATATCAACAACTGGACAATACGGCCTGGTTAAGGGAATCATTCCGGGGGAAACATGAGGGTCACAGTATATTGGGGATACTCTGCACCGGGTCGTCCCCTTTAGTCGTTCTGTTCCCATGGCCGCCATTCTTGGTCCTCCCACCACATGGGCACGCGGATGGAGTCATTCGTCTTCCCTACACAGTGATGAGACTACCAGGGTCAGCGGGAACCAGGCTGGTGAGATAGTATTCAAATTCATGGTCTCTTCGACAGATGGATATTTGTTGCAAGAGATATCGATGCCTCGAAATGGAAGTGGAAGAATTTTCTCAGAATGAATGTGGATTGAATTCCCCGCCATGTCGGATGGTAGCCTCAACTCCATGCTTGATAATAACACAAATTTTGAATCTAATTCATTACACGTACCAATATTCAGCATCCTGAACTCATTAACATTCAAGCGCCAGCGCTATTCTGATCTCTCCCCAGGTGCCATCGATCCGGCCACCCCTACCGCTGCGGCCACTGCTGCGGCTGGGTCGACGGCAACTCGGACACCATGCTCATCCGGTCCAGGTAACTACTGGAATGACCCGAGCCTCGTGACACCATAGACTGTGGCCGCTCCCGGGGATATCCATGCGCATTGTTGAGTTTTTGGACGTAGAAATTCTCCGATACAATGCTACCCGCTTCTGACTGGGCTTGCTGGTTGGGGGAGCCCGTGTAGGTCCCGCCGTCAGAGGCGGAGCCCGACAGCTCAGACATGGTGCTTATTCGATGGTTGGCCACCAGAGAATCGCGTGATGGGTCAGACGCCGACAGCTCGGACATGGTGCTCATCCGATGGTTGGGCGAGCCCGTGTAGGTCCCACCATCCGAGCCCGTCAGCTCCGACATGGTGCTCATCCGATGGTTGGCCACCTGAGCATCGCGTGACGGCGGTGCCAGATGGCCTGTATGGTACATCGAGCCCGGCAGCTCGGCGACGAATTGCTTTGGTGGTTCCGGCTGCTGCTGCTGCTTCAGAGCAGCGTAGTAACTCATGCGCTGCGGGTGGACAACGGCTTGTTGATGATAGCTCATCCGCTTGTCCTCGTTCCGGAATGCCGGGTGATTGGCCAGGGTCTGCCAACCCAGGTCCTGCTGCGGGGACAGCATCTGTGGCGACAGCGGTCTGTTATATATCGCGGGGGAGTTCACGATCTGGGAGTTGGACATGTGTGAGCCCGCCTGGAATCGGGGCGTCCCGGGACCGGCGCCGGGGGTGATGGGCGTCAAGCCCATCCCCATCGTCTTGACCGTCTCCTCCACGCGTTCGGCCTTTTTGAGGATGCGCTCCACCAACACCTTGTGTGCGTTGTCGAGGTTTTTGCGCACAAACGAGGTCATCAGCATGTTACACTTCATGTCGCCGTCTTCGCGGATATACAGGCCCTCGCGGGGCACATCCAGCCCCAATTCTCTCGGCTCCGGCGGTTCGCCAGGTAGAGTACCCCCGATCGTCCACTTTTCCCGGATGTCCAGGCCCATGGGCGCATAGATGTGTGTTTGTAACCCGTTCGGCATGTCGTGGAAACATGCTTTATAGCTGACTTTGCCCTTCATCATTCCGCCGGGCAGGAAATGGATTTTGTCCGTCAGCTCCTGCCAGGCACAGTCGAGGAACTCGTCGGCGGGGGCGTCTCGGGGAGTCTTTATGGGGTGATGTTCGATGACGAGCGGGTTTAATTCGATCATTTCATCGTGGTTGTGCAGCATTGCTATCGCGACTTCTCGCGATACCTGTGGAGGGAGAGGGGTAATGTTGGTGAAGAGTGTGCGTTTCGGCATGTTGACAACGGCCGTCAGCCTGCTCTCGTGGATGTGGTTTCTCGGCTGGTGATCAGACTTCGTAGACCGATTGACGTTGTGACTTTTCTCAAACCCGGAAGGATGGACAGTGATGGTAGATCAGTGCCTCTTCCTCGTGCAGCGATTGCAGCGAGAAGCTGCCTCTATGGGTGCAGTTTAAGGGACGGTGTCGTCCAGATCGGCACCTTGTCTGTGCCTGAGTCGGCATGTTACTGCTAAGCTGCCGCTAAGCAAGCGGTTCATTTCTTGGTAAGAATTCATCCTAAGAATAGCGTGTTAGTGCTTATCAGCTTTCCGCGACGTCCAACGGTGCCCAAAGCCACGATTCACAGGCGAGGGGTTGTGGCTGACAGCGTCGGTATTGGTCCAGGCCCTGCTCTGGAGCCTCGGGGTCTCCCGCTTCAGCCTTCCCGTCGCGTTGACACCCTCCTTTCCGGCTAGTGCCACGGGGGACTTTGGTTGTCGATCCGGCATGTCCACCGAGGCTCGTGCATTATTGTGCATTCGAAACACTGGTTTCGCGGATGTAAGGTGACTTCTTGATGGAAGCAGTGGCTGCAAATACGTATGGAGTACGTACTGAGATATAGCCCGTCGTTCTGGGCGTGTTTGCATCTGGGAGGAGTGACTGTTCTCCTCGGGCGATCACGTCGTTAGCGCAGGCCGACCTACGATACTCCGGATACGTAGTAAGTAATGTGCACTGTGCCCGGCGTTCGACGTGCTGAGTTTCAAGGACGTTGTGGACAATCCGACTGACACCAGATCCGGCTAAGACTTTCCCCTTCTGGGACCGCACCGCCTTATTGAGCCCTGTTAGTAGATCATCTGGATCCCGAACTCGAAACCCATATAATAATTAGTGCGCCTTCGCCACTATCCCAGATTGTTCAATCTTTCTACAGCCTCGACGCTCATGCAGAATGTCGGATCGAACGCCTTCAGCCCAGGCTCCTTGTATATGGCCAGCGTCGCGAGGCCGAGATAGGAGTGCAGCAGATCTGTGATGGCTTGCAATGAGCCGGAGTCTTCAAAAACGCATTTGGTAGTATCGGAGCTGTCTCACCAGGAAGTTCTCCGGGTCCCTTGGCGAAACCGCCAATTATATGTGTGACTTTCCCGAGCAGATATCTTCGCATTGCCTCGGAATCGACCAGATGATGCTGACGGAGTATCTGCTGGTACATCAGTTTGGAACTTTGCAACATCTCGCTTCGTTCGTCTGGATGCACTGACTGCAAGAGCTCCCACATTCCAGAAGCAGTAGCACGTGTCTGCCATCTTCCCACAGCGGCCACAGAAACCAGCGATTAGTCTCTCAGGCTCTAGACCTTCCTGCATCGAAGACAAGTCAAATAATGATGGCTGGGTTCCAAGTTGTTTGATGTGGTGCTCTGGAGCGGGTTGATCTTCGGGTTGATCGTCGTCGTCCTCCTCGTTCTCATCCTCATCCTCATCCTCTTCGATCCAGGTGGTCTGCCGGTCCAGCATCCAACGGGTACAGCTGGCAAGGTCAACTTTGGCTTGTCTGGCCATTTCGTCAATCGATACCGCGGGAGTCTGGAGAAGGCTGAGAAACGAAAGCGTCGCAATCCCGCAATAGTTCAGCCCAGCTACCGCGGAAGTCAGCATGTGAGTAGTCCGACACCGACCTAACAGGGGAGGAGGACGTACAGTGCGATTCCAGCAAAGGGGCTTGACCTATCCCGCCCTCAATCGACTGGGATAGCCGCAATACGTCAGCAGTGGCCGGTCGGTCAATAGACTTGAGAACCCCTCCTCACCTGGCAGTTTGCAATATATCGTCGCAAGCCCAGCTCGTCGAAAGGCTGGTTTTCTTTTGTCGTCTGCTCACGTCCTCCTCCTTTGCCTTGTAGGATCTTCATAATCCCCACCGCGCACATGCAGTGTCTCGGGTCATCTGCCCCTTCCACGGCGTCGTCCTCGCCCAGAAACTCGCCAAAGCTCCCATTCGGCCGTTGCAGGCTCCTCACCCACGCGAGACACTCTCTCTTTTTGACTCTCCCCAGATCATCTCCCAGGAGCACCAACGTAGCTAGCGCGAAGAACGTGTTGGGCAGGTTCGCTGGGTCCCAGTGCCAATTATGGTAGCTGCGCAGCCCGGCCAACATCGTGCCCGTGAAACCACGAAACCCGCCTGTGTGCGCGACTTGGCAGCTGTAGACCCATTCGATCCAGCTGCGCTTCTCGGTCGGCGGGACGACCGTGTCCAGCGCGCCCAGCAGATCCAGCGCCGCGACGATAAAGAAGCCGAAGCTCATGCGGCTGGATTCGCCGGACGTGTACGGCTCGGGCAGTATCTGGGCGCACCGTTTCCAATATTTGATGTGCCGCTCCTTGTCGAGACGGTAGACTTGTTCCCCTGAGGGAGGCATGACTGCAGTGGGGGGTGGGCACTGGGACCTGGTGCTGGGAGATCAAGATATCCGTCTAGCATTAGATACCGGATACCATATGCCGTATATCGTAGAACCTATCCAGTATACCCTATCCCGTATACCGAATCAGCAAGTTATTCAACAAGTCCCCGCCCTTCGTCGAGAGAAGATCAGAGTTGTTGGTGGACAAGCTCGAGAGTCGGATTCTTGCTGAGGCCGAGGACGGTCGAAGCCTAGCAAGGACATGCACATAGAGAACGGCGCACAATGCACGGTGAATAGTCAGTCAAACTGTGAGAACTTCTCATTTTACCCTAGCCCTGATAGCTTTGCTTTGCCGCGCAAAAGACTGAGTCTCGGGACGTGCCGTGTGATGTGTGCATTATTGGCAAGTGAAGTAAACTAGTGAGAGGGATGCAAGTATTGGATTCGACTCGCTTCAACATGTCCTTGGTACCATAGCCACGTTGATCAACCCAGTGAATGGTACCTAGGGACCCTTGTGTGACTGTGACTGGAAAATCGTGCCTTGAGTGGCAATACATGTCTGATACTTGAATGAATTTGAGTGCACCGCCTGCCTGCTGCTGATAGCCCCCGTCTATGTAACCGTCTCTGCTTCATTCATTGTCTTCGTCTTCTCATGAAAATGACTCGCCCGAATCTGCTCTGCTCTACTTATGCAATATGCTGAAAAGAACCTGTCGCTGCACCTGAACATGGATGTTGCGCTGCTACCAACCTCACGTCACATAAAGTCGTCCTCACCCAATCCATCATCGTAGCTAGTCGTGTCTGCGACGCCTCTACCCATATCCCGCGTTGCGGCGAGAGAGGACTTGGTCTTTGCTGCCTTGCTCTTCTTGCCACCCTTCTCCTTTTCCTTCTCCTCCTTCATCTTCTCGTTACTCAACGCCGTGAGGGCGCTCGCCGCCTTTTTGATTTCTGCACTGGGCAAGTCGGCGCATATCTGTTTCACGAAGGTAGACACCCACAGCGAATAGTGCGGTTTCGACGACGCGGCTGTGAGTAGTGGCACCAATGTGGCCGAGAGGGCGTCAAACTGCGATTTCGTGGCGGGTTTGAACAGAGGATACTTGGAGAGATCAATCGCCTGGCCGGGGTTCGCCTTGTCTTCTATTATCACCGCCTTGTTGGGAGCGGTTCGCGACTTCGGCCCCATCCCGACGTTGGCAAAGAGATCCTGGGCGTGTTTGAGATCGGCATCCTGTTCGGTCTGCCGTAACCTTGCACGTTTTTCGGCGTCATCCTCTTCCTCTGAGCTCTCCTCTTCTTCTTCCTCGGCGCGTCGGCGTCGGTTCGCCTCACGGTGCTCCTCTATGCGCTGAGACTTTGACTTCTTGTTGGCTGCGGCTTCGGCGTCGGCTTTGGCCTTTGCTGCGGCTGCTTTTGCGGCTTTCTCGCGTTCGGCTTCGGAATCCTCTTCTTCCTCCCAGTTATCCGCGACCTAGAAGTCGTCAGTCTCGCCATGCAGTCTGCCGCGAAACTGCTAACGTACAGCGTCAGAGTCTTCTTCATCGGCAAACTTGCGGCGTGCGACAGGAACGTCTACGGACTCTTCATCAGAGGACTCCTCGGACTCCTCGTCTGCGTCGCAAGACAGTTAGCACAATGAGACGGAGACTTCTGCTTGGTGCGAAGGCAAATTGCCCCGCCATCCGTTCATGACGACTCACCCCACTTCGAAGGAGGCATGCTTGTGTGGCTACGCGAGGTGTCACAGTCGATTCGTCTTTGTTGCAGGCGATCTTTGATCGCAGCTGTATGCGGGTAACTGTTCAGAGCGAGACGGGTTCGTATCAGATAGAGAAGGGGATGCGCCAAAGTGCAATTCACTGACAGCGAATTTTGACTCTGAACTTGGAAGAAGGCGCTGGACGCCAAGGGATGGCAAGACTATTTGCGCATCACCCGGATCGAGACTAGTATGATGCCGCCCTACCATCACCCACGTTGTCAGCGCAGCTCCCTTGGGGTCGCCCGTGTTTCTCCAGTCCACCAAGTCGTGACCACCAAATGGTGATTCGCAGTCAACACACGGCAACTGCTATCGTGTAGAAGTCTGCCGCTGCCGTGATGGCCACAGGAACGGAGACATCCTTCCTGGACTACTGCGTGGAAGCGTACCTCGTTTTACAGTCCTCCGCTGAGACTCGTGGGCCTCCCTCACTCCTGAGGTCCAGAATGGCGCCCATCCCGGTGTGGCGATGAGTTCAAAACCCTGCGATGAGATCGTCGACAGATCCGTGGACGTTACTGCAACACGATAATGTTCATTAGAAGTTAATGACGTACTAGGTATTGTTACTCCAACTAAGAGAGTCTCAGACCCCAGACCACCCGAACATCCGAAGTGTCATATTTCCAAGCCGTAATGCGCGAGACAAGCAGTCAAAGCCGGACATTCTCAAACCTGGTCGTTGTGTCCTACTACAAGAACTCGGGACCCTCGATGATCCGCGTGTCCATGTTTGGCCAACTGCGGACGACGGCAGACTCCCACCCGTTCAGTCGTAAAGGGGTCGTCTTGGATCGCGAAGATGATATAGGTGCCATTCTTACAAAGTCAGATGCAACTAAGATCTGAAGAGCCCGGGAACTGGTCTGCGTCCTTATGGCATACGCATAGCATCTCGAACAACCAGATGGGACCAGGCCGTTCAACTCATATGGTTGCACCATAACCGAACTGAGGAAACAAGCTGAACATATCTAAGCCCGTGGCGGCTCGTGATTGCCCAGATTGTGGAGCGATCGAGCCCAGGAAGAGTCCTTTGCATGATCCACTTTCGCGAAACTCACATCCGTTTGAGGCGAACTTCTACAGCTCAGGAAAGAGGAGACCAGAGCACCGACGCAACAACCGAGGAAGCACCGTCCATGCCCTCAGCTGCAGACTCGCCGGTACGAGTTCCATCTGGGTCTGAATAGCACTCAGTCAATACCACCAGCAGGGACCTGGGTGGGAGACCTTCAGCGAACTGGTCCTCTCCTTGCCCTCTGCGATGAAATGTCGACGAATCAATCGGAGCGGCATCAGGGAATTTCTTACATATAGAGTGATTCCTACGGTCGTACTCTATCCAACGCCGAGGACAAGCCTCTTGTGGTGCTGACGGCAAACTTTACTGCATCGTTTGCTGTGTTGGGAAGGGTGCCTCGCGACGACGTTCTAGACTGTGGTAGGGGATATCCTAGGCGTCAGACATCGCCTCCTTCCAAGATCGATACAGACCATCTGGCAAGACCATGCGAAGACCAGCTTTGCGCATCGTCTCCCACTGATATCGGCGACCCCGGTTCGCTCGCAATCTTCGAAATACCGTCACCTAAGGCCTCCATGCGTTCAGGCCTAGTCAAAAACATGAAGCTGGGCCTCCTGCGGTTCATCCTTTCTACCAATCGGGCAGACCGTCTAATCGATATATCACAACACCTCCACTTCACGACACCTTGGCGCGACAAATCCATCCAGACATTAGGCGGATAAAGCGGAAAAGGAAGAACAGCTGGCAAAAATCCATGACGCCATTGATGCATATTGTGGTACGGCCGCGTTCTAGACGACCGTCGCGACTAAGCGATTGCTCCGGCCACTTGACCCGGGGCATGCGGCTGGGCTTGGCTTGCATCAAGAGTGTGCGAATCAGGCAGGTAACGGTGCCAATCAAGCCACGATGCATTGTGCTCAGCGCATGGCCATTTCGAATTGCCAAACTGTGACTTGTGTCAGCCAGCCACCGAGCATATATCCGGTGAACATACCGGCTTCACTTGAACGCAGGTGAGTGTTGTAACTTGGCTGTCTTGGGAAAACCTCAGCTCCCTTTCGCTTCAATGCGTGATAGGTAAACTCAACGTTCTAGAGCGGGCGACGTTCAGCACGCAACTGTGCCACCATGATATTGGCAATGGCGGTTGTTGCACCCTTCCGACGCCAAGTCCATGGCCGGCTCAGCTCCTAGAAGTTGATATAGAGTTTGCCGTGGAATAACGGTCCGCATGGCTCTGAGCTAGGTTTATTCTCTTTGGTCTACAATAAGCCACCTCAAAGTTAAAGCTTTTATCTCTATCTCGTTGTCATTATGGGCGCGGATGGCACAGTCGTTATCACCTCACATGCTCCGAGCGAGCATGACCTGCAACAACAGAGACCACCTCTACCGCATCGCGTTGCAAACGGCACTCGCTCCTGGGCGTCGCGGTTCTTTCCATGGTCTGCTGATAAGACGGAGGTTAAGCTTCAGGATATTACGAAGGCTCGATACGTCCCATGGGCAGGTCTTGGTGCTCTGGCTCTGTCTGGGTTGACTATTCTATTCTCTTGGATAGTCCTCAGAGTCATCGACGGGCATAAGCAGAGGGAGGAAAGATACCTGAAACCTGCGTCATGGCTCTCCGCTATCCTATCCGGCAATAGCGTTCTTCTTGGCTACGCGATGAGCGAAGGTATCACTATAGCTTGGTGGTTTACTGTATCTCGGAGAAATGCCACAGTCTGGGATATTCATGAAGCTTGGTCACTTGGTTCCAGCCTTTTTACTGTTCTGCGGGCTGGAAAGAGATTTAACTATATCGCACTAGCAACACTCTTTGCGGCGTCGATTCCCCTCAATGGTAAGTCTTGCAGGTCCGGTTGGGCTATAACAGCTAATGCTCTATAGGCCTCCTCTTGCAGAACGCCATCACGACTGTACCGGGCACTCATGTGAATACAACCATGATCAAGGTGGGCATGGCTCCCCACCTACCGAAAGGATTCTCTGCCGACCTATCCGATGGTTCTATCAGCACCTATGGTCAGATCTTCTCGCAAGCTCTTCTGTTTGCTGATCGAGACCTTACTACCTCCCGTGTGGACCCCTTCTACATCAATGCTCCAATGTGGAATGGATCCGGGAGCTGTGGCGCCGATGACTTGTTAGGCACGTGTACTGGGCGGGCCAGCAGTCCTGGCTTCGCAGCTGAATGTGTGGACTTCTCCGAGCCGTTTGATATTGACCCTCGAAGTCACAACGGTCAACCATTTTCTGCAATGATCTTCTCCAGCAAGATTGACTGGGACGTCAACACTCCAGGTGAATTCAACCTCACGCTACGCCTCAAGGATGCTTCCGATTGTGTGGGCCACTACTTGGGTCGACATTGTATATTCCGTGCCGCTCAGGTAGAGTACCCTATTGCGCTGTTCCCAGCCTCTGGATTGGACGAGGGGTCCATCCTAAGAACCATTGATATCGGCACTAGTTTCAATGTCCTTGGTCTGGAGCCCAATACCAGCCCCGACGATGATCATATCCAGGACTACCTCACAGTACCTTCAGAGGCTGATTCGTCAAACACTACATATGGCGGTGTTGCGAGCTATCTCAAAAATGTCTACGAGGCCGAATTGAACTGGGACTGGAACGGTACGCATTGGCACATCAACTCCACAGGGAAGCAAGCAAAGTACGCAGTCATTGAGTCTTCCCTCCTCGATGATCCGGGTCGCCCTCAGAGCACTTTCCCTACAAGCTCACTGGCAGATCCGGACTACTGCAGAAACAGGCTCGACACGTACCAGGCTGATGGTCACATTTATTTGGAGGATCAATTGAAGGATCGTCTGAGGCATCTCATGTTCTTGTCCAGCGTCATGCAGAATAACTACGACCCCAATGTTGATTCTGAATCCCTCCAGAATGTTACCGCCCAGAGGACCACCAATGTTGCGCAGTACAAGATCCTGTATCGGTACTGGGCCGGTTCCCTGGCGGTAACGGTCACCATCATCTGCATGATCATCCCGACATTCTGGGGCTTTTGGCTGCTGAGTGGCAAACTCACGTTGAGTCCCGTCGACACGGCCACAGCGCTGGAAGCACCAGTTGTTCTGTCAGAAAACGGCATGAGAAACTCAAAGTCGCGGCTGAAGGAAATCGGGTCACGGCCACTTTCCTCCGTGCGCCGAGACGGTTCAGCTACCCCCTAGATCGGTCCCCCAACCCTGGACAATACGGACCCGAGTGAGATGTCAGGATGACCGCGACGTCCATCGAAGTGGGTACCGTGGAAGGAGAAACTGCTCAGCTTGAAACGCCCGGTCAGCGACCGCGGCTCGGTTACCCTTCGCTTCAGTGAAGTTCAGAGTCCTTGCCACTACTAAGTCGTTGGTGTTCACTGTTGTATTTACGGAGTACAGCCAGTTGACATGAGATTGGGTTTGTGTTGAGGTCCCAAGCGACATGACACACTTAACATTCACATGGCTCGAGCAGAACAGTGCCGATGCCTCATCACTCATTGTATTCATAAGTTATGCACTATTGAACCACCCTTCAAACTATGCTTCCATCTCGTGAAAGCCGTTGGTGTGCGGCTCACTTATGGGTTCATGTTTGTTTTCTCGCCAAATCCCGGCAACCTTGTCGTCTCTGGGTGAAGCACTGCTGTACTTACAACGTGACAGACTTGCGGAAGTTGCTGCCAGCGTAGATAGCATTGGATCCCAACTCTTCCTCGATGCGCAGGATCTGGTTGAGCTTGGCAAGACGCTCGGATCGTGCTGGCGCGCCGGTCTTGATCTCACCAGCTCGGATGCCGACCACGATGTCCGCGATGGTGACGTCCTCGGTCTCACCGGAACGATGTGATACCATCACGCCCCAACCAGCGGCGTAAGAGTCTTTCGCGGCCTGGATGGACTCGGTAAGAGTGCCGATCTGGTTGACCTTCAGCAACAAGGCATTGCAGGCCTTGGCCTCAATGGCTCGCTTGATGCGGATCGGGTTGGTCACCGTTAGGTCATCACTGCTCATGGTTAGTCGGCGTCTCAAGTCTAGCCCTGGGGTCGAAAACTCACCCAACAATCTGGAAGTCGGAAGTCTTGAAGAAGTAGCTCCACGCCTCCCAGTCATCTTCGGCGAAGGGGTCCTCGATCGATACGATCGGGTATTTGCTCGCGAGATTCTTGTACTGGTCGGCGAGCTGCTCGTAAGTGATCCATTTGCTCTTGTCGCTGTCGGGGTTCTTGAAGTCGAGGTCGTACTTCTGCTCGTCTGCCTTGTAGAATTCGCTCGAGGCGACATCCATGGCGATGTTCATCCTGCCGGTGTAGCCTGCTTCTTCGATAGCTTGGGAGATGAGGTCCAGTGCCTCTTCAGCAGTCTGAATGTCTGGGGCGACACCACCTTCGTCGCCGACATTGCCGGCAGATTGACCGTACTTCTTCTTGGCGAGGGCCTTCAGCTTCTGATAGACCTCAGCACCCCATCGTAGACCTTCGGAGAACGTTGGTGCTTGGCTTTTGCACCCGGTTAGCACGGTATGAGGCGAACAGAGGCCACAGTCCACTTACTCAGGGACGATCATGAATTCTTGGAAAGCAAGACGGCCGCCTGCATGTGAACCACCGTTGAGGACGTTCATGAACGGGACAGGGAGGACGTATGGCTTCTTCGTGCCCGCGAGGTCCGAGACATGTGCGTAGAGAGGGACCCCCTTTTGAGCAGCGCCAGCTTTAGCAACCGCGAGACTGACGCCCAGAATAGCATTGGCACCGAGATTGGTCTTGTTGTCGGTTCCGTCGAGGTCAATCAAGAACTTGTCAACACTGGATTGATCGGTGACGTCGACATTCTTCTCGATCAGCTTTGGTCCGATGACAGTGTTCACGTTGTCGACCGCTTTCAGGACACCCTTCCCGCCCCAGTGTGACTTGTCGCCATCGCGGAGCTCGCAGGCTTCGTGCTGGCCCGTGGAGGCTCCAGAGGGGACAATGGCGCGGTGGAGACCGGTCTCGGTGACCACGTCAACCTCGACGGTCGGGTTGCCTCGGGAGTCGTAGACAGAACGGGCGTGGACTTTGACGATAGGCATGACTGTTGGTGGGTCAGTTAGTGGGCAATATCGGAACAGTGACGAAAATGAGAAGCCGCAGATAATCGAAGCTGAGGATGAGGTCTAAGGGAACGGGAGATGCTGAAGGGAAGTGAAGGCAAAGAGCCTGTTGCGCAAACTGTGACTGCAGCAGGTCGGACAGAGGGATATGAGAGGACCCTGAGAGGTATACTCACTGGCTATTCTCAGCGGTGTGGTAGTCGAGTTGAGTCAGTAACCAGCTGCTTAGTGATGTATCTGGATGGGTAGAAGACTTCGACTTGTTTCCTCTTTGGAGAACTGACAAAAAGAATACGGTGAAGAAGAAGCAAAGGTTGAAAGGAAGGGAAACTTTGTTTATTTTGGTGGGGGTGTTGGCATGAGCACACTTGAGGACATTGATCGCTACAAATTTACTTCATCTCAGCACCGATTCACTCAGCAGCTGGACAGATGCGGGACATGAGCAACCCCTCCAAGCTGTTGGCGGTCACCGATTCGCGGATCTTCCATCGCCTGAGGTCCGCCGGGCCGCCCAAGCCAAATCTGCCCCTACCAAAGCCCAACGTCACCGCAAAGCTCAGGCTGCTCAGGGTCTTCGTGAAGGTCGGGCTAAGTGCTTCAGGTTAGGCGGCAAACGTGACCGCGTCGGAAGACCTTCCCACTGTTTGGCTTCCGCCAGCCTTCCCTTCGCCTCGCCGCGTCGTCGTTTTGGTACCTGCGCAAGCTCAGCATACTGAACGTTAGTGAACACCAATATCAAACCAGCAAGACCATCACCCTCCAGAGCAACAGGAATACTACGGCTCCATCGTCCAGGATCGTCTAGAGATCGAACCTATCACGTCGCCGCATCCTCCTCCGCCCACCGCAACTGCATCTACAAGATGGATGGAAATGGAGATCCCGAGAGGCAGCAAGCCCTCGAGCAATACAAGAACAAGCTACTAGAGTCCCGAGAATGGGAGTCGAAGCTCAAAGCCCTTCGGATGGACATCAAGGGTCTTCAGAAGGAATTCGAAACAACTGAAGAGAACATCAAGGCATTACAAAGTGTCGGTCAAATCATCGGCGAAGTTCTGAAGCAGCTTGATGAGGAGCGATGTAAGTCCTCCGAGTTCCCATGCTACCGACTACTAACAACATGGTCTAGTCATCGTCAAAGCGTCGTCAGGTCCCAGATATGTCGTTGGGTGCCGATCGAAAGTCGACAAGTCCAAGTTGAAGCAGGGGACGCGAGTGGCGCTCGACATGACCACCCTAACAATTATGCGCATGTTACCTCGAGAAGTCGATCCTTTGGTCTACAACATGTCGCTGGAGGACCCCGGCCAGGTTTCCTTCGCTGGAATTGGTGGGCTGAACGAACAAATCCGAGAATTGCGGGAAGTTATCGAGCTGCCTCTCAAGAACCCCGAGTTGTTCCTACGGGTCGGCATCAAACCACCCAAGGGTGTGCTACTCTACGGGCCTCCGGGAACAGGGAAAACCCTGTTGGCAAGAGCAGTGGCGAGCAGTCTGGACACGAACTTTCTGAAAGGTACATCCGCAGATGCCCCAGTCTTAGAGGTCTGATACTAACTCCGCTTCAGTCGTCTCATCAGCGATCGTTGATAAATACATTGGCGAGTCCGCGAGATTGATCAGAGAAATGTTTGGCTACGCAAAAGAACACGAGCCCTGTATTATCTTCATGGACGAAATCGATGCGATTGGCGGGAGACGATTCAGCGAAGGCACATCTGCCGACCGCGAAATTCAAAGAACGCTGATGGAACTCCTGAATCAGCTCGACGGGTTCGACTACCTGGGAAAGACTAAGATCATCATGGCAACCAACCGACCCGATACCCTGGACCCTGCGCTACTGCGAGCAGGAAGATTGGACAGAAAGATCGAAATTCCCCTGCCGAATGAGGTTGGTCGATTGGAAATCCTCAAGATCCATGCCGCGGGAGTGGTAACGGAGGGAAATATCGATTTCGAGAGTGTGGTTAAGATGAGTGATGGCCTCAACGGTGCTGACTTGCGAAATGTGGTAACCGAGGCCGGGCTGTTCGCCATCAAGGATTACCGGGATGCTGTCAATCAGGATGACTTCAACAAAGCGGTAAGAAAGGTGGCCGAGGCGAAGAAGCTTGAGGGCAAGCTCGAGTACCAGAAATTGTAAGATTCAAGAACCTGGAAGGTGGCATGGTTCCGGACATTGCATAGCGTGAGGACTTGCTGGGGCGTTCCCCAATCGAGTCATGCAACAATAATAGATGGTGGTGGCCGTCTGTGGTGTCTTCTCTTCATTCGTTCATTCATTCACAAAACCCATCGCAGCACGCCACCATCTCTGTAGACCCTGTCGCTCCATATGGGCCGCCATTTCCTTCACAGTCTCGACTTCCTGGAGAGTCCCCGCCTGAGTGAGACCAGATAGCAATTCGGCACCCGCGACAGTGGCCACAGGAGCGACGAGTTGATAGTCCTTGTACCTCAGACCATGAACGGTGTCCACCCATTTCTGCACATGGGATTGATCACTTCCACGAACGTACATGACACCAGGGATTCCTCCTGATCGGAGCAGAGCGTAGCATTGTAGTTGTTTGGCTGCCGCTTTCTTGTAGTTGTTTGGCTGCCGCTTTGAGGCGAGCGACTTTCTTCCGGGATGTTATGTGGTGCGTACGGATGAGTGCATGGTATGCTAGCATGCTCTTGCCGGAGGAATGGCAGACGGGAACAGCTTAGAGATCGAGGCGTGGAAAATAAGAGTCCATGTCTCATCGGAACGAAATTTGGTGCTCACCGGCTACTTAGGTAATCACCGGGGTGTTCGGACATGTACGCCGTACGGACTAGCCGTGACGAGTACATCTCCTGCTCCTTTCACATATCTCAACAAAACCTGAAGTTCATGTTTTGCTTCATTCTGAAATGCATTGCGCCGAGCAACTCTAGCTAAGTGCTCGATCGTGCTGGTCGTGGCTATCACTCATGCAAAGGCATTCGAGGTGAACGCCGGTCTGTACGGGGTAGGGATCTTTGCTCCAGCCACTCCGTTCCTCTCTGTGAATGAAGTTCTTTCTTTCTCCAACCTCACCCTGCTTTGCGTTGCCTTCCACAACGCCTACAGAGCCGATCGCTCGAAACATACGGAGTAAGTGTCCCTATTCGTCCAATGCGCCACGTGTATCTCGTAGGATCGTGGAATGCAGCTTTCATTAGAAATCAAAGACAGACGATAGACCCATTGGATATGAACCAGTGGCCTACGACCCTCATCCCCATGTGGCCGATGCGTGGCGGCGTCTCCGCAGCCGCAATGGGATTGTGGGATCTCGCTTAGACTTGGAGGTCAAGTTCAAATTTAACCGACCACCGACTTCAGAATGGCAACTTGACACTCTACAGTAGGTGTACAAGGTACTCGTACCAGCTTCTCGAACACATCTAGGAAAGTGAATCTTGCGAGATCAACACTTCGGCATCCGAGTACCTGAACGAGCGAGGAATCTAATGTTAGGATGAAGCTCCCTTGCAGGACCTTCTGGTGCTTCCCGCGTGAGAGATGCGGGCCTCCTGGTTGCCTTGCATAATTCCGCTACCGCCGTTGGATGCTAACCGGCAAAACGGCAAAGCCAGGCCTCGGTACATGCATCACCACTCAGCCATCTTCTCTCTCTGGCAGATGGAGATGGCAATTGAGCAACGAGGCCATATGCGGAGTTTGTTTAGCGCATCTGCCCACTACGATCGGCTCTTTACAAATGTCCATTCTGTCCGAGTCTGGGGAAGTTGGACTTCTCCGTCTGTTCATTTTGTTCTATAACGGTTCTTGTTATATCAATACTCTCGATCCTGATCATGGCGCTTGGTAATTACGCGCGGTACCGCCTTCCAGCGCTCAGAGTGTGAGCATCCGGTCCTTAACTCCTTTTTGAAGTTTGGTCAGCTGCATCATCGGACCTGGATCTTGCAATTGAAGACACGACGTCCGAGTCATTTTGTGCATCTCTAGAGGGCTCATTCAAACATGTCGAGTCAATCCCATGACAATCTGAGGGTAGGGGTGGAACCAGCTGGGTTCGATCGAGACTTGAGCAAAGAGGTTGCTGTCGAGGATGATATTGTTTCTCTGCCTCCACCACCATTGAAAGATGGCGGTCTCAGGGCTTGGCTTCAGGTTGTTGGATGTTTTCTCGTCTTCTTTAATGTTTGGTGAGAATGATGGATTTGTGCCTTTGCCGCAGCCTCTGACAAACATAGGGGTTTCACTTTCGCATTCGGTGTCTTCCAAAATTACTACGAGACCCACTTGCTGAGCAGCAGTACTCCTTCTGAGATATCGTGGATTGGGACACTTGCATCATACCTTCTCATCGTTATCGGCATCATATCTGGACCGCTGTTCGACCTTGGCCATTACCGGATCATGCTGTTTGGTGGCGCGGCCATGTCATGTTTCGGAATCTTCATGCTGAGCCTGTCGAAGGTGTACTATCAGATCATACTAACCCAGGGCATATGTACAGGCCTGGGATGTGGTGTACTGTTCATTCCAGGCATGGCGCTTGTCAGTCGCTCGTTCAACGCACGAAGAGCAGTTGCTTTAGGCCTTGTCAGTTGCGGTGCACCCTTTGGTAGGTTGAGGCATTTGTCATCACCTGGGGAGAAACCTACTAACAGCCACAACAGGGGGCATCATCTATACGATTGTTTTTGAGCAACTAATCGACTCCGTGGGCTTCGCCTGGACAGTCAGGGTGATGGGCTTCATCATGACAGGCACGTTCCTTGCTGCATTCCCCCTACTCCTTTGGGGAGCGAGCAATACCGGCGATATCAGCTCAGGCACCACACGGAAGCTCTTCGACAGAGCAGCGCTCAAAGATGTTGGCTTTTGGTTTTATACTGGGGCAAATTTCTTCGTACGTCTTTCCGGTTGCGAGAGTGCTATGGCTATCCCGGCTTGCTGACCTTCACAGATATTTACCGGCTACCTTGTGCCCTTCTTCTACATCCCGAGCTACGCACAACTTTCACTTGGCGCATCACGCGCACTGGCGCTCTATTCGGTCGTGATCGCCCAAGGTTCTTCCGTTGTAGGACGAATGATATTCGCGACGCTCGCGCTCCACATAGGAGTGATGATACCTTGGGTGATGTGCGCCTCGGTTTCAGCCATCCTCTGCCTTGCCTGGATAGGTATCAAGACCAAGGCTGCCTTCTGCGGATTCTGCGCCTTGTACGGTGAGTAGCTTCGGCGCAGGAACCACCATTTCCAAGATTTGCTCTGACGATGTGCAGGATTCTTTTCGGGAGCACTCATTCCCCTTCCACCTAGTATTTTCCCAGTCGTGTGTCCTGACCCAAAAGTCCTCGGTACCCGACTCGGAATGGCCCAAGCAATCGGTGCTACAGCATCCCTAATAGGTAGTCCAATAGCTGGCGCCTTGGTAGGCGACAACGGACAGCATTATATCGGATTGCAACTCTTCAGCGGTCTCGTCATGCTGATCGGCACGGCTTTTCAGATCTTCCTTTGGATCAATCTAGTGAAAAAGAGGAACTGCAAAGTATCCGTATGAATGGCAAAGGATGATGAACCCCAATATTTCATGCACCTGCCAAATTATGCGGCGTTCGGTCACCGCCAAAGAAAGCCCACGGGGAAGTTCTGTGTGCAAGTGGTACCCAGTCACGTATCTCGCACCTGCAGGACTGTGAGCGACGCGTAACAAATCAGAGCTTCGAACCATTAAACGAGCGAAGGGAGTCACGCGTGAGCAAGAGGCTGAGCACAGATGCACGCCTGACTGGCCTTGGTGGCCTCGCATGTTCGTTTGTCAGGTGGACGAACGCCATCTCTTGCGGGGACATATACTCTATTATTACCCCATCAGAAAGAGGTTTGTCTTTCACGAAAGCTTGTGCAACCAGAGTCTGCAAATATGCCCTTTGGAATCGAAGACGACGAAATCGGAGCGTATATCGCCCTCTACCAACGACGCCAAGATCGACTTACAAGGATGAAGCAGAGGAGTCTACTGACGCCAACGGTAAATACAACACCGCCGTCAAGATGTACGCGGCTTTTTATGGTCCCAGAGTCGGCTCAAGCGAAATCACCGTCAGGGCGAGGGCCATATGCTGCGATCTCCCATTCGCCCCCAACGTCGTCGCTGGTAACGCAAACGGAAAATCACATAGTGCTCAAGTCGCCCCCAGCACGATCAGACACGGCGCCAACGAGACTATTCTTCTGGCCTTCGGACACGCCGTATCCTCCGCCCGACCCGTGGTGGAAGAGGCGGGAGGAGCCAGGAAGGAGTGCCAGCAGTTTACGTCGGACCAGGCGGCCGCCTGTCGGAGAACAACAACAACCCCCTCCCTACACTGCCGTGGATCAGCCCCCGCCCTACACAGGGGGAGCCTCCCCGACTGGAGATCCATCCCAGCGATTCAAACACCTGATTGACCGGGGGGTGAACATCCTTGTGCAATCGACGACCGCGGCAACCCCTGCTGCCAATGGCATCGTCAGGTATCAGGCACGCCCCAGTGGCTAGCATATCCGTGGGCATACTGTAGTAGACAGAGAGGACGGTCGTTCGGGCGACCGGTACTGAGCACATGGCCCGGCAACAGCGTGCCGGGGGCTTGCAGGACTTGCCGGCTTGATATCATCTGAATATCTTGGCGGGCTCTTGAAAAGAAAGACGAGCGGCTCCGGAAGGTCGCTTATACAAGTGGGATACTCTCGCTGTTGCGGGAAGTGTGAGATATAACTCAAGCTTGGTCGCGGAGGTGCTGTTTGCACTGGAGGCAATACTGGAGAAATGGAGGATGAACAAGCATGGGGTTCTGTGACCGACGGACCGGATCAAGTCCTACAAATATAGTTGATAGTACTGTACAGAGCAAGAACGTAGACCCATCAACCTTGGCGTCTGAAAGAAACAACACAGCGAGCTGAGCAGCCGTACACCAATCTAATTCTTACTTGCTTTTGAACTTGGATATTTGCCCCAGCCCCTTCCGTGGCCTTTCTGCTTCCACTCCCGAATGAGAGCCGGCATATTCTCCATGGCTTTCCGTCTCTTGTCAAGCGTAGTGCCGATCCGTCTCTCCCATTTATGACCCTTGACCTTCTGTCCTTCACCGGTTCCTTTTATCCTAAGACCGCGCTCTAACAGGCGCGATTCCTTGAACGCAGTCGATTTTTTGCCCGGCGGCAGAAGTTCCTCGATGTGGTACTGGTGCGCAAGTTTCACGAGCTCGGCTTGTCTGCGCAGGCCGATTTTGGGGCCTGACCAACGGCCGGTTTTGAAGTTTTTGCGCGGGAGGAAGGGGTTTGGCGGAAATTTCTCGAGATTTTGCGATGCAGCAGGCGGTGGTATGGGTATCGAGGAGTCTGTTCCTTGTCCATCCGCCAGAGATTCTGAGGGTGGTGTTGATTCGGAGACTGAAGGCGTTGAAGATACCAACACAGGTTGCGCAATTATGCTTGGGTGTGCTTGTGGAGTAGAGGATATGGTTGTTTGGTTTGCGAGCAAGGCAGCTCGTGCGACTGCGGCTTCTTTGGCATCTCTTCGCGTCAAGGGGATCTTGATGCCGGTGAACTTTGCGGAGTACAGTTGTGGAGGGTAACGTGCGAAGAAGTTCTGTAGCCGTAAAGGCAGAGCTGTGGTGGTCATCGTGCTGATGTCAGGCGGTCTAAAGAGTTCATAGATATGTTGTCAGCAGACAAAGCACCTTGGGCTGCTGTGACAGTGAACTTTGACGAGTGGGTGAGTCGCTGGTAAGGCATGGAAAATGGTGCCATGTTGCTCAGTCACTCCGCAACCTTGGCGCGACTTTGGGCTGAGATGCGTCTTGCTTCAGCCTCTCGAATTTTCCCGCCTTTCACATGCGTCCCAAGCTCAACAAGTCCATACCTGGCTACCTTTACTCAACTACTTGTAAACCTCGTACTCCTTGAGGGTGTCTTTGCGGAGTTCCCCTCTCGATCACTACTTGTCTATCGATAATATCGCATCGAGTCCGTCACTTCGATCGTATAACCGACCTGCGCCGAATCAGGCTGCGTCCAGATGGACGCCTACGGTGGGAACGACGAGGAGAGCGCTGAGCTGCGGAAGCTGTTGGCAGAAGTAGTACGTTGTCGCTGCACTGCTCAGCGCACATTCGCATGCTGACTGAGATTTCCAGAACGATGATTCAGACAACTTCGAGGTCTGGGAGAAGCTAGTCCGCGCCGGTGAAAGCCTAGAAGGTGGAATAAACAGAAACTCGAGCTCCCAGGCCATCACGGCCGTGCGGAACATCTATGACCGCTTGCTTGGGAAATTCCCTCTCTTCTTTGGCTACTGGAAGAAGTATGCCGACCTCGAGTTCTCAATAGCCGGCACCGAGGCTGCAGATATGGTAAGGACATTGCGCTCGGATCCAAGGGAAGCGTACGCTGAACATTGGACAGATCTATGAACGTGGCATTGCGAGTGTCACAAACTCCGTCGACTTGTGGACAAATTACTGCTCCTTCAAGACCGAAACGAGCCACGACTCAGACGTGATCCGAGAGTAAGTACAGCAGTCACTCACCCCTTCCTTCTCAGCGAGACCTAAACACAGCAAGACCTCCCCGAGTCAACGACAGTCGCTGGTGATTTGGTTCATGATAATGGCTACCGCGCGGCACTGGTGAGCCCATCGTCAGCCACCTTCCCTCTCCGAGCTTGCATTCTCACTCATCACCAGTCAGGTGCTTTGATTTACTCTGTCCGAAGGGCCTCCACATACCCCGTGAATCCCGCAGGAGTGATTTTCAGTTGTTGCAGAGCTGTTGAAGGACTTAGCATCACACCACGTACTTCCACCAGATCACACGTTTGCTTCCACCCACCTCTCCCCTCCGACCCCTTCCCCAATGCCACATGATTCTGACCCCGATGTGTTCAGGCTTTTCGAAAGAGGCGCGGTATGCGTCGGGCTCGACTTCCTGGCTCATCCCTTCTGGGACAAGTACATCGAATTTGAGGAGCGCATGGATGCGCATGATCGAATCTTCGCCATCTTGACCAGAATCATCCACATTCCTATGCATCAATATGCCAGATACTTCGAAAAATACCGACAGATGGCTCAGTCACGCCCACTGACAGCCATAGCACCTACCGGAACCCTTACTCAACTGCAAATGGACCTTGAAAATGAGGGCATTGGTTACAAGGCTGGTCGCAGCCAACCCGAGGTCGAACGCGAGCTGCGAGTCCGCATCGACAACTACCATCTGGAAATCTTCAGACGGACACAGACCGAGACTACCAAGCGCTGGACCTATGAATCAGAGATTAAGCGTCCCTATTTCCACGTCACAGACCTCGACGATGCCCAGGTCGCGAACTGGCGGAAGTACCTTGATTTCGAGGAATCCGAGGGAGATTACACCCGCATCCAGTTCCTGTACGAAAGGTGCCTGGTCACCTGTGCGCAGCACGACGAATTTTGGTTGAGATATGCCCGATGGATGTTGGCTCAGCAAGGCAAAGAAGAGGAAGTCCGAAACATCTATCAACGAGCATCTTGTCTCTTTGTTCCGATTGCCCTCCCGATTACCAGGTTACAGTATGCTTATTTTGAGGAGATGACAGGGCGTGTCGATGTGGCGAAAGATATTCACGAAGCCATTCTTGTGCAGTTGCCTAATCACGTCGAAACCATCGTGTCATTGGCGAATATGACCCGCCGTCACTCCGGGCTTGAAGCTGCTGTCGCAGTCTACAAAGCTCACCTCGACGCTCCAACCACGGATAACACCACCAAAGCGGCGCTCGTCGCCGAGTGGGCCAAGCTTTTGTGGAAGTCCAAGGGTTCAGCAGAAGAAGCTCGTGAAATCTTTCAAAAGAACCAGAATTGGTATCTTGAAAGTGCTGCATTCTGGTCGAGTTACCTCCGCTTCGAAATCGATCAGCCGATCAGCAGTGGCAATGAGCAGCAACATCATGAGCAGATTCGGCGAGTCGTGGACGAGATCCTCACCAAGACAGCGCTGCCAGAAGCGACGGTTCAGGACCTCGTTACTGCCTACATGAGGCATCTGCTCGAGCGAGGTACTAAAGATGCCGCGAAGGAGTACATGGCTCTTGATCGGCAGATCAACGGGTCAATCTCAGTCCAGAAAATGCCCAAGGCGAATCCCGATTCAAACAAAACAGTCGGACTAGTCAATGGACAGGTACGTATATGTCACGCTTAGCTCATCTATCTGTATTGACAGCTCCCCAGCAACCTCCTCCAATCCGATACGCCTGAGCGTCCAATACCCTGAAAGCGAGGAATTTGGCCTTGGCTAACGAAACGGTCCAGCATCTCAAGTCATGGACTTGATTTGAGGCAATAAAGGGTATGGCAGGTCGTATTGCTTCACCTTTGTCCCGGTGGGAAGCCTTTGCATTGATGTCCTGAATGATATCCTCGGATAATGAGGATGGCATTGGCTGTACACAGATTCAATAATGATATTGACATGAACTTGGGCGCTTTTCTCAGCATCGCTTTGGTTTGGAAATAAGAATATTAAGTGTGTGTCGTATGGAGTCCCTGAAGACCATGCTAAATACTCCGCACGTCTGATTGCCAACATATCCTCGGGAATGAGAACCTATGACCAGGACAGCAATGCATTGATTGGGTGACTCAGAGGATGATCGAACGATACAATTCGCATCTGATTTGATATACGCGGATACAAAAGCTGCAGAAACTTGAGAGTTGAACTTGTGCTCTGTAAGGAGTTTGTTGGTCCTTCAGGTCTTACGACTCCTTACGAGGTAAGGAGAGCCGAGTGTGGCCGAGTACCTCCAGCTGAACCTGCCCTGTTCCTTCTCTTCTGTATTAGACATCATTATGTTGGCCATAGCGCCTGTTCTCTTTAAACGCTCACAATTGTCGATGTATAGCGCTTGTATGGAGTACTCCTTCCAGGATCGTGGCTCGGGGAACAGGCAGGGATGTCCTCCGTAGCTACATAGAGAGCAACGGGGTGCGCCGCCCACTAGAAAGCCTTGCAGGGGGCAGCCTCAGCCTCGCTCGCGCAAGGCTGAGAATGGACTCTGGGAAATAACAAGAGCCGGTGCTTAGTCAGCTCTGCTAAATTGAGACTCGCTTGTCTTGTGCTTGCTCGTATACATAGAATCCCCACCAGGAACGTCTCTCACTGCCCTCAATTTGTCTGACAGAAAACCGCAAGCTCCTACCACTGCTGGCACTGCACTGCATTGAGATGATGGCGGACACCAAGGTGAACGGACATCACGATATTGGCCTGCCTGCACCACCTATTGACCCTATTGCAAGACCAGAGACTCCCCCTCCGCCGCCAATCTTCGAGAGCGAAGCACCGCCTCCGCCGGTCGACGATGCCGTCCCTCCGCCACCACCCGCCGCTGCTCCCAAGCGGGCAACAGCGCCAAAGCCCAAGGCAACGCCGCTTAGCGTTGAAGAGCTCCTGAAGAAGAAGAGGGAGGCCGATGCTGCGGCGAGTAAGCCCAAATTTCTATCCAAAGCCGAGCGTGAGAGACTGGCGCTTGAGAAACGCCAGAAAGAAGTCGAGGCGGCCGCGGCCAACAAGTCTCAGAGTGGCGCGGCTGCCACACACTTTGGTGCCCCTACGCAGCCTGGTCGCAACGCCAAGTCCAGTTCCACAGCCCCTACTGGTCCAAGAGCTATGCGAAATGGAGATGTCCCAACCAGTCCAGCTGCGATGAGGTCGCGAGAGCCCAACAAGAACCACGATTTCGCACCGCCACCGGCGCCCAAAGCGATAGCGTTTGGCGATTCGAAGAAGCGGCCGCAAGAGGACGACCGGACGGAGAAGGCAGAAACGGAGCTGATTCGGCAGCGATACATGGGCGCGGATCTGAACGTCTCGACCTTCTCAGCGGTCAAGAAGCGGAAGCGCACAACAGAAAAGAAGTTCAACTTCGAATGGAACGCCGAGGAGGACACGACGCCCGACTACAATCCTATCTACAACAACCGCGCCGCACCAAGTTTCTTCGGGCGAGGGAGACTTGGTGGATTCGACGACCAAGCCGCGGATGAAGCTGCACAAAAATACGCGGAGGCCCTGGCGTCTAGAGACACCGTGGCCGGGGCAGAGCGAGCGCAAGCTCTCTTAGAAATGGAGCGCAAGAGGAAAGAAGCCAGCGACCGCATGGCCATCGACAAACACTGGAGCGAGAAGCGACTGGACCAGATGCGTGAACGAGACTGGCGTATCTTCAAGGAAGATTTCAACATCGCCACCAAAGGCGGCGGGATCCCAAATCCTATGCGCAACTGGAAAGAATCAAATCTTCCTCGCCGCCTGCTCGACATTATCGAACAGGTCGGGTACGTGGAACCCTCACCCATCCAACGTGCTGCTATACCTATCGCCCTCCAGAACCGCGATCTTATCGGTGTAGCCGTCACAGGTTCGGGCAAAACAGCAGCCTTCCTCCTACCCCTTCTCGTGTATATTGCCGAACTTCCGCGCCTGGATGAAGACGACATGCGAAGAAACAACGGTCCCTACGCCATCATCCTGGCCCCAACCCGCGAGTTGGCGCAACAGATCGAGATCGAAGCCAAAAAGTTCGCGACTCCACTCGGCTTCACCGTCGTCTCCATTGTCGGCGGCCACAGCATCGAAGAGCAAGCGTACAACCTGCGCAACGGCGCCGAGATAATCATCGCCACGCCAGGCAGACTGGTCGACTGTATCGAGCGGCGTATCATCGTCCTCGAACAATGCTGCTACGTCATCATGGACGAAGCGGACCGTATGATCGACCTGGGCTTCGAAGAGCCGGTCAACAAGATCCTCTCGGCCCTGCCGGTCACGAATGAGAAGCCCGACACCGAAGACGCCGAGGACATGCGCGCCATGTCGCGCCACATCGGCGGCAAGGACCGCTACAGACAGACAATGATGTACACGGCCACCATGCCCGCGGCGGTCGAACGCATCGCGCGCAAGTACCTGCGCCGCCCAGCGATCGTCACGATCGGCAACGTCGGCGAGGCAGTCGACACGGTGGAACAGCGCGTCGAGTTCGTCGCGGGCGAAGACAAGCGCAAGAAGCGCCTCGCCGAGATCCTCCACTCGGGCCAGTTCCGCCCGCCGATCATAGTCTTCGTCAACATCAAGCGCAACTGCGACGCCGTCGCCCGCGACATCAAGTCCATGGGTTTTAGTTCGGTGACCCTGCACGGCAGCAAGACGCAGGACCAGCGCGAGGCGGCCCTCCAGTCCGTGCGCGACGGCAAGACCGACGTTCTCGTCGCGACCGACCTCGCTGGCCGCGGTATCGACGTCCCGGACGTATCTCTCGTCGTGAACTTCAACATGGCGACAAACATTGAGAGCTACACGCACAGAATCGGCCGGACGGGTCGTGCGGGCAAGTCCGGCGTGGCCATCACGTTCCTGGGGAATGAGGACAACGACGTCCTGTACGATCTGAAGCAGATGCTCATGAAGAGCTCGATATCACGGGTGCCGGAGGAATTGCGCAAGCATGAGGCTGCGCAGCAGAAGAGGGGTAGCCAGTTCGCTGGCGGTGGTGACAAGGGTGGGCCCCGAGGAAAGACGGCGAGTGATGAGTCTGGTGGGTTTAGCGGCAAGGCCGGTGGCTGGTAGATAGGCACGGTGGATACTGGCTGACTGGGTCCATCGGTGAGCGCCATGGACTAGACACTACCCTGGGGAGAGCAATGGGCGAAACAAGCGGCGAATGGATATCCGCAATTGCAATGACACCGGCGCCCTTCTCCTACGTGGCAATCTGATGATGTGAGAAGACGAGCACAAAGAGCCTGGGCTGTATACTACAGTACTTACTTCTAGTAGATACTGTGGATACAAGAGATGATGCATCGGGTCGCTAAATCCACCGAACGATGATCCAATGAGACTGTTCGTGGCTGCTCTCTATTCAAGCTTATAGCGGTGTTGTTTGTGGCGTACGCTTCATCTCCAAATCACAAACCGCTCTCCAGAAACACACGACCGCGACAAGTTCCAAATCAAAGAGATAGACAAAGATTCCCTTCCAAACCCCCACGCTTGTCATAACTCGTTCACTGCTTCTGCTCCCCACCCAGCGGAAGTCCATCACGTCCGTCGTATAGATCAAGCCATCTACCTACTGGATCGGACTCCTCCTTAATGCCCCAACGCGCTTGATCGGCGTGTGCATCTGGTACAATTGCTCCTGCACATCCGGCGGCATGGCCGCTTTCGTGACCACTTCCTCCCAATCACCTCCAGTGCCACCAGCATTGTTGTCTTGTTGAGAATTCAGCTTGCCGAGCACCGAGACCGTCGGGTTGAAGTTTTCCTTCTCAGCCTGGGATTGAGCTTGCGATTGCGCGTGCTGAATAGCTTGAGACGACTGTTGCGAGATCTTCTCCAGCCTCTGCTTCGGAACGGGCAGTGCTCTCCTTTGGATCGCATTTGCGCGTTTCGGAACGAGTGGGTTTCGTGCCGGAGTTGTAGATGTCGGGGCTGACGAAGACTGAGGAGCGACATCCGCCGGCGCTGTTGCAGGAGCGGGTGTAACCTCTTCCTTGGCCTCTTGCCTGGCTTTCTCCTGCCCGTACAACCACTCTTCAAAGCCCTGAACAGCCTGAAGGAATGCCCCCTTACCGAGAGTTCTGCTCTCGACTTCTTTGCTAAGCGCGTGTTGCACTTTCCTGCCCTTGGAGCCGCCGATCAATCCCACGGCAGAACCGTACATTGCACTTGCAGTGACATTGGTGGATGTGACGATGTTCCCATCACTCAATATCGTTACAGACACAGCAAACTCAATGTCAATGCGTCCTTGTTTCGAAGTCATCACCATGACTTTGAGGCCGAGCTCCTCATCACTTAGGATAGTGGCAGTCGAGATGCCAATGAAATTGAGCAGACGTAGCTCTTCAGAGATTTTGCAAGCAAGGCTCCAGCCGTTCGACACTGTCGCCAATACTGTCTTGGCTGCGACCGACCTCTTCGGTATCATTGCATAGGCGTGTAAGTGACTCCTAATTAGTTGCAGGAAGAAGCGCTTCTCTGTGGGCAGGTCTGGCACAGAGTCATCCGATTCTTCGACGTTTGTAGGTGCGTATGTTAGGCTGATGGGAGCAGTTGGACCGCTTGTAGATGCGGATCTCCTCCCTGATCTGCGACGAGGCGCGTCCGTGACCTTGCACTGGAACGCTTGAGGATAAAAGAAGAGCCTCAGCTCATCTTTGTAGGTCATGACCAGAGCAGCACCTAACTCAGTTGGCTCGTCCACTTCTTCTTCAGCACTGACAAGTCGCCAACCAGTCTGCTTCTCAATAGCCTCGACTCGAGACTTCAAAGCCAAGACATCCGCGACGGGCCAACCTTTGTGTTCTTCCCGTACCCGGTCAGCTTCTGCGATTTGATCTTTCATTTCGCTCTTTAATTCGTCAACAGCTCGAAGCGCTTCTTCTTTCTCCCTCATTTGCTCTTGCAGGGAGTCGAGCAAAGCAGATCTCTGGAGGAAGTATTCGTCAGCGTTCTGGAGTTGGCGACGGCACTCGTTCAGAACTTCATGATCGACACTGTCCAGTTCTTTAAGGCTTTGTTCTAACGAGGACTTCTGACTCTCGACATCGGCTCGTTCCTCGTGCAGTACCGGCAGCACCTCATGTAGCGTTTGTTGCTGTTGTTGCAAAAGTTCGAGATCAGCCTTCATGCCTTCGTCAATACCTTGAAGTCCGGTCTTGAGGCCATCTACCAGCTGTGTTCTCCATTGGTACCACCCTTCCTTGCTTTGAAGTCGAGCATGAGCTTTGCCGTTTCGAAATTGATTGTCCATGATAACTTTCGTGTCTGGACGAGCATCCACGTACTCGCGAAAGAGGGCTGGCTGTTCAGCAAGTGTTTCCGCTTCAATAGAGCGGATGATCTTGCGACCGGTGGAAATGTAGGACTTGAGCTCTCTTGTGGCATGCTGGTACAATTCGAGGAGAGGGAGTGTGGTAGCAGCCGCAACAAAACTTGCTTCAGTGCTGCTGCCACCTACGCCTTCTTGGGACGGCCTGGCGGGCATTGAGTGTGCCATTGTATGCCTTCTCTTCGTAGTCGACAGTTCGATGAAGTGGATATTTGTCATGTTGAGGAACTGTTGCAGGGAGATTTTCTCCCCTTGAGCTTTAGCAGCTCCAACGTCCATTTGAGCAGTCGAAATGTCGATTGCTCCGATGACATTGTCAAGTTTGTCCTCGAACGATTCTGGCCTTGCACCAGCACCGGTCTCGACATCTCTGAATCGCCCAGTATGAGTTGGGCTCTGCGGGACGGCTTTCTCATCCGGCGAAGCTTCTCGTAGAGTCGGTGTTACGCTGTCTGCGCTGGCCATGCCTTGCAGCGACTTCTGCAATTTCGCTCCAAGCCTGCCGGTCGTCTCATCCTTACTCGGAGGCTTTGGCAGACGGATCTGCTTGACCGGGCTGCTTTCTCTGGAAACAACCCGTAAGCGTTTTGGCGTAGAGTCGTGCTCGTCGTCATCATCCATATCCAGCTCTGCAGGTCTTTTTCCCAGCAACCCCTTGGCAGCACCAACAGCAAAGCTCTTTCTTCCTTTGATCCTGCTGCCTTTCGGCTTTTGTGGCGTCATTGACTCTATCATGTCCTTTAGCGTTGCCGTATTGTCCTCCTGGAGGTCGTCAGCTTCTTGCTCCATCATGAGTCGTCCGCTTTCACGTCGGTGCTCTTCTGCCCTCTCGGCCTCGACTTCCTGTGCAATCTGTTGCGGATCTTCAGAACGCAATTTGTCCGGCTCTATACTAACGAGCTTGAAGTGAGGCGCAGCGTCACCGATCGAAGACCGCCGATCCAGCAGTTCAGTAACTAGCGGGGAGCCTATCCCATTCTTATCGATGCCAATCCCACTCGAGCGCCGGCGAGCAATAGATGGTCTAGACGCTTTCAGAACGATGCTAGGCGTTTGACTTCCAGGTGAGAAGAGACTCTTCCGGTTCGTGGAGGCGGGCGATGCCCTGGCTTTAATTTCTGCCTTAAACAGCTTTTTTGGGGAGGCGCCTCTGTGGACCACATTTGCAGAGAGGGGAGTTTTGTTCGGAGACTCCGGCTTTGTAGGAAGGGGTGTGATCTGCTTTGAAGGAGTACCCAGCTGGGTTCGGCGTGCTGATTTAATTGGCGTAGTGTCACCGACTTTAGCCTGCGGTGTCGTAGATTGTTTTGTAGCGCTGCGTTGAGACCTGGCTGATGATCGAGGTTTCAATGAAAGACTTGGACTCCCAGTTTCGGAGGCGATCGAGGTCCTAGGGTGTTGATACCTGGGTGTAGATCTGAGTGTGGTTTGTTCAGTTGGCCGAGGACGCAGCGATGGCGCCGTTGCCACCTCGTTCGGAGGGAGCATATCCGTGGCTTGTTCGCTGCCGGGCAGAACACCCCCTACAGCCCTGGTCACATCCATAGCCATCGTCTGGTCTTCGTCGTCACCTTCAGTCTCTGACATTGCCTGTGGTGAGCGGAGGGACCCGTCTTCGAGGGAATGTCTTGCTCGCTTATTACCCGGAAGGATGCCACCCACAGCTCTGGTCATGTCCATAGTCGTGGTTTGATCTTCTTCCACATCGGCTGCGGGCAGGTTTTGCGTCTGGTTAGAAAGAGATTGTCGCTTTGAACGTTGGTTGTTGGAGAGGATACCACCGAGAGCTCTTGTGGTCTCCATGGCCATGGTCTGGTCGTCAATGTCTGTCTGTGGCTCAGTCTGCTCCTCGATAGGGGGCAGGATCGCACCAACAGCTGCGGTCATGTCCATGGCGGTGTTCTCATCAAATATTTCAGATTGCAAGGACTCCCGGCGATTGGCGGCGTCCAAAACACCTCCAGCCGCATGCGTAAACTCCATACTGATATCTTCATCTGAGGCACGACTATTCGTGGTATGGTTAGCGCCCACGCCAACAATTCCCCCCTGCATGACAGTGAACTCCATAGTCTCATCCATGACAGACTCATTGACGGAAGATCGACGACGACGGATGCCGCTTTTACGACGTGATTTAGCAACATGTTGTTCAGGTGACAGGCCAGAGATAATTCCGCCGACTGCACTTGTCACATCCATACTCATCTCATGACTTTGTTCTTCGTCTTCGTCTTCGTCCTCAATCTCGACATCATCACCCTTGTCTGCTGGTAAAGAAGGTAAGACCGGGTAGACATTTTCCTGGTCGTGTACTGTGATATTGTCATTCTCCGCTGCTCGACTTGATGCCCAAGGTTGGAAAGCATTCGTGATAGTGCCAGTGGCCATTTCCATGGGGAGATCGTCGCCATTCTCATCGTGTTCAATACCACGAGTACCAGCCTGATCTGCTGCTTGACGGAGTCGATCGTCTAAACTGGAGTGAGAGCTTGACGCCGATTCTTCAGAATTTGTCGAATGCACGGTCGATTCGTCCATACTCATTGCAGTATCACCATCGGTATCTGACTCATCCGAGGACTCAATGCCTTCTTCAACCCGCATCGGGCTGCTGTTGGTTGTGACGTCTCCAGAAGGACTCGAGGAGCAAACAGACTCGTCAGTGGCATCTAGCACTGGTTCAGCAAGACCAGAACTTCTGCGACGGCGCTTCTTTTGGTGCAGATCTCGTTGGTTCGCTGGGGATTCCTTGACCACGTCTTCTTCAGTCTGCGCAGTAGGGGTCGCAGGAGTCTGCACTCGGTCAGGCGACCGAAGCGACTTGTCCGGGGACTGTTGTGCTGTCATCGAGGACTGTCTTCTCGTGGAGTTCGAGGCAGAACTTGTAGTTGAATCCTCTACTAGTTCCATGACACTCCAGGTATGCAAGGTAGCCTCAGGTGCGAAGGAAACTCGACGGTTGGCCATTGATTTCCTTCTTGCTGCTCGTCGTTCAAGTATAGCCGCCTTTTCAGCCTGGCGCTGGCGTTCCTCCTCTCGCTCCAATTCGAGAGCTCCCATGCTCTGAGCATCCGCATCGCTCTTGCGTGGCGACCGTCGCGCCATAGGGCTGAATGGGTCAGCAACATTCTCACTGCCGGACAATGACACCTCTTTGTCATCTTGTCTACTAGGACCGGGCGTGGAGAAGTCAATCAAGAGCTCTTCAGCCGCATTTTTCGTTGGTGATTTTCCCTTTCCTGTGCTGCGTTTCCGGAGTTCGTCAAATGTAGGGATCGCTTTGGGCGGTGTAAGGGGTATTGTAGGCTTTAAGATTGACTTTATTTGAAAGGGTTTTGTTGTCTGCGAAGAGTCAATGATGCGCCTTCAACGACCACGACGCATAATTACCTTGGTTGTATTGCCAGAGGACTCTCTGAGAGCTTCGAGACCGCCAGGACCTAGGCTTTTGCCACGCTGCTTCCTCTTTGCGACTTTAGCTTCCGCATCTTGGGCTTTCAGAGCGGCAATGTCAGTTGTCGCATTGTCTCGTGAAGCGGCTTCTCGGGTTGATGGCATGAGGGCAATGGACTGTCGGGCCTTGGGTCGGCTTGCCCGTGGGCTTGTGCTAGAGTCGGTCATCGCAATGCCATTGAAACCCTAGCAAGCTCGTTGGAGGCACATCCGTCTAAAAGAGATGCATCTGGTAGAGATGTTGTTTGTTCCAAGGTCGGTCACCTTCGCGTCCCACTATTCTGACATAACGCGATATGCAAGCTAGACCGGAAGGAGTGCGCGGGTAAACACCAAGGCACGTGATGAGCCTTTCGTCACACTTGCCTATCCGGCTCGCAGCACTGCCAAGATTCAATTTTCTCAGCACACAGTGGGAAAGCCTATCGCCGTGCTACAAGACCGGGACACCTACATTGCGAACGTCGCTTCCTTTCTGTCAACAACCCGCAATCATGGCGACCGAGTTGACAGTGCAGTCCGAGCGCGCCTACCAGAAGCAGCCTCATATCTTCCTCAACTCCAAGGCAAAGGGCGCGAAGAGCAGGAGAGTCGGCAAGGGCGGTCGAAGATGGTACAAGGACGTTGGCTTGGGCTTCAGAACACCAAAGACGGCGATTGAGGGATCATACATTGGTCAGTGTTTGTCCCGCAGCATCACGCTGAATGCGGCCTTTGGGGTCAAGAACATCAACCATTGAGATCGCAGGTGGATTGGATCTGACACTTTCTCATCCACAGACAAGAAATGCCCTTTCACAGGTATGGTCTCCATCCGAGGCCGTATCCTCACCGGCACCGTCGTTTCCACCAAGATGCACCGAACCTTGATCATTCGCCGAGAATATCTCCACTTCGTTCCCAAGTACGCCCGATATGAGAAGCGACACAAGAACCTGGCTGCACACGTTTCCCCGGCTTTCCGTGTTGAAGAGGGTGATACCGTCACTGTGGGCCAGTGCAGACCCTTGAGCAAGACAGTAAGAGATCCTCGACTATGTGAGAATTTTATGAAGAAGTGAGGGACTAATTGTGGAATTCAGGTCCGATTCAACGTTCTTCGTGTGTTGCCCAGAACTGGCAAGGCTGTCAAGGCGTTCCAGAAGTTCTAAGCGCAAAAGGCTCGAATGCTACGGGAGTCGTGATACAATGCGAGCATGTTGTTGTTGCATCCGGAACAGATGCCAGCCTAGGGCAATTGAGAAAAGCACAAGCATACTACGTACGATCAGGATCTGCAGAAGGACTGAAGGAATAGTTCCAGCGTCACCAAGCACAGATCAGATTAGAGGATATGTTCGCCAGCATTAGGGCAGGCGTCAAGTCCACGCAAGCCATACCGGCACGCGTGAACAATCAAGATCAATCAAGGTTCAGACTGGCTCATATCGAGGTTATCTACCTGTGTCTACTCTGCGGAATGATTGCCTCGGATTGCGACTGACTCTTACAGCTCGTGCACCGTCCATCTCAAGCCGCCAAATACGCAAACCCAGCTTCAGCCTTCAATGGCGCATATCCCGAGCTATCCACCTTCGGCAAGATGCTGAGCTTCCTCTCTGTTTCCTTCTCGTGCGCTTCAATCCACCTCTTCACCTCGGCCTCCACAGACCAATCACTAATCAACTCGTCTCCATGCCCAATCTGATGCAGCTGTGTGCCACTGCTCTGCGTGTTCAACGGCAGCGGCACATAATTCTCAATCGCACCAGTGACCTTTCCCTCCAGGATCTCCTTGACAAGGTAGGGTTCTGCGGCCAAGGGCCTACCAATACCTATCCCATCACAAGCGCCCTCCTCGATGGCTTTGACCATGCCCGCAGCCGTGCGAAGCCCACCAGTCACGTATACCTTGGTCTTCTTCAGCAGCGGCCGAATCATTTCCGCGAATTCGATAAAATAAGCCTCTCGTGCAATCGTGCTCTGTTTCTTGTGTTCGAAGGCCCGCCCCTCGAACGTTCCTCCGCTCAGGTCCACAAAGTCCACCCTCGCTTCTTCGAGTTTGAGGCATAGATCGCGTGCATCCTCGGGCGTGGTGCCCTTGTCCTGGAACTCGACGCTATTCAGCTTCACGCAGACGATGAACCCCGGATCGGGCACTCGCCGGTGGATCTCGTCGATGATCTCAAACACAATGCGTGACCGGTTGTTCAGGTCTCCGCCATACTCGTCCGTGCGTCGGTTCGTGGTAGGGCTGAGGAATTGCGCGAGCAGGTAGCCATGCGCGCAATGGACTAGGGTGCATTGCAGTCAGTACGTCGCATTCGAAAGGCATGCCCCAAGCAGATAGGGGACACAAGACATCTGGTCGACTGCGCTGTACTGTACTGTACTGTGCTCACCTTGAACGCCATCAAACCCGGCCTTCCAGCATAGATACGCGCTCTCGCCCCAAGTCCTCACCATCTCCTTGATCTCCGGCACCGTCATGGGTCGGGGCTTCGCGAACTCGTTGCCCGCCCATTTAATCGTCAAATGCACGTCACTCGCGCTGATGGGGTTCGGGTTCAAATACTTGGTCCCCTGTCGGCCCGGATGGGAGAGCTGCGCGACGACTAACGAACCCTGGGCTTTGGCCACCGAAGTGACTTCCTTGAATTTTGCCACGCGACCGTCGTGGTCGTCCACGATGATAGGGTTACCGTATGCTTCGACGGCGTCGTAGCGCACCATCGTGTTGCCGGAGACGATGATGCCGATATCTCCCTCGCCCCACCGTTGGTACAGGCGGAGGTACTCCGGCGACGGGACACCGCGGGCGGACTTGATGCCACTCATGTTAGTATCAGCCTGTGTTGCGAAGTGAGGGAGAGGTGTAGGGGCACAGAGAGAGGCCGGCAAGGGATGAACGGATAGGTTAACTAGACGGCTCATACAATGTCTTCTCCCTCTTTGTTCCAATGGCACAGTCGTTCCGTCATGGGTGCTTTGAGGAATCTGTTCTTGGCCGTCCGGCCGGAGAATGCGAAGGTGACGGGCTCGTTGAGGATGGACACGTCCACCGGCTTGGACTGAGCTCGGATATGCCCTCGATTCGCCTGAACCGGGTTCTTTTCATATCCTTGCTCCTGCTTGGCACCGTCTGTGATGGGGTCGGCCTTGATGGTCGAAGTATCGTACTCCATGGCTCGCTGACCGACTGGCGGAGAAGGTTCTTCTCGCTTGTTGTTTGCCCGCCGTGACGCTCCGGGCTGCGGGATAGGTATGATAGGGAGCCTGTAGCCCAAATACCTGGTAACTGTGTTGTGCTGTGCTGTGCTGTGCTGGTAACTAGTCCGAAGGTATATTCCCGTACTCTAACGATGTCTATGAGCATAAATAATGCTGCCGTCTCAACCGTCAAATTGAAGAGCCATTGGCTAAACATGATAAACATTGTATATTCGAGGGGATTCTTCGAGACCGCCGTCGCCATGGACGAAGCGTCCCATTGGATCCTCGAGTTGTGAACTCCTCGGCATTGCTTCTCCAAGGCCGTCTCGGAAGTTGCAAGTGGCGGAATAATGTCAATTTCTGACAACAGAAGGGTATTGTGTACAGGTCCAGGTCGGGGATCGGCTGCGGGGAGCGGGGTACGTCAGTAGGCCGAAATAAAATTTATGTATATATTTTTGATATCACTGAAAATTGTTCTGATTCGTCGCACAGATCGAGAGTTCCTTAGTGTAGTGGTTATCACGTCTCCTTTACATTTCCTTATGAGGAAAGAGGCACGGAGAAGGCCGTGGGTTCAATCCCCACAGGAACTATTTTTGCTTTTTCTGCTCCCTGCGTGTTGTGTACTGTAAGTAGCACACGGGCAGCAACATTGCTGCTATGGGTCGTAAGGATGAGAGCCTTGTGATATGCCCGCTAACGGATTTGGCCAACATGACCTAGGCTTGAAATCTATGGGTCGCGAAATCGCTATGAGCAGATCGTGTGTAGGACAAGCCTATGAGGCTACGGTGCCCCCAGGTCCTTCCAGTGTATGTAGATGCGAAACACCATGCATGGCGAACGGACCATCACACGAAGGCCTACAAATGCTGAAAGCGTCTCGGCTGACGGGCCCGTTACCAGGCCTGCTCATCCCGTCCTGAGGTGATCTCGACCACCTCCATACCCACGCCGATAACCAAAATCCTGCAAGCACGGTCACACGCTTGGATGCCGTTGTCTTGAGCTCCGGTAGCATACCGAGCGTTTTCATCCACGATCTCAAGTCCACTCACGTCGGCAACACCTGTCCAAGCTTGTCCCACTAGCTCGACCTGCAAGGCTTCGAACAACATATCATCTTCGGTATGCTCCGAGGAGTTGACGAACGCTCCCTGGAGATTGATGTCAACTCTCCAGATCTTGACACGTTGGTCGTTTGCCACGGTGATGATCCACGCTGACCAGCTCGTGGGACCACTTGAAAGGCATACGATCTTCAGGGCAGTGAGAGCGGCGGCGTGGGCGTTGGGGATAAGGATCGTGCGGAACCGACAGTCCGTATCTTCTTTCCCAAGCTTCCTATCTTCAATGTCAGATGACGGTGGAGATAAGGAGCTCAGGAGCGTGAGAGCCAGTGCATTATCGTCACCGCCTGTCGCGACGAGGTGACTCTTTGAGCCAACGGACAGGATGTCCATGGCTAGAATGCTACTCTGGTGCAGTTTGTGGACTTTCATCCGGCATGTCGACTCTGGCAATGCGGTTGCGTCCGAAGAGTTCAGCATATCCCGGTAATCGAGAAGACTCAGGTTCGCGTATCCGTTTGTGCCTGCAGACAGGACCCACATCTGATTGGCGGCAGCTCGAGGAAAAGGCGGGAGAAGGAGAGCCTGCATGACGCAGAACGAACCATAGCTGAGTCTTTGCATTATTTCGAACGTGCCTTTATTTCGTGTCGACGATGCGGTATACCGCACGATCTTGGTCTTCCCGTTCGAGTATGCCAGCACAAGGGTGTGCTCCTCGTATTCGGCGCCGTCGTTCTCGTGGCGTGAATCAAATCCCATGATTCGAGCGTCTGAGTCCTCTTCGTCAGTAGGCATGGTATCCCATGATATTGTTCCCACGCTAATGCAGGGTACGTCGAAGCTGAGTTTCCATACATAGAACTCTTCGCATCCGGCGCTGCTGAAGAGATACTGTCCTGAGCCCGAGAATTGGAGATGTTGAATGCCCGTCGTGTGGCGTTTCAGTGTTGCAACGTCCAGAAACTTGTTTGCCTGTAGTTGGCCAGGTGTCCGTGAGACGGCAGACGCTGGGAAGTTAGCAATGGCGAAGAGTTGGATGTTGGTGTCCTCCGCGCCAGTGGCCACAAGCACTCGATCCTCGTGTTGACTCCCAGCCCCAGCGTACGGCAATGGACTTCGCGCCACAGCCTTGATCTCGCGCCCGTGGCCTCCTCGCTGGATGATTTTATGGCCGGAACCGTTGCTCGTGTGCCAATTAAATTTGCCCGCTCTGGTCCAGACGAAAGACTTCAACCCACCGCTAGATACAGAGGCAGGATCATCTCTGAAGGCCCAACTTCGGTGACAACCACCACACTCAACTGAAAGGATGTCGGACTGCTGAGTTTCGTTCCACACAACGAACGAGGTGGACCTGAAGCCGTAGAGGATCAGGTCCGCTCGTTGAGCCTGACGTGTAGCTGAGCAATCTTCCGAAGCGGTGAGGTAAGCTCCTTCGATGTTCGGACCGAATGGAGACGATGATAGGTGAACAAGAGACATTTGTGGCTGGGCTCCGGTAGCGAGAGACGGCTGCTCAAACCGGTGAATAGCGTAATGTCCGTCACGACCGGTTGTGAGTATGTGCATCATCCCGATCCCAGTCTCGATGTCTGCATCGTGCCTGAGAACGGTGATCGAAGTAACGCTTTCCGTGCCGTGGACATGTCGGAGGCAGTATGATTCTCCAGACGTGGCAGACTCAGAGTCCACACCGGAGTATACAGAAAGAGCACCAGCACGAGAGCCGAGAAGTAACGTCTTGCTAGTTTGGTCATAGTAGCATGCTGTGATCTTAAAAGTTGCTGGCATTCTCAGAGCCGTCTCGTTCGCCCGTATTGAATCTTCCTTCATGTTGACCCAAAGTATGATCGGCACACTGTTCGTCAAGACAGCGACAACGCAAGTCACAGAATCTCGAAGACTAGCCACTTGTTGTCCAGCAACTTGCATCCACGAAATGCCATGATCGAGGTTGCATTGTATAGGTAACAATATCTCTTTACCAATCAGCAAAGCATAAAGCTCGCCCACCTGATAGGCAATGAGGACGAAACCACAGTCCTTGGGTGAGCAGAGTGTCATGCCACCCTTCAAGAGAGTTCCGTGCAATGGGCGCCACTGCGACTCCCCGTCTCGAAAGGTTAAGCGGAAAAGATGTCCTTGGCCTGTGGTCGCCAGACATTCCTGATGATCCAACAGTAAATAGTTCTTCAGTGGCAGGAGGGATGATGTGATGTCGTTAAAAGAGACAGAGATCGTGAGGGGACATAGTTTGGCGGTTTCCAATGTGTCGAATCTCCTAGAGATGATTTGCCCGTCAGCACCACCAGTGAATACGACAATACCGTGCTCGTCATTCAGCTGGCACATGGACCAGGCATTCTTCCCAAAATGAAGTCGGTCACTGGCTCCTGGTCTGAGGCTAGCGGCCAGGCCAGTCTCGCCACCAGGACGGGTAACCAATTCAGCAATCCATGATTGACAGGCACCATCTTCACCGCTCGAGAAAAGTAAGACGTCCGCAATCGTGTTGTACGACCCTACTGAGGCAAAGTCGACGTTCCAGATGCGTGAGAGATGGCCCCAAGCCGATGCAACGTGGTTCTGACTGGCCTCATTTACACGCCCGAATCCGGTCTGGGATGGACTGATTTCAAAGGAACCTCCATTGTGGACATTCCGATCACAGTCACTAATATCCCAGATTCTTACCGTGCGATCGTCGGAGCAGCTCGCCAGCAAGCGTTTGTGGATTCCTGCCAGGTTGAACATTTCCGAGATTGAGACTCCAAAAACAGAGCCTATATGTCCCCGGAAGACTTGTTCCAGAGAGGGCACCCATTGGCGACCATCCTCTCTCCTGCTGCATGTCCAAACCAGGATCTCTCCAAAGACTGTCCCAGACGCGACGATCACCAAATCAGGTGCAGCAACGGAAAGGCACCCAGAGTAGAGGAAAGACCCCGGACCCTCGATAGTCAAGCCGCCCTCATGTTGGGGAGCTTCTCCCGCAGCGACACAGGAAGTGGGTATTTTCAGGAGTTGATTGTGTGCGGTTAGCAGCAACACGAGGTTGCCGATAAAGGCCGCGTCCAAGATCCAATCCGAGCACCTTTGTTGCTCTGCTAGTCTGAGGCATAGACCGGTGCGAGACGAGTCCGCTACATTTTCTTCCAGCTTGACGCTTGCAAGCCTCACCAGTGCGCCGCCCCAAACCACGAGGAGGATTCGACGATGCACGCCTGGGCTTGCCTCATTGTCAAGCACCTTGATCCCGAGCACTGGCTGAGACTCAAAGACCTGTTGCGATAACACTCGAGTACGATCTACGTTGTAGATATGCAGATATGCGCCCTGGCCTGCTAGCAGCCACGTTGCTCCATCAACCACAACTGATGTAAGAGCAGTGACTGGGAGACATGCGGCTCGCGACTATGGTGGTCAGAAGAGGTTGTCGCACAGAGACTGGTACAAGCATCGCACCTCTATCATACATGCTGTCATTGAAATGTGTCAAGAGAAGTCGAATGCCCAGCCAGATCATCTGAGAAATACAGAGTTAAGCCGGAAGAAGATGTTGCTGAGGCGTTGAAGTCGTGAGAAAACGCTACTGCTGAGCCATTGCTTTGCCGTATCAAGCTTCACCTGGGCAATGATCCGCCCTAACGCCAACTAGAAATCACGTGCGAATCTGTTCAACATGTGACATCGCTGAATTGAAGGCGTCTGGGCATCAGGCTGTGAAACACGCTGGCTGAGTGGCTGGCCTTGTTTACACGGACCTTCATAATATCTATCTGGATCGTAATGGAGTTTTCTTGAAAGGTCGAGGTCTGAAAGCGGCATGGTCGTTCCTGTCGACACCGAAGCGTACATGCAATGAAACTGCACCGCAGATTCACAACTTCAACGTCACGGCCAACCGGAAGTGCCTTCATGCAAGGCATGTAAACCGATGGCTAGACTGGGTGCAGCGCTCGAATATCTTCGTGGTTTACTTTGACGGCTCACACAGCCGGCACATGGTGAGCCGCGCGCGAACTAAGTTTGTCTGGCATTCAACTCGCCGTGACTTGCATTGCGTCTCAAAGTGCGCGCCACGAGAAGGAAGCACAAATCACGATTTAGGATGGCTTCCTACGACCGGGTCCAATTGTCTTCACAGTCGAGGTCTTCGAGTCGAACAAGTCGACAACGCCATGAGCGGTCTACTCGTCACGATAACCGGGGAATGGGACCTCAACCTGTCACCATTGTCCTCTCTGATGAGGAGGAGGATGTGATTGGGAATGAGAAACTCAACAAGAGCCGGCCGTCAGCCAATGGAGATCAATCCACCAGGAGCCGACCGGCTGCGAGTAGGGACCAACTGCCAGCAGAACGGACACAGGCTGAAAGAGAACCACCCACGGTCATACATCTTGATAGTGACAGCGACGCAGAAACCCCAGATCGCCAATCCCAGGAGACTCGGCCAACCGCACGAGCAAGTCTTCCACCCAGACATCCATACGCTTCTACGTCAACAACTGCATCGTTACTATCTCTGGATCGACAGGAGACGGCAACGTCGGCCGTCCCTGTTTATCGTTCCCTGGAAGACCATAACGCCGCACATCGAGGTCCAGATCGACCTTTTCCAGATAGAAGCATAGCACAGCCAGAGAGGTCCATTCCGCGTACAAAAACGCCGCCGGGAGACTGGATCAAGTTTTTTGCACCGGCGCGTTGGACGCAGCCACCCGTCGCCTCCGACATGCCTCAACTTCGCGCGCAACCCCGGACACGACTACCAGAGCAACCGCCAACCGAGCACCAGGCACCACAATCAAAACGCCGCTTCGCGCAGGTTCACCCGAGGTTGCCCCAGACGCCGCATTCAGCGCAGTCTCCAGCCCCAAGTCAGGCGCAGGGACTACAACTAAGGAGTTCCTTTCCATCGCAAGCTCTGAGTACACAGTCATACATGCCTCAAGGCTCGGATACTCAAGGTACTTCATTTGATAGGTCCCTGCCGCAAGGACCGCACCCCAAGTCACTGAATGGACCGTCCGCAACGCCTGCTCCAACGGTGTCCCCGACAAGACCTTCAAGCACTACTGCAACTACATCCTTTTGGTCAACATTCAAGCAATACTCACCTCCAAATTTAAATTATAGCTCAAAACAGGAACTTCACGGCGCGAGTGTATCAACCCTTCCGGCCACTCCAAGGTCAGCGACCCCTGCTACAAAGACATCCATGTGCAACAACTGCGTTCACGACGAGCTCCCGTGTGACGGCGTAGCCCCGGTTTGCACGATATGCGCACAGCGTGGAGTTGCATGCTCTTACAAAACTGAAACGACGCCAATAGGGCGAACCAAGTTGGTTGTGTTGAAGATCCCTGGTCTTCCTAAATCTCAAGAGGTCGAGGCAGCGGAGAAAGCGGTCCCTAGGCACGTGCCTACCTCAAATCATAGCTCAGAAACCCAGCTAGATGGAGGAGAGCGTTCGAGTACGGGCAGCCCAGATGCGATCCCCACCAGGAACGCCAACATTACCCTGCGCACACCGCATCGGCTGCCCACAGACTCGGAGAACAGAGCGGACATCACTGTCACAGGACAAGTGCCCGAGTCTCCTGGCTCAGAGTCTAGCGTTAGTGGAGATTACCAGTATGTCTATCAGAGAAGCGTGTCGTCTGAAACTTCAGAGCTTGGTGAACCACTTGAGATAGATCTCACGCTGGAAGCCGTTACAAGTTTGATGGAGGGCCTCCACAAGGAAATCCGGGCCTGGCACGAAATGAGCACCCAAGCAGATTTGCGGCAGGCTACAACTGATGCGAGAAACAGCCATGGACCTAAGCTTGACCGGACGTTACAAGACCCTTTCAAGGCGATCACCGAGCAACGACGTTCAGCAGGCAACGTCTCACAGCAAAAGCCACAGGGAAAGAAAATGTCCGTCATTCGAGCGCCTTTAGGTTCCTTTCCAACGGCAGCAGTTTTGCTACCGAAGTATCAGGCCATTGGCAGAGTTTCATCAAGTATCCTCGCCCCGAACCGCAAGACCGCCAAGCATTGGGCTTATTCCGCCGAGGACGAGAATGACCCAGACTCGGACAAGAAGTACGATGACTTTGAAAAGCATTACATCATCGACTTTGAAAGCCTAAAGGCTCAGCAAAAGTGCCAGGAGCTAGTCTGGCGGTGGAAACCTTGGATGGAAGAGACACTGGCCCGGCTCCGGATTCGGAACACCGACATTCTCTACTTTTCTACCTACTTCCCATTCGAGCGTGGCTCGCATGATAGCCGGCAGGAATGGGGGAGCTGCAGCACGTGTGACCTGGTGGACGTGGAGTCTCGACGTAATCATCTTGGGAAAAGATCGTTCGACGCCTTGCCTCGTCCTGACGATCGCACTCTCGTTCTTACGGCGATGGTGGCGCGCGCCTTGGATAATGTGGCTAAGATAAGCCTCCGGCACATTGCTGTGGGCGGTCTTCTCCAGCCATATTACCCGGACGACCAAGACGCGACGTTTCAACAATCGAACCTCTGCCTCATCTGCTTTCGCCATCACTGTCCCGATCATGGCTCGTACGAGGATCCCGAGGGGGATGTCACTCCTGGCGAAGGACAATCTTTCATCAACGACAGTGAGCAGAACTCCAATATCCGCAGATATGTGACCTTACCTGACCGAGGGCGCCGGGACGAAGATAAGAGGCATGTGTGTGGAGTGTTCTGTGTGGAGCCGTCACTGAACTTACGCCGAATCCTAGGACGCCAAATTGACGGGACGGTCAGTGGGGACAGTCGACTACCGAAGGAACAAGTCAGGCACATACTTGCAGACGGCCATTTGTGCTGCCCTTCATGCTTTTGGGATGTAAACAACCGACGCGATATCAAGGCATCAGAAGTGAAATTCCAGCCCTTTCTGTCGGCCTCGCAGAAACTCCTGGTGGAAAAGCTTATGCCCTTCTATCTCAACAACCGGCGCGGCCCATGCCTCATCTCACGCGTCATCAAGGATGTGGACTGCCTAATGGTTTTCAACCACATGATTTTTGCAATTTTCGACACGCCTCATGCCGATCTGGTCTCGGACAATACATTTGACGGTGTCACCAATATACGTGACTCCGGCACGATGGAAAAGAAGGGAAAGCCACTGCCACTCAGCGAAACTGCAAAGACGGCAGACCTGGTCAAGCGGGCCCCTTTCCAGCCGTGCCATCATGCAGGCCCTTGTCTCAACAATCCTGCATGTACCTGTGCTGGGAGCAGGGTCCATTGCGAACAGTTCTGTGGGTGCGACCAATCTTGCCGGCGACGGTTCCGTGGTTGCATTTGCAAGGCTGGCGGCGCGAAGGTCTGCTTCGAAGATAACCGATGTGACTGTTGGACCTATAACCGTGAATGTGATCCTCACCTTTGTGGCAAATGCGGCGTCATCGATGTCCTCGACTCCTCTAACAAATACAGAGACGAAATTCGGATGGGCCGCTGCAGGAACAATCGCATCCAGTTGGGCTTACCGGCTCCCACCACCAGAGCACCGAGCCAGGTCCAAGGCTACGGACTGTACAGCCGAGCGGAGATTTCAATGGGCGATTTCGTCGGCGAGTACACTGGTGAGATCATCAGCAGATCCGAGGCAGACAGGAGAGGGACCATTTATCAGTTGATCAATCAAGAGTATCTGTTCAACCTCAACCGGGACCAGGAAATCGACGCCTCTAAACATGGCAACAAAATGCGGTTCATGAACAATTCGCAAAAAGAAGAGAATATCAACGTGGTAGCCAAGAGCTTCCTCTGCCACGGCTTGACACGGATCGGGCTCTTTGCAAAACGAGATATCAGACCTGGTGCCGAATTGCTGTGGCAGTACGGCTATTCGGCCGAGCGGGTAAAGTTCTTTTGGGAGCCGGGAGAAAAGCCTGTCACTGCCCGAGCCCTGATTCCCTTTTCCAACGAACGGGTTGCCCGAAACGCCGGCAAGAACAAGCCGGCCGCGGAGACCTTACAAAAGGCCCAGGACAAGAGCACCCAGTCTCCCACAGTGCACCGGAGCCAAAAGCGCAAGAGACAACTAAGCGAAAGCCCCGAGCAAGAACCTGGTGGATCTGTTGCAGACAGTTCCGAAGAACTGGATGTGGAATCCTCGGCCGACGAACCGCTCCAAGTGCCAGAGGTAGACGATTCGGCCGATTCGGACTACGTCGAGACCAACGATCGCGTCTTTCCAGGGGCGGGTATCGACGACGACGAGGAAGAGTCAGATGAAGAGGCGAGGACCGATGCTGTCAGGGACCCCAGTGGCCGCACGACCGGTTCGAAGCGCGGTACTCCAAGGGGAGGTCGCGGCAATACTGCCAACGGTACCGAATCTCCTCGGTCGCAGCGCCAGCATCCAGCGGACACAGGAACACCTCCCCATGACGACGCTCAGAGCAACAACAGCCAGACCCACGCAAACCCACCGATGAGTTCGACTACCTATGAGTCGGACCATCGTCGAAGGGCGCTCCGACCCAATGATAAGAGACTAGGAGGGAGATCGCAGCAACGAGCGTGGGAGACGAGGAAGCGCAATGGCGTGGTGCACGGCGCGAAACCCTAGCACGAGCTCGAGATAAAGACTCAGGTTTCGGTTCAGGCACAGTTCAGCGCAAATCTTCTGCATCTGAGGCCTCGCACTCGGGTCACTCGAGTCACTACGCAGCGTAGCGCCGTGCAACGGCGTCGTGACGACCGGCTCTGATGTGTCACAGTACGTGCGACGGGTGGTCATGATCTGAGGTCTGCTGTTCTATCGCGAGGGCAATTAATCACGAAACAATAATGGCAGATGGCAGTCGTGTCGCGTCAAGGTCTCCAGTAAAGAAGGATTCCATGTACCTCGTGTCCCCACCCCAAGTAAACGCCATGCATGCTATGCTTAAGTACGTATCCAACCTGATGTACACACACACTGCGTCTCCATACTGTACCAAAGGACCATCCACCATCGTACTTTTCACGTCTCTCTCACGCCAAGAGCTTTCGATCTTACAGAGCCACTGCGGACGAACGCCCTGCTTTGGATTGCGAGACGTCCAACCGTTTCTTAGAGCCGGATAAAGCCCGCTCGAAAGGGGACTTGCATGATACAAGTCTTGCTTGACCAGAGCTTCAAGCTTTGAGCTTTGAGCTGAACCAAAGCCGCCTGGAAGGAAAACTCCTACTCGCCATTTCGTCGGATACATGCGTGAGTACTCCTTAGGGCCGCCTGCGCATACTGCAGGTCTAGTCCCATCAGGCACTAACTGCTTGGCAGCTGAAAATCAAGACTCCGAGCCCAGTGCTTCGCCATGCCGTTTTGGGAGACAAGATCGCAGTTTGTGTCTTTTCCGGAAGGGCTCTTTGGTGCTTTGCTCAGCTCAGCTCCCAATGCTTTGTTCTCTGGCGGCCTTGGTTGGCTGGATCCTGTAGACAGCGGCGTTTTCCCGATCGGAGTAATTCGTAACTTTCATCCCTCTTCCACAGGGTGGACTCTCCGGTCCCCCTAAACTTGTGCACGACCATCTAATTAGACACCCTGCGGTCTGAAAGGCTCATAGGCACTTCCCATGTGCGCGGGTCTTTGCGGCGCATACCCCTGAGGTCCCAGCGTGTTCAGCGGCATGCTCTGATGATCACTGGGCCCCATGTACGGACTGCCCACTCGTTCATATGTGTATGGTGTCTTTTCCGCCCTCGTCCTCCGCGCCTCCTTGTTGCCAGGGTTATAGGGACTCCGTCCACTACAACAGCAGACACTCAGGAGCCAGAAGAAGCCGGCGCCGACGGCGAAGGCCGTGCCGATCCAGGTCAGCTCTAGGAAGCGACTGCCGAGAGTGGACTGGATGCCATAATCCTTCTTGAGGGACTCGTTCAGCGCGGCCTTGAGGAGGATGTACACTGCCGTGGCGGTCGCGGAGGCGCAGATGAGGAGGATCGACATGGCCGAGGCGCAGAAGGTGGTGAAAAAGGAGCCCCAGCGCGAGAAGGCGGCGGAGATGCCGACAACCAGCGTGATGGCCGCGGCGCTCAGCGCGCCCACATAGAGGTAGAAAATGGCCTTGGAGGCGGCGTGGTATGCGTCTAATCCGTCGGTGAATGTTTTGGGCAGGTACGTATCCACGGGGACACCTGTGCTGTTCAAGCCCCAGATCTTGATCGGGTTGAACCAGAAGTATGCTTTGGGGTCGGTGCAGTTTGCGTACAGGTCGTTGCCGTTCCACGAACAGTAGCTGCGGAGGTAGATTGTGTAGAAGTCTTTCATGCCCAGGGTCTGCTTTGCGGCTTGGAGGGCACCAGCAAGGAGGGTGGCATTGTCGCCATTACCTGTTCCGACAGTCGAGGGAGCAAGCGTGAGGTTTGTCAAGTCAATCTAGCAAAACAGACACGGTGTTAGCGTTGCACAGTGGAACGGGAACGGCAATGGGGTCGGTCTCATGTACCTTCAAAAAGTAGAAATCGTCGACCGTCTTGTTGCGGTCAAAGGTACCGGCGAGGAAGACCAGCACCATGCATATCAGCACGGCTAGTGTCAGAAGAAACGGTGCTGTTATGCAGCAGATGCGGCCTGCGTTGACCATGTTGGCAGTCTTGCAGAAAGAGTCCTCGCAGGAGAAGTAAGTGAGTACAATAGCAGGTGATTTTAAACTCTCGTTCAGTTCAGCTGAGAAGTCGTTTGGAGAGACAGCGTTTCAGGTGCGGGGAAAAAGGAATACGAGTGTCCGAGATCTTTGCTCGTCGAGGCCTCAGTCCAAACGAAGGAACTGTGTGACAGAGTTTCGTCGCCAGGTAAGAAGAAAGTGTATGCCACACGGAAGATCTCTTGCGGCGGGATAATGGTGAATACTAGTAGGTGAGATGTCTTCAGCAATGCGCCATCCGGGGGCTGTGAGATTATGGGGCCAATTCCTCAATGTCACTTGCAACCAGGCACTTTCTGAGCTAAATGTCGCAGGGTCTGTTTAGTACGGAGTATCGGTACGGAGTACAGGTGGACCCTGTCGCTGCAGTCGTGGAGAGGCGACTTGCCGTAGATGGATATTGTGCGAAATCCAATGGGGAATAGGCCAGGGCCGAGGAAGCTGAGGTTGAAGCTGGAGCCAACAGTGCCAGTACGAATCGACTCTTAGAACACTTCGTACTGTGTACACACGCACACACGCCTCGTGCTGGAGGAGCCCGGCCAAGCTTTCAGGTGGCACAGCTGTGCCTTGGTGCTTCGTGGCCCCGTTTGGAAATGGCTCAGCCACTCGTCCTTGAGCCCAAATACGTACCGCATACCGCGAACCATCAAACGACTTGCGTGGCTGCAGCAGTCGAGATACACAATACCCAGCGAATGCTGTGGTACTTAGTTCGAATGGGCCGAATCAGCACTGAAGCACCTGGCCATATACCATGCATTAGGCGAGGTCCAAGATGCGAACCCACGCGGCTTCCAGTCCTACACGCACGCCGTCGTCGTGCTGACTGGCGTACGAGTAGTGTAGATTTCCCTAGTGATGGCGAGTCAGCTGCGCGAACGAGCTTGGTGCGCCTCTGTGTACTACCTACCCCGTATCGTGAGCGACGTTCCATGCTTTCCACTTCGGTCCAATGCTTGCCCTAGAAAGCGACTCGGTCCGCCACAAGGGCAGATGAGAAGGATTCAACCGGGTGTACTGCTAGCGCTCCGAGACTCGATGTGGCAGTACGTACTTCCTCGCAGTATGCCTTCTCGGCCTCTACTCCGAGGTTTTCGATTACGTCGTCCTGGTGGTGCTGTTTGCTGCACGGTTGAATAAGCAGGTACCCCGTACGAGTGCTTGCTACGTTTGCGAGGCTATTCTTAGACAGTAACGTACTGCACCTGCGGAGGCCAGACCCGGGATACGTGCCGTGTTACTCCGTACTCCGTACTGTCTGTATATAACTCGCGGCCCTCTTGAACACATCAGCCTCACTTAAGCTACGTACGACTTGCTCACACCCATGCATGGTTTTCGCGCAAATCGACCAGAATTTCATTATTATTATGGCTATGAGACAACATGACACAGACGATCCTTTCTGTTTCTCCGAGCTGCTTGACGCGGCTGGTATATTGTGGCGATGGAACAGACAAAACAGCGCAGTGACTGGGTGACGTCGTTCTCAGTGGCAGTCGCAAACCATGTATTGTTGACTCCGATTTCCCTGCTACGCCATTCAAGGGGGTATTCAAGGGGTATTTGTCCTTCGTCGGGCCAGTCTCTCGTGGCCACTCAGTCAAGGCTCAGCCACATCTCTTCATGATCCGTTCTCGGTTCTCGTACTGCCTTCGTGTGCTTTCTGCGTAAGAGTGGGACCCGTTGGCGGGCTTAAGCTGCAACCGCATGTTGGCCTGGAGCATATCATAATTAGTTGGGTCACTTTCCCGACGCATCTAGGCGCGAGCTGCTTTGCTGAATCGCTTACCGTTTGACTGTTGTGGTCTCTCCTCTTCTTCCTCTTCATCCTCCTCTTCTTCGTCCTGCCCGTATTCGCCGTGTTGGCCTGCGGGAACCCAGCTGTCACGATCGTTCTTGATTGGCTGATCTTGACCGGAAAGATCAACGCCTTCGTTCTTGATCGAGTTGGCCTTCCTCCTCTGACTGAGATTGCGTGCACGGGTGGATAGATTGGACCTGACCTGGGCTGTAGACGAAACCCAGTTGGTGAGCGCATCTTCACAATCTTGGATGATCGCTTTAGAGGCCTCATAGCCGTCGTAAGCATTGCGCGTCTCGCCAGGGGTGACGGGGTTGTCATCGATGAGCTCGAGTAGGTGCTTTCCATAACCGGCGATGATGGCGACTTTCTCACAGTGCTCACGGATGGCGTCAAATTGGTAATTGAATGCAGCCTTCAGTTTCTCTCGAGTAATGTTCGACAGCTGGGCTTCGGCGACGAGAGATTCGGCTTCGGCGCGCACGAGTTCCTGCTCAAGGACCACGATGCGGGGGCTGTTGGGCTCCTTGTACTTGAGTTGGGCAATCTGATCTGTGATCTTTTGCTTGCGGTCCCTAGATGGTTGCACTGAGGCCTCGATGTTTCGGATCGACTTGATGGTGACGCGGTATTGGTCATAGCGGTCGACGAACTGGTCCTCTAGTTCTCCAATCTCGTAGATCAAAACGCCGAGCTTGTCGGTCACATCACTAACATCTTCATCGCAGGCCTCGCCCCAAATTGAGAGTTGTTGCTTTACCATAGTTAGAACCGCGCACCTCGAGTGAACCACAGGTACTTACAGCGACCTCCATGCGCTCTCGGCCGACCAGCTCCATGCTGCGCATGACGTTTTTCTCCATCTTCACGAGCTGGGAAAGCTTCTTTGCAAGGTCGGGGCCAAAAGCGCCGGCAGTGCCTTTTCGGAACGCATGCCCTATTTCTCCTTGTCAACATCACCTGAGCGTGTAGCATACGCCCAGTGTCCCTTACCGAAGTTACCACGGCCGAACAGGCGGCCGTGCTTTGTCGAGGATGATGGTGGGGGTGGGTTTTCAAGCTGGGAGGCTGTAGGAGCGCGCGACTGGCGCATAGAGTATGTGCGATGCATCTTGAGAGGCGGTGGATGGGTCGCTTATGAAGAGAGAGTTAGGTGAGGGCTTGCGCTCGTGCTCAGCTGAGACACAGCGGGCAGGCAACAGGTGGACAGGTGAGCTATGTCCTGCGCGAGATCAATTAGCAATTAGCACATGAACGTGAAGTGCCGCACTACCGAATCAATAGTGGTGGTGAGTATGAGCAGAAGACGTAGATAAAAAGGGCCAGGGTCAGCGCGGATTGAGAGTGGAGGGAGGGTGAGAGTTATGTGTTGTCTTGCACTTCAGGCCTGGGCGACAGAATGACGTTCCGGGAAGGTGCGGCAGCGAAGGCCTCAAACCGAACTCAGAGTTCTCTGACTGGCGGTTGGCATGGGAGCCCGAGACGCGGGCGCCTGGGAAGTCTCTGGCCCGGTCAACGATCTCAACTCAGAGGCCGCTATCAGACAAGGGCAGGCACTGAGCGATCGCCGGCTGCTGGACACGGCGCCCGCAGTGTCGCTCAGGCGATCGGTGGTGCCGTGGTGCGCGAGGGACCCGCCACAGCGTCACTGTCAGCTCCACCGTTTGACCGGGGCTTGAGGCCACCCTTCCTGATTGCTCGACAAAAGCGAGATGAAAATATTGACTTACCACGCGGATAGGTGGACGACTTGTGAAGCCGGGATAAAATATTCAAGCGGCGCAGGTACAGCGAGAGGCGATTGACTGAACTTTGGAGATTTCAAGCTTGGGGAAGCTGCAACCTTGGGAGCTGGAGAGCTGGAGCTGGCCTTTTAGGGAAACGGCTGTGTGGCTGAATAAGAAGCGGAGTCACGATCTCAGCCGGTTATGGGTTATGAACCGCTCATGCTGGTCGCGAGAGCAACAAGGCCACATCACCAGCCGCTCACGTCATCGAATTGCTTCGACTTGGAGTGGACTTGTCCCATGAAAGAGGCGTCACTAAAGAAACTCCATCGGGTTCGCATCCAATGTCCTCATTACATCATAGGTGCACGTTCATCCTGCGGAGCGTCCGGAGTAGCGTAGCAGTTATCGTACACGGCAATATTCTTTGTTACTTGTGCACGGCATCATCTGCTCAAGGTCTGGCAATTTGATGCAGAAATCTAACGAGGCAGCTGGGCAACCACAGTAGATGGCCAGCTACTGCATGCTAGATGATGCACAATCCAAGATCAGCAGTAACGCCGACGGAAACCTGCAGAACCTGTCGCACCAGGGTCGCTCGGGGTGTCATGCGAAGCTTCTTTGGCCTTCCATTCATGCTCCTCGAGTTGCAATTCGTTTATTTTTGATTGTTCCTGAAGTGAACCATTGAGACACCCGCCGCTAACACAAACGACTCGGAAAAATGACCAGATTATGCCGCTGTTGCACTGCCACATGGCTCCATCGCGGGACAATGTTCGCTTGGCTACTTTCTGCCACGAGCAGTTCTGAAGGAGATGCATAATCTACACAGGACCCAGTAACTCGTACTGATGTGGATGGCAACATCCTGTGTACACAATAGGCGAAGCCTTTTTCACGCCTTTTGATATCCTGCTCCTTCTCTCTCTACTGGGGACGTACAGCCTTAGAACGATTATGGACTTCTCTCGTGGACCGTGACGCCCTTGAATGCCTAGCATCTGTCTTTAGGATACCCCCTCTCTGGTCTGCCCCTAGTCCCCACCTCCGCTGGTGTTCTCGCCTCCATCTGCCTTTCCCTTGTCACTCCCTTCACCCTCCGGTGTCCCGATCCCAATAATTCTCTCCAACTCACCCCGTTCACCACTCGTCTCCACCATCTCCTTGAACGCGCCAGCTTCTCGCCTCATCAGCGCCGCCGGGCTATCATATTCAAGCACCTTCCCCTCCCCCAACACCAAGATACGATCAAAATCCGCAATTGTGCTCAAGCGATGCGCAATCACGATGAGCGTACTATCCGTGAATTCTTCTCGGATGCTTCTCTGTATGAGGGCATCGGTTTCCATATCGACGGCCGAGGTTGCTTCGTCTAGGACCATGATCTTCGGGCGGGAGACAATGGCGCGCGCGAGGCAGAGAAGTTGGCGTTGACCCTGGGACAGGTTCAGGCCGCCCTCGGAAATTTTGGAGGAAAGCGAGCGGAAGATATTCCTGTTGGTGTCACTGGAAGCATCTTGAGCTGGGACGGAGGAGTCGTCGGTGGCGCTTTGACCCAGGTGCAAGTTCGGAGGTATAGGTGTCGCGCTACCGCTTGCTGCTCCGGATGTCGTCAATGATGCAGGGGATATGAGGTGGACTCGGGCTAAGGCCTCCTTCAACTCTTCATCAGTCTGGTGATCAAAGGGATCAAGATTACTCCGCACAGTACCCGAAAAGAGTACAGGGTCCTGCGGGATAATCGCCAGTCTCGATCGCAGGTCGTACAGTTTGATCTTCGAGATATCCACCCCGTCGATGTGGATACTTCCGCTCTTTGCCTCCAGGAAGCGGAACAACGCAAGCGTCAAGGACGATTTGCCGGCTCCAGTTCGTCCGACAACACCAACGCGTTGGTTTTTCGCAACGCCGAAGGTTAAGCCTTTTAGCACTGGCGGCAGGTCCGGCGCATAGCTGACCACCAGATCATTCACCTCAAGGTTGCCTTCTGTAGGCCATGCCGCAGGCGCGTCCACGCCACCTTGATTCTCGATAGTAATATTGCTGTACTCGACAATTCTCTCTGTGGCGTTCATGTCCAGCTCGACGTTGGAGTATTGCCGCAAGAACCAAATCACGCCTTCGCTTAGGCCGAGTGCGAAACTTAGCGCGAACCCTGCCAGGCTCGAATCGATGGTGGTGATCGAGACAATCAGGGCTGCTGTGATGGCAGCAAAGATCGCACCCACCATGTTCAATCGCCAGCCCATCCAACGATTGAAGAGCCAGAGATGCCAGTACGCACGACAGTGCAAGTCAATTCTGGCATACATCTTGTCCAAGTAAGCATCGCACTTGTCAAAGGCCCGGATTGTACCGATTCCCATAAGAACAGAACCAAATTGTTCAAAGACGGGTGATTTGGCGTTGCTTTCCAATCTCTTCACCTCTCTTGCACCAGCGAGATAGCGCAAGGCATAGTACATCGAGATCGAGAGAAGTGCAGCTGCAAAGACGATCATGAACGGCGATACAAACAGCCCGGCGATAACCACGGAAAGGACGTGCATCATGTTGTGCAGCATGAACGCGAGATCCATGGAGATGCGCGAATCGAGCATGTTGAAATCCGAGGTGAAGCGGTTGAGGATTCGTCCCACGGGCACAGTATCAAGCCAGCGTAGAGGCGCTCGGAGTACGGCGAATGCAAGTCCTTCGAAAAGGATCTTGGATGCGCGAATCGAGAGGACGAAGACGCAGAAGTAGCGTACGGTCCCGATCAACCAAGCGACCAGGGAGATACCGAGATAGACGCCCAAATAGTATCGGAGGTTTGGGTCGATAGCTGCTGTGGATAAGTGATGGTGGATGCGATGGTAGACGCTCCCAAGTGCCTGCTGGATCAAACTGTGCTGGAAGGCATGATTGGACTCTGTGCGATACGATCTCGTCCACACGCTGATCCAATACGACCTTGCCAGATATACAGCGACCCAGACGCCGAAGACAGCCAAAATTCCCAACCAGTAGGTGAACCCGCCACAGGCTCTTATGTACGCTGCATAGATCTGGTACTTGATCGCCCCTGTTTCGCGGTTTTCCTCCTCGGTGAACTTCTTCGGCGCGATGCCATTTGGTTTTGCTTCGTTCATGCTCGCGTGTGACGGACGGCGCCTGAGGTCGTCGCCAGCGTCGCTAAGGGCAGACTTTCTCCTAGAGCGCCGGGACTGGTTGGTTAGCAGTTTCTGGAGGCCGCCTCCGTCATCGACAGCGAGGTTCTGGTTCTGCTGATTCTCAATAGCCTCGTCCTCTTCTTTTCGTTGCTCTTCGGTATCGTGTGCGAGGATAGACTTCAGTTTCCCACTCCGACGTAACTCCTCCGTTCTGCCCTCTACCTCAATAGTTCCATTCGAGAGAAGCACGCTGTAGTCTGTTCGAGGTAGGCACAGAGCAACGTGGTGCGTAACCAGGATCCTGCTCCGGCCTTGCCCAAGCTCCCCAGTTAGTGCCTGTTCGAACAAGTGTCGTCCGACGTGGGCATCTACTGCTGAGAAGATATCGTCCAGAACAAGGATTCCCGCTCTCGAATACAATGCGCGAGCAAACGACACTCGCCATTTCTGTCCACCACTGAGATTGATACCGTTTGCGCCGATGTCGGTGAGCTCTCCGTCTTGCAACATTTCCAGATCCTTTGTCAGAGCGCATGCAGTAAGTACTTTCTGATAGCGCTCATTGTCTAGCGGCAGGCCGAACAGGATATTATCTCGAATCGTGGCATTCTCAATCCACGGGATTTGAGCCACAAATGCGATGGAAGACTCAATCGTCCAATTCTTGCGGTTGGCTTGAGCATCATAACGTTGAGAGGAAGGTGGCGGCTTAGGCACGACGAGTTCACCGTCGAGGACCTCAGCCTCTCCAATAATCGAGGCCAGCAGCAAGCTCTTCCCAGATCCTGTCCGACCCGAAATGACGCTCAGCTCCTTTTTGGGGAACGCAAGATTCAGACTGCGTAAGGTGAACTGGTTGTCTTCGGTTTCCGGGTCGTCTGATGGCCAGGCGATTGTAGTGTTCCTGAATGTCACAGCCTCGCCTGGTTTGGTGCTATCAACCCGCTCAGGAGCATCAAGGTACTCTTGGACCCTCCTCGCTGAAACAATGGCGTCAAGAAGATCCGTGATCATCTCGGGTATTATAGCCAGCGTCATTTCGATGGCCTCAAAGACAGAAATCGTTGTGAAAGCCACAGACGCCGTCAGTTGCTTGTAGATGAGGACATACGTTGTCAAGGATATAGCTGCGAGCATTACGGGACCAAAGATCCAAATGCTGATCAGTGTGGTGTCGTAGACAAACACCTGCCACTGTGTCTTCAACTCCCTTCTCCGCGTCTCTAAGATCTTGTCATACCAGTTCCTCTCCAGGGCACTGAACTTGATTTGACGAATCCCCTGCAAAGCTTCAGTGACCACCGCCATCTTCTGATCTCGGTACTTCATCAGGTCGTCTTGAGCCGTCGCGTATCGTTTGGCCGCTAGGATGTTGATTGGCGTGATCAGAACCGGAGCCGCCAGCCCGGCAAATAAAGGGATTGGTCCTATCAGTTTAGACAAGAAGCTGATAGCAAAAATCAACTTGATAGCCGATCCGAGGAAGATGTAGTTGAATGTAGCAAAGTCCGCGATGCGTTTAGAGTCAACCCCCACCAGATTGATCGTGCTTTGCTTAGACTTTTGAAAGTCGGCATCTTCATCATCTTCCGGAGCTCGATCTTCGCCCTTCTGGCCGGCAGCTTCATTCACAACAATGCCGCCGTCCAAGGCGCCGTTGCTGGTCTCTGCCTCCTCTTGTTTCTTGCCTGTACCTTTGACATCTTTCCGTCTGATGGCCTTCCCAAATACCACAGCGGACAGTTGCTCGTAGATTGGAACTCCGATTTTCATGAAGGTGATGAAAAACATCCAAGCCTCGATCCAATTCGAGAAGGTAATGGCCAGGCCGAGACCGAGGACTAACAACCAGGAAGTAAGAGCCACGTCCTTGCCCTCGTCGCGCTGTTCAAGCGTCTTGAGTACAAAATAGAGAACAATTTGTGGAAGGAAATCTGTGATGGAGCAAGTCGCTTGGAGAATCCACTGTTGAATGAATGTCCATTTCCGCGACCAAAAGATAGTCTTCCATAGCTTGTCTTTTCGGCCGACAGCCTCAAATTCTCGCCTCAGTTCTCGGGAACGATTCTCGAAGTCAATCTCGTGTAGGTCGTCATAGTCGAGGGCTTTGTTTTTCGCAGCGAATGAAAGAATCGGACCGGCCCACGAAAACGTCACCTTGGACAAAAGAGACACAGTGTTTTCGCGGTCGACGACTTTATCCTTCCAGTATACATCCGGTCGCCGAGGGATGCACAGGCTGGCCAAGGCGATGCCAATGCCAGCAGCGAAGAGTATGATGGAAAAGGTGAGGTGGGTGTTTCGTGGGAGTGGGCTGGATTTGGCTTGCCAGAGGGAGATGTTCTCCACGGCTATAGCAACGGCGATGGACAGCGCTGAGAAGCTCGAGAAGATTCCGAGTCGGTAGCGCTGGATGGAAGACGGTGTAATGTATATGATGGCCGCTTGAAACAGCACAAGCAACTAGCAGATGTCAGACAAAGAGACCAGGCAGCGGCCGTGTAGCAGTCCTTACCCATGTTGCGAACTGCAGCCATTGCTCAAGACTGAGAGGCAGATGTGAGCGAGTAGTTGTGAGAATCGCAGTAGCCAAAGCAGCACCACAAGCGACCAGAGATATCAATATTAGTATTAGACGAGGAATCTGATCGGAATATGCCACTTCTGACTCTTCCGTGGCAACCCCATCCTTGTCTTCGTAGCGCTCTGACAGCTGTGCATATTGCTTCTTCCTCGACTGCACCCGAGTGACGAGCTGGCCAACTGCTGGTGCTGACAAGATTGCAACAACCGCGAGACAAGCTATCGAGATTGCGACTGACGTGGATGTGTGATGTGACGCCATGTCGTTGACAGCTGTATCTCCCCAGGCGCACCGTATTACAATTACAGGATTGGACAATTAAGTGAGAGACATAGACATCTTGCCCGGGAAACGAGTGCCTGGTCGAGTATCAGCACGCGGATGTTAAGACGTTCGTCTCAAAACGTAGTTGCAGATATTTTTGTATTATGTGAAGGGAAAGAAAAGCGGGTATGTATGACGATCGTTGGCACCACTTCTTGTCGGTACGAATCTAGATGGGACTGCAACCCGAATACGTTTCTAGAGGCCCAAATCCGAATACAGCTCTGAGGCCGGAACGGTTGCAGGTCGTTGGCCCACGCTGGATATCGAGCCTGGCGCCTGCCCTTTATCACCTAAGGCCACTTCTAATAAGTTAGGTGATGGTCAGAGGGTAGATGGAGGGGCCTGAACCACAAAACTGAGCTCACATATCCATGTTGGAGAAGTGAGTCGAGTTCGGAAGGTCCATTGTGAGCATGCGGACGGAGATTGGCGAGAGCAGCTCCCACTGTTGGCTTCTCCGCCGTCAATGCCTGGTCCGCTCGACGGCCATTGGCAAGTGGCCAGCATTAAACCCCAGCTTCAGTGCTCCACCTCTTTGCAGATCTGTTCGACCTGCAGTTGGCGATGACTCACTCGGTAACGCAGCTGGGGAAAGGGTAGAAACCTCCTCACAAAGACGATGGCAAACAGAGAACAGACAAAGGAACCTCTCCCTGGTGTGATACGAAGAAGCGCGGGCAGCGATCTCGTGCCATGAGTCCATTCAACTCCTCGCTCTACATAAGTGCTTTATCAAGACATGACCCAGACTTTCCAATTTCCCTCAGGACCAGGCTGTAACAACAAAATTGACTTCACTCGTCATTGGACGAACTGTCAATAACTACGACCTCTGCCTCTGCATCTCCTATGCTTTCAACACTGAGCACATCACCGGCATTGACATGACTCACATATGCACCATCTCCTTCTGTGAGAACGGCGTCGTCTCGGCCATCCAGTCTGATCTTGGCCTTTCCACCCTTCGTTTCGGGAAGGTGGATGTACACTTTGCGGTCGGATCTGGACGTGACCAAATCCCCGCCTCCAACCGTATAGTTGAATGCGTTGCCGGTTGGAATAATACCAGCACTGAACATGAGATCGGCATGGATAGGTATGGTACCCTCCTTGGTTGGGACTGCTGCCTTTTCTTCTTCCAAGGTCGCCTTAGGGCCCGCTTTTAGAGGCGTGATGATGGTAACGAAACCCTTGCGTTTGTCTTGTTCAGCAAATGTTCTGGTGTGATAGATTGGCGGGAGGTTCCTCTTCCACGGCAATGCCCAGATCTGCAAGAAGTGAACCCAATCCTTGTCGTGTTCGTTATATTCGCTGTGAGAAATGCCCCTGCCGCCAGTGGTGAATTGGACGTCTCCACGGTGTAACCGGAAAAATTTGTCCTTGTCATTGCTTTCTGCGCCCTTCTTTTGCATCGAGTCACGGTGTGTCAATTCGCCAGAGAGAATATAGGAGGAGATCTCGGCGTTCTGGTGGAAGTGTGTGGGAAACCCCTCACCAGGCATGACACGGTCTTCGTTCAGTACGCGGAGGGACCCATAGTTGTTGTATCTGGGATCATACCACCCGGCGAAGGAGAAGGTGTGCTTGGTGTCGAGCCAGCCATGGTTGGCTGCGCCTCTGGTTTTCGACGGGCGAGGGACAATCTTTGCGTGGGATAAATTCGACATGTTCCTGAGGATGGAGGTTGCTTTCATAGAATAATGTTGGCTGTCTGCGTTTGTGCTGTTGTTGTTGCTGCTAAGCATAAATACTGCGGTTACTGCTATGAGTAGTGCTGTTACTGTTGTTGTGATGAGTGTGGATTTTTGATGGAGCAAATTGGACAACATGGAGCTGAAAGGAAAGCTATATACTTAGGCCTGGTGCTTTGAAAGAGCATAGTGGACGCATCCAGAACAGCCGCCGAACCGCATTATAGCAGACTTGGTCAGTAAGTGGTCAGTGTACAAAATGGCAAACAGTGTGTAGTAAGAGAGTGGACGTGTTTTCCAATCCTTTGGTAAGCGAAAGGCTATGTGTAGGGTAGTGCGGAAATACCCCCGCCTAATATCCAATCAACGCGCCGTGCGCATCTTAGTCATCACTGGATGAGAGCGTGGCCGTGACGTCACTACACTCAGGAGCCGAATGACAAGTTGCCCCGGATTTCCCCTCTTTGGTCTCCTCGCACGCCTCGACTTCAGGGAATGTCTGGCCCAAGATGTTGCTAGGCTAGTGCTAATGAAAGAGCAGACACCTGACACGCCTGGAGAGCACTCGTCTATCAGGCCCGAGAGCAAGTCCGGGGTAGCAAGTGTCTCCTCACCTGCTTCTCTTAAGAGGGACGTATCCCCTCCTCCAATCAATCGCCGCCGTCAACACCACCGCAAACCCAAAACCGACAGGGGGCTCACAACAAACTCAGCGACCAAATCAGACACGGCACAGATTGAGGCTGGTGAAGTCGAGATCGAGGACCATGAATCGTTCTTTTCCTGCAAGCTATCGGCAGCTACGCGCCCGCAAGTGGAAGGCCAACCCAGACTATCCCACTCCAGCTGGTTAGCCCTCTATCGTGGCAACGTGCATGATAGAGGCCATCATTTCGTCGTGCATCAACACGACCATCCCGTTGCGGGAACTCATTATGATCTCCGCTTGCAATGCAATGCTACCAGCTCGATCAGCTTTGCCCTGCCGTATGGTCTTCCTGGCGACCCGAACAGTCGGAGACCGAACCGCAATGCCATTGAGACTAGAGTGCATAATCTGTGGAATCACCTGATCGAGACTGCTTCTCATGAGACAGGAACAATGCTTCTGTGGGACACAGGTGAATACGAGGTAATCCCGTACGACACGTCTAACAAAAAAGCCAGCTCGGACGAGGCCACAGCTACCGAAGGGTCAGAATCGGATACAGATAGTGAGCTTGTCACGAAGAAAGAGGCGGAATCCGAACCACAGAGGCTCCACCGAGCTTTTAAAAATCGCAAGATCAAGCTCCGCCTCAACGGCACGCGCTTGCCGAAGGATTACACCATTAGCATCAGACTCATGGAGGACAATAGCCGCGTTAGACAGCCTGACGCGCCGGCCTTCAAGCGACAAAGGACGACCAATGGCGGCAATACCTCTTCCAACCCGGCGGTAAAAAGAAATTCGCAGGTACGCGAGGTCGAAACCTCGTCAGATTCGAGCAGGGCAGCCTCTCCATCGGCAGAGGTTGATACCCCTAGCCCGACAGGAACAAGCTTCGACAGCCTCGAACATTCCCTGACACGGAAGAAGCCCCCAAAACTGAAGCGAAATGTATCTTCTCTTCTACGCACCGCGTCTCCTCCTCCACCACGACGAGGCAATTCAGTTGCCCATGTGCCGCGAACAGAGTCTCCGCCATCATGGGACGCTACAGCCTCCTATGCAGCTGCTCACCCGCAGTCCCAGGTGGAGATGCCGCGTCCAGCCCTTTCAACTCATAACCGATCTACCACCCTTCCCATTTCCATGATGTTCCTCCCCAGTCTTTCTGCTGAAACCCCTTTCCCAAGGCAGCCCGACAACGCGACCACCGAATCCGCAGAGGACATAAGAATCCGCCATTCTAACGCCTACCCCGGCGCATCCAACAGTATAAACTCCATTCATCAACGGAAGTGGTTTCTTTCCCTGGACCGCGCTGCATGTGGCTTTCGACCTACCAATGAATTCGCGTTTGGGAAACGAATTTGGGAGCGTCCGCGGCTCACGAGCACAGATGCGGACGGGAAAAGAAAGAGCGAGCTAGGAGGATTCAAGCCTTTCTATGTTCGGGGACGGGAAGTAGAAACCAGTGTTTTGACGGGGAGACTTGCCGCTGATGTCGCTCGTGATGAGGGATTGGTTGGATATAAGCCGCGAGGCGGCTGGAGGGGCATTTTGGATTGAGGAAATCTTCTTCTATTGCTGGTGCCCGAGACAACGGTTCCGCCGTCTTTGGTAATGTAGCCTTTCTGCCGACCTGGAGGGTTATGCGACTGACCATGTTGGTGGCGGGCTCTTCTAGGTCGGTGTGGTTTCCGCTCCGGGGAAACTGCCCAGGAGCCTCTACAAAGTATCTCTGTCACTGAGAGTCGATTGCTCTACGAACGTGTCTCTTCGCCTCAGGATGTAGTAATCAGGAGATCGAAAGTAGAAGCCGTTGATTAGATGGAATATGAGGCTGATCCTGAGCATCGCCAACCCGTCGAGTAGTACTGTATCATTGCTGTGATGCATCTGCTGGTCGCGGCTACAGCGGACACATATTAGCCAAGACTAGGGAGGCTAGTGAGGCCCCCAAGAGACCTCCGGACCCCCAGACCCCTTATTCGTGCAGCCGTAGGATTTCTCTGGCAGGTGGGTGGTGGCAGGGATGCTCGTCTAGTGGAGGCGATCCGCCCGCCATTGTGTGGCGCCGGTCTGAACTCAACTCGACGACCAAAATGACATGCTTCCCGCTTCGCCGGCGCTCACACGAGGTCCTCGTATTGTAGAGTACATACTCTAAACCCCTGGCAACAGCTCGAGAACCCCAATCTCGACTGTCACTAGTTGCATATCCTCGGTATTGCACGTCACCGACTCTGCGGAGCATCGCGTCTCGAGATATTTGTCCCTGAAATGCGCATCGTCCGCACGCGCAACTGATTGCGACTCGCTTACTCCTGCGCTCTCCCACCTTCTATCCGACGACGAGCGAACCTGCAGACGGAGGGCCGCGGCGCTTTTGCGATACTCCATATGTTATTCTTACTCTCGGCCAGTCGCATGACCTGCTTTACCAGTCTGCGAGATTCAGCAGTCGCGAGGAATGCAAGCCCAAAGGACCAAAGCCGAGCTTCAGCAACATAAAGCAAAAGTACGAACTCTGACTGCAGCGCATTTACCTGCATCCGACTGACATATGATCGACAGCTCGCCAACTCCTACTCTGAACTACTTGAGTACGCCTTGCTCTTTGCACCTACTGCTCGAACTTGCGCGCTGACAGTTCCGTTTAGCCAATTCGCCTCGAAAGATCTCAAGACCGTCGGAAACTACACGTTAGGAAGGCTTATCGGCAAAGGCTCTTTTGGCAAGGTCTACCTTGCGAGGCATAATCTGACAAATGGCTCAAAGGTCGGCCTCGCAATGGACCGGGGCAAGGCCCATGACTGACGACGCCTGCAGGTGGTGCTCAAGGCCTCGAATAAGAGCGACCCCAATCTTGCCAGAGAGATACACCATCACCGACAGTTCATACATCCACATATTGCCCGGCTATACGAAGTTATAATAACAGAATCCCTGGTGTGGCTAGTCTTGGAATATTGTCCCGGTATGAACTTCTCAGACTATGCTCGGCCATGACACTGAACACTGCCCCAGGTGACGAGCTGTACAATTATCTGTGCAAGAATGGTGCGCTTCCTGTCGAAACTGTACAAAAGATCTTCACCCAGCTGGTTGGAGCTGTTGCCTATATCCACAGCAAGTCCTGTGTACATCGAGATCTGAAACTGGAGAATGTGCTGCTGGACAAGCACGATAATGTCAAACTGTGTGACTTTGGCTTCACAAGGGAGTATGAGGGAAAAGCAAATTACCTGCAGACCTTTTGCGGCACCGTGTGTTACAGTGCACCGGAGATGCTGAGAGGCGAGAAATACGCCGGCGAGAAGGTCGACGTCTGGAGCTTGGGAATCATCCTGTACGCGCTGCTGAAGGGAGAATTGCCCTTTGAGGAGGACGATGATGCTGCGACCAAAGCGAAGATTCTGAAGGACGACCCCATCTATCCTGACACCTTTCCAGATGCCGCAAAGACTCTGATCTCCAAGTTGCTTTCCAAAAGGCCCTTGCACAGGCCTACTCTTTCGGATATACTGGCCGACCCGTTCCTGGCTGACCACGCGCCCCAGCAGCAAGCCATTCTGAAACTGTCGCAGCCGGCTGTGTTTTCCACACAGTTGGAAAAGGAGACCCTGGAGCGCATGAAATCAGCTGGAGTAGATATCGACAAGGTCATTGAAAATGTGCTTGCGCAACGCTGTGATGCACTTGCTGGATGGTGGGCCTTGCTCATTGAGAAGGAGACGCGCAAGCAAGCACGCAAAGACCGCAAGCGAAAAGATCGAGACGCCGAGTTGAAGATCCTCAGGCGTCTTAGTGGTGCCAGCAGTCGCCTTGAGCGCATTGCCCCAACGCTGCTCGAGGTCGACGAAGAGCTTTCCCCTGGAGAAGTCGAACCACGTCGGAGCGGCAGTCGTGGAAGGACACAGCGGCGGAGCACTCCTCAGATCCTGGTCAGCGACCTTCCACAACTTCCCGAAGGAGATGTTATGAAGTCGCCCAAGTCCGGAACGCCACCACCGCCGCCGATCGACAAAGATTCCGTCCGCTCGAACAGTGGCTCTCGGCCACCCTTGCCTCCCAAGGAACGCAGACGCCCGAGCAGTACGCTTCAGCTTGTGACGTCGAACCCGGATTTGCTGGGTCCTGTGAACGGGGTGAACAAACGACGGACCGGAAGGTTTCGCAACCGTCAATTCATGAGCCAGCTCACAGCCCTGAAGCACTGGTTCGTTGAATCCACAAAACGGGCCAAATCACCTGTCCTGAACGGCCATTCGAACAACACCTCCAAGGCGACCCTTTCTAACAAAACGCTTCAGGCGAACAAAAGCAGCAGGAATGTCGCTGGTGGCGCAGCTAACCTCAATAGATCCTCGACAGGGTCAACATTAACGCCGACATTGTCAAATTCAAGACCCCTGACCAAGAGATCCACCACAGGCCCCCTGGTAGATACTACTCGTGCTGGAGCCCACCGCAAGTCACTTTCACCCTCACCCATTACACCACGTTCATCATACCGACGCAGCTCGACCGGGCTACGCGGCCGCAAGTCCACCTCCTCGTCAGTTTCATCGGTCCGAAGCATGCCCCGGCATGGCACATCACACAGTAAGGCTTCCTCAGTGAGCTCCAACAGCATCGACGCCATCCACAGCCCGACGAGTCGGTCCGTCAGCATCGGTGGTCGTTCTCCTCACTCCTCCATCAAAGTCCTCCCCGTGACGCCCACGGCGAACGCCTTCCCCTCAAACATCCGCCTTGTCCGGACTCCCCGCGGCTCAGATGCGGGTCTCCAGCCTCGACCGCTCTCTGGCGTGGGCGGTGCTGATCTACTGGGTCCTCCACCCGGTACACCACAAGCCAACGCCTTCGGCTCCAACGTCATGTTTGCACGACGGAAGAAATCCCCCTGCAAAGGCCCCACGTTGAACTCTGCATTCTTCTCCGCGTCAACCATCCCCGCCGCGTTCGGAAGTCCTGCTGTCTTAGGAGGTGGTGGTGGTGGTGCGAGACAACGAGAAGGTTCAGACGGCAAACCGAACCTGGGGCTGAAGGATTTCATCGGCGGGGCACACCGGAAAGGCAGCTCCTCGAAGCGCAAGAGTCAAATTATCGAGGAAGAAGAAGAGGAAGAAGAAGGACAGGCCGTGGTGCTCGAAGAGGAGGAAGACGAGGACGTCGAAGAAGTCGAGGCATTCCAGGCGATTCACCTGAACAAAGGGGAACGGCTGGATAGTATCACGATTTGGAACGACGCCGTCGCAGAGGAGGCAGAAGACTCGAGTGCAAAGATCCATTCCAGGACCAAAGCCTAGGTGCCCGTCCGGCGCAAAAGAATCTGCCCTAGATACCCTAGGGCCCACCCCTTCGACTTCATGCCGGCACCGGCACAGTGCAGGGTCGGGTCCTAATGGACGTGATGTGATATGATATCCACGGCCGAGCTGTGTGTCAAACGTCTACACCTTCCCCCTTGGAGCGAGGGCGCGTCAACAAGAGAGAAGTCCAGCAATCGAGCGATATCTGCGATATATCACGATTCTTCTTCTTTCCTTTTATCTGTGTAATCTCCTTTGTGTCAGGATGGAGATATGTTGACGTGATGGGATGGGATATGAATGCATTCGGACGGGACCATCGACCGCCACCGCGACCATGTTGTGCGATGCGAGTTCGTGATGTTTTCAAACTAATCAATTCTGTACGATATGTGATATGTGATGAATGCAATCCATTTCCCAGCCCAGCTACTGTACCTAGGAGACGGTAACCTTCTTGCTCGAGCCAGAAGCATGACCGACCGGGTAGGTGATCACGGGTCGTTCTACGTCTTGCATCACTCATTCATCTCTTGTTCGTTATCTCTCTCTGTCTTTAAGCCCACTACACGCAGCACGTCGAGTTGGTACGGTTTTGCCAGCTTCCAGCTTCCAGCTCCTGTTGCCTCTGCATATGGACATCACTCCCTCCTCTTCCTGGTATCCCTTCAAGGCCTTGTCGGGCCGGACCAGTTCAGCCCGCGCCACGCCACGCTATATCCTGTGGGTTCGGTACTGTGTACATATCTCCTGACGACCAGCGAGTTTCGGTGTCGTTGGTTCGGCTCGTTTGCGGCGTCAGTGCTGCGTGGTTAACATCTTTGCTTTTGTAGTCCGCCACTTTGTTCTTCTTCGCTTGCTCTTCTTCGCTCCCCTCCGCTCAACAGTCATCATACATGCCGCGTTATCCCGGTGAGCTTTCCTTCTCTCACTCCACGCAATGACAAGCTAAAAGGCCCAGTATTACTCGCCGATTACTTGTTGCTGACATTGATACTCTCGCTCAGACTTCGACTCCGCACAGTAAGTACCGTTGCCGGCTGCATGCGCGTCGTGGTTCTGAGGTAGGACTGGCGGTGAATCTTACGTGTTGTCTCGCTTATAATTTGGAGGTCATCATCGCCATCACCAATATCGTCCTCCTCTTCTTTGTCGTCTTCTTGATAATATCTCTTCCTCCCAGCGAGGAACTTGCTAGGCCGCCCGCTGGATTTGGCGATCCTCCCGAAATGATTCTGAATGTTGGTCTGCTTGCTTTGATGAAAAGCCGCCGCTGTTGGTGCTTTTGCTTTTGCTTTTGCTGTGGTTCTTGTAGTTGGTCTTACCTGAGTGACCTCCGATGAGGTTTCAGGAGCTCTGACTTTCTGCCGTCGCGATGCCGCGTTATGCCTTCCACCATCATTGTCGTCCTCAACTGTTAGGTCGATTGCTGTCATGGCTGATGCCTTGATGGGGACAGCGCCTGCGGGAGAGCCTGGAAAGACTGTAGACAGCTGCCTCTTAGGCGTCGCTGCAACTGGAGGACGTGGCGGCGGCGGCGTCGGGCTGGGGATGTTTGCGTGCTCAAGTAGTTCCTCCATGAAGAAATCCATTTCTGGGCAGGGGGACGATTGCCTGGTCACATCCGAGTTCTGAGTGACCTGTTCGGTTTTCTCCGCCTCCTCATCGGTATCGCCATGTTGAATTCCTGTGTCGGCTGGTTGATTAAGTTGCCGTGAGTCTTCTTGCTGTTGGACCCTTGTCGAGTCTGAAGATGAAATTGACTTCGAAAGTAAGAATGATTTTGAGGTCTTGGACGGTATCTCGACCGTGATCTTAGCTTTTTTGACCAACACATAAGACTGCCGTGTTTTGGTTGATGGTTTGCTTTGTATTGACGCCGTATCATCTGTTGGAACATCTGCCCAGTCCTTTTCATTACAAGGGAGTAGAGGGCTGGGGGCTATCTGGTCGAGCTGCCGTCTCTCGCCGTATATACCACGAATGAATTCGTCGAAATTGGCCCCTCTACTACCTTGAAGATATCCATCCACTTTAAAGCTGCGGAGGAGTTGATACGCCACGACACCCCGGTAAATGTCTCGGACTTTGTTGAGAGACTAGAAAATGTAAGTTATGTGCGCATCTGAACCGTTAAAGTAAGCCTACTGGTGCCAAAAGGTGCCCTGATTCATAGCTGATCTTAGATATAGACCTCCTAGATGTACTGTGCTGTCCCTAAGAAAGGTAAGTGCAAAGCCATAGTGTAGGAGGGTGACCTCTGTTCTTCAACTTACATTTCCTGGTGAAAGCATAGTATAAAGTCGTAGAGCTTCTCGATGATGTAAGATCGCAATCGGTTCGATCTCGACAGCAGCCCATGCTAAAAACTATGTATAGTGTTAGCTCTACTCAAAGGTTCAGGTCTCGCAAATTACCTCCCCCGTTCCAGTGTAGTCCTTCTGATTCCCCGGTTTAGGCTTTGCAGAGCGATCGTCATGGATTCTAGTGAGGTTGTTCAATTTGTGAGCATCATAGACATCGGGGACAAGCCAAAGGCCGTCTTCTTCTCCGAATGTCTGCTTGATCTTCTCTTCTAGATCGTTGTAGTCCACGATTGCTAGTCCTCTCCGGGTCCGCTCATCCGTTGCGATAATATTTAACGCTCTAGCGGGATTCTGCGTTAACGAAAGAAATGGAGACGCGAAGGTCTTGTCTTCGCACAAGTGTCTTCTGGCCAAGTCGCGAAACTCGTCTGTTGTATAGCCTGGCGGTGGCATAATGCTCGTGGCTGGCGGTAGGAAACGTCGAGCTCTGAGCCCGTGACCTGGGTCGAAAGCTCTAAACAAGAGCCGCGGTCGTTTTCGCGCAGATTTTCCTTGATTGTTGAACCGAAGACTCAGACGCGGATTTATGCGTTTCGCTGTTGCTGAAAAATCATTTTCATCAAGACGCAAGGTCAGTTCATCTTCGCCGTCGTTGTCGCTTCTCGGGGCCCACGATCCACGGGAGCAAGAATCTGTTGAGATACTCAGCGAAACAGAAGAAACAGTCATTGAATCAGAGTCAGAGTCAGAACTCCATTCATCTTGGCGTGCCCGAAGCTCGCGCTTTAGGGGTGGTGTTTTTCGCGCAGGCATGTTCGCTTGGCTTCGCTTACGACGGTGAGCAGGACGCGGTAGAGACGGCTGGGGCCGGATAGTATCATAGCAAGACGGCGTGAATTGAGGCTAGCGGAGCGAAGCGGAAGGCGAGGTGAGAGAAGTAGAGAGATAGAGAAGCAAGGAACAGAGGGGGAAGTGGTCAACTGAGAGCGAGAGGTGAGGCATGAATGCTAGATCGAGTGTAGGGAGTAGTTTGTTGAAGTCTGGTACTCGAGCCAACGCTTGAGGTATAAAGAGTGAGGTCTCTGTCGGTCACAAGGTAATCGATGCCCATTGAGACTCCTGGGTCTCGGAGGACCGCCTACCTGGTCAAAGTAGAGAGCACGGGCAATGTGCAATTGACATTTCATGATCGCGCGGAACTTGACCACCAAAAGTCTGAGTTTGTGCTCAACGACCAGCGAAGAGGAAGTGAAGGTGAACAGAAAGGATTTACATTGATCCGTCAAAGTCGCGGCTGCCAAGCCCTCTGGAGACTCAGGTCAAGGCTGCACGTGCAGATTCGATCAAGCGGAATACGATTTTTACTGTTCGTTCTCTCTTTCACACCGATCATTTTGGGTCACTGAATCTCGCCCTGAGGAAGCATTCTGTTGCTCTTCGTTCGGGAGGCCTACTGTCCCTGAGCTGACGTCAGATGGAGGAGGTCGAGGCTGCTCAGTTCCTCGAGTCGCTAATTGGAAAGACACTCTATGTCACTGTTCCAGATGGACGGCTATTCTCAGGGATATTTCGTTGCACAGACAACGAAAGCAATGTTATTTTGTCGAATGCATTCGAGTACAGAATGCCATCACAGGCTGCCGAGGATGCTGCTGTGGAAAAGCTGAAGGTTCAGGGACAAGCCAGCAGGGCAAACATGACGTCCCGCTTCGTCGGCCTGATTGTCATCCCCGGCAAGCAGATTGCCCAGATGGAGGTTGAGGAGCGACGCGAGTGGCCAGGTGGACAGTCGTTATCGGTACGAACGAAGACGTGAAGGATTTCGTCTCCGCTTCAGCACGGTTATGCTCTGCTGTGGCATCTCATGACGAGCACTTCACACTTGATACAACGAGCAAGTGCCCACGGCATATGCAATCGTTTGCCTCATTCTTCATCGCACCATTGAGGATAGAAGGTGGATCTGGTTGAGACCAGTGTAGCGCACATCTGTCGAAGAGCTCGGGCAATTGACTCGGACGAGAAAAGACACGGGGCTGTTCTATCAGATCATTGCAATGGGTTCAACTGGGGAGGAGACTTGAGATTGCAAGAGCCTCGAAGGGGAATCTGCAATGGGTACGCCGAGTGATGTTGTCAAGCATCCTACCAGGGGTGATATCTTTGCTCGTTATCACTGAACATAAGCACGGCCTCTTCGAGGGACTGCATGGCAGAGTCAGTAGTAAGATCGATAAATTACGGCATGCTCTAACTTAAGGGAGTGATCACAGGACTAATTCCCCAACTGCTGCGTCACCCAGCGAAGAAAGCGTCGCTGAGGCCATAGTGAGGGAGGAATCAGAAAAGCGAAAATGTGAGTTCTGTTGTTTCTGTAGCGGCAGCCCATCATGCACAGAGTACTCGGTAGACGGTCACACGGTGATATACGGCCCCGGAGTAGTAAGCAGGGCTTAGCTGTGACCTCATCCGGGGGTACGGGTTGGGCATACGGGAGCCTGGCGGGCCCGGCGGGAGTTAGGGGTTTACTCGTGCCGGGTCCCTAGGCGGCCTTCAGCCCATCGAATGTTCTGGGCCACGAAGCCGATATGGGCGAAGGTGCAGCCAACCAGAGCGGCGTAGCGAGTCTGGAGAACAACACCAAGAAAGCCGAAGCGACTAACTGCGCTTGGAGGAGGAGTAGTTCACATCTGTCAGTAATTCTGCTCCCATTTTATTTATCAGCCCTACGTTGTCTTCCTCCACCTCGCCGTCTCGACAGTGTCTTAGATGTTGCCATCTACGTGCTACCTGGCTTAACCTTAGTTCTCCGTGTCTGTCAGTCGCCATCTTCCCGTTGAGGTTAGTCACCGTCCAGCTCTTCCGCCGCCGGTGTTGCGTCACCCGTTTCACGATCACCGCCCATGCGACATCTTCCCTCCCCCAGGAGATGCAGTGTTTTAGCTTTGCTCAACCTCGAGACACCTTGTTTACCAGTCTACTGACGTCGGAGTTCCGTGCTACAGCAGGCGAGACAAAGAAAGTGACCCCCACAAAAGACCTTCCATGCCCTACCACCCCTTGTCAACTATTACTACGACCAACACCGCTCGAGCTAGCGGTACCGCGCCTTATTTTCTCAAGGTGGATTTGACTTGAGCATACGAACAGTGTGCTCCTCCAAGAACGCCGTCGGGTACAGTCGCCAAAACGCATTCCTCAAAGCGGCTGCTTATCTCACTCCTTAAACCTCCTTGACCCGCTCGCTATCTTCCTCGACCATCTGCCACGGCCGGGTCCACAATTTCTCGCGAAGAATTCAATGGGTCAACAACAGTCAAAGGGCAGCGATGGTACTAGAACACCGTTGAAGAGCGGCTCCTCCTCCAATCTCCCCGATACTTTACAGCAATATCCCTCCATCTCCAAGTCCGACACCAAGGAAAGCACTTCCAGGTCTATCCGGTCCTCCATACGAAGCAAGATAAAGAGCTCGGGAGATGACAAGACCAATGATAGTCCTAGGGGATCAGCTTCGGCCCTCGCGGGCGTAGACGGACCTAACAACGATAAAGGCGACGCTAGTTCGATTGCGAGTGGTCGCTCAGGCTCCTCACGGGCCCCTCGTGAAAAGGTCACGCAGGGGTCGTTGGTCGAGTCGCCCACGCCGCCAGCGGATGATGAAGACGCACCATCACCGGGCGCCAACACGCCAGCCAGACCGCCATCACCAACTCAATCCAAGTCCTTGAACAAGGGCCACAAATCGGTAGACCGTGCTCAGCGTACTGGCGAGGTGGGAGCGGTGTCGGAAGACGCACCTCATCAGGCGCATGTGCATTCGTCGACGCAGAAAGCCGGAGACTCAATCCTGGTCAAGCGGGAGAATCAAATTAATCCACGAGCTCCGGAGACCAAGGCTTCCCTAAGGGCCAAGTTGGCCGAACTACCTGGCGCATCTCCAGGCGGTGGCATGGGCATGGGAGACGTGAATGACATGGATCTGGACGACATGATCTCTAGGCTTCTCGATGCCGGCTATACCACCAAGGTAACCAAGGCAGTGTGCCTTAAGAACGCTGAAATCACGGCCATTTGCAGTGCTGTCAGGGAAGTGCTATTATCTCAGCCGGCCCTTCTGGAGCTGACTGCGCCGGTCAAGATTGTCGGAGACATCCATGGGCAGTACAACGATCTGATTCGTCTGTTCGAAATGTGTGGCTTTCCTCCCAATGCCAATTTTCTCTTCCTTGGCGACTATGTCGACCGCGGAAAGCAATCGCTCGAAACCATTCTCCTGCTGTTCTGCTACAAGTTGAAGTACCCGGAGAATTTCTTCATCCTTCGGGGCAATCATGAATGTGCCAATGTCACGCGTGTCTACGGCTTTTACGACGAATGCAAGCGGAGATGCAACATCAAGGTGTGGAAAACATTCATTGACACCTTCAACTGTTTGCCGATTGCGGCTATTGTGGCAGATAAGATCTTCTGCGTCCATGGTGGATTGTCCCCGTCGCTCTCCCATATGGACGACATCCGACAAATCGCCCGCCCTACAGATGTCCCCGATTATGGACTGCTCAACGATCTCCTCTGGAGCGATCCGGCGGACATGGATCAAGACTGGGAATCAAATGAACGGGGAGTGAGCTATTGCTTTGGGAAAAAGGTTATTGTCGACTTCCTCTCGCGGCACGACTTCGACCTGGTTTGTCGAGCCCACATGGTTGTTGAAGACGGATATGAGTTCTTCAATGATCGGTTACTCGTCACCGTCTTCTCCGCCCCGAATGTTAGTCGCCCTTGGCCGCTCAACTAGGGTTTGGATATTGCTAACTGTATTCTAGTATTGTGGTGAATTCGATAATTGGGGTGCCGTCATGTCGGTGTCAAGCAACTTGCTGTGCAGTTTCGAACTGCTGAAACCGCTGGATTCAAGTGCACTCAAAAACCACATCAAGAGGGGCAGAAATGCTCGTCAAAACATGCTCAACAGTCCGGTAAGTGCTTGTTTTGAGTTCTGACAAACAACGACTAATGCCTCGAATAGCCAGCACAAGTGTCCGCCCAGAGCTTTTAGGAGTTGCCAGAATTGTCGCGCAGTCCATCAATGCAAAGACAACAGTCCGGCTCGTTCCTGCGTTTACTTTGACCGCACTTCCCGCCTAGGGTAATGTCACATCGGCCCTGCACAGCAAAGGTCGATTTACGAAAGATACACAACTTCCTGCGACGACAGATGAAAGGATTCTGTCTATGCTACCCTGCTAATTCAGTGTTTTCTTCTTCAACGAGGCGTCGGGGTCGGCGCAGGTGGAATCTCCAGACAATCGGGAAGGAGCAGAAGTGCGACGAGGCTACAGTGCTGGAAAAGCATATTGAGTGTCTTCCAGAGCGCCCAGACCTCGTTTCAGTCGACGCGAATAGAGTCGACCAGCCGGGGGTGTAGTTTGTTGGCGATGTACGGAGTAGCGCTGCGGCCGCAGGGGTGGGAAGGAAAGAGGTTGTCTGACATACGGACACCAGCAGCAGCAATTTGAACTTTAGGGAGCAAGGCGTCGACGTGAAATGACAGGCTAATGCAATGAAGATTCTCCAATCCCACATGTGGTGCCTGTTTCAGACAAAAACCGGTCGTGAACCTGAGGCCAGCCCCCAATATCAAATGGCGCTGTTCCATCTGGTCAGACGCGCGAAATGAGCACGAGCGCGTCGAACTTTGGAGTGCAAGCTCAGAAATAATGGGCGGGCGAAGTGCTCCACTCCCCAATGCACCCAATCCCGTCTGGCTGCGGAGCACTCACTGTGCCCTCACCTCGAAGCACTGGGTTCGGAGTACAACTGACTTGCAATTGAGAGCCTTCTGACTCTTCCCTGTCTCTTCCACTTCTCCTCAAGCCTTGGACACGGACAGCTTAAGCCTCGTCACGGCAGTGCGTCGTACAATTCACCTTCCTGCCACTACCGGACAGCACGTCTTGACTCAGCAAACCGACTCCCGCAAGGCCCTGTCGATCTTCCGCATTGCTTCCAAACGCAAACGACAGCTCCTGCTCTGCCGCCTGCCGTGCACCGCACCACATATCACCTCCTGACGAGAAGCTGCTGTTCGGACGCATTCCCCCCACGAGAGTTCCTTGCACTTTGATCTCGCCATTTTGATCCTCCTTAGAGCGGCCTCTGTGGCCACTCTCCAATGCCATCATGAAAGCCGGGCCTCTCCTCATACAATGGCACTCCGAAAGCCAGCCCATTTATTCGGTCCACTTCGACCCTCATGGCAAGGGCAGGCTAGCAACGGCTGGAGGGTGAGCACTCGCACTTCGTATTCCAAGGTCGATTGCTAACAAGAATAGTGATAATCATGTCCGAGTATGACATTCCGCTACTGGGCAACATAGCAATTACCCTGGCTAACGACGGGCGCTCAGTTATGGAGCATCGAAGCTCAAGGAGAAGAGAGAAAAGTCACATATTTGTCAACCCTCACCAGGCATACCCAACCTGTCAATGTCGTCAGGTTCTGCCCGAAAGGTCAGTGGCCTGTCCATCCTCCGAACATTCACCCTGCTGACTGGAGGATAGGTGAAATGCTAGCCTCGGCAGGTGATGATGGCAATGTCCTACTATGGGTACCCTCCGAGTCGTCGATGGCTCCCATGGGCGAGGACCATGCCGACGACAAAGAGACATGGCGGATCAAGCATATGTGCAGGACATCCACGGGCGCGGAAATCTACGATCTGGCATGGTCTCCAGATGGCCAATACTTCATTACTGGTGGGGTTGATAATACAGCCAGGATCTTCAATGCACACACAGGTATGAAAAGACAGGCTCATCAGATGAGCCGCACTGACGTTTATCCAGGCACCATGATCCGCCAAATAGCAGAACACAGTCATTTCGTGCAAGGGGTTGCGTGGGATCCACTGAATGAGTTTGTGGCTACTCAGTCCTCTGACCGCTCCGTCCATATCTACGCTCTCAAGCTCAAAGACGGCACGGCTACACTCTCGACTCACGGTAAATTCAACAAGATGGACCTACCTGGGCGACGAATATCGTCCCACAGTCCAGCGCCAGTAGCACCTCCTTCAGAACTGACACATCGCACATCAAGCGCCAGCGTTAGCAATCTTGCCATTGCCTCTCCTGCACCGTCGAACCCTGGCACTCCTCTAACTACTCCACTGCCGATGGATCCTCCTCTGCTGGCTTCAAGTCGGCGATCTTCATTTGGCTCTTCGCCTTCCTTCCGCAGATCGGCTTCACCAGCTCCTTCATTACCGCTACCAGCGGTAAGGCCAGAAATCTCGTCACCTAGCCTCAACGCCGCCATGGGTCTAGCTGTTAGGAATACAAACCTATACCACAACGAAGCAATGACCTCGTTCTTCCGTCGTCTCACCTTCTCGGCTGATGGGAGCTTACTGTTCACACCTGCTGGGCATTACAAAACAAGCCAAGCATTCGCGGGTGACCCAACCAAAACAGCGGACGATATCACTAATACCGTCTACATTTATACGAGAGCCGGTTTCAATAAGCCTCCGGTGGCGCACTTACCAGGTCACAAGAAACCTTCTGTGGCGGTCAGGTGCTCCCCTATCCTCTATACCTTACGTTCCACGGCGAAGCCGACAAACCACATCACCATTGACACGTCCTGTGGAAGCGAGGAGATCCCATTATTACCCGATCCAATAGTCCCTCAAACTCCTACGTCGGTTATGGAGCCTCCGCCATTGTCGGTCTCGACTTCAATACCCGAGTCAATGGCCGCACCTTCGCCGAAACCCTCAGCAGATGGCGAGCCAGCAAGTCCTGCTCCAGCCCCGGCGTTTTCGCTTCCCTACCGGATGATATACGCGGTAGCGACGCAGGACGCGGTATTTGTCTATGACACTCAGCAAACCACGCCCATCTGTGTTGTGAGCAATCTTCATTACGCCACTTTCTCGGATTTGACCTGGTAAGTTGGAGCTGTACAAGTTGTGTAATCGTGCTGACCAAGACAGGTCAAATGACGGATTGACTCTGCTCATGTCCTCAACTGACGGGTTCTGTTCGACGCTGGCGTTTTCACTTGGTGAACTTGGCCAGGTCTACTCTGGACCTCATCCGACCTACAATCATCCAGTTGTTTCAACGTCTATTGCTCGACCAAGCTCTTCGGCCGGGTCAACACCAGTTCCGACACCTACTGCGACTGCATCGCCATCATTGACTAAGGCTTCTCCGATTCCGGTGCCACCATCCCATCCATCGCCAGCACCATTTATCCTTCGTCCTGGAAGCCCAGCCAGGTCCAACTCACAGTCGTCAATAGCAACCATGACATCGATCCAAACTAGTGGTTTTCCTAACAATCCTACACCTACCATGGGCCATGTCCCACTGGTTACTGCTGCCAATTCCGGGCCTCCAGTCGCCATTCCGCCAATGACTACACCACCTCAGACTCCCGCAAGTTTCCACGGGGGCCAACATTCTGCAACAAGCTCGGTTAGTGGATCGGTCCTGGGCAAGCGGGATACGGGAGCAACGAGCGAGAGCGAGAAGGAAGAGAGCAAGTCAAAAAAACGAAGGATCGCTCCAACGCTTGTAGGGCCTACGGGCTCGGTTGAAACCACGAAGGACGAGGAGGCGAAGTGATTAGTTCCAAGCTGTATCTGCTCGTTGGGGGAGCCTTCCTTTGGTTCTGCAAACAGGGAGGGCATTACTTGAAACCTGCAATGATCTAGCGTGGCGTCGGGCACAAGTCGCAAATAGGCACTTTATGGACTGCGACAGAGGGGCATATTCAGGAGGGATGAATACCAAATCTGCCCACCGATCATCTGTCCCCAGTCAATTCCATCTTCGTATTTGTAGATATTAGTGCACAGTCGTGGTGTTGAATTCGAATCATGCACGCTGTTACCGGGCGCTGCTGCTGTCAGTCGCCGGTTCAATGACGGCATGTGACATCGCGTCATTGTCGTGCCGCGGAGGGACACCAACGTCGACTTTTCCACAAGTCTTGAATCTACTTTCATTCCAGCCTCTTCGCCGCTTCACCATATTCCATCAGGCTTCTGCAGAGGCCTTTGCCTGCCAAGAAAGATGCCCTCAACTTCTGCACTGGCGCCCAAAACCCGATCCTCCCTCGCACTGACGAACCCCCTCATCATATTCCTCCCGCATCATGGGTGTAACGGGCCTCTGGACAGTCGTCGCCCCCACCGCTCGTCCCACTCAGCTCGCCTCCCTCAACCGTAAACGGCTCGCTGTCGACGCCTCGATCTGGATCTACCAATTCCTCAAAGCCGTGCGCGACAAGGAAGGCAATGCCCTCCGTAACAGCCACGTGGTCGGCTTTTTCCGTCGAATCTGCAAGTTGTTATACTTCGGCATTAAGCCTGTGTTTGTATTCGACGGCGGGGCGCCCGTGCTGAAGAGGGAGACCATCCGTAAAAGAGCGCGGAGACGGGAAGGGAGAAGGGAGGATGCGGCCCGGACAGCGGGGAAGCTGCTTGCTGTGCAGGTTGCGCGCGTGGCCGAGGAGGAAGAACGGAGAAGAAAAGAGGGTGCAAGAAGGGATGACGATGAAGAAGAGTTGCCGCCGGAGCAGGAGCTCGTGTACGTCGAGGAGATTGGCATGAACCAGAAGGAGCGGCAGGCCGGTCGGAGCGAGAAATTCCGCAAAAAGGATCAATACCATCTGCCTGATCTGGATGTGAGCATTTCAGCAATGGGGGCGCCCAATGATCCGAGAATCATGTCTCAGGCCGAGTTGGAAGAGTACGCGCGACATTTCCACAGCGGCGAGGACATCAATCTGTACGACTTCTCCAAGATTGATTTTGAGAGTTCCTTCTTCTTGTCCCTGCCGCCAGGCGATCGCTACAATATCCTGAACGCGGCAAGACTACGCTCAAGACTGAGAATGGGATACTCGAAGGAGCAACTCGACGGAATGTTCCCGGATCGCATGGCTTTCTCCAAGTTCCAGATTGAGAGGGTTAAGGAGAGGAATGAGTTGACGCAACGGCTTATGCATTTGAACGGAATGGTCGAGGGCGATTTTCTCCTTGACGGCGGAGGTAGAATCGCGGGTGAGAAGGGGAAGGAGTATATCTTAGTCAAGAACGAAGGCGTAGAAGGTGGATGGGCACTCGGTGTGGTGTCGAACAAGCATGGAACGAAGAAAGAAAACGCAATCGACCTTGACAAGGACGAGAACTCGGACGAGGATGCTAACCATGCTGACTCTGACGAAGACGAGTTTGAAGACGTCGCCATTGAAGGCTTGAATCGAATACCGAAGAATTGGGCGAGGAAAAGGAAAGCTGAGGCGGACTATGGCACGATGTATGAGGACGCGGCGGAGGTGATCGCAAAGAAGAGGAAGGCTGTGTATGAAGCCAGAAGGACCGCCGCCGATGCTCAGACCGGTCGTCCTCAGGCCGTCGCTACTGTTCCAGTCCCTACTCAGACTACGACTGCTCCTGTGAACGATGAACCTCTCTTTGTGCCCGAAAATAAAGCTGACGGTGAAGACGAGGACGACTTGTTTGAAGATGTGCTCCCTGCTGCGGCTGATATAGATGACGATGACGACCTACAACGAGCTATTGCTATGTCCTTGGAGCAGAATGCCGAAAACGATCACGGATCTGCCGACCAGGCTACGAAGCCACCTAGCGAGAGCTCCGATGAAGACGACGCCTTCGACCTACAAGCCGCGCTGGCAGAATCAAGACGGACCAAGCCCAAACCGAAGACAAATGTCAGAGATAGAAGCCCATCACAACCGAAGGAGGCTGCATTTCAGTTTCAGGGTCCCTTGCCGTTCGAGTCCCTCAATCTGGGTCAGTCACTACTTGGAAAGAAGAAATCAAAGAAGATTGAGGAGGAGCTATCCGGTGGCTTCGATCGCGATCTGGGAGACGACGCTTTTCGAAAAGAAAGGCCGCCACAACCGATGCCTGACTGGTTCGGTGCGACGCCCAATCCCAAGGACATGAAGTATGCAGGACTCGACAGAGATTCCATCGATGATCCTACTCCATATGGGTTGGACAACGTCGACAAAAGGGAATTCCTGCGTCGACGCGAGACAAAGGAGGTAGTCGATCTCGACACCGATGAAGAAAGAGAGCAGACTCATGAACCTGTTAATCTCGGCGCTGACGCTGAGAAAGCCGACCATGATCATCCGATTGACCTTGACCAGGACGACGATAATGAGAAGGATTTAGAAGTGTTTGTTCCACTGTCTCAAGACGTGGATATCGAAGCAGCTCCTTCAAGCCAAACAGAAGGGGTGGACTTGCCCGAGCTGGAAGAGGCTGAAGATCCCGACAAGCGCAAGCGAGACGAAGAACGTGAGAAGCGCTATGAAATAGCTCGCCGGATTGCGGCGGAGACAGGGACGGGAGCGCCAGAGGACCAGCCGCATCCCACAATGGGCGAGATGGCGGACGGAGTTCGCGCGGAACCCCCCTTGCCTTCTTCCGCACCACAGTATAATCCACAGCCAGCGGATAAGACTGCCGAAGACAGTGATTTTGAAGCTGTGGAGTGGAGCGAGTCTGATCACGATGAGCCCGACCAGCCGGCAACTCCTGGTTCCCTCGGCACCGTCAACGCAGAGTCTCCAGAGCTTCGACCTCGATCTGCAACGGCTGAAGTGGATGAAGATGACAACGAAAATTTCGAGGACGTCAATATGGAGCCAGCTGCGCCTCCACCTCAACTACAAAACGCGAACATACCCACCCTATCAGCGTCCCGAGATCAGCCAGAGAAACAGTCTCCCACACCTGCAGCCGAGCCGTTACCGGAAGAGGAATTCGACTATCTCTCCACCGACGAAGAAGACCTGATGCGCCAACTCGCCGAAGAGGCGGAAGAACACGCCCGCTTCACCTCAGCCCTGCACAACCAGAGCACCTCGACCGAGCAAGCCATGCGCGACTTTGACGCCGAGTTGAAAGCCCTCCGAAGCCAACAGAAGCGCGACCGCCGTGACGCCGACGAAGTCACCCAGACGATGATCCAAGAATGCCAGGCCCTGCTCCGCCACTTCGGCCTACCCTACATCACGGCCCCGATGGAAGCGGAGGCTCAGTGCGCAGAGCTCGTGCGTTTGGGGCTCGTCGACGGTATTGTGACTGACGACTCGGACATTTTCCTCTTCGGCGGCACGCGCATCTACAAGAACATGTTCAACGCGGCCAAGTACGTCGAGTGCTACCTGGCCGGGGACCTGGAGAAGGAGTTTCTGCTCACGCGCGACAAGCTCGTCCGCTTCGCCCACCTCCTGGGCAGCGACTACACCGAGGGCATTCCCGGCGTGGGGCCCGTGACGGCGCTCGAAATCCTGACAGAGTTTGCCGATCTCGACGAGTTTAAGGCCTGGACGGAGCGCGTCCAACTCGGCAGACCATCCGATCTGGAGGGCCAGCTCACCACGCCCTTCCGCCGCAAGTTCCGCAAGACAGTGCAGAAGAAGCTGTTCCTTCCCCCCGGGTTCCCGGACCGACGTGTCGACGAGGCGTACCTGTTCCCCGAAGTGGACTCCAACGCCGAGCCCTTCCAGTGGGGCGTCCCGGACCTGGACAAGCTTAGGGGGTTTCTCATGGCGACGATCGGGTGGAGCCAGGAGCGCACGGACGAGGTCCTGGTGCCTGTGATCCGCGACATGAATAAGAGGGACGTGGAGGGCACGCAGAGCAATATTACGAGGTACTTTAGCGGGGCTGTGGGTGTGGGCGCGAGTGCCGCTCAGGGGGGAGGGTTAGGTGGTGTAAGAGGAGGCAGTAGTGGCAAAGCGCTCGCCGTCGGCGGCGAGGGACCTGCGTTTGGCGCCGCGCAGGCAAAGGCCGAGGCTACGGCGCCGAGGAATCGTTCAGGCAAGGAGAGCGGGCGGATGAGGAACGCCTTCAAACGCCTGAGAGGCGAGGCCGAGAGGCAGCGGCGGAGAAAGGACGACGTGGAGCAAGACGGGGCAGACGAGATGGATGCTAGTGATGGGCTCGGTGAGATTCAAGGTATCGAAGGGGACGATCACAGGGACGGAGTCAAAAATAGGGACGCGAATCACGGTCCATCTACGGCGACTTCCGTCTTGGTGGACGGCGATGGGGATGGGTTCAGCGACGGCGAAGGAGATGTCGCTGGCGATGAAGCTGGAGTGGGTACAACCTCGAAGCCGAAGCGGATATCGAAGACGAAATCGAAGACGAAGGGGAGGCCGAAGAGCGACACAAAGAAGACGATACAAAGGCGTGCTGCAACCTGATGAAAGGGAAAAGGACCTCGATCAAGGCCTCGAGGAGAAGCGCTGTGCCAGAAGATTACTAAGATATAATCTGGTACGGGTTATGGCTTCCAGTGTTTGGGTGCGTCACAAAAGTACGGAGTATACGTGATGAAAATGCATGCACGATAAGATGACGGAATGAGCTCCACTGAGTACAGAGGTCAGGAAGGCGGGTCACGTCGACGCGATCTCGAAACAAGACGGACATGCCTTCACACGAAGAAATTGAGATGCGGCCATGCACGTCTGAAATGCCGGGTATCATTTGACCTATTCTGGCATCTTCGTTTGTGAATATCCTTTGCCTTTTCTGCGCAAACGGCACGTTCTGCATGTGTGCGTTACGCATATGGCTGCATGTTTCAAGCCTCATCTAGTCTTCCCGGAGGGCATGATGCAGGCGTAAGTTGGAGTGCTCGATGCTCACCCGTCCCTTTGGTGCCTGTTACTGTAATCACCGGCGTTTCCGGCTTTGATCCCCACTGAGCCCGATGTGTCGTAGCGTAAGAGCTGTTGAAGACGGATGACTTTTCGTGCTGCGAGGAGCTACATAGCGTGATATGTAAAGCGTCCGTTCTTGGTCTGGAGTCGTGGCTCGGTGTCCTCGAGGCCGGTGGGGTATGCATTAGACTGCGGGAGTTCCACGTTGCTCGTTTGATGTGTGCTTGTGACTTGTGCGTGCTGTGGGTCGTGCAAACAACTCGTTCCCTGGTCCTCGTCGTCAGGGTCGATCAGTCCTCCTGCTCAACCTAAGACAGATTGACTGGGTCCTCGTAGGTGGTCCCTTTTCTCGATCCCCGATCAACTCTCCTAGTCAACCTGGGACACATCGACTGAGTCTGATGGATGTGCATTGTACATACACATTGTATTTCCATGTGTGCATGTGTGCATGTGATGGATGCATAGATCATGCATGTAACTCTTCCCCATGCCCTCATTGTTAGGGTCGATCAATTCTCCTAGCCAAACGAGGACACGTAGACTGGGTCCTCGTACGTGGTCCTTTCTCTCGATCCTCGATGAGTTGCGCCTCTCGAAAATAAGCCGTATATCCCAGGATGGTACACCACGGACACCGATGCTGCTGGTAAGACTGATCGAACCAGCCGAAGATGTCGTACCAGTTTGCATAGATACAGTCGAACTCGGGGCTCTCCAGCTCCTTCTCCCAGAAAGCAATGTCTCTAGGTCTGAACATGAAGCAGGCGCGACACAAGCCGAGCGAGGATGGCATCCATTTGTTGTTCTTGCGTTCGAGCAGGCGGAACAGGCCGTCTTTGTCACGGTAGCCGCGCCACGGGGACATGACGTTCTTTTGGGACGCGATGCGGGCCATCGTCTTGCATGTGAGGGCGAGCGAGATCTGGAAATAAGGGATCTTGACTTTCTCGAAGATGAGCGTGAGGATCTCGGGCGGGAGCTGGAGGATCTTGGATGTGGGTTGAAATTGAGGGGAGACGGGCGCCGCGGAGAGGATCGACTGAGGAATGAAGAACGGGTCGTATGGATCTGAGAGAGGTGGCACGTCTGGCGTGAGTTGCTGGCGTCGTTGGACCGGGTATATTGTCGATTCTGAGAATCTTGCGATTTCTGCCCTCGTGGGCGGCTGCTGTTGGGTGAGAGCTGTTGGGAGAAGACCACCGGTCCACGAGGGCAGAGTCAGTGGCGAGGTTGTGGACGTCGAGGCAGACTGATCTGAGGGGAGATGCCATCTCTGAAGCGATGTTGATGTTGATGTCGATGTCGATGCTGATGACCACCTACCTTCCATTGCCAGCGGTTGGTTCGTGGGTGGGAACGGAAACACTGGTACATAAGAGCAAAGTAAGCTGGCATCAAATCAGCAAAACACGAGGCGACGAAATCCGGGGAAGGCAGATGCAGATGCAGCTGCGAATGCATTTGCGGGCAGCGGAACAACGCGGGGTTCGCATTACAGTACGAGTACGAGATACGAGGAGCCGAGGATCCACCAGGGGCCAGCCACCCGCGCCAGAGGGGCGTGAGAGTGCTGCCTACACAGTACTGTGTAGAGCCCTCTGGGGGGCGCCCGGGCTGTTCGGAATACCACTGCCTACTACCAGGTAGTAATTAGCTTAGGTACGGAGTACCTCGTAGAAGAAAGGGTTTCGTGTTGGCTGTGACTAGGTAGACAAGCCGTCTCCTTGTACGGCACCCTGATTACACCCACTGCAAGGCTGAAACAAGCGACTTCCGCCACGCCAGACCCAACTGGGCCTGGCCAAGTGACGTCGGTGGGGTTGCAACCTGAGTTCCTGGTGAGCTGCAAGTGAGAAGCGCTCAATCTTACAACCAACTGACGAGATCTAGGCCTTCAGCCTCAAGTTCGAATCTTCCTCTTCCACTACTCCAAGGGCGCCCCAAAAGAACTATTCTTCTCAATATGGCCGACTCCCGGCCTAAAGATGTCACCTCCGAAGAGCAGCTAGAGTCGGAGTCGGAAGCCGAGGAACACACAGAACAAGACCATGAGGGCACTGCCGATGGGACCACCGCAACGGCGGAAAAGGCCAAGAAGAAAAAGAAGAAGTCGAAGAAGGCCAAGCTAGTGTCTGCTCTTACTGGTAACAAGTCGTCCGAACCTGCAGAAGCCTCCAAGCCTTTGTCCAACGACGTGGTAAAGACCCTTCTCGATGCGAATCCGGCACTCAAAGGCGAACTGGCTGGGATACCCCCCGAGAAGGCGGGTGAGTTACTCAAAAAGATGGACGTCTCACAGTTGCTCAGCGGGTTATCGATAACTGGGAAGAACCAGAAGGACATGGCATCATACAAATTCTGGGCGACTCAGCCAGTCCCTCGTTTTGATGAGAAGTCGGAAGAGAAGCCCGACGGACCCATCAAAGAAGTCATTCCGGATCTGGTGCCAAAGACCGCGGCTGCTTTACCAGAAGGCTACGAATGGGTGGAACTGGACCTGACACAAGAGGACGAGGTGAAGGAGGTCTACAAGCTGCTTTCATTACACTACGTCGAAGATGACCACGCGATGTTCCGATTCAACTATTCCGCTGTCTTCCTAGATTGGGCTCTCAAGTCGCCTGATTGGAAGAAGAGTTGGCATATCGGGGTTCGTGCGAAAGGTCCAAGCCGTCTTCTGGTAGCAACCATTTTCGGCATTCCCATAAAGCTGAAAATACGCCAGAACGTCCTCGATGTGGTGGAAATCAACTTCATGTGTGTTCACAAGAAGCTCAGGTCACGGAGGTTGGCTCCAGTGCTGATCAAGGAGGTCACGCGACGGTGTCATCTGGAGGGTGTCTACCAGGCCATTTACACTGGCGGTGTCGTCTTACCTACTCCTGTTGGCAGCTGTCGATACTACCATCGCAGTCTCGATTGGCTGAAATTGTACGAAGTCGGATTCTCTCCTCTCCCTCCCAATATGACACAAGCAAAGATGATTGCTCGAAATCAACTGCCTCCAAGTACCAGCACGCCCGGATGGCGAAAAATGGAAGAAAAAGACGTTGATGCTGTCCATGATCTGCTCTCGCGGTACCTCGATCGGTTTGACCTTGCGCAAATATTCTCCAGAGAAGAAATCGTGCACTGGTTTCTGAACCGACAAAAACCTGCTGAGCAAGTAGTCTGGTCGTTTGTGGTGGAAGGAAATGATGGCAAGATCACCGATTTTGGCAGCTTTTACTGTCTGGAGAGCAGCGTCATTGGTGAAATGAGCAAGAAGCACGACAAGATTCGAGCGGCGTACATGTTCTATTATGCCACTGAGCATGCGTTCAACCCCAAGGAGAAAGGCTTGAAGGAGAGACTCCTCCAATTGGGACAGGATCTGTTGATCGAGGCAAAGAAGGTGGGATTTTTCATATTGTTCTCGGTAATTTGAGATGCTGACCACCCGGTGCTTAGGCCAAGTTCGACGTATTCAATGCACTCACACTGCACGACAACCCCTTGTTCCTAGAGCAATTGAAGTTCGGCGCTGGCGATGGCCAACTGCATCACTACCTGTACAACTGGCGGACGAAGACTATCAATGGTGGTGTCAACTCGAAGAATCAGCCGGATGAGAGCAAGAGGGGAGGCATCGGGATTGTGTTGCTGTGACGAATGCGCGGAAGTGGCACCAAAAGGCTCAGAGTCGCTTGAGGCTATTGCTCGGCGGCTTGACGGAGTACTGATTCACCACTTTTTGGCTGAGCGGACTCCCACACGGTGGTGACTTTGAATGGCATCGAAAGGCATGAGTTTTGAGTGCAGAGTCCATGAGTGCATAGCTGAAATACAAGCCTGCCTCAAGTGGATTCGAATTGATGAGCGAAGATTCTATGCCGTTGAAAACCGACATGCGGTTCCATGCGTCGCATCAAGCGAACTAGAAACAATGGATATGATGTCGACTTCACGGCCGATATATACCTTCTTTTCCCTTCCAATCTGGCCGCGGCGGTACACAGCTAGCCCACTTCTACCTGCTAACGCGGCATGGTCACCAACTATAGATCGCCGGATGATATCTGTCAATGCGATGGGCGCCCTGCCGCCCGTCGATTGACCACCGCATACGCTTTGAGTGGTGTCAAGCTCGCGTGTTTGCCATGCCGAAGTGGACATTTTCGTCTCACGCCACTTCTCCTGTGAACTTCGCCAATATCACTTCGCCCAGAGGAGACGAAGGCGTGCAGGCAGATCCAATGATGTAGCCATCTGCCTCAGACAGGTTCCATCAGCCACGAACTTGGCACTGTAGTGTCCTCGAAGGCGCCATTCGAGGTTATCAGCTGCACAGACTTCCGGCAGTCGCACCTCTTAGCAATTCGCACGGCCAAGTCTCTAGACACTCCTTGGGCGGTTCGCCCTCCGCGCAGCCTGCCATGAGACCTTTTCCGTCGAATGCACCGCAAGTCACATGTGTTTTCCTAATGCCCTATTTTCCTTGCCGCTGCTTATGTTTCGGGTTTTTATCGCAGATGATGAAAACGCGGTTCTTCCGGCGTACGGCCTGTATCATCCACACAAACATCAGACGTTAGCATGGGAGATTTCCTGATCCTAGTTCTTGACCTATTTTGTGGACGTGCTTGCTGAGGGCACACTCTGTGGGGGCGCGCGTGGGCGAGCGTGAAGCTAGCTACATCCACAACCGCTCCACGCAGCAAAGACACGCACACACATACAGACAGACAGAGCGGGATGGTCTCGTACCTTGCAGCCCTCACATAACCTCTTGACCGAAGAGCGAGTTTTCATTCCTCTTACTTGGACCTGCGTGTCGAGACATGATCTGACTTGTGGATGTGGGCGTGAGTGTGGTTGTGATTGTGATGGCGAGGCTCGCGCTAGCCGAGGTGGCAATATCGAGCTGCGAAGAAAGGTGCTGAAGCTGCTTTGCTGGGATGTGCTGGAAGTGAGGGCTCGGACTCGTTGTGGAAAGTGCGGGAAACGGGTTTGAAGGAGGAGGGAGCGGAAGAAGGTGAGGCGCGGGGCGAGGGTAGTCAGCATTTTGATTGCTGTCGTGCCGGGGATCTAGTCTTTGGTGTTGATAACTTGCAGATGTCGATTGAGACTTACTGAAGGGATGGGTCAAAGTCATGGAGTTTCGAGATCAGGAAGGAGGTCGACGGGGGGGTTGTGATCCGCTGTACTCCTAGCACATGCACTGCAGTTTAGGGCTCTATGCTTTACACTAGCTCGCTCACCACGCGCTCCACGCGTACTTGATCAGCTTCATTTTATTGAACTTGCGATGTCGTGGAAGGAGCAGCCCAAACGGCTGCCATTACATACAATCATGGCTCCATAGCTCCATAATCCTCACATACTCATCACCTTGAAGATACCACCATAACTTACATGCGAGCATGCCATTGCGTTTTCTACTCGTACGGTATGGTGGTCCGGATTTCGTGGAGCTGGCTTCGAGAGGATCAGGCAAGAAGACCTTACCCTCTAGAATATTGTCTCTGACCTTGGGCCTGCATGGATCTTCTGTGTGAAGAACCTTTCTGGTCTCATACCTCAAGGAAGCCATTGCCAAAGTCTGTCATCAACATCCAGCTGCCGTCGTCGACTATATTGTCAGGCAACCACCGCATAGGAGTTTCAATGCCCGTGTCGACAAAATCCGACATGCTGGGATTGGTGTAGGGACTCCCATTTGGCCCCAACTGTTGCAACCTCGCGTGGCCGTCATACTGATATGCCGTACTGTTCGGTACGTTGAGCGAAGGAGCCTTGTTTGAGGTCTGCCCGTGTACTTGTGGTTGTTTTGCACTCGACAGGGATGCATGGAACTGGGGGTTGCTGCTGCCAATTTCTGGGGTCCAAACCGGAAGAGAATCCGATGCCGGCGGCGCATGGGAAGGGGAGCTCCCACTGGTCTGGGCTGGTCCTGTGGCAAGCTCGATTGCGACACCCGCACTCAGTTCGTACGAACTCGATGGCAGCTTTGGGAGTGGAGAAGCGACAATGCCATGGCCACGATGGTCTCGCGAGCTTTGGATTGCGCCTCGCACCACCTTCTTGTCCGACCACTGCCTGAGCAGCTGCAAAATGACTGCAGCACACCTTGCGGCTGAAGGTGTCGCACCAGCTTGTCGCAGCACTTCTAGGCCAAAATTCAACCTCACACTTGCTTCTTGAGCCAAGACGAAGCCATTGCTGTTGCTTCGGCTACTCGATTCGTTCTCCTTCAGGTCAAGGACGTTGATTGTGCAGGCAACAAACATGGTATACGTCTGCAGGTACGTGATGAACCGGAAGCCGAAACGACGCACGTGCAGAGTAAACAGCGAGTCGATCATCTGGGCGGCTGTTGTGCAGAGATCCCTTGCTCTCCGGGACAGTGTTCGATAAGGTCGACACAAGAGTATCATCGTCGCATGATATGTCATATTGAGGAGCAGGATATGGATAGGCGGACAGAGAACGGCTCTATCTCCGATCGAGACGAAGAGACCGTCAGGAAGAGTACTTGACCAGTCTTCAAGCTTCTGGATGGTGTTCTCGAGAAAAGCCAGCAGGTGGTCTTGCTTTGACTGGTGAGGTCGGCAATAGAGACTACCCAACACGCCATCGATGATGACGCACAACTTGCAGTATGCGCGGAATCGGGCACTCCCGAGCGATTTCTGCTCCGTGAAGGCTGCCATGGATTCTTGCTCCTGTCCCAGCACTGGTCTCCATGGCTCATCGTCTGTCACCTGGCCATCAATCAGGGTGTCTTTGGAGGGAAGGTCGAGCGTGTCATGGATGATTGGAGCTCTGCCAAGACATAAGCTCATGGTTTTGTCCCACGTGAAGCAGCTCCAAAACACCTGCAGTCGAAGTGCGAGCTCTTCCTCGGAAAACTGCCGGGCCAGATAGCTCATCTGCTTGGAGTCAATGTGGATCCCAAGATCGCGCATCATGCGGAAGGCCATGCCAGAATACAGCCAGCCTTGCGAGGTCCTTCCACAGCCGCATTCCCGCGCTGAGAGGATCAGCAGGCCTTGTATTGTGGGGATCGAGCTCCCTCTGTCGATATCATTGGGAAGCAGCTGCAGCGCTCTGGCCGCAAAATGATTCCCCAAGCTTGGGGATTCGAGCCTCGTCGAATACCGTGCAGCTTGGGCGAGTACGGCGCATATCAGAAATGGTGTCACCCACGGCCCGCAAACGAACAGGTCCCCTGTTCCGGGTCAGCGTTTTCTCCACGACATTACCACCGTCGAGATGCGTACTCAAGAATAATCGCCTGTTGAGGACCAAATGCAGGTGATGGGCCCAGCACCAGTATGCGTCGAGCAGGTGGTCCAGGAATTCATTGGGTATCTCAGACAGGACTTCCGGTGGCCCAGGTGAATAAGTGAGTGCATTTATATCTGGCGTGGTGTAGATTGTGGATGCGGTCGAGATGTGTTGGTATTGGTCTGTCGTATGCCGTCCGCCTTGTTCTGCCATACCTTCGTCGTCCTCATCCCCCCGAAGATCAACATGGTAGTGGCTTGTCTTGCCATAGAAGCAGATGCGCCCGTCCACGCCTACCGAGGCTTCATCGGGCGATTCACGTTGTATAAGTGGCGGTGACTCAGTGGCATCAACATCCTCACCCTCGTCGAGCCTATCCTTCGGCTGCCGTGTGTCCACCGAAGCACGTCGTGCGCGCTCTGGCTTGATCCTCTCGAAGGGCTTCGGAATCAAGGCTTCGCGCTCTTCAGTGCTCGTACTTAGGCAAAGCCTTTCAAATCTATCCTCGAATGCTTGGAGGCGTTTCTCGAGCGAAATGGCATACGCAAGCGAAGGTCCTCTATTCGCGCCAAAGTCAGGTCAGCACCAATCGATTCGCGTGCAGTCGCTGGCAGACCTGTCATATTCACACGATTCACCTGATGCAATGCACTTGTTGCATGTCGGGGTTGCTCCATCGCAACGTGCCTTCTTTCGTCGACAATTCGAGCACGCGAATCCATATCTCCGCGCTTGGTGATTTCTCTGCTTCCTTTTGGAGCGCTGACTTGCAGCATCCAGCCTGTGGTCCGTCATACCTTGGCTGTGTTGTCCGGCTGATCGCGATGGCTTGCCTTGAGGACGAATGTGAATTTTTGATAACATACGTCTGCATGTCAAGTTCGCACAGGGTCCAGGTAGACCGGCTCCTATTCCGGTTGCAACCCGGGGTAGGCAAGGGGGCTCAGCCTCGTGACGTGTGAAACGCCCGGAATGGAGGGAACAGTGCGGGGATGGTAGCGTCGATCTTCCCGGCATCTCTCCGGCGAAGAGGAGGGAGGCGTGCGTAGAATCGCCGCGGCGTCAAACAGCGGCGGTGGTGAGAGGCGTCTCATGGCCAAGCACCTTCGTCTGTGTCACGGTTGGGTATGCTCAGGGCATAGCTACAAATGACCGATGCCAACTCTGGCCGACTGTTGTGACTCTGCATTGCAGACAAGGCAAACTCAGCCACGAAGATGGCAGACTTCGAGCCAACGCTCGAGCGACTTCAAAAGGCATACGACAGTCCTGAATATCAAGAGGGTCTCAATGTGGCGTTGAGGAAGGCACTCAGGCTGTATGCCACAGCTGCGGGGCTAGATTTTGTCGTGAGTGGAGAATAATCCAACGCCACTCACGGCCTACTGATAGGGGAGCAGCAAGATAATGCTGGAAACATTCACATCTGGCAGCATGGACGTGATCGGGATCTGGCAAACATTGCAATAGCATTCCAGCTGGACGAGAATCGGTCAAAGGCAGCGTGCCAGAGTGCCTTCCGGGTCTTCTACGAGCTACAAAGAGAGAACTTGCTGTGCGGCGTCACGTTGCTTGGCTGGACCTCTGTTGGTGACGAGTACGTGGGACGACATCTCTGGGAGGGCGCAGGCTTGAAAACCCAAAACCAACCTTCCGACCGCGAAGTCCAACAATTTCCAGACTTTGCGGATGTATCGGCGTTCCAGCTATCTGCTATCTTCGAGGTTGTCGAGGAACAACAGGAGCAGCTGCAAGTGGAAGGGGCTAAAGTTCTGGTCGAGCAGATACAGAAACTCTCAGGCCCGCCCACATCTGCCAGGCTGTCTCCGCGAAAGCAATTGCGAGCACCAGCGGTGTGGTTGAGGGGGCCAGGAGCGGAGCGTGCAGCGTGTGAAGCGATCAAGGCGTACAGCAGCTACATTGGAGCTCTGTTTGACAATTTCGACTAGCGGCGCAGACAAAGGTTATTCTATCCGTACGCGACAGGTCAACTGCAGGCGTCGTCGAAGTCTATGTTCGAAAATATGACCTGTCACCCCGTTCACGGCCGTTCAATGCTCGGTGTCTGAGTCTCAGCGGAGAAGCGCGGAGAACGGCAGCGGATGCCGCTCGGCGTCTCAGTTTGGGAGGCACTGAATGACTTCACGCGGTCAAATGCGGCGTCAGTCCGTCCACAGCCTATGGCCAAACTTTCTGTGCGCCGGCTATACCGACCGCGTCATGCTAAGGGACTGTGCACTGTCGTAATATAAGAGTAGCCATGGCTGCCAGGAAGTATTTCTCTCGAAGCTACGAGCACCCAAAACCGAGCCTTCTACGAATACGAAACCGAGCAGCATGGCGTCCAAATTGTCTGCCACCGGCTACATCTCGTCCAACGACAGCAAGTTATACTACGAGACGGAGGGAAACCCTGATGGGCCTACGATTCTGTTCATCCACGGCTTAGGCGGCACAACAAATGCCTATCAGCCCATCGTCCCTGATCTCCAAGACTTCAACATCGTCCGCTTCGACTGGGGCGGCCATGGGAGGAGTCCGACGCCCAAGACCACGAGCATCGAGTCCTACGTGGCCGACGCTGAAGGTATGCTTGCTGTCCCTCGTGGCTTATGCTGGCACGGTGGATGCTGACCAATCCGTGCAAAGCTGTGTTGAATGAGTTGAATCTCAGCAATGTCTACGTCGTCGGTCACTCGCTAGGCGGACTGGTCGCTCTGCATTTTGCCGCCAAGTTGCCCGACAAGGTCAAAGCCTTGGTGCTATTTGGGCCGATCAGCCCGCCTCCAGAGGCTGGTCAGAAGGGGCTCAAGGGCCGCGCCGCCACTGTCCGGGAGAAGGGGATGGCCGCAATCGCCGATACCGTTGTCGGGAATGCTTTCGCTGCTGAATCCTACAAGTCTAAGAGGGGCGAAGTCACCCTCGCGCGAGAGATGCTGACGAGGCAAGACCCCGAGGGGTATGCGCTGGCTTGTGAAGCCGCGGCGAACAGTAGCGCGCCGGATTTTGGCAGGATCCAGGGTAAAGTTGTCGTCGTCTCCGGGAATGAAGACAAGGTGTCAACTGTGCAGGCGGGCGAGACGACCACGCAGAAGCTTGGCTCGAATGCCAAGCAAGAGGTCATCGAGAACGTCGGGCACTGGCACATGCTCGAAGCGAAGGAGAAGGCGGTCGAGATCATCAAGACGACATTCTCTTAGACACGTTTTAGACGAACCCCACAAAAGGTTCGACGATTCTATTGTTCTGCCCGGGGACTGTTGATCCCGTTGGCCTGGCCTGGTTGCAATGTAAAGTCCTCGCCCTTGAAGGGTTTGAGACCAGCAGTGACGCGCATGCCAGCCGCACATGCGCTCCAGTCCAGTGACTCGCCCCCGATGGCTTTTGCCGTCGTCAGATGATTCCAGGCCTGGTCAATGATCGGCGTCGGGGTTGCCGACTCGGCACCTAGCCGTCGAATATATGCCGCGTCCTTCATCCCGCCGGGCAGCGTAAAGCCCGTCTTGCCCGAGAAGGTGCCGTCGCGGATCTTCTTGCCGTAATTGATCCACGCGGCGGCTGGAAACCATTGTTCTGAAAGAGGGCCTGGTCAGTGGCTCCGCGGTCCGTAGGGATACTCACTCACGGATGAAATCGTAGAAGAGCTTCGTGTCAAACCCCGTCTTCTCCGCCAGCGTGAAGCTCTCGGACAGCAGTTCAATCGTGCCCAGGATGCAGTTGTTGCCCAGGATCTTGAGCAGCGCGCCCTTGGAGGCATCCTCGCCACAGTCAATCACGGCTTTGCCCAGCGTCGGCACAATGTACGACTTGAGCTTGTCCCGGCCGTGCTCGGCGCCTGACAGCACGATCAGGAGACCCGCGCTCTTTGCCGCAGCAGGTGGTCCAAACACGGGACACGACATGAAGGATACGCCTGCCCGTGCAGCTTCTTGATGCAGCCTAGACGACGTGGTCGGGTATAGGGTCGAGTGGTCGGCGAGGATCAGGCCTTCTTTCCGTCGTGCTTGAAAGACCTCGCGGCATATTGACAAGGCGACCTCGTCGTTGGCCAGACATGTGTGGATAATGTCGCATTTCTGGGCCAGCTCGGTAATGCTACCGGCTGGTTCGCAGTAGCTGGTCACTGCCAGAGACTCGACCTTGGTCCGCGTGCGGTTCCATATCTGCACCTTGGGGAGGCCTTTCGAATGAGCATGTGTCGCCAGGTTCTGCGCCATCATTGAGCCCATGTTGCCGAGGCCGATGAAGCCAAATGTGACGTTGTCGCTATTAGTGGCCATGCTGGCGGTTATATCCTCGCCGTCACGGTTGAGGATGTGGATGCAGTTTCCCTGATCCTGTACAAGCAGGCTTAGAGGGCCGACTTGATCTGCCTGGAGGGTTGAAGGCCAGGCTGGCGATGTCGCGAGCATGCTCTGCCTGGCCTGATATGTATAGCTTAATTGGACGATCGTGGCATTTTGCCCTCAACACAAGAGCTTCTCGCATCAGACGGAAAACGGCATCTCACCGTGCAACAGTCTGCGCATGATCTTCATGCATGTGACGACAAGGGCAACAGAGGGCGATGCGAGGGGAGCATATACAAGCACATGCAAGCTTTCAGAAACGACTACCGGCATCTCCCCGTTGTTGCTTGTCCAGCAGTTTAGCGGAGACCCCGCATTTATCACATCTGCTGTGTATGCTTCTAGGCCGCGCAACGAGCCGATCACAGGCGGACTATCACCAAAGCGACATGACTCAAATGGCTGGACGATCCATCTGCTTTAAAGGGGTCGCGCGAGGCCTCCTCCTCGTGTGGCAACCAGACGGCCCTGGAGTGAGCTCACAGGATCAGGTTCTCCCGCCGGCCGAATCTACACGACACAGATCCTCGAGCTCCGAGTATGGGCTCCATCGACCCACCGAAGACATTCAGCCCTGAGGAGCTGCCTCCTCCCTGGAACCTGACGCCTGCAGATATAGAAATCGACAACCACAAGGACGGCGACAAGGGCAAGATCCTCTTCAAAAACGTCAACATCTTTGACTCGACCGGCGCGGACATCTACTCAGGAGATGTCTTGATCGAAGGCGAACGCATCAAGCAGGTCGGCAGGGTCGACGTGGCACCCAACGACGACGATACCCTCGTCATCGACGGCCAAGGCAAGAAGACTCTCATGTCCGGCCTCTGTGACGCCCACACGCACCTGAGCTGGAACAACTCGCCAACCCTAGACGGACTTACGGGGCTGAAACTCGAGGAACACGTCCTGTTCACGGCGCAGTCGGCCAAGACGTACCTCGACTGCGGCTACACCATGTGTTTTGGCGCCGCGTCGGCCCAACCACGCCTCGACATCGTCATCAAGGGCGCGATCAAGTCCGGCATGATCCCCGGCCCGCGGACCGTCGCGAGTTGCCAGGAGATCACGACCACGGGGGGCGCCATCATCCCCAGCATCAGCAAGTACGCCGACGGCGAGGACGCGATGCGCAAGACGGTGCGCGAGTTCGTCGAGCTCGGCGCGGATAACATCAAGCTCAGCATGACGGGCGACTATGTCCACCCGACGATGGGCAGTACCGAGACGTACTTTACGCTCAAGGAGACGAAGGCCGCGGTCGAGGAGGCCCACAACCGCGGGAAGAGGGTGTGTGCGCATGCCCGCTCCGCCGCGAGTGTCGTGCTCTGCTGCCAAGCCGGTGTGGACGTCGTGTACCACGCCAGTTTCGCCGACGCCAAGGGCCTGGACATGCTGGACGCGCTGAAGGACCGCGTGTTCGTCGCGCCCGCCATCAATTTTCCCTACAATACCTGCTCCGGCGACGCGATCCCGTATGGCATGACCCCCGAGATGGCCAAGAAGAAGGGGCTCGTCGAGGAGGTCGACAAGGCGTGCAAGGCCATGAACGAGCTGCATAGACGCGGCGTGCGCGTCCTGCCTGGTGGGGACTATGGGTTTGCATGGGCTCCGCATGGGACATACGCGAGGTGAGTCGCCATGATCGGCGGAATGAAGCTACTGTACCTGACACCGACGTGACCCAGAGATCTAGCCCACTTTGTCAACCTCTTCGGGTACACGCCCAAGGAATCGCTCATCGCGGCCACGGCCCTGGGCGGCGAAATCATGGGCCACCCGGACCTCCTGGGCAAGGTCCAACCAGGATACTACGCCGACGTGATCCTGCTGGACGGCAACCCCGCGGAAGATATCGAGATCTTGCAGGACACGTCCAAGATACATGCCATCGTCCTCAACGGGCACGTGCACAAGAATGTCGCCGTCGCGGGGGCGGACGGGCAGAGCGTGACGGCCGACGGCCTGGCGAACAAGCGTGCGGTGTTTACGAACTTGCCGCTCGTGCCCAGGGAGGAGCAGGAGAGGCAGCAGCGCGATGCCAGGGAGAATGGTATCGGGGTGGAACCGCAGGCTGTGTGAGACATGGGTGACACGGATGGGATGGGACGGTACTGTATGTGCGGCGAAAAGTGCTTCGACTGCTGGTGGCACAAAGGAGGCCACGAGTTTCACATAATGACCATTTTCATCGTTGTGTCCTGGTCTACCAGGATGGATAGGTGGACTGTGTAGTAGTTTGAAAGTGTTTTGGCATCTGTTTACGCGTATTATGATACATAGCGATGGTGGCATGGCTTCTGCCTGCAGTTGTACTTGTGTCCGTACTTGTACGTAGCCTGTCATTCTGGACTATTGTACGAGCACGGGCGCGGAGTGCGGCTCCTCTCACGGTGGATTGAACTCCTAAAGTCGCTAGCGGAAGATGCGCATGCATAACATGCTGAACCGGGGTTTCAAATGTTTATTTGGTCTTGTTTTGATTGGATAAATCATTAATCTGATTCTCATATACATTCTGGGGCTTGGTGCCGGAGCACAAGCATATAGTATCCAGGAAGCATAGCCTCGCCCAGCTGACGACTGCGGCGAGGTCGCACAGGATAGGGGTGTATTAGGTGGTGTGATTTATATATCTCCACGATATATAGCATCCTCGGGGCTTCTATACCGTATACCGTATGACGTATACGCGCGTCCAAAAGATGCATTTTCCTGGGTATTGAAAAGCAAAAAGACGGGTGTCAGCTGCTGCTTCATCCTCATTCAAGATGACAGTGCCGCAACTATAGCAAGAACGTGGCTAGGAGGCTGACGATGGTCAACGCAGCAGCCGTGGATTGGAATTGATAGGTTCCGGCAGAGAACTTCAGCGCGCTTGCCGCACCAGTGAACGTGGACTGCGGTGCCGTCGAGGTGCCGGAAGCTGCGGCCGAGCCTCCGGAGGCTCCGGTCGTTGTCGCAAGTGCCGAGACCTCCCCACTGGGAGTGACTGTCAGGGTTGTGGTGTAGGTACTGGTGGTGGGAGAGGTGGGAAGAACAAGTGTGGCGCCTCCGCTAGTCAAATCAGAGCCATACACGGTGGTGGTGCTGTTGACGCCGACGGGCATGATGATCGTGACTTGACCCCAGGCGCTGCCGGAAACCGTCCGGTGAGAGTAACTGGTCGTTACGACAGTTTCGGTGGTTGTGTACGGCTGTGTCGCTGAAGAGATTGGTGCTGGTGGTGTCGAAGACGGTGATGATGTGGGAAGTGTCGAGAGGGTTGACACCGTTGCTGTCATTGTGGAGCCCTCTGAAGTAGCCGTCGTCGGTGACGGGACTGGTGTGAGCGTTGCAATGGTGACGACCGGGCTCGATGGGGCCGAGGAGGGAGGAGGTGCCGAACTCTTCGGCGTGACCGTCGTCATTATGGTTCCCGTGGCCGTGGCGAGAGTCGAACCAGCAGCATTGGTTGTGGGTGTCGTCAAGGTGGTACTTACGCCAACAGTCGAAAATTGTTCGCAGTAATCGAGGAACTGTTGAAACTGCGGTGCGATCTGCACAAAACTGGCCGAGTCATCGGCCTTGTGGTAGTCAATGCACTGCTCACACTGCGCGAGTGAGACCTCAAATGCTGAGCCGGGCACGCAGAGTTTGGACGTCTTCCCGTTCGACTGAGCCTCTAACAGACAATTATTACACCACGGATAACAAGCACCCGGAACCTTAGTCTGCGCTTGTCTCGCTGCAACGGTCGGGCTCGGTGGCAATAGTATAGTGGTGGTGCGAGTCAACACTTCGTTGACGACGAAGATGTCATATGTCAACCCGAACTGAGTCGGGTCCATGTTGAAGAAATCATCAATAACATTGATGCGGAGGGCCGGGTTTGTTGCAGGCGTAGAATTTCCATAGATATCCAGGTCCCAGGTTGGGAGGGACGGGGGAAGGACTGAGGCCGGGATACATTGGTTCGGACTGCAAAGGAAATTTGGATCCGGGATGCCAGCTTCGAAGTTGCAGTTCTCCAGAACAGGTTTACACAGCCAGCCTGGAGGACAACCCCACCTGAAGACAGAAAGTTAGCACGCTTACAAAATACAACATGCAAGGCACACGGACAGGCAACACGTGATCGAGTGATACCGTGCCCGGGTAGAGTCCTGATGAGATTCAGGAGGTAATGCTAAGAGGTGACACTTACGTCCAGTCTGTGGGATATGGCCCGGCGGCGGTATAAGTTGGGTTGACTATCCGAGTTGGACATAACGTAATGCTGGTAGCCTGAGTTGTAATCTCGTATATCGAGATGATTTCTGTCGCCGTCGCGGTTGTTGGGGTCGTCGATATTGACGTTTCCGTGAGCGTCGCTGTGGTGGGAGTTGTTATTGTTTCAGTAGTTGGAGTGGTCACTGTTTCGGTTGTTGGAGTCGTCACGGTTGCTGTCGTAGGTGTGGTTAACGTGGTTGGAGTAATGGAGATTGTCGTCGTTGTTTCTGTCACGGTTTGGGTCTGCAGATATAAGCTTCCCAGTCTGTTACAATACGAAAGAGTAGACTAACCGTCGTAACAATCGACGTGGAGATGATAGTCTGGTAGATTGTGATTGGTAGGGTGGTTGTGTTGGTGAAGAACTGGGAGGTGGTGGTGGTGTCCGTGAAGAACTCCGAAGTGGTGGTTGTATCAGTGAAGAACTCGGACGTAGTGGTCGTATCGGTGTAGAATTCCGAGGTGGTGGTGGTGTCGGTGAAGAATTCCGAGGCGGTTGTTGTTGCTGTGACGGGAACATATTCGGTCGCGGTGAAGTTGATGAAAACCGTCGGCGGCGCTGGACAAGTGACAACCCAAGTCCTGTCGACCGTCGATGTGGTGACATATACCGGAACTGGAGGTGGCGGCACCGGATGATTTGGCCATGGCCAGACAGTGTATACCGACTGAGCAGATGCCGTGGCAATCGCAAACGACAGACAGGTCAGAGATCTGAGCGGTGAATGCATCTCGACAGAGCTCCGAATACTAGACTACTATTCCTCTTTTCACAGCGCACTCATAATGCATTCAACGAGAGAGCCCGAAGGTTGAAAACGAATGATGTCGAACGAGGGAATGTGCCTAAAAGCGAATGAAAGTACGGAGTAGACTGAGAGTATTGACAGCTTTGAAAGCTACCCGTCTCAAATGTCAAGTAAGAGCAAAGGAAGGAAGGAATCCAAGCTTCAAGGTGCCAGACTTGCCGTCATTATCGGAAGCCCGGTTCGGATAATGAGATGGCCAGGCGAGCCCTCCCTCAGCCTGGTGCTCGTCGTACTCGTGCCATGGTTCTCACGCCACATGGCATCGGCGCCTTTCATCGCATGCGGTGTTGGGACGTTGAGCGCAACTGGATATGCAGGTCGGTGACGTTCCTGGCTTGCCGTCAACGGAGCCCCGCTAGATGGGGATGGTGGCGTGCCAATCGATGACAGAATCAGCACTTGGAAAGAAAGCTCGCATTCGGGGGCTTTTCCTAATACCAACTAGCTCGTTCATGCGGGAACGTCGATGTGGAAGATCGAAGCGGACAGGCAGTGAGCGAACAGTAAGAGGACAGTGAGGGAACAATGAGCATTGACGTTGAACCTGGAGCTTGTTTCCGCCGGGGGTGGAGCCATCCCCAAGCCCCGATGCCCGGCAGCGCTTTCCCTCTTCGAGGCTAACGTGTCTCTAAAACCGGTTTGTCGTTGGTGACGGCATAAGCGTCCCGCACGGCCTGGTCTAGCCTCGACACTTGTCTCTTCCTCCCCATGTCCTTGACGACTGAGGTGTTCGCTTCGGCGCAAATCATGACAAGTTTTGTGCTTCTCGATAACGAAACACCCATAGCCCAACGTCCTGCTTTCCCAGTTACGGCGACGATCGTCCCTGATTCATGCGCGGTCTCGCCTGGCTCTCTGCTTGTGCCAGGGCCTGCTCTTCGATTGCCTGACAGACACGCAATTCAGCCGCTCTCATCATCGTCTCCAAGACTCGCACTTCCAGGACTTACTGTGGTACTCGCGTACGAGTACTATGACGCACCGATTCAGATTCAATGTCCTCTGTGGTCGTGTCGGTTCACTGCAACCACAGGACCCTGCGCCTGCACATCGCCGCCAGCAGCACGATCATACCAATGATCACCGAGCTCAATACACTGAAGGTAGTGATTGCCGCTCAGGTGGCAAATCTGGTTCCTGATGATAGTAAGTATCAACACGAGGTTTGTCTCAGAACACACGGCTCCATCTTCCTGGAGCCTTGAATGCTGTAGAGTGCCTACACGCAAGCAACTGTTCGCCTTTCCAACGCTCAGATCGTGCAATATTCCAGAATATAGGCATGACCGTCACAATCCCTAGATGACACCACAATGATCTTATACCTGGAGTCTCTGGTACTCGTTGGGTTGTTGATCGCAACGGCACGAAGCATTTCAGTTGAGCAAAATTACACAATATGTAACTGGGCTCGCTTGAGGGCTGGAGTGGTGCGGGATGCTGTTTACCTCGACGGCGGTCTCCTTTGGTGGCAGACTGCCTTCGCAGATGGAACTGCGCCCGTTGTGAGCAGTGATGGTAACGTCGACGGGGACATGTTTGTGCTGAACTTTTCGACTCCTTTTGATACTGCCAAGACCAATGTATCGGGCTTGTTGAACCGGATGGCGAAGGCGGGTGGAGCAGGAAACAACATCGCGCCTAACTATGTGGATGGAACCATGTTCACGAACGATGGGGAATTGTATCTATACGGGTGAGTTGGGTCCAGAAACGTCGTGCGTCAATGTTGACTGACATACCTTCGACAGTGGCCTACCTCGACTGACCGACTCTGCCTCGCCACAAAGCGAAGAGAGCATCCTTGGCTACGAGGCCTACCAGTATGGCCCGAACCGGGCTAGCTGGAGCCCTGGATTCTACCAAGGAACTCTTCCCGATGGGGTTACAAGATACATAACTAACGGCGCAGGAGTGTCTGCTCCGAGTGAAAACCTGGGATTCTACTTCAGCGGCATGCGATCGCCGACATGGGGACCAATCTACTACGAGGACTCCTCCGCGAACGTGACCGCAAACACTCTTATTGAGGTCGACATGTCCGAAATGAGGAACGAGAAATGGACAAACAACACGCTTCCGGACAACATCCCACCGCGCGCAAACGCCGAGTTGGCATGGATACCTGTAGGCGAGCAAGGCGTACTCGTGGCAATTGGTGGTGTCACCGCGCCGGAAGAGATATGGCCAATGGGTTTGAACAGTTCACAAAGTTCCGAGAGTGAAGCGCAAAGTCCAGGATTCATGACCTCTATCCCCGTTTACGATATCGCCTCAAGCACTTGGTATCTGCAAAATACCACCGGCCAGACCCCGGGCCAACTGACAGAGTTCTGCTCTGTCGTAGCGACAGCAAAAGACTCGTCATCGTTCAACGTCTACATCTACGGCGGCTATGACGGCCTGAACGCCGGTGATGTACCATCCGACGACGTCTGGGTCCTCTCACTTCCAGCTTTCCAATGGGTCAAGGCATACAGCGGCACTAAATCTCACGGCCGTTCGGGCCATCAATGTGTCACTCCATACCCGGATCAGATGTTCGTCATTGGCGGTGTTCACCAGAACCAAGCCAACTGCGTCGAAGGCGGCATTGTCCAGATCTTCAACCTCAACACACTCGAGTTCCAAGATACGTATGACCCCGACACGTGGTCGGAGTACGAAGTACCTGGTGTCGTGTCCCAAGCAATTGGAGGCAATGGTGCCTCCGCAAAACGCGCCGCTACCCTCGATGGCGAACTGGCTTCCATCTTCGCCAAACCCTACTCCAAAACGATCACGCATTACTACCCCTACCCTGTTAACGGCTCATCCGACGGCAGCTCTGGAGGCGGCGGGGGCTCCGGCGTCAGCAAAGGTGCCATCATTGGCATCAGCGTTGCCGCCGCGGTGATCGGCCTCCTGCTAATCGTCCTCGTCATCCTGCTCGTCCGCCGCCGTAGCATCATCCGCAGCGGCTCATCCGAAAAGTCATCCGGTTCGAGCAATAGCCGGATCTCACGCTGGCTCAACGGCGCCTCCTGCGCATCAGCAGGTCACAAACGTCCATCACCCCAGCAATGGCAATCCACGCAGGACTCCCGCCAAGAAGTCCAACAGATCGGCCCCTACGCCGCCCTATCCGACGAGTCAACACCTCCGCTGCAACCAGTCCGCCACGAAATGGCCAACACCACCGAACGGCCCAAGCCCCCCTTCGAACTGGCCACAGCTTACAACGACCTCGACCACCCCCGCCACTCCGGCATCGTCGACTACGCCTATAACGCCAACTACGGCCACACGCACTCCAACTCCAACTCCACTTCCACCTCGGACGAGACCCGTCCCTCCCCACCAAGCAACAACACCCCCTCCCCGGCCATGATGGGCACGGGCGCCTCCCCGCTCCGCAACATGCGCTTCCCTCCCGCCGGACCCGCCAGCGACGTCTCCCCTCCCAGCCAGGAGACCTCGAATTCCGACTCCTCGAATTATTCTTCGACGGGCACGTCCGAGACCCTGGCGTGGCCCCTCCCCGGCAGCCAGAACACGTGGCGCGGACCTCGCGGTTCAAGACCACCCACCAGCACCAGTAACAACGCCAGTAGAAATCCGTTTGAGGGCCAACACGAGCGCGAAAACAGCGAGAGTTCCTCCTCGGTCCAGCCGATCATGGAGGAGCAGGAACCCGACTCGCCACCCCACCAGAGCCGCGGGTTGTACCCTCCTGCTCAGGAGCTGCCGACCGAGAGAGATGCAGGGCGGGACCAAGACAGGCGGTTCTCGTACCAGCACGGCAACGAGAGCGCGAGTAGCGGGATAGGCACGCTGCCTAGTCCCGTGGTTACTACGCACGAAGGTGTCACTTTACCAAACCAGGACGAGGGCGCCAGGAGAAGTCTGTTCGAGACGATCAGCCCGGTGAGTCCGACGGTGGCGAGGCAGTGGCAGTGGCATGGGCATGAGAGGCGAGGCTGAGGCCGAGATGGTGTGATGTGATGTTTACGATGACGAGACGAGCGAACAATGTGTATCAATCAGGCCTGGATATCCTGGCTCGCGTGGGGCGTTTTTACAGTATGATCTTAATGTGAAAAAAGGCGTGCGTTTGGCCAGCCTTGTGATGTTTACTCCTGTGTATAGTGAGCGTGTAAATGCATGATGAATCTGACAAGGCAGAGAAGTATACTGTTTATGAATAGATAAGTCGGTGACTCCGATCTCTTTTTGTAGTGAAGAGAGTTCAGGTTGCGAGGCTCAAGTCCCATTCTTCACAATACCGATTTATGAATAGTAGTGGTGTATCAGTGTATCAGGATGTCAGTTGATGATGTCGCTTCTAAACCCGGTCACGACGTACGCCGGCGCTTCGTGGCTGGCTCCATCTCTACCCATCTATGAGGAGGCAATTTGTTGCCACGATTTGAAGGCTTCTCTGCCATCCATTCCTCGTCTCGAGGAACGCCAACGTCGCGCTCCACGTCATTTGGATCAACTTTGTGCGCCCACTCTAGTACAGAACTTCTGAGGCGCGGGCAGGGAACCGCCATCCTGGTCGCATTTACACTGTCTTCGGGTGCAAGCTCGAAAGGATACCCGTTCGGTAACAGCAAGTTGACAGCCATAAGCACTTCGGGTCGCTCATGTTCAATGTACAGATCTGCCACCCTCCGGAGGAGCTGTGGGACGTCAATGACTCGGTTCTTGAAGTCCTCACTTATGGCCAAGAATTTACTGTAAACTTCTGGCTCTTTCGCGAATGATGACTTGATACCTGCCACGTACGAGTGCATTGCGTCGATAAATGTTTGCTGTGGCCACTAACCACGTCCCGGAATATCAGGGGCCGAGGTAGGAACTCCATCCGGGTTTGCAATGTCAGAGGCCTTGGTGCTTTCCAATACCTCCAGAAAGCCACCGACGAGGTGCAGACTCCCGGTGACAAAAGCAGTGACTCCTGGTTCCTGGTCGAATGAAGTTTTGATTTCCTCTCCACTCGCTGTCCGCGTCTCCTTTGCGCTAGAGGGGTTCATCTCATGGGTATGCGAGGTCTTGGTCCTGGTCCCAGTTGGAGCCACCATCTCCGCGTTTTCGTGCGTCCCATATTGATGGTGCCTTGCCAATTTCCGGACGATTTCTACTGCTTCTTCGATCGTGCGCACCACTCCAACCTCGGCTGCAGGGTCTATCTTGGCCCATATCTCAGCCAGACGACGCTGAACTGTCAGACTCTTAACATCTGACGCATTGGAGTTAACAAAGACCAGATCCGGCTTGAAGCCGGTTTCTTTGAAGGTAGTGTTGGTACAGAAGATGACGTGGCTAAAAGGACGTGAATCGTCCAGAGCCTTGGAAAGCGTGGTGAATAGTTCCTCTGCAAAGGCGTTTGCATCTCGGGTCTGCTGATTGAAGATCAAAACGCGCGGTCGTCGATGTGGATATTCCGATGATTTGTTGGTTGGTCGTGATTTCGTGATGACCTGAGAGGCAAACCACTCGCCAGCCAACCTGATACTTTCCAGTGTGTGGGCTCCATCGACGTACCACTCGATTCCTTTCTCTTTTCTAGTATCACACCGTCCCGGCCACCGAACATAACGCAGGCCGTTTTTCAACCTCTGAAAAAATTGACGATCGTGCGACTTGTATCCTTCAACGCGAAGCCACTTCCATGCAACCTCAAGCGCGAGAGTGGCATTGATCTTCTGAAACTCTCCTTGGAGTCCAAGGATGTAGTCTCCAGTCTCAATCTTCGGCATCGGCTTGACGTACTCGAGGAGGCACTCTTTTTCCTTTGCCACTTTCTCCATAATCTCCTTCGCCTCCTGTGGTTGGCTGTCAGGAGTGAAGCACTGGATGCCCTTCTTCATGATACCAGATTTGTGCCAAGCGATCTGGCCAATGGTGTCACCAAGCATACCGACATGGTCGATTCCCAGGCTTGTGATTGCCGTCACCACCGGTGATTCCAGGACATTTGTGCTGTCGTAGGCGCCACCTATGCCGCATTCGATTACTGCAACGTTCACCTTTTCGCTGAGGTAGGTGTGAAAGGCCATCAAGGTCAAATACCTAAAATAAACTGGTTTGGCCTTGGTTGACGCCGGATCTTCCCCTGCATCCCTTGCAGCATTCTCGAGCCGGTCCCAAACCTCGAAGAAATACTTCGCAAACACTTCCTCGGACAAGGGCTCGCCATTGATCTGGATTCGTTCTCGAACCGATGTCAAATGCGGTGAGGTGAACAATCCAACTTTTGACAAGGGTCTAAACCCGGGTTCATCACCATCAATGAACTGTGTGAGGATGGAAGAGGTGAAGGCGGCAGTGGATCCTTTGCCCTTGGTCCCAGCGATGTGTATAGCATTTAAGGCATTGAAGTCTGAAGGCTGCAGGAGGCCGAGTTAGAGCAAGAGGCAATGCACCACAGGCTCGAGGGTTCAGACCTTGTATCCGATCCTGCGGCACCAATCGACCATTTCAGGAATGGCTTGTTCGTTCAACGATCGCCCCGACTTACGGATGGCGTCGACAATAGCAAAATTGGACTGCAGGGTGTTGAGCGATGTCACGGCATCCTAGATGCCTGTCAGTGGTGCTACACGTGAAACTCTTCTTGCGCCGGGAGACTCACGTTGTATGTGCGCGACATGGTGGGGGTCGTCGTCGCCATTCCACGGACGACGATGCTGACCTGAGCAGAGGCTCTGAGAATCCATCTCTGCATTTCAGGACAGGCATGACTGGGAGCTGACTTACTGCGAACGTTCTACACCAAGGTGAAGGTTCGAAAAGATTCGCGAGAGTATCAACCTGCGCTGGAGTAAACTTTGCTGCAACGTAATGCTACGGGGATAACATATGCAGTCAGGCGAATATCTCGGCGTCGTCTGCCTGTCATCGAGGTAAACGAGGAGCCAGAACTCTAATCATGTCATGAAGTGAGAAGTCCAACGCGAGAGGCGGTCTTTACCTGACTGTGTCTGTTGTGTCAATGGAATAGTTTCGCATAAGGGAAGTCGCCATGGGTCAGTCTCACTCATCAGAGCCGCCGAAGGAGGTACCCATCGGTAAGTCAATCGTCTCAATGACGGAAAGAACAGGTTGGCCTGATACTGGGAACTTTTTCCAGAACATCTAAGCCACGAGCTGGCACTTCGCTTTGCCAGCAAATGCTACACGCACTTGGAGATAGCTCACTACAAGGACAACTTCAAGACCCTTGCAGACCATCAGGAAGACGTGGAATACTGGAAAGAAGACACATTATGTCGCTTCTTGGCCTTGCCAGAACCTCTCAAAGCAGGACCTGTGCTCTATCGCATGTGCAGCTACCTGGGAGCCTTTCCATTTCCCAGTCTGGCGCCATGCATCTTGACCCGTGAAGCCATGCTCAAGGTCATCACCATCATGACAGGTAGGTACAAGAAGGTCTTGAGGCGTGGTGACCAGGACAAGGTCAAGCTCTTGTTCCGGAGTTTGGCTGTCTTCGATCGACGGTCTAGTATGCCTCCGCCAAGGGAGCAACCCACTATGGAAGATGTTGTCAAGGACCAACTCCCGGACGACATGCTGAAAGAGCGAGAAGTAGAAGAAGGCGTCCGCTCGCATGTTGACGGTTTCGCTATTGATGAGCCGCTAAATGATGATGAGGACGAAGACGACGATGACCTTGCCCTAGCAGCGCTGGATGCTCTTGATGCCATTGAAGTCTTCAAGCATGATCAGAAGACCGACCGAAAGATCAACCGCGCGATAGTCCCAGCACAGAACCTCAAAAACTTGGTCATGCTCTTGCTCCTGATCGCAGGCATCGAGCCATTGACTCCCCTCGGCATATACGGCGAGAGTTTGGACCAGAAAGAGCGGCTCCAAGGCCTCAGCGATTCAGCAGATGCCGTTGTAGCAGCCTTCGACCCAGACTCACATGGCGAAGGCATCCGATATTCCAATTTTGTAAAAACCATCACAACCACGTTACCAGATCTCTTCATCCCCTTCAGCGCCTTGTTCGAGCACTTCCTTTTCAGCAAGAACATTAACCTCAGTAAACACCGCGACACAGCCGTCCAACCCACTCTTGAGGCCCTCGAGACAAAAGCGTCCCCAATATACAAGTCCCCAGAAGACACCACCTTCAGCACCATCCTCACCAACACGCTCCTGTCCCAACTGTCCATGTTCCTGAAACTGTCCACCTCTCCTACGTCGTCAAGTCCGTCGCTGCAAAACATCTTCTCCTCCAACGCCCGCTTCAATCAACTCTACTCGACCTCGTCGCACGGAACGTCTCTCTCCTCCTTCCACCGCCAGGTCCTCTCCTGGACATCCAGCACCCTCGTGCTTATCAGCGGCACGAATGACAATAAACCCGTCCTTATCGGGGGCTACCTCCCCGAACCATGGCGTGAGAAACCCCCCGCCCTCACTCCAGAATCACCTGCAAGGTTCTCCACGCTCTTCCAACTCCTCCCCCGCCACGCCGTCTTCCCGGCCAACACCTACAACCGCACCATCCCGCCTTCGTACTTTAATTCAAAAACAGGGATAGCATTAGGTTGCATGATTCCTCCTTCAACCTCGCGCACCGGTCCCCCTCCGGCACCAATTCTAGGACCCGTAAGCATCCTGATCGACGGAGACATGGAATCCGTGACATTCAACCACGACGGCTCCTCCGGATCGGGTGCATTCGTTACCGATCCAGGTCTGGAAGTGGCGCAGACTCACCGCTCCGACGCTGTCCAAGCGAAGAAATTTACATTCGACCTCGACACGCTGGAAGTCTGGGGCATATCCTTCCCGCTTGGCGCCCGCTCGGGCTCCGCGGCTGGGGAGGAGGACGATGAAATCACGAAGCAAAGAAAGAGGTTGAAATGGGAGGAAGAAGAGGCTGCAAGGCGGAGGGGCGTGAATTTCGGGGGCGATAAGGACGGGGCGAGGGCGCTCTTGGAGATGGCGGGCTTAGTAGGCGACAAGGCTGGTCATAGGAGTGGCGGAAGCGTATGAAGGAGAGATCTGTGGGGAGGAGCGGGCTATTGAGAAGGGGCACTTCCACGGAACTGAGCAATCTGTGGTTTCTAGGCATTAAAATGTTTCTGGTTCAATAGGACGAAAGCCGGACCGCCCGGCGTGCTGATACCGGCTCTCACAAACGCCTGTGGTTCGCCCTGGCATACTATATCATAATGACAGAGAGGTTAACGGAGGGTTCGTCTGAGTTTAGTCGGCCTCTGTTAGCCGACTCACTCAAAATGAAATTCGGTGTCTTCCATAACAGTCTGCCCTCGGATGGCCCTCGACATTGACCGTAGCGGACCCGCAGATGCCCAACCATTTGGGCATTGCAGAAATCGAGCACACTTATCCAGCATCCCCGCCAATCCCCGCCGTCGCTGCGCCTGCTAAATCAACAACGGGAAAAGAGACAAACTGGAAGCAAACGCCTCTTCAGCAGCATGCTCGAAAATCAACACTGGCAATTCCCAGCAGCGCCGGTTTGGGTCGCCTCCGGTCTCAAGTCCACGCCCGGCCGGGGATTCGCCCTCAAATTCCTAGGCCCTGCCTGGTCCAGCGGCAACTTCTTGGCAATGGCAGTGAACAGTTCCTTGACATTTGTTGACGTCTTTGCGGAGGTCTCGAAGAACAAAAGACCGGCTTCTTTCGCGTAGGCTTCCGCGTCTGCGGTCTGGATGGCGCGCTTGTCGGGGTACTCGTTGACGACGTCGACTTTGTTCCCGGCGAGGGCGATGATGATGTTCTCGTTGGCTTGTCGTTGGAGTTCTTTGACCCATGACTTGGCTTTATCTAGGGAGGACTGGACATACCACCGGTCATTAGCATTGGAGCATTGTAGGGAGGGGAATTCAGCGTACCGCTTGTGTGATATCGTAGACCACGACTGCGCAGTTGGCATTCCGGTAGTACATCGGGGCCAGCGACTTGTAGCGCTCTTGACCCGCGGTATCCCATATTTCGAATTTGACCGTCGTGTTCTCGTCTAACGATATCGTCTGTGTGAGGAAGGCGGCGCCAATGGTGGACTCGCGGTAGTCGTCGAATTGGTCCTTGACGAACCGCAGGACTAATGAGCTCTGAGGGCGAGTGTTAGGATGGATGCGACGTGGTTAGGGCCCAGCGGAGTCGATGGAAACAATACCTTTCCTACGGCCGATTCACCTAGACGTCAATTAGCGGTGCGATATGGCCAGGCAGAGTGGTCCCAACATACCCAGAAGGACGAGCTTGAATTGAGCAAACCTGCCGCCTGCGCCTGGTCGGCCTGCGGGAGCTCGAGCCGCCATATTATGTCGGACTGGCCTCGGGGTTGCCTTGGACAAGTGGTTATCTGGGTAAGAAAGGGTGGGATGCGGGATGTTGGGATGATGGGGTATTTGGTGGTGGTATGGTCTCTACCTGGAGTTGAGTTGCAGGAGGGAGAGGGATGAATGATCTGGGCCAAGAAGATGACGATGGCCACCAGTCACTGTACTGTACACAGGCACAGGCACAAGCAACAAGCACAGCCCACCGGCCTGCGTCACGCTCACAATAAAATTCCCAGCACCAGCTGCTACCTTGCCAACAATGATCCGATAGTGAAGATTGCGAAGAAGACTCGGTAGGCTGTTATTGTCATCATGGCCAACTTGTTCCCCTTCCGCGACATCAACGTCCACGCCTCCGCCAGTCACTATGCCTTTACCTCGCCCTCCAATTCGTCTGCGCCGACCCTCGTGGTCGAGAGACCGTCTGGCGATATCCGCCTCAACAATGGCTCTCTGCTGGGCACTAAACGGGTGTCGAGCATCGCCGGCATTCTGGGCATCATCAAGCTGAAGCTGGACAAGTACATTCTGGTCATCACAAAGGCGCAGCCCATGGGAAGACTGCGAGGCCACATGGTGTACAAGGTCGTTGCTACAGAGTTCCTGCCTCTACGAGAACGTCCGGTGCATGATCCCGACGAGGACACCTACCTCTCCTATCTCAAGGCCTTCCTCGCGTCCGGACCAATGTACTTCTCCTATTCGATCGACATCACGTCCAGCTTTCAGCGACAGTCCAGCTCCGATCTCTCCCAGCCACTATGGAAGAGAGCCGACGACCGCTTCTTCTACAACCGCTTCATCCAGACAGACCTGATTGACTTCCGGACAGGCGGCGGCGGCGCAGCAGGTGGGCTGCGCGGCCAACAGCAAGCCGGCGCGGACCCGTACATCCTTCCTGTCATGTACGGCATGTTGCGCATTACTCCAGCCAAGGTCAAGAACACCGCCTTTACGTTTGCCCTCATCACCAGGCGATCGAGGTTCCGCGGAGGCACAAGATACTTGTCCCGTGGCATCGACGAGCAAGGGCATGTCTCCAACTACAACGAAACCGAGCAGATCGCCTTGTTGAATGACATTTCCGGCCCGACAGGCTATGCTGGCGGCCAGGGCGTTGCCAATGGGAAAGTCGGTGCCCAGCCCTCTGAAACACAGGTTCTCGCCTATATCCAGACCCGAGGCAGCGTACCTGTGTACTGGGCCGAAATCAACGATCTTCACTACACGCCCAAGCTGCAGATCCGTGGCGTGGAGTCTGCCGTGGATGCCGCGAGAAAGCACTTTGACGAGCAGATCAGGATCTACGGTGACAATTACCTGGTCAACCTAGTCAACCAACGAGGCAGGGAAGAGCGCGTCAAGAAGGCCTACGAGCAGGTGGTTCGAATCTTGGTCAACTCTCCGGAGGAGTCGGTCGAGGCCGATCGACGTACGGACGAGAAGTTCCGAGACATCGAAGCCCGTGAGCCGCACCAGAGGATGGACAGACTACATTACGTCTACTTTGACTTTCACAACGAAACCAAAGGTCTGAAATGGCACCGGGCCGAGCTGCTGTTGGACGAGCTGATGGACGGTCTGAGGAAGGGACAGTATTTCCGCGGCGTCGAAATGCCTGGAGACCCCTCTGGTGCGCTGGAAGTCAGGACCCGGCAGACTGCTGTCGTCCGTACAAACTGCATGGACTGCCTGGACCGGACCAATGTGGTCCAGAGCATGCTCGGAAGATGGGCGCTAACCCAACAGTTCCAAGATATCGGCATCCTGCAACCCGGCGAACGTGCGCAAGACGATATACAGTTCGAATACCTCTTCCGCAACATCTGGGCTGACAATGCGGACGTCGTCTCCCGATCGTACTCAGGAACCGGCGCCCTAAAGACCGACTTTACACGTACAGGAAATCGAACGAAAGCCGGAGCTCTGCAAGATCTTCAGAACTCCTGCACGCGGTATATTCGGAACAACTTCCTGGATGGACCTCGACAGGATGGCTTCGATCTCTTCTTGGGGACCTATCTGCCTTCAACATATGGAGTGGGGTCGTCTTTGATGTTCACTGACCGGAGGCCACTCATCATCCAGGCTATTCCATACGTGCTGGCTGCTTCCATGTTCATTGTCCTGGTCTCGATCTTGACGCGACGGCCTCCCGAGGCGGCTATATGGCCTCTCCGATTGTTTGTGATAGTATGTCTCGTTGTGGCAGGTTGGTCATTCCAGTTCATCTATTCGCACGGGCTGTTGTATGTCAACTGGCCAAAGCTCAACACGCCCTCGTTTGCAACCGAAGGCCTCTCGGACGCGTTGTCGAAAGCTCACAAGGATCCGATAGTTGGCCCACTTATCGCCGCGGCGAGTGGCAAGGATAGAAGAGCCCGGAATATCAGCACGGCGAACATGGGATTCATGGAAGAAGGCAAGAAGAGGATAGAGTGAGGGCGAGGCGGTGGCGACCGGCTGTTGTGCCCGTAGGCTTGATCTTTTCATAGACCTCTTTCACATAGACATACTGTCCAGAAAGGACTGGCCAGTTCTTCCAGCTTGTACCAGTCAGGAGGGGAATATTGATGGCTGTCGAATGGCTCGCAAAGGACGCTTATCTCTCCTGGTCGGGCCAATAGCCAAATGCCACTCCTGCCTGGGTCGTCAGTGGTAGTCTGCAGCAGCAATGGGCGGAAATCACTCATATACACCCTGTCTGATGGCTGCCGGGAGCCAATTTATGATGCCTGTGTCTGCAAGGCGATTGAAGCCTCGCGCATCTGTGGCCGGGAAGACGGAGCAGCTGCTTGGACGATAGCACGCGACATGATTGGTTCGACTGACTTGGCATGGGGTCTGTGCACCCACTTATAACTGGGAAGGTTACCCGAGGGCTGGCTGGACACTGCCAAGGGCTGTCATAGGCCATACCCCTTTATGTAAAATACCGTATTGTTTATATAGGCCTCCGTAACTAAATAGTTAGGTCTCTGTCCAGATCCCTCTGGAATCCATCATGTCCTCTAATTGAGTCACACACTTTCCAGCTCATTCGCATTTTCGACCTTCTCGACTTTCTCCATCACGACATGCAGTAAAAGCCCTGCCTTCGCATCCGCTCCATCAGCTGTCTAGTCTTCGAGCTCATGCCCCTAGCAGGCACGTTGCCTCGGTCTGCTCCAGTCCTCCAGCCGATGTCTGATCCGCGTCAATGGATCACCATAATAACAGGCGTGATGCGCTAAGCTGCAGCACAGATTTACCGAGCGTACCTTTGGCCGTGTACCTTGGTACAGCTTTTTCCTTCTTCATCAGCTAGTCTCCTCTTGTCCCTTTTGCGCCCAGTCACACAATCCATCATGCTTCATGTCGCTCAGCAGGCCATATCTCCGTCACGAACAGCAGCCGTGGACAATCAGGCTGGCGGCCTGTCGGTGAGCAAGCTGGGTGTAAATCCCCGTTATCGAAATGTGACAGTGGTCGGGCATCGCAGCGCTGGCTAATGCATCCTCAGGTATTGAGACGGCATCAGCCAACAAGCACCCATCACCACGTGCTCAGAGGTCTTTCAATGTGAGTAGAATATCCGTTGTCTCTTCTTAAATCCGAGGGCTCTCTCTCTGCTGTCTCTTTACTTTCTGTTGTGTTCTCTGCACGTACGTCGTTGGAAAAGAACACGTGCGCCTCGCCAGAGCATCACTCTCGCCGAGGAGCGTCCTCCGCCGGCCCCTGTCAGAGCTACTCCTGTGAGTTCGGGAGAACAGCCGGACCAAACTACGGGCGTTGAATGTGCCAGTGGACAAGGTCATCTAGGTTGGAATCGTCCAGGAGATTTAACGCCTAAGAGATTATACTCGCGCCTGGCGTTGGGCAACAAAACGTTATCAAGCAACGAAACGTCGTCGAGTAGACGAGCCGCAAAAGAGTTCCACAGGATCAAACCAGTGCGTGAGTAGCTAGCTACCTGACTAGCTGTGGCTTCACGCAAGCAGACCTAGCTCTGACTTGCACTCTTCCACCCGTCCTTCCACCCTAGGCTGCCAGGGCCAGCACATCTCCTCCCCTCCTTTCCGATTCAAGCCCCTCCCTTCTCCTTCACGATAGCCAACAGAAACCCGTCAAACATCTGCTCCTCACGCCCCTTATGACCACTCACCACACTCACCAGCGTGGCCTGCACGCCCTCCATCCCGCCCACCCTGTCGACCAAGGTCTCTTTCGCGGCACCCTGCTCTAGCGCCGCCCTGACCGCGTTATCCACGTAAATACACCCGCCAGGCCTGACAAGCTGCACGGCCCACGCGAAATACTCGACTTGCATATCCCAGTCCGCATCGATGAACACGAGGTCGAATAGCCCCTGGGAGTCCTTTCCGTCAGCAGCACCAGCCGCCGCCGCCGCAAGTCGAGGCAACGTATCCATCGCGTCCCCCAGCACGATATCAACACTGTCACTGTATCCCGCGCGCTGGACATTCTCGACCGCCACCGCGCAGTGATGCGCGTCGATCTCCAACGAGGTGACGTGCGCGCCGGAGCTCGCGAACCAGATGCTCGAGTAGCCTCCCAGGGTGCCGACCTCGAGCACCCGTCGCGCGGAGATCAGCTGGGCTTGGATGGCGAGGTATTGGCCCTGGAGCGGGGAGATGGTGATTGGGGGCAGGCCTTGCGCGGCGGAGTTTGTGAGTGCGTGGGAGAGGGCCGTGGCGAGGGGCGTGTTGGTGGGCAGGAGCGCCGCATGGGCTTGCGAGTCGATTTGTTGGATTCGTTGGTACAGGGTTGGGGGAGACATGATACGTGGGGTGGGGTGGTGTGGTGTGGTGTGGTTTGGTGTGCTGTACTAATCACAGCGATGGATGTTTCGGAGCAGCCTCCACACAGACAGGTTGTGATGGTTGATGATGTACGGAGGCGGACACCTGGGGCCCAATACAGTGTACAGTACCTCACGTGGTGACGGCGCTCACAAGGCCGAGAAGACTAGGCGTGGCACCTACGCAGGCCGGTTCTTTTTCACTTACTGTGCGAGTATCGCGGAGAAGAGGCAGCCTCGCATCTGCTCTACCAGTCAAGACGGCCTTGTCTTTATACAGTGCGTACCAGCGCACTCCTTCGGCTTGGGCGTTAAGCCCGCCCGGCCGAGACCGCGACATCAGCGATATGCCCGAAGCCAAGCCTCCTTGGGATCTATCGAGGTTGCAAATCAGGCTGCCGTGTAGAGTACTCTAGCTAGAAGACATAGGGAGCTACCTCATTAGCCAGTATGTACCGTGCTAAGAACAGTCTGTTTGCTGTAGCCAATCAGGCCCCGTTCGGCGTACAGGACCCCTTTTCGATCGCTCCTCTTGCCCCACTGGACCGCGGACCCAGGCAGACATAGTTTCCGGAGCGACAGAGCTGAGGGCTCCTGGTGACTGAATCATGAGAAGGATTGAAGTCATCTTTTGGGTATGTGTGCAAGGAAAAGCGGCGATACCGGCGTCCTTCCTGGTCCAAAGTCCAAGATCCAGGATCCAAGATCCAAGATCCAAGCTGCGTGGTGCGTGATCGCAGTCATGGTGGAAGAGGACAGGTTATCAGTAAGGGGTGATTCCGGTAGCCTCAAGCAGTAGATCATTGAATCCCGTATGTCGATTCCCACTCCTAGGCAGTACTGTAAGCATCAGTCTGAACCTTCAAGCATGTACTCGAGCGCGTACTCGCACTCCCGTGCCGGTCGACTCCTCTGATCGCACGAAGACCGGCGCCCTCGGTGCAACTCAGATACGAGTACTCGGAAGCAGAAACACGTGTACACAACTCGGTTCTGATATCTACGTCGTATATCTTTGATGAGGATCTCTGCCGCACGCCTAACGGGGCGTCCAATCCTTGAGGACATCCATTTTATGCTGATGGCGTCAAATCGACTTTCCACTTTCCTCCTCATTCGAGCACAATATCCACCAGCTGTCTGTATTCCCCAACCGCCTCGCCGCGCATTATACCATGCACGTACGCTTCACCCAGGAACACAAGGTGTCCGGGCGCGGTCCGCAGTGGTCGCAGAACAACGGCGGTGGGACACCCAGCGAGGATCCACACCTCATCTCTGACGCGCATGCTCGTCGGTCCGAGCCCCAATAGTAACCCATGGGTCGTCCTCATCAACCAGCCTTCGGCCCCAGCACAAGTGGAATTCTCGTCGGAATCGGGCGAAAGCCTGGGACCAGTCGACGTACCTAGAGCCGGACGATGCGTCCTGCATCCTCATGAGCTCATTCCTGACCAAGGAGCCATGGAGTATCGAGTCCTCCGGCTCCTCGTTGAGCAGCTCGAGCCACGGCCCCGTCAGGGGCGTGAAGAAGCCGTCGGGCCAGTGCCAAAAGGATCGAGCCAGCGAGAGTTTCAGCCTCATTCGGTTGAACTCTCTGAACCACCATTTCAGGTCGAGATAATCGCCCATCGACTCCTAGATGTTGCTGCTCCCCTTATGACTTTACGGGCCAGCTCGGTGCAGATGTGTGACAGGACCTGAGTGGCGCATTCGGGTGGCGCGCGGTGCTGCGTCATATAGGTATCCGCGACCAGGGTCCGCATGAGGATATCCAATCTGCTGGTGTTGGTGGGCCCGTTCCTGTTGCACTGAAAGGTTAGGCAAGGTCGAGTACTCTCCACGTGACAAGGGAATGAGAAACTCACTGCAACTCGCTGATCGGGTACGGCATGGGTAGTTCGTTCGCGACACCCTCCAGGCTAGACCAGAAGTAGGTCATATTGTCGACGCCAGCCTCGACAGGATCAGCAGCCAACTTCTGCACAATGTCAATCCGGAACCCTGAACATCAAGATATGGGGAATCAAGACCACGACTGTCTGCTCGCCATCTCAGATCACCTGCTGCATTCCAATTGCAGGTTGAAGTCCGCCGCGAAAGAGAATCGGGCATACATTCGACAGGATAGTCGATACCCAGGATGGCAGGCCGCTGAGCTCGGTGGCGAAACTGCCCTCCTTGTGGGAAAGGGATGACAAGCCCTCCCAAGAGCGCAGAAGTGATCTCGCCGTACGTGTGAACAGGAGTTGTGCCGTCATAAAATCGGAATATCCAACTTCGCGCAGGTAAGGCTGAGTGTCAAACGGACGGTCATCCTTCCTCGCAATTCCCAACAAGGCGTAAACTCGATCTCGGGCCTCTTTGCTCTTGCAGTAGCGGTGGTTCAGCAGCGGCGGCGGTCGCGTACAAGCCTTGCCTGTCACGATCATCCCATCTCTGACACGGAGGAGATGCCAGGCGCTTTGTCCGGCAGGAATTCTGGCCTTGATCACTCGCCGGTAAACCGGCATGTTCTCAGGCACCACATTGGCGACAGAGACCTGGTCGGTGTGGAGGAGGAGAAACCATGCGCTGTGAGCCAAGAAACTCAAGGCGGCGAAGGCAGTCGCCCAAGGGACTCTCGTCCCGCAGATGAGAAAGATCTCCTTTGCAGCGACCATTTCTTGATTGATCCAGATGCGCTCGAAGAAGGGGCGATACAAGAAGGCCACACGAGCGAGCCAATGCTGATAGGTCAGCGGCGAGATGCCGAGTTTCGACGGGTAACTCTCCGGTTTCCACAAATCTGCCGCTGTCACGGCAGTGTACCTGTCGCGCGGGATTGTGGATAGGCTATCGATCACTGTAAAAACATCAGGCGTCGTTGGTCTTCCGGTTCTAGCCAGCCAAGTACCTTTTCTGCGGCTGCAAAGATCTCCCCCATCATCCTCACTTGAGCGGCCTTCTCCTTGTGGTCTTCTTGATTGATACATATAGCGTCGGCAAATAGGTACTTGGACACAGATCGCCCGTATTCGGACAGGTCCAAATCACGAAGCCTCACCAGTGCGCTGTGGGGGTTCCCCTTGCTGGGGATCTTCAGGCCATCACACAGCAAATGAAATTCTGCTGTGTGAGAAAAGTTGCTGCTATCGTCTATCAACTGTGAGACTGGATTTTCCCAAGTGTAAGCCAACGCGCCGAAAGATGGAGCATTATGCAGTTCTGTAATAATCAGCCTGATGGTGATCGAGTCCGTCAAATGAGGCCGAAGTTCCAGGAGCCGAAATGAATGGCTGGTGGGTAACGGAGAGTGTATACTCATGTTTACGCAGTAACTCGCTGCAATCCGTCAGAGCGTCGCCTCCAGGGCATTCCAAGGCCGTAGAAGAGAGGGGAAGTCGTGTTCGAAAGTGAACAGTCATACCCCACATGCGGTAGCAAAGGCGTGCCGACTGTCAAGAGCTCGTCGCCTACTTCCTTGTGCGTGGCTGTACTGGGCTGAGACAGGCGCCATCCAGCTTCTTCTTGGATTGCAAATTCTCAAGACGTGTGAATCTCGCACTTATGGCTGACGTCCTCGAAAACAGATAATATTCCAGAAACGAATGAGATAGATGTGGGTTGTTGCCCTGGACTGTGGCTTCTAGAGGCCAAAGACCAGTGAAAGTGGCATATCAGGTGCCGTCGGCGCTTGAAGTCCTCTCCACGGAACTTAAACAGTACTTGAGCTGAAGATGGATGCTGCTTCTTTCTCGTCAACTCTGCCTGTCCTCATGGTTCACTATATTGATAGCGCAAATACCGTGTACTGGCCTGCCTGATGCAGGATAGGATACGGCTGTGAGACGATGTTATCCCTGGGGCGGCCAGCATGTTTGTCGGAAGTGCTTTCGCAGTCAACTGTACTTGCGTGCGAGACGAACCCAAGGTCGTTCCATGGTTTCGCTTGATGCCCTTAGATGACCACAGCGTGACGAAGTTGGCACAGGACAAGTCTCACAGGATCTCTGCACGAGCTCTGACAAGCCTTTTGAAAGTCGGTAAGATAGAGCGCCGGAGTGTTTGTGGTCGCTCTTCCATGAGAGAATTACTCACGCGTCTCTATGGCTTTTGGGAGAGCATACCCCGTATCACTGCCGTTTTATCTGAGCCCGAAGAGACGCGTATTTAATGAAGCCCTTTTGACTAGCCAATCAAGTTTTGGATCGGTAACTCGGCCCCACCAGCGGCGGCGCGGTCGAACTGCGAAAAAAAGTTGCCCGTAGCGAGGACTCACTCGTCCCTGTAAATGAGATCGGAGGCTACATAGCCTACGGAGCAGACATCGTTCGTCCCGTCAAGATGAGTGCGGTGCGAGCTTTAGGAGGCTCTTCCAGGCTTCTTAGCACCGTCGTACGATCACAGAGCTCAGTGGCTGCGCGTCAATGGATTTGCCGGCGATGCGCGCCGACGGCTGTATTTCAGAACCTGTCCGCAGGTCGCCGGTCCCAGGCAGTGCAATGGCCGCTAGATCGCCGGTGGCAGCAAAGACGAGGTGCTGCCGCCGCTGCAGCCGCCATGTGAGATCGATGGAAATGCTTGCACAGCTTGTCGCTAACACCAGGCAGGCTCGAAGAAGCACAAGACGATCCCGACTCACTTTCGCAGGAGACCATTATTCATAACTTATCGCCCGAAGAGGCCCACCGTCTGTCAAAAGTGAGGAACATTGGCATAGCGGTGAGTTCAAGCCTTCAATTGTCTGCTTATGGGCATCTCCTGATCGCAGCAGGCGCATATTGATTCCGGAAAAACGACGGCTACCGAACGAGTTCTCTTCTACACAGGCCGAATCAACTCCATACACGAGGTCCGTGGCAAGGATGCAGTGGGCGCAAAGATGGACTCGATGGAACTCGAGAGGGAAAAAGGGATTACTATCCAGTCTGCAGCCACTTACTGCGACTGGGTCAGGAAAGAGAATGGCGTGGACGAAAAGTACCATATCAACTTGATTGACACGCCCGGTCATATCGACTTCACGATCGAGGTGGAGCGGGCCCTCCGCGTACTTGACGGTGCCGTCATGATATTATGCGCCGTGTCCGGCGTGCAGAGTCAAACCATTACCGTCGACCGACAGATGAGGAGATACAACGTCCCCCGGATCAGTTTCATCAACAAGATGGACAGAATGGGCGCAAATCCCTGGAAGCCCATTGAACAGATCAACAAGAAGCTCAAGATTGCCGCAGCTGCGGTGCAGGTTCCAATTGGTGCCGAAGATGATTTCCGTGGTTTGGTCGACCTGGTCACGATGAAAACGATGTACGCTGAAGGCGAACACGGCGAGATCATTGTCACCAAGGACGAGATTCCTGCGGAGGTCAAAGATCTAGCCGAAGAGAAAAGGGCGAAGCTCATCGAAACGCTTGCTGATGTGGACGATGAAATTGCCAACTTGTTCCTGGACGAGCAGGAGCCGACGACAGAACAGCTCAAAGCTGCCATTCGAAGAGCCACTATCTCCCTCAAGTTTACCCCCGTCTTCATGGGATCCGCCCTTGCCGACAAGTTTATCCAACCGATGCTGGACGGTGTCTGTGATTATCTGCCCAACCCATCCGAGGTCTCAAATACTGCCCTGGATCGAAGACAGAAGGAGGCTCCTGTCAAGCTCATCCCTTACAACTCGCTCCCTTTCGTTGGCTTGGCCTTCAAGCTCGAAGAATCCAACTTTGGTCAACTCACTTATATCCGCGTCTACCAAGGGAAGCTGCGGAAAGGACTGAACGTCTTCAATGCTCGCACTGACAAGAAGGTCAAAATCCCACGTATCGTGCGCATGCACTCCAACGAAATGGAAGAAGTCTCAGAAGTCGGCGCCGGAGAAATCTGCGCCGTGTTTGGAGTCGACTGCGCCTCAGGCGACACATTTACCGACGGGCAGCTCGGCTACAGCATGTCCAGCATGTACGTGCCTGAGCCCGTCATCTCGCTCAGCATCAAGCCCAAGAACAACAAGGATCTGCAAAACTTCTCCAAAGCCATTGCCCGATTTCAGCGCGAAGATCCCACTTTCCGAGTCCACTTCGACAACGAAAGTGAGCAAACTATCATCTCAGGTATGGGTGAGCTGCATCTCGAAGTTTACGTCGAACGGATGCGTCGAGAATACAAGGTTGAGTGTGAGACTGGCGCACCTCGCGTCGCTTACCGGGAGACCATCACCAAACATGTCGACTTCAACCATCTGCTGAAGAAACAAACCGGTGGTGCAGGTGATTATGCGCGCGTGGCAGGCTACATGGAACCCAAGGGCAATCTCGAGGGCAACCACTTTGAGGAGCACATCATTGGTGGCGCCATTTCCGAAAAGTTCTTGTTTGCTTGTGAGAAGGGTTTCCATCTATCGTGTGAGAAAGGCCCCTTGATCGGACACAAGGTTCTCGGCGCAACCATGGTCATCAACGACGGTGCAACTCATATGACGGATTCCAGCGAAATGGCCTTCAAGAACGCCACGCAGCAGGCCTTCCGCAAGGCATTCATCGAGGCCGAGCCCGTCGTGCTCGAGCCGCTGATGAAGACTGTTGTGACTGCCCCGACCGAGTTCCAGGGCAATGTCGTCGGCCTGCTGCAGAAACGCAACGCCACCATCACTGATACGGAAGTCGGCGTTGATGACTTCACCGTCTGGGCAGATGCGAGTCTGCAAGGCATGTTCGGGTTCAGCGGCAACCTGAGAGCTGCGACCCAGGGCAAAGGCGAATTTAGCATGGAGTTCAGCCATTATGAGCGAGCACCGATGCAATTGCAGAAGGAACTGCAGAACGAGTACCTCAAAGCACAGGCCGAGAGGAGCAAGAAATGATATTGCCTCGCTCCGGCGGCCACAATTTCGATCTGATGATGTCGGTCTGTTACGAAAGGGAGGGTACCCCGGGATTTCTGTACGCTCTCTGGGGAAGAAGCTACGAATAACATCCTTCCGATATTGGGAAGAGCGTCATGCTCACGACGCACAGCGGCTCGTTGACGCCGATCTAACAACCGCGCACAGTCGGCGTGGACAGACACGTACCAGCTGTCAAGCGGCTGGGGTGGGCGGTCCATGAAGGCAGAAGGCCCGCATGGAAGAGAATGAGTGGTGTACGAACAACCTGCGATACATCCCCTGGCGGCGAGCAAGAGTTCGTATACGGAGTACCCGCAACCAGAGTGCAACGGGCGTTTACTGTACAGACGGTCCCAAGGCCGTCGATACCTGAGCCAAAAGACCGACCTGTCCGATACCATTCATCCATGTCTTATAACCCACTCTACTCTCAAAGACGAATTATACCAGCAAATGCTAGAACGTCCCAAGTACGACGTTGCAGCAAATGAGTTTCCATGTTATCTATGGACATAAATTCAGCCTTATTGACACTCCATCTTCCATAAGCCAAGCCGTGTGTATTAATCCACGGACATGGATTCGGCCTTGTTAGCACCTGTTCTCTCACAAGCCAAGTCATGTGTGCGTATCCCTTTCGTCCCTGGACCATTCCCAAACTCCCATGTCCGCCAGCCTCGCGAGTGATCTACTGCAAACCATCCTTTCGCATGCCATGCGTGTATTGTACATCATACGTATGTGACGGCGTCACTCGCTTCGTCCCAGCCGCGCTCATCTCCCTCCATGTTGGCTGCCAACCATGAGAATGTCACCGAAGCTCCATCCCCATAGGTTGGATATCAACCTCCAGCCTACCAGGCACGGAGGCTACTTCGTATTCAGACAGCGACATATGTGCATGTATGTATGTATGTGTCTATGCAGCCTCAAGCACTGGCAAGGGACACATGACATGACACGGCATAGCCTGATCTGCCGTGATGTGACTCGCGACGTGTAAGGCTCAGGCCCTCTCTGCCTAGGTACTTACCTCCCCTTCTCATCTGGCCAGCCTCACCACCCACCCACCCACCAACCTACCTGGGTGTCCGTTTTTTCAAGAAAAGGACGTTCTTTCCACGCAACCACGGAACCAAGACACCGACCTGCTACCTAGGTCTCTATCTCGCTGGCGTACCGTACGGTGTCGGTACACTCACTGTACACGGGACACGAAATCCAGTACAGATTACATCTGTTGCGGTCATGGGCCAGCGTGTCTCCAGCGTAACCGGCGCCGAGTGACAGTAGCTTTACCCGGCGCCTTCGGGACATTCAACACAGGGTCCCTGGGTTCTGTCCTGTCGTCCGTGTCCAGCGAGTTCGCGCAGACAACTGCCATACGTATGACGACGGCCACGTCAGTGTCAGTGTCAACGGCGCCAAGCCGAGCGAGCCAGACGACCGCAGAGGCATCCTCTGCGTCCGGCACACTCGGTGTTTCGGCGTCGGGGCCGTCGCGCTAGTAGCTTCCAATATCGCCGTCATTGGGTTCTTGGTCCTCAAGAGACGGCGCCGAAAGGAATAGCCCAGTAGGGAGTACTGCCGAGGGCGTTGAAAAGCAGGCTCGCACCCGGAAACACAGCACCGCTCACGACCAGGACGCCTGCCTGTACCACGCGGAACCGGAGCTGGAGGATACAAGCACAGGAAGGCGCCAGGGTGGCACGCGCAGTCCACCAAGGAGCTGGGTGCGAATCCGACACAGGGACGGCGGGGGATCGCGGCGGAGCTAGAAGTAAGGCCGTGTGTCTCTTTCTCTGACTTACACATTAGAGTACATTCAAGGCATCGATGCCTTAAGGAAGGCTAACATTAACATGTCGAACTGTAGGGGTCGAAATCGACGAGTGGGACGCCGCACGATGCTGTGGAGATAGCGACCGGTTGACGAAGCAGAAGAATCATACGACGGGAAGCTAGTGCTGTATATATATCCTAGAGGGAAAGGGTTGGGAAGCAATGCTCACGACCGGGACCTGGACTCGGTACTTACACTCACGGCACGGCATGTTCGGGGGGCGGCGGCGATTGCACTGCTCGATTGATCATACAAGCGAGAAAAGGGAAATTGCCGAGGAATATGGTCATCACGTTGTTCATACGACCGTATGCTTGTCATCTACTCGACTGCTCAGATGTCCTTCTTGATCAGGTCAGCCCCCTTCTCAGCCACAGCATAAGTAGTCGCCATGATGTTCCTGTCGAAAAACCACCATTAGCATATCGCGCTCGCGCCGAGAAAGAAAGCAATCGCCGACTTACCCAGAAATATGACCGGGGAAGATACTCGCGTCTACGACCCTCAAGCCCTTGACACCCTTGACCTTTAGATCGTTGTCCACCACCTCTCCTAGCGCGCACGTCCCTATCAAATGATACTGCGTACTGATATGATTCTTGACATAGTCGATTCTCGCCTCCTCGGTCTCCAATCCCTTGCCCTCGGGCGGTAACTCTCGTTGCGCAAGACTCTTGGCCAGAAGTGGGTGTTGGGCCACCTTTTCCATCCATTTCATGCCCGCGGCGAGGATCTTGGCGTCGACTTCGTTACGGAAATAGCCCGGGTCGATTGCCGGGGCTGCGAGCGGGTCAGACGATTTGATGTGCACGGTGCCGCGCGAGAGGGGATGTTCCAGACACATCAAAAGGGAGAGTTGTTGTTTCCCCTTGGGTGGGGCACCGAAGAATTGCGTCTGGTCGGATCCCTTGGCAACGTCGAGGCGGCAGGGGATGCAGAACGTTTGCAGATTGGCGAATGTTGGGTCGCGGAGTTGGTCGACGATGACCTCGATCACATCTTGTCAATCAGGGCGACAGATAAATGCAGGCTCTGAGTACTCACTTTTTCCTGTGCCTTCTCAAAGTCCGTCTTCGCCAGCGACTTTTGCCCGATCTCCTTGATCGTGGCTTCCAGCTCTTCGGGAGATGCCACGGATGCATACGACACGAAACCCATCATCATGCCAGGGCTGGCGTACGGCCCTTTCTGCGTCTTCTGGTACACATCCTGTTGCATTTTATTGAATTCTTCGTCGTGGAGAGCATCCATTGAGTCGATACCAGGCTTCAAGTCGTAGAGAAGTCCGCCGAGGACGTGGTCCTGGAAGTTCGCACCCACGCTTTTGTTCTCCACGACACATTCAACTCCAGCGGCCTTCAAGACCTCGGGGTCGCCAATCCCGGAAAGCTCGAGTAATTGCGGGCTCTGGATGACTCCAGCAGACAAAATAACTTCCCTTGTCGCCTGCACGGTATACTTCTTTCCCTTGTGCACGAATTCCACGCCCGTAGCTTTGGTCCCATCTAAAATAATCTTTGTAGCTTGCGCCTCAGTCAAAACTTTCAGATTCTTCCTCCCAAGATTCGGTCTCAGATAACCTGTGGCCGCGTAGCTCCTCTTTCCGGGTTCGTCGGTTCTGTTGACGGCACCTAGACTGGAAAAGAACCCTAGATGGTCGCCGCTCCACCCGTCACTTATGGTCTTTTGTGTGCCCGTGACTTCGTGCGCGGCCTTGGCAAAATCGACCTCAAGGGGCATGTACCAGTCATTGAAGGACGTGTGAATGGGGCCCGATGTGCCATGGAACTTGTCACCACCAGCAATGGGCATGAACTGGGGATCGTCATGTAGCTCGGTCTTGTCCAAGGTTTGCGATTTCACGAAGTAGGGTGCCAGACCCTCCCAGCCCCAACCAGGATTGCCAATTGATTCCCAGCCGCGGTCGAAGCAATTTCTGCTCGGTCTCACGTACATGAGATACTATGATGAGTTGGTTGTCAAATTCGCCGACTTCGTTGTGATCGTGATAGTGGCCGGACCCGGGCCCCTTGGAGGATTGATGAGATGAATTAAGTGATGAACTCACATTGATACCAGAACTGCCACCGAGGATTTTGCCCCGGGGCATCGAGTATATCTTATTGCCAGCATTGGGTTGCGGGATGGAGGTCATACACCAATCATACTGGGGACGGCCGATCTAGACTTTGTCAAAATATGGCTCGCACGAAACGCTAGACGTTTTGGCCCACCATAGTAGGGTAGAGAGACGGGGTTGATACACTCGGGTCATCCATGCGGTTCTCTCCGGCTTCCAAAACAGCCACGGAGATGTTTGGATCCTCAGTCAGTCGAGCAGCAACGACAAGGCCGGCCGTGCCACCACCCACTACGACAAAGTCGTATTGTCGAGAAGTGAAGTCCTCGACAGAGCAAAGTGCACTAGAGGTGCCATTGACGTGGCCGTTAACGCCGTTCGTGACGGACATATTGGCTTGATGGCTGTTCTTCGATCACCGGTTCGATGGAAGTGAAATCAGCACGAAATTCAACAGACGAGCGTCCTACCAAAAGGCATATCGATCGGAGATACATCTGATGTCCATCTGGATACTATACCTTGTCGGCCTTCCCCCGCATAACGCCGCTGGACGTGATCAGCCCGAGGACCAAATTTTGCGGGGTGCAGCCAATCGCTAGGATCCGGGGTTGTCTCCATGTCGACCGAGCAATGAAACACAGAGGAGGAGAGGCCTGCGGACCTTATCTTCGGGTCATCATTTCGGAGTCATGGATTCCAATTCGTTTCTTCACGGGAGTGTGCCCACGGCGGAGCATCCTGCAATATCGGAAGCGGTGGTACAGCAGCGTGAGCAGGCCAAGCTGCAGGCTTCCCCTTGCGGAAAGAACAAAACGTCAACCAAACAGCAAGGATGCCGAGGTAAAGTGAACAGCGCTGATATGCACAATGAACAATGATGCCTGAGAAATTGTGATATTGTGGCCATATGAAAGTGAGGTGCTGGTAACAGTGAAGTGAAAGTTGTGATGCGTGCTGAAGTGCATGTGTGTGTGCCGAGAAAGCGCAACAGAGACTGTGAACTCCATATTTGCATGACTTGGTATGTCCTTCATACTGTGCTTCTTTGTCGACCTCGACTGAAGATGAGAACACAAGCGTTCCGACATCCGCGGAGTAGGTTGCTGGACATTTCTGTGGGAGCCAAAAATAGGGAAAGGGGTTCCAGTTGCGTGTTGCTGAGAAGAAAAGAATTTTCACGTGAGCTTGAGGCTGGCTGTTGAGACTTGATCGAAAAGGGCTAGCACATGCGAGACGTGGATCCTGCCGATGTCACTGTCTCGAACGGCACTGCCTCCCTGTTTCGTTTCGGTAGCCGAATGTTTGCTGTAAGCAGCTTCAATCATCCAGTCACAGCACGCGTCCTTGCGATTATGGAGTACTTACTCACTTTGTCTGACTAGAAAGACTTGCCCTATTCGATGTCTTCGATCTTGTTACATCGAAGGCTACTCGGGCTGCTTTTCGGCGGCGGTGGCTCCCTCAAGCATTGATGGAGGCGTTCAACCTCTTCAGCTGAACGGACCAGCTAATTCACGAAAATGCACAAGAGTGGCTTTCTTATTTTGAACAGTGGAAGCGCAGCCAATGCCTTTGGCCTGATTTGGCAGTACGTGCAGAACATGTGCATGAAGCGCTGGTCTTTTTGTCCTGTGCAATGCCAGTTTGGACAATTCAGATGTCCACCTTTCTTCTCGGCAACGCAATGCGCGTTTCAGCCTGCATTGCACATATCCACTGCCACTGTCATGCTGCCAGCAACACGAACCACAGTACGGAGTACGCAGTACCTGGACTTCAGCATGGAGGACTATGTATATCTCCTCATCGGTCGGAGTGCTGATCACTTCTCTATTCTGGCTCTTGTGTTATCTTGAATTCACCACTGCATTGTGGCTCGATCGTTCGAACATCTCTGATTGTGCCCTATTACCACTCACCTTCCTTGCTCAAGCTGTCATTTCTCAGGTTCAGCACACAGTTTCCCATCCACGTCCGAGCCCGACTTATTCCTGGTCACCGGAACCCTCGGCTCTACGCACAATTTCAGTCCATCCGCACAATTGACTTATTCAGCGCATCCCACCTCAGAGAATACACGTCATTCGTTCCACCTACACGAGCCTTATAATACTTCAGCAGAGATATTTGACCAAGCGGATTCGTCACCACAAATTCTCTATCTTCAGCCAACTGCTCTCACCAACCGAGTTCAAGCTCCAAGCCAGACCAGCATGTCTCACTACAAGACCTCCAATCGGTACTATGCCGAGTACGAACGAGCACTCGAGAAAGCACTTGAGCGACCCAAATCAACACCACCGTCTACCGCTTCGTCACGAACGTCATCCGCCACCTCACTTCAACCAACGTCCCCCGTTGCAGAGTGGTGCCATCAAATGCACATGATTCAGGACCGGAAATACCAGTGGTGTGAAGGTTGCTATCCCCGGCCACCACCACCACCATCCAACATGAAACTGCCCTCGCAGAGGGTCTTGCAACAATCAAGGAGGACGAAAGAACCTGGCCACGCGTATCAATAGACTTTCGTCCGGCATGAGATAACGGCTCCAAATATTTGCTTAAGCTTAGCAAGGTGTTGGCGGCGTTTCGAGACAGCGATAGGCTTCGAGATCTCATTTAGATTTCAGACAAGAGCTTGACGATTTAATGAACATTCTTTTGTACAATCATGGTTTAGGTAGAGAAACCTTCTGCTTTCTGCCACGAACTGCCATTCATGGTCCTCGTGTTTGCAGCCTTCAGCTTCTCAATCTGGTCTTTGAATCGCTGCTCAAATGCTTCCTGCTTGAAGACCTGTATGCATGTTAGGACACCACTTCTAACTCTGTAGGGTTTCTTGTACACATGTACTTTCGTGGCATCAAGTGCGCTCGGCTGCCCCATCTCGGGGTCAGCTCCAGCATCCAAAAGGATACCGATGACTTCCGGCTCGTTCTTGAATACGACGCCTGCCAGAATCGACTGCCCCCTATCATTCAACCGGTTGGGGTCGGCGCCATGTTTTACCAACAGCGAGGCCAACGGCGCGTGGCCGTGGTAAGATGCAAGCATAAGCTGAGCAAGTTAGCCACACCACTAGACGGAGGAGTCACATCTCAGTCTGAGGAGATCTTCTGCTAGGATGCATACAACCATTGCCGCGCGCTACCGCCGCAAGGGGAGGAACTCACCAGGGTATCACCCTTGTCATTGGTCAGGTTTGCCGGCAAACCACGTGGCAGAGCCTGCTCAAAGATCTCTATCTGACCTGACCTGGCCGCATCAAAGAATCTTCTGGCTAGAGCGACTGCCTCGGGTGGGAGTCCGTCTGCTGATTGTGAGACAGCTTCTTCAACAGGCGGCGCAGAGTCCATTGCCGCGCTCAATGAGGACTGTGTATGCTGTTACTGACAATGGATGTCGGTTTGGAGGCGCGTGGCCAGTATATCTGTCCGATCTAGAATTCTCTACACAGTACTCCGTAGATCCGGGAAATGTAGAGCAGGGCGCACCGGTGATTAATCAGGATGACGTCGAAGCCTGCTCGTTTCAACGCACTTGCTGACAATATCGATCCGTCAACGCGCACATACCTACCTAATGTTCGAGCGAGTTACAGTGTCGGGCTTTCCGAGCCTAGCTTATAGCAGGGCCATGAGAAGCAGGGCGAAGCCCTCTCGGAAAGTGATTTTTTACCAAGCACCAGCAAGTAACATGGAGCATGATAATTAGAGGCGCTGATCGTATCCACGCGTTGCAGCCTTCCACGTGAATCTCAAGGCTGAAGGCGCCAAGCCGCTGTGGTTGATTAGGGATAGCGCCCTTCCGATTGCGTGCTCAAGGATATCGCTGATTGTCTGCAATGAGCATGGGTGGGACCTTGCCTTCCGCCACTCACTTGCTCCTGCGTCGAAGAGCTCTTCCCATGGGCGACCCGTGGGCGGCACCACCAACCTTGCTACTGCTGATGCCATAAGAGCTGGAGCATGCATCATGAGGGGCACGCCATCAGCACGACTTTTGCTGGTCCCTTGCCCCTCACTGGGTTGCAGGGATTTGTCCGACAAAGGCGCGAGTGTTGTGGTTGAAGAAAAAGATTTGTCGTCGCCATATGATCCCAGATTTCTTCGCGGGACTTCTTTTTGCGACTGACATTCAAGTGATCACCTATATAACCACGCTATCATTGCTGATTCAGATCCTCGTTGTTCTTCTACTCTGCCCCTCACAGGATACTAGTTCTCACAGTTTAAGACACGCAATACAACACAACAGTCAAAATGGGTTCTACTGATCGTCCTGAACCGTGAGTGAATTCCATAGCGTTCAACGGCGCGCATTACTGACAAATCGCTGTAACTAGTCTACGGCTGGGTTCAATTGCCCCCAACTTTCAAGCCGAGACCACCAAAGGCCCCATTGACTTCCACGAGTTCATCGGCAACAACTGGGTCGTCCTGTTCTCCCACCCCGAGGATTTCACCCCCGTCTGCACCACCGAGCTGGGAGCGTTTGCCAAATTGGAACCCGAGTTTACAAGAAGAGGCGTCAAGTTGATCGGTCTTTCAGCAAACACCATCGACAGCCATGGACAGTGGATTGCAGACATCAATGAGATAAGCGGCAGCAATTTACAATTTCCTATAATCGGCGACAAGCAGAGACAAGTTGCGCTGTTGTACGACATGTTGGACAAGCAAGACGCCACCAATGTTGACGAGAAGGGCATCGCGTTTACCATCCGATCGGTCTTCGTCATCGACCCCAAGAAGACTATCCGCACCATTCTCTCCTACCCTGCCTCGACTGGTCGCAACACGGCTGAAGTCCTCCGAATCGTCGACTCTCTGCAGACCGGCGACAAGCACAAGGTCACCACTCCCATCAACTGGGTTCCAGGTGATGACGTGATTGTCCACCCGAGCGTCAAGACCGAGCAGGCGAAGGATATCTTCCCGGACATGAAGATCATCAAGCCGTACCTGCGAACGACACCCTTGCCCAAGGACAAGACCAGCGCTGCTTGAATGACAGTGACGGGAATTTGATGAACGTCGGGTTATATTTCCAGAACATGGAAACCGTTCCCACCTAGATAGCTCGCACCTCGAGATACTATGGAAAATAGCTTGCCATGGATTGATTTCACTTCCTTTGAGGCACGCGACTGGTCGCGGAGTACGTGATATTGCACGGCGCGTATATTGCTATTCGAGCGCGTGCAATGCGGGTCTCTATTGGCATTGAACTCGGGCCATCGTGCATAAGTCACAGATCGCCTTTCTGCGTCATGTGCTGCCACCAGATCTTACGGAAACGACAACGACAGCATCTGTTCAACCCTTGACCCTGGTCTCCGAGGGACCTGACTTCGGAGAAGGAAGCAGAAGATTCGTCCGTGCCATTGGCTAAGGGATCTTTTTAACGCGTGCTAGAAGCCGGCTTGGCGTTCGACGCGCTCCACCGCCGCCGCCATGCTAAGTGACTCGCAGGTCATCTAGACTTTCGCGGCACAATCCTCGCTACACAGTCCCATATCTCATATCAGAAGCCTCCTAAGCTCACCAACAGTGTCGTACAATTCTTCTATCACTTGCCCTTTCAACGCAGGCTCGGGAGACCGGTGCGGGACGCTCTGTACCCGATCAGTTGTTGTCGCGTTTCCGCCCGACAGATTTCTTCAAGCGCCCCTTTTCTTTTGACGTCGGCTGAAGTGACACGGGGAGAGAACAACCCTTCACGAAAACAGTGACATCCCGAGACAACTTCTTTGTCCTCTCGGTAAGTGACTTGCTCGATGACCCCCAGCTTGCATTGGCGCTTGACGACGCTTTGGGTACCCGATTCTGATCTTACCTGTTGGACCGCTCGCCGTGGGCCAGCGAGCGAACTCGTGTTCATTCCCTCTACACCATCGCCGTAAGATTTGAAGGGTGGGACCATGTGATCATGCTACTTTGCAGGCTCTGTCATTTTGTATCTCTTGTGCTTTCGTGTGCACATTCTGCATCATTGTACTCGTTATCATTTCTTATCCCTTCCGTCTGTCTTGAAAACGAGCTGACCATGATGGCTAGATTTCGACGGAAAAGTTCTGGGAGGCAAGGCTCTATACCGTGGACGTACAGCAAGCGGTTCTTGACTTCGCATCTTGACCCACCATCACCGGAAGAACACGATTGGCCGCCTACTCCGCCTTCGACCACAGAAAGCGACTCGTCGTCAATTACACCTAGTGTTTTTTCGAATTGGCACGATCCCTCCTCGCTTTCCTTGATAGCGCAGTGTACAGCTAGCAGCCTCAAGCGGCGACATGTACCCATCGACATCTCGGAGTACCGATTGACAAAATTACCTGTGCACGAGTCTGTGCCAAACCCGGCCACGAAGTTTCCGACCTCAACACGATTGCCACGATATGTACCCATAATCATCCCGGATTTTGCGCAGCCATCGGTGACCAGAGAGTTTGACCGTGCTGTCTCGGGATCCGACCCACGGACGGTCCAAGCGACTGATTCGTCACCAACGACACCGACCTTGACGGACTGTGCCAAGAGATTGAGAGGCTCGAATGAAGCTGATAGTTTTACTACATCGACGCAACCACTTACGGAAAAGAGTACTACGCCGCTTCTGCAGATAGAAATGAACAACAGCGAGGTCAGCCTCGTTGCGTCAGAGGCAAGCCATGAGAGCGCCCCAGGCTTGAATCAGCCAGTCAATGGTGTGGGGGTTAGTATTGGCATACCTTCTTCAGCCACCCAGCAAAGCTCTGCTCCCACTAATTTATCTGGGTTGGTTTGCAATGTGCATAGAACCACTGGTGAAGAACCCCATGCATTGGTGGGAGCAACCACGACGATCCTGGGCGACAAATTATACGTCTTTGGCGGGCGCATTCACTCGAGGACGAAACCGCAGTTGACTTCGGATCTGTATGAACTGGACCTCATCCGCCGACATTGGACCCGGCTTGAAGCACTCGGGGATTTACCACCACCTCGATACTTCCACAGTGTCTGCGCTCTTGGAGATTCGAAATTGGTGTGCTATGGCGGCATGTCCCCCGCTACACACGCCAGGAACGGTGTCAACGGCCAAGTTGCCAAGTCAGCTGCTGAGGGACAGCCTGAGGTCGTCGTCATGTCCGACATACATGTCTTCGATGTGCCGACAAAGAAATGGACGCTGATATCCACGTCTGAGAATCCTCAGGGGAGATACGCCCACTGTGCAGCCATACTTCCATCCTCGGCCGCATTCACCTCGGCTAACGCGCCGCTCTCGGCCATCCAGCACAATCCCCCATCGGCAGATCCTCATTCGGGTACATTAGGCGTACAGCTAGATGGAACTGGAGGTGCGGAAATGGTTGTGGTGGGTGGTCAGGATAGCAACAACAACTACATTGAACAAATCAGTGTCTTCAACCTCCGAAGTCTGAAATGGACCAACACAACTGCGTGGGATCGCAAGTGCGGCGCATACAAAAGCATGGTATCGCCTATGACAGGCCTGTCGGCCGACTTGATTGGACGCGGTATCCCGTTGAACGATCCACAAGTGCAGAGAGCAACTTCACGAGCTGGGACTTCTATGCTGATATATTCCAACTACAACTTCTTGGATGTCAAGCTGGAGCTGCAGATCAGGTTACCTGACGGTTCGATGGTCGAGAAGCCTATGACAGGCTCAGTGTCCCCGCCTGGGCTGCGATTCCCGAATGGAGGCATCATTGACGGCCATTTCGTGGTGAGTGGGACTTATTTGACATCTTCCAAACACGAGTATGCTTTATGGGCGCTTGATCTAAAGACCTTGACATGGGCGCGCATTGACACCCATGGGTCTATCTTCTCCCAAGGCAGCTGGAACCGGGGCATTTTGTGGAACCGAAGGAATACATTTGTTATCCTTGGCCATCGGAAGCGGAGTCTGGTTGATGACTACAACCATAGGAGGATCAATTTCAGCCACGTCTGCATGGTCGAGTTGGAAGCATTCGGACTTTATGACAATCCGAGGCGAGAGGCTGCTAGTTCAGGCTATGTGTCAGTCTCTGCTCCAGCTGTTCCACCGTCCATGCAAACAGGTGGTGTGAGTGTGACTGCTGGAGGCCGACCACTCAATCATACTGCTGAGCAGCTGGGTCAGGCAGCGCTGGCGCTGGCGGAACTATCTGACATGGATATTGTGGCGCTGGGCGGCGAGAAGATTCCGTGCAATTCGTACCTTCTTTCCAGGCGGTGGGGGCCGTTTTTCAATCAACTTCTGGTCGAGTCGGCAATGGATCACGACGCCGCGACCAGTCTGTCGGACGGAACAACACTACGGCCCAGCATACGGACGCAACATAGTCGCAATTCTGCTCTAACGATAACTCCAGCTGTGGCGAACGGGCTGTCCACTTCAACGTCCACAGGTGACGGAATCCTCGACCCGCAGCGTTCATTAAGTCGCTCCGCAACCAGAACACTCGCGGAGGAGCCCAATACGACGAACCTACCTCCTTCGGGTCGACCAAGGTCCTTATACTTACCTCATATGGCACCGACGATCCACTTGCTGCTACATTTTTTGTACACATCTTCCTTACCCCAGGCCGGTTCACCGATGTGTACGCCGCATACGCTGTGCTCACTGTTGCAAATGGCGAGGCCTTACCAGATTGATGGACTTCTGGAAGCAACAGTTGAGCGGTTGCACGAGGTCCTGGATGGGCGCAACTCAGCAGCGGTTTTCAATGCAGCGGCCATGGCAGCAGGGGGTGGTCGAGGCCTTCAAGGCACCGCAGTGGGTGCGTTGGCCCGGATGGGTCGGCGGGAAAGTGAGGCAACAACCATAGCGGAGTCGCTGTCCAACAAGGTTGCCGGACTCAAACTTGCCACCAATTACGAAGAAGCTGGCAGGAAGAAAGGCCATGCCAAGACAAGTTCAATGGACTCGGCGTCGACGGCGACTTCTGCCTCGACGTCTACTGACATGTCGCATACGGACACGGAGAACTCGGCGTCTAATGACAATGGCGATCCGAGCGGGAAAGGGGAAAGAGATTCGCGAGAAATCTGGACGGGCGATCTCAGCTCGGTGATTGGGCTACAGAAACGCGGATTGAGAGGGTTGATGGAAGGACGACGGTTGAGAGAGAAGGCGAATACGGGCGGTGAATAGAGTTGACAGGAAGCAGCGCGCTTACTGTCCACTGCAGCCCCGAAAACACACTATTCAATACACAGTACGGAGTAGTTAAGCTGCGATTGCACACAGTAGATGGCAGCTCACAAGAACAGAATCCCCCGCAAGCACGTGCTCGTCCACTCAGACCTGAATCTGCGTGGTTTGCATGTGATCCTGTGGTGACCTCGTGCCCAGTACGAATGGGAATCGACGGCAATATGTAAGATGCCTCGGCACGTTTTAAAAGTGGCATTTGTCTGAATCGCGAGGAACATCATCTGACCCTCGACAACGAATAACAAACCAAGCATTACGCCTTTGCTCATTGGGCCCGGCGTCATCGAGCGTCCGGAGTCTCCAGTTTCGTCTTGTTCTGGGGAGAAGCGTGACCCGAGATTATGTGCCTGGCATGGCGGATGGATGCGTTGCCAGCTGGCATGTGAAAGCCTCTCAATCTGAGGTTTGACGTCGGTGTTGCAACGCTGCATTCCTCTCACGTTCTCTTCCTCTTGTCCTTCGACAGAGCCTACATCGGGTTCGTTCTCTTACCTTCGCTAGTACTCGCTTCTGGCTGTCTGAGTCCACTCGTCGACCGCGTAACTGCCCTTCATTCTTAGACTTCCAGTTCCCAGGATCGCAATGTCCAAACGTCTTTCGGCTGCCGATGTGGCATCTCACAACAAATCAGACAACCTCTACATTATCGTCGACGAGGATGTCTACGATCTGACCAAGTTCCAGGACGAGCATCCAGGTATGTCTGGCATCGATCCGCATGCTCCGGAACACGTATACTGACACTGCGCAGGTGGAAAAAAGAGTGAGCTGTGGCCTGCACTCAAGACCGTATTAGCCCTCTCTAACGTCGCCGTGTAGTCCTCCAACGTGTGGCCGGCAAGGATGCCTCGAAACAGTTCTGGAAATACCACAATGAGGGCATCCTCAAGAAATACAAAGCGAAGTTGCAGGTTGGGTCGTTAGACACCAAGAAGGTTGAGGCACCGCCGACTCCTCCAGCCACTCCTCCACCGGAAAAGCAGGAAACGAAGGTACAGCCGCAAGCGGAGCCCGGCACTGTTGCGCCCGCGCCTGGGCCGTCCGCCGCGGAAGAGGTCGAGGCAATGGACCCCTTTGGTTCTCTGATTCCGTTCGGCGACCCGAGTTGGTATCAAGGTGTAAGTACAGCATACGCACGTAGCTGTGCCTTTCGATCTAAACCGCTACCTAGTACCATTCACCTTACTACAACGAAACGCACGCTGCTCTCCGCGCCGAAGTCCGAGAATGGGTCGAGAGCGAGCTCGAACCCTACGTGACGGAATGGGACGAGGGCAAGAAAGTCCCTGATAATATCTACAAGCAGCTGGGCGAGCGGGGCTATCTTGCTGGTCTGTTGGGCGTCAAATACCCCACGCATCTAACAAAGAACACGGTCAAGAGCGTACCTCCCGAGAAATGGGACCTCTTCCATGAGATGCTCTTCACGGACGAGCTGTCACGGACTGGCTCCGGCGGCCTGGTCTGGAACTTGCTCGGAGGTTTCGGAATTGGTTGCCCGCCACTTATCAAGTACGGCAAGAAGGAACTCGTCAATCGCATCTTGCCGGGCATTCTCTCTGGAGACAAGAGAATTTGCTTGGCCATTACTGAACCCGATGCCGGCTCCGACGTGGCCAACCTGACCTGCGAGGCAAAGCTATCGGAAGACGGCAAGCACTACATCGTCAACGGGGAGAAAAAGTGGATCACCAACGGCATCTGGTGCGACTATTTCACCACCGCCGTGAGGACTGGTGGCCCCGGTATGGGTGGCATCAGCCTGTTGTTGATTGAGCGGACCGAGGGCGTCAGCACGCGCCGGATGGACTGCCAAGGTGTCTGGAGCAGCGGAACCACATACATCACCTTTGAGGATGTCAAGGTGCCAGTAGAGAACGTGCTCGGCAAGGTCAACAAGGGATTCCAGGTCATCATGACCAACTTCAACCACGAGCGAATCGGCATTATCATCCAGTGCCTGCGCTTCTCTCGCGTCTGCTTTGAAGAAAGCGTCAAGTATGCGTCGAAACGACAGACATTCGGCCAGAAACTCATCAACCACCCTGTGATACGCATGAAGCTAGCGCACATGGCTCGTCAAATCGAAGCAAGCTACAACTGGCTGGAGAACATTATCTACCAGTGTCAGCGTATGAGCGAGACTGAAGCAATGCTGAGATTAGGCGGTGCCATTGCCGGTCTCAAGGCTCAAGCTACCACTACGTTTGAGTTCTGCACCAAGGAGGCCGCCCAGGTCTTCGGTGGTCTGGCTTACTCGAGAGGAGGCCAGGGTGGAAAGATCGAGCGGCTGTACCGTGATACTCTGGCTTATAAGATTCCTGGCGGCAGCGAGGAGATCATGCTCGATCTCAGTATGCGGCAGAGTCTCAAGGTGCACAAGGCGCTGGGGATGAAGCTGTAGAGTGTGTGCGCCTCAACACGTAGAAAGTATTAGTGAGTGCAAGCATCGATCCACTCATGGCTATCGGTAAATATAGCAGGATATTTTGGGTTGCGATCAGTCTGAATGTACGGTGTACCTCGTACGACAATGGCCGTCTACTTTGTGCTTCGCTTTGCTTCTGCGACGCCTCCCAGGTTCCTCCTGGGCTGACGACACCAACGATGGACGTTGGCCGTGACGCATGATGCTCGTGGTGGATGCCCGGCTCAAACAAGCCGTATCCTGGTTGGCAGCGTTTCAGGCGGGGTTCCCAGAACCGCTTTCAAGCTTTGCCGTCATGCAGGTACGTCACCAACCGACCAACGTCGCCGTGAGAAATTTTCTAGCGCTGGCTTCTCTGGCTGGATGCGAGCAGATTTCCCCTGCATAGCCGGGCAATGCGAGGGATTGCACAGGCGAGCATCTGACCTGGATGCGTGTCGAAAACTCTTTCCTGTGGTGGCAGCCCATCATGAGATCCAAGGCCGCCCACCCGCTCCCTCTTTGAGGTCATCTCCAGTTCTTTTGCTCCACGTCGAGCCCTGCGCCTCGTCCTTGCCGCCACTCGATTGCCGTAGAGTACCTCGTAGGTTACTGTGGTACGTTAGGACTTTCTTGCCTGGTCAAGGGTCTCCCCCAACGGTCTGCAGACTGCGCTTGCTATATATCTGCTTGCTTCTTCTGCGCCTTCCCCGTCTCGCGAGCATTTGGCTGTCCATACATTGTACTTGTACCGTTAGATCTCTCGACCACATTCGTTACCAATACAGTATAGCATATCCCAATATGCGTACCTCACAGATTCTCGCCCTTGCGGCCGCCCTTCCTTCTACACTCGCCGCCTACAAAGGCTTCAACTATGGATCGACTGGGAACGACCAGGGCGCATTCGAAGGGCAATTCAACTCAGCAAAGGCGCTGGGTTTCGACTCTGCCCGGCTGTACACCATGATCCAGGATGGCACCACAAATGCCCCCATTTCAGCCATTCCCGCGGCTATCAATACCGGCACGTCTCTCCTGCTGGGTTTGTGGGCTTCCGCTGGCGATGCTCAGTTCACGAACGAGATCGCCGCTCTTAATGCGGCTATCTCGCAGTATGGAACACCCTTCACCGACTTGATCGCCGGAATCAGCGTGGGCAGTGAGGATATTTACCGCATTACACCCATTGGTATCTCAAACAATGCCGGGCTGGGCGTTGGCCCAGATGTCATCTCCAACTATATCGGGCAGGTCCGATCAGCTATCGCTGGTACTCCTGCGGCAGGAAAGCCTGTCGGCCACGTCGACACCTACAACGTCTGGACAAACTCTAGCCAGAATGGTTTGATCGGAGCCGTCGACTTCCTCGGCGTCGACGCCTATCCTTACTACGAGACAACAAAAGCAAATAGCATCGAGAACGCCAACGCTACTTTCTGGGATGACTACGACCAGACCGTTGCTGTCGCTCAAGGCAAGCCAGTCTGGATCACGGAGACTGGTTGGCCAGTTTCAGGTCCGGCAAGCGGTCAAGCTGTTGCATCAGTCGAGAACGCACAGACTTACTACGATGAGGTTGGCTGCACTGCGTTTGCCGACAACATCAACACCTGGTGGTACATTCTTCAAGACACCGGAAGCTCACCCAGCTTCGGTGTTGTTGGCGCCGGCAGTCCTCCTCCCACCACTCCGCTCTATCCTCTTACTTGCTAGATTATCGCTGAATATCGCTGAATGGGCAAAAGACATTTGTATGCGTAACGAATAAATGGGATTAGGATATCGGGACGAAAGGATCCTTGGATAAACCATGAATCAGTAAAATTATTGGTAATGAAACTATAATTCAATTCAAGAGGTTTGATGCGAGTGAATCAAGATCAGGTTCTGAGTGAATCATGATCAGGTTTCAGTGAAGCGTGACCGAATCCATGAGTGCATCGTGATCATGTTAGCACGACGTGAGCTCATCAGCCAATCAGGGTGTCTTATACCAACTGTGCTAGTCCTTGTTCGTACTTGTCAACAAGTAAACAATTGAGCCTCGACTTCCTCTTATCCCCGCATTCCTTCCAATGCTAACACCAACGAAGCCTGTTGCATCTCAAATGTTTCCATGCGACTGCATGTCGACTGACTCTTGACACGGACACAAACCCCAGTACCAGAACTTCGCGGCAACCAAGATGGCGCCCCGGAGACCTGCCAGTCCAGCGAAACCTCGGCGAACCACGCGTGCTCGGGCTGGAGACGCCGACACGATCACCACCACGGCAGCGCAACCGACAAAGACAAGGAAGACCAAAGCCGCGAGCATCCCCACAACCACACGAGCACAAGCGATTGAATCGAAGTCTCGAGTTGCGAAGAAGGCGGCATCAACCACAGCACCTAAATCTGAAGCAGTGAGAAGCTCACGCGCCACCACTAGATCAACAAAAGCTACGATCCCCTCTGCCCTGGACGTCGAGGTTGAGAGCGATGGGGAAGAACTAGAACCTGTGGTTGAAGTCACGGTGGCGCAACCGTCCATGAAGCCGTCGAGGGCGACCAGAACCGCTACGAATCCGACGTCGGCCGCTACCGGTACCACCACACAAACCTCTGCCACCACAGGTCTCGCCGCAGCACCGCGCCGCCGAATAAAGGTCACCCCGTTGATCGAACATGACTCTCAACGGGAACCTGTTCCCGCACCACCTACAGAAGATAAGACCGCAAAGAAGTCGTCCACAAACTCGAAGAAGGAGAAGGCCGAAGCGGAAGTGAAGCCATCTACTTCAACGCGTACGAAGAGAAGCGCTACACAGGCAAAGCTTAATGAAGTTTCCGACGAACCAAATACTAAAGAGCCGGAGCCCAAGAAGCGAGGCAAAACAAGAGCTGGGACTGCAAAGGTGGAGAAGCAGCCCGAGCCCGAAGTTCCAGCCGAAACCGCAAAAGAGCGAGGCCGGGGCAAGAAGGAGAAAGCTCCTACAGAGCAAGCCGGACAGACTGAGTCTGAGCCGGTTACCACCCGCAAAACAAGAACCCGCAGTGGATCGACTGAAGATCCTGTCGTCAAAGAGGCTAGAATCAGTGTTGTCGTCCCCTCAAGGAAGAAAGTCACCTTCGAGCCATTGCCAGAGGATGAGGAGGATGAGAAAGAAAACAAGCGGCCTAAGACCTTGGCCAAAACGAAGGGCAGCAAGGCCTCAGCCACCATCACCAAGATATCCGAACCAGCGGCCACTGGAATGCGGGCGAAGCCGATTCGCAAACCAGCTGCTACTCGAACAACCAAAGGAGCACGCTGCGCTTCTAGAGTGGCACCAACGCCTGCAGCCGAAGAGATGTATGTCGACAAGCCAGAAAAGCGGATGCCTCGAGCACTGACTCCAAAGAAGATCACTCAAATTGCAAAGGCTAGCAGCATCGACGACAGTGAAGATGATGAGGATGAGCTTTCAGGAGCCAAGACTCCTGTTAGGGATCTTGGCTTGTCGCCTCGACGAGGTTTCACTCCTGCTGCTGCGCGTCCCTTGTCTCCCGTCAAGACGCTGGACTTTGCAACCGCCCTCAAACACAATTCCCCTGAGAAGTCTCATTCGGGCGCACCGCTTAGCTTTATGAGTTCACCCCGACGAATGCCAGCATCACCAGTCAAGGACTCATTGAAAGAGTCCCCACGACGCGCACCTGAAGGTGTCACCATCTTCCGAGCCCATGTTCCAGATGCAGGCAATACAGGGTCGCTCGTGTCGAGTCCTCCGAAGAATCAATCTGTGCTTCAGCAGTCTCCTAAACGTGCTCTCGGCGACCAGATCGTCTTCCCGCCATCAGCCATGAAATCACGGGCAACGCCATTGAAGAACTCTTTCCTGTCATCTCCTGCCAGGCGACTCTTCTCTGCATCGAAGCCCAAATTTCCTGCTCGGTTATCACCTTCGCCGAAAAAGGTATTCGGGCAAGAGAACGCCGCACCATTGACTGAAGTGGGAGAGCCTGACGAGGTCGAAATTTCATCTCACTTCCGATCCTCTGTTTCGCCTCGGCGATCTGCCCGAGTTTACCGACTCAGTGAGGATGAGTTGGCTCAGGAGCTCGAGGCTGAAGTTAACTTTGATGAATCCGTGTTGGATGTTAGGAGTCCGCTGAAGGTTGACAAGATCAACCCCGTGGTTGCTGATGCGACGGCTACAATCACCACCGCGGCAGCTCAAACTCTGGAGAATCACGCTGAACGAGGAGAACATGAAGTCGACGAGGAGACTTCTATAGACACCTTGCACGACAATACCGCAGCCGATGAGGACCACGACGAGACCATCGTGGACCATACATTTGAAGCTGAAGAAGCATCCGACGAAGACGATGGAGCTCTCCACGGCGTTTCTCTTGATGAGGTCTCCGCCGATGAGCCTATAATGGATCAAGCACAACACGGGCAATCTACACAGAAACCCAGAATGTCAGACACCCTTTTCAGCCGCATGCGTCAACTGGATGATGAATCCGAGGACGAGCTTGCCGGAGAACAGACCCCAGACAACCGCGTCCTCAGACCAACCTTTCGACCTAGCATGAGCGCCGCCAACACGAGAACACGACTGTCGACGGGCGTCGTGCCGCAGAGCGCCTCTAGACATCTTGGCTTCACTCCTCTTGTGGCTCAAGTTCAGGGCTGGCGAGCTGGAAGTCCCGGAAAGAGAACTCCTGGTGCTGCAAGGCCTGCTTCGCAGGGACTGTTTTCTCCTGCTGCTCAGATGCACGTCGAGGGTCTAGTTGAGCTGAACCGACCAGATACACCGGGGTCCAAGCGGAAATCATTGGCCGCACGACTTTCTCTAGCTCCATCTTCGATTGGAAGTCCGCTCAAGCCTGATTTTTTCGCTGATGGCATGGCTGCGCAGGACTTCGAGGAGCAGATCGAAGGAGAGCAGGACATCGCTCCGGAGCAACATCAAGATTTGCATAACTTTATTCGGCAAGATGTGGCTGAGCCAGATGCTGGCAGTGCAAGTGACATGCAAGCTGGACCCGCAGAAGGAGTGGTTGAAGACAGTGTTCCAGAAACGGGTGAACTTACCACTGATCTCGTCAACTTCACTAATGCCTCCGATACTGCCATGGTTGACTTCAAGGCCCTCGCAAATGAAGCCGAGGAGCTTGCCAGTCATGAGGACGACCAATCGATGTTGTCCAACACATCGGTTTCCTCGACAGACGAACAAAAGCAGACCACTGAAACTGGGAAAATTCTTGAAGAGACGGTTCCCAACGTTGTCTCCGAGGTTGAGCAGGAAGACCAGTCCATGCTTTCATCTTCCTCGGGTTCTTTCGGCGATGAGAATGCTGCACCGATTGCCGAACTTCCAGAACAACCCGAATCTGTCCAGAGAGCTGAAGCGTCTGCTGGAAGCGATGATGACGAGAAAGATCATGACGCTGACAACGACGACGCTGGTACACTCCTCTACGAGAATGAGCTTACCACGATGGCTCACAACCCTGTAACTGAGTTGCTATGTGAGACAACAGCAGCCAGCATCGAAGTCTCGCCCTGGAAGGGTGACACCAGTGGTTCTCTCGCTGAAATGGACTTCAGCGTCACTCCCGTTCGACCAGACCCAGTATTTCCCCGACAAATCCACACTGTGGTTTCTAAGGTACCGCTCCGCCCTGAAGGTGAAGTCCCCGAAGTGTCACCGCTCAGAATTCCGCGCAAGCGAGCGCGATCACTATCTTCTTCAACCCCACAGGGCGTTAAGAGAAGGAGTCTCGGCTTTGACTTCCCGGCTATGGTTGCTGATGATCCCCTTGTGACGCCCAGAGCGAATAGAGCGTCCCCCCAGCGACGCGTTCGCAGTGCTGCGCCGAGCCCTGCAAATTCTGTGGCTACCAGTCTGATGACTCCTAGTCAGATCAGCTTTTCGATCGAGGATTTTGGAGATAGCACGCTAGATGGTATCGAGACGCCTGAGGATGAGCTTATGTCTGATGATGTGGGTGAAGGCCTGGCTGACACCGAGTTTAATGGTCAGGATGAGAGTGTCATGACCATTGGCTCTGCGCTGTTCAAGACGCCCATTGCTCCGGCAATGAGACACAGAGTTGCTCCTGCTAGTGCGCAGGCCAACGGCCCGACTACTCCTCGCTACGCCATGAGCACAAAGTCGAGCAAGAGCCGTCTTGCAGCCACGCCCAGCATCACACCCTCGAGAACCGCGACGCCTGTGGCAATGAAGTCGGCTACGCCGGCCAAAGCAATGACTCCCAGCACGGCTCTAAGGAGCAAACTTGCCGCTAAACCACTCCAGACAGAGCGGACACCCCTAAAAGCGGTAGGCAGTGGTGTCCTTCACGGCGCAATCGTCCACACAGACATCCATACCAGCGAGGGTATGGACGCATCGGCATTCTACATCGACATACTTACGTCCATGGGCGCCCGTGTTGTCAAGGAATGGCGTTGGAATCCTCGCTCCAGCATGGTAAACCCCGACGACGAGTCGCAAGAAACACTTAGCCCTAGTCCCGGCATCACGCACGTTGTCTACAAAGACGGCGGCAAGCGCACACTCGAAAAGGTCCGCTCGGCAAAAGGTCAAGTCCTCTGTGTTGGCGTTGGCTGGGTGCTTGACTGCATGCGCGAGGGCAAGTGGTTAGACGAATCTGTGTACGCGGTGAACCAAAGTATCATGCCGCGTGGTGGGACCAACCGACGCAAGTCTATGGAGCCTAGGATGCTGGTCAACGAGAACGGGCTTTTATCAGCGAGCAAGGAGCGACGCAGCCGAAGTGTCTCTGTGGGAGTGGAGATGCACTGCCTGAGGGAGGACCTGAAGCAGGAGTTGATCAACACGCCTGTGAGGGGCAGAGAGATTCTGAATGGTTGCGCAGACGGTGTTGAGGACGACGCAGAAGAGACCGAGATCAGCTCGACGTACAATTCCCCTACCGCAGCGACTGTGGGTGGAGGCGGGGATACTGCGAATGTTGGCCTCTTGATGGCCGCTCAACAGGATGCCAATGCCGTGCGAACACCCGGATCCGTCATTTCCAGAAGACGTGCGAAGGTGGAAGTTGCGACACCGCAGTCAACTTCTCTGGCTGTCGACTACGATCCACGCACTGCAGCGACGCCGTTAACACCGTACCTGGTCGCCAAGGGCCGCGACTTGATCCAGATGAGTGCACCACCCAAACAGGTCAACAAGGGTCTTTTTGATCAGGACGAAGAAGACAACAGCCTCCTCAGCGGCCAGACGGAAAATGATACTCGGGAAGATGGTGCCAAGAAGTTCCAGGTCAAGGGTAAGGGCAAGGGAACAGGCAAGAAGGTCTTTGATGGGAGACGGAGGACGCTCGGGGTTCCAGGATTGGGATTCAGGCCGGTTGTGGGAAGTCCTTTGCGGAAGGAGTGACTATGAAAGGGAAGCCCTGAGAGCTTGTAAGTCGTTTTGCTTTTTTGGTTTCGGACCTTGGACAGTAACGGACGTTGGACATACATGGATGCATCGGCTGGCGGTCAGCGAGCTAGGAAAGGCGTTTGAGACCTGTCTTGTTGGGTTTCAAGTCCAGTATACCACGGTCCTTCCGGTGCGATCGGGCTGGTGCACTGTAGCTAGTGTTTGGGTTTCCGTGAGTGGTGTTTTGGGTTGGATACCTACAGGTAAACTCGGGTTACAAGGACAGTACAACATGCACGCAGGGTGCTGCTCCTGCTGCTGCTGCTTCTTCTTCTTCTTCTTCTTCTTCTTCTTCTTCTTCTTCTTCTTCTTCTTCTTCTTCTTCTTCTTCTTCTTCCCTCATAGTACGAGTACGTAGCTGCCTTCTACAAGTGACGGAGTATATTTCCGCGTGACGAGATTGCCCCGGGTGTGGACACGGCTGTGTCTAGGTATGATACGGAACACTGTCCTTGAGAACCGAAAAAGCATTCACCCGCACGCTGCTGCACGCTCTTAGGCGCGTCGGAGCCGCACATTCATTCCTACGGTACCAGATTGTGTTCGATGCCATGCTGCGTGACTGCGTGCCGACCTGCCTGGTCCCCCCGGGTCGGTCGTACTTTATGATACACGTACACGTACACGTACTTCCCGCCGTATGAGACCCGGACGCACGCCCCCCCTCTCTCTCCCTGTGTGTGTGTGTGTCTCTCTCTCTCTGACTCTGCTTACTGCCAGCCATGGCATGCCATGTCATGCTCGCCCTTTCTCACTCTACTTACCTCCCACCACTTACCATTCCTCCCTTGTCATCAACTCACTTCCCACCACTCGCATCCCTGTAGAAACCCGCAACCAGAAAAGCCAGCTCGAGAGCCTGCTTCTCGTTCAACCGCGGATCGCAGAACGTCGCGTAATTCAGGCTGAGATCCTGTTCGGTGAGCTCCTCCGCGCCGCCCACACACTCCGTGACCGCCTCGCCCGTCAATTCCAGATGCATGCCGCCGAGATAACTGCCGTGCGAGCGATGGATCTGCAGCGCCTGCCGCAGTTCCGACAGGATGTCGCTGAACCGACGGGTCTTGATCGTCGTGGAGCCTGCCGTCGCGGGGGAGCCATTGATGGTCGAACCCCCGGGGGACATCGTCACCGTGGCGTTCCGGCCGTTCCCGTGCATGGGATCGCACTGCCACACGACGGTGCCTTGGTGCCGTGAGTTCTGCACGGCGCGGATATGTCCCGGCAGGTGCGCGGCGATCTTGTCGCACCCGTAGCGCGTGATGAGGACGATTTTGCCGACTTCACGGTCCGGGTTGAGGATGTCCAGAAGAGGCACGAGGTCCGAGGGAGGCATCGAGGGGCCGACCTTGACGCCGATCGGGTTGGCGATGCCGCGGAAGAATTCGACGTGGGCGTGCGTGAGCTGGCGTGTGCGGTCGCCCACCCAGACCATGTGCGCGGATGTGTCGTAGTAGCCTTTCGTCGGGGGTAGAGGTGGGGGGAGCTGGGTTGGAAGCGATGTCTTGCGGTGGTTCTTTTGTGGTTGCTGTGCCACTGGTGAGACGGGTCGAGGAATTTCAGGCGGCGGGTGGTGATTCGACGGATGCTTGAACTGTCGCGTCAGTGCCTGTTCGTACTCGAGGAGCAGGCCCTCGTGGGATGTGAACAGGTCCACTGTCTCTAGTCCGCCGCCTGTGTCGAGGCCGATCGTCCGCATCATCTCCAGCGTGTCCGTAATCCGTTCGACAATGACTTGGTAGTTGTCCCGGACGGAGGGGTCGCGGACATGTCCCAGACTCCAGTCCAGTGGGGCGTGCAGGTCCGCCAGCCCACTCGCCAGCGCGGCTCGGAGGTAGTTTTGCGTCGCGGCCGAGTGGAAGTATGCGTCGACCAGCCTCTTGGGGTCTGGTTCCCGAAGCGCCGGGTCCGCTTCGTAGCTGTTTAGGATGTCGCCTCGGAAACTGGGCATGGAGACGCCGTTGACGACTTCCATCGGCGAGGAGCGTGGTTTGGCGTATTGCCCGGCCATGCGCGCCACGCGGACAACCTTCTTCTTCGCGCCGTAGATCAACACCAAAGACATCTGGAGCAGGAGCTTGACTTTGGCCTCGATCATGTCCTGGGTGCAGTAGTCGAAGAGTTCGGCGCAGTCGCCGCCTTGAAGGAGGAAGGCATTACCCCTGGCGACTTCGCGGAGTTCGTCTTTCAGCTTGACGATCTCTCGTGGCGTGACGAGAGGCGGGAGTCTGTTGAGTTTCTGCAGCGACGTCTCGAAGGAGTGGGCGTCATTGTATGTGACGGATTGAACGATTGGGCGGGTTTTCCAGCTCGAGGGCGTCCATGAGCCGGTACCATTCATCTCCATCCCGAGTTCGGGCTTTTCTTTTTGACGGAGTACTTGAATGAGTTGAAATACGCTGGGAATGTAGCCGCTGGACGCTACTCTCTACCGTGAATGCTTTGGTTGCCGTTACACGAGCACTTCTTCGGTCGCACAGCGCCTATTCACCTACAGAATTCCGTCGATAGTTCTGGACTATTTCTTCGCAGGAGTGAGTTGAGTCAAGGCCGTGGCCAGGTGGGCTTTGGGAATAGAGTCTAGCGGATATTCGGCGATGAAACATGAGCTCCGGATTGCAGACAGTGTCGCTCAACCTCGAATCCGGTAATTGAGCGTGATTCGATGCTTTCAACGGGTAGAGGCATGAGTCAACAGAGTGGAATGGAATGTTTGTGATAGAGTGCCATCCCCTTCCTGGCTAGCGGGCATCGTTAGCCCTACGGCAAAGTACAGCTACCATACGGTGGATTCTTAGCCGCCGTCACGCCAGATGCTGTCCATCGCCATTAATGTCACCAAGACGTTCCTTGTATTCGTGGATACGTTGACACGGCGCAACACGGTACGACATGGCAGAACCGGTCCCCTCGGCGTCAGCGGCCGCCGCAGACGCAGCCGACGATGAGGTGTCTCAAAATCTCCCCAAGAATGCCGAAGACCGCAAAGCCGCGGCGGCGCTCAATTCGTTGAATGCCAACGAGATGTCGACGGAGAACGGCGAGAGCGGCCCCAAGCAGCCGTCCGCAGCTGATCAAGAGGCGTTGGGCAAGGCCATGTCTAGGCTCGAGATCGCCAGTGGTGTCAGCAAGAAGAAGGAGGACACGACAAAGGCAGAGACGAAGAAAGAGGTCGAGGTGAAGAAGAAAATCAAGATCGCAGCCGAGGATGTCAACTTTCTGGTGGGTGTCGCCCAATGTCGATTCTACGTTCTGAGGGGTAGTGGCTGACTGATGTCTTTTTCCAGGTTGAGGAGCTCGATCTTTCCAAGAACAAGGCCACAGAGCTATTGCGGTCGCATGATGGAAACGCCTCGCTTGCCATCAAAGCCTTCATTACTCCTGCTGTTGGGGCATGAGGCGCATGCCACATCCACTGCTGATTGCTGTCTGGGGTGCTTGGCGAATGCCAGGCTACAGATGTCCACAACGCGTTCTGGCACTGGTCTGTGCGGATTATTCTGTTGCTACAAATCGAAGGACACATAGGGCCTACCAGCCTTGCTCCCCGTATCTCACGCAGCGACGGAGAGTCAGAAACATGCGGTGACGGAAGAACTCCACGGGCCCACGCGCATACAACCATGAAGACATTGGTCCTGGAAGGTTAGTTGTTGCTTGGACGCGCGGGAGAGGTTGCTTGGAATAGCCACCAGGGACACATGACTGCATGACTGTAGTATGTTTGCAATCGGATGTTCTCCAGGGGTTTCGGGACAGTGCTCTGGCCAGGACCATGTTTTAGACATATCTTCAGGCTCTTGTATCCATGAGCCAGCATTAGAATGTCTGAACCGGCATTGGGCCATGAGCCTCCGGCAAAGGTCCGGGTTATCTTCGGCCTGGACTATCTCGAATCCGTGACGGCGGTCGACAGTCTGCTCCTTTTGCCTAATTGTTCAGTGCGTACGCAGTGCCGCAAAAGCCAATAAGGGCCTTATGCTTAGCAGCGTCGTAGGACCGAGATAGAGGTGTAGAAAACCGCCAGTGCTCCTAAGCCGGAGATGGAGCCGATATAAATTATGACCTACTGCCCGCACCAACCATGATGTCAAGCTGCACTGATTGCGCCCCCTCGATTAACCTCGTCGTCACCCACACACCAGGGAGACAGATAACGGACACAATATCGCCGGCGTACCATATCCATGATGGGAGTGCAGGAATGGACTGTGAAGCAGGTCAGTCTTGGATGTCTTTTCAATCCGGCCACACTCACGGCTAATCCTCACCAGGCATACTATCCGTCGAGGTGTAGTTTGGGCGAGGGGCCTTACTATACAAAGGAGCGGCACGAGCTTCGATACATGGTTGACCTGCTGCCCTTGTGTGCCAGCTCAAGCTGACGCTGTAGTAGGATATCAACAACAAGAAGCTCTTCATCATCGATCTCAACAAGGGCCCGGATTCGGTCAAGATCATTGACACCAAACAGCCAATTGGCGTCACTGCCAACATCGAAGGCGTCGATTCCTCAGAGGTGATCTTGGCCGGGGCAAAGGATGGGGTCACGAAGTTCCACTTGAAGACAGGAGAGCATGAATATGTGGCCAAGTATTGGACGGGGCCTGATGCAGAGGAGAAGGCAAAAAGGTAGGCTTGCTTTATAGACTCGGACGGATACGTACGGATTTGACTCACATGGCTGGCACAGGATGCGCTCGAACGACGGTGCAGTCGACACTGATGGTCGTTTCTGGGTAGAAGCGTTCGATGATCCCACCATAACTGAGCTGAAGGAGGAGGGCTGCCTCTTCCGCCTCGACCACGATGGGACCCTGCACACGGTCTTTGAGAGCATGACCATCCCGAACGGCATCACCTGGAACGAAAGTGACAGCACGATGTTCCTGACAGACTCGCCGCCCCAGAACGTCTATGCTTTCGACTACGACAAGAAGACAGGAAGCATATCGAACCAAAGGGTGTTCTATCACCATGACGAGGAAGGCGTGCACCCGGATGGCCACGCCATGGACGTCGAAGGCAACATCTGGCACGCCTGCTACGGCGGCTCCAAAGTCATCCGGATATCGCCCCAAGGTGTTGTCACAGGGGTCATCCACCTGCCAACGCGCAACATCACCTGTCCGACCTTTGCAGGGACTGAGTTGTTCATCACTAGTGCAGAGGAAGATGAGCCTGACAAATTCCCCGAGTCGGCTAAGTTTGCTGGCAATTTGTTCAAGGTTGATGTCGGAATCGAAGGCATGCCGAAGTACAAGGCTCGCTTGGACTAGGCGACCTTGAAGAAGGTCGTCTGATGTTTCTAGAAGGAAGACTGTCTACGGTGGGGATCTGCCCCAAGCGAGATTGGATGTCGGGCGTCATGGTCTTACTGTAATTGGCGATCTAAGTTAAGACTCTCATCTACTCCGTATGGTCTCAGAGCTCTCCGCAGGAAATCAGGGACAGACAAGGAGTCAAGCACTGTGCAGGGTGTTTCGCAAGCGAGGTTAAGGTTATCACGACCAGCAGTGGCACCTCCCAAGACCGTCGTATGCGACTGCCAAATGTCGCGACCAGCCAAGCAGGCACCTAGCAGGGACGGTCCTGGCAGAAATAGTTTCGCTACATAGACGAGGACGACAATTACGTAGCACTTATGGAGTAGTATCCATTGGCTTTGCTACAGTAATCGATACACTCTGATAAGCGATGCAATAGTGCTTGCCACTACGTGTCCAGGACTGGTCATGGAACAGAAGGTGTTTCTACTGTGTAGCACGCCTCGTACTCGAACATGACGCCCAACAGCCGAGATTGGGGATTCCCTTCCAATGTTCGACTCGAAGGAGTCTGCAGGGGTCGCGAATACTCAAAATATCGAGGCGCTGACTCGTTTTTTCGATGGACCGATGGATGTAATCTGCCCTTCTGAGAAACTTTGCAGTCCAATGTCGCGTGCTGGACAATAATGCTGTCGACCGAGTCGGCCGTAAACTCCTGCTTCAGGTCTTGCTCCGGCTCTCGATTCGACTTGGTATCTCGTTTGAGGGCATGAGAACTTTCGCATCGCCTAATATGTTGGGAAGTCGTCAGTACCGACGACTATCGCAGGCCGTGGCTACGAGCTTTGGCGGACCCAAACAGGACGCTCGATCTGCCTTGGGAAAAGACCCCAGATTATGATTTTCTTTTCCATCCCAAGAGGGGTACGCAGCTGAGTGCCTCGGTCGATTTGCGACGCGTTACCCAGGCTCTGTCGAGAATCCCAAAATAGGCTTACAAAAGCACAAGGCCTCCGGTGTCCAGGGTGACGAAATCGGCGAAGGGGGGCAAATGGTTGTGCTCGGCAGGCGTCATGCTAAAGAGCTTTAGTTAAGGCCCAGGCTGCAGAGTGAAGGCTCCAGGGGGAAAGAATGGCGCCCCCGGGGTGGCGCCCTGTTGGACTTTTCTGGGCATGGGTCCGGCCTTACCGGGAGGCAGTCCCACGTGGCCGACCTTTGCGACTTTGGCAGATGTTCACTTACATCATGCGGACAGTCACACTTTGTCGACTCTGGAAGGTGTCTGTCTGGCGCAGTGGGGGCGCATTCTCCTGGGCACAGCAGCAGCACCGCAGGAGTCGGGCGCTTGTCCTCGAGATGGCGTACCCATTGTCGCTTGTCCAACAAGCGGTTCGTTTGCCCTCGCAAGCCTTCGCCATCTCCACTAACAGCCGTTGATGCGAGTCGCGCTCAGCCCCATAAACATCCACGAAAGATGCGCAATACCTCTGCCTCACGGCCTATTTGAGGAAGACGGACCGCCATGAGGAGGAGGAGGAGGAGAAGGAGCGCAAGTGAAAAGAGGGGGATCACAGACACCGATTGGGACCTCCGGAATGCTGGCAGCCATCACACCCTTCCTACTCCCATTATGGTGCCAATGTGAGAGTTTTAGGTCTTGGCCTGCATGGTGCCACGAATCGACGCTGCAGCAAGGTGCATAGCCGACGAACGCGGCTTCAAAAGCGTTCTTCACCGGACGCGGTTGGTCTCCATGGTTGCAGATCACGAGCGCAAATGATCCCAGTCGCTCGACCGAGCCGCATCTGTTTTGAGGAAGCCCCTGAGATAGGAGATGCGAGTATGAGATACGTTAAGGGTGGTCGAGCTCGCAATCAGCAGCCTCGGGCAGGGCATCGCTTGCACTCCGCGTGGCACCGACGTGTCAACTACCCAGGATGGTGGAACGGGATCTAATGACGTAAAGAATTCCAAGCTTGTGGACTGACAGGCTGATCATGATGGTATCAAGGCTGGGTGACGGACCGCTTGCTCTACCACAGTACAGACCGCCTAACCCATACCGCTTGGTTGCTCTTGTTGTTACGAGATGGTCTTCATGCAGGGCTAGCGAAGTGCAGTCCCAGAGTTCCGGCACCAATGTTCAGAGTGCAGGTCGCCGTAACTGTTTGCAGTTAAAGACCTTGACTCCCGTAGCTGCAGTTGTACGGAGTACTGTCCAATGTGCATGACGGCGGGGAGTTATGGAACTTTCTGAACGTTACCCTACGCTCCCTAGCGAGAGGCACTACCGCCAGGCCCCCCCCCCACCCCCTCCCCCCGGGGGATCCACGGTCTGAGATCAAGAACAGTCTGTTGTCGTAGGACGCACGAGAATCCGTTGGCGAGGCCTTCCACGAATTGGCGGACATCTTGGGGTACTTCGTTAGTTCCGTGTCTGCCTACTGTCCACTTCGAGCTGGGCTTTGCTCCATACAGAGTCTGCAGGAGCAGTTACCAAGATGAGAGAAGGACTATTCGGCGAGCTAGATATTTCCTGACACGACCTTTGCTGGCAGGTCTTGTATGTGTGGGGAGTCATGTGGATCGAGGTGAATCATCCCACACAGATTCTACATGGAAGACGTCCAATTTGACCCCGGCTGGGAAGAACGAGGATGAGTGTCAAAGTCAAGAGTCCCAAACTGGAAGAAGACATAATTGCTTGATGGGAATTTTCGGCAGCCCGTGTAACCATAAGAAATGAGTGCAATTTGAAGTCAGGGCATGATTCTGTCCTGGCCTGCAGCTTTTGCTCTATTGATCCCTCCTCGCTTGCGGGACAAGGACGACGCAAATAACGAGTCGCTATCACAGCGCGGCATCATATGCCGAACCGTAAAGAGCCTGAAGGTCTCGACGTGCGGATATACACAGACAGGGCTGGAAGAGTCGTCCGAGAGACAGATTGAAGCCCAAGAAGCGAGCCTCTCGTTTGGCCGGCCACTTTGGGATCGATTATCCCGGAAGTCTCTTTGATATGCGAGCGAGATCAGGGGAACTCTTTTCAGACCTAGTCCAAGGGTATGGATGATGTGATCGACGTGATCGCCCGCAGTGGACTTTTTCCCGGGACAAGCTAACCACAATTCCTTGGGACCTACGGACTACAGTATGTCACGCAGTAACCGAAGTGCAGAGAGGGGATGGCTCATTGCGACGGCCGCAGAAGCTCAACGGTTTCGCTCTGCTCACGCAGTACGCCGAAGTCACGGCGCACGGTGCAGACCAGCGGGTACAGAGTTTGATTGATTACGATTCACGGCGAGAAAGACGAAATGAAGCAGACAGAAATGAGGACAGAAGATGGGCCAGCAGGGGCCTTCGTCACCCTCCAGGTAGCTTCGTACCCCAGTACTGTGTAGTGATGGTAAGCCGGATCCTGTGCTACTTGCTTCACTTGCAAGGGCACGTACTCCGTACCAATACTCGAACGGATCCATGGCTGGACGTGCAGCGGGACGCAGGATCCTTCTGTACCTCTCGCCCAGAGATGGTGCTATCGTGCATTGCGTCCATGGTCAACCGTCCAAATTGGACGACAGCTTGTGGCCAAAAGCAGAAGGATCGTTCGCATTGGACAGGGATAGAGCTCTTGAAGCCTGATCCCAGGCGAGCAGCAGATGAGCCGCGATCCAATAAGCGGGCTACGGCCACCGAACGCCCTAATCGCCTTGCTTTAGCATTTCCAGCGAATTCCCGGGACGCCCGCTACGAGCTTCTGCTCAAGGCAGCTGCCAACTGGGGATCAAAGTGCACGGGGGAGCGAAGCCGACGTCGGAAGGACGCCAATGGGCATGGGCCAAGAGGCAAGGCTAACGCGCGCACTGCTGCTGGCCGTCGACATGCCTGACATGGCTGCATGGCAGACGTTTCCTGCCCCTGGGCCTATACTCAAAACGCCCCTACCACCTGCCCGATTGTGTTGCGCCTTGCCCTCAGGCAGGAGCAGAGAAGAGGATTCACTGCCGTGTGCGCCACCTCAAAACCCGCTCTTCGAGGAATGGAAATCTCCTCCCCGTTGGCCACGGGTGGCTGTCTTGCAGGTTGGAGGATGGATGGGCTGTGTGGAGCCGCGGTTTTCGCCCTGGCAACCCTGAGCAGCTCTTTTCCACAGGCCCGGTGACAGGGCACAGCTAGCCCTTTATTATCTCCAGGCTAACGGTAAAGCTCCAAGTCTAATGAGCCCACCGGGCCCGCGCTGGTTGGCAGGTATCAACCCCCCAGGCGTTCCGTAGCGCCACATCACCGCCGTGCCGACCAAGAGGCGCGCTACTATCACAGTTGCTGCCCAGCGATGCCATCATTCCGCCTGCCGATGCCATCACGCGCTTGTCAAGGCATGCTCGAGCGATGGCACTAGTTTTCTCGCAACCCGGCTGCACCTTGGATATTGAATCTGAATCCTCATCACCCTGTGCCCGTTCCCCATCCGCCGTCCACCGGCTACTCGCATGGTTGACACCCGCTGGACGGCGCGACCCACTTGCCTTTCCTGCCTGCTGATGGGGACCGCGGCTTGTCGGCGTCAGGCCCAACCGTCCCTGTTTCGAGACCTCTGTCGAGCGACTGCTCAGATCGTGACGAGGGCAGGCTGGCATCAACGCTACCCAGTCGCGCTAGAAGCCTGGAAGCATTTCGCTTTCGAACACCAACAAATAATGCCCACCCGCTTCCCCGTCCCAGGAGTTGGCGCGGGCCACTCAGTCAAAGTACCTCTGCTTACGCTGCTGCCCACTCTGGACGGTGGAATATTACGAGCTGACCTCAGGCTAGTCCGTCACGACACTATTTGTTCTTCCTGGTGCCCGTCGACATCTGTGCGCTCGGCTTGCCTGGTGTGCAATTTGTGCTGTTGTTCGAACGGACCTCTCACGGCCAGGGTTGTCGTTTGATGACTCTCATTTGCCGCATCCATTATTGCCCCCAAGCACGAATTATCTGGACGGATCCTGGCAAGCGAATGGAAGGCTTGCGCAAATGCTTCTGATCTGGGATGCGCAATCTGCTGTCCGGCTTCGTGGCCTTCCTCGTATCCCTGCTCTGACTCCGGATTGCCGCGACTTCTAGGAGTCCTCTTGTAAGTCTGGCCGCGCGCGAGCTTACAGCACGGCCTTCCTCTTGTCTGACCTCTCTGGCAATAGAAGGCCTTCAATCTGGCGGCAACTATCGACTCCAATTACTCCCCCTTCCAACACTACCCCAGGTCGCCTCCAACGGCGGGATACTTTCAGCAATCCTGGAATTACCAGAGTCGCCAGACCAGCCCGCCACCACGCACGGGGCTCCCGGATCGTTGGAGGAGGGGAAGCGGAGGAGTGCCGCACGAGGAACATCCATGGTCGCGACCAGGATATCCGCCGCACGAGGAGGCTCACAATAAGTACATGTCACACTCCTCTGCACCAGCGGATAATCCATCAACTACGACTCCCACCACTGCCGGAGGACAGAATCTCTTTTCTCACGCCTCGGGCGCAAGCGCAGAGTCGTCACGACCCAGCACGGCGAGTGCTGTCAGGACCGAGGCTTATGGCGGATATGGTGGAATTCCCCAAGGGCGCGCTGTGACCGAGGTGGGATTGGGAATAAGCTCTCGTCGCCCATCCGCAGAATCGACTGTGCAAACTCCGTCCCGGACTTTTGGTGTGCACAGCATTCTGAACCCGCCAGTAGAGCCCGAAGATAGAGAGCCCCATAGTGTCAGTCAACCCGGTCGTCCCGCCATGAGCCTCGCCCAAAGTCTTCTCCCAGCGCCTACCGAGTCGCCCCGGAGCCGAAAACGTACAGGCCCAAGATCGCCCGCTCAGGAGCCAGCGCACGTGCAAGGCAGTCACATGGGCAGGCGCGTCCTCACGCCGAAGTCGCCTGGAATGCGTACTGCGAGCTTGGGAGCCAGAAGGAATCCTGCCTTTCATTCTACGATCCAGCTATTGCAGCCTCAACCGAGCGCAAGCGGTCGCACCTACACCGCAGAACCTGGACAATATCAAGGCTCAGAGATCCCAGCTCTGCCTCCATTGTCGATTGCGACGGCTTCCCACTTGTCCAACCTGGCACCAGCCGAGCCCGGCCAGCCCCGATCGGCGCACGTCCCGGAGAGTCCTGCTCGTGGGTTCGAGCGCATTGTTACGCCTCAAACCGAGCGCTCTTCGACGTCTCAAACATCGTATGGCAAGCTCGACCAACCTTCTCCAAGCTATCGCTACAGAGCGGTTCAGCAGCCACCGTCTCAGGCACCGCAACCGTTCAGAGTGATGCCAGCAGGTGGCGCGACGGGTTACGGCCAGGAGACCCAAGGTCATGGACCACACGAAGGTTATCAACAAGGCCCAGCTTCGTACCAAATGACGCTCGACACCGACCAAGGACCCATGAACATCCCCGTCGAGCTGGACCTGCAGCAGGCATCCAAGGTGGCGGACGAGAAGAGAAAGCGCAATGCCGGGGCCTCTGCCCGGTTTCGTGCACGGAGGAAGGAGAAGGAGAAGGAAGCTTCACAGACCATTACCGGGTTGCAGCAGGAACTGAGGGAACTGATAGAAGAACGAGACCATTATCTGTCGGAACGGAATTATTTTCGCGATCTGGCAGCCAGACACGGCGCGCAGATGTTACAGCGCCCACAGTCCCCCCAGCACCGAAGACTACCGACGACTGCAGCACTCGGCGGACCACCCTCAGGAGGCACGTTGGACGACCCCTCAGTATCGGACGACTCGTATCGAGAGCGAACCGAGCCGGGACCTTCGCAACGTCGACGAACAGGCGACTACCAGCCGACCTTCACCGGCCGGCAGGCTCATTCACCACCCCCACCGACCTATGGTGGTGTGGCGTTTCCCCCTCAGCCTCCTCCTCCTCCTCTGTCACTCCCTCCTCCCCCTTCTGGCCAGAGCGCCTATGGCACGCCAAGGACTTTGCCACCAGGGGGACCGCCGCCGGGAGGCAACGTCACGCGCTCACAATCTTACGACGCCTTTCGGAGAGATCCCTTTGACAGGACCTGGAGTTCCGGCCGGTGAATGAAGAAACGCCCAAACGAAGCAGACTACAGATACATAATATCTTTCCTTCGACATGACTGCATATTCCTAAAGACGACTGATTGGGGGCGACCTCAGAACGCGACCACTACTCACATCGAGATCCGGTGTGACACGATTACGACTGACGGTATCAAAAAGACTGGCATTTGCGCATGTCGTCACAAGGGTTCCTTATCGCTCCATCTCCTTATCAGATCTGCATACATTCCACACTACCATTATCTTGGCTAATTGTTCTTCCTTTTTCTTTTCCACACGTTATGCTTGCAAGATACCCAACTATACCCCTTGTTCGGATTAATATGGTACCATCCGGCGTTAGGAGATCGAGTTGGATCCGGTAGAGGAGCGGCAGGGGCAGGGCAGGGCCGGCTCAAACCAGGGCAGGAGCAGAAGCGACGGGCACTGCAGACTGGGAGCCAGAATCAGAGACACGCCACGGCTTCTGGCATCTGACTGGGTGGGCATTGGACACACCGTATAGTTGATGAATGTACTTCTATATACCTACCTACCTACCCATCACCTGATCCCACCTATTCGCGGAGGTTGCAACTACGCTTGAGAGGCTTCTTACTGTAGATGCCCCGTTTTTCGAGTCTGCTGTGTACGGCCAAGACACAGACTGGGGACCTCAGAAGTTGAGGCGACACTTACAGTGCTTGCCTTTCCGCCCGCTGAAAGGGCTGTGGCTTCCAGCGTGGCTTACCAACGACGACTACACTCTTGCCACTGTACTCCGTATGCCGTTGCCACCTTCAAGTTGCCGAGCTTGGCCCAACAGAGACCGCAGAGCATTCACACGGGAACGCTAAGGATCGAGCTATGAGTCCATTACTCCGTAAGCCCACTCTACATTCTATAGCGCTGGATTTCCATGTTTTTGAGCTTTGAAATGTGACGGCCCGGCCAATCAATGCGCAAAGATGGTGGCCATGATTCAGGATTGGTCAGGCAGGGCGATACAGCTGCCAATCGTAACCACGGGTTATCACACATACGAGGAATACTACTGCAGCTACAACTTATACATACAAGTTCTGTGTACCCTGTAGCGGCACGGGATTTTGCCCCGGAACTTTCAAATTGTGAGGTGGTGAGCTTTGGCCCATGGAGGACGAGTTACAGAGCATTGCTGCCTGTTAATGTCTGATTTGCTGTACTCGTACTCCTTCATCCACCCATCTCCTCCAAACCCCGTCAACGGCTAAGGGGACCACAAGACAAGGTTTGCGGATACGAACCAAAGGATATCTTATGCTCCATAGTGTGCATGTCTGTATGTGTCTATGTAGATCTAAGCAGCGCACGGCAAACGATCTGAGCAGTACGAGCTGCGTCAAGTTAGGTTGGGCGACTGCTCGCGACACCAGCCAGTCGAGTGGCCTGCTACCGAACGCCGCTTCGTCTCCTTGGGATATCAAATCTCTAACCTTGAGGCCCTGGTTTATTGGCCAAGGCACGTATGGCGCCGGCACGAGTACTGTATGTACTCCGGAATTGATGAAAGTCTGACGCCTGTACCATGGGAGCAACCAGCGGCAGCCCAGAGCTTAGCTGTCGGTCGTGCAGCGGCGCGCCATCTTGGATCCTTTTTTGGTGCCGTGTGCCATGACCGAGGGCTGCCGGAGTTCTGCGGTGTTCTTCTTTTGACTCTGAACCATCGTCTACAGCACGCCGTAAGTACATACAGTAGTTTGGACTACTTAGCGACGATCGGCTTGGTGTGCTGCTGGCTGGGATCATGGGACCAGCAGAAGGAAAGTGTGCTCCGTCCTGTGGCTTGACACTCAGTTCGGGAGATCAAAGATCAGGACTCCATCATCCGTGATGCATGACAGATTGGTGAGATCTGTCGGTTCGGTTCACCACGACAGGAGTCCGAGGGCGCGAAATGCTCCCTCGACCACTGATAGTTAAAGTCACATACTACGGAGTGTGCCCACTGAAGTCAGCATCTTTGACTACCGCACCACACCATCTTGAGTCCTTTAGCGTCGAATCTCGTAGGAACTGTACGAGCACACGTAGTGGCATCGCAAGTGCGCGCACAGGACGCCCGCCGGTTTGAGCGCCGTGACACCTCTTCGGCCTCTCGTTTTCGATTTGGCGACCAATCCGTCCTGGATGTCATGGAAACAGAGGCGACTTCACATGCCACGCCCTGCCTGCCAGCTACCGGCCTTCAACGCGTCTCGGCAAGTGACAGAGCCTGCTTCGGAGTGTCAGGCCGTCATGTGTCAGGTCTCAGGTGGGTGTTGCGTTGACGCAGCTGGTGCTAACACTGATTGCTGGCGCTGGCGGTCCGACAAATAATGGCAGCAGGACAGGAAATAGGAAACAACACCGGCACGTATGTCAAAAGTAGATTCACCGAGTCAACGGTGCCGAAGGAGCCACACGCCCGGGACATACACCATCTGTAGCAATATGCAAGGCGGCCCAACGATGCAACCCGCATTGCAGTGCTGGTACTCCGTACCGTAGCGCATCAGGCAGGGATCATGGGGAGAGAGGGCGGATCCCAGCGAGACATTCCACACGTGGGCGGGAACGGAGCATTTCCCCATCACGGATCACGAAAGAGGCTTGCTGCCCACCTTTAACCGACGTTTCTCTCCCTGCACACCTGCTGCCGCTGAGGTGTGTGGCTCGAGGTGCTTTCTGCAGGCTTGAAGGCACCTGGCGTGGCGCCCCGTGGCGTCCACTATTCCAATTGTCGTGCTGCGTCGCAGCTTGGGCTTGTGTTCTCCTCCGAGAATTGTCTCTCTCACAGATGTCCTGGACGGCATCACCAGCAAGCAGATGCTGATGCCGATGCGGTAGCTCAGACATCCATCACTCTTCGCGACGATGGTCTCCTGGGATATCTACGGACTATCTCGCATCTCCTCCTGGCATCAACGGCACTTTTGTGCATGGAGCTTCAAGCACGTCGTGAGCACTAACCGAGCAATCCTCAGGCTAGTGCCTGGCTCGTCTCGCGGGCTGCGCGGGCCACACTAACTGAAGATTTCACTGACTTGCGTGATGTGATGCAAGCACTTGACCTGCAGGTGATACTGAACTCCGTGCATGGGTCGGAGAAATAGGTTTCCAGCCTGCATCCTTCTGGAGCAGCTTGCTTGCTTCTGCTCTGCTTGTCCCGCAAGTCCGGCGTTGATCGCAGGCGGCATGGCATGTTGCATGTACTGTATCGGTAGCGGCCCTCCTGCCGCCAATTGCGTGCTCTGGAAACCTTCCCATCTGCCCGCTGCCAATCCAACAAGCGCGTCTTGCAAGAAGCCAGGACGGCACATGATAACGCTCCAGGCAAGGAAATACGAGTATCAGGCCCGAGCGCTTGCCGTTTGGGGCGTCAAGCTCGAGGATGGGTGGAGAAAGCCGCGACACCGATCCTGCTGCAGGGGCACGTCCTCGATTCTCGGGCGGACACGTGGCTGCAGATGTGAGAAAGCGGAGGGATTTCAAATCGTCTTCGCCCCCACCCCCTCTCGAGCAGTGTCTCGCATTCTCTGAGTGGCTCGTGGTTAGCCTGACAGATGACGAAACAGGGATCGTGGCAGGTTCATGATCTGTTCTGCGGTCAGTGTTCACTAACGGAGGGGGCAGCTATGCATTCCCATCCATGGTGGTTGCATGTTTTGCTTTTTCGCGGCATCGTTTCCTTCCTTGGTGCCTCACTTGGACATACCTTGCCAGGGCCAATTCCTGCGGAGAGGTTCTGACGCAGGAGCTCCAGCTCGTCACAGTCGACTGCTGACCACTGAGTGACCACGGCTCAGCCACCTCCTCCCATCTATGAATACGATATAGAATCTGTCTACAATGGCTTCGAGATTATCCCGATCGTGGCCGACTACCTCGGATTATCCAGGAGCCGCGTATGCTGCTACGTCAGGACGGAGACGACAATTCCTACGGTACACCGGACATCCTATGCTAAGTGTTAACAACCTTCCTATTACTGGGTGTTTTCTCTGGCAGGTAGAATGACAAGTCCTGCGGGATGATCTGCGCTAGAAATTCTTCATACCGGCTAGTACACCGTATCGTGGGGCACTGTGGGTTGTCGATAGAATCGAAGCTGATAAGTTGTGGACATCCGCTCCTTAGAGGCATTCCGCTAGGTACCAACATTCAACAATATCGTCCTAAGCTTAAGTACCTGTATGTTCTATATGCAAGACATTGCTGCTTTGCTCCAAGAACGGTGTCCATCATTGTGGATACTGGCCTGGAAAACGGTCTTGGACGACCGGCGAGAGACAACAGACGATATTTGGTGAGAGAGGTATCACCGATCTAGCTCAACAAGAAGTAGATGTCCTGGAGTCTCCTTCAAGTAAGCTTTCTGTCACCACAAGCCTGAAGATAGTCATCCTTCAATGAGGCAGCTATGAACGTACATGTCAGGCTCAGCTCACACAAACCTCAGATGAGATATCGCCAAGCTTTGTCTTCCCAATTAGGAAACCCGGCTTGACTTCAATTAGACTTAAACTTTATTTCCCCAACCGCGACGCGTCGTTTACTCAGACCACTTTGCGCGGTCCTTTGGTGATCACATTCTCATTACCACGACAGGGCTTATCCTTTCGTCAGTAAGACGCTCTTCCCACGTTCCCGTTGCTCAACGTTCTGGCCCACTATGCCTCTCACTATTCAGCCGAGGAAGCGCAAAGCCGCGTCAAATCCTGGCGTTCCCGCGAAGAAAGTTCGCATTGGCTCTACCACAGACATACCTGATCAGCCGACTGTCTCACCTTCAGGGCGACCCAAGCGAACCTCTGTTGGTGAACCCCAGTACAAAGTCACAAGACGCCGCTCATCTAGCACTCGGAATGTAAGCCCTGCTGCTGCAGAACAGAAGTCTCCGGCCAAGAGACGTGGTAGACCACCCAAGGCGGGGCCAGCTGCTGCTACTACTGCACCTACCGTGGACGAGGATGTGGCGCCTAAGAAACGAGGAAGACCGGCCAAGAATACCAAGGGTGAGTCAGAGCTTGCATCTCCGAGAATGACGCTGGGCTAAACACTGCATGGCAGCCTCTGCTTCAAAACCCGCCACCTCTGCCCAAACCGCCCATGCAGCGACGAGCCAGCAACCCGAAACGAAGGCCTCCGTTATCATCCCTGGAAAACGTGGAAGAAAGCCGAAATCTCTGACCGAGGCTACACAACTAGCCACCGGATCCGACTCCGAATCCACACCTGAAGGCCTTGTGGCGCACCCGAATGACGCAGCTACAACGGTCAATGGCGACAAGAGCAAGCTGGAGGACCTCTCTGGTGTCGACACTGACGTACAATACTGGCTGATGAAGGCGGAACCAGACTCTCGTATTGAGAAGGGTCACGATGTCAAATTCTCCATTGATGACCTTGCGGCGAAGACGGAGCCGGAGGCTTGGGACGGTTAGTAATATTGGTCCCCCGTGCTCTCCGGCGGTCGTTCTAACAGTGATGACTAGGCGTGCGCAACCCGATGGCCAGAAACCATATGCGAGCCATGCGCGAAGGCGACTTGGCATTCTTCTACCACTCCAATTGCTCTGTCCCTGGAATCGCAGGCGTAATGCGGATCGTTGCCGAACATTCGGTCGACGAGAGTGCATTCAACCCTGACCACCCCTATTTCGACCCAAAGTCTGACCGCGCCAATCCGAAGTGGGAGGTCGTTCATGTTGAGTTCGTCAAGAAATTTGAGAACCTCGTCACTCTACGGGAGCTGAAGTCGTTTGCGAAGCCTGGTGGTGCCTTGGAGGATATGCAAATGTTGAAACTCTCTCGACTGAGTGTCTCAGCCGTCAGCCCAGAAGCATGGCGCTTCATTCTCGACCTCGCCGGTGAGCCTACCACTCTGGGTCATGGAGATGGTATGAGTGGATATGAGTCGGAGATTGATGGAGAAGGTGAAGACACGGCAGGCGTCGGCGATGCGGATGGACTCAATGGTCTTTCCAACAGTGACGAAGGCCTCGGAGTGGCAAGCGGCGTCAACTTTGAAGGATCAGCTGTCGACGCTATTCAGGATAACGGCGGCTCCAACACTGTCAATGGTGCTGATGGTGCCGACAAAAATCCGAAGGGAATTGTCTAGCGGCTCATACGACGGAACTCTGTCTGCCCACCGTGAAGGGGACGGAAATTACCGGCGTACAGCTTCGGAATGGGCCATAAGTTCCTGTGATCATATCTGGTAGTGACCAGACTCCAGCAACTATGAGCTGGAGATCCCTGGCGAGAAATCTGATGATCGACAGACTCTGCATCGTTGCGGCAACTGATGCTATCAGAAAAGATGCAAGCGTGCCGGCACTGGAAATGCGATGTCGAAGGTGTCAGCTGGGGATGAACGCACAGCTTTTGATTTTGGACCCGGCCGCTTCCTTCGCCCAACTAAACAGCGACACAGGACGGCAATGTGGCGATGCTTGGTCGGAATGCGACACTGAGAGCTGCTCAACCTTCTTCCCAAGTACAGCTGCCATACGGCTCCTGCGAAGATAAGTCAAAGTCTTATCACAGAATGTACACTTGTTATTGAACCGCACCTTCCGGCTGTCGAGCCGCATAGTATCCTCGAGACTACTGCTTCCCAAGTTGATCATTTTCCAGGCAAATCAACCTCCACGAACTTTTCAGTATCGTCTGGTGGGTGTTCTTGTTCCAGTTGGGCTCACCGAACTCGTCCTTGTCCAGTCACGCGCAAGTACTGAATGATTTAGAGTGTATGCCTGGGTAAGCCGTCGACTTCGTGCCTGCGTCCCATTGAGGAATGTTTTTCTAACGGGCCCAGATCTTCCGAAGCAACAGGTGTCTCGATCTTCATTCGCAAATTCTATACCCGAGGTATTAGATACGAGCAAGAGGGAAACTGTGCATGTCATGTGCTTATCTTGGTTCATATCCGATCTAGCTTTCCACGTGGCGTCAAGCTGAGCTTCGGCGTCCCAGCGCTCTGCTTCTTCCGGCCACGCAGCTTCGCAGCCTGCATGAGGGCGTCTCTACCCGCAGCAACGCCTCCACTCGCTGTCTCCATTGATCCTGGAACGCAGCAGACCTCGGCATGGCCTTGAACAAGGCTGAAATTCCTGGTCAGCAGATCCTGTGCAGTCCTTAAGTGGGAAGCTGCAGCCGGAGCAGCTTATCGCAAGCGCAACTGCCCCTCATTTGGTCCCTGATGCTTGACTTTCCGCTCTCTTCCGTTTGCTTTTGGCTTTTGCGCTTCTTTTCGGAGCTCAGCGACTTGCTGGTGTTGCATTGCTTGACTGCACAGTGGAACGCAGATCGCCGCGAGCTCGGAGCTCCAAACAGGCAATAGAATCCTGAAGCTTCGAGGGAAAAATAGCTGACTGTACACTGGATCGGCATTGATTCCATCAACAAAATTCTTGGTGTTCTCCTTTTACTCGCCTGTTACATGTTGACCAGTCTTGCGAGGTTTATATCCTGCCTTTCGAGCTCAAGTCAAAGCTCAACCAAGTGTTATAAATTTTCTGCTTCCCCCACCGTATTGCGACAATTCTCGTCGACGCGATTGAAGGCCTTCAGCATGGCGGACCTCAAAGTTGAACTTACTGCTCCTAACGGACGCAAGATCACCCTGCCGACTGGCCTCTTCATCAACAATGAATTTGTCAAATCGAGTTCAGGCGATAAGATCACCAGCATTAACCCTACGTGAGTGGCCGGAGTCGAGGCTCTTCCCACTGGGAGACTCTGTAGAGAGATGGTAATTGACATGCTTGAGTTAGAGATGAGTCTGAGATCACCTCCGTTGAGGCAGCGTCGGCAGATGATGTCGACAAAGCTGTGAAAGCGGCGCGGGCAGCATTCAACGATCCGTCATGGCGCGACCTCCCTGCCACCGATCGAGGCGCCCTGATGTATAAGTTCGCCGACGTTCTGGAAGAGAATAAGGAAACGCTTGCCACACTGGAGACCTGGGATAATGGAAAGCCGTACAGCGTCGCGCTGAATGAGGACTTGGCCGAAGTCGTTGGCTGCATAAGGTACTATGCTGGTTGGACAGACAAGATCTATGGAGAGACCATACCGACGACGCCACAGAAGTTCGCATATACTCTGAAGCAACCTATCGGTGTATGTGGTCAGATCATCCCGTGGAACTACCCTCTGGCAATGGCGGCATGGAAACTCGGTCCTGCTCTCGCATGTGGCAACACGGTGGTAATGAAGCCTGCCGAGCAGACTCCCCTCTCGATCCTGTACCTTGCCAGTCTCATTCCTGGGATCTTCCCTCCTGGCGTCATCAACATTGTAAATGGTTACGGCAAAGAAGCCGGTTACGCCCTAGCCTCTCATCTGGACGTGGACAAGATCGCCTTCACGGGTAGCACACTTACAGGCAAGCAAATCATGAAAACAGCCAGTGTCAACATGAAGAACATCACACTCGAGACGGGCGGAAAATCACCTCTTGTGGTCTTCGACGATGCTGATCTCGAACAAGCCGCAAAGTGGGCACACATTGGCATCATGTCGAACCAGGGTCAGATCTGTACAGCAACATCTCGCGTCTTGGTCCAAGACTCAATCTACGACAAGTTCGTCGAGCAATTCAAGGAGATCGTGAAGTCGACTTCGAAAGTTGGCGACCCGTTTGCTGATGACACATTCCAAGGCCCTCAAGTCACGAAAGCACAGTACGAGAGAGTCCTGGGCTATATTGAGAGCGGCAAATCCGAGGGCGCAACACTCGCAACGGGTGGCGTCCCGCACAAGAATGTCGGAGATGGCAAGGGTTTCTTCATCGAGCCCACAGTCTTCACAGGTGTAAAGGATGACATGAAGATCTACCGGGAAGAAATCTTCGGTCCCTTTGTTGTCATCGCCTCGTTCAAGACAGAGGACGACGCGATTCGCATGGCGAACGACTCAACATACGGTCTCGGCTCAGCGATTTTCACTCAAAATATCGAGCGGGCGCACCGAGTGGCAGCCAGGATCGAGGCTGGCATGGTTTGGATTAATTCAAGCAATGATTCGGACTTCAGAGTACCCTTTGGTGGTGTCAAGCAGAGTGGTATTGGAAGAGAGCTGGGCGAGGCTGGATTGGCGGCGTATTCACAGACGAAGGCGGTTCATGTCAATGTGGGTTTGAAGCTGTAAAGGATATCAGGCCGCAGGTAAGATTCAATATGCCGAAAGGCCTGTCCTCGTGTACTCAGCTCAGAGACGGCACACTACTGTACAGGAGGCAACAACTCAGCCATCAAATACGACCGTCAAGTGACCGCGAAGGAGATTTCCAGACTCTTACCACCCGCTAGAAATTGAAACAGCAGCGAACCAGCAGCATACACACCTGCGGTCCCTTCGGTTTACTGCAATGCTGACAGTCTTACGCTCGTTTCTGTCGCGCTCGTTTCTGTCGCGCTCGTTTCTGTCGCGCTCGTTTCTGTCTCTATCGCGCTTCTCTCTGTCTCTATCGCGCTTCTCTCTGTCACGGCTGATGCAGGTCGACTGCCTGATATCCTCAGGTCCGGATGCGTGGCTCAGGAGAGTGACATTCACTCCGTTCATGTGAGGCCGCTCTTGAACTTATATAATATGCTCTTTCTCTCACTTTACTCATGAGATGATCTCGCCTTCCCTTCCCTCAGTCCCCCTGCCTACCTTTCGATAACCTCCATTTCAGCTCCTGAATCGCACAAACAACACCAACATCCTTTGATTCTCTCATTGCTTCACTCACAAAAAGCCATCTCCACAAAACCAAGCCCGCATCCCATCGTCATCCCAGCCATGTCATCCGACGCGGTCGACGACCAACTGATCAAAAGAATCAAAGGTAAGGTGTAATGTGCAAGTTTGATTGCTCTTTTTCCTCCTCCCTAGCTGACCCTTACCGTGTGGGAGAATCTCCTTGCCTCGATTTCCTAACGCTGTGCTTTGCTTCAGATGAGATTGCATTGATCACGGGCGACAGCCTTCCCCCAGAGTTCATCGGTTATGGACCTTCTTTCAATCGCCAGCGCCTCAGAAGAATGGTGCACGCGATCATGCTGGCTGAATTTGGGCGTGATTACGTGATTGGTAATCCCACGCTCGATGTGCTGTTGGTGTTTGCACAGTTTCACGTTGCTTGCATCATGAGAGGTACGTATCTCTGGCGTGACAGGGTTTGGAGAGTGAGATCGTTTACCCTGTCTGCCGGGAAACACATGGAGAAAGGGGCAACTGCTAATAGCTACCTCCCTGCGAATAGCTGCCAACATAGCTGCCCAAACGGCCGGGCGAAAAACCGTTGAGGCCGAGGATTTCACGCTTGCGACCAAGCTGCTTGAGGAGAAGGAGCACCAGATGATGTTGAAGAGAGCTTATGAGAAATGGGGGCGAACGGATCGGATGAGGACACCGCACATTGATTCGAGGACGGTGCAACGATATGGCTATGGTTGGTGAGATGACAGTTGCCGGACTGTACTCGTACTCGTATGCTCGATGCTCGTAGATGTGTTGAACTGTAGACGACACACGACGCTGAGCGAGCTCAACGGCCACATGGGGTTTGGCAGGGGAAAGAATTCCATGTGGCATGGGATCTGGACCACAGAGTTTGTAGCCGGTATGTACAGGAGCTGAGCAGAATGTGATTTCCTCTCACTGGTACTTCAGCATGAATCACATCGTCACACCCTTCTTGTAGACGACGTAACTTTGGCTTACCTAGACTGGTCTCTATTCTAAGCATCCGACACACCCTGGTTGAGTATGAGATCTTCTCCTTACAGGTTCGGGAGTCACGTACTCCATATGTCTGGTTGAGGCCGATGATGGGCGCGACGGGCACCATGCTAGACAGACAGTTTTGCTCCACTGCAGCGCACGTGATATCATTGGATCTTCGGACAAGTGTAGTGTCGTGTAACGCAATTGCGGTTATTGACAAGGGAATCTTTTGTCCGCAGGCAGTCTGTCTGTCACGACAACCTCATCTCCTGTTCACCTGCTCCGCACAGCTTCCTCATAGCGTCCCCTGTCTCATTTCTCTCCGAATGAATCATCCCCTCTGTTGCTGAGCCTTTGGTCGTCGCGGCATCTCCGTTCCGCCAGTTTCCTTCTGTCAACTTCAGGCCCCAAATGGCGTCCGGGGGATCATGGCTGAACCAAGATTTCGGCGCGGACGACGAAGAGTCCGACAACGACTTCAACCCGGGGCTCGAGGGCGGTTCCGATGCTGAGGACGACGGCGACCGAGACACGAAACCCAACACTGCAGCCAGGCGGGGCGACGAGCAAGATGACGGCGAGGATGCTGGCGCCCGCCGCCCTACGACCAATAAGTCGGCATCTCCTGCAAGGCGAGACACTCAGCCTGCGCTCGACAACGACGACGCGGATGAAGACGGCGATCAAGATGACAACGGCGAAGATGACGAAGGTGAAGGGGAAGACCTCAATGGCGACGATGAAGAAGATGACGAAGAAGACGAAGAGGATGAAGACGCAGTTGCCAGTCGACCTCGCAAGCGCCGGAGACGGGGCCTGAACCAGTTCTTCGAGGAAGAGGCTGAGGTTGACGAGGACGATGACGAGTTGGAAGCTGATGAGGACGACCTCGGGCCCGATTTCATCGAGCCTAATCATCCCGATGATGATCTACCGCCCGAGGCCGACCAAGACGACGCGAGACACAGAGAACTCGACCGCCAACGGCAGATTGAAACGTCAATAGATCTCGAGAAACAGGCCGCTGCTTACAAGGAGCGCTACGGACGACGGACGACTACCGCACTCAGTCAAGGGTCTTTCGTGCCACAGAACCTGCTCATGCCTGATGTTTCGGACCCGAGCATCTGGGGTGTTCGATGCAAGCAAGGTAAAGAGAAAGAGATCGTCAGCAGGCTTCTAAAGAAAATGCTTGAAGGCAAGGGTCGGAACGCGGTAAAGATCTGTTCAGTCTTCCAGAGAGGTGATGGCGAGGGTCCTATGGCCGGCTATATCTTTGTCGAGGCTGTCAAGAAGAGCGATGTCGATGATGCTCTGACCAATGTCGCGGACGTCTACCCGCGGACCAAGATGAACCTCGTGCCGATCAAGGAGATGCCCGATTTGTTGAGGACCCGGAAGGACAAAGAGCTGGTACCTGGTGACTACGTTCGCATCAAGCGTGGTCTCTATGCCGGAGACTTGGCTGTCGTCGACACGGTTGAGACTAATGGTCTCGAAGTGACTCTTCGACTAGTCCCGCGACTTGACTATGGGCTGAACGACGACCCGGCCAGGGCCCCATCTGCCGACGCGAAGCGGAAGCGACCAAATGCGTTTGCACCAACTGGCACCCCGAAAGAGCGGCCTCCGCAGAGACTATTCAACGAAGCAGAGGCCAGAAAGAGGCATGATCGGCTCCTGCAGTCGAACAACACCCTGACGAGGAAGTCTTATACCTACAACAAGGAAACCTACGAAAACGGCTTCTTGATAAAAAATTTCAAGCTCCAACATCTCACCACAGAGAACGTCAACCCAAAGCTGGAAGAGATCACGAAGCTGACCGAGACCGGCGACGATGGCACCGAGACTCTCGATCTCGAAAAGTTAGCTCACAGCCTTAGAAGCGCTACGGCCGAGGGCAACTACATGCCTGGTGACGAGGTTGAGGTGTACGAAGGTGAACAGCGAGGCATCATTGGCCGGACTGAAGCCGTCAACGGCAACATCGTTTCGATCCAGGTCACGGAGGGTGAGCTCGCTGGCCAGCTTGTTGAAGTGCCTGTCAAGGGTTTGCGGAAGCGCTTCCGGGAGGGTGACAACGTGAAAATTATCGGTGGGAGCAAATACCGGGATGAGGTCGGCATGGTCCTTCGCATCAAAGACGACAAAGTCACAGTGCTTACAAATAACACCAACGAGGAAATCACGGTTTTCAGCAAAGATCTCCGAGAAGCTACGGACGCTGGTGGCGATGCAGCAGGGAACAGCCAGTTCGACGTGCAAGATCTCGTGCAGATTGATCCAACCACTGTCGGTATCGTGATCCGTGCCGACCGCGAATCTGTACGTATCCTGGATCAGAATGGTTCCATCATGACCCGTCTGCCCTCTCAAATCCAGAAGGCCGAGACACGCAAGAATGCTGTCGCGACAGACAAGAACGGCTCTGAGATCCGTGTCGGTGACGTCGTGCGTGAATCGACTGGAGAGAACAAATCCGGCACCATCCTCCATCTCCACAGAGGCTACGTCTTTGCGCATAACAAGCTAGGGATTGAGAACTCTGGAATCTGGGTCAACCGGTGCACAAATGTAGTCACAACTGCCGCAAAGGGTGGGCGTATCACCGCCCCCACGACAGACTTGTCCAAGATGAATCCTGCTCTTCTAGGCAGGCGCCCAGAGGCAGCTATGGCCCCGCCGCAACGACCCGGGCGCGATCCGCTCCAAGGAAAGCTTGTTCACATAAGCAAGGGAACATACAAAGGTCACCGTGCCATCGTCAAGGATACCACAGCCGGAGAGGCGAGACTGGAACTGCAGACGAAGAACAAGACCATTAACCTTAGCAAGTTTGACCTCTCTATTATTGAGTAAGTAGAGCGTCCGATTTCGTCCCAAGACAATTACTGACGTCTACCCAGTCCCAACACGCAGAACCGTACAAGATACGAGGATTGGATCAAGCAGCGTGGTGGTCCCATGTCGATGAGGGCCGGCCCAGGCCTAGGTTCGTCTCGCGTGCCGGACGGAGGGGTCTTTGGTGGAAGGACGCCCATGCATGCAATGGACGGGATGCGGACTCCAGCTTGGGGTGCATCATCACGGACACCTGCTTGGGGCGGTCCTAGCACCGGGGGTGGTCTCGACTCCGGCCGAACGCCGTCATGGAAAGGTCCTTCTGGCTCACAGACGTCTTACGGTGGCGGTGGAATGACATCCTACGGCGGCGCAGGCAATTACTCCACCAACAGCGGTTCTCGCACACCAGCATGGAGCGCAAAGACTCCCTACGGCGCCGGCGACTACGGGTCTTCTGGCAACTCTGGCTTTGACGGCTTTGGCGGTTCACGCACACCAGCATACAATCCCTCCTCATCACGGACACCCGCTTGGGGCGGACCAGGAAGCAACTCGACGGCATCAGCACCCACGCCTGCAGCCCGACCCTACGACGCGCCCACCCCAGGCATGTCCGCACCCACGCCCGCCGCCTCAGGTAACCGCTACGACGACGAAGCATACACACCCTATCTATCCGCACCTACTCCCGGTGCTGGTCCGCAAGATGCGCCCACGCCCGCACCACCCAGCTTTGCCAAGGCGGCCAACAGTGTTCCGCTGAAGAACAATCGTCTTGCGGTATACGATGCGCCGACACCTGCCGCGAACGCACCGACACCATATGCCACGGGGGCTTTCGACGCGCCAACTCCGGCGGCGGGAGGGCCGAGATATGTGGACGACGACGAGGATGACGAGTGACGGACCTGTCTTCTGGCAACAATGGACGTGGAGCTGCAGGTTTCGCACGGGAGCACGATGTGCTTGGAGCTTTAGGCCAGCTCGCGAGAAAAGTGTATTGCCATCAATCAGTATCGTGGCTGGATCTGAATCTGGCAACATGGGCGCAGTGCATGGGCGCGTGCGCGTGCACGTGCAACATGGAACAGTCACACAAACGCTAAGGGCCATGGCCTGGTAAGGATGGCATGGCCAGAATTCCCAGAGAAGCATAGACAGTACTGCTGCTTGCTTGCTTGCTTGCTTGCTTGCACTCCTGCTACATTGAATCAGCAGCCTGGGCATAAAATGATCGGTTCATCATACTGTCTGTGACGAGCCTCCCCTTTCTGTGCGTGTTTATGACGGCGAACGAACCTCACTCTACGCCATCCGCCGACGACGGCGTGAAAAGTGATACGTATAGCAGAGGACCGTTGGTTTCTTTCACGTCTACTGTGTGTGTGTGTGTGTGTGTGTGTGTGTGTGTGTGTGTGTGTGTGTGTGTGTGTGTGTGTGT